GCAACTTTTTTTGCGGCGCTAGTTGCTGTGGTGGCCGTTGCCGCCCCCACAGCAGCGCTTTCAGCCTCCTTCTTCGCCGTAGATGCTGCATCAGAGGAATTGAACCGTGCGGAATACGAAGGATAGTGCGGACGGGAAAACTTGGAGGAGAGTGCTCGCGGCACAGAGCGGCAATTGAGCCGCATTGGCCTGGAAAACATATTCTACTTTTGTTGCCAGAGGCCAAGAGGACCATGCAAAGGAACACTGTCGGTCAATTGGCGGGTGGGAAGGCAGGATAACGAGTTGAACCAAAGCCTTTTTTTTTTTTTTTCTTATTTCGCTGACGGAAAGACTTCAGAGCTGTGGGGGGAAGTGGGAGTTCACGTGACGTCATTTCTGGGACGCTGCCAAAGAAAAGGAGAGCCTTTCTGCGTTGAAGTACAGAGTACTCCGGACAGAGTACTACCATCTCATCTAGATCCTATTACCATGCATTATTTTTTTTGGTCTGTATCTGCTAGTGTTTACCAGCAGGTGTTTGTGAAAATACCAATCTCTTAGCATATTCTCACTTTCTGGGATATGCACACAATTGACCAGGATTCGATTTTCCCTGAGGCACCAACAACAAGATGGCCTGACAATACTGGTGATTCAGTAGACTTCCAACATGGTGTCATGTGTAACCAGCTCATGAGTCAACACAGGCAGAAGTGAGATGTACAGAAACAATATCATAGTTCTATTATCCAATAACATAGTACACAGTGCACAGGTAAAGTATCATAGGGTTTTCTGCCACCCGGAAACAAGAGCCCATACCTAGACAACTCATTAGCAAAGAAGCAAGAAAAGAAGTGGTCAGAGGAGAGTCGATGCTGGTGTATGTCCATATTCAAGTGTATGAATCATCCCAGGTATATCAGGATGGGTAAGGGACAGCGGGAAATATAGTATAATAACATATGTACGCAACCTGAAGAGCTTCATGCCCTCCAAACATTTCTTGACAGCTGTGATTGGAATATCAATCCAGCACTGGTATCAGTGTATGTCTGTCATGATTCAGTCAGACAACAAAAAAAAAAAATGGCCATAAATGTCTTTCTGCAAATTCCTGGAATCAACCCAAAGGAGTCTAGACGCCTCACGCAGAACTATATTTAAATCAGGTCCGCAGGTAGCCTAGAAATTTGTTCATAGACAGGGAGCTCAGGAAGATGCAAGTCAAAGCAAGTGATCATCACTATATTCCAGAAACATTGGCTTTGGCATCTCAGCTGCACGGAATCAGATAGCACAAACAGGGGAAATTCTATCATCCTGGTTGATAGAGGGGGAGTAAGAGCCACTTAGGCTTCGAAATATCGAAGAGTTGGCCCGTCGATTTCCCAGCGGGATCATTGCCCATAGACAGTGCAGAGCAGTAGCATCACTTCGATGCACGCTCCGCCAGTCAGCTCAGCATACTCGATGGGCTGAATTGATCCATTGCTATTGAAACGCCACGATTAATCCAATCAGCAGCCAGGTGAGTATGTTGAGCCAGGTTCCCTTCGTCTCATCTCCTCTCCGTGGCCATGTGACCTTGGGCATAGTCTTTCAACGTCTCCTTCGGCTGGAAACGGCTTGCTGCTAAACTGCATCACGAGAGAGAAGAGAGAACATCTGCCACTGGCGAGTTGGGATGACACCGGCTTTTCCCGACCGCCACATGGCGCTCCGTTCCGGGATCTCCCTGTGGTGTTTCATGAGCAGCGGAAAAGGGAAGAAAAGCAACACCAGACTCAATGCAACAATGCAATCAAAAAGGAGACAAATAGGTCCAAATTAATGCCGTCCAACCATCAAATTTACACACGTATCGAGACCCTTCTATAATCGCAGCAGGACTGCAGCCTTGTGTTTGGGACAACTTCCCTGCCTTCCTCGAGAAGTTGACTCGGCGGAACTGAACCCCTCTGTCGTCATAGCCTTGCCGCGCACATATCATATTTGAACCCAACGCATCGGAGGCTCGCAAGGTTCTCTGCGCTTGGGTATCAACTATTTATATTCCGTACTTGTCTAACATATGCCCAGCGATGAAATAGGACCCGACTACCAGGGTTTGGCCGTCCAAGCTGTCAATATCCCGACCAAGGGAGCGGGCATCAGAGTCTTCGAAAGAGAAGCAGAGTTTTCAGCTCCACCTTACCCCAGGCTCCCGGCTCTGCTTCAACTCTAACCCCATATTACCCCACACGAATCAAACCAGCTTTCAATTGATATTCTTGTCCCTCGAAGACCAACTCCCAGTTTCTGCCGGCCCTGAGCAGGCCAGAGCAACGTCATGTCGACCAACAGACCCTTCCTTGCAAATTTCCTGGCAGCGTTCCGCGCCCAGTCCGCCTACAAGGCTGCCAAACCGCCTTCGCCAGGCCCGTCAACGGGCCTCTCCACTTCCCACGTTGGTTCTGCGAACCCATCCTCCTCCGGCTCTCGAGCGATAACCCCCAAATCTGCTGCTGCTTCCCGAGGAAGTAATCCAAATATCACACCGTCCAGTTCACCACAATCCACGGCCGCAGCGGTGGCTACATCAGCATCTAGCCATTTTTCTTCACATCACCACAACCACAGCCACAACGGCAGCAGCGGCCATCGCCCCACTCATGGCCACTCACACGCCCACTCCCATTCCACTTCGCCGCCTCCCCCTACAGCCCGCTCACAGGCCCGTTCTTCCCTCAGTCCCACACCCAGCACTTCGTTGAGTGGAGCTTCGAATTCCACCTCCCCGGTGGCTAGTTCCACACCGATCCCCGTTCCAAATAACAGACATCGTCGCGGCAGTGATAGCAGCAGCGGGAGCGGTGGCTTTCGGGACGCGCTAGGCTCAGAGAAGTGGTATATTGGAGGGCGCACAGCTACTGGAGAAGAAAAATTTTATCCGCTTGGAATGGTTACCAAAGGCGGAGGTAGACTGAGCGGGAGGGTTGGAAGTGTTGATCAGCTCAGTCTCTAAAAAGCTGGAGAATATTGTGTCATTTGGACATCCTCCGTGGAAATCCTAGTGCTAGCGTGGAGCAAGGAGTCGTCGGTGATAAACCGCATCTATGATCCGCTTGATTAGACACAAGAAAAAAAAAGGTGTACAAATTACAGGTATTTTTCTTTCTGGCAAGATTTGTGTTCCCGGTTAGGTTGGCGCACATGGAAGGTATATGAACGCTGTGTTTATTCACGGGTTTTGCATAAAAATTGAAATACACAGAGCGATCGTGTGTTGTTTGGTTGTTTGTTTGCTCTTTGACTCTCCCCCGGGTCTTCTATCTGGGCATCAACTGTCATATATTCCTGCGGCCACAGGCAAGGGAAAGTGCTCCTTGGATATTTAGATAAGAAACCGAAAAAGATCTTCGCTCTTGACCATGCTGCTGTCTCACACACTCTGGATCTCAGCTTCTGCCAAAAGGAGAATATATCCTGTATGCCGCAATGTTTCTGTCCACTTGAACGGGCATTCCCATTGTACCAATACATGAATTCGAAATCGAGACTGGTTTACCCTGCTTTTCGATTATCCAGATCGAAAACATGTGCTGCTCCCAAGGGGCCAATGCGGGGATAAATTTGGACAGGAGGAGGTGGAGGTCTTACCGCAGCGGATACCACCATGGTAACCTCCGGTGACTCCAAACGGGGAAGTTAGTCCGCACATTCCACGGCAGTATACCGCCCAGGGGAGGTTCGTGCTTCCCTTCTTGCTTTTGTCCGTGATATGGAACATGACCCGACGATATTTCAATGAGACCAAGAGAAAAAAGAAACAAGGAGCAAAGCAAGGGCAAAACGCAAATTCATGTGACTGCTCACTTCGCTAATATTGGGGACTTATTCCCCAGACACTTTTGGGAGATATATTTCCTCCCATGTGCGTCCATGCGGACACACCTGCATATGAGTTTCTTTTCTTTCTCTCTTTCTTTCTTTTCTCGGTGTGGCAAGTCTTCCATGGTCTCTATTGTTGTGACTTTGAGAGCATAAATTAAGAAAAAGAAAGGAACAAAAAAGGAAAAAAAAAGAAGGAATTGAAGTCCGAAGACGGGCTAGATTTGCTTCTCATGGAGATACATGGAAAATAGGGGGGAACGTCATGAAAGAGTAACGTTGAATCCAAGCGGTCACGGACATTGTTATCCTGCCCGTTCCCTCTCTGCCGTCTCCGGGGATTTCACACCGGTCGAAATGGAAAGGCCTTGCTCCATATAGTTAACCGAGCCTGGGTTGATAATTTTGGGAATCCCAAAGACCGTTGCTGTCGTCCAAAGGCAAATCAGGGGGGTCGACGCCCTCGAACAAGGATTAGCTGTGCGGCTGGTGTACCCAATTTTGACTCGCATGCGGAGCACATACATATCAACGGTATTACTCCGGGGCATCCAGAATGCTCCATATGCAGATAGAAGCCCATTTCACATGATATTTAATATGCCAATTTCACCATATGCATGTTATCGAAATCCCCGTTTCTCGAGCCCGTCACCACCTCATCCAACACCTTCAAGCACTAACCCACCACCCGGGGTACATATAAGAATCGCGACGATACATCTCCCTCCCATTACCTCCTTATCTAGGTATAGTACATAGGGTATACACTCTCCTCCATCCTCCAAACCTCCTCAGTCACAAGGACCCTGTGCCGTCAGCCCAAAGGTAAACCAAAAGAAAAAGAAAACAAATTCCAGGCACATGGAGTGGGCCCCCCACAAGCCGTCCCGCATCCCCACCCACTGCTTAATTGAACCACCGGACAACTCCAACGACAAGGGCCCAAGCATGTGGTTTTGAAACACCCCCGGCCGCGCTCCAGAAGTGGAGGCCAAAAAAAAAAAAAAAAGCGGACTCCTGTACTCCGTAGTGCCATCTTTATTTTCCCTCGCTATGGAGAATGTCCTGTCTCGGGATCCTTGTATGGCGGGGCGTGCAAGGGGGCGCCACTCCGTGCCCTGTGTGCCCTGGAAGGACTGAGGATGGAGTTGCTGCATGTGGCTGTGGCTGGTATGTTCTGCGTGGATATTTGGAGGAGGCATGGCGGAGCTCTCCACTTTGAGGTTTCCAGATGCTTCGGGGCAGGGAGGGTGTACTCTATGTACGGTAAGTACTCTGTAAATTCAGGGCTGTAGGGCGATTCTATGGCGGCTGGTTTCTTCTTTTTGGATGTAGTTTATGTGAAGTACGGAGGATATCGTAGTTACATTGGAGGCTGAAATGGAGCCACAGAGTGTGCACAGGGCGTCTGTGTACATACACACGTAGGATAGCTGTTGGTAGAATGGGTGAGCTATGGTTGTCGACGAGGTATCAAATGTGATCTACTCCGTATACACTACAGCGATGCAGAAAACAGCAAGGCAAAGCTTTCACTCAATGATTGTTATGATGGGACGGTACATGCATGTATGTTTTGGAAAACAGGAGAATGGGACACAAGTATGAAGTGTAGAGTGAGATTTTTGATAGATCCGATGGAAAACTATAGTTCAGGAGCTTTGTTGCACGGCCGTTGTTGCCCATCACCGCTTCCGGGAGGAAATCGGCGGAGAGCGTTTAGTTAGTAGACGAAGATCAAGACCGAAATTAGATGACAATGCCAATACTCGATTGCAACACGATCGATATCGTCCTGCGCGCATCATCATGCAGTGCGACTTACCTCGACGTCTACAGAGCACCGACACTCAAATATGCAGCGTGGCGTGCGCCAAAGGTATTACAGAAATGACTTATTCAATTCGCAACCCGCCCAATGCGCTTTGTAGATACATAAGAAGTCCTACCAGAACACACGGCGGTGAGCTGCCTTCGTTCTTCCGAAGTCATCCCAGTTTCTTATCGCTTCTTGTTCCCCCGTAGATCATCGTTTCTAGTGAGACGTCTTTCGACGTGAATTGTTATTTATTTATTTCACTTTTTTCGTTTCTCCAGTTCATTGACGGGACCTTATTTAGCCCTTCTGTGGTTTCCAATAAGATATACTCGCATTCCAAGAAAGGGGTCAGATTGAGTATGGTAGGCAGATAGGACGTTGTCCTACCCAATACCACAGGCAAGGGGTCCGTGTGATGAGAATATATCCAGAGACCTGGGTATCACCAACAAAGAAATGATGTGACTATTGAAATCCAACAATCAGGTTCCTGTTTACCACCGTTTCGGGGTAAGACGGGAGAGAAAAAAGGCTAGACAATTAGTTTTCTTTTTTTTTTTTTTTTTTTTTTTTTGGCACTTTCGTCAGCGCGAATTTTCGGTCTGGACACAGGGACATTTCTTCACTCAGTCCGAGGTCTGACCGAACGTAGAGATCCTCCTATCAGCAGCAGGCGAGCGATTTCCTTCAGAGGCCCAACGAGCCGCCCAGCCCGCGTCCGACGATTTCGCGCCTCGGCATTCCGGTTCCGACACGGAAACCTGTTGGCCTTCCTGATTGGGCAAAAGCTGACCATTATTAGTCAGCGCATTCTTTTTAATGCACCGGGGTGAATAATTCTGCACAAATCCTCCGGTGTTATGCGCACGAACCTGGGCTGGAAGTACCTTTGCGCCCGGAGGATTATGGCGGTGTACTCGGGGACCAGCGCAAAACTCTATTCTCGGGGAATACTGCCCACCTCCACTGACTCAGGAGTGCGCCTTGGGGCTTGGCGCCCTCGGCCAATGGCGGGCATCGCTGTTATCTCCACGCACTCGCCCCCCCGGCCGCAGTCGAGATACGAATTTACCGCCAGAGTTACCCACTTTTCCTCAACGTCGAAGAGATCTGCTGATGCTTGGCTTGCGTAGAGAGCTTGGGCTGCTCCAGCGCATCAGATATCGACCTACACCCCCGTCGAGCCTTGGGGATGCTTCAACAAACTGGCCGGTTGATAATGTCTCATGTGAACGAGAAATTAATCGATCAACCTTTGTTGAAAATATGATTCGCGCGAGGTTAATCATTGCCAAGTTACATTCAAGCCGAGGGACACTCCTGACGCGGGCAAATTCAAAAAGCAAACAAAAACCAATCGCACGGCGACACTTGTACTGCCCAAGCCCATGAAAGCTCAACTCGTTAATTTCAAATAATATCATCGATACGAGGGAGGCGAAAAACAAAAAAAAGCCTGTTGGGTTGTCGAGGTCCCGTCTGGGCGGGGCAAAACCCTCCGTGCGCCCGTGATAACAACTGTCAGTTTCATGGCCCTTTCTGGAACCCTTCGATCCTCGGCAAAGCTTCCGCATTCGTCCACGCTTGAAGCTTTGTTACCCGCTAAGGCCAACAAGAGGAAAAAAATGATGAAAGGAAAGTTGCACGAGCGGCGCCAGGAGAAATGTGGTGACGCCACGGGCGTTATTCCATCCTGCTCAGTCAGAGTAACTGTGATGCAACCATGACAAGAGCAGTGGAACCTTAGAAGCTTGTCCTTTTAGCCTGTCCCTTGTGTCGGGAGGTGATTGGCCTAACCGGCGATGTTCGACGGCAGGGCCTTGTGGATGGCCACAAGCGGGCTTGAAGCAGCCAGGGAGAGAGCACGGAAGGTGGATCCGATTGCCGGGTCTAATTCTGTAACGAATGATGACACGCGTCGCTAGCCCCTGAGCTGTCGGAGGGTTGCCAAATTTATCTCGTCGAGTGTCAAGTCAACAGCTCCGCGATGCAACTTGTCCAAGTATCTCCCGTTTCGGAGGAAAGGATATGGTTCTTGAACCAGGGAAATTATGATTATTTTGTTAGGCCGCTCCTTGCGCTTATTCTTGAAACGCTGAAATTGCCATATCCTGGATATTGCGGATAAGATGCCGTGTTATCCAGAAACTTTGTCCTGTCTCGCCGCCGTGGTCGGAACTCTAACAGGCCCAGCCGAAAGGGTTTGATTTTTTTTTTTTTTTTAAACTTCCTATCCTTTCACATCGCCATGTGCATTTTTAGAGAGCATGGATACTGTCTGAAGCATGGCATGGGATCCTTTATCCTGAAAAATGTAACCGACGTCACCGTATCATTATAGTTCCTCTGCCCCTTAGAGGCGAGATGATGAGGCGCTCTGGCGAGAATGCGGAAAAAAAAAAAAGGGTATCTCCAGACCCACGAGTCAGGTTTCCAGGGACTTTGTTGAGTTTAAACTTGTTCGAGCGTGTCGTGCTCCTAAAACAGTTGGACTGTGGAAATAGCCAGGCATTGCTTCTCGCGCGAGCCATTATTGGCAGCGATCTTGGTAAGATGCCCGGGTTGAAAAATCCACGGAACATCACCGAAGCGACGTCACTCCTCTGCCCTGTGACTTCAGAAGAGCAGTATCCTCGTTAATATTAACCTCAACCGGCAGATCTTCAATGCGTCGGTTTTTTTTTTAAACAGGTCACATAATCAGCTCATGTCACGCAAGAGTCTTCTTTTTTGCCTCCCCCTGGAGGAAAGGAGGAGGAAGAACCGATAGAGTAGTCCTTCGGGCTTGATGAGGCGTTTATGGGAAGAATGACAAAAAAAAAAAAAAAGAAAGTTAAAAAATGGCACAAAGTCTGTGGAAAATGGCGGAATTCCTCCGTGGTAACTTCCCACGGCGCCAACCAACCGAGTACCAAAACCCAAGAAAATTGTACCACGCCTTTTTGCTTTCCCTTTTTCTTTCTCTCGGCTTTGCGTCTCTCGGGAGAAGCTTCATCGAACGGCCCTCGAATGTTATTCCACTCCACTTGAACCTTTTTTCTGCTTCCAACTCACCCATTGTTTTTTAACGGTTGGCAACAGGGGCACTCCGCCATTGGGACAATTTCGCCGAAGTGGGACGCCGCTCTCCTTGTACCCACTCACTCTGTTTTGGGGTTTTCCTTGGGTCGGGAGAGGTGGGAGGGCCGCTGCCAGAGGCGTCCTGTGGCTTCTTGCACCATTGTTCTTTTGTGTTTCGAATGTCTTTTTCTTTTTTGGTTCGCAATTTCCCCTACTTCAATCTTGTGTCTTTGGGGAGATCAGTGGATTGGCGGGCGGGAGAATTGTGTATCAGATTGAGACGAAGCTGGTGGCTCTGGGTCGGATTGCGGCCTGGAACCACTCTTTTTAATTTTTTTTCCCTCTTTCTTTCTGTCAGATACTCCAGAAGTAAGTCGTAAATCATCTCAATCAAACTGCCTGAAATGTAGGATATGCGCGGGAATATTTTTCTTTTCTTTTTTCTTTTTTTTTTTGTTTCTTGAATTTCGGACGAAGAAATATTGCCGTGAAAATCTCTTCATCACCTGAAAGGGGGGTAGTGTTTCCTCATTAACTGGGACTTTGCACGTGGCTCGATCGATTTTTGACCTCGGCCCTTTTCGTGGGATCGGGCCGTTTGTTCGACAGGTTCGGCCGAGGGTGGTTCGACGCTAATTAGAACCCAGCGGCCGGATTACCCAACCCTGGTGCTCCTCTGTGGGTAACTGGTCACTTCAAGGCGAACTCAGGGCAACAAATGTTAATTACCCGGAGTACCCCGTACATTGGTAAATGATGTCGAGGTTCGTTCCGTGTTTGAGTTGGCCGGATTGGCTTCAATGTTTATTGTTCTGTAATTTCGTATACGAGGAGGTTACGCGTTACTATGAGGGATGGATGTTGTTCTTTTCCCCTTCGCTCATCTCCGAGTTAAGACCCCAAGATAATAATATGGTGCAGAGCGCGCGCGCGCACACGGGTGTTATAGCCCTATTTTGTGCCCTGCAAGATTGATCCTGCTAAAAGGCAAAAAGAGTTGCATGCCCGGCAAGGACCGTGGCGAAAAGAGAGGTATGCTAAAACCGAAGTGGTATCAATCTTGTTTGTCGTCATTCGCAACGTTGCAATTTTCTTTTCTTGTTTTGATATTGGGAATTTTGAGGCTTTTGAAGCTTTGATGCTTGATATCTATATCCCTATATACCCTGGACCTGCTGTATGTACAGAACAGATTTGATCCTGGGATGAACTGCCCACATCTATTTTAAGCTTACATTTTAGGCCAGCTCCAGTGCAGAAGAGCTGTTGTGGGAATTCCTTTTGGGGCGTGGGGGCAGGAAGGGATAAAGGGGGGCCTGAAGGCTTTGCGCAACGAAATGGAGCCACAAGTGCTTGGCTGAAGACCTGGGGAAAAGGTATAACCCAAAAAAGAAAACAAACAAACGATGTAACTGGACATTGATCCGACGCTCTAAAGACAATTGAAGGAAGTGATAACAGCGGCTATCTGGAAAAAAAAAAAAAAAAAAAGGAAAAGAATAAAGAGGAGAGAGAGGGTTACATTGCTCTTTGCTGATTGTCCTGTACATCATTCTTGTTGATGCCCGAGGGACAACTCTGTTCTCGTCCTCGGGGACCAATTGTACCTGTCGCTTTGACCTTACCGTTTTGTCACTCGTCCCTACTGCGGTGTCGATGTATCTTTGTGTTGTGTGGATGCCACTAAGGGCGAAGCCACGAGGAACTTAAAAAAAATATCTGCCGGGGATGGAATATGTCCCGGATACGAAATACGGGGTTGGCAAAGAGACGCAGAGTGATCCTTTGGAGAGGATTTTAGCTTACTAAATTAGGATAGGAAGAAGTGGCTTGTCGTCGCCTCTCTTTCCTTTTTCTTTTTTTTTTTTTTTTCCTTTTCCCTTTGGGTGTGAGAGAGCGTCTTTTGCGGAGTTAATCCTCCGTCATTTAGTGCTGATAAACCCGCAACCCCATGGCGTTTTGGCTAGCGATATCCGTGACAATGGATTGAGGCGTTCGTAACCAAAACTGGGTTAGAGCTCCGAGAGTTTGTTTTCTTGCTCCCAACCACTATGTACTCCGTTACTCCCCTTCTTCCCCCTCCCTCCTCAACCGGACTCGCAAGAGCGGGACTCAGCTGAACCCACCTGTGCTAAAGTGCAGCCCGTCGATCGTCCCAGGACGTTCCCACTCTGGCGTTGCTTAGGGGGATCTGTGCGCAGAAATCGACGACATCGTGGGCCCATGGTTTGTCCCTGTGTGCGGGCCAATGAAGGCCGTCGCAATTCCTCCCGATGTTCAATGCCGGAGGGGATATACTCGCTGCCTGCCAGTCCTAATTCTGGCTGTGGCAAAGAGGAGTGTGTGTTTTCCTTGGTTAGCTTTCTTGCTGCAGACCACTAGCGATCATTTATTTTCTTTTTTTTCCTTCTTTTAAAGTTGGCATCGACCAAGCACGTACTAGTAACTCCTCCGTACCATTTGTGGTGCTGTTGGCGGCTGATGTGCATTTTCCGCCACCTGCTGCTGTCAAGTTGTCAGGTCGCCAAGGGGCGGGTTGTGCAGCGTTGGCGTCTCTCACTCGTTCTCCCGACAAGTGTTCATGTGATCTCCGGAACGCTCCCCCGAAAAAACGTACCCGTCACGTGACATTCAAGGTTGACAACCTGCAAGCGGGTGGATGTTTCAAAATCCCAGGGCGGCTGAGCCTGGCAGCTCCCGCCCCTTGTCGGTTGTCTGAGAGAGACATTAATGGTTCCCGCCAGCGTTGCATAGGGATTTGTTCTATTTCATCGGAGCACAATCCGAACGTTAGATCTCTGCAATAAGAGAGGATTTTATGATGATGGAAGGGCCATGAAGGGGAACCGGGGGGAAGAAGGGAATAAGGAAAAAAACAGAGCAGGGGGAGTGTTGATTGACAAACGTTTTGATTGATTTGGAGCGGGATATCACATCCTAAACGGGAATGGTCCGAGTCTATTCTTACGCGTAAAGGAAGTTCCGAAAAATAAACCCCGATCGCTTGCTGGCTTTGTTGTCGAAACAGCGTTCGCGACGAGTCCATGACCAACGGGGGAGTGTTGGCCTCTACTGATCCCGAGTGACTCTTTCGGGGATCGCTGTTGCACTTGACATTGGCCGGATTGCTGCCAGTGCGCTGTCTGTGCTTCCCCTTTTGCGCAGGAGATACATAGCAAAATATTCTCAGCCAGAAACGAAAAACGACCAAGGAAGATTGACTTCGATCAGCGTGGTTTGATCTGATGCTACGAAGGCACTACTCGAAACCTTACCTATGGGCGTGGGAGTTCAATAAGGGGCGGGGACCAGATCCGGCGAACAATAGTCACACACACACACACACACAACGATGAGAGTAGCATATTCTGAAATAGCGAAGAACGGTAGCTCGCCCCGGCAGACGCCGAGATTCGGCCAGGAGCTGATATGATCTTGAATGATCTCGGAGAGAAAACAGAGCAAAACCGGGCAGAGGGATTGTCCACCCCGGCAAGGGTCGACAAGACATCGTAGTATCATCCATCCATGAGCATTTTTCGTCGTCGCCCCCGGAATCCCAGTTATACATGCTCCCGTACATAAAAGCATAAAAGAAACATGCTGATTGCATTAGGTCACAAAACAGCAATACATAGATCCTTATCAAAACAAAAGTTATTATGGATGTATTCCGCAGCAGGCTTGCGATAACCGAGCTTCATGCTGGAAGAATTGCTCCAGTTTGTTTTTTAACCTTCGCAGCTAAGGAGTTCCCGGGTTGGCTGGATACGGGTCCCCGACAAGAGAAACTCTTTTTTTCTTTTTGGGCATGTTCAGGGATCTGGTCGAGAAAGGATGCCAGTCGACGTCCAGCAGGATATATTTTTTGTTTTTGTTTTTTTTATTTGTTAATTGATTGATTCACTTGAAGGCTTATTTTTAATTTTTACCATTTATATTTATTTCTCGTTCGTCATTTTCGTACTCTTGTCGATACACGGAAGGGTACAGGGTGGAGGGAGTACTCTGTGATACCTTTTTTTTGAAGGGGGGAGGGATGTACCTTGCCCGCCAAATTAGTGTCTGAGAGTACATTGCTTATAGCCACGACCCGCCTGCCCGAAGTGACTGTTCGGTTTTGGGTGTTTTGCCTCTGCAGGGAAAAGAGACTTCGGTGTTGCCGGGCGACGATTGGCCAGCACACCCCTGCCAGCCTTCCCTGCTCCGGGCGGTGATTAGACTTCCTGCCTGGCCCTGCCCATTATTTCCAATTGCATTCTCCCTCAGGTCTTGTCTGCTTCGCTCTAATTGCGCCGGTGTGCTCTCTCTGTGTGTGTGTGTGTGTGCGCGTGTCTTCTGTCGTCAATTCCCCTGTCCCCTCCCTCTCTCTCCCTCTTTCTCTCTCTCTCTCTCACATATTTTTCTTTTCTGTTCTCTCTTTTCTCTCTTTTATCTCCTCTCCCCGTCTGTTCCATAAGTTAATAGTTAGCTGTCTCGGCGTGTGTGCGTGCGCGCGCGTGTGTGAGTGTGTGTGTTGTGTGCGACCTGCAATTGAAGGTACTTGCATCACCTCTTTTTTCCTTTCCATTTCCCCCCCCTTCTGCCTCATCTCTTATTTTTATTTTTTTTTTTTTCTCCGAATAGATAACAGGTGAGCCCACTTTTATTTTTATTCTATTTTTTTTTATTTCTTTTCCCGTAAACCTTTCGATCCCTTCCACCCCCGCCCTCTCTTCCCCCCGTTCCTTGACAATTGTTTCGGCATCGTTACCTATCCCTCGTATTTCTTGCTTCTGAAAGGCTCCTCTCCGGCGGTGTTTCCTTTTTATTTCACCTATCATCGCCCACTCCTGCCCTCGTCCCCGTCAATCATATTATCACCGCCCGGTGCTCCGCTTTCTTTGTGTATGCCCTGCTCCTCTTTTTCCCAAGATTCCTGCGTGCTTGCAGCCCCATCTTCCCACCCTGCTTGCTCGTCCTTCCCACCCCTCCCCTCCCCTCCTCCACCCCATCGTCACCGTCCTCGTTCCCGCCTGGTCTGTTGATCCCGCAAGTCTTGTCGGCAAGCCACCTTTCAACGGTTTCGACCTTGTGGCGGCTATCGGGTAAATTCCCACTATCCCGTCTCCGTCTGTTTCTCCCTGCATATCTGCTTCTTCGGGAGGCCTGTTGTCGGGTTCGATTCTTCAGGTAATTTTATCTTTTACTCTACTTTGCATTTCTTTTTCCTTTTTTTTTCCCACTCGCCACGCGAAGACGGCAAAACAAAAAAAAAAAAAAAAAAAAAAAAAAGGAAAAGAAAGGGAGAGTTAGAACACGTACCTTGGATTGTCTATCTTTTCTGAACCCCGAACACCCAACCATATTGCCCCCTTTGCCCATTCCGTGATCCGCCACAGTGGCCTGCTATTTAACTACTCCCGTTGTTCTGCTGCCCCCATCTCGCACTCCTTTTTCGCTTTGTTTTCGAAACTTGGGTGGTTTAGGCGAAGAAAAGACCCACCACGCGACCTGTGGATATTTCCAGAGCTCCGGATCCCCCTCCCACACACCTCCAGCGCGCTCACACCCACTAAACCCTCTCTCTGCCTCTCTCGCGCTTTTTGCCCCCCCCTCGATCCTCACCTCAAACCACGGAGCCGGAAGACGGAAGGGAAAAAAGGAGAAAAAAAGGCAAAAGCGGGTTCCCACTCGTCCCGCGCAAAAAAAGCCAAAAAAAAAATAAATACATTATCCGTTTTTTTCTTTTACCCTGACGAAAAGCCCTCCGAAGTCCACTCTCTTGTTCCTGGCCGTTCCTGAACCCTCTACCCCTCTCCAGCCCCTCTTGGCTGCTCCATCGTTTTCACCCTTTTTTTTTTTTTTGTAAATTTTTTCTTCGTTTGCTTATTTTTTTCCCTCTCTCACCCTTATTGTACTCCGCCCTGATCCTGCCGGCGTCTTTGAAAAAAGAAAGCTCATCGCGTCATTCGCTGTGGAGTTTGGGTACGGTACCACGGAGCGCCACTCTCCTTTCTCTTATCATCTCTGCTTCTCTCCCTCTCCCTCTCCCTCTCTCTCTCTCGCCTCTGCCTCAATTGTGCCAATCCCCGCCTTCGCTCTCTCGTCTCCTCCACATCTGTTCCTTCCGGGGTGGATCTCGTCGTCAGTCTAACAACCAGTGCTCCGGCTCTTATCTCTAGCAGGTCCAAGCAACGCCCTAGCAACCCGGTAGCAAAGTCAAGCAACCAACCAACCTTGCCTTGCTCGACTCCACGAAACTGCTTCTCGCCTTGTCGTGTCTCATTCGCTAAGGCACACCGGGATTCCCCAGTCGCAAACCTTACTTTCGTCGTTTCAGGTGCGTACATCTTCCCTGCAATTGGTACAATCGTTCTTTTTTTTTTTTGTTCTCGATCGCGCAGTGCAAGACGAAAATAACCTACCCCGCGTCGGAGGTCGAGGAGCTAACCCCAGCCTTCTTTCTAGGTCCATCAACCCCGCCCCGACGGTTGATTCCTGTCGCTACAGACACTAAGTGGGACTTGCAGAGCTTGGGCGATCAATGGTTTGGACGTTCCAACTGAGCAACGGTTCGATACTTTTCATTCTTTCCTCTCTCGCCTGTCATGGATCCCAATCTTCGACCTCAAGTCTCGAGACCTCCCTCTGCTAGCATCCCCCCTCAAGGTCCTCCGCCCCCTCCGCCACTGTCGAATCTCCACCAATATCAGATGCATTCGCCGTACGCGATGGCGCAACCGCATACGTTGCCGCCACTGCAACACCATCAGAATCCGTCGCCAATTCAGCATACGTATCTCCAGCCTTTCCGGAATGACATGCCTAGATACCCGACAACCTCCGGCACCGATGTTTATGCGGTATCGTCGGCGCCGTTGACCACGCATGCGCCCGTCAACAGTTTGCCACCGTCAACTTTCCTTGGCCACCAACATCCACAGCAATTCCAGCCACATCATATGCTCCCACCCACGACAGCCACCCAAGCATACCCGCAACCAATCGCGCCTGCGCCACCGCGTGACAGAAGATCAGAGTATGGCGCTGTGCCGTTGGCCCCGTTTACAAACGGGGAGAACAAGCCACCCGTATGGGCTGGCGCAGAAGGACTGCCACCCACCTCTGGCCCGTACATGCCAAAAGATCCTCCGAGAACACAAGTGGTAGGAACCCAGGGCCGGAGAGGTATTCTTCCGAGTGTACCGGGTCGCGCTGCGGTTACAAACGGTGTGAATGGTACCAAGGGAACAACCATCCCTGCCAAGGATGCAGACGGGAAGTTTCCCTGTCCGCACTGCAATAAGACTTACTTGCATGCGAAGCACCTTAAGCGGCATCTCTTGCGCCGTAAGTGCTCGCCCTTTTTTTTTTTCCGTCATTTATTTTATTATTTCAACCCTTTCTTTGCTATTCCTGGGATTCTCTGGGTCTGACGATCTTTTTCTTTCTTCAATTGCGTTTGTAATAGACACCGGTGATCGCCCTTATATGTGCGTGCTTTGCAAGGATACGTTTTCTCGCAGCGATATTTTAAAACGCCACTTCCAGAAATGCTCCCTGCGACGAGGGAACCCAACCGGAGTTAGCCATTTGTCGCATCCACATGCGCACCTGAAAAGAGCTCAAGCAGCGGGCGTTGTTCCAAAGCTCGTCCAGGGTGATGTTAGTAGTTCCTTTTCGACTCCTAATGGTATTGTCGGTACTACGTTTGGGGAAGGGGCCGTGAATGGGGTTGCAGTGGCTCCCGCACAGCAACCCAGGTTCGCGGATCATCACCATCTTGGCTATCCGATGCCCTCGGCCAATGGATTGAACCGCGGTCCAGCTGACCCGGCGTTCAATCCTAACCAGGCGCATCCGAGAGCACCCTGGATGGCTGAACCCAAACATAATCATTTGGTGATGCAGCCGGGCACTGACACAGCTGGCCAGTTGAACCACGTCGGTCTTCCACCGATCGACTCTACAAAACCGCCTACTACTGCTGCTGCTACTACTGTGCCTGACAACAGCAAACGACATGTTGTTCCAGCGGCACATAACGCTAATGGTAATAATAATCACGGCAACAATACCGGCGACATCGATTGGTCGACCATGTTGCAGCCGGGTGCGCACGAGAACTATATGAACCCCGTATTCCCCTCCACGATGGCTCCCGTGAGCGATGCTATGCGAGCGCAGATGGATAACGATCGAAAGTTTTACCCTACGGCGACGAGCGGACATCAGGAAAATAGTGGCCTGAATGGGCTCTATTTGGCTTCTACGACTCTAAGCGGCGATGGTACGTCAGGCTCCCCCCACCCCACTCAAAGGCTTAACAAAATCTCAAGAGACATAGTTTCGCTGCAAAAAGGCAAATGTGAATCGTCTCGTTGACGTTCTTGGTTTTTTTACTTTATAGGAACCGTTCAAGCGGCCCGGCAATGAGTAGCAGCTCGAGGAATCTCTGACGGCCGGTTTATATGAATTTTTTTTTTTAATATAAAACAAAAAATTCGAACGTTTTGTGCGGATTTATCAGGAACCATATGTTTCTCGCTTGTGGCCTGTTAGATGCGTGTTTGCGATTCTCAAAAGTTTTCGGTTATGCGTGTTGTATTGGAGTTTTGCCCACCGTTCTGGGTGAGCGTTCTCGGATCCGCTCGTCGGAAGGACTTTTCTTCGATACAGTAATGCCTACTGAAGAAAGAATCGTGGTGGAATTCAGGAAAACGTTTCGAGTCAAATTGGCCCAAGGGCTTCGACAGTTCTACGGTGTGCGATCCTGATCCGTTCGATACTTAGCGGCGCGAAAGCCAAAATCAGAGCAAGCCCCTTTCTCGGCAGCACCGTGGCGGTTTTGTCACAATTCCAGCCGCGGCCTGACGACGACTGGGCCCCATCCTATATGCACTATGCTCCAATTGATTTGGTGATCTGTACCCAAGTTCTGTCTGAAATGTTTTCCTTGTCGTTTCTATTTCACCGCCCGCATCTTCAAATCCTTGTTGCAAAACGGCTTAAAATCTTTCCCACTTTTTATCCCGGTCGAACGTGCGCAGGGCGCGAGTCGACTGCATATCTCCCAAAGGCAAAATTCGGACACCAGCATTTTTATAGACTCGGGGCATATTTCATGTGTTGGGTGCATGTCGTTCAAAACTTTTCTCATCGTTTCTTTGTGGCTTTTCTCTCGTATACATACGTTTATCTACCGGGAGGGTGGTTTTTGTTTTTTTTTTCTATCTACTGGGTTTCTCAGGCACTCGTTCTTCGCCTTTGCAATAGAGTTTTGTTTCGCTGATTTTATTTTATATTTCTTTTTTTTGTTTCGTCCCCTTGCGAATGGCAAAAGAAAAGCTGTTTCCACAGTCTTATTTTCTGCTCCCGCTTCTCGCTTTTCATTGCTGAGGGACTATTAAGTGTCTTTTTATATTCCGGTCCTCAGATACCATTTTATGGCAGATTACCAAGTTTTTATGTCTTGTCACGGCCGTCTTAAAAAACCAGCATATGATATTTTTTATAAGTATTATTACTATTTTTATCCTGTGTCCCTTTTTTTTTTGTAGTTTCTTTTTTTAATCTCTTTTTTTTTTTTGCTTCTAGCATATTTTAACCTCTGGGTTTGTCTCTGTTTCTTTTTTTACCATATATTGGTGGCAAGGCCTTGCGGAATATCCTAGAATTTTTGCATGCTCCTTCCCTCTTATACTCCCCCCTTCGTCTTCTACACACGTCGAGATGTGAAGTTACATGCGTGTATGTGTGAGGAGATGTTGGATGAGAGAAAGAAGGAAACGACAGAAGCAAGAAAAGAAGAAAAAAAAATCGAAAGGAAATGTATTCATCTTTTACTTGCCTGTGTTAAACCAAACCTCCCATTCTCCCCTCCATTTTTTTTTGTCGGAAAATACGAAAGAAGTTTCCTTTTTAGCTCCCATTGCTGGGCATTTCCTGCATCCTGAATTTCTGGATACGCCGGCCGTCTCTGCTCAAGGAGTTCAGGGCGGGGGGTTTGGTTTTGAAGGAAGCAGACAGGCGTGGATGGGGGTGCTGCGGGGACAAAGATGAGAGGGAGGGAGGAAGGGGTTGTTTTATGTTGTGTTTTGATGTATATGATTCTTGATTGTCCCTTTGCTCTTTTTTTTTTTTTTTTAATGCCACTTCACTCGAGGGCGGGATAAACAATTGCTGCTTGCTTGCTTGATTCTATTCTATACTTTGTTATAACTTGTCTGCGTTGGGCGTGAAATCTTTGGTGAAACTCTTTTTTTTCCTTTTTTTTTTTTTTCGTATGAGTACCCCCTTATCAAAAAGACAAATTTCTTACTACTGTTTTAACAACTATATATATATATATATATATATTTTCAAAAGTACCAAATTGATAAGAAAGATTGTTTCGATCTCAATTTGATATATGTCACATGATCACATTTGCTGCCAAGAACGCCATTGCCCAATCAGGTCTTTCGGAAACGAATTGATCTTCGCCAGGTTGAAATCCGCGAGAGAGAGAGAGATTCCGCTTTTCCCAACTTGCGTTTCGTCGAAGCAGAACGGGATCGAGCGTCGTGTTAGAATACCCATAAGAAATAATGGTAAGTTGATTGCTTTCTTGTCCCTCCCGTCTTTCTTTCGATTCTCTCTCTCCAAGTCTGTTGTTGGTATTGGGAGGGGGGTTTGTGTCGGATGGTTTTTTTTGGGGGGAAGATACCCGCGGTTTTGCGGGAAGATTTGGGGGACTCAATTCGGAGTTTTCTGGTCCTTACCTTTTTTTTTTTTTCTTTTTTTTCGGCTTTAAGGAAAATTATGGGGCTATACTTATGATGTGTTTCTGGCGTTGTAGGCATCTCCGAGAGCGACCAGGAATCCAGCCTTCGGCACCTATCGATCGCCGTATGCGCCGAGGTGAGTTCGATCTTTCCTTCTTCTCGTTGCTCTTTTTGTGACCTTGCTTGGCGTGGCGTTGCGGGATATTGTCCGGGGTGGTGTGATTGGATTTGTTCTGCGGCAATTGGGGGAGGGCGTTAGATCAAGCTGAGCAGATGCGAAGAGTGTGTGGACGGGTATATTGAGCTTGGGCACCGGAAGAGGACAAAATACGTTGGCTCTCGAATCGTTGTGGCCTGTGTGGAGGACTTACATCGGCTATTTCCTTTTTTTTTTCCCCCAAATCCCCGGAATAGACTGCCTTGCGCCGATATGACCGTGTGGTTACGAGAATGAAGAGAGCAACCCGGGGCTAACGGCTTAATCTACCATATCTAGATACTCTACCCCCCTTCACTTCAAGGGTTTCACCCTAGCCCACGCCACAAAGTTGTAAGTTCTTACTCCCATCGGAACGTTGTCGCGTCCCCCTACATACTCCAGCATCTCTTCGGCATTGCGATAGCATCCCCATGCTAACCGTTCCGCGCGTGTCCGATACAGCGGCTCAATTGCCTCCGGATTCGGTGTTGCAGCGGGTATCTTCGCCGTGTTCTTCCTCGGTGACGTCCCTCGTGTCCGGCAGGATATCTTGATGAACATTCCCGTCATCGGAAGCTACTGGGAGAGACATATTGCTCCAGAGGATAACGTGAGTGACTTATCCCCCTTCCCGTATCCGAATGTGATGGTTTCTGGAGTTTCCGATAACTGCTATTGAGCCGACGAAGATTTGCTGATTGCTCTTTGATGCTATGTAGCCCTTCTAAACTCGCCACACGTTTTGTAATTTCGGCTACAGGCGAAATTTGCCAACTGACCCTGCGCTTTGGACGGGGGGGCGGTGGATTGGGCAGAAATAATGCTGCGCATGAGCGGGGTCTCTGTACGCTTTGTAGAGGAGCTAGATGGCGAAGATTACACCCCCTTTTTTTGTATAGAATAGAGAATTTATGACATTCCCTGTGTAGTCCTTGAAGTCTGGCGGTTGCAAGTTTTTGTACGCCAACATCGGCTGCATTTTGCGTATAATGAGATATGCCATTTTAATTTTTATAGCTCGAAGAGCCTTAACAAAAGTTTCTCAGTTGCGCGCTACCACAGGACATAAAAGGCTGCTAGAAAGTGTGTTTGTAGCGTCGCGCCAACGTTTAAATGTTTCGATAACGGCCATGGCAAACCAACTTATCAGGCCGAAATGCACTTAACCTTTCTTCGGAGCTCAACAACCACCAAGATACTAAGGGATGAAATGATGAAATAGGAACTTATTTTGTGAGCGAGTCCAAGCTATTCTATCAAATCAGGCTAACAAGTCAAGTAGATCATCTAGCTATCCGCCAATCGAGGTTACCCACATACAGGAGAGAGTGAGAGTGCCTCAAGAGTACAAAACACTGAGAGCCTTACCTCCGCAACGAAGATTATTCCTGGATCTCATTTCCAGAGATGGCAGCATCGTCAGCCTCGACGAGTGCTATCCAGCAGCGAGTCTGGCAGGGCCGGATTCCGCTGCAAATAGTTCTGTCGCCGTCGGAGTGCAGGATATATGATCAATCCGATCCATACATTGTACGATAATACAGCTGTCGTATTTATTTACTAGATTCCGGCGATGATTTTATATACTCCTCCCCCCCCGCTTATTATATTTGTTCTTCACGGTGCAAATACTAATATTTCCGCGCAGATATCCATTCCTCGACTCTCATATCTTCCTTTTATTCTACCCAGGCTATTTTCGTTTTTCTCCTCGTCTCTCATCGACCCCGACGTTCAGGCCCATGACGGCTGGTTTTCCTTTGAGGGTGTTCCGCTTAAATGGCATTATCCAGTTGGTCTGCTGTATGATCTTTACGCTGGGGCAGAGCCTATCACATCCAAGTCCTTATCGTCACCTGGCAGTGAGCGTGAGCACTATGTTCGGGGCGGCACGCGTGAAAACATATCAGAGAGCGGAGCAGAAGGGGAGAAGGACGACAACCACGGCCACGACCACGAATTCAAGCGTGACGCCCTGCCGTGGAGGCTGATGGTCCATTTCCACGACTGGCCGGAGCAAGATCTCATCCGGCTTGATCCAGAGGGCAAAATTCTACACGATGCCTTTATAAATAGCGTCAAGGAGGCTGATTGTCTACGGAACGGGACTGCGAAGCGCATCATGGCCCTCTCTAAAGAAGACTCATCAGGATTATGGAAAAGTGTCGAAGAGCGTACGTATATGCTTTCCCTCTCCCACTCTACACACCCCCCCTTATATTCCCCCACTCATCTCCCTCGAAAAAAGTATCTTACCAACCTATCAACATCTACTCACCCATCCCGATTTGCCAAAAAAAAAGAAAAGAAAAAAAAAGGAAGACTAACCAAAACATACCCTTATCTCTCCAGACAACCTCCCCGCCTATCACCGCATCCACAACACCCTCCTCCTCCCCACCCCTCCCACACCCTTCCGCAACATCCCCATCCGTATCTTCCTCCCTGCTCCACCAGACTCCCCATCCCCTTCTCTGAAAGTCATCCAGTCCCCGATCCCACCGCTCATACAGCCCACCGCATCCCCGTCATCCAGTATCAGCAGCGCCTCCAGACAGATGCAGCCGCAGGTCCAGACGATCGGCACCGCGTTGAACTCTTTGCTTCCGAGCTTGTTTCCGAGTAAGCGAACGCCAATGCTGGCGAAGCCGGTCCTGCATGGGGCTGTAGTGCCGATGAGTGCGCCGGTGGAGGAGGTGGTGAAGTGTGCAGGGTATGCGGATGGGTGGCTTGGGGTGGTCGTTTCAATGGTAGGATAGGGAGTTTGCAGGTGTTTTAATGGGTTGAAAACTAGACAGTCATGATAAGATAGATTGCTCGGCGTGTTTACTAGGCTCAATCCCTTTGATAACAAACTGGATGCTTAAGAACAAATGCATGGCTTGAACTTCTTTCTAGGGCTGCATAGAAACTATTATTAAAATGATTGATTTTGTAAAGTACAGGTAAGAAGCATATTTAAGACTTTTCCTTTAGTTTTTCATCCTTGCAAGCCCGAAAACAGAAAGCAGATTGCATCCCCTTAACCATGCTTAATGGCTTGTGTGCAAGAGACCCTCCCCCCTTTCTTTGTGGCATCACTTAGATAATTTTCTGAATCATGTGTCGCTGGTCCTTAATCATATCCGCCGCTTTCTCAGCAATTGCATAAACAGTCCACTCAATATCTCCAGAGATATGTAAGGGGATGATACTTGAATCCACAACACGAAGATTCTCAGTGCCGTATACAATCAAGTTAGGATCAACCACTCCACCATCTTCCCTAGGCATCATGGCACATGTACCCACAGGGTGAAAGTAACTTTCACATGTCTCGCAAGCGTGCTCGTCATAGTTTTGCTCTGTTATCATTGGTTGATAGGGAACAACAATATCATATGTCACGCTGGACAGAGCACCAGTGCAGATTAAATCAAGAGACATGCGGGTCGCTGCTCTAAGAAGTCTCATATCAAGGGGGTGTTCAAGATAACTGGGGTCAACTGTGGGATAGTCACGCGGATCCGAACTTTCAATATGAATCGCCCCACGCGAGAAAGGCGTTGAAATCGAATACAAAATTGCCACGAAATTATTCGCGTCATCCGGAGTGGGCTCTGGGAGCAGACTAGAGGCATAACCAGGGACAAACTGGTACTGGAAGCATGCAACATTGGGATCGTGCAAGCGTCTGAGGGTGAGGTCATATTGCTTTCGCAACAAAGGTGTCCTACGAATGGCATCCAGGATTAGTTCAGGAGGCGGTGGGACGCGACCCATTGCGGCATGCTCGTAAGTGACGAATGTCGAGAGAGTCAAACCGGTAGCGGAAGACGAATCGGATTCCTTCACTGATGTCTCTCCAATCTGAAGCTTACCGAAATTCTTGTCCAATGAATGCTCTTCGGTCTCCAATTCCAGCAGAGAGTACGTATAAGCGTGGTCTTGAAGATTCTCACCAACTCGAGAGTTGTGAACCAGCGTTTTGATGCCATGTTCATCAAGGACGTCCTTCGATCCAATGCCGGACCGTTCAAGGATCCCGGGAGACATAACGGCACCACTACAGATAATCACCTCCAGAGCAGCTTCGCATCGATAGTTATCGTCGAAATTGAGAAATTCAACCCCAGTGGCAATCAGCTTGCTTCCTTCTTTAGTGGAGAATGTCACAGATGACGCCAACACGGTGGTCAAGACATGCAAATTGCCCCGATGCATGACCGGGAGGTAGTAAGCCTCCACGGAGCTGGTTCGAGTGCCTGCAATGGAGCTCACAATTGTTTCCATGGGCTGTTTCGGACCACCACATATACCCAGTTCAGCCCAGGCATTGTGCCAGAGGGTATTACCTTTCGCTATATCGTTGGCAGTGGAGGTAACAACTTGTTTCGCAACTTCACTCTCTTTGGAGCCGTGGGCATCTCCGAAAGTAGGGTTTCCATTCTTGGAGGGCTGTTGAGCTTCAGCCTTTGAGAAATAAGGCAGTAGGCCCTCCAAGTTCCAACCCGGGTTTCCCAGGGTCTCCCAGTCGTCGTACTCGGTTTTACATCCCCTAGTGAATAAGTTGTGGTTGGTGACACTCGAACCTCCTAGAATTTTGCCACTAGGCAAGTCATAGACGATCCCGTGTGCATGTCGCTGATGATATGTATCAGTATATGTCCTCGTACATGGAAGAGGGAAAGTGACGAACCTGGGGCTCAGTTTGGAACCCCCAGTCATAGTTTAGATCCTCTACCATGGGGTAAAAGCCGACTGATGACTTCCTGAGAGTGGGACCATCAAGCTGCAACTCCCCTGCTTCGAGCACGCCAACGGTGACGAAGGGGTCTTCGGAGAGTCTTGAAGCGAGAACAAGACCTGCGGTCCCCCCACCAACTATGAGGTAGTCGTACTTCCTGCGGCAAAACTCTTCAATCGTCTTCTTGTCAGCAGCCATGATTGCCACGAACTTTTCTACCTAAACTGCAGATAGAAGGATGGAAAAAAGGTGGAGTATGAGTGGATGATAACAACAGGGTACGAAAGGGAGCTGAAGAAAAGAAGAGGATGTATGTCCAAGGAGGGGAGAACACCCAGTTTTATAGCTTCTGAGGTCGTTCTTTCGGAATCAAGCAGCTAAAACCACATCTTCCTATTGCATTCACAACAGTGCTATGCAGTCAGGCACACTCGCTCTTGCCAGCTGATAACCAGCCGGGGCAGCCAGAGTGTCTCTGTGACTGTGAAGAGAGCGAGAAGACTGAACAAAGTGAGTTGAACGCGTCGCGGGAGCTTCCATGACAGATCTAGTAAGCAGTTGCAATCACGTGAAAGTTTGGGGAGGAGGCTGAAAGAAAGCATTCAGTCATCACCATCTGACACTTTTGTTCAGCGGCCCAATACTGTTATAATGCAAAGAACATTGACTCGCATATATCAGACTACTTGAGCACATCCTGTTCTCTGGGCGGAACCTGATGGGTGCTCTGAGCCAAGTAGCATTGCACATATCGGGGCACAGAACAACGCAAGCCGAAGGATGTCCGCTGGCTATTGCAGAATTCAAGAAGCTTCTCGTACTGTTGCCCAAGTTCGACATTGACGACATACGCGAATTGAGCACATCCATTTCACAGACATCAGTGGGCCGTGCTGGGTCGAGGCATTGCCTGCATTGGGCACGGATAGTGTGCACAATGGCCCTTACTGAAAACAATCCTCGAGTTCGGAAGAGACTGTGCAGCAGATACGCCTGAGCCACAGCCTAAGGGCTGATCTTCTAGGGCTTGATCGTCAATCGGAAATAGAGCACAACATGCGGCCGGAGCGGCTTTTATCGGAGAATACTTGGGTTAACCGAGCCCGTTTGCCTTTGATACCATGGTCGATAGTGGTAGTTTCGGGGGCTTAGCCTTTTCACGCTTTTTCGAAGCCGATATTCCCGCAGTGCAGCACGTATCCGGATACGACTGACATTGTGAAATTGATTAGGCCTGTTCTCTTCCACAAAGCAGACTCTAGAAGAGGTTTGGAGATGGAAACGATAACATTTAAACTGCCTCCAAACGCTCAGCTGCACATAAAACACGTTCGTCATCCTCGAAGAGATCGTGGTCTCCAAGCATTATCAATGCATATGCATCTCCTGGTAAGATACCAAGAGCTGCGTTAAGGATATTATGGGAATTAAGCTCACACTGAAACGCCATCGAGGCAATGTGTTGTTCTGATTTTGATCACTTCAGCTGTTGCTTTTAGGCTAATGAAGTTCGGCTTGGGAAATATAGCCCGGCATCTTGAATGGTTCGAAGACGTATCCCCCCTCGCAGAGAATTTCAATGGAGCTTCTAGCAACTTTCCATGGAGTCCACGGTAGAAAGCTTGAATATGGCCATACACATCCTTGACCACGACGGGAGAGGCATGGTTTCTCTCTTCGATCCGCTGCGTTTTTACCATTGCACAAACGCAATATCAAGTTCGACCTCTTGGAGGCGACACAACATAGGGTTCGTCTCTGAGACATCCATTCATCTTGGTTTTCCCCATAGAGTTGATCCCATGCATTTTGAAGTGCTTCAATCTCACCGTGCATAAGGTCAAACCAGGGAGCACTAAGAGAGCATAAATTGCGCATGCATTGCTCAGGTCGGAATTGAGATGTGGTTTGAGGTTCAAAGCTTGACCGCTCACGGATTGTGGGCATCTGGCATTTCACTTGGGAGGAGTGGCTGGAGGACGAAAGCAGGAAGACAAACTGACAGTGGGCCGGAGCGAACATTGCCACAACGAAAGAATCCTCTTCATTCCACCTTGCCGACACCTTTCATATTCCTCCTCTTCGTACCGGGTAAGAAGTACTCTGGCGTTGAAAGCCTCCAGCAAAGGAGACCGACTCCGTGGGCCGCAAGCCACGCAGGCGTCAACCTCGCACGACTGGCGATGATCCACGAGATAATCGCCCAATTTCATGGAAGAGATTGTAGGCCCATACCACCCTTCTTGCAGCAAGCACTCCATCTCACCGACGAGATCAGGTTGGAATAACAGTATTATGTCATCATTGTCGGCTAGTAACTATATTTTAGGATAGGCGCCATTGTCTCGTCGACATTGACTGGCTTCAGAAACTCTAAGCAGCTGTTCCGGTGGCTAGTTCAGTTAACTAACCGAGAAGTACGGAGTATTGCTGGTGACTCTTTTGGTTCCTCGCAGTCCTAGGGCGAGTCGGGAACCGGATCGCCTGGTTTAGCGTGCCGTGACCATGCTCACCCCGGTTCGCTCAACACGTGGGACACATTATGGGTGCCGTTCTTCAGAGCAGCTCCCGCTTTGCGCGGCTGGATCGGGATCTTGGAAGTTTTTCCCACTGGCAAAAAGGGCACTCTCCATGAACCCATAAACCCCCGCGAGTTTGCGACCTCATGGAGCCAAGAACAACGGTGTCCACTCTTTTTCCCTCATGCACCCTCGGTCTCATCACAGTGAAGGTTTAATCATTCTCTGGATGGAAAGAAGTGAATCCACCGCCCTCGGCGGGCATCGTCTCAGGCATTAATTGCCGACGAGATAAAAGCAAGCTTCTAGTTAACTCAGTAACCAACTAACTACTCGCAATTGGCCGGGCTCATCACACCCGTCAAATTTGCGCTAGAGAAGCATTTAATAACTATCTTGGGCTCCCCTCACCTTCCAGCAAAAAGTCATTCTTTCACTGTTCTTCTGTGAGTGTTTCAAGTTTGACGAAGCACACACCTTTTCTTTTTTCTTTCTGGAAACCTTCTGATATCAACTTTGGTCTGGGGTTGAACGCAAAATGGCGAAACTTATCTGCGTGGTCGGTGTCACTGGAAACCAAGGCGGGTCCGTCGCCGAAAGATTCTCCAAGGATCCAAACTACCGGGTTCGCGGGCTTACCCGTAACCCTGATTCACCCGCTGCCCAAAAGTTGGCCTCCCAGGGCGTCGAAATTGTCAAAGCAAACTTGGACGATGCGAGCACGCTTATTCCCGCATTCGCCGGCGCAAACGTCATCTTTAGTGTAACGAATTACTGGGAACCCTTCTTCCGACCTGACTGTCGCCAACGTGCTGCCGAAAAGGGGATTTCCTGTCGTAAATACGCCTACGACGTCGAGTATGGGCAAGGCAAGAATATCGCGGATGCTGCTGCTGCGACGGTTGATAGTTTAGATGAAAATGGCTTCATTGTCTCGACGTTGAGCCATGGGGGAAAGTGTAGCAAAGGGAAGTTCAATGAGCTGTATCACTTTGATGCTAAAGCGGATATTTTCCCATATTACGTGAATGAGAAGTATCCGGATCTCGCGAAGAAGATGTCATGCGTGCAGACGGGATATTTCACGTCTAGCTATAAGCTCGCCCCCGAATCATATCTCAAAAAGGTTCAGCCTCCAAACATTCTCCAAGTTATGATAATATTCAGCCCGTTTCGCTGACTGGATGGAAATTATTGTTTTAAGATGTCTGATGGGAGCTTTAGGATGTACTTCCCCACATCTCCCAATATGCCAGTACCTCATCTCGCTGTTAATGAAGATCTCGGCAACTTCGTCTATGCTGTATCCAAGATGCCTGCCGGAAAGAGTTACTTGGCGGCTGGGTCGATCTGCAGCTGGAGCGAATACATGCGCACATGGAGCCTAGTCAACGGCCTCCCTGCGAGCTATGAACAAGCCACTATTGAACAAGTCATAGAGGCTGCTCCAGACAAAGAGTTTGGAAGGGAGGTTGCTGATATGTTTGCATATTCATCCGATCCAGGATACGATGGTGGTGATCAGACATTGTTGAAGGCGGAGGATCTTCGAGCCGTGAGTACATTTTGCTGCCATATGGAGACTGCGTTTGTGGATGGAAACAGGTAGCTGACTTGCTCTGCTTTTTTTCAAGGCTGGTATCGAGTGTCCAATGACGACTTTGGAGGAGTGGATGAAGAAGGAGGATTGGTCCGCAGTCCTTGCTGCTTAGGAAAACACGAACAATTGATATTGGCAAAGTCAGAAAGATGAATTATATTAATCATGTGTATTCCTCGTTGTTGCCAGGACTGTTTATCCAGAGCTTTCGTAGGGGAGATAGGAAAGATTAGGTTTGCTTGTCCTCCGAGAGCCAGCGCAAGCGACGGATTGGTGCACGTTCAAGACATGCCGGTTCTGATATTGTTCTCATTGACATATGAGGGCTTTATGAAGGGTATTAGAAGCTAAAAGCAGCGTACTTTGCTCTTCATCAAATTCGTAAACCCCCAAACCCCCAACCCCCCCCCCCCCCCCCCAAAGGAATGGGCACAAATTTTATTCCCTACTCTTTTTTCTTTTCTTTTATTTTTATTTTTTATTTTTTTTCAGGAAGCTTTCCCCAGTGCGCCAACACAAATAAACAACAAAAGGGCATAGTTCAGAGGTGTGAGAGATCATCAAATAACCCGATATCGCTTCATAACTTCATAGCCTTAGGCTGCTCGTGTTCCGAATTATTTTCAAACGAGAGGCAGAGAGACATCCATAACCAATTCTCGAGAACACATATTAAGCTAGCAGATTAAGCGCTGGGTTTCTTCCCGATGATGAATCGATAAACGGTATATAAGTGTAGTGATTTGTCGTTGAATTCACCCTTCACCAGTTCGAAGGTCACCTTTGCCTGCTCTACGGAGTAGTTCAGAGCACGGGTGAAGAATGCCATGGAGTGTGCTTCCACAGATTCGTTCATGTGTAGACGTTCGAATCGGCCAAGCTCTTTGAGTTTCTTGTCGCGTGCCCACGGGCCGATGGGAACCTGAGGTGGATGATCAGAATAAGAACAAGCTGCTAAAGTAATTGATACCCAAGGCAAACGAATAAAAATGCTCAAGGGTAGGATCTTTGAAGCGGACCTACCTTTACAATCTTTTCTTGGATGTCCTCGAAACCAGCCTCTTCCATCCATTGCCTCTGGAAGCGGGCGATATTCAACGGCTTCCCAACCTTCTCGCTAACATCACTTAACTGTGTCACCCAGTGAAGGGTGTTTGGCGCCTTCTTCAGTTCCGGATCGTCATCGCTGAAAATCCATGCATCGTATTCTTGAACTTCCAGCCACCCACCGGGCTTGAGGTTTTCAAATGCCTGTCGGTACAGTTTCGCCCAATTGTTCGTGCTTCCGCAGAGTGAGCGCCAATGAACGTAGTCAAATTTCTTATCCTCGCCAAAATCCCATGGTTCTTCAAAATCGTCGACGTAAAACTTGAGGTTAGGTGGGACAAAGCTGGGTTGGATAGGTGATAGATCGGTTCCGACAATCAGGGCAGCCGGAAATTCGTCCGCGAACTCGATGGGCCATATACCTAGGCGATTCTTGCCTTAGATTTCGAATTTATACTGGGAGGTGGTCGTTTGCACGCTCTGGAATGTATGGCGTTGCATGGAGCGGGTATAGGAGCTGGATGCTTACCGGTTCCTGTTCCAATGTCCAAAACACGCTGAGGAGCTTTAATTGGGGCGGTATACAGCGAACCGCCGAGTATAAGCCGATAAAGATGGTGCTGGAGATCTAAACGGTCCTGCTCTGCCTCGTCGTTGGGGAGAAAATACTCCCCAGCATGGTAAGCATGATATCTACGGCCGTTCTCATACTGATAGTCGGTGATAGATGAGCGCAGGGATGTGCTGTCACTCCCTGCGACGGAGGATTCATAGGCGGAGTCGTTGTCGACGGACTCGTCAATTTCGAGCTGATAAGATAGTTTGTTTCGTTAGATAGCTGACGTTGCATTGGCATCATCGATATTTGTGTAAACAAGGAATGAATTTGCGGATTTCCCGTACCTCGTCTTCGTGCTGGAGTGGATCCTCCTCTGGTCCACTCTGAGGAGTTGATCGATTGCTCTCTATTCTCGGCGAGCTGGCCATGTTGACATCAAGCGTGTTAAAAGTATCGATGGAACGAGAAGGGTGGAGGATTCGCAAGTCGGGTACGTTGAGCCAGGGGTTATGGAATGCGCGACGACTCGATGGAAGACAACTTGTGCGCAATTATTGAGGGTGAATAAAACAAAGACTAACGGAGTACTCCATACTCCGTCGTTAATCGTCTGGCGAGAATCCTGCACTAAGTATGCACGCTAGATAATCCTATCGACCTCCACATCACCGACCAACATGCAACAACCCCTCCTTTGGTCGCGACTCCATGCTCGACGAAGAGCGCTAGTTGAAAAGCACCTGAGACTTTGAAGGCAGTGTACAGCGTACGGGGTCCTCTTTTGGGCCAATCGCTCCCCAAGGTTCGAGAAATGCTTGGAAGCGATACGGTACGGAGTGCTCCGTACGGAGTGCTGACATAAGACGACTTTGGTGGGCCAAAAAAAAAAAAAAGCTGCGTTCGTGAATGGCGCGCATTCAACCTAAACTTTGTCGCGGATGAAGGTAAGTGGGGTTCGAGGTTCGCCTGGCGTGCATCTCCATCATAAAATTGACTTCACTCTATGCCCGGGTAGGGGACGTTTGACTAAACTCTCGCTGGAGGTTCTTTCCATGATGATTCGTTGCCTTTGGTTCGGTTAGGTTCTGACTCGTGGACACAGCGTCACTGCTCTCATAGGACTGTCCATCGCCAGGTCTACATTTCGCCAGGGACGATACCTGTTGAGGAGGACAACCAGCTCGGAGCTCTTCGACCATCCCCCCCGTGCATTAATTGGCCACTCTAATGCACAGTTAGACAGCTCCTCCGAAGATTTCCGACATGATTAGCGCAGATACTGTACTCCGTAGTTGACAACGAAATCGCGGCTGGCTTATGGCTTCACCGGCCCGCCAGCCATGTTAGGATGTTCACATTTTACCAACGAAGCCTACACGCAGAGTCCTAGAGTACTGAGAAACTACTGGGTATCATGCGGGATCCCAGGAGCGTTTGACCTGCGATCCGACAGCATCAGCCCGGGACATTGCAGGGAAACGTGGACATTCCGGAGCACAGAGTACGGAGTACAGGGCGGAGCATTCGCTCGCGTCGTTGACTGTGCGCTGAGTGGAGGGTTCATCGTCAACCTTGTAACGCGGTTTGTGTCGCCGCTAGCGGGCCGCCGACAGGCGATGTCGCAGCAGCCGAGGATGCCGGTGGGCTTGGCTCTGTCACGGGACCATCGCCGCTCTCAACCGCCAAGGCTTATATAAGATTATTATGTCAGTCGGAGGACGGCAGAACAAATTACCCGGGAGCACGCCGGGGATCTGTGGGGTTGCAACCGCCAAGACGTGCTGCGGAATTAAACCTCTTCTAGAAGGTCTTGGGCGTCAAACAGGCCACTGTTGTTCAATCCCCCCAGCTCATGGAGCAAGCTTCGTGAGCGTTTGGTTTTTTTTTTTCGCCTTTTTTCTCGACTCCGGTCGTCTCTCGCCTTTTCCCTCCAATAGTGTACGCAGTGATAGTAATCGGCCAAGGGTCCATTTTTCGCGGTGATTGCCTCAGTCTGGCTCGTCCGAACATTGTTTTTGCTCTCAAGGCCATTATTTACTCTCTGGTTTCCCCTCTGCCGTAAGACATTGCCCTCGAAGGAGTCGATATGCTCATCATGTGCCATGCTTCCAAACTATGCAACATTGACGGCTAATGTGTGAGTCCACTAGAAACGCGCCCAGTCTCTCGGATTGCAATATTTCCCTGAAAGCTCTGAAATTCAGATCGCGCGCCATCTTTTCCCTCTGAGGCAGATATATTACACACACACACTGCTCGCACAATGGCATTTACAAACGGGTCGTTTGCGACCTTCTTAATCGTCTGCCGTATGTTAAAACCCTCCGATTCTATCGCATCCACGTCCCACGAGCAAAAAATTCAACTTGAACGCAATTCCACAAACAAAACATAACGGTCTTGATATGCTAACAAAATCTCGCCATTTCTCATAGCCACCGCCTTTTTCCTTGGCATAATATTTTCCCTCTTCCCCTACGACTACCCGCTGCTCTGGTCCACCACCCCCACTCCGGCTTCGCACTTCGACTATGTAGAAGCTCACCTCAAATTCCTTCATGCCTCCCCGCCGCTCATCCCTCGCATCCTCCACATTGTCATGTTCCTCGGCCTCGCCGGCCTTATCATGAAACTCTACCGCCCTTCCGAATCAAACATGCTCTTTGACGGCGCCAGTCTCGTGCTCTACATGTGCGGTGTCATCGTGTATGTCGCCAACATCGTCAAGGGTCTTCGCATCGTTACGGCTGGCGAGTATGGCTCGCAGATTGCTGGCGAAGAGGGAGAGCAGATCTTGGGCAGGGAGGATAGCTTGAAGGTGTTGGCGGCGAGTAATACCATTTTGGCGCTGGTGTTGGTCGGTGTGTTGGTGTTGCAGGCGGGACAGTGGTATGCGGAGAGAAAGGAGAGGGAGGAGTTGGAGGATATGAGTAAGAAGTCTGAAGCTAAGAAGGAGGAGAAGGAGGCGCCTAAAGTCACAAGACAGACTAGTGCCAGTAAGAAGAAACAGTAATTTGGGGTTTCTACGGAGTAGCTATGGTTGAGGGAAAGCTGCGAATGGTACGGAAAAGTTAGCGCACTGCTGAAAGGCGGTGCGGGTGTTTGTCGATTGTAACATGAGAAGTGGGAATGAAATGTTTGCAAAGAGAATTTTTGTTATTATATGGCTGGATCGTTCCTTCGTCATTGTAGAGATTATTGAGTAAGTGTGGTATGGCATATTATTTACAAATGCTGAATTTCCCATATTCCAAAACAGACAACCATGCAGGCCTCAGTGCGCTGTTGGGGAGTTATTCAAAGAGGGCGTACTATTGGGGAGAAAAACACCTCTGTATTCATCGCAACAGTATAGCTGAACATATAAGGGAGAGATGAGAAGTCATCAAGTACTCCGTAGAATCCAAGTAAAAGTCGAAGAATAAGCCCAAAGGAGGAAGTCTGACCTACCACGGAACGTACTTCCGTTTATTTTTATTTTTATTTTTATTTATTTTTTTACTTTTTTTCCAAAGTTGATCTTTGTTTCTCCTTTTTCCTGTTCTCGTCCTTTTTACTCATCAACATGTTGTTAAGATAGCACACTTCGACTATTGTAGAAGGAATCAGAATGAGGAAGTTAGTCGAAATGGGGCTAATGTTCATGTTGAATTCATACGTGTTATCTGCTTGCTTTCATCGCATATGGTAGTGTTTCTTCGGGAGAAAATGAAAATGGGCTCCGCGGGATATCTGGAGATCGTGGGCTCAATGCCTTTGCAAAAAGGCCCTCTCCGGAATCTATGTCCGCAGCCCCAGAGAAGCTGCCATTTTTGAAGTTATGAATTGGATGCATGGAGACAGAAGCAAATGTGTTGAGCTGGGATTGCTGGTCTTGTATCGAGGCTGGAGGGACCAGCGAGATGGCCTTTGCTAGTGGTGGTGGTTGTTGCTGTTGCTGCTGCTGGGGAGAGAAGTGGACAGGGGTATTGGCGAAGGAATTGAAGGAGGAGATTGCGACGTCAGGTTCATCTGGGGATAGGGGATGCAAGTCTGCGTTGGTGTCAGAGGGCGCTGGTGGGTTTGCTGCCACGCCGTGGATATCAGTACTTAAACACCAAAATGGCGGTGGGTGTGCACTAGTCGTACCTGTCACTCTTCTGGCAAGGTCCTTCTCGCTTGTTTCGAGCCTCAATCCTTTTAACTTCTCGCTTAGCTTGCTTCCACCTGGGGACAAAGGTGTCCTGGGACTCAGCGGAACAGAGCCGATATTAGTAGCCACGTTCAAAGCCGGCATCGCAGGTCGCGCCACAACCCCAAAGTTAGCTTCTATCCATTCCTTTTCTTGCAAAGCCATCGCCAGCGCTACTCCCTCGGAGTTATGCTGGGACTCTTCCCTGATCTCTTTGTCCAAGACTTGCAGTCTTTTCTTTGCCCAGATAGTATGTAGGACCCCTTTTTTCCCCGCCGTTCTCGCCGTTGCCCCTAGCTCTGGAGAGAATATGGCAGGCAACGGATTAATTTGTATCGAGTCACCGTTCTTTTTCACCGTTTCCGCGGAATTTGGTGGAGGCTCGTAAGTGAGGGTGATGACAGGCGGTACGGTTGCTCCTGGGGGAAGTAAGAAGTAGCATCGTCGAACGTGGTCGTTAGTCCGATCATCTGCGGGGAGGACAGTACGCTTCTTGTCCCAGGACACATGCCACGATCCAACGGGCGATCTCGTCACGTCATCGTCTTCCCATTCCACCATTAAAATTTTGGTCCCCTCATTGCCTTTGCCTGCTTCGAATTCAAACCGTGCAAGTGCTGTAAGTGACTGCAGTTTATGAAGCACGCGGGGAGTTTCCAAGGCAAAGTCAATGCCTACGTCAGGCGTGAATTCCTGGGCCATTTTCTTTTATTTTCTTTTTCTTTCCCCCTTTGAACAGCTTTCTGTTCCGTTTCCCCTCTTTCGTTTAACTATGGGGCACGAGTGATTTAGATAGGAGACGGATTAGAAGAAAAGAAAAGAAGTCTCACTGGATGCTTTCTCGAGATCGATCGATCCCCCCCCGAATCAAGGACGACGAGAGTAAGCCTTATGCACGACAATCCGTGACTGGTATTAGTGAGGCTGACGAGATGCTGATAAACTAATCGTCAAATGTGATCTGAAATGGGAAATTTGAGGTTTACCTTTGATCACTTCCAGAAAATACCCCGGGAGTAGGGTGACCGCCAGGCTGAACCTGGTCAGGTCGGATATTATTGGATGGCAATGATGGATTCCAAGGTTCATCATTTATTATGTGTTTCGCGGAGGGAAAATAAATACGAACTCCTGCATACAGTGTGTACATCCCTAAATCACGAGAACATGGATCTTTGCCCTTTGGATCTGCGGCACATGCAACATGTTAATTGACCACCTCTATGGATGCCTCCGTCCTGCTCTACCTTTATTTGATTCTTAAGGTCTTGAGCAGCACATTATTATTACCCTTCAGCACTGTGGGGTGTGACGGACACAACCCCCTCAAAGCCAAGCCTGGTATAAAGGTACCCCGTTCGCAGGACAGACGACAGAGGGGACGTCTGTGATCAATTGGCGATACATGCATCTTGGTTCTGAGGTCATGTACGCTGACCGTCGGGCGACATCGAAGTCGGCCAGTGTTTCCAATATCAGTCCAGTATCAGGGGCTTTAGGGATCCGGGACGGAACAATCTGTGCATTCTCCGCACTCCGGACGGTAGTCCGTCATATATGTATGTACATTAGGAGCAAGCGGGACATTCGTGTCTGAATCCAGATAAAGGACCTTCTGGATGCTTTGTGTGGATTGTTGTCGCTGGGTCTTCTTCTGGTGAAACGTAATTCTCGCCAACCCCGTGTGATGGAACACCATTGAAATGTTCCTTTTTCTGTTTTACCTAGCGTGTCCAGCATGGGGGAGGGGGTTTGCTAAAAATAACCGAATCCCACTCAATGATATTCCAACAAACACCTAATCCTTGACATGGTCGTGCCATGCCCTTATGTTGCACATCATATCCGCATATTCGGACTCTTTTTGGTTCTGGATTTATCGCCCGTGACGGTTTGCAGCTTTGTCGTCCCGCTGAGCCATCCATGTCTCCCCGGAGCCGCATCCCAATCACACCCGCACCAACCGCAGTGAGTGACTATTGACCGTTCCAGACTCGCAAGAAATTTTAAAGCCAAGACAACGTCTCTCTTGTGGTTTTGTGCTTTCAACCACTACCAGATTTTTATTGTAGTAGGGGGCAAGCAACATCGATAGTTCCCACCAATGGCCGCGGGCTAACCACGATCCCTCCAAGAACGTCCTTTTGTAAAAACCACGCTGAGCGGACACTCAACTGTTTGGGCTGATCCACTCATGTAGCAACTTCCAGCAGGCGAATGCTCTAGCCCTAATTTCCTCGGGGTAACCCAGGGCGTTGCTGAAAAGGCTGATGTAACCTGTGGCTTTTGAGTGCAATACGGAGTACGGAGTACTCTCCTGGATTTCTTCCGATGCTCAGGGCGCGCACTCGCGAATATCACCTGAAGACGGATTGGCTGTCCAAGGTCTTTGAAGGAATGAGGGGCTTTATTGCGAGGTCCATAATCCTAGTCAGGTGTAATGATATCAGACAAGGTTACCTAGATAAAAGCACACCGCAAACCAGGCACCTTTGCTGAGTTCTTATCCGACTTACAATCCTGCTGTCATTGGGAGACACTGCTTTACAATACTCACTCTTTGCTTTGAAGTCAAATACTAATAACCATGTGCCTAGGGAGGCGCAACTCCCTCACCACTTCAAGATTTGTGATCAAGAATAGCAAGCACATGCACGACGGGCCATACCAGCAACAACCTGCATACTTCTTGCGGTCATAGGGGGGATCCAAGAATTTTTACGCTCCTTTCTCAAAACTCTCCCGAAAGCAGACTGCATAAGGAATAGGCAGGCTCACAATTGCAGCCGGCCCGCCTAGATTTCCCTGGAATGCGGTGAAGGGCAACGGCAAATGTGACATCTTCGATGCCTATTTGCTCCAAGCCCAAGGTGCAAAGTTCTGCAAATTGTTTTTTGAAGTTACTGGGCACGGTTCGCTCTGACCCCCGAATCGAGGGTTTATGCAGCGCCTATCACCAGATATTATGCCTCCCCTCAACTGTGCAGCCTAATTGACCCTGTTCTGTGCACACCCGGAGAACTTAGAGGTACACGAAGCGGAGGATGGCGACCCAAGACAGTACGAAGCTGACTTCACACGACTGGTATTCGAACCGGCAAGGAAGCCTTTCTGAGTCTCATTGGGATGCGCCCTCTCTTTTCAAATGGTCGAGCCATGCAGAGCCCTGTGTTGTAGAGAAATGACTAGGCTAGTTCAAATCCCTGGGGAACCTATCGCAAAGCTTGGACTATATAATCAGGGCAAGAACTTCCGCACTCCTAGAATATCAGGCTCCGTCTACCCCATATGCGACCTACTTCCTGCTTGTTCTAGAGTACTAGTATGGCGTCCGCGCGGGAAGGCTTGTCGCCCGGAGATTTGTTATCCGGTAGCCATACGTCAGCTGCTGTGGTAACTCCTGAGCCTGAGCCTAATGTTGAAGAGAATTAGTTACACAACTCCCAGCCGATCGGGATGGGGAGCTGGAATGCAATAGAAGAATACTATCGAAAGGCAATTGATGTCCAAGGTTCGGCGAGATTTACCGACAGGCAATGCTCGATGATATTGAACGTCTCCAAAAGCAGGCGGGCTGCTATGCGCGAGGCGAGATTGGTGAGCCATATGGTTTTGCTTAAGCCTTCCCTGCTGACTTTCTCACTAGGTAAGAGTATCTATTGCTATGTTCGACACCCACCGCCGAATGGCCACGTTCGTTGTTACGAACTCCCAAACCAGGAAGCAGCGCGGCGACCTGATATACTCTTCATCAAATCTATCCGTTGTGAGTGGAGGTTATTTGACCCCGAGGGTTGCCCTTGTGCGGGAGCCTTGAGGACTAGACATTTAAGTATGAGGATGGAAAACTGCTCGGTCAGACACCATCAATATCGGAACGTTTTGCCCTGAAGGCTGCTTCAATGGCCCGTACGAGATTAGTGGTTGTCTTGGAAGGTGAATGCATTGAAAATTATGGGCAAAAGTGCACACTATTTGTGATCATTATTGTCCTGAGGCTCATTGACAGAACCTCTTGGAAAGAGGGCCGTGAGGCGTGCATCCAACACTGGCAATATTTACAAAATTCGAAGAAACACGACTATCATGCCCACCTGAAGCCTATTGGGTTGGTGCGCCAGTCAAATCTTCTGCGAAGGGAAGGTGCTTGTGGATAAGTGCGGAAACAAAAGAGTTCTCGACGATGCCAGGGATGCTGTTCTGATATACTATAACATCAAGGGACTCATAACGGAACTAGCATTCGTGCTGTGGGATGAGGATGAAGGATGTTTCTCCCGGGGTCTTGTTATTAGTTCTCTGGATACAGAGTAGATGGGTCGATATACTAGGGGTTGAGTTTAATGCAGACGCTACGGAGTAGAGAGGAGCTGTTTGAATGATTTGCAGGCTGAAGTTCGAATACATAACAAGGCTCTGTGATTCAGGTAGATTGATTCGGATTGGGTATCCGTACATTATTCTAGAAAGGTTAGAGCAAATGAGCATTGAGAAGCAAAAGATGCCGCATCCAGTCGCCCTGCACACTGTGGCCCGGCTTTTAATTGTGGGAAGACCCCGCTTGCTTTCCATCCCGCAGGACTTGAATTGGCGAGGAGGTAAGACCTAAGATTCCAAAGATGGCATGTAATGCAGTTTGTGCTATTCCAAACAGAATCTTCACCAGCACTGATTCATCCCGGGTTGGCATGGTACCGCCCTCACAGAACTTGCAATAGGCCAAAGAGATTGTTAAGGGCAGATGTAAACCAGCGTCAGAAGTCCTTTTTAGGTGATAACTACTCGCATGCCCTCCAACGGAAGAGGTTCAACCACAAGAGCCTCTCCTATTTCCACCACGGCGTTGGCAGTGGTGAATTTGAAGTCCTTGATGGTGAAGGGTGTTTAGACACAGAAAGGACGATGGAGGAGTAAAATATAGGTAGTTTTTAGATTGGGTACTTTGCACTGGAGACATCTGACCAGAGATATGTATAACAGTCCTATCCCAATGCTCTTTCATAATTGGTTCTGCCGTACAGGGAGTATATGTGTTCGGTATAGTTATATTAGTACAATAAATGGGTTATTGCTCTATCAGCAAACCTGAGATATGTAATTTTTGTAGCTTCAAGGGTGTAGCTTTTCTGGGGAGCAATTGTATCTGGTTTGCCAGCAATGCCCTATGCTATTTTAACTGCTCAAGGGCTGATAACAAGGCCCCAAAGTAGTTGCAAGGCGTAAAAATAACCGCAAGAGCTACTTAAGTCATCGTTCAAATCACGTGGATGCTTCGCTTGAGCAGGAACAAAAAGTCAAGAAACCAGTGTGCGACGTCAGGAAAACTTTGAAATGGAGCCAGTACGACATGTAGAATACATGGCTATTGTACCCATCTTTCTGCCTCCCTGCTGTTTACTTTCTCATCACTGAGAGCTACCTCGTGTGCCTTTGAAACCTGGAAAGGTTTCAAGTTGGCAGCTGGCAGCTCTGAACCACAAATACTACAGAGTACGTCAGGCGTTAACCTGAGCAACAAGGATGCTAGGAACAGAACGCTACGCCTACATGTCTGGCTAGGATGAATGCATGCTCTCGCTCTTCTTCTGTCGAGCGTATCGAGATGAAAACATGCTGGCAAAGAAAGTACCATAAGAAAATGAAGTGAAGTGATTGCATTATATATTTTTGTATGTGTTTCTAGCCAGCTAGGGCTTAGATGGCTAGTATTCAAGATGCCAATGTTCAAAAGCAAAATACCAAGCCAAGGAAAGCAGATTTTACCAGTTGGTGATATTCTCATGAGCAAGCGGAAAAAGGTTGGAAACATGTTGGTTCGCTCAACGCGACAGGCAGGTATACTCGGCACCATCAAGGTGGACATCTTTTCCTGCTCTTCCAAGGACTCAATCGAGTCTGCAACCACAAGATGCGAAACATAAGTCAAAAAAGCAAAAAAAGAAAGCGATGGTCGTACCCTGTTTACATTCATCACATCAACAAGGAAAAGAACAAAATCCAATGAACTCCGGGAAGGCACTGAACGAAAGGACTAGTAACAATTACTGCTTGCTAATAGACACCAGGGAGGAAAAGCGAATTATCTGCAGGACGAAAGGGAGTGTCAAATTAAGGGAATTCGAGACCTCCATGACTCTACTTCTTTTTTTCCATCTTTCTTCGCTTACCCTTGGGCGCTGGATCGAGTGGGGTTCGCTTATATGTTATCGTCCGCGTGACGACTTGGCGGACAATGACTGGGCGAGCGCACGAGGAGCAGCGAGACGCATCAAGATATCGAACGTTTGATTCAGCGTGCGAACCAGCCACTGGAGATAATAGAGAACGCGCTGAAGCGCTTCGTGGAGATTCCGTGACAGGTGAGGCTTTTGCCGACTCTGAACCGCGTAGTGATCGCAGGTTGATTGGAGTTCTCGGTGTCCTCGGCGTTCGCGGGGGTTTTTGGACCCTATCCGGTTGTGATCTCGTCGTTGTAGCGGACAATGGAGTTAGGAGAGGAGTGGTCAATGATTTTTGGTGTGTTTGACAGGTGCAAAAATACGGGCTGGTGCTCGTCGATGGGTTGGAAGAAGATGACGAGAAGCTTTTGCTTGTCGAGGGCGCGCTTGCCGACAGCGGGGTCGCGATCATTGGCGTGAGCGTTTTGAGCAAGTCAGTGTACGCGGTTGGAGGCGTTATTGGTGTCTTCAGAGCGTCCTCGTGTTTGATCATCTCAAACTTTGCAGAGAACAATGGGCTGTCATGAAGTTCAGACGGAAAAACCAGCGATTTGGAAGTATCAAGTGGCGCCAACGTTGGCTTCGATGTGACTGGCATGCTGGCGGGGATTTCGAATCGACGTTTATCGAACTCAGAGTGGTCTCTTCGGCCGGTGACCAAGACAGACACGGTCAGGTAACAGAGAGCGATAGGATACTCGAGGAGAAAAAGGAGTGACCACCCGCGGTTTGTATGGAAAATGGTCCCTCACGTATTGCTCAATTTGGAACAGCAGCGGAAGCGATTGATATGTTGTGATTGTCAAACGATACAAAGGCAAATCGACAAGTCACGCATTCACGCTCAGCAAGATGAAGACGGCCAGCGCACTTCAGACTGATGTTGGGTCTTTTTCTCAGCGAAACGCTGAACAGAATGCTGCGGACAGTTGGATGGGCGCGTAACTCCAGCCAATGAACACCCAGTAACCGACAGAGGGGATTTCGGTAACAAGGGCGGTTCTAAGATTAGAATCCGCTAGTCCCTTTATGGTATGATGCTGAGTGGCGGAAAGTTTGCTTGCGGTTGGGGCTTGGGGCGCTCTCGTTTGAGGCAAAGTTAGGGCTAAAATAGACCCGCTGTTCGGCGCGCTGATTGGACCGACTACGCTGTCCAGTCCGATGTTCTGCGGAGAGCGGGCGGTGAATCAACGTGATATCTGCAGGTGCAGCTCAAGGAGGTGCCGAACTATTCCTTGTTAGCTCCCTCTTATTGGCCCCGGAATAGATAGCCCTTCTTGATCCCTCCTGCTCGCTCAAGAGCGGGGGAATGGACTCGATATTGGGGGGAATTATCGGCCACACCTACCAAGTTGTGGAAGGAAAAAATAGAACAAGAGGAGTGCTTGTGTAACAAAGAGTGTTGTTTTGCACAAGGGCAAAGTGTGCATGTGATGAACTAAGCCTTGTAATGGAGGGACGAGCTGTGAAGAATCAACTTGAAGATCTAGTTCACATCCGGATATGGTGCCCTTTTTATGTTCGTTTGTTGTGGATTTGAGACTCTTTCCTCCCAGGAACTTGTTTCCTTTCCCGCCAGGAAATGCACCCCTCGTCTGAAGATATCCTCATATTCAAATTAGCAAATGCCAGTAGAGCTGCCAATCATTCTCTTGAATACATGCGCGCCTGTCGCAAGCTTGTGGGAGAAGGGTGAATGACAGGGGTAGGTATCGTGGTTGGTAGTTCACAACTGCACCTGGAGCGCGCGGTTATCCTGCCTCTTCAACTTCAGCGGTTCTAGAAAATTGAATCGAGTGTGAAGGTCACAAATTGTCCCAGCAACGGTATGTCCAGGCTCCTCAGCAGTCCTCATCAAGGCCTTATTGGCCATGTCTTCTCATGTTTTGCAGAAGTCATTTTTAGCCTCAGTTGTTTCATCCTTCCATGGGGACCGACTAAATCAAAACAGGTTATCAAGGGCAGCCCGTAGAGCATCGCGATTGGATGACGGGGCTTCTGCCTCGTGTCAATGATTCTTCAGACACATTCTAGGATGCTGTTTCACCCTCCCATTACTGCTTTTCAGTTTTCTGGTGTCAAAAAGTTCTACAGCTCCCCACAGTTCTTCAGACTTAAAACCTTCTCCAGTACCCCGTGTCCTTATTCTATAATTAAATTCTTCATGCAAGTTCTTCGATCCTACGAAGTCATCTCTGCTGGGCGCTTAACCTATCCGGCATGGTAAAATTGCAGAATCTCATGATGCCTCCATAGTCTCATTGGTTAGACGAGATCCCTGGTCGTTTTCGGATCCCTGGTCACGGACTTTCAGTGTATATGTAAACAGTTCCTTCTGGGTTGAGGGTGCGCGCCGACCCTTGATTATTTGTTTATCTTCGCTCACACGTGGAATTAACGCTGCCCAACCGTCTCATAGAATGACTAGCCTCAAGAGATATGTGTCTCAGACCTGCTAAATATTGAGATGCTATCTGTGGTATTCTACCTGCTGAAGAGCCGCCGAAAAAGCTTTTCGGCTGATGACACCCTCGGCAAGGTTAGGCGAATCGGAAATTGGGCGTGATAACCCGCTCGAGGGCGCTACATATTGTCTCCTGGGCCATTCATGAGCCTGTTAACCGGCACCCTATGTTGATACGTCGATTCTCTTCGGCGCAGTGTGCGCGGGATCGCGAGCATATTTAGCAGCCAAGCTTAGACAATCTTCCTCATCGACGTGTCTGACCTGCTGACATACTTGAGACTGGGAGCTTACGAAAGTCCAAGTCCGCTGAAAATAGAAGCGTCAATGGTTATTTGGTTTTCGATCGAGTTTTGTTGTTGGTTCCCTAGATGAGGTGTGACGAATGGCCGTGCTTCTCTAACTGTTACCAACTTCGTACCGCCCGCGACCGTTGGGGACTAAGAATATCCTTTCTTTTACGAACATGTTCCGTTCTGGAGGCGGATGAGTGGACAGCGACCGGAGTCGATCCCCTCTAATCCGCTTGAATGCACCAAGTGTGCCGTCCATTCGATAGCGGGCTCGAAATAGCAATCGCACTACGTCTGTATTTCGGATTTAGCTACCTCATCTCAGCGTCGTTATTCGGGCTGCAATTGCGGCGAATGACACTGCGTTGCATGGTCAACGAAGAATTCATATTATTAGGTAGCATTGACTATTGAAAGAATAGCTCATAACGTGTGTACAACGGCTGGCGCCCGGATCCTTCAATTATGCGAACCCTTGCCAAAGACGGGCCGACACCGCTGCCAAAATGCACATTCCATATCATATGATGTTTATTAGATTTGCTGGGATCCATCACACGGCGCCTGCCTACTCCGTACATATGTCACTAGTGTAAGATATGTATCCCATCATCGACATTCCTCTCCCATCGCCCTCACTTAAGAGGACCCGATCAACGGTAGAGAAACTTCCTATCAAGGAAAATGCATTACTCTCCAGAACCTTGAGGATCTTGAATAAGACCCATGGCAACACGTCGCTGTGGAGTTATAAGCTGAAACGACGGTCGTGGCTGGTTCTGTTGGCTTTTTGATATGATCGAGAGAAAGAAGAAAAGAGGTCAAATTTTTTGCTGCGAAAAGTCACTTTTGTAGCTGTGGGTCACGTGGTGTTAATGGAGACATATTTTGCCGGAGCCGAACCTAGCATCAGATAAGTCGTCTTGGCGTCGCCAGCCGATCCTTTTGATAGCCAGGGCGCCGACGTCTCTCCGTGGACAGAAGCGCCGAATGGCACCTTACGAACCGTTCCTCAATGCTTTACGGAGTAGCGCATTGACATATCCCAGGCATGTTCTTTCAATCATGACTGCCGGGATTGGGGAATGCTGCCGGGTCCCGGTGCGAATCATACCCCGCAATCTTTGTTCAGGCGTTCACCGATTTCTCTCTATCAGCATTTGAGTGGGTTACACATGCAGCGCATGAAAGAAGACTCAATTTAATGATCATTGAGCATTTCCTGGGAGTCTACTCTGTAATGCGTGAAAATTGACATTGGAGAGCGACCACAACGTGTCATGAGAGTCTCTGCTGGGTAACAGTGGGTGAACCATACAGGTTTGGTGTTTGATCGAGATACGAGGGATGAGCTTCCCGTGTTTTAAGGGCGTAAATGACCTCATGGCTTTATGCAAAAAAAGTTATTTACAAGGTCACAGGGACTGGCTCTTGATATTTTGGTGCTGTATATGAGGTAGCTTTACCAATACTATTGTCCAATAAGCTGCCCAAGCATTCCTCCCCAAAGCCTTTGCTTCTGCTTCCTCTCTTTTTCCAGCCTATTCTTCTCTTGCTCCACACCTTTCTCCTGTTTCTCCATGTGCTTCATCATGAAATTACGGTCCCTTTCCTCTCGCTCCTCTTTGCTCATCAGCCCCTTCCCACCATCTGGATGCGTATCTGGGTCGTCTCTGCCTCGGTACTTCAGTTTTGGCTCGCTGCTCACTTCCAGGACTTGAATAAGCCCATTACATTTTTGGACCAACCAGTTAATATCCCGCATACCATCTCGCCAGTGGGATGGGAGCGCACCATACCCAAGCCAGCAGCCCCCGAGAGCTCCAGCCGCGCACGCATTAGTGTCTGCGTCACCAGCAGCGAGTGTGAGTTCGGTTATTATGTTTTCAAATATCGTTGGATACGGGAGTGCTGCCGTCACCGTGGTTGCTGCTGCGTCGTATGGCGCTTGGCGCATTCCCATGCGTAGACTCAAAATTGCGGCCCCGAGGCACTTATAAACGTAGCCTATTTTCATCGAGTCGTCTAGCTGAAGCTCTTCAAAAATTTGTGCCTGAACGTGTTTGTTGAATTCCTGTCGGTCGAGCAATTCACCGTCTTCGAATTCTCGCCTCTTGTTCGACTTTAAATTCCCCCAATCCGCCCGACGACATTTCGCCCAGGTGTCAACCCATTGATAAACACATTCGATCACATCGTCGACATCGGACTTGCCCAATATCTCTCCTCTCAAGATGCCCCGTATGAGGCCAGTCGATATGCAACATGCCAGGGTACATCTTGGATCCGCATGAGTAATCGCAGAGAAAGCCGTCGCAACGCGACAGGTCTGATCCAAAGAGAACCCAAGACACACGATGCCAAGTGGATGAGTGCGCATCAATGAGCCATTAGGTGCGATTTTCCTACCTGAATCGACCCAATGTCTATAGGCAGTCGCAGCAGGATCAGTTAGGTATTCTTTGTCCAGGACCACCTTCAAGTTGTGAGCAGAGATGATCATGGGAACGGAGTTCACAGATCGCTTACTGAGCCAACCGTTTTCCCAAAGCCAAGTGGTGGGTCTGTCTAATGCTCGCAGTCCTTGATAGACCCAGATTTTCAATCGCCCCGCCAGGTCATTAGGTGAAAGTGTCTTGCCATTGTGATGCAATACAAGAAGAATCAATAAAGCGTGGTCCGTCTCATCTGTCCAAGCACCCTAGGCGTGAAAAAATTGGAACGTTCAGCCATGCCAGCCCTAAATTAAACGATTTATTATACCCAGGGGCCATGTTGATGGCGAATGTATCTTACAGTCTCAAATTTATCTCAAGTCAGTAGCCATCGCACCAACTGAGTTTGGATCGGACGTGGTAGCCGTAAAGAAAATAGTACACGAGTATGTCTTTTGCTGAAGATTGTGTCTTTTGGGTATGCAAAGTGGAAAAACGCTCTCTATCCTAGGAAATCGAAACATATTGTGCTTCAGGGTTTGGCGCAGCCTGATCAACCCTCACAGCCGAAACTAGCTTTGTCGAAAAAACAAAAAGCTGCAGCAAGGAGGCTTTTCCAGAGGAGACTCATCTCGCTAGTCAGGGACCTAGAGTGAATGCTCCGTAGTACGATTAAGGTCTTCTACTTCGGACAGGGTCACGCAGGATTTTTAATCAGCCTTTTTGGCCCAAAGACCATATGAATTTGATGAAAAAAATGCATGAAATAATCTATTTTCATATTCTATCAGTATTTACGAAACCTGCTGGGAGGTAGGTCTTTTATATCAACAGAAAATAAAAATGAGGTACCAAGATCTGTTCCCAACCAATGGCCCACTTTTGATGAGCCATACGAAGTGGTTATACTCCGTATATCTGATCTAATTCCCATTTAAGTGCTTCACTGTGCAAAGAAATCATCTCTTATAATCCCACTCCGATCACACATTCCACGGAATATCCCTCCCATTTCCCACAACGCCAGTGGAGTGTCAAATTCTGCAATTCGTCCCTGGGCCATCACGCAAATACGATCATAGTTGATAATTGTGCGCAGCCGGTGGGCAATGCATAGCAAGGTCTTGCCTTCAAATCCTTGCGCCATAGTCTTTTGGATCTTCTGGTCCGTTTCAAAATCCACAGACGAAGTCGCTTCGTCACACACGATAATACGGGAGTCGCGCACCAGAGCACGGGCAAGGGCCATGAGCTGTCGCTGGCCGAGAGAGAAGTTCAACCCCTCTTCTTCGACAGGAGAGTCAAGATGAATGCGCTGTTGTGGCTGGTTTGCGTTTTTGGCAGTCTCTGCTGGTTCCTGTTCATTGGATGTGGGGCCCTCTCCGACGAGATCTGCCTTTCGCAGGGCGGACCAGAGCTCAAGGTCGCTGTATTGGTTAAAAGGGTCGAGATTTGATCGAACGGTTCCCCGGAAAAGAGTTGGATCTTGAGGAATAATTGCTAATCGCGAACGAAGATCATGAAGGCCAATTGTGGAGATGTCAATACCGTCGATCTCGATACTTCCACCGGAGAGTTCCGTGAGTCGAAATAGAGCGGACATGATGCTGGACTTGCCGGCTCCAGTCCGTCCAACAATTCCGATCCGTTCACCACCCTGTATTTTCATGTTTAAACCTTGAAGAACGAGAGGAAGCCCCTCTCTATATCGCATTTGTACGTTGGAGAAAGTGATTTCCCCCCTTGATGGCCAGGTTTTGTCTAGTTCCCGCATATGGAGGGGTGCTTCCTCCTCCAGTTGGGTCCCGTAATAATGTATTCGTTCTGTAGCGTTCATGTTATTCTCAACTTCAGCCAGCTGGCGCACGGTAAACTGCAGCATTTGGAAGATAGCAAGGATGTAGGAGAGAACCAATCCGGAAATACTAGGCTCGACATCGAATCTCGAAGTAACAACTAGGATCCCCGTAACGAAAACCATGAGACAGCCAACCGCATCTAGTCTGATACTCAACCATCGTTGGTTCGAGAAAGTGAGAAAATATGCGCTATTCATATTATCGATTGCGGCGCGAATTCGCTTAATGAAGTGATCTTGGAGGCCATATGCTCTGATTGATGCAGTGCCTGAAACAGCTTCGCCAAATTGCGCAAACACAACGGATCGAAGAACGGCTTCGTGCCGTTTCATTTCTCGGGCAGAAGCTCTGTAGAAATTCGCCGCCAGCAGGAAAAGAACAAGAAGCGGAACGAGGGCCACAGCAAACTTTGGTCCTGTTAGCCTTTGGCGATATCAATTGAAGCGGAAACAAAGATACTTACGAAGTGGTAAAAGACAATGATTAGTACCATGACTGAGATGATCATGGTGAAAGTTAGGTAATATATCCGCATGGCATCACACAGGTCGTTATCCATGGTGTGGATGTCCTTTGAAAAACGATTGGTAATGCGTCCAAGAGGTGTCGTATCGAAAAAGGACATCGGAGCTCTTAAAACTCGTGTCATTGCCTTTTGCAACATGCTCTTACTGGCGTTTGTCCCACTAGTTGTAAGGATCGTAGAGAATCCATACATTAAGATTGCTTGTGAAGCCCCCAAAGCTGCATATATGCCCATATATTCCCCTTGCGGGAGGTTAAATTTATCCGAAGTCCAGTAGGACAACCACAGACTTGTGACGATGTTCGCGCCGTTGCATAGGAGCAGGAAGATGACGATGAGAGGAAAATTAGTAGGCCACCCAAATGATGAGATATATGCCCACCACACTTTCCAACTCACAGAGTCTACAGCTCGCTCCTCCTGCTGCATCAGCATAGCTGGCTGTTTGGAAGATTTCGTCTTCTCGTCTGGCTTTTCTTCCTCTTCTATCTCATCATTTTCCTTTTTTTCATTTTCCTTTTCCTCCTCTTGAGAAGTTGTTGCCATCAACCTTTGAAATAGCTCGCTGTCACGCATAAGATTATCGAAGGTGTCCACTGACTCTATGCGGCCATCATTCATGAGAATAATTCTATCGCAACGATTAAGAACATGTAGCTGATGCGTCGCTAGGATCCGGCACTTGTCTTTAAGCAAGCCACAAATCGCGTTATCCATAATATGCCGACCAACATGGGCATCAACAGCTGATAGCGGGTCATCCATCAGAACAAGGTCAGCGTTAAAATAAATAGCCCTAGCGATATTCAATCGCTGCTTCTGTCCGCCGGAAATCGTGATGCCTCGTTCGCCGATTTCTGTTTTGTCGCCAGCCGGAAGCATTTCAAGATCTGCTCGTAAGGCGCACGCCTCAATAACTTCATCGTACCAAACCTTGTCGTATTCTTTGCCAAAGAGGATGTTTTCCTTCAAGGTTGCGTTCTGGATCCATGCATACTGCGGGCAGAACGCTCGTGAGGCACCCATAGTCACTTCGCCACCAGTTAATCTCATATCTCCTGCAATTGCAGCCAAAAGTGACGTCTTTCCGGAACCTACTGTCCCAATAACGGCAAGAAGCTCGTTTCGACCAGCAGTAAAATTCAAATCGCTAAGCTTGAACGGTTCACTGGGGCTTTTGGTACCGGAATCTGTTCCTTGACCACTCTCCTCCAAAGGCAGTTGAGGCCCCTTGCTGTGATATTTTCCTTTCTTACCCCCTTTTCTGTTGGCTTTCTCGCTCTCGTCTGGATCAGTGGGCAGCCTTTCCCACGTGAATGACGCATCTTTCAGCTCCAGCGCATTGTCCATGGTTTTGTTCCACTTGATATCATCCTTTTGTTCTTCGGCAAGGAGAAATTCTTGAATTCGGCAAATCGCTGTCCAGGCATCTGTTACCTGGCCAATCACCAGAGGAAGCATGTTCAATGGCAAGCGAAGAGTATTGAAAAGCGCCAGAGATGAGAAGATCGGCGCAGGAGTAAGTTCGTGATTCGTGAGGGCATAAGTTATGAAGGCCAACATTGAGGCAAAAACAGGAAGCGACAATGAAACACACAAAATCGCATTGCGAATAGAGAGGACGAACTGAATAGCCGTAATCTCTCGCGTTCGGATATCCTTTAGTCTATCCAAAAAGCTGCTCTCCCAACCAAAGAATTTGACGAACCTGACTGCCTGCAGGATTTCTTGCGTGAGGGATACTCGCTGATCCGTTATTACATTGATGCGCTGGCGCCGAATAATCAGCGATCTGATAGAGTAAGTAAGTAATGGCACGCCTAAAATCAGTAATGCATATCCCGAGAGAGCACTGTATCCTATATTGACCAATAGAAGAATAAGGGCGACAATAATAATGATCGGGGATGTCCAGAGCAAATGAAACAATCCAAGAGCTTTGTCAATCCGATCGGTGTCGATACTCATCAGCGCGACAATCTTTCCATTGCTCCATCCGCTTCCATCTCCAGCGATATTAGCAGCAGTCTTTGCCGATATCTTCGGTTTAGGTCTCTGTTTTCCAGCCTTCTTTTCGGGAATCTCTCTGATAACTCCATCTCTGGCAGTTTGAAGCTCTGCTTCATCGGATTCGTTTGCTTCACAATGGGGGTTTTCTCTCCCGCCGGCTTTCGCTCTACCAGAGAGCTTTGTCGCCTTTGCAAAAATAGCGTTCACCAGTGCTGCTCGAGACTGACCCCCTACCATCATTCCGTGGAAGAAAAATTGACTCGTAGTCAAGCTCTGGAAAACCTGCATCACACATATGCCGACCGCAATCCCAATTCCACGTCCGACATGTGGTTCTGGACGGCCTGTGAATTTTGCAATGTATGCATCTGTGGCAAAGGCGATCAAGTACCTTGTTAGATAAGGGGTAAACGCCTGTAGAAGAGACGAAAAAACTTGGCAAACGCCTCCGAGCCAGAATTCGAATTTGAAGGTCTCATAGATAGCCCAAAGCAGCGGGTAACGGTCCCCACGTTCGACTCGTCTCCTGAACGAGGAATTTAATCTCTCTGATAGGATATCCACTGATCTCTCTGGGTTGACCAGCCAGATATCTTGCAATTCAAGTGGGCGCAAATAGCCCGTCTATGCTAGCAATTAGCGGGTTGTAGAGATATTCGGTTGGAAACTTTCAAGTGGCGTAAATAGATTGAATTCTAAGAAAAGATAAAGGCGCCTCACCATCATCAGCGGGCTCATCCATTGGAATGTTATGAGACTTAAGATTCCAGCCTTGTATTCTCTTGATACCGTTCGCTCTTCTGGTATGGGAGGCGGCTGCCGGAGCCTCAACGGATTGAGTTTTGTATACCATCTTGTTTTTCTTTGAGCCAATGCAGTTGTGTTGTGCCTTTCTTCAATTTTATCGCTGGTTACAGAGCCGGCTGTGCTACTGGAAGCATTTTGCGAATCCTTCTCATCGCTCGACCCGACGAATACCCTTGCAAGTGGTACAGGCTCGGATGATACCAAGGAAGACTGCTGCTCCAAGCGTGATTGCGTTTCCACATCTTTGTCATGTCCTGAAGCGGCCATGCTGGCTGTGCTTCACTGCTCATGCAGTGTCACCTTTCGCAGGAAAAATGAGTTGCTGTGGGCCGATGACGTCAGGACAAACAGCATCATAAACCATTCAGAACAGTCTTATAGAATCAATATCAGAGGAAAGGGTGACAGAGGTAAGGTGAGATTTCAGCATAGTTTCATCCTTTTTTTTTGGTTGATAGCAAAAGGTGAAAAAATTTTTTTACCAACTCCTGGCGGCAGTTAATAGTGGCAGCGGAGAACACACATTGACTAAGTTATTTAGTTATGCCGCTGTTATTGCTGACAAAATATGCCCCCGGACGCGCATAACTTGGGGCCGACTTTGCCGACCAAACCCAAGGTTATGCGCGGTGCGGTTCCACTCTTTTCGCTAACGATCTGTCCCCCATCTGCCACGAATTTCGGTGTAGCGCCCCAATGGCTTCAAGGCAGGATGACTGCTACCAGCAAGGGGCCGGGGCTGTGGCGATTTTTCCCATTGCGCAGCCTGGCCCATGGGACACCATCCCAAATATCCAAAAGAACGAGTTCTCGGATCGTCGTTAAGCGTCCACTGCCCGGTCAAACTGCTCCTACAATATCTCTATAGCGCGGGGGTTCGAACGGACATGACGACGGGCGACGGAGCGACGGACGTGTTGCTTTTCTATGAGGTAACAAACCTGGTTTCAGAGAAAGGAGAGCGGAGGGTTCCATGTGGAGTTTGGCTTGATAAGCAAGTATTGCGATTGGGTCACCGATTGCTCATTGACCCAGCGCTAGTTAGCCGACCCTGAAGCGTTGCTCATACTCTGTACTCCGTAATCCGGTCGAAAAGACGGAAGGAGGAAGCTGGCATGGTTAAAGGGCATGAAGGGGAGCAAACCAGGGCTACAGCTGCATAGCACACATAGATATATATATAAGACGCTCAACAGTTTCATCTCCCACAGCTTGGTTCGTGAACAATCCTCCGGATCTAACCACCTCCTCTTTCTGAACCCCACCAGTATCGCAAGTCAATCCCAGACAAGCTTCCACCAAGAAGGCCTAGAGCCCGTTTTCGGTTACGGGGTGAGATCTGATAAATGTCGATCCTCCCTTTTCATGGACGGAAGCCCTTGGGAAGAAGCTCATATATGCACCACCTAACTACGTTGGGGCGTTGATAATTTTGTCAATATTCATATATCTTAGCCAGGCCCTGAAACACACTGTTAACAATGTGATACCATGGATATCTAAGAAAGCCACCAAGCGGGTGAAACAACAAAGCCCCGCATCGCCAGAACATTTGTTTATCATCTTCAATCTTGATTTACAAGGTCAAGAGATCAATACAGCTCAACTTTGCAATATATTGTGTGAGAAAACAAATTATCAGCTCTCAAGGTAATCTGTCACGCTACAAATTAACAGTTAACACTGCCTTCCAATGTTCCAACGCAAGGTGGTCAGTTCGATTTACACTGTAGGAGAACCAAGGAACCCGAACCCAAGAACTACCATGAAAGGTTCAAAACTTTTCATTTGTTTGGGGCATGTATATCATTATATTTCATGAACATCATTCATTGGCCAAAGAAACCCCAATCCTATCCAAACAATAAGTATAGTATACTGGAACCGATAATGCTAGCAGTAAAACACTCGTGGTGTTAGCGAGAGCGCAGGAAGCAGCGCATATTAGCGAACATCACTAACTTTGCTACTCCCTTTGGGCATCAGAGAATATTTGTTTCTTTCAGGCTTTGAGCTCTTTCAAGGACTCCTCAATGATGCTTAGAGCCTGTTTCATCTGCTCATCAGTGATCACCAATGGTGGTGCAAACCGAATGATGTTTTGATGAGTTGGCTTAGCCTAAAATCACAAGGTTAGATCTTGATATGATTCCCATGAGTCGAGGCTACTCACCAATAAGCCCTTTTCTTTCATAATCATGCACAGGTCCCAGGCAGTGCGGCCTCCGGTCTTGGACTCGTCGACAACAATAGCATTCAACAGGCCACGGCCACGGACCGTTTGGATGATGGGGTTGTTGAGGGCATTGAGACCATCTCGGAATATTTTACCAAATTTCTCGGCACGCTCGGTCATCTTCTCATCACGAATAACCTCCAGTGCTCGATAAGCAACTGCACAGCCCAGTGGGTTGCCACCATATGTCGAGCCGTGTGTGCCAGGTTCAATCGTAAGCATAACATCTTTGTGCCCCAGGACGCATGAGACGGGGTACATTCCTCCTGAAATTGCTTTGCCGAGGAGGACCAAGTCTCCCCTGATTCCGCTCCATTCCTGGCAAAGCAGTTTCCCTGTTCTAGCAATACCTGTTTGGATTTCGTCGCAAATGAGGAGAGCATTGTGTTTGTCGCAGAGAGCACGGGCTTCCTGAAGGTAGTCCTCGTCGGGGACCACAATGCCGGCTTCACCTTGGATTGGCTCCACCAAGAAAGCGGCGATCTTAGGGCCAGCGGCCTCGAAGGCCTCACGCAACGCTTGCTTGTCGTTGTATGTGATGGGTTTATCTGTTCCAGGGATTTTACTTCCAATGTTTGGTAAGTAAGGTCCGTAGTTGTCTCTGGACTCAGGGTCCGTGGACATGGAAATGGCAGCAAACTAAGGAGTACAGCCTAGTTAACACCAAAGTTACGCCACAAAGCAAGGGGCTAGGGGTTCACTGACAGTCCGGCCGTGGAAATTGTTTTCAACACTCAACACAATGGCTTCATTCTGAGGGATGCCTTTGACCTTATAGCCCCACTTTCTGGCGATTTTGATAGCAGTTTCCACGGCTTCGGCGCCCGTGTTCATCGGGAGAACCATATCATAGCCAAAGTACTTCGTGACGAATTCTGCAAATCTGGGGAAGACATCATTGTAGAAGGCCCGAGAGCTGAGAGTTAGAGTTGCTGCTTGCTCACACAGAGCCTTGACCAGCTCTGGGTGGCAATGTCCTTGGTTGACGGCAGAGTAGGCGGAGAGGAAATCAAGGTAGTGACGCCCTTCAGGGTCCCAGACCGACACTCCGGATGCACGAGCAAAGACGACAGGGAGCGGATGGTAGTTATGTGCAGCGAACTCGTCTTCGGCAGAGATGGCCGCTTGGGTTGAGGAAGCGTGGTATGCAGACGACATGGTTGGACGGGTAGGGTTGGAACTAAGCAGTGAGAGAGAGGGGGAGCTTCAGGTCTGAATATTGGCTAGGGATGGATCAGAGACAATACAGGGTTGGTGATAGGTGAAGTTCAGGGCTAGGAGAGAGGGGAGGCCAGTCGATGATAGATCGATGGCGGGGTCCGGGGGGGTCAGCTGGTTTATAGAACTGCAAAAGAGATCAGCAGCTATCCAGTCGTCAGCGAGCTATTTAAGAACTCTACCGAAAGCAAAAAGGACAAATGCAGGATTGCCATCTTCATGTGAGCCCAAAGCGCAGTATATATACGCAGCATCCAAGCGTGAATCGCTCAGTGGCTCGAAGTCTGGATTCCTTCCGACGGTATCCTTTTCCAGCTAAACCTCTAAGTGCAAGTGGCATCCACCGTCTCTCCACTCGCTACAAGGAACAAGACGTCCGGCTCCGGGCAAAGGCAAAATAACTTTTCGCTGCCCCTCGCAAATCTGGCGGGAGTTGCGAGACGTGTCATTATTGGTCATCTGATTGGAATCCCTCCTGTCCTGTTAGGCTTGCCCATCCGGTGAATTTTCCCTTCGCCGGCGGAAGAGCTCTTGGCTCCGGGTATTTGCCACCCCTTGACATCATTGGCGCACCGCTCCAGGGGGAGACAAGTCAAGTGCGTGCGGGCGGAGATTTGCGACCAACGAGAATTTGCGGAATCAGCGCTCCTCTTCCTTGGGCCCTTCGCCGACTTCAAGCGCTTCCTTCGCACGTCCCGCCATGAGCGTGCCTGGGATATGTCGGCCTCGTCTGCAGAATTATCGGGCTCGTCCACAGGGACAGACGGAAGGGATCCCGGTCTTGGATCGTCCTTTGAGACGCTGAGACGAAGAGCTCAACGCGTTCATCGCCGCTTTGAACAAAGACCTTCGCGCGATATCCTCCTTTTCCTCGTCGCCTTTAGGATCCTGAATGCCTTGTGTGTCAGGACCTTTTTCCAGCCGGACGAATTCTTCCAGTCATTAGAGCCAGCATGGCAGATAGCATTCGGGAAGGAGAGTGGCGCATGGATTACCTGGGTATACACATCACTTTTAATCAAGACTGCATGGGAGACTAAGGCTGACTGAGCGCGACTTTACACCCTCAGGAATGGAAGCACCACCTCCGATCCTCGATACACCCGTATATTTTCGCGGCCGTGTATTGGGTTGCCGACCAGATAAGTCGTCAGCTACGCCTGTCACCTCTTAGTCGCGCCGATCTCTTAGTCGCTGCCCCGAAAACTGCACAGGGTGTTATTGCTGCGCTGGGAGACTACTACACTTGGAAACTGGCTGGAACGATATACGGGGCGGACAGTTATAATACCCGATGGGCTGTACGTTGTTTGTTCAAGGAATAAATGGCTTGGAAAGCTAATGCGTTTAGCTTTGTTTGAGTGTCCTGAGCCCATGGCAATGGTTTTGCTCGACGCGGACGTTGTCAAACTGTCTCGAGACCACCCTGACAGCTGCTGCGTTGTCTCACTGGCCCTGGCAGTGGAATGTAGCAGAATTTTCCAGCCGTCAGGCACAGGGCCAAGCCAGAAGAATCACCCACGACCGGACTAAATTGCGGTACTGCCTACTACTGGCCGCCTTTGCGTGTATCTTGCGGCCAACGAACCTCATAATCTGGTTCTGCCTGGCAATATTCACTATCTGCAACATTAGTTCCCGCGAAGGGCTTCTGTGTGAGAAGCACGTGGCTCTTGTCTGGGAAGCCTTTTGTTGCGGGTATGTTAACTCATGATAGAACGCAGGGCAGAATAATGTCTAATATTATTTTAGGTTCTCTGTCCTTTCGCTATCCCTGCTGGCAGATCGGATATACTATGGATCTTGGACGCTACCGCCGTTCAAGTTCCTTTATTTCAATATAGCTCAATCCTTAGCAGTATTCTATGGAAGAAATGATTGGCATTATTACTTGTCGCAAGGATATCCACTCCTGCTAACAACAGCGTTGCCATTCACATTGGCTGGGCTATCGAGTGCTCTTGCTGCTCCTTTCAAGCAATCGGGGGGTCTAGGGGCATCCATCCGACGACAGCTCGGCATTGTTTGTATCGCAATGCCCGCGATTCTCTCCCTGATTTCACATAAAGAAGTTCGTTTCATCTACCCGATTCTTCCTTCTCTCCACATTCTTACAGCACCCCCCTTGTCCAAATTCTTTGAACCAGCAATCTCCTACACTGCTGGGTCATATCTACCCCGCAGGTTACTGCTTAGCTTCCTCATTCTTGTGAACTTGATTGTCGCGTTTTACACCTCAGTGTCGCATGCTTCTGGGCCTTCAAAGGTATTCGAGTACATAAGGCACCAGAGCGAACGGGTTTCTGTTGAAGCCAATATCCAGGGATCCCGACCACAACCTCCTGTTTCCTCCCTTTTTTCTGCCCCAGTCAGGCCCGCGCAAGGCCTAACCGTAGGTTTTTTGATGCCATGCCATAGCACTCCGTGGAGATCTCACTTTGTTTTCCCGTCGATTGAAGCCTGGGCTTTGTCCTGCGAACCCCCTGTTAACTTCAACGAATCACAACGTGCAGCATATATTGATGAAGCCGATCAGTTCTATGCCGATCCGTCATCATTCTTACGTACAAACATGGTCGGTGGCCTAAGACACTTCCCGCACACTCCAACCTATCAAGCAAAGCAACCAAGCAAATCCCCCGGCGAAGCCGATGCCACTAGAGACCACAAACACAATTGGCCTGACTACCTCGTGTTCTTTGCCCAACTAGAGCCAACGATCAAGTCCTTGCTCAGGGCATCGTCATACGCTGAATGCTATCGCACTTGGAACACAGCCTGGCACGATGACTGGCGAAGGAAAGGGGACATGATCATCTGGTGTCTGGATCCCGCCGTCCAGCGCGAATGGCGCGAAAAGAACAGACGGGTTCACCTTCACGACGACGGCTGGGAGGCTCTCATGAAGAGTAAAGCAAAGCAGTTCGACAAGATCATCGAGCAGCTGGGAAAAGAAAGCACGGGAGTTTGGAGAGGAGGGAAGAAAGGGAGACGTGGCGGCGGTGGATGGATTCCGACGTTTTCGCTGCCTATGAGCTGGAGTCGGAAGTCGAGGAACTCCTTCACCATGACTTTACCCTGGGAGGGGAGCGTGCGTTCGCGTCGATGGTCGTGGCCTTGGGAGAAGAGCCGAAAACCGTCCTGGTCTCAAGTCATGAAGGCGTGGTACGATAAGATTGTCAGTGACAAGTCGGAGCTAGAGTCGTCGGATCTGTGGTCTTGATGACCAAGGGAACATTTTGATAACACTTCTCCTTTCATTTTCTTTTCTCTTCCATTCTTTTCTCTTTTTTCTTTTCCCGCTTCTCATTCCAAATGTATGTACATACATATATACCAACATTTTAATGCCCACTTTATTCAACTTGGCGCCCGTGTGTGCGATGCCTCATGTCAAAACAAATGAAATAGGAATTAGGCGGATCCCGATCCAATGCTACACCATCGTCATCCTGATTAAATATACCTTCCGCGATGCTCATGGGCTGATAGGAAAGAGGTCCCAGAGCTGAACCAAAGGGAATGCGAAAAAGATAAGTATTGACATTGAAGCCAAAAGGGACAGGGAGGGAAAAAAAAATACCAGTTAGGGATTCAATTATCAAAACAAAATGGAAACAAAAGGAGAGTTTTAAAGGAGGAAAGGGATTAAAAAGGAGTATGGGTATCACATCTTAAGAAAAGAATTGAAGGCGATGGCTTCACGCGGACGAGAAGCCGGAGCGGGAAGGAGATCCGGAGATGATTCCCAAAAAAAAGGCAACTCAACTATTCTCTCCACCACCACGAAGTAAAGCAACCATGAGGCGGCTTATACATTGAAAGGAGGCAAATATCTTCATCAAAATAGTAATTATGAATCAAAAAAAAAAAAGAGAAAATATGCCAAAAGGGCCGGAAAATACTAACCAATCACCGCCAAGAAGGGAATGGGAAAGTTACAATATGTGAGGGAAAACAAAAGCATAAGCAGAAAGAAAGTCCCAATGTCTTCATTCAATTTGCCCTTCGACCTTGTTCATTTTTTTTACCCGTATCTAGCACTTAAACTCGCGAACACATCAGGACTATGCCGTCCACTCTGTGCCCGGCCGATGTCCATACTCTCCTGGCTCATATGCGTTCGGATATAAGTTGGGTTCGCAGGCTGAGAATTGGCACCGCTCCCGAGTGGATTGTTTGTTAAACCTGTATTTGCGTTTGACGAGGTGAAAAAAGGGTTTCGACCCCCGGTAGTAGACGGTTGAGGTGGCTGAGGCGAGGTTGCTTGGTTGCTTGAAGGTAAGGGAAAGGGATTTGTTGATTGCTGGGTTTGGGGAACGACAGTATCAGGTTGAGATTGCGGTTGGGGTTGTTCAGGAATAGTTGGAGGAGGTTTGGAAAAGTTATAGAGAGCGAGGATGCTGGACTTATCCATCCGGTTAGGTTGTTGTGGTTGAAAGTATTGCTGTTGTTGCTGGGCGTATGGATTCTGGAAAAATGGCATATTTGTCGAATGTACTGGTGTGATTGGAGCACTTTGGGGAAACGGTGGCGGTTGTTGATGTTGCGGGGGGTTATCAAAGGAAGAGGTGGACATCATTGGCATAGTATTAGCATGCTGGAGCTGAAATACTTCAGATGTACTGCTGATTTGTGCAGGCTGTCGTAGATCGGGAAGCTGAAGTTGGAAGTTGTTTGGGGGTGCTGCTTGGGAAAAGAATGGATTCGTTGGGGATAGATTCTGTGATTGAGACGGATAAACAGCACCAGCTACACCGTCAACGGCTGAAGAACTTTGGAAAAAAGGATTGTAACTGCCGTTTAAGCTACCGGGAGATACAGCAAAGCCGCTCTGAGATGCCATCGTAACCGGAGGCGTCATAGACTGCTGATAGTGCCGGTAGGTAGCTTGACCCTGCTGGCTGGGATACCCCCCAGTCATGTTTGGAAACAAAGGCTGGGACACTTGTAGATTTTGGAAGGACTGCTCGAGCGTTTGTGTTGGAGCTTGTTGCGATGGAGGAACACCGAAGGGATTATAAGGAGCGAGCTTTCTTGCGGCCGCTTCATCAGAACTGCTCGTTGTGCTATGAGATTCTCGACGATTAATCGATATTCCAGCAGAGCTTCGCGATGATGAAGACCCCATTTTATCAAATGGATTGCTCGAGCCGGTTGGGTCATATGAATCGGAAAACTTGGCGCTTGTGGGCGTTTTCAAGACCGGTGTACGGGATCGGGAAGTAGATCCATTTCCTTCTCCCAGTCTCACTAATGCATCGATCGTCTTTTCAACGTCGCCATTTAAACCTTTGAGAATCGTTGCATTCCGCTTATCATCAGGGAACCCCATGTTTCGTAACACAGCTAGTTTGGATTCAAGAGAGCCACTAGGATCGTTGAAACTGAATCCCAGCGAACGGGATGGCTTGTTGCTGTGTAGCGTCGAATTTTGAGAGATGGAGCCGAAAGATTCACGGCGGGGAGACGACTTATTGGATCCAGAGTGTGAGGAGGACGATCGGAAACCAAACCCAAACTTTCTGCTTGGCTTCGGAGGCAGCGGTGGAGGAGAGTCTTCGACGTGCTTCGTAACATAGCTCGGATCCTCCCGGCTGGGGATCTTGGGCTTTCCGTCCTCGAGGACCTTGGATTCGTATTTCTTGCGAATGAAACGCTCCATTGCCGGATCAACCTCGTCGGCATCTATCGGTATCGGCGGCTTGATATGTTTTGGATTGTACACCTTGTTCACTACCGCGTTGCCATTTCTTTTCATATTCTTTAACGCGGTATCAGCAATTTATCTCGACAAGACCAGCGAGAAATCAACTCACATCCACTTGATCTTGAGACCAGGTATCCATGCTTAATGACTTCACTTTGGAAATATGGGTTCCGAGCTTGCGATGAAGGCCCGCACAGCGCATACATAGGAAGATCCCAAGCTGTTGTTACCTCGAAGACGACACGTTAGCAATTGCTCGCCACGGATGATCTATCTCGAAAGACTTTGGACTTTGTAGCGTTCGGGTTGGTTCTGGGAGGACAGGGAGGTAAGACGAGTAGAGAGCGTTATGTACTCACGTTCCAGCTTGCCCATGCTAGCGTCAATTATCGGCCGAATGTTAGCTCAAGTCCATTGTTTGGTGACTGTTGTGATGTATGGTCGTGGAAGGAAAGCGTACCAGGATTACGCGCCTCACAGTCTGCGCAGCGGTCATTTCCGGGGACACTTCTTATGAGTTCCTGTAGGGTTCTCTCATGACGAGCCTGCTGGCGCTTGCTCAATGCTGAAGACATTTTCAGTCCAGCAAGGCGGAGATGGGAGGGAATGTTGGCGTGATGGTCTTCAGTGCGAGGAAGTCAGTCTCCTGAACAGGCTAATTATTTAGGTTTTTGGGAAAGGGACAGGCGCAAGGTTCAAAGAAAGTTCGCAGCTGTTCAGATACTGGGTTGATTGGATAAACAGCCGCATTTCACAGTCCTGCACCCATCTTAGCTGATTTTGCAACCATCTGTGATTTTCGTCGGATGTTGAGTGGTGTTAGGAGGTGAAGTTGACCAATTGCTGACATTCGCCAGACTACGCCACTCTTGGAGAGTCCAGGCGCTGTCAGTCTGAGCTTGGCGCAACTAGGCGGGCATCAAAAAAGCACCTGTTTGCCATCTGGAACTTTGGAATTAATTTGAGCATGGTGATGGAGATTATTATATTTTCTTCTATGGCTGAGTGACATATATATGTTATTGTTCCATGGTCCTGTACCAGACCTCACTCTGCTGTTCCTGGCCGGAAAACTAAGGTCTGTGGCATTGAACCATGGTTACTCCAGGTTGATGGGCCGCCTCACAAGGGTTTGGTGCTCCTACAAGTGCAACAGAACACTGAGCTTCTACACCCAGACATATACCGGATTAAGCATGCAAAGGCCACTTCCGCATTAACTAGAGAATGTGGGTCAATGATAATCAAAGCCCTTTTGGCCATCAACCCGGTCTCAGCGACGGCTCAGGTCCACCCAAGCCCGACCAATCTCGATATGAACTAGTAATTTTGACACTTGTTTAACAGACTATACTTCAGTGTTAGTGCTCTACATTCATGACCAAACAACAGTAATCGAAAGCCATGGTACTCGCGTGGTGTGTTTGACTGAACCCCGCCGGGTTTCAAATCCTAATATCTCTATCTTGATGAATAGTTGCTCAGTTATCCGGATGTAGAAAAGGCACCCTCTCTCAGGGGATCTGTCGATTTCCAACGGCCCGTTGCCACTGTCCTGGAATAAGCAATCTCTAGGCCCAAGGGCTTGGACTTGGGCCTTAAGTACATAGCGCAACAACTTGCAGATGGCAGCCACGGAGATCCGTCCCAGAATCGTGTTGTTGAAGGCGAGAGTCTGCCGCTTGCACATGCAAAAAACCTTTTTGGGGTAGCTTCTCTTCTCGGCACCGATATGGAACTCGATATTGACGCCGCGATCGCCAGATCCCTGCACATTTGTATGCCGAATGAGATGATCTGGTTGGTTCATTCTCTTGAGATACAGAGTAGGTAAGATCGGTATCGATCTTACCTATTCTTGGCTTAGCCGCGTATTTTGTATTACACCCTCGCATGTATTAATCACTCCATTGCCGTAGCTTGGATGACTGCCAACGAACAGGCGGGACTGTGAGATTCTTGATTCTCTGGACACTACTCCGTATTGATGCTTGTTTTTAGTGACTACTTGATCCACAGAGACGCACAGAGGATCAAAATGGCGGACCATTTACATGTCCCTTTCAAATAAAGGGAAAATGGAAGTTGACCCAACCGGCTCGTAGGTTCGCCTATACACATAGCACAGAACAATGGCAAGGGAACTTCTGTTATGTGATAGTTACTCTGCTGTCGCTGCATGCATACCAACTCATGAGGTATGTTCCCATGTCATATGGTCATTATCTGTCAGCTAACTTTCTCAAACAGGAGAGCTACCAATCAAGTCCAATAACTACAGCCTTGGGCTTTTCATTTTTTTTTCCCTCAATGGGTTTATTCTGTGGTCAGCTGTCCAGTTATACATAAGTTGGCGTTGTGGTTAATGCTAGACTCACAGAAGCACTTGCATCAGTGACTCTGACTGGCCATGGCCATGCTCTGGCTCAGGAAATGATTGTTTTCGGCTCTCATCGGTCCCTTGGACACAGTCACCCGATTAGGCTCTCTTATCCGTTGGCCGCTCTTATCCAGTTGTCCGTTGAGACGGTGGGCACATTCCCCGCCCATAAAGCACTGGCTAAGCGGAAGATACTGGCTGTATACATATATATAAATAAAAAAAGAAACTGGCCTACTCTTTTCGAGAACTGATATTGATTACTGACTTTTGACGCAATATCTTCGTGCGACTTTCTAGTATGGGTGTACTCTATTTCTTTCCCTTCTCCGAGGGCTTTTTTGACGACAATTTGACTTGCCATGTTGCAACCAGACAAGGCTAAGATGCCACTCCCCTATTAACAGCCTATCTACATGCGAATTCCTAGTCGATTATTATGCCCTCCCGGCATCCTTCTCTTTCAAATTTCTCCAGGATTGCATATCAATATAATGCCTCTCGATCACCCAGATTGCTCGTTCTCAAATCATCACCACGCTGCTTATCTGAATCTCCTTTTTGTTGAAAAGCTAACCACATTCTTCTACAACCTTAAGCTGCCGTGTGTTTAAGTATGCATCTCAGCAACCTTGCTATCGCCACCCTCTTTATGACAGGGGCATTTTCGGGGTGTCGATCCCCTTGGGGAAAGAGTTGTGAATATGTTAGCATTTCGCTATGGTATAGTTAGACCAAACGCCGAGCTTCTCGAAAAGGATACAAATGGCTGGTATCTGGTGGGGGGGTTACAAAAGACGAGGGTATCAGCGATTATTGCTATGACGATCATCTGAACTTTTGCGATTACTGCTCCCACTATGGCGATCAGTGCTTCATTGGCTGCAAGAGGCTATGGTGTTGCAACTAAGAAGGGATGATTGTAAGTACTATACCTTTTAAACCCCTCTTGCTCCTATTATTATATCGCTTTCAAACTGCAAATTATGCCTTACTGATAATACCAAAGTATTGGCCAAATGAGCTTCCGTCGTCGACGTTCTTAACCCAGAAACTCGACTTACAGCGAGGTTCCCAAAGGGATGCTAGGTTAAATATTCAGCGAAAGGTTGAAATATCCTAAGCTGATGCTGGGAATGTTATAATGTCGATTGTTCAATGCCTCTTCGCACGTATATCTGAAGATACTTTTTGAGGAAGAAAATACTGCCTCTCTACAAACATGAGCTATATGAGACCAAAGCCGTTAAGCTCGAGAGATACGAAGCCGTCAGATATTGGGACGTTGGGGCATGAAGCTTACGACAAACATGTCTTTTCACGATGTTAAGTTCGAGGTTCCAGTCGCGGTAGACATATTAGCGTGCCCTCACTCTCCGTGACATATTCATATGAATGGTGCAATGGAACTGAGAATGTTTCCAATGGAACTAGCCTCCATAAAATCCGGTAATAAGTTCATGCTCCCTCGATACCACCGCACAGATATCCCAAGCCACCAAAAACAGCCCAACTATAATCTTCATGAACACTCATTGTGCTTTAATGAAGGGAGCCTTTGCTAAGGCCCTCGCCTGAGTGTTCCAAATGTCCCTTGCCAGCCTCACCAGCTCCAATCCAAACTTCTCAAGCACCGCCTCGACTCCCGTCTCACTCTCATCGACCGCATTACCGTATTGCTCGTCTGTTCCGAATGTCGCAAGCCTCCATAGCGTCTTCCATTTCCTGATCGCGAGAATAGCCTCGTCGTGCTGGCTCTGAATATTGGTGGCAACCATGTAGAAGGAGGACCGCTTAGCGTGGAATTTCTGTGGCTTAAAGACCTGCACGGAAGAGAACTTGCTGAACGTATACAGAAGGGAAACGGTGTCCCATGCCTCAATCTTATGGAGGAGGGCAACTATAGTTCCGCCGTGTCTGACATGCTCAACGCCCAGTGCCAGCTGAGTGAGGGTGAGCCTGCGAGCTTCACGCTCTTCCCGATACGCTGCTCGATCATGCGTTCGAAGCACCTGGCCGTCACATATGACGAGATCGAAGACTTCTCTTGGGTCGAGCTGCCGCGGCAGAAAATTCGCAGCATCAGGGTGCTCTTTTGGGATATCTGTCACGCCCATATCTGCGGCAAACATTGTTATATCCTGGTATTTCACTCTAAAATTTAGACTTCTTGGGAGTAAAATCTTGTGTCCTCCCTTGCAAAGAGGCAAGGTAAAACCTAGAGCGCGAGATCCAGAATTCACACTGAGTGCCTCCGCGAGAAAACCACCCGGGGCCATGCACATGTCGAGAATGCGTCCTCTCCAGATATCCCCTGAGATCCGAAATGCATCAGTGGAAAGATGAAGCTCTCTTCCAATTTTCTTCATCATGTCATAGAAGTGCAAAACCGTTTGGCCGTCGGCGTTATCAGCTGTTTGGCGTTGTTTTTGGAAGAACAGATCACCCGCTGGATTGCTCCATCCCTGCTCCAGAACGGGTCAGTGTTCTTACCACTCGAGACTGCTGTTCTGATGTATTACTAACCTTTTGCCGGAGATCAGTCAGCTCCCGAAATTCTGGGGCGGTTTGCAGGAGATACTCGATGACAATGCCATTGGCGCGTTTCGACTCTTGATCGTTCGGACATGGCGCCTTGTTTGCAAGGGCCTGAATACTACTTTGGTCCGATGCACTGCCGTCGAGGCTCATTGCTTTCTTAGCTTGTGCCATGATAGATGTCTCCATGGGGAACAAACAAAAGTTTTCAACTTTTTACGTTTCCAGAAAGCAGTTTTTTGGTTTCTGGAAAACCAGCTTAGGAACGCAATGAGCTTGAAAGCTGAAAAGCATTATATGGTCAACCCGCAAAGTCCACGGTAGGCAACCATGCGCGTCCCAGAGTCCGACTGTCTGGTATGGTGGCCTATCGACCAGTCAAGTTCTTGGAGGCTTGTTCCGGAGGACTCCTACTCGGCCACGTCGATCTACAGAAAACCACCTGCTGAGGTCACCATCCGCCACTGAACCCATTTTGGAGATGAAAAAGAGGGGGGATTGAGTAATGGAACGGATCAGATATTGGATGCAATCTGATGGAGTTCTGAGTGGGAAGCCCGGGATAGTGTCCGAACCTCCATATACCTTTAATTCAGTCATCGAGGGGCTGGTCGGAGCTGTGTTGTTTGATTTTCCGAATCACTGGTTCACAGGCCTCTCCAATTACTACCTCGACATTAGTCGCTCTATATTCTTATGTATTACAGCTTTTGCAAAAAATTATATACATCTTCAAGTAGTGCTAGTAGTTGCCGGCTATCCTTCTCTCACTGGTTCAATAGAGGCATATTCAGAAAGCTGTTCCCTTCCTACCCTGACAAGGTGAGGGGAATGGCGTGATTTTTAGAGTCCTGGGATTTCCGTGAGACTACAGAGTATGAGGTCAACCGTAAATTGCGAAGCCGGCAGTCATCCTATCTCTTCACTCTCACTCCCCGCTTTCTTAGTCCCTGGTTGCTAATGTACTTTGTGCAGGTAGATTGCCCGACTCATTCAATTTGTTCAGAACTTGAAGAGACCCTGGCACTTCTATCATTTTTATCTTGAGCCAGACTCGCTATCGACTTTTGGCTCTGCCATTTTCACCAGGGATAAGGATCATGCGACCCTATATACGAATTGTAGGGGTTCCGCCCGAGCATCACTGGAAGGGCCTGGTCTTCGCACGCCAGCTTGATGTTGTTGTTCTTTGCTTTGGCAGATAGAACCCCTTTGGTTGTGAAAGCTTGTGAAAGCGGCGACGTGATCGAAGGGTGGGTGGTTCTCCTCGATATGTCCTGGTTTAAGCAGAGGTGATGGCGCAAGGCTGCTCACAGATGATCCACCGCCCAATGAGCAACTGTGCTCCATACTGTGGATGAAGAGGGCCTCAGAGCTGAAAGAAGATCTGGCGGAAGATGAGTGGTCTTCTGTCAGTAATAGGGGATTCCCTTGACATTTACTTCATAGCACATAGCACTAACTCCGCCAGGTTGAAGTGGAAGAGATGGTTCAGGACAAGAAGCCCAAGTCACGCGTGGGGGGTCGAGGGCGCTATGCCTGACCTGGACGCGCCAGGCTGGAACGGGCGCCGCTGGTTCCCTGCCCTCAATAGGCCCCCCCGCTTTCTTTGTTCAAAAGTTTTCGATATACAGAGGATGGAGGGCTCCAGGGTGAGGACAGTGTAAAATGGTAATCTCACATAAGTGTGAATATTGTCATGTGAGTTCACGGGTTGATTTGCAGCAAGTTTGATAAGAAAAGATCATTGTGTACAGTCAAGTAACAAGGGTGTAGCAAGGTTAAGGTGTTTCATCCCAAGGTTGCTAGCATTGTGCCCAGCTCGAAGAAAAAGCGTTTGGATACTTGGGAGGAAATAATAGTCCATGGAGCCTGATGCACCAACCAATTTTTGTCGTCATTGAGACAAGCTGAGCCCAAGTGACACACACAAATAATACAGTTCGCTTAGACTTGCTGCCGCCTTTTCATGTTTTTTAACCCAACATCCTGGAAGAAGCTTCTTTTGAAATTCTTCTCTCTTAAAGAAATTTTTCTCTTTTCCAACATCTTCCCTGAGATCCCTTATTATAAATATTGCCCTGGGAGCAAAGACTCATCCTGCAGCTCTTAACTGTATCGGTTGGGATTTGACTGTCGCAAAGGGCAACATGCCACTATATGGCAACCTTGCCAAAACCCTCTCTTAAAAAACTCCAGCTTGTCAACAGAAGCTTGACAAGCTCGTGGCCTCACGTCCAAAATTGTCGCACAGACACTGAGATATCAAGGCTGTTGGCATTGAATGATGCACTTGACAGCGAATTTGCGGAGTATCTCACAGTACTGTGGCTTTGGCTGACATTCTCTCCAAAGATGCCAATTGTAAATAGCTTGTCCTGCTGCCACAGCCCAAGCATGAAGAGGGCGGTCTCCGGGCTTGCGTGTACTCTGTATGGAGTATGGTTCGAACCTGGCCCCTGAACTGCCCCCGAGCTTGCAGGCGCTACTGATGAAATTTCTTTTTTCTTTTATTTTCCCTCTTCCAAGTCTGCTGTGTTACAAGCTAGCTAACTGCCACTAGCATGAGTGAGTCTCTGCTCAAATCACTAACCCAAGATACCTTCACCAGGGTCTTGCTGTGTGCTCTCTGGGAGAAGCGCCCCTCCTGGAGCTGGAGCTTCCGTCCGGCGGCCGGGATCAGGGCTTGGTACCAGGCTCGTACGGCGTATCGTATCAATCTATCCATCCCACCTTTGCTCGCACAAGCCGCGTTTTGCCCAAAGGGGAATGGCGCGTCCCGCCACTACTCACTGCGCCATCACCCGAACAGGAAAGGCGCCAAAACTCTCAAATCGCCCTTTTCCGCTTTTGTCCCATCCAGTCTTTTCGACTTGCTTTTCCCTCAATCCAGCTGGTCCTCCTCTCTTCTCTCTCTCTCTCCCTCCCTCTCTTCCACCATCCCTCCCATCATCATCTTCCTTCGCCATCTATCTTGTATCCTTTTCGCTTCTTTTCTCATTATACCGTCCAGTCATTGGAATGGTCTATGGCAAACCTTTTATTCTCGCCAGTTTTCCCTTCGACTCTCCCTCTTGTCCGTCTACGTTTCCCACCATCCGTCGACCCACAGATTTTCTCACACCACTACGGCCTTTTTTCTTCACCTTCTCTTCATCGCATTTGATTCCGTCGACCGTTCCCATTCGAGTTGCTTCAACTTTTTCATCGACTCTTGTCCTCGATACCGTGTCGTGAGATCCGAAACGTTCATGCGGGAGCCCGTTCTCGTTGTCATCCTCAACGGGTCGCCTCTCTTGCCTCCGTTCCTGTCATCCGTTTCCCTCTACCCTACACGAGTCGCATAAGACACGCCTCATCCTGAAAACTAAACCGCGGTCGCAGGAGCGTTTCTCTGTCGGATTTCTGCTTGATCCACGCCTTTTCGCACGATTATTGTGGTCGGAAGGCTAGACGTGGCTGGTATGCGCCGATATCATCAGGTCGATTCGTGGTTACCACATTCGGACGTCCACTTCCTAACACCACCGACCGTCAATTAAAGGTCCGTACATCAACGTGAACCGCGCTTGCTCTCCACCAGACCAACCTCTCTCCCATCGTCTCATCCGCCATCTCACTCGCGAATAGCTGTGCAAAAAGGCTAGCGTCCCCGCTATTCATCAAAGGGGGATCCACTGTCAGATTATGACAGAGACCTCCTTCGCAAACACGCATTCCACGGCGCATCTCTTTCCGGTCACTGCTCCTACGCTCTCTCCTCCCCTTGTCAACGGCACCCACTCAGGTCAGCAAGACGACGAAGAACCCTACACCATCAAGTGCATCTGTATATTTGATGATGATGACGGCAGCACCGTATTTTGCGAACGCTGTGAAACGTGGCAACACATCGTATGTTACTACGATGACCAAGAAGTGCCAGAGATTCACAACTGTACAGACTGCGAGCCCAGGGTCCTAGACTCGAAACGTGCCACTGAACGTCAGAAGAGGCTAAGAGAGCAAAATGACAGCGGTGACCGGAAAGGTAAAAGGTCAGGTGCGAAATACCAAAAGAAGAAGACCAAAGACGCAGCATCGGCGACGGACACCACAAATGGCTGGAATCCTCACGACAAGAGTGGCTCAAATTCTGTCTCCAAAGACCAACAACCCCCAACAAAAAAGCAACGCACATCCCATCGTTCTTCCGCTTCCGTAAGCTCCGTAGCCGCAGCCCTAACGAGCGACTCGAGGAAAAGAGGAGCTTCGTCCATCGTCTTACCAAGTCCTACCAAACCTCCATCTCATCCTCCAATCCCTCTATATTCGCAGGAATTCTTACACCTGTACGATAACGACCACGTCAACACAAATATGCATGGCAATCTCTTTGACACACTTGGTCTGGCGGGTGATTTAGCTTCATGGGTTCAAGATCCTTCAGCACTTGCTCTCGTCGCCAACGGTCGCAGTGCAAAAGATGTGTTCACGTATTCTGACCAGCCGTTGGATCATTCTAAATGGCCTGTTCTATCGAAGCAGTCAGTGACGGATACGAGTATTGACTACGACGGAAGACACCCTACGTGGCGCTTCTTAAAGGTTGACAAGGATGTGCGCAAGGACGAGATCGTTGGTGAAGTTCGAGGCAAGGTGGGACATTTTCGTGATTACTGCCTTGATCCCAATAGTCGATGGCAGGAGCTACGGCACCCTGAACCATTTGTTTTCTTCCACCCACAGCTTCCTATCTATATCGACAGCCGAAAAGAAGGCACCCTGCTTCGATACATTCGCCGATCATGCCGACCGAACGTGACACTCAAGACTTTTATCACAAATGAGATCGAGTACCATTTTTGCTTCGTCGCAAATCAAGATATTTCTGGTGACTCCGAGATCACAACCACCTGGTACCTAGATCCTCAACTGTTTCCGGCTAGCAATGGGTTCGTGAAGCAAGAGGGCCCGAACGATGGTATCCCCGATGCCGCGGCAATCTCGATCAGCAATGTTCTCGCACATTTTGGTGGCTGTGCTTGTGATCCTTCGCAGCCCTGCTTGCTGGCCAACGTTGATCGACGACAACGGCCCCGAAACTCTGACTCAAACGTTAAACAACTCAATGGGAGACGAAAGAAGAGTAAAAATAGGAACAATGTATCTCCGGTCAGTACAGGTCGAGCAACCAACAGTCGGGCTGGGAGTGAAAGTCGTAAACATCGTGAAGACGAAGATCAGTCTGAGAATCGATCGGTGTCTGGATCTGTTCGGGATCATCCGCAAAGTAGGGATTTAACGCCCACGGGTCATAGTGCAGCAGACATATTGGGAACAAATGGAACGGAGCTTTCGGCGCGTGAGAAGCGTAAAATTGCTGCGGCAGAGAGGAAGTTTGAGCAACTTGAACAAGACCAACAACATGCTCAGAAGAAGAGGAAGCGTACCAATGTGGGCACTAGTACATCCGTAAGTTTCCAGGAAAAATTTTCCCACCTAATTTTACAGATGATGTGAGTCTAACCGCTCACCTTTATGTGTAGAAATCGTCCGGACCCTCGAAACCACCACGCTTGGACACTATGCCTACGCGTCGATCCCCTAGCACTTCCGCCAAAGCGTCTCCCGGTTCTGCAAATTCGCGTCGAGAGTCACGTTTAACTCCAAAGACTTCTGCTGCCAGCACTCCCCGAATTGGGTCTCCTTTGGCTCGTGCCAACTACGTTGATTGTAGTATCCAGACCGACTCAGACGAGACTGACCCACACTATGTCCCTCCAAAGTCGCCCCCTCGACCTTGTTTCGTCCCGCTTACAAAACGCCTTCTTTCACGTTACCACCATGATCGATTAAAGCTTGACGAATCCAAAGGCCTGAATCATGCGCCAGTCAAGCAGGCAATAAGTAGCATGCCTCCACCGCCAACACCTAAGCTACCTTTATCTCCCCAAAGCGAAAAAGACATCGAAATGAAAGATGTAGACACTAGCATTACCCTCCAAAGACTTGCTCGTCCAGCTTCACGATCTTCAGATCATGCGCCCATCGCCGAGCTACCTTTCAAGCCGCCGCGTCTTCCACTACCGTCCACCGCAGCGCATAACTTCCCAGTTCGATACCCCTCTGGTGATGCGCCAGGCAAACTTCGCGTTCAGCCACCTGAAGCACAGCCCTCGAGTCCAGTATCCTTTTCAAACAACCCGTCTAGCGGCCCCCATCCTACTTACCTGCCACCACCCTTGAGCACCAAGCTGCAAGGTCCTCCGAGCTCTTTAACACCAGGCTTGGGTATTACTGCACCAAGTCCTGTTAAAAAGAGGATGAGCTTGGGTGATTATATGAGGAGCCGGGGAAATCTGACGACTCCTAGTGCAGAGAAGTCTCATACACTGATTCTGTCGGGTGGTCAACCGCCAACGCCTTCGGCTGCTCCAGGCAACTCGACGGAATCTGGGCACACACCAACCAAGCCAACTCGAACAGCTGATGGACCCATCAAGCGTGAAAGCGATACTACATCCGATGTGGTTATGAAGGATGCCTCCTCTTTACCTCCGCACACTGACAAGTCCTCCAGCCCGCCTTTATTATCACGAGATCCACGGATAAATCCATCAACTTAGCCTGTGCAGGATTGGAAGTCTCAACGAGTTTTTTGAGATGTTGTAGTGTTTTACTTCGTGTCCGATTTATTGTTTCTCCCCTTTAATGGTGCGATCTGTTCGATTATTGTTTTTGCGTCGGGGTTTCGGTGAAATGCAGGCTTTTCAACGGTTGGCGTTCTCCGCGGAAAGTCTGGCATGAAAGACTTGTCAATTTAGCCATGGGATAGGTTTGGGACAAAGTGGCGTTTTGTGGAATTGGAAGGGGCCTTTCTTCATTTTTATTTTTATTTTTTTTTGGGTTGATCTCGTTTTGGGATGGGAAAATGGATTGCTAGAGCGTACGAGTGTCTGAGATTCTTTTATTTGACTGGGAGGTTATTGTGTGGTTATCTGTCGGCGTCTCTTGCTCTTGCACTACCACTTCTGGCCCTTTGTCCTGTTACGAGATATTGACTTGATACTTCGCTGTAAACAGTATGATTTCTGCTTTGAACAGAATACGGTGATATGCATGTATTAATGACGAAGACGCAGGTCTGAGAGGCCTGGTTTCATGATATCTAGAAGGCTATTGCTCCAATACACAAATATATCCATGGAAGAATGCTGCCCCGTCTCCGTCCTGCGCGCTGGCGGCTCCGCGCGCTATAGGAATCACGTGATCTAGACAGAGCTCACAGCCGAAACGCCATCCTATCACAAGAGCTTCATGCTTCAGCGATTCGGCATTCCTCGCACGCAAGGGAATTTTGGCTTCGATTACGTTTGTATATCTGGTTACAAGATTCAGAGCACTACCTTACACCCATTGCCGGCACAACCCGTGCCGCCATGGCGACCACTGACCCCAGCCTCTCGGACCCTCTCCTCTCACTTCGCCGCGTCCTTGCATCCGGAAGCCCTCCCATACTCACAACCTCTCCAGACCTCTCCACCGAACATGCGACGGAAGACCTAACCAAGGCGACCCATCTCTACGTCACACAGCCCATTCCGCAGACAATCTCCCTCTCCACGCCAACCCGTTTCGTCTCCGCGGCGGCGAAACAACCGATCGATCTACGGAGCATCTATTTTGCGTGGCAGAAGAAAGATGTTGCGATCCCGGAGTACATCTCCTCCGCTCAGGAGCTCAATGAGGCGCTGAGCAAGAGGCAGGAGAACGGTGAGGGAGAGGCGACGAAGATCTTGAATTTGGTGTTTGTTGAACGGTTGGATCTGATCACTTGGCTTGAGGGTGCGTCGGAGGAGAGCGAGTATATTAAGCCTTTGGAAGGGGTGGGTGCTCCTGGTGCTGCGGATGCATCTGCTGCGGCGGCGGGCGCAGCGTCTGGTGCGGTTGGAGGAGTGCCTGCTGTTTCGAGTGCCGGGGGCAAAGCGGCTGGGGCACCGGCGATTACGCATGTTGGTGGGAGGCCGGTTAAGATTATCGATGCGAGACTGCAGCAGATTTATAATGGGGAGAGAAAGTTGGGAGATCGAAATACAGTTTTGAGAGGGATTCGGCCGACGGTGAGAATGTTTCCGGCGTGGTCATGTTGCTTTGGACGGGTGGGCTGATATTCCTCATTTTTTTTTTTTTTGATTTTAGGACTTCTCTCATGTTCGCAAAATTGCCGAACGTTTTCTTGGCCGGAGCCGTTCAGGCGCAGCTCCGTATCCAAGTGGTGGTGCAAAACCAGGGGTCAAGCCATCCGCTCCAGGACCAGGCCGTAGCCTCGTTCCCAAGAAATCCTCCGATTCTAGCTCATCGCGTCGTCCCAATCCAATTATCCTAGTCTCACCGTCCGCATCTTCTCTCCTCCGGATGTCAAATATCAAGACCTTCCTTGAAGATGGCACCTATATACCACCAGACCACCCATCCCTCTCCAAATCCACCGGTGCCAACCGTCTCAAAATCTCGCGTGTTCTTCATTCTCTCCACGACTCTTCCAGCGCCGCAGCCGCCAAGCCAAATACTTCCCGCAGCGGAACTGTCTTCATCCTCGTTGACAGCACTGCTGATTTCAAGCCTGAATACTGGAATAATGTCGTCGCTGTTTTCACTACCGGCCAAACATGGCAGTTTAAGTCGTACAAGTGGTCGTCACCACCGGATCTTTTCAAGCATGCGACGGGTATATTTGTGGGCTGGAGAGGAGAGGAGGTTCCCAGGGAGGTCAAGGGATGGGGACGTGGTGTGCGTACGTTCGCAGTTGAGCGCTGGGATGAAAAGAGTGCGAATGTAAATGGACCTGCGATTGGTGGGCGGACAAGATGGAGAGATAGAGAGGTTGTCGAGGGTATATGGGGTGCCATTGAGGAAGGAATGAAAGCTAGAGGCTGGGGCTCGAAGTGACCTACCAAGCCGGAGACTGTTGTTACAATATTTCTTTTTTCTTATTCCATCCCGGTGGTTATGCTTGATTGCGTGTGTGTATTGCCTGGAGTGATTTGGCGTTGATCTTTGAAATCTTGGGAAAATGTTGTCCTTCAGACTTACATTATACGCCTTCTGAAATGTGTGATTTGGGATTATTTTATTTGATAACAGCGCTAAGCTTGTTTAAAAATTTCATAATTGAAGAGCCATACCGAGTTCTCCACAGATCCTCCATTGTTATCCATCGCTTCGCTAATCTCTTTTGCTATTGACTCTATATATCCTCGGACATGTAATGAGAAAGCTCAGTGCTTGACCTTGTCTGTGACAAACAGGTCTTACCATAATATCAAGATAGCCGTTGAGAGGCTCCCTGGTATAGAAGTGACAAATGAGTCTAACTGCGCGTCCTGAAAAGGCCCCATATGAAAGGATTTCCCCAACCATCAAACTGCCAACAGAAAGGAGGTCCCCTTTGTGACCACAGGGCAGTACTCCATAAAAGCTTCCGATCTCTATTTTCAAGAGAAAGAGGGATGAGTAGCGTACACCAGCATGCAGTCCAGAAGAGACATATCGAGTGGTTGGACGTCTCGCGCCTCGTCCATCGGATTGCAAATACTATCCAGGATCAGGGAAAAAGAAAAAAGCGATAGCTGCAGACAGAAGTTCACCTCCATGACTGCCGGGGATGGCAGAGTTTTTGAGTTGAATGGATCAATATTAATATATGCAATATACGAAAAGAGGGGAAAACAGGACTGACGGAGAATAATAAACACATAGACGGATAGTATTGATTATATCTGCTATAGTGAAAAGTGAAAGAAAATGTTCAAACGCCATCCAAATGCTCTAATCATTCTGACTCTGCCAGTATTAGGAATTAGCAGAATGAGAAAAGAACAAGTCGGAAAATTATGTGGCATAAGAGACAGACAGAAAAGAGAAGTGAGATAGAAATCGTCAACATGTCATGCGTCTATTAAAAGAGAAAAGCAAACCACGAAAGTACACCATGGAAAGGCCGCTGGAGGAGGCTAGAAATTGTGGACTGGGCTATGCGAAGCAGCAGATAAGTTCAAAATAGAGCTGTAAAACAGAAAAAGTATCTTCGGAAATGAGGGGAAAACGACAAAGAAAAGCCTTTTTTCGCACGAGCTGTTTTGCTTGCTGGCTGACGTTTTTGAACTGACCCGCCCATCGCTTCCATCCGAACCAAAAAAAAAAAAAAAAAAAAAAAAAAAAAGAGAATAGTCTAAAGAAAAATAAATCAAATATATGCCAGATGCATGCTTTATTCCACGGCCGTCAACTCGAGAAGAAATTAAAAAGAGAGGAAAAAAGAAAAGAAAAGTGCCAAAATGGAAAACAGGCAAGAGATTAAAATTATTTAAGAGGTCGGAAAAATGCCTAACGACCTCGGATACCGAATGAAGCCCATGACAAAAATCACGAAATGGGATGATCAAAGGTAGATTTCTCAGAGACAGAGATAGGAGCGTAACCTAGTGGTACCCGTGTTCCTTCCAGGAGAGCTGATTCTTCATGTCCGTAAATGCATCCGTCCGAGTTCAAGGGCCGCAATAATGGAGTCACAAAGGTGGCTGTCGGCAGCGGTGGTGAGTCGCAAGGCCAACAACAAATATAGTCAAGTGTGGTCCCTTTGGCCTGGATAGGGGAAACGTAGAGATCCGGTGTCAAAGACAAATAAAACACGTCCAATCGTTGTAGCGCATAGATCTTTCGTCATATACTCATTTACTGAATTCCAATTAAGTCTATAGGTTGGTATGTCGTTCTCTCATCCAATTGACGAAGGAGATGCTTTTGTAAGCTTTTATACGAAGCGCTCCGTCGGCCAAAATCAGATAAAATGAAATGCAAAGCGATATGGAATGGCAAAACGACTCGTCGTGGTCAATGTCATGACCTCGCAGATCGGCTCATCGAACGCTCAGGGACGGGGGCTGGAGTAGGGGAATACGATCGACCAGAGCTGTTCACATCAAAGTCGTGCTCCTGCAAGATGTTTGCGTATCGTGGGTCACGGACAAATTTCGGAACAGAATCCTATATTCCAGGTTGTTAAAATCCAACGAATCAGGAGACAAACGCCGAAAGGCAGGACCTACACTCGACATCAATTTGAAGACGGAGACTTGAGCAAGTTCAAACAAGCTCACAACCTCCGTCAAACTCTCAATCATCGCTTCGTCATCTCCAACGGCTCTGGTCATACGGCTAGCGAGGCTATTTCGGAGAGCGTGCTCAATGTTGAGTTCACAAGGAGACCCGGGTGCAAGGAAGGCATTGTATAACCCTAGATAAAAAATCAGAAACTGTTCTTCGGTTCGACGCAAAGCACTTCGAAAGAAAAACTCACCGTAGGCACTAGCCAAAGTTTCCCGGACGGCATCCATCCTAGAGAATGTTCCAGCTCTCTCTGCACGATGATAATCGGCTGTGAAGGTCGAGACATCAAGGTAAAATGCCAGGTTCTCCTCGCAAAGAGAATCTCGAAGAAATTCACGAAATAACAGCCTCAGAGCTGCATCTTGTAGAATGTGATTCAGACGGGCATTATTTGAATCACGAGGCACAACGCGACCGTCAATGGAGGTAGGAGTGACTTTGTCTCGTGCGATCCAGCCACAGACCCGTTGGCCATGCTCTGTTATGCCATAGATGGCGTGCTTCGTGGGTTGGAAGGATGTTGCCCCAGGATGCTGTAGCATATAACCCTTATCTTCTGCGATGGCATAAATCAAATTATATTTCACAAACATCACTGCAATTTCGTAAGTTTCACGATTATCGCTCGCAGTGCAGCAATCTAATATCCAATCCACTGCAGCCTTGCCGGTGAAACTGTTTTGAATGACCTTGTCTCCGACCTTGCGCTCTTTCGCCATTTTGACTCCCGTGGTGCCGTTTGCGTAGTCACTCACAGAATCGGAATCCGAACTGGATACGGTATTCTTGAGATTTGGCCCATCAACTCCGGCAAAGCGACGAAAGATAACCTCGATTGTCGCCCGGTCTCTTGATAGTTGGTCCGTTTGACTATCGCGTTCCAAGATGACCAACTGCATAGTATTGCGGGGAGATTCAAGGACATCCATGACATGGCGGGCAGTGATGCCATTTCTTTGGCAAAAGCGGTGAAGAATGTGGATACCTTTTGGCGTCAGCTGGAATAGAGAGCCCTTGAGAGGAAACTGAGCGGTTACGCGACCGTCGACAGGCTCGATGAAGCGAGCATCCACGAACCGCTGACACACGGAGCGAGCCATCTCCCTGGCCATGGAAAAGGTGGTAGTGGTCGTTGTCGTGACGATGCGGGAGGGGTCCTTGGGGTCAGGCATGCGGTTAGACTGAGAGAATTTCAGCGAACCCAGGTTGTTGATGGCCTCCTCGGACATGAAGGTGTGGTCGAACTTTGAGAACCGCACACGGTGGCTCTCCAGCTTCAGGCTGACCATCAGCGTCGAGAAGAGGTCCTTGAAATCCCGGCTGAAGGGCCGGTCGTCGCTGGTCATACGCAGAAGGCGCGACGAAGTCTGATGCATTTTGGCGCTTGGCATCTGAGATGTGTCTGCACTGTGTGCCTGAAGCGTATTCCGCCTATTTGAGATGGACGGATTGCTATGATTTCTTTGACTATAAGTTGGAGAGGCTGGTTGGTCAGGCAGGGGCCCAGTATGTGCAGGATCCCCGTTGCTTTCCGTCTGGAGCGGGAAACGAGAACCAAGATGATCCGCGACACCACCACGACCACTCTCGTTGCTGTTACCGCTCCTCCCGCCGTTGATATCTGGAAAGTACTCAGTCGGTGGCGAAGTAGCGGTTGGCGATAGCTTCAAATTGTTGCCGCCGGAGAAGGCTGGAGCGGACCGGACAGGAGGATTGGACGAGCCACCAAGAGAAACAAGGTTATTCAGCGCAGAAGAGGTCTTCTCCAGGGCAATTGCAGCCAGAGAACGTCGACTGAAGCGCGATATCGAGGCGGCTCGGTGATGCGAAGCAGATGTGCAATTACTACTGTTATCTAGAGGGATGTAAGAACGATGAGAATGAGGCAGAGTGTTGGATCCTTCCCGGTATTTGTCGAGGGCGGAACGAGAGCTCATTGAAAGGTCGGGAAGTGGATAATGAGAGAAAAGGGAGAAGTGGTCAAGGCCAGGGCCGTGGTCTTTGATGTCAAGGAAAAGGAAAAATGCAAATCGGTTCTGATGGGAAAGGGGGAAAGAAAAAAAAGGCTTTTTCTCCAATGAGATCAGCGACATACAGCAGTGACTGGAGGGGGGCCAGGATCATACTCCGTAGTAATTCTAAAGAATAATGGAGAGGACCAGAAATAAAATCAAAGAGAAAAACAAGATTACGGGTAAATAATATTAAAACCTAAATTGAGTTTATTATTATGGAGAATCGATATCTGGGCATCAAAAGTATATCGCGACAGCGCCGGTCTATGGGCAGCAGGGAGAGGAGCCAGGAGCATGAAGAGTAGATGGTGGAGCAGCGGAGGGTTAAGTCTGCCCGGGAGACGTGAAGACAGACACAGGCAGGATGGGCAGGACGGACAGGCAGCGCAGTAAGACGCAGCAGAGCAGCATGGAAGGGCTAACAAAACCCCCAGCGGCAGACAGCAACAGCAACAGTGACAGTGACAACCGCAACAACAACAACAAAAAAAAAAATGCTGGCGAAAAAGCAAAGAAAGAAAAAGAATGATGCAGGAGTGGAGCTGTCCATACATCAGAGTTACATACATACAAAATGTTCCGTCCATACAGATTTTCCAGACTTGAAGAATTTCTGTATTGTGGCCTGGTAAGATTACCTGCCCCCATCCAGTCTGTGTCCATCGCACCGCAATTTATTACGCGCCTGTAATACCATCTCTTGTACTGTACCGGCTCTCCAAGCATGTACTTTTCGATTATCCCCGCTGCCAAGGGATCTGCCTTGATGATCAGCCCAACACATGTCAGGTGCTGGCTGAGCGAGGGCCGGAGCGCAACGCCGTCTTCTTCCCAGGCGGCCTCTTTCGCATCGTCTTTGTCCAGTTCGGGCACGCTCGCTGGGGGGGGGGGCACTCCTGAGTGCCCACAACGCACGGCACACACGCTCAAGTTACAGGCAGGCAAGGCTAGACCGTGAGTTGTTGGCTCCTCCGTGCACAATTTGGGAGTTCAACAGATCAACCGACTGCTCTCCAAAGAGTAACTAGAGATGTGATTGGCCGGAGCGCGCCTCTGGGTCACACAGGACAGAGCGACATGATTCCGGCTGGTCAGTGAATTGTCGCATGGGCCAACTCCTACGACTCATGGATGCTGCGTCTGCAGAAATAAATAAAAATAAAATAAAATCATGAAATGTCCGGCAGCAATGTGCCATTCACACGCGTACGGAATGGAGTAGTGTACAACTCCCACTGCACTGCAATGTCACCGGAGACAGCAACTATGTTGTCTCCCAGAAGCCAGTGACCAGTGACAGCGAATCCAAAAAGGGTGGATGAAGGAGTCGTCAGGCCAAGTGTGCGCAATTCTAAGAGATGGTGATTCGGTGTCTACTTCAGGTCGAGCTGAGGTCCTCTTCCTCTTTTTTTTTTCTTTTTTCCCTTTTTTTTTTTTTTTTTTTTTTTCTCTTGTTGCACTCTCTTGTCTTTGTCCGTGCTGTCGAAATGACAGGACAGGACAGCAGACAGTTCAGGCGCGTATTTACTCTGTATTACGCGGTACACTTGCGACAGGACTGGTCACATTTCGGCCGGGTTACAAGCCCTACTGCGAACCCCAAGGGCCCGACCCACCAGCAAGCCAACAGCCACGCGCCCCGAGCACGAGATGGCACAGGGATGGCGCTGCATGCAAGGCGAAAACGTGGCTCACCAGTTCTCTTTGGGTTTAGTCCGCGCAAGTCCATCTGAGTGGCCGATCTGATTGGTATCGCCAGAGCCTTCTGAAGCTCCAGATCGTTCACGGTTACATCAAGGAGAGAAACTCCCTCGTTCACTCCGTGCAGGTTCAAAAGTGGGAAACAGTGCCGCGGTACTAAATAAGGCTGTCTCCCTTCAACTCAAACCCAAATTCAGCCAGTGTCAGAGCCGTCCTAAGAGAGGTTGCGTGTTGTGCTTACTTCGGCGTCCTCCGTCCACTAGTGTTCTTAAAACCAGTGGATTACAGAATAGTCGAGGTCAAATTGCTCACTAGTTTATTCGATTTGATTTTAAATTTTTTTTTTTTTTTCCCCCAAGAAGCGACCTTGCCGCTCCCCTTCAGCCCTTTTTCCTTGCTCCTTTGCCCCAGCGCCGGACGATTCTGACAAGAATCCGATCCACCAATCACTCTTCGCCAGCCCTCCGCCCCACCGTCTTAAAACACGACATGGTGCCAACTTGAAACCGCCCTCGCCTTGACCCTAGTTGTTTTGAGTTCAGGCTGACTCATGAGGATCATCAGGATTCGGTTCATTCGCTCCGAACGTGATACTCCACTCCTTTTCTTCTCAAGTGGCCTGACGATGCTGTCGTCACCATAAAAAAATATCAGCGCCAGCCACTATCTCGAATCCCCCTCTCCCCCACGAGTTCGACGCCAGGACTTTCGGAGTTGCCGTTGGGATGGAGATCGGCTCAATAGTCTCCCAAGAGTGGGAAGACGGGGGACCAAAAGCGCGTTTAGACAGGTGTTGAAGGAAGTCTGCCATCACAGCCCTCCACATGGATTGGGATTCTCCTTGCCAAGATTGGAACTCCCGAAAATCACTTTCTCAGCCTCACGGGATGAAAATTGAGAATTGTGAGAGAGAGGAGAGAGCTCGCCCATGTTGGAAAAGGGCTCGACCTTCCTCATCCTGCCCCTGCCCTTGAAAAAAGGGGGTCGAAAAGAGTCTCCTCGCCGGGATCAGCTTCCAAAGAGGCATGTACCAATCCTGGTTCTTCAGCCGATTTTCTGAAATCACCCTCGAAGGCTTCGACGATGGCTTCCCCTTGATCTCCCATCTCATCTTGAGTCAAACCACTGCCCCTGGCAATCTTCTAGAATTTTCTAGCGAAAGTCTATTTTCTTTTCTGGACTTCTTCTGTCGCCGACAACAAACACTAGTGCGGAGTGGCGGTGCTATTTGTAATATTACTTGGTATGGCCTCCGTACTGCCCCAGGTTCGCTTGGCTTCCACGGTCGTAATTTACAAGACGACCCTTTCCCAAAGTGTCACGGATACCCCCTGTTAGCTCTTGGCCCAACTTGGAAATGGTCCCTCTTGGCAGATGGCAGCGGCTTCGGGACGGACTAATGATCAACTCGATTTGGAATCCCCAAAAGTCGCCTCCCTTTCCTCCGCGTGAAGGGATCGAAGGGTGAAATCGCCCACGTGTCGTCGGAGCCGATTGAGCTTCCAGTTTGCTGACAGGCACAACTCTTCATTGGCTGTGATTATTCCCCGTGAAATCCATTGGCGCGGGTTCGTGAGGCCCCTTTAGGAGTGTCGCAAGGGCCTTTGGCATGTCGGCCGGCAGGCAGCGATCCAAAAGCCAAATTTTCAGCGCAGAGGGCACGCAAAACCCATTGAGACATTTTACATATCGGTGATGCCTTCGTCAGAAGCTCGTTTGAAAATTCCGTGTCGGGTTCGGGCCTTCAAGGATGATCGGGGTTGGAACGTCCTTCCCGCAAGCCTTAAATTCTTAAGCGAAATCAAACGCCTCTTGCTCAGACCGCTTTCCGCTGACAAGTCGATTAGTAAAAGGCCGACCCTTGCACTGCATGTGTCATGCCGCTTCGCTCCGATTCGACGACTTCGTCCAGATGGACATTTTGGCTCGTTGGTGCCATGGCTGCAAGGGCCCCCATGCTCATCGGGCAAATTCAGAGCAGGGATCCCGTTTCTGGTGGTGTCAGAGCCACGCGGAAGAAGGTCTCGCCGCGCGAACAGCGATCTTCGCTCGGACAATATGCCCCAAAAATCCGATATCAGTTCCCACCAGTTCTATTGGCTAGTTGCGGCTCTAAGGGGAACCGTTTTGTCCACCACGTTTAATGGGATGTCTGAAGAATTCAAAAAAAAGGGCTTCGGCAACTTGAGACGAAACGCTCCGCCGAACGTCGGAACAACAGGGGGCCTCTCCCGTGGCCCCTCTCACTGTCATTGCCATCATCATCATCATCATCATCATCATCTCCAAGCATCTGCAAGATGCATCATCTCCTCTTAAGGGATAATTGTCTCGGTCTTACACCTAATCCTCGTCCTCGTATCGGGGGAGCCGGTTAATCTGCTCATCGAGCCTTCGAAACGTGGGAATGCCTTGATTCGTACGCATATGTGACACTGAGCACATTCTGCTCGCTTTGGCAACCCTCAACCCATTGACGTTTGGACTAGGAAACAGCATATCCTGAGGAGCCACAAGCGATAGGCCATCTTGTCTTCTGGCGGTGAAATTCTTACCTCGTTTGCTCCTTGGAACCCCGGTCCATAGAGGTTGATGTTAAGCGTACCCAGTAGGAGTGCTCTTTGCCTTTTGTTTTTTGTTTTTTCCCTTTTCTTTTTTTCAAATGCTATCAATGTTATGTCAGCAGCCAAGGCCCCACCAGTTCAAGCGAAAAAGACGAATAGGTCCGGGAAGCGTGGGGGTACAGGTATCAACTCTCCATTCAATAGCTGTAGACGATTGATGCAGTGAGCGAAGAGGACTGCAATCAAATCTTGGAAGTTCGAGGTTCAGAGTGCTAATCCTGCAAGTCTCACGTCCCTTTGCCGTCGTCCAGGCCCTCAATCGGCCTGCACAGAAATTAATTTTCTCGTCGTGGTCGAGGACTGGAGAGTACCGCTTATCTCTCTGTGCAAGGCCCTACTTCCCATGTCGCTGACGATGGTGGGCTCTCAACGTTTGCATGCTGAGATTGATGATGATGATGATGATGATGATAATAATAATAATAATAATAATACACTAACCAATACAAAGTAAAGCGACGACCAGCAACCAGAGCGCTAGCGAAAAAGATGTCTTCGTATGTCACTGTAATGACGGAAACCTTTGATTGGTGAGGACGAACCCGTGTTTCATCAGTTCATGCCACGTGGCGTGGTGGAGCTTAACTTGACAACCCCGTTTCTGGTCACTGATCGCTTGTTTTCCCGTCTATGTATCCCACACTGCCACGCGATGATTTCCACAACACGAAAGAAAAGCGGACGTGTTTCCGTGATTTATGTAAAATTTCGAGAGACACGGGAATATGATACACCGCTCATACCGGGCTGGAGTTGAGCCATGCGCAGATGCCTCGACTCGTCATGGGGGAGTTGAACAATTTGAGGATTCTTGCACTGATTATGCTTCGTTGCCCGGCAAGCAAGCTTTGAATTCGACGACAGAGAGGGTCCCAGCGTCAAAGTGTGATGACTTGCATAGAGTTAACTCGTTACCATTGTGAGGGCCCGCAGGCTTGGTTGTAACTAGTAAGCAAACAGGCGTGTATTACTCCGTACAGAGCGCCCCATACGGGCTCTCAAAAGGTATTCAGTACTGGCACATACCCACCTGGACTATCGTTGTTCGCAGCCTATCCTGACTCAGAGTGAGGGTCCTCCATGCGCGACTCGGCCTCAGAATGTCACCGAGCGTGGCCCACTCTGGAGCAGTTTATGGAGAGAGACCCTCATGGCTCCTCGTATTCTTATGTTTATCTTGTATTCGTTATTTCCAAGCTGGAGGCGGAAATCCACATCCCAGAACCACGTGGGAAGAAGAAGGAAAAAAAAAAAAAAAAAAAAAAAAAAAAAAAATGGGGAAAAAAGAAAAGAAAGAAAGAGGAAACGAAAAACAAATAAAAAAAGACAAGCCAGGTGTTGTCGGCTGAGTTTACCGATTGCGGTGCTGAGCTAAATGCCGGCGGTCAAACAAAAAGGCGAATGAGAGCGAGACAAATCCTAACGGGTCGTCATGATATCGACGCCATGAACCGGGATGTTGGGAATCGTTTTGAATTCTTTGCGAAACGGAGAGCAAAAACGGCGCCCTGTGCTTTCAAACCGACACCGATACGAGTATGAAGGTGGAAGGCCAACCCGTACTATTTATTTATTGGGCATCGCTTTGAGCCTCTCGTGAAGTATAAATGCATGAACGGGAAGATGCTGGCCTGCGACAACCGAAAACGGTGCTGGTGGGCAAAAGAAATGGTTTTTTTATTTTTTTTATTTTATTTTTTTATTTTATTTTATTTATCTTTTTTTTGGCAAAATATCATCGTGCAGCCCGCGATGCCGTGCACACGTAACTCGCCAACTCATCCCCGGTGCCTTGAATAATAATCATCATGGCAGCGTGATTGACCTCGGTGTCTGTCCTCTTCGGCAAGATAAAGGACTCCGAACCTCGAATCCCTTCCGTTTTGGGGCTCAGGTTTCAGAAATACGGGCTCATGCATGGGGGGCCCGCCGCGTTGGGGCGGGCTTCCCAGCAATCATGCGTCCTGGGAATTCCCTCCATGATGCCTCTTTTCTTTTCTTCCTCCTCTCTCGACTCCGAACTCTATGTGTATGTACGGAGAAGTCCTCGTTTGTTTGTGTGTGTTTGTTTTCTTTTCTTTTCTTTTCTTTTCCTTTTTTTTTTTTTTTTTTTTTTTTTGGCGACCCTTTGGGGGCCGGCAACTTTGCCATTCCTTGGACGCATGTAACGTCACCTCGGGAAATGCCCAGCGGTCTGTGACCTGAGACGAAAACCGTCAACAATCGTCTTGACGAAGAATTGCTGAGACAAGACATGCTGCCGGCTTTGACCAAGCTTGATGGTGTTAACTATGCGAGCGCCTCGAGTCCCTGAGCTTGTCCCGACACGCTCTTTGATTCGCGTTTGACCCAACCACCGGAGGTTTCGAAATTCTTAACAACAAGTTTACCTGTGCTAACCGCCCAGGGATTGCGAGTTTATAGAAGGGTAGAAATGCCCCTTCGGTTTATTCTGATTTACTACTTGACGCTGACAGACGAAACTTATTTTGAGCGGCAAATGACAATTTCTCACATGGGCCTACTCCGTACAGCAGTGGATTTTAGTTTGCGTGAGGCCTTGTTGACTTGGCAGTGAGCTCTCCTCCATCAGCGACCTCACTGAGGGTCCTCAGTGAGTGATGCGACCTGCCAACACCTTGGTCCTCGTCTGCAACTCACACATGTTGACGCATGCCGGCCGACGGAAGGGATGATGTCTCGCCCCGGGGTAAGTTGATGACCATCTCATCCCTTGTGGGTCTTCCATGCACAACGGGACACTCAACAGCTCTCCTGGGACGCAAACTCGGGCTCCCTCACAATGATTTCCAGTGAACCACCCACATCAGATTTGTCTGTATTATACAGTTTCTCAATGACTGTTCAGGCATAGAAGCATTGACAGTAGGCTTTTTCACAGGCAAACGCATCGGTGCAACGTGAAATCTTTTCATTGTCTTCAATCAATCGGGCAGTTCCCGGGATTTGCTTGGGGTACGGGGGGGCTACAAAATTAGTCACCGGTTTTTTCCACGGTTACCTTGGAATGATTTCTTGGGCCGATTCGCCGGGATGAACGGCGCCATTAGGTTTGTGATGGCCAGAATTGTGATATTACTGAGCCTTCATGTCGTTCTTGAACGACAGTCTGCTTTTTCTCTCGAAAGGCAGCTTGTCGGTTCTTTACTTTTCTGAGAGCACCATGGTAGACGGCGTTGACAGACTTTTGTCCCTGAGAAAGTTTGTGTATTTTCCGTCCTGATCTAGCCAGGCTATTAATGACCATTTCTAGCTGGCTTTCTCTTTTCTTTTCTTTTTCTTTTTTTTTCCGTTCTCTCATTTTTGCCGTTTAAAGCGAAAAGATGTTTCGATCCTGGGATCAAAAACCGAACCATGTTACATTTTCATGCAGGAAGCGAAAACCCTAGCTAGAGCAGCGCAAAACCCCAAGCTCGGATTGATGCTTTGCAGCGGTTACCCTCAAGGGCCTGGAGCGTATGGGAGCAGCTATCCTGGAAATACGGTACAAACCCTGAACATGGAGCGGCGGAGATATCGTCTCGACCCTTCTTTTCGTCCCCTTGCCTTTTTGCTGAAACTGGATTTTATTTTACTTTGCATCCTCATTGACAGGGAACTCCTAGATCCCCGCTGTCGGAATTTTGGCAGGTGTTGAGAACTTTTCTGTGTGTTTTCACTCCCTTGTCAGAGTCGTATTTTCCCACGCGATACCCGTCAAGGGGCCAGGGTCTGTCAAGGCATCGTTCGACGGTCTTACTTTTGAAACTCCAGGTTTTCATCCAGTTAGTGATGCAGAGACAGATATTGCCAGGTTTTGATTAGAACTTGGGAAGATTGGTAAACGGGCGGTGACTTCATTTGCCAGCTGGGCCTTCTACCCGTCCGATACACATAGGATAGCGACCTGGCGTGCCAGGTCAGTTTTTATCCTCATTTATTATTTGTACTTTCATTTTTATTAATCTTTTTCCCTTTTTTTTAATTTATTTTTTTGTTTTTTTTTTTTTTACAACCATGGAATGCGTGGGTACGCACGACTTACGGCATCTCCCAAGTGCAACATCATGCGCTGCATCAAAAACTCAACCAGACAACGGACCAACAGCCAATACCAAAGACACAGGCAGTATGAGCACCTGCCACTTTTGTCAATGAATATCGCAGAAGGGAGCACAATTTGAGATTTTGTACTGTTATTCCTCGACCTTTTCCTTTTTAATTTTCCCCTATTTCGCCCTCTGGCCAGAGCAGCAGACGCAGATCACAAGGATACCATGCGAGTATTCTGAACTAATGCATCCATTAGGAAAAATGCTGCTGTTTACGAGCTTTAAGGTGCGCTGCGTACGCATGTATCTCGTGGGCCCGGATTGAGCTCAATTCTTACCTAATTGAAGTTAAATCCGAGCCTCCCTGGAGGTTGTCGAGGGCAAATGTAGTCCTGGTTTCAAGGAGACTCTCTTAAATGCGCTCCGACGCAAACAGCATGCGAGTGAGCGCGCCTGAAAAGAAAAGGGGGATGGCAGTGCGCACGCAAAGAGCTCTTTGGATGGAGGCTAAAGCTCAAACATTGCAATTTATTTCCACCCTTCTTTTTTTGTTTTTTTTTTTTTTTTTTTTTTTTCAATTATCTTTCTACGGGATCAGTCCAATAGAGGTATTGGACGGGTAGTAACTCCAAGGTAGAAGGATTTGAGAAGAGCCGGTTAAGCATGATGACACGTTTCTATGCTTAACTCGCAAGCTCTGTGATCAGAGTAGCTATCCTTCTGTCCTCGCTCTCACAATAGCTTCCGGTTTTTGGCAACATGTGTCGAGCTAAAAAGACGCCTTGACAGGAGCCTCAAGGCAAATAAATAGACAGGTCAAAAATTGCATGCCCAGCTCAGGCGTGTCTTTGATAGCCACAAAGCATTCTATTTCCTGCGAGGCCCTGCAGATTCTATGTTCAGCAGCGCCAAATATGTATGCTTGTATTCATGCACTGTTCAGCTTGCCACTCCCAAATGCTGGCAGAGAGTGCTGCCATTGTTGTTACGCCACGGTTTCACAAGCCACGCGTCCCAATGCCGACAATCACCCGCATTGGAACAAAAAATGATCGCGAAAGAATTCAGTTGGCGTTGCACAATCTGCAGACTTTCACGGCGCACGAGCTGATCCTACCTAGTGAATCCGATAGCGTGGCCACCTTGTGATGGATCATTCTGTCCTTGGACATGAGAAACAATCGTGGCAAAGCCTAGCTACTATAGGAGTCCAAGAACTCGGGTACTTATACGAGAAGTTGTGCACCGCATCCATGGGATTCGCTGCATCTGGACACCGGATAATTAGCTAATTATTTTAACTACTGGGCCAGACAGCGAGTTGATTTGCGTAGCCGCGGGAGAGGGCATGGTGCGGTTTTCAGGCTCTGCCCAAGTCACTATGTATGTATGTACTTCGGTCTTCAGTGACAGTTACCACCCTCTCCAGGAATTTATCCTCAAGAGTACAACTAATCTTGTTGTTCTGTTCTTATAGTTGTGCGCATCATACGGCATTGACAGGCAATAGCTGTTTTCGCCTGGGCTCCTTGGAATATTCAATCATCAGCCGACAAAGCTGGCTTGTCGAACTCTTGGGTGGTACGGACCGCTATTAACGAGTTAACGGATTATCCAAGTCTTATGACTTTCCAGTAGAGACGGTCGATATTGAAATCTTCGAGCAATTTTCAAGGCACATCGGCATGGAAAAACACATGCTATGTTGCGAAAAAAAAAAGTTTGAACGAAAAGCAATCTTGCCAGTCGTGATGTCTCCTGACCACCTGCAGGACGGCATTCTCACACTCTATTTGCTTATCTATATATCATGCAGGCTGTACATATCTTAGCCTGCATTCATGTATTCTTCAATTCCTTTGGGAAGTGCTCTGTAGTATGAACTGCAAGTCTGCCCGCAAAGAATGTGGAGAGTGCTAATTGGCAAATTGTCAAGTGCAGCTGGTAAGCCGGACGTCCGAGAACAGGAATGAGTGGAACAGACTCCAAATGTCGGTTACGTACAATCAATCCGGTACATTGGCCACAGCTTCCTTGTATGAACAAGCAAGCCATAGAGATGGGAGCCGAGACAGTAGCCTCAATCCCTCCCCGGGGGCAAAATGCTATTATTCACAGGCCGGTGTCACCATTAAAGTATCCATTATGACACCATCACGGTAAAAGGGAAAATTTTTACCAAGTTGCAGAAACCGGAAACCAATCATCAGTCTCTCCACCACCTCCCCAAGGCACCGGCACCACCTGGGCCCATTCCATCGACGACCTCCTCGAAGCTGATCTCAATTCTGAACATCTTTCCGTCGCCTATCCCGCTACCTCCGGGAGCTGGGATGACCAGACCCCAACCAACTAGCTTCTCCCATGCCTCCCTTGCCGCTTCCTTGCCCCAGATCCGCCCCGGCGTCGCCGCAGCTCCCGACGCAGACGCCGATGCCTTCGCCGATGTGAGAAGCCGGACGTATTCTGCATACACGGCGGGGAAAGTAAGCGTAAGCGGGGCCGAGGTTTGGGTCTGAGTAAAATTCAAATTCGGATCATGGATCGCTGTTAGGCGGGTGGCAGCAAGGAGCAGAGAGAGCGGGAGAGACACTGTGCTTGTTGAAGCAGTGGAATCTGAGGGGAACGGGAAAGGAGCCGGGTCGGGGCAGAGGACATCAGAGGTGAATGACTTGGCCGTGGGGATGGGTACATGAGAAGAGGGTGAAGAACATAGGGCCAGATTTGATATTGGTAAGAGAGCGGTGGCAAAAAAGTCCCTGGGGCATTTTGTTCGATGGAATATTAATTTCAGATGTGTTTGGAAGTGTGAATCTTTCCAGAGTTCCTTTATTCAGAATTAGTTGCCGGATAGAGCTTTACTGGTGTTTATGGAGCCCATCTTACCTGAAGATATGAATTCCACAAACGAGATAGCTGCTCTCCTTTGGGATTTTTCAATATCGTGCTTACAATCTCAGAATACTTTCCTTGCCTCGCTTGTCCGTAACAATCTTGTATTTCATCCGGATGAATTGTCAAGGCTGCCATGCAAATATCAGAAAATTCGGCAAATGTCTGAGGGCGTGGCAAGAAGCCATATCTGTGACTGAACCTGCTCTTCACTCGCTTCTCGATGTTTTCCATGACGTCCACTTTTGTGGTAAGCCCAATAACGGCGATGGGGGCCTTCTTCGCCTGTGCAATATCAAAAAGATTATAAAGTAACGTTTGACGTGGGTGATATGTGAAAAGGTCGAACTCGTCTAATATGACAATGACTGATTTAGTAGTGGTCATGGTATCAGCTGCATCGACGGGTACTTCGGATAATAGAGCTAGTAGCGAGGCCATCGTGTCGGCGTACGTTGAGTTCTTGTTTAAGTCCTCATCCACATTGATCTCACGCCCTAGTTGGTGCCATATTTCTCTTAGGGCAATCCTATCATCGGTGTGAAGGAATCCGTTCAGGCGCACAACATGGAAATCATCCCTGTGGATTTTGAAAAGGGAGGAGATGGCGGTTTCGACGACCGTAGTTTTACCAGAGCCTCTACCACCGAGGAGCAACATGGAATTCCCTTCGCCAGCGAGAACGGTCTGCTCCATTAGTTGATAGATGGTTTGATATTCGGTAGTCAACCCCCTCAGTGGAATAAGCTGGCTACCGTTCATTCTCTCCAGTATGAACTTGGCGAAAAAACCTATCATGTCGCTGACTTGGTCGGCTTCGCAGAAATATTTGAGCTCTGAAGCATAATGTCCATAGTCTTGGGGCCCCGTGACGCATATGTTAGAAACGTGGTTTCGAGCAAGTTCAAGCTGTAATTGTATTTGAAGCGCAAGAGAGTCGGCCTCGCCATGGCCCATCCGAGGCTGCGCTTCTCCGGGGGGCAAGAGGACATCAATTTCGTCTTTCTCCTGACTAACTTTTCCCGCTTCGTCCTCGACGGGAACATCCCAGATATTTTCATCCTCGGGATCCTTAATTTTCCTTCCTGACCGGCTAGTACGCGCAGCTGGTGTGGCTGACTTTAGCCGCTTTCCATTCGTACTCGATGCTTCCCTTGCTTTCTTTTTCGGGGCTGTAATAGAGTCCTTGCTTTTGGTGCGCGATGATCGTGCGGGCTTTTCGGCGGCCCCGGTGTTCTGTGATTTCGCCTGGAGCCTGCTGCTAGAACGGGGATTGGGCTTTGTGCTAAGTGCGCTCGATTGCTTCACCTCTTGGGGTGTTTCTGGGTGGTCGCCATTTTCTTTTATCGGCGCTTGATCCGCAAGCTTTCGCCGTTTTGAAGATCTGAGTGTTCTCGACTCGGTCATCGCGATACGATGAATTCAACTGAAGTGTAACTCGTTCGCATCATGAATAGAAGCCAGATATTGGTTATCTGTAAGTCTCAATACATCAAGCGGATTTTTCACGCTAATTTTGCGGTTGCCCTCGAAACTCGTTCTGGGGAAGATATCCAGCTCATTCACATCGAATCCCGGCGTAATTGGTGGACAAGCCGCCAACGCGGTATTCGCGTGTGAGAGACACGGAGCCACGTGACAGTGGGAATTTGTCTAAGCAGCTTGGCGTGTTTGCACCTCAATTTCTGCCGAGGCTCCGGCTGGGCGCCTTGAGAGCATCGTTGGTTAGGACGACGACGATGCCTACCTGTCCCCGATACGAAGTCCGTAGACCAGGACAATAATTGCAGGCTCGGTGTGACAGATATAGAGAATCGACCAAACTCGCCTGCATAGATCGAGCAAACCACGAACGGAGATCCGTCGAAGGCATCCGTTTGAACTTCACGCATAAATACATAAACTCCCATGTTTATCTGCGTCGCAAAGATCGTCAAATAACAAACAGCAACAATGGAGTTGACCGAAGAGCTCTTTGTCAACCGTATAAAGTCCATGTACGAAAGGAGCCTCGATGAGCACGAGAACAGCGTGGGTTCCTTTTTAAAACCGCATAGTAAACTCGTGATCGCGAGAACTAATCAATGCAACTGGCAGTTCTTCGACGCCCAGCTGCAAGACAAAGTCCGCTTCCATTCTGCTTCCCTCGCCGCTCCTGTTCGTGCTACTTTTCGTTCCGTTGTCACTTTATCCATGTGTAATAGACTTGAAAGCTTGCACGGCGGCTGCGCCGCGACCCTCATCGATGTTCTCACATCCGTTATTCTCCTTGGTCTCGGAAAGCCGGGAATGTTCTCATACGGCGGTGTCACTCGGTCTTTGGATGTGAAATATCTGCGACCAGTGCCAGAGGGTGTGGAGATGGAGATTATCTGCGAGTTAGTCAACATGGGCAAGAGACTGGCAATGTTGCGGGGGGAGATCCGCAGGGTGGATAATGGGGATCTGTGTGTGGTGGGGATGCACGATAAGGCGAACACAGACCCAGTGGTGCAGAGACTGTAACGATAGGTACTGCTGCTGCATCCGGAGGATACCCAATAGGCTTAAGCATCTTTCGATGACTTTGTCCAGGAGCGGATATTATATATATATACATAATATTCTACTGTTTATTTCGGCTGTCTTATCCTTACCTCAGCTTCCACAATATAGAGAAGATGTCTGGGCTTTGAAGTAGCAGGCACTTGTAAGGTTACGAATCTAGGAGTAATTGTACAGGTAGTTTCGGCTTCATTCCCATTTACGTTCATTGCTAGGTACAGCTTCGTCGAGTGATTGCGCGAATGTTGTAGCTGAACATGTAGAAACCGGTCATGCATAATGTGGGAAGTCATAAGCATCATTCCAACAAAGGCATTAAGAGGTTTGAGGGAAAGACATCCCACGCATGAAATTCCGGGCAGGGTCAAGCCGATTATCCAGATCAGCGTACCGCAATATGAATTCACGCTACATATTAATAGAACCGATCGTTAGCCTTTGATTCTTCCGGGAAAAAGAAAAACAACACAGGCACCGACAATCGGATCATAAGGGAAGAAAAAGGTGTCGCTTACCCGGACCTTCTTCCACGTAGCTGTGTCCCACCACAAATACACTCCTCTCTCACTTATACCCCTTTCAACTTCGACAGGGTTGGGATATGAATCGTCACGAGTGAGCCATGCACGCTCGATTTTGTGATACCTCCATTTTCGGCCCATGAGCTCCTCAGCAACAAGTTCCTGCATAATATCACGAGGCATGCTGTAGAATATGTAAAAGAGTGTTTCGTCGGTGAAGCTTGGAATTCGTGTCTGAAGGGGTTGTACGTTGGCAACATTATAACAGGCGGGAAGAGTAAAATCTGGTTGGAGGGGAACCCCTGAACCCGATGGAACGAAGGGGGAGGCAAAGGAGAGATGAAGAGGCCTGTCATTAGAATGAGTATACCTTCAAGCCGGTACAATTACATTAAACTGGGGAAAATCGTCTTCCTTACTCTGGTTGATTCAAGTCTAACCCCAGACTCATTAGATCTTGCCCTATCGCCAAACTTGCAACGTCAGGGCTTTCGCTATGTATCATTCTGAGCAATCCCGCAAGTCCATATTTCTCTCGGTCGCTCATTTGCGTGAGGGGAGTTTGGTCGGAGGTTTGATTTGTCGCAACTGTCTCTTGGGGCTGAGTTTCCTCCGGAAAAGGTATTGTTTGCTGCGGCTGCTCGGAAAAGTCTTCAGGGCGAGTAGCGTGCTGTCCAGCCATGAGATTTGTAGAATCCTTTGTAGTAGTTAGATATAAGAACGATCAAGGAATACTACTGGGTTGGGTTCGGGGTTACCTCTTGCTCCTGACTGCCGACGCCATTTTGAACTGGGCCAATCGGAGATCGCGATGCTATTTGGATTGTCAACAGACGTCTTGTCGCGGAACTTCCCAAGCGAAAATCCACAAACCTGATGTTGCTCCTACTGGGGAAGTGACGCCGGTGCCGTCGCGTCGTGCGTGTATTGCGCTGCCCACGGAGGTTCTTGCTTGCCCCGGAAGCCCCTGATTAGCGTATGTCATTGTATTTCCGTAACTTGCGAGATTGCTAGATTGCATCAGAGACTCCCTGCGGTCCTGTCCCAGGCCACCCGGCGTTTGTTTTCCTAGCGGTGGAAATTCCTCGATATTGCCGGTCTGTGGCTGGTTGTTACTTGAAAGCTGTCCGCTTATTCCTTGTCCGCCATTTCTAAAGTCGTCGAGTTGAGTCGCGAACTGCGAACCTGACGGAAAAAGGTCATCTCGAGAGGTATGGGACTGTGAAGGTTGATTGGACTGTGTTTGCGAGGCTCTCGAGGGCGCTTGCGAGGACACCGGAGGCTGTAATTGTCTCTGGAGGAGGGTTTGCTGGGCTGGTCGTTGATTAATAGTACTCCAAACCGCCTGTCCAGTTGTCGGGGTCTGGGATGGCTGAGAGCCGCCTGACAAAGAGGGGAATTCGCTAGATGAATTGATATCAATAGTTAGTTGTTTTGGAATGCGCGTCGAGGGGTCTCGATGATCATCCTGCCTCTTGAAACGAGGCATGATGATCAGATTGCAATTAGGAAAATACACATGCGAAGGAAATGAAAGGAGCAAGAAGGTTGTAGGAGAAGGAGGGTGACTCAATCAAAGGGAAACAAAGGAGAGAAAAAGTTTGCAACTCACGAAAGATCTAAGGGGGTAGCAGGTTGAGACCCGCCTACGCTTTGTGCAAATGTATTCATAGCATTCACAGTCCGCGGCTGATTGTTCTGCAGTCCTGGGGCTCCTCCCATTGGCACACCAAAACCCCAAGTTGCAGCACCTCCTGCAAAATATGCCAAATACCGTGAGCAAGTGCACATCTAGCCAGTGATCTTATATCCTGTTGAGCCTCACCAACTTTACCATTGGGCATCCGACCGGAGAGCAGTGAAGGGTTCGAAGGTCTTGCTTGTTGCTGCTGTTGCTGTTGGGAGGGGAAGCTCGACATCCCCCGAAAAGGCTGCTGGCCAGGGCCTACATTATATCAGCTTGCGGTCTTCCATTGGCATCATACATTGAAACAAGCGCGAGAGGGAGAAGGGGCGAGACAGCCTGGATTCGCGGTCAAGGCATGGAACCATATCCCAAGCTACAACACAGTGTCTTGTTGGGCATGGAGTAAATGCACACATGCTGATTGAATCTGTGCAGGATGCAGCTGTCGCACGAGCGCTCGAGTGTGGGAGTAGAGGTTCTTCTTACCTGGCCTGTTCATAACGGCAAGGCGTGGATCGTGACAAAGGGATGTTGAATGTCTAGTCACAAGGAAGCTTTCTTCTTTCTTATAGGAAAATTCTTCTATGCGATAACATGCAGTTGTGGAGGATGATGGTTCACTGGCCAGAGACGAATCGGTGGGCAGCTATTAATTATGAGATCTCAAGTGAACAACGCGCGCGGCTCTGGGTCGTGCACGGACCAGGTGCTAACGAGGGAAAATGCACACCCCAGCAGGTCACTCTCACAACCTCGACGACTCTTGACTCTGCAATGCGGACTTGGAGCCGGGAAACAAATCTTGAGAACATACTCCGTACAAAGCACCCTATTCTTCTACGAGCGGCCTGCTGCACGCGACAGGGCGAGGCTTGTCTTGAACCCAAGTATATTTCGTGCCGAAGGCGTAACCGGGAATGAAATCCTTCCAGAAGTAACTAACTAACCAACACTTTTCCTCTCCGGGTTGCTTTTATGTTGGCATATCCTAGCTTTCTTCGGATAACAAACCCTTCCCTTCAACATGCCGCCCTTCTAGTATTGGCTTAAGAAGCTCCAAGACCAATTTCGAAATCTTCCTGTATGCCAGGCCGAAACATGCGCTTTCTAGCGATGAAGGAGGAGTGGCATTGTCACTACCGTTTCTAGTCCAATTTCCCCAAGAAATTGCATAAGAAATCCACACTTTCTACCGGAATTCACATAGGACAGGCAACGGAGCTCGGAAAGCCCTATAAGCGGTTTGAACGTATTATAAGGCTACTAGAGACTCTTCGGCTGCTTCCAAGTTGACGGCTTTCGTCATCTTTTCCTCTAAACTAGTACCTGCTCTTGATCAATATTACGAGCGTAGAATGTGCATGGTGCTATTATATATTATCCTCTCTTGCTCAAATGGTTAAGCCATGGGGTCTGAGTTGGACGAGGAAAACCTGAATTCATCGAGGATTGACTTGTAGGTGTGAACGAAAAAATTCCCGGCGCAAGGCAAGGGGTGAACAACCTGCATACCGCCTTGGGGTTCAACTTTCAAAAACCACGGGCAAGCATTATCTTACGAGAACGTTGTGAAATATATTGGGGAGAAAATGCAAAGCATCGCTCAAGCAACAGTCTGCTGTCAATCGCAGAGAGGCGTGTTACTCGACAGATGATGAGGACGTGAGCTGATGGCCGCTGGATGCGTCCCTTTAGGCAGGGGGTATATAGATAACTACATTCAGCAAGACACGAGAATTAAGTGCCCCTGTCTTTGGCTTATCCTACTACGAATACGCTTGAGTCGGAATGAACAATATGGCTATTTTGGATATAGATATTATTTTGCGTTACATGACAATAACTAGCATATCAGCTCCAGCCAGTGACCCTGGGCTGGGTTTCAATATAGGTGTCTGGTTGGTAGGGATATTAACTGTTCGTCGCTCGTCTCCGATCGGGGTTTGTCTCATCTCGACGGCTGGGCATAAATGCCAAGCCTCTCTAACTAGCCACGTGATCCGACACTAGCCCAGCCGCCTCAAATTCAAAAATTTTCGCTCTTCCTCTTCTTCAAACTTCAACGTCGTAGTGTTTTTTTTCAGCACTCTTTAATGACAAAAACTGGGCCAATGGCGTCGAGATCAGTTATTTCTTTCCTATATCAACAAGGGGGATTATCGCTGGCCGAATTACCTCCAGCTTTCCTTGCTCCTGCGTTGTATTCTACTAAAGCTTCCTTTAATTCCCAACGCTCACAATTCTCTACCTCATCCTCCCCTGCTGCTCGTGACCGCAGTCGCTTCCGTGGAGTGTCGGCCATTCACAGGACTGGACCTAAACAGCCCTTGCCAGTCTCAAAATACCCTCTACCAAAGCCCGCTTCTCCAGAGCAGCAGGAGAAACGACCGGCTAATCCTGATCATGGACTGTGGGGCTTTTTCGGCCCCAATAAGCAAGCTATCCCTACACCGGAAGAAGAATATGCACATGGTATGCAGTCATACCAATTGAATCTGTGTTTTAAGGCTTACGTCGATTTTGAATAGGCCGTGCGTGGACCATCCAAGAGCTGAGACAAAAGTCATGGGATGACCTGCACTGTCTTTGGTGGGTTACAGTTCGCGAACGTAACCGAATAGCGACGTCCAATTATGAAAGAAAGCGGCTCGCAGCCGGCTACGGAGACTTCGAGGCTGACAATAGGGACAAAACGGTAAGACCCTCACAAATTTTTCATTTGACTGCCATGCTTTTCCCTTGAATGATGAGACCCTTACCTTCACTCGCCGATATGAATGCCATTGGGACTGCTTAAACCCCTTGGATCTTGAGATGAATCTAGGATTTTCCTGACTTAGCCTTCTGTTACTTTTTTTAACGAGCCCTTTGAAATTACTTTGGACTTCTCAAAGCTTGTCTAACTGAAGTATTCTCTGGCAGGTGCGAGCCACGCAGCATGCTATTAAGCACGTCCTTCGGGAACGATGGTATGCCTGGAATGAGGCTCGCGAGCTCTACAATGGTGGATATAGACCGTCTCCAGATGAGGTCCTTGAGGAAGAGACTGAGACTGCTATGCCGACGGAAGTGATGCCCGAGGAGTTGGATTCGTCTACGAAATCAGAAACCACAACGTCCAAGAATATTTGATATTCTCCCTGAATAGTTGGCTGTTGCCGGCTATCGTTGCCAATCGGGCCTCAGTGCGGTTCCGGAACCCCTATTCCATCGTCGAGTAGCTCCAGATACACCTCAGGGGGATAATCATTCAATATGTATTTTAGCGCTCATGAAGTATCCACATGGATGTATGTATATATGTGTATAGTACAATATCAAATAGTATTGGCATTAAGATAATACTGAAAAGATTAAATTTCTCCTGATCTGCTGCTCTGCCCGGCGGAAATGTTTTCAAGCAATATGCAGAATCATTTGAGGAGCAACAATTGCGGCTGTCGACCGTCTGGGCTTGTGCTTTCCACAGAACCAGGGGTTAGACCGCCTCCATCCATTAGCGCCAAACCATAATCGACTGAAGTGGGAGGTTAAGCATCTAAGGTCTCCAACTCCTATGTCTATCATCCTTCTTCCATATTAACTTCTCTATTATTCTTGTTACTCTATTCTCGTTTTCACTTTTCCTCAACTCTCAATCCTCAATATCGTCCCCTTCATTTATCACCATGGAAGACATCGCTCCTGAGTATGACGTTGTTGTGCTCGGCACAGGTTGGTTTACCCCACCTCCCATCCCAGGACCACCTTGTTGACTGATTCTGGACATTTAGGCTTGACTGAATGTGTGCTTTCAGGGTAATTCATGGCATTATGGATTACCTGGGTTTCTATTAATTCTGTTCTTTAGTGTTCTGAGTGTCAAGGGACAAAAGGTCTTACATATTGATCGCAATGATCACTATGGAGGGTTAGTCAAGCTGTTTAGCTTCCACATATCAACGACAGCTCATTTACTGACCTATAAACAGTGAAGCAGCTTCGGTCAACATAAAAACGGTCAGTACTCTGTGCCCACCACGCTTTCCCTGCAGTTTCTGACAATCCCAAAGCTCTTTAAAAAATTTGGAAACCTAAGCCCCGACGACGAACCGTGGAAGAAATATGGCAGAGACAACGATTGGAACGTCGACCTGGTCCCGAAGTTGCTCATGTCAAACGGAGAATTGACAAACATTCTCGTTTCTACCGACGTTACAAGATACCTTGAGTTCAGACAGATTGCAGGTAGCTATGTGCAGCAGGGAAGTGGCTCGAAGGCCATGGTTGCCAAGGTTCCGTCGGATGCCGGCGAGGCCCTTCGATCTTCATTGATGGGCCTTTTTGAGAAGCGCCGTGCGAAAAAGTTCTTAGAATGGGTTGGCGATTTTGATGAGACAAATCCGAGTACCCACCAAGGTTCGAGCTGCCAATTTTCAACCCATTACTCGAACGGATGGTGCTTACCGCTTACTAGGTCTTAACATGGCAACTTGCACTATGAAGGAAGTCTATGACAAATTCGGACTGGAAGATACTACCCGCGATTTCGTCGGTCACTCCATGGCGCTCTATCAGTCGGATGAGTACATCACAGCCCCTGGCAAGGCAGGCGAAACTGTTAATCGGATCCGTCTATATGTGAACTCGATGGCTCGCTATGGAAAATCACCTTACATCTATCCTCTTTACGGCCTTGGAGAATTGCCTCAGGGCTTTGCTCGCCTCTCTGCAATCTACGGTGGCACTTACATGCTCAATACTGATATCGATGAAGTTCTCTACGAAGATGGCAAGGTCTCGGGCATTAAGGCAACCATGAAAGAAAAGGGCGAACCTGGTCCAGGAATGAGTTTCTCAACCAAGACAAAGAAAATCATTGCTGATCCGTCTTACTTCCCCGGAAAGGTTCGAGTGACTGGATACCTTCTCAAAGCTATCTGTATCTTGAATCACCCCATCGACAAGACCGACGGAAGTGATTCGCTCCAGCTTATTATCCCACAGTCCCAAATTGGACGGAAACATGGTGGGTTGATGAGAATGATTTCCCGGATACCTCTGGCAAAGTATGCTAATCAAAATATAGATGTCTACATTGCCATGGTCTCCTCTGCTCATAATGTGTGTCCAAAGGGCTATTACGTCGCCATCGTTTCCACGATCGCTGAAAATGAGGCCAACCACCATCTTGAACTGGAAGCTGGATTCCAGCGTCTTGGTAAAATCGAAGAGACATTCATGGGCCCTCCAATCCCGCTTTACGAGCCGGTTGACAGTGGCACGGCGGATAACATCTATATCTCAAAGAGCTACGATGCCACTAGCCACTTTGAGACGACAACAGGTATGTTTTTGCTCCACATGCCCAGGTTACGTTTGTATCTAACTAACCACTCTAAATAGATGATATCCGGGACATCTATCGCAGATCAGAGGGACATGAGTTGGTGGTCGACGGCCTTCGCGAGGGAACTACCTTGGTCAGCGAACAATAAATCCCTACCTTTTTCTCCAGGCGACTACAAATGCCGCTTGTCTTTCATTTTTGGTTTCGATCGCTTGATAGGATACTCACTTTATTCCTGTCCATACCCTGCTATTCATACATACTACATAATTGATCGTGCAAATTAAAGTCGCTAGTTACATACTCTATGAACTAGATAAATACAAAGGATTTCTGTTAGGCTCGAGCGGAAGATAGTCTGAAATAATTTGCATTGGCCGACGAAAAGGGTTGCCTGATCAGTTTGATGTGTACTCCGTACGGAGTAGTTAGAGCCCTTGGAGTGATTATATAATCTGCGTGTTGCTACGGCATGCAGCTAGACCGGATCAGGCAGTTTGTAAATACGCCGGGCCGGGCTGGACGGTCCCGCATCATCAACAAATCGCGAAAACGAGATACCAGGCAGTTTGAAACCAGCGACTGGCGGCGGTCTGAAGACGGCTCTATTTTAACTAATGCTCATTTGTTCATTATCTCCGAATCTGCCGTTCATTTGCCTTTATGCTTAATTTCCTAAATTTCCTGAGGCTATTCGTGTAGTGTGAACGGGGTTGACACGGCGGCACTCAGAGCGCCATCATGCGGATTGTCGAGATTATCATCGATGTGAGTCCATCGCTTGCCGATCGAGGACATTGACGGGTTGTGCGATGATTACTGACGGGTGTTTCTCCTATTAGGGCTTCAAATCGTACGCGGTGCGAACGGTAATTTCAGGATGGTACGTTCCGATATCCAAGCGCCAGCGATTACTCTTGCAGCCAGGGCCTGGGGCCTTCACCTCCAATAATTACTAAGTTCTGTTGTAGGGATGAATCATTTAACTCAATTACGGGCCTCAACGGTAGTGGAAAGTCTAACATCCTCGATGCAATATGTTTCGTTCTCGGAATCACAAATATGAGCACTGTCCGAGCTCAAAACCTTCAAGATCTCATCTACAAGCGCGGCCAGGCAGGTGTGACGAAAGCGAGTGTTACTATTGTCTTTGACAATCGCGACAAGACCAAATCGCCGATCGGCTTTGAGGAATATGCCAGTATCTCGGTGACTCGTCAGATCGTCTTGGGTGGAACGAGCAAGTATTTGATAAACGGACATAGAGCCCAGCAGCAAACCGTGCAGAATCTATTTCAAAGCGTGCAGCTTAATATCAATAATCCGAACTTTTTGATCATGCAGGGACGGATTACAAAGGTGCTGAATATGAAACCTGTCGAGATTTTGTCTATGATTGAAGAGGCCGCTGGGACCCGGATGTTTGAAGATAGAAAGGAAAAGGCAGGCAAGACGATGGCCAAGAAGGAGATGAAAGTGCGCGAAATCGAGGGATTGTTGAAGGAGGAAATCGAGCCCAAATTGGAGAAGCTGAGAGGCGAGAAGAGAGCTTTCCTTGATTTTCAGCAGACTCAAAGCGACCTCGAGCGACTGACAAGGCTTGTTGTTGCGCATGATTATTTGAGAAATGGCGAGCGGTTACGAGTAGCGGGTGAAGAGCTGGAAAACAAGCGACGTAAGATTGAAGAACTGGAATCCAACACTGCTCGACTGAAGAGTGAAATCGCAAACCTCGAGGAAGACGTGAGCAAAGTTAAGGCAGCCCGAGACAAAGAACTCCGGAAAGGAGGTAAATTTCAAGCATTGGAGGACGAAGTGAAAAACCACTCCCATGAGATGGTCCGATTATCTACCCAGGCCGATCTGAAGAAATCCAGCATGGCTGAAGAGTCAAAGAAACGAGAGGATGCCCAGAAAGCAGTGCAAGAAGTGCAAACTTTGCTAAAAGAGAAGAAGAAGATATATGACAAGTTACAGGCACAGTATGACGCAGCCAAGGCAGAGCTTGATGCGCAAACTGCGGAGGTTGAACAGAAAGAGGAACTTCTCCAAACTCTACAGACCGGGGTGGCATCGAAGGAAGGCCAGGAAAATGGATACCAAGGTCAACTACAGGACGCACGCAACCGTGTCAGTGCCGCCGCCACAGAACAAGAACAATCCAAACTTAAAATCGCTCATTTAGAAAAACGTATCAAAGAGGAGGAGCCACGGGCGAAGAAAGCTATGGAGCAGAATTCGGGCTTACTCAAGGACCTCGATAACCTCAAAAAACATGCCCAAAAGCTGGAAGCGAATCTTGCAAAGCAAGGTTTCGAGCCGGGTAGAGAGGAAAAGATGTACCAGGAAGAGGCAACACTACAAAAAGAAATCCGCGACTTGCGTGGCCAAGCCGATTCTTTAAAGCGAAAAGTTGCCAACATTGATTTTACTTATGCTGACCCATATCCCAATTTTGACCGGTCGAAAGTGAAGGGTTTAGTTGCTCAGCTGTTCACGTTAGATAAAGATAAGTCGGAAGCTGGAACTGCACTCGAGATCTGCGCTGGTGGGCGCTTGTACAATGTTGTCGTGGACACGGCGGAAACCGGTACAGCTCTCTTACAAAACGGCAAGCTCCGAAAGCGAGTAACCATAATCCCGCTGAATAAGATCGCTGCATTCAAAGCATCAGCCGAGAAGATTGGCGCTGCGAAGGAGATTGCCCCAGGCAAGGTCGATCTTGCGTTGTCCCTGATTGGATATGATGACGAAGTAGCAGCTGCCATGCAGTATGTTTTCGGTTCAACACTCATATGTCAGGACGCGGATACCGCCAAAAGAGTGACATTCGATCCATCAGTGCGCCTGAAGAGTGTAACATTAGAGGGTGATGTCTATGACCCATCAGGAACACTCTCCGGAGGTAGCTCCCCAAATTCAAGTGGCGTCCTCCTTGTCCTGCAAAAATTGAACGAAGTAATGTCTGAATTAAACCACAAGGAACGAACTCTTCGTTTCCTCCGGGATACAATGGCAAAGGAGAAGAAGAGAATGGACTCTGCCAGGGCAACGAAACAGGAACTTGACCTAAAACTTCACGAGATAAAACTCACTGAAGAACAAATCAACGGAAATTCTTCATCTTCGGTAAGACTGATGCAGTTTTCATGTCAGGGCTGACGGCTAATATCTCCCAGATCATTCATGCCGTGGAAGAAATGCGGACAAATATAGAACAGCTTAAAAAGAATATCGCGGAAGCTAAGGCCCGACATGCTGAAGCAACAAAAGATGTCAAAAGAATTGAAAAGGATATGGCTGAGTTTAACGACAATAAGGATAGCAAATTGGCAGAGCTACAAGCATCCTTGGATGGCTTGAAGAAGAAACTGAGCAAAAGCTCCATCTCAGTTAAAACGTTACAGAAAGAACTTCAGGCATCACAGATTGACTCTGAACAAGCAGGGAGTGACTTGACAACTGCAGAAGAACAATTGGCCGAGGCGGACGCAGCGTTGAAGGCCCAAATGGAGGAGGTTGAAGAGATAAAGCGGGAGCAAAAACGGTGCAAGGTTCGTATCCAATGCGTGGCAAATAAGGCCATTGTTGCTAACTATGCCCAGGACGCTCATGATTATGCACAAGCACGACTTGAGGACGAACAAGCAAAACTTACAAGATTTGATGACGAGCTGCGTGATCTCGAAGAAGCCAAACGGTCCAAGGCGGCGAGAATCACAGAAGACGGCTTAGAGCTTCAAAAGCTTGGGCATCAGCTTGAAAAGCTCCAAAAGGACCAGAACAATGCCCAACAGTCGGTGGCTAATATGGAAAGCGAATATGAATGGATTGAGGAAGAGAGGGATAATTTTGGACGCCCGAATACGCCTTATGACTTTAAGGGGCAAAATATTGCCGAGTGCAAGGCCTCTTTGCGCAACCTTACCGAACGCTTCCAGGGAATGAAGAAGAAAATCAACCCCAAGGTCATGAATATGATTGATAGTGTAGAAAAGAAGGAAGCTTCGCTAAAAAACATGATGAAGACGGTTATCCGGGATAAGAGAAAAATTGAAGAGACAATTGTCACTTTAGACGAATACAAGAAGGAAGCGTTGCAAAAGACTTGGGCCAAAGTTAACGCAGACTTTGGCCAAATTTTCGCGGATCTACTTCCGGGCAGTTTTGCAAAACTTGACCCACCTGAGGGCAAGGAGATCACAGACGGCTTGGAGTTCAAAGTGAGCTTAGGAAAGGTGTGGAAGCAAAGCTTGACAGAACTGAGCGGAGGTCAACGGTAGGTCCAACCTTTGCCATCGACTTGAACCGGTTGAGTTCGGCTGACCGTCTTATAGATCGCTGATAGCCATCTCACTGATCATGGCTTTGCTCCAGTTCAAGCCCGCACCAATGTACATCCTGGATGAGGTTGATGCCGCGCTTGACCTGTCTCACACACAGAATATCGGCCGATTGATCAAAACACGATTCAAAGGATCTCAGTTCATCGTGGTCAGTCTGAAAGACGGAATGTTCCAGAATGCGAATAGGATCTTTAGAACGAGATTTAGTGAAGGCACTAGTGTGGTTCAAGCGCTGACACCGGCAGACTTGAAGTAAGTTGTTTCGAGGGCGTTGGGTAGGCGGGAGCATGGATGGCCCTGTGTTCGGTACCTACGGCCTCTGTGGCGGGCGATATGGCGATGTTTGTAAATGGCGTTCAAAGACCATGATGGTTTCATGATTGTGTTGGGATTAGAATTCTTGGATAGCGGGCATGTAGTCTTCTTTCACGAATAGCACATTTTATTTATATTGTACTTAGAAATAACTCCCCCCACTGGTATGCTGCGTGGAACGTTCGGTTCAAGATTGCTCAATTTCTGCGTCGAGGAGCTTGTTGCTGGTGGCGGCGTTGGCCGGTTGCCGCCAAATTTCTGCCACTGAGCCACCCGCCAGTTTGCACTTCGTCCAGCTATCAACTCCACCGTCCAAGCTAATCACGCGCCTGTCCTGATTGCACCTTGTTAGGTTTCTCCTTTGTTTCCCTCGTTCTGCTAACTCCGTATTTTGATGCGATTCTTCTTCTATGCTTCTATGCTTTTCTGCTTTTATTAGCTAGTCAGCTCCTGGTTGTTCTCGCCCCGCGAATCTCATCCCGTTGACGAAGTACAGCAGCACCCAGGGCTGGTTGGCTTCAGTTCCCTCTTCCACCTAAACGGACTTTTCTACCCCCTGGATTCATCGTTGGATTTGCCAACCCCATCATACATGGCCGAAGTCGAGCCATCCCTAAATATCCCTTCCCTCCTCACTCTCGCGGTTGTATCGTTCTTCGTCATCCGATGGTTTTTCTCACGGCCTGGAGACGGGAATGGGGACAGTTCGGACTCGAGCAGAGGCACCCGCCCGCGGGTCGACCCTGCGCAGGTTGAGCAGATTGCGCAGATGTTTCCACAGTTGAGCCGGAGGGAGATCATGTGGGATCTACAGCGGAACGGAGGCAGTGTGGCCGCCACGACAGAAAGGGTGTTAGCTGGACTGGGATTAGAAACTGTAAGTAGAGGAAAATACATATAAATGTTTGGATATCGCGATTGTTTTGAATGCTAGGCTGATACTTCCTCTCTCCCTGATGATTTCTTTTAGCCTCCTCCTTATTTTCAGCCAAATATTGTTGCATCTCCAAGTCCTGCAAGCACAGCGGCTTCAACATCACCAGCCCCATCCAAACCGCCTGTGGATGATCTCATTTCTCGATATAACCTGAGTTCGCGACTTCAGGAAGAAGTCTCCGGGAGTACGACCGGTGTGGATACCGGCTCTGACACCATCATGCGATCGGAAAGTACTTGGTCACAAAACAAAATGGAGCGGCAACGGCTTTTACAGAAACGCAGGGATGACATGATTCTAGCGGCAAGAAGGAAGATGTTGGAGAAAGATCGCGTAGCCGCTCAATTATAACAAAGAGTATTCGCCAATTGAAAAGGGAGTTTGTCTCTTGCCTCGGGCTCTCTGTAGGACTTATACGCTCGCAGTCCCGCCTGACGAAGAAAGGGCTCGACTTCTCACAATTTTCTACATGAAGAATATTTTGTTGGCCCCCGTATGGTTTCGAGCCATCATCAGATTTCACATTATTGACATAGTTTTTTTTGATGTTTCTTTGTGTCTTCGAACTATAGAGATCAGGGATTGGGTATGCATGTCCCCAGCCAGTGACTCACGGCCCTGCATGATAGCTGATCCTGGTTATGTCTGCCGAACAGCTACCACGAGATATCAAATCTTCTGAAAACGAGGCTTTCGCTATCTACCAACATTAACTCAAAACAGGATTCCTTTCTCGACTCCCCAATACCTTTCAAGCTCGCCCTTTTCCATCCTGGTTTGTATCGCTCAAACCTGACAATATCAGAAATACTCGATCTTCCGGGTTTAGGAATACTCAAAGATTCGCTTAGATTTTTGGTTGTCGCGCGTATATAGCCGTACCACCTTTGAGAATGTTTTGTTTTTGCTCCGGATCTTCCCTGTGACGCTTTTCGATCCTAAAAGCATAAGCTATAGCTGTAGTCCACCTTGTAAATATAGAGTGAAAGAGAGAAGGTTCTCTGGGATTGCGCGTAAGCTCCAGTGCCGAAGAGTTTATCAAGTCTTCAAGCTGGGTCTCTAAGTAGCAGTGCCTATCTACTGTCCCAGCTTTAATCGATCGCCAGCCGGACTTCAATTGAATGGGTGGCTGTATTCCCCCGAGGCGAGAAATTTCTTCCGATAAGGTCGCAATACCTAACGGGTGATCTTGAGAAATGCTGTTGGTGGACGCAATCGCATCCACCTTCTGTCCCTTGATGTCGTATTGTGTCTCGTAAATAAAGCGGAACGACCATGAGGCCTCATAATTCCATTTCATCATCTTCGTCATAGTCATTGCGCAAATCGTCACCTGCTTCTGCCTGCTCTCTCAACGCTTCCTCTTTTGAGGCGCCAATTTGTCTAGGCCAAGAGCAGTCAGCCGCATTTGATCCTGTGTAAATGGGGCAAGAATACATACCGCAATGTTTCAGCGGCACCCGACATAAAGCCTCTTGCTTCACCTATCTCCATCGCTCCCACACCGGTCAAAGGTAACCCTTCTCCACCACCGATAGCAGTGGCATCCACGTATTCCGTGAATTTTCTCATTTTCGCCATTCGTATTTCCCTAATGTCCCGTATTATGCGGCGTATTTGATCCGGTTCTACCAGGTCATCACTCGCCGTTTCGAGCAACATTGTCGCTAGCTCGAGCCAATGGTACGGTAGCCAAGGATTCCTCGGGGCCGTGGACTCGTCGTCCACTACATTCTGAAGCAAAAACGGTGCTGAGGGGATGTACCTTTGGCCATCTAGTGTACGTCTGGGGCCCGAGTGTCCGCTCCTACGGGCATCTCGCCGGGCGACACTTCCCGTATACGAAGCGCAATCGAGTGGAGGGGGTGGTAAAAACACGTCGTGGTCGGTTTCTGCTTTGAGGAACTCGGAAAGCCATTCAGTATTTAACCATGGAGGTGGGAGAATGTTTGCACGGCGCTGTCGCTTAAGGAGAAGGGCAAGCCAGAGCGGTAGGGAGCTGCGGCGGGGCGGAATCAGAGGCTCCGTTGGTCCCTGGCACGAGAACATCAGTAACAGTCAAGCCTGGATTTGTACGTCTCAACCGATGTCTCCGGAATGGGGATCGGAGCCCATATAGCTAACATTGGGTCCTCGTTGTGGCACCCACTGAATTCCATCGGTCAATCCCACAAGTATGTATGAACATACATACTTCGCACGGATCACAGCAAACGGCTCAAGACAGCAGTAGGATAAAAACTCACACCAAGCAATTCAAGTCCTTCGAGACGCTGCCTCGGAACAATGGTCACCATTTCCATTTCACATAGGAAGGTGATTTCCGAAGGTGTGACGCCTCGAGGCAGAGGGAACGCCATGGGCAGCTCGGACTCCGTGTCGCGCTCCTTGGATCAGTTGAACGGCTTCTCTCTGTCTTGCGATTGCTGGGAGGGAGCGCGACGCTTATTCATCCACGCGCTAGAGTAGCACGGGATCTTCACCAAGACAGAATAGCACCCTATCGACACTGCACTCCGCTGTACACCCACGTCCACCCGGAGCTGCTCGTTGAGCATAATCCTCCGAGCATGCTGTGAGACATTCGGTTCAAGATCATGCTGGATTGTGTGTTGAACACGGAAAATGAGCATGCTATATCGAGCGCTTGGGTTTCTGACTGGCTTCAGCGTCCCTTGCAACGCTCCCGTCCAAACGGTCCTGCACAGGCCAAACGCCAGTGGCGCAGCACGACAACAGCCTTGGAGCTAACGAACGCTCCACGAATGACAAGATACGGGCCGTTCGTGAAGACGGTTGAAAGCATCCACAGGCTCCGTTTGGCAAATTGGCAATACGATGGACCCCCGTGGCTGGAGTACATAGCCATCATGCACAGAATTGAGAAGTGGGACCAATGGACGTGCGCGCTCTGGGCTTCACGGCAAGAAGTGAAAGCAGCTTTCCCCCAACCGTCTTTCCTCTCTGTCTGTGACTCGTCAGGGAGGCATGGGATGAAGATGCGGGCGCGCAAATTTCTCGGCCTTGTTACAGAATTAGCTACCCACGAGAAAGGGCGGAATGTCCCGAATTCCAAATTCTTTTTCGAGCCGGGATGCCAGATCGTTCCCATCAGCAACTCGTATTCCCACACGCCATCTCTGCGGGCCACAGGGGGCGTGCGGGGATTTGATCTGCGCGAATGGAGGCTCTGCACCAGGCATCAGGCTGCCCGTCGCTTGGGTGCCAATTAGCGCTATGGCTTGACGACCCGGTCTCTTCCACGAGCCTGAAACTTGAACCTTTTGCTCCCTTTTATTCAGTTGCTGCTTGTCATCCTCTCTGAACTTTGGTCACCATTCATCCGCGAAAAGTGCTTCTGGTATCAAACCATCGATACTAACGAGTTACCTTTCGGCCCTTGCCGTACACTCCAAAGCTCACCGCAGCCATGAGGAAGCTGTTCGGTATCAAGAAGAAGGATGAGCGCTCCTCCCGCCATTCTCTAGCAGGTCCCCCGCCGTCGAGCTTCAATCCCCAGGCAAATTCATACGCATCTACAACTCCAGCGCAACAATTTACCCCCGGTTCACAACCATTTCACCAACCACAGACACCACAACAGTATGCTCCAAATCGACATTCATATGCACCGCCTTCCCAGCAGCAAAACCAGTATCAACCGCCGATTCAGTCTCAACCAGCCCAGGCTAGACCGGGGGAACCATTCCGTTCCCAAGGCGATGACCTTTCACAAAGAGGCGATTATAACGGTGCTGCTGTGATGTATGAGGCAGCCTTGCGTGTTGTACCTAATGATATAAGCTTGCTTTTGAGCAAGACCATGGCTCTTTCAATGACAAATCCACCAAGGTTGGATTTGGCGCTAAAGGATGCCGACACGGTCATTCAGCTCGATCCAAGGTCGTGGCAAGGCTGGTTGGAGAAAGGAAGGATATTGTCGAGAATGGGTGACTTGCAAGCCGCGGAAGAAGCCTTGACAAATGCTGTTGGATTCGCTTCGGATTACGGTCGGAATGTTGCACAGAGTGCTCTGGCAGATGTGCGGGCTCGTCGAGCACAATTTTCTGCAACGACGACGACAACGTCATCTCCAGCCTTAACGTCCACGAACACCACGCCCCCGACGTTTTCGTCCCCGCCAGCTCCTCCTCCTCCTCCGCCATTGATTGATGTGACAGCGCCCACCGAAAGCACAACAACTAATCTTCCGTTGCGTCCCGCGCAAACTCCGCAGCCAACCACCACCTCAACAGCAGCTCTGAGCAGCACGAGTCCTGCGCAAACAACTCAGCAACCTAACGCCCCAACGCTCCAGCCAAATGCAAATTCCGCATGGACTCCTTCTTCTCCCGGGCGTGCTACAACCCCGCGTCCAAACGGTAAGTTCAATATTCGTACTTAACATGGCCAACGCTTTCCCTGACCTTGGATATAATAGTCCCAAATGAATCATCGAGCAATACCACAAGTCAATCAGCAAGGACGAATACTGTTAATCGCCCTGCAAATAACTCAAACATGAATCCGGGCTTCAATGATCTCTTAAACTGGGCGGAGAACACACCATCAGAAGCTCCTCCTGCCTACAGCCGAAATTTGAGCGATCCCGCGCAACTCCAGAGGCAGATGGATGAGTTGACAGTAGCTCTCAGGCAGAAGAACAAAGGTGCTCTATCTATTAGCCCTTACACCTTATCCGGGAATATCGACGCCATACGCCTTTTGTATATGGGGTTAGCCCAAGCGGACCTCACTCCGAGGGAGTATGGAACTCCAACGTATCTCCATCCAAGCTACAGTAAGTTCATGTTATCTCTATAGCACTCTATATCACTGACTGTTTTGTTTGCAGGTATGATGGCAGTCGGAAGTGTTAGTTACCCAGGAAGCACATTTCTGGATATGGATTGCGAAACATCTGGTTTCTACGAGGGAAAGTATCCAGCAACAATCACCATCAGTGGCTATTCAGAGGAATACAGAGCTCATCAACTTTTGCAACAACCCATCCTTAAGCTCAGCCTCGAAAGTGAGCATCTATACCCAGAGGTCCCACTGGGAAAGGTTGTTGAGCGCCTCCGAAAGCTGAGGAACCAGCCATCCCTGGAAGACGATGAGGGACTGAAAAATCTCCTTAACTTGTCGCAGTAAGCACCATTATCTTTGCCGTTCTATTTTCTTTTTTGCTCACCCTAAGTAGGACAGCTCTTGCGCGGTCCGGATTTCAGGCTGGTGGAACGCGGCAAACTCGAATTTCGTTCCTATGCATGACGCTGACGCGCAGCCTTCACGACGCTTCCACTAGGTTCATCGATACTTCCAAGGAGCGATTTTTTTGCAATCACATTTTCAACCCCGCTACAACCGGAATTGGGATGAGAAATTTCCTTTTCCAAATGTTGATTGGTGCAGAGATCCTCATCCGCCTCAGAAAAGAGACCACGGTGACGAACTATGCTGGAATCGTTACCGACCCGATTTCAGCAACGATTGTACTGGCGGCATTATGGATGGAGAACGTCGTGATTCAAGGGCCCAAAGCTGTAAGTGACTGTGAATATGAATGTGTTACTTTGGGCAAAGAAATCATCATGTTAACTATCGCCTACGTAGGGAGTGAAAGAAGACGAGGCGAAAGCTTGGTCTCTATACGCAAGCCAGAACCAACGTCAAGCTGAGGCCCTCATTCGATTTGCAGAGGCAATGGAATGGCCCTACATGGACGAATTCCGGAGCTTTATCGAAGGTGCTTATGATGAAATTATCTCCGCCAAACCCGTTCCGAGCTGGGATATTTACGATTGGCTCTACGGACTCGTTTTACCCGGTAAAATCTACAGGCACCGCGTCATGTCATGTCTTGTTCATTCGTCAGCTACAATTAAATCATTCAGCTCAGCGCCATACTGGGATAACGGAATTGTTGTAAAGGACAAAAGCTATTGGCCTCGAAGAACGGTTCTGGGTAGAGTTTTAGGTGGCCTGAAAGACGTCAAGAGTGTCTGCGGCTGGATTGGTCCGGCGCCTGCTCCCGTTGGAAATCTCAGCGGCTGGATTCGACTCAAGACACGCAACGTTTCTATTCCCGTGCCAGTGAGCACAGGCGCTAACAACCGAAGCGTCTTCCAAAGCCTGGGATTTGAAGAGCCTGATGGGAGGACAGAGAGTGTCCAGTCTTTCTTGAAGTCCTTCACAGACCCTGACGAATGGATAGAGGCACCGAGTCCAACTCCTCCCAGGCCATACGGAGCGTTGGCTCGGGTGAAGTTCAAGGATATCCAACTGACCCTTCTACCAAACCCCGCGGCAGCTTCGACCACGCGGTCCGATCTACCGCCCGAGGAATATCGTGCCTCGCTTGATTTCGAGGTTGACGGACGCAAAGTCACATGTACTCTCTACTCGAACCCTGTTTTTGTTGCGGCACCTCCATGCGTAGGCTCCCATGTTATCCATAAGCGCCAGGCAGATAAGTACCAGAAGAATGTTATCAAGGCTGCTGACATCAAAAACAAATATCCCCCTGCAAATCAGCTTATTGTTATCGACGCTATGGGCCCAGATGAGGAGGTTTTTGCAAGAGCCTGGTGTGCAGAGACTGGCCGACACGCACTCGTCAGGAAGGGAGACGACTGCTGCTATCCGTGTGCGGTATCCGTCGCCACCGAAAGAACTGGCTTGGGTATTAATGTGGTGATTATGTGTTAGTGAGCCTTTTGTTCTCAGCTTTTGATTATGTAGCTATTCTATGGTTTCTTTTTGGTTGTTCTGATAAGTTGGCTGCTTAATTGCCAAATGGAGCTGGAAATATACCATACATTGCTGTTTTGTGTGTTTTACCTTAAGTGAATTGGAAGCCCCTAAAATGGTCACTAGACCGTAAGCCAGTTCTGGCCGCGACGCCTGAGCAGATGGTCTCTTGTTGATGGGGCGGGAGAGTAAAAAAAGAGATCATACCGTGTTGATACAATGGTTGCAAGTTTGCATGAACCCAGTGCGATTTGAACGCACAACCGTCAGATCTGGAGTCTGACGCGCTACCGTTGCGCCATAGGTCCTGATTGGTGGCTCTGTCACTGGAAAGGGATATTGGGAATTTTCTTCAAAATATGCGAGGATTTTGAATGTGGGAGCCGAACCAGCCAATAGGAATCTGTGTTTGGCAATGTGGATGGTGCTCAGGGGTAATTTCTATGGGGTGAAGCCAAAATGTCTATGGGGTTCGATGGATCAAAGAGGGCTCTGGATCTCAGTTCGTTCCGTCATGGAGCCCCGGTGGTATACTCCGTACAAGCCCAGAATCTTTCTCACCGCCCCATTCTTTACCCTATTTAGGCAGCACAAGTTCTCTACTATTGTATGTCCTACTGCATCCGATCTATTCTTCACCGTTCAATCACGAAATATTCGCGTGTCTCCCTGTTACTTCCACTTACTATTTACTAGGAAATATGCTATTTATTTGATTGTTAAGCTAGCTTGGATCTTGGATGTGGTTGAATTTATATATTGAGAGGCTTCGCGTCTCTCAGCACTGGCCGGAGCCCAGAAGGCAGTCTCAAGCCACTAACTAGTCTCTATGTAGTTAACCTCCAGTTTTTGGCTCAGATCTTTTTTGATCTGATGCAGAGTCTTCTTCTTCTCAGGTCTCATCCCAGCTCCTAGGAGGGGCAAGCTTAGAAGAGCACTGAATGCAGTTGGGTTCTGTGGTTCCTTTAGCTTCCGTACATGCTTAGTAGGCTAGTAGGCCCTCCGAGAAGAAGTCTTTGAGTCAAGATACCAAGTCGTCGCAAAACTTGGGTTTTGGCGCTGCCTCAATGATATGGTTGTGTCGCGATCTTCAGTATGGCTACTATTGAAAGGACTCTACCAGCTAATGTGTAGATAACTATGGTAGCAGAGAGCAACGATGCTTGACTCCCAAGGTCCATGTCTGGAATCGGAAGCAAAACCCAGAAGTTGAAATTTGCAGCTTATCTCAAAAGTACTGAAGAGGTTCATAGGTCGCGAGAAATACGTTCGGCATGCCGTTCACTCTTTTCACCTCAATAGACCACACGCGGTCTATCCTTGCCTTTTGTATGAGCCAGCTGGTACTCTGTACAGCAAAGAGAGAAGACTACTGGTGATCCAGACTCCCATGCCACAAGCCAGCCAAGGAGGCGGGTAAACTCGTTAAAACTAACTTGGCAAGTTAACCAAGGTTGTGCCAAGATGACCCATGGAAAGCATGATTGGAGGCCACAAGTCAGATTTCTGAGGCAAAACAAAATCACCCCAAAACCGAAAAGGGAGGCTCAACAAAATCTTGATGATAAGAGACTCCCAAAAACTTATTGGCCCAGGTCAAAATAAAGATCTATTTTGTCTCCATGAACTATCAAACCTCCTGTTTTAAGTCTCTCCTGTGCTCTGAAGATGACAGGGGGAAGGCCTCACAGGCATAGAACACTGGTCAAGCCAACACTCTTGACAGCTCTCATCTTATCGACATGCATATCTTACTGGTTATATAAGGTCAACACAATCGTGCCTGATCCATACCTGGATGAAGCCTTTCATGTCAGACAGGCACAAGCGTATTGGAGGCATCAGTGGAGAGAATGGGATCCGAAGATTACAACACCACCAGGATTGTATCTACTTTCCTATGTCGTCGCGGCAGTAGGATTTGTGATATCTCGCAAACCAGCAGTTCTGACTGCTGCTTATCTTCGATGCGCGAATGGATTTATTCTGCTTAACATTCTACCGATTGTGCTGAAGAGATTGATGAAGCATGTACGAGGATCATCAGGGGCCGAAAAGGGGGTTTCGGCGGAGCGGCAGTCAGGCTGGGAATTTACTATAATAGCGTTGAATATCTGCCTATTTCCGCCGATATTTTTCTTTTCTGGCCTTTACTATACGGATCTGGCCTCGCTACTCATCGTGCTGGAGGTTTATCGTCGGGATTTGGAGAGTGCTAATGGAGCACATTTAAATTCCCAAAACGCCTTGTCCTCGCCTCACTCCATCCTGCTCTTCCTTTTTGGCCTGGTGTCCCTGTTATTTCGCCAGACGAATATATTTTGGTCAGCAGTATTCCTAGGTGGATTGCAAGTCGTCAAGATGCTGCATTCTTTGAGCGTAGACGCCCATTCCTCTGACATCACATCAATTATGAAGTCGAGCTGGGGCCTTCGACAAGTTTACGATCCACTGGTTAGAGAGGCATTTTTTGAAGGTACGGTGTGTGGGCATTTTCCATATGCCGATTCACCCACTTCGTGTTCGGTGCTGATGATGTGGCTATAGACTATCTCAAGGCTTGTCTATCAATCGGAGTCGCCGCAGCGGTGAATACTCGCGTCATCTTCGTTGCACTTTTACCATACATCAGTCTCCTTGGTGCATTCGGGATGTTTGTTCTCTGGAATGGCAGTGTGGTTCTTGGTTCGTATTGTACTTCTAGAGTAACATTAGGATTGATACTGACTTCCACGTGCAGGTCATAAAGAATTCCACACAGCCGGGCTGCATGTCCCTCAGATGCTGTACATCTGGGCCTACTTTATGTTCTTTTCCTGGCCGGTTATGGTCGCGCCATGGGTTCTAGCTCTGCAGAGAGCTTTCAGCTCTAAAAATGGCATGCGTGAACTCGCCAAAAGCCTCCCTCGACTTAGCATTGCCGCGTGTTTCATTGTGATGATGCTCCTAGCGGTCCATTTCAACACCATTGTTCACCCCTTTACTCTTGCCGATAACCGCCATTATGTATTTTACGTTTTCCGGATGCTACTTCGAAAGCCGTTCATCAAGTATGCTGTCACTCCGGTATATTTTCTCTGTGGTTGGGCCTCCATCTCAGCTTTCGGCGCAGGAACTTCAACTGCGGCAGAACCCCAGCCTGGTCCAGCCCCTATGAAGTACAAAAGGGCCGGTGGTTCAGCATTAACAGGAGGCACGGCTGACTCTCCGAATTCCCTGCACTCTAAGCGTGATGACCCAACTGATGGAGTCCGAGTCAGCTTTGTGATCGTGTGGCTCGCATCAACAACTCTTTGCCTAATTACCGCACCTCTCGTTGAGCCACGGTATTTTATCATTCCTTGGGTCTTATGGCGGTTACATATCCCCTCATCGATATATTCGCTGCAACTAAGCCGGAGCGACAACGTCACTGCATCCTCCAACGAGGCGAGCAAGCAGCTCATCCGATACTTACCTCTGATAATCGAGGGAGTATGGTTCTTGATAGTAAACGCGGTGACAGGGTACATGTTTCTATACAGAGGGTTTGAATGGCCGCAAGAGCCGGGAAAGGTGCAGCGATTTATGTGGTAAGAAGAGGAAGCATTGGAAGATGATTGATGCTCCCTCGAGGACAGCACCGAAGGTGGATAAACTCCAGGCCTGTCGATGTCTTCGAAGGAGTTCGGACATCTGTCATAGGTTCTTGTCTTCATCTTTCCATCCCCGGCGACCACTTTTGAGATGGGGAAAGGGGAAAAGGGGATATGCCCATTTGAATGAGCTGTTAGAGCTACCTCATAATATAGCTAAGTACGGAGTACCGAAGAGGGAATCCGGATTTTCCCTCAGTACTACGTATCTGGTAGCCCAGTGGCGCTAGAGACACGAAGTAGGCCTACTGGAAGAGTTCATCGCCCTGACAGGCTAAAAGGGAGGAGGGAAGCCAGTTAAAGCCGCTAATGATATGTAGCAAGGTCCGGATCAAAGCTGCTCTGTCATTCTATTCTCTAAAGTAAACCACAATCCCCTCATTTATTTGCCTATTGTTGAACTGCTGGTAGAAATCACACTGTATCTAGACTTCACGACTATTATAATCTTAGTACTACAAGCCATTAAATGTATAACTAGTTAATATATGGGAGACTGGGACGCAAAGGGGCAAAGATTTGCACTTCCCTGGTGTTTTACTCTATGAGCATGAGAACTCTCTCTGATTTTCATCAGATGCGTATCACTCAGCTAAGAAATGAAATCAATTGTGGACGGAGGGAGTGAGTATTTTGAGGCCATGAAATATTTTACACTCATACAGGACATTGTGATGACTAGCTAGTCATGCTTCAGCCCTGATTACGCACACAGGCTGTTTTGATTTCGATTCATGAGGTGCCGTATCCTACCAGGAGAGTGCTTTGATCAGAGTGTTAAAATCACTGGGAAAAGTTTGACGGAAGAGTTTGTCCTGAATGACAAGCACTGCACTCCTGGCCATCAGGAATGTTGGTTCCTGCCTACATTTCAGCAGCGATTCACCATAAGGCTGGGTTATTATGTACTGTCGAGAAAGGGCGGATGCTATACTTCCCGTTGCAGGGGTAGATGATAAGTCAGGTCTCGGGAGATGCGTGATTGGTGTGACGGTGGTCAAGAGTATCTCCCAGGAATCATGAAGCTGGAGCTCTGTTCTTGAGAACCCGATATCATCAAACTTTCTGACACTCTCTCTTGCATTTGCAATAGACTGGTGTCCGACTGCACAGAGTAGCGGCATGTTTGTACCTAGTTCCCGTAGACATCACGCCAACGCGAGAAAGTGACTCTTCAGCCATGGGATGTGCCAGCACAAATCAAGAGCTCGAGTATCGAGACTCCAGAGTGCTACATGATAAACGAGGGGAAGAGTGCCATTCTAAAACGGCCTTGGCATTTCAAGGCACAAGGGCAACCCAACCGGTATTCGCATTTAGCATATGTGCCGGTGAAATAAAAATTATAAAATTTATTGTGTACGGAGTATACTTGATAGACATGGGTATGTCTCCAGTCGAGTGGGTGGCTGGTGGGGAATCATGCGATGACGGAGAAGGGTGAGCCAGAACGGCGAGGATGGTTGAGGAGAAGGTGAGGATTTGAGCGGCTAGCTCCTTGCAATAACTCACTCAGAGGAGGAAGATGCGTATTCCCCAAGGACTGACTATGTAACTGTCCTCCAGATGGCTGTTGGCCTGTATGTTTAATAGAAGTCCCATAGCAGGTTGTAGTATTGGAGCTGCGGGATATCAGCGCATGAAGTCGACCTTGTCTCGGTGATGGGCCGACCACTCGGGCGTCGGGGAAATCGACCTTTGTTCCTGACGCCCGAAAAATGACCGCAAGCCCGCTAAACCGCATTGGGCGATCCTTGACGGCTGTTGGCCGAAGACGATCCCGATTCGCTCGCGCATCTCTGTTGAATCCGGAGACGGTAACAGCCGCCGCAGGGCTGTTGAGGGTCATTCGGAAGATAAGGGCGCAAATGCCGGCGTAACGAGATTTAGGGCTCCAATCTCTTTTATATAAACCCGGCGTCCGTTTACATCCTCGCCCGCCCCGGATCATGCAATAACGCACAACGACAGCCCTCCACACACGCTCTGCCCAGGCAACACCATTGCTCCCCCTTTCATCGCGTCGCAGATCGCATTTCCTACCCTAGCGGGTTCCCTAGCCATGGCTACCGTGCGCTCTTCCACTCTCTCCCCGCTATTGCGGTCACAATTCACAAAACCACTCACCGCAACAACAACGCCGACATCAATCCAATCTCGAGCCTTCAACTTACCCTCCCTCTCCTCCTTCGCACCACAGCTCTCCACACCACCTCCGCGCTCCCTCTCCGCCACGCGAACCCTCTCATTCCCACCTCTCCCGCTTTTCCGCATCATCTCCGCTGTTGAATCATACCGCGACTTCCTCCCTTTCCTTACCGCATCCACCGTCACGGCTCGCGACCGCGCAACCGGCTATCCTACCCAAGCCTACCTCACTGTCGGATACGGCCCTCTAAGCGAAACTTTCCATTCCAAAGTCGAGTGCGACGAGGCGAAGTGGACGGTGGGCGCGCGGAGCGGAGACATCGCATTCCAGCGCAAGGGAGAGGAGGGCAAGGACGGCGGCCTGTTTGAGTATCTGGATACGATATGGAAACTGGAGCCGCTGGAAGGGAGAGCTGTGGGCATGGAGATGACGAGGGTGGATTTGGCGGTGAATTTCCGGTTTAGGAATGCGATGCATGCGGCGATGATGAGTGCGGTGGAGAATCAGGTTGCTGGGATGATGATAGAGGCGTTTGAGAAGAGGGTGATGGATGTGGAGCGGCGGAAGTGAAACATTTTCATACAAAAAGTGTGAAGCGTGGGAATTTTCGTGTCGTTATATCCATATTTTGCTGAGAGCTTTTTGGGAAATTAGGGAGCCATTTTGTTAGAACTGTAGCCTGGCTTATTATACCTTTTCTTTTCTTTTCTTTTTTTTCTTTTCCTTTTTTTTTTTTTTTTTTGGGTCAGATATAGAGGGTCAGCCTCTAAAAGAATCTATACATTTATAGATACAGTAAACCTGAGTACGATGCATTTGACCAAGAGGAAAGATAAAAAAGACACAGATTTATATAATACATCGCTGAGAACGGTTAATCATCAGGTCAAAACTTGCATGTTCAGGAGTAATAGGGCGCATGGCTCCGTGACCGCTTGGAGCTCAGTACAGACTCTGGTCCAACCTGATTGTAATTTTGGAATACCTCGTCCCAATTGATCCTGTCCCACCATTTCTCAAGGTAACCGGGCTTACCACCAATGCCCCAATCTCGGAGCCAAACATGCTCCCAGGTGTTCACGCAGAGGATAGGATGAATGTCGGCACCGCCGGGAGCCAAAACCTTGCTCTTTGAATACGGTCCCATCGCACCGAATGTTCTTGTTGCTAATTTACTAGCAACTTGGGGGTTTTCACCTCCGGCAACTCCGGTTGTTTGGGTTGCCATATCGACGGACTGACGACGGAAATGGGCTCCGGGATAAGGAGAGCCGGCGATGTAGGTGCAGAGAATCTTCAGTTCCGCGGTATCCTTAACCTTGACCAACCACACAAATCCTGGACCAAACATAGCGTTGGCGGTTGCGAGGAATTCCGCTTTGAGTGAGTCCAGGGAGGAGCATGATTCGTCGATAGCTTCTTCGAGTTTCTGAGGGATGGCGACGGGTTCGGGGGACTATGGTAGGAGCCAAGTTAGATCGAAGGCTGAGGAATACAGACATAGAACGTTGCCAAGCTACTCACAATGCAGTTGAAAAAGAAATGGTTGTTATGTGCCATCGAGGCATAGTTGAAGAGCGACGCCATACTGGCATCTCGGGCGTATTTAAGCAGGAGCGATCCTGCCGGCAGACTCTCGTCGGGCGTTCCTATGAGTTCGAATTAGGGCCTCTTTCGCTTCTGATAGGGTTGGGTGTCCGCGAGTACACGCAAGATATTGCGAAGGCATATGGCTCACGTACCAGCCGTCAACAAGTTCAATTTGTCCACCACCATGCCTTGATATTGGGTCCAGGCCATATCGTAGCCCTCTGGCGATAATAACTCTGAAACGCCATTTTCTCTGAAGGTGGCATCGTACATCAACGTCGGGACGCTGTGGACACCTCGAGCATGGGATTGCGATAGGAATGTCTGGTGTGGGAGCTTTGTTAGCGTCTCACGAACTGAGCGGGCGATTGGGGGCTGAAAACCGACTTTAGTTGAAGATACGGCGCGCAGACCGAGCTGCGGCCGTAATAGCCTTTGGAATATCATGAAGAACCAACTTGGATCATCGCCCACGGACTCCCAGCCGGATCCTCGAACGCAGCGAGGGCGAACTCGACGCTCTTGGGCGGCCGAGAATTTCTTCGGTGCCAAGACCTGACTAGCCGCTCTAGGACTAACCTGAATGTTTCAAGCTCTGGCCAATCAGCATGCGCGGATTGACACCCGCCGCCCTCGCTTGACACGCTTCCCAATTTAGCAGCGCGGCGGAAACACAACGTCGTCGCCTGCAGTCCAACCATTCCACCCGGCGCTGCTGCACGCTCGACAGCCGCCCGTCCCCTCGAACCCCGTCAAACTCTTCAGGCTGTTCCTAGCGTCTGGCTTTTGATTCAGACTCACGGTTCAGTGGCTCTCACACTCCGTCTCCGTCACCATGGCCCGAAATAGCCTGTACGCGGTTGCAGACGATGTTTCCTTCAGCAAGGAGCCTCGAAGTGACGAGCTCTTGTGTCATGGATGTTGTCCCATCCACTTTATATTGAATACCTTCCTTTCTCCCCCTCGTTACTCGAGGTTGCTTTTGCTTTCTGCTTAACAATGAAGTTCTGTGCAATTGAGCTCGCAGACCATTGTTAATGCTTGTTTTTCCTTTCTTCATACATCATATGTTCAACCTGAAGGACATCTCCTTACAGTACGGAGCATGCCATCTTAGTTTTATTCAATTGAGTCTTGAGAGTTGACCTCGACTTGAGGAACATATAATCTGCTCCTCCCGCTTTATCCGTATCTCGTTTCCATATTTTACTTCAGCCTCAGCCCATGAAATGCGGCAATCAAAGTTCATGCTCATATGCACCCTTCAATCGCTTCTCATAACCGCTCATTGTGCGTCTATATCAGGTCTTGCCTTCGATATCTGGCCACGAGATACCGAATCCTGTGCGGAGCCAAATTTATCTAGATGTCCCGACGACAAGCTTCCGTCCAACTTCTGCTGCCCGAGATCCTCGACTTGCCTTAGTCTAGATGACTCAACAACTCTGGTTTGTTGTCCCAAAGGGAGAGACTGCACGACGATCAGGCCGATAACCTGCGATATACAACGACAGAATGTGTCCAAAGACCCCTCCAGTGTGGTCAAAACCACCAAGCTCCTGGAGCCTCTTTCGCAATGCGGGAGCGGATGCTGTCCCCATGGATATGTGTGCGATAACGGAAGCTGTAAAGTTGATACAACTCCTTCAAAGACCGCGTCTTCTACGTCGACTACGACTCCCGAGCCAACATCGACTTCTCTTCCAGCAATTACCACCATTTCAGCCACCCCTCTATCAATTCCCAGCCTCAACGAGTCAACATCTGAAGATTGTCCAGCGATTCCTGGCGTTGCAGTTGCGGCGGGATTCTTTCCTGGAATAGTGGCTGGCATCCTGATAAGCATGGCATTTTGCTATTGGCAAAAACGGCGCAGGAATAAAAACTCCTCCTCTCCCACCAAAATCAATCATTTTCATCACAAGTCGGACGACGGCGCGATCCTTTCCATCTCGGACCCGATTCCCTCCAGCGCACAAGATTCCGTGCGAACAGACTTCCTTCGTCACCATGGAAGCTTAGAAAGAAGAGAAAACTCTCGATCCGTTAGAGAACGTGCGAGTACGCGGGTGCGAAGTTTTTTTGCTCCTAAATTAACGATCACTATCCCGGACTCTTCGACTATGCCAATCACTCCACCAAACCAAATCTATCCGCGCCGAGAGCCAAGCATGGAGAGTATACGTGTATACAGCCCCATTCGATTGAATGAAGGGCAGGCTCTGCCAAGTCGAAATGTCAATGCGAGAGATTCGCGTCCACCGACCACCTTCAGCCAGATGATGGAGAGTGTGGGTTTTCAGAATGGCCATGGAAGTCCATTCTATCCGGTTGGCGAGACACCGCGACAGCCGACAAGAAGATACCAAGCTGAGAACACATTGAGACCTGGAAGGTGAGGAGGAAGCCTATGCGAATGTATCATGGAAGGAGTTTATGGGAAGGTGTTTTTGGCTTTGGCTATCTGGGAGTTTTCTGTAGATATACCATTCGATTCCCTTCTTACGCTTGCTTAGAATACTATTTTAATACATTGATATAAAAGTTGTCAAATCAATCTCTCAGCCGCTCCGAGCGAGTAAAGCACAACTACCCGGTTACTAGAGCTAACCTTCATGCGAAATCCATATGGTCAATCGAGAAGGCATTCCTATTATAGGTTATCCGCTGCTGGACCTCTGTAAGATAGAAGAGACTCCGAGATGCCAGTATTGGCAACAATTAGGGAGGAAAAAAAAAAGTCAACGTCGAGATAGATACATCCACCTTAAACCCACAAAATGCACACAAAATACTGTGGATCCCTTTCTACCGGCTTCTAGCTTTCCACGCTACTACTAGCCTTTTCATCTCTTTAACCAGCGCCAATACAAGTGGAACACCGATTGGTCCCAGGAGGGGCAAATAAACCGCGACTTTATGTTCATCTGGGAAATACACCTGTCCAACCATGCTCTTCTCGAAAAAGCTCTTTTCCGCTTCGCTCTCGGCAACACGGGCTGAAGCGAGAGCCTGGGCGAATTGCCCATCTCGCAGGAAGTCACAGGCGGCTGAGAGGTGTGAGAGGGTGCGCGAGACTGATGTCGCAACGGTTGCGGGGATGGGAATTGAAGGGAGTGAGCGTGTGAGTCGGGCAAGAGAGCCCATCGTCGATGATGCTGAGAGGAGTAGTGATGCCGTGTGCATTCGGGTTAGGTGTTGGAGGCGTAGGGGGAGAGGGGACGGGGAAGAAGGAACGCCTAGGAGAGAGAGAAGTTGATGAGAGAATGTGGATATGGCGGAGTGGAGGGTTTGTCTGGTAAGATGGGCTGGGTTTGTCGGTAATTCGTCGGCGTTGGACACAGGCGGGTTGAGAATGACGACTCCACCCCATTGGGGGATCAACCAGCTCGTTGCAAGGCTGTCTTTGATCAGAAGCGGCGATTGGGTAGGGGAGGGAACATAGACGATGAAATTGATCGTGGGACCGCCGCCAATGCTAGGGCTGAGGGGCCATTCTGCGGCATTTATAAAGGCACTTAAATCTTCCTTTTTAAGAGTCCATGCTCCACGTATTTCGTCGTATTCGGGGGGTGTAAATGTGGGCGAAAACGTAGCATACGGTTGCACCTGGGTATCAATTGAGAAGTTGCTTATAGGGGCGAATGTCTTGAGGAGTGGCATTAAGTATTCTTGTAACGCTGGTTCAATATCCCATGAGGAAGGCTCCGCACCGGGAGTGAAAAGCGAAAAGCTCAGATGGTATGTATCCGCGTATTTGAAAGATCGACCGATCCGGCGAGCAATCGACTCCATCAATTCAGGAGCAACCGGGTTAATAACAGGGTTCCTTTGCTCTTTACTACTGCCGTGCGAAGGCTGCAATCCTTGTGTAGATAGCCTGCCAGTAATGGAGGGCTGGAGCGTGGGACCTAGCATATTGCTTTTGGAGAGTATGTATTGCAGCGTGGCTTTCTCTTCGCTAAACAGATTTTGTAATTCACCAGCGATAAATGCTGCGAGAGAGGAATGCGATGTCAACTGGCTGGGCGGATAAAATATGTCCAGGTGCTCGGAGTACTGATGCAAGCGAGAAGTCGCTACAGTGGCATTATCTTGCGGAAGAAATCGCACGGTCAGAGCAGCATTCGGAAAGACTTTAACGGTCATGTAGTAATCCGCGATATCGGGAGATTGATTTCTGGAGGTTTGCTGCTCTTCCACAAGCTGAAGCCGAAGATGATGTGCGGAGAAATCGTTGAGGTCGTCAAGTGCATGCTGTGTGGACTGAACTAGGTTTCTCGCATCCTGGATCTGGATTGAAGGCGCCCGAACCTCTATTTGAAGTGGAAACACTGGTCGGCATGACTACAGCCCAGTAAGTCAACCCGCATTCGGTGCTATTGAGGGTGCGACAGAGTTGATATGCTTACCTTCCCAGCAGCCCAGTCGGCCATTTCATCCAGCGGAAGCCGGGCTCTATATATCGAGGTAGTTGTCCACCACATCGGAAGTCCCAAAAATATTATCACTGCCCAAAACGCTGCTATCACCAATGATCTGGCGCGGATTGACTCCGGTTTCTCTGGCGGCGGAGTGCGCCGGGCACTCGCTGTCCCTTTGCTTTCCTCCATCACGGCAGCGGTATGTGTTGCTCGAGAAGGTTCAGTCGGAGTAACAGCGGAGGATAGTTTCCTCGCGCCTCCATGATTATCCGACATCATCAGCTCATATTTTGGCGAGATTCGAGCTGAAGTGCGGCGCTGACTTGATAATCTGGCGATCCCGCGATCGCAGCCGCGATCTTGGTAACTAGTTGTTAGTTAAGCTAGCTTGGCAAACCCCATTAACACCTCAATGCAACTTCAGGGGTTGTCGGAAAAGCATTCTCAAAATGGGACAATTACAGAACAGGTCACGAAAGATGCACATAGAGCATTTGTCTGCATTGCTACTTGGCATTGGACAGCTATTTACAGGAGGAAATGGATTGCATATCACTAACTGTGTATATTTGGCCTACAATATAGCAAGCTCATTGCCTTCATGAACTACAGTTTTAGAGATGCTGAGTCCAAATATGAAAATGGACGCACTGTAGCCCTGCTGTAATCTTGATCCTTGCAGCGCATTGGCCTTTCCCTGGATTGTCTTCCGGAAACGGATGGTTTGCACCGTCCAAACTAGAATTAGGTGCAACCTAAGGCTGCTGACCACGTGGGGCTTCGTCGGCGCTCCGTCGGGAAGTCTCATGGATAATGCGCGTGCCGTCCGACGTATCGGAATGTACGGCTGGGATTCAAGAAGGGCATAATTGTGATTTCGAATAACCCCCCCAGCTCACGACGCCCGAATATGTCTGTAGACCTCCATCTTTGAAGAAACTTATGGATACCGGCATGCGTCAATTGAAACGTCACTTCTCATCGACGCTTGTTTTACGGCTTGCCACCGCATACTCCTTCTCAAAAAGCTTCTGGATCGGTTTGGCAGCCTGAGACATATTTGTTAGCCGATAATCCAGAAATGTGATCCCGACATTGGAGGGAACGCTACTCACATCAATGAATCGCTCCAAGTCTAAGTCTAGACTAGCCAAATCGTCCTTCCTCTTCTTGTTTTCAGCGATCAAGGCTTGCTTTCTCTTCAACAGCTCCTGCCGGGCTTGTTCCAGCTTTTCCCGTTCAGCGTGTTCGTGGTTTATTCGCGCGATCATGAGTTCATTATCGTTGGAATTTGCATGTTCGGGGTAAATGGCAAGGAACTCTTGAACGGGGATTAGAGGCAGCGATGTATACGGGTGGCTACAGGGGACCATATGTTAGAAACTATATCTCCGCAGCAAAATTCGAGGGAGCGTACTCGTATGACTCGCATGCGGCGATTTCTCCACTGAGATGTCTTTGTTCGTAGTATAAATTCTGAAGGTGGAGGTGAAGTCGGTCAATCTCCTGGCGCGCTTCCGCAGTGGCCTGCTTTGTCGCTCGAACATTAAGGATAGCTTCGCGGTTCAGTCCCCGGAGCTGCGAGAGCAATGCAAACACGAGCTTCTGTTGTTTTGAGATGTTTAAGACAGTCTCTTGGGGTAGAGGGGAGGTGAGAGCGGTTGGGTCCAGCAACCCAAGCAGATTCTGGCACTGCGTCAAGGTCTCGGAGCTAGCTTTCAAGACTGGAAGGAGCGAAGGATCGGTGATAATATCGTTGACGGCCATTTTAAAGGATCGAAGGTGACGATGCGAATCTGCTCAACATTCGGTGTGCCTGGGCGGGTATATCAGCGGCATACCTAAGGATCTCTCATTCAACTGCAGACGTCGCTCGGGCTCAACGAGAAGCTGGCCCATTCTAGACTAGCGTTATCGGAATGGAGATATATTTACCCGACAATCTTACATAAGCAATATTCTGGAAGTGCTTGGCGGTCTTGGCATCATGGCTGCCCAAACACAGCATGTGGCGGCCGGTATTACCAAAAATACCGCACGTTCCACACGGCAAAGACGTTACTTCTGTGTAATGCAACTCGTATAATAATGGGATCATCGAGTGTCACTGCGTTCGGGATGGATAAAAGCATCGATATCAGCGTTTGTTGGGTTGGTGGGAGCTGAAGGAAGGGCTCATCAAAGGAATGGTGTCCATGTTTCCTTTTGCTCCTCCATCGACGCCAAGCGGCTGAGGATCCGATCGTCGTGGTCGCCGTGCTTGACTAGTTGCAAATTTCTCTCAACTCCGAACCCCCTCACTTGTTTTGCCGGATATATTCTCTTGAACCAGCCATCCTTCATCTTTGTCCTGCGTAGCTTAGGATATTGCCCGCTAGCCTCTTCCCATATGCGCGGGGAGGGTTGACGTGGCGTTGAAATATCCTTGCTCATTCCTATTTGTTCTCAAGTTAACTGCCTGCGCCCCGACTTTTCATATGATTGCTGCCAATTTCCCTATATCTGAACGTCTGCTGTCTCTGTCGTGGTCAATTTTCGTGAGCCAGGCTTGAAAACGCAGCCGTTAGGGGTTCTGGGGTCCGGAAGCGCCCGTTGAATCCCATCGCTGCTCAAACCTCCCAAATCGACAGAATGGCTTGTTCTAGTCCTTCCATGACGGTGGAATCCCATGCGGATCGAGAAGACACAGGCGCGACATCAGGATTCTTTTCTCCAACGGAAATCCTCCGTAATCGGAGACGCAGACATTCGTTTCATTCCTCTCGCCGGCTTTCCTGCGATTATGATGCCGATGCTATATTTCTTCGGGTCGGTACTCTACGTAGTAGTGGATTTGTTCTTCTAGAACCATGAGTTAACACGTTTTACTAGGTCGAATTATTTCTTGCTGACTTGGAACGGCGGCTACAATGGCTGGAAGATTACAGACAATCCCACGTGGTAGATATTGATTCTGGCTTGAAGAGAGCGTACGCCGCTTTGCAGGCGGTCCGAGACAAATGCAGCCATGCATCTGGGGAACTGATGGGTGGAGGGAAGCGCCGTGCAAGAATTGTGGTGGAAACTATGGAGGAACAGTATAACCATGCTCTCGCAACCAAAGAGACGTTGGAGCAAAAAGCTCAGGCTAGTATGCGGCTGATGGAGAGTTTCTTATCGGAACTGGAAGCGAGTGTTCATGCCGTCAAAGACAGAGGTATATACGTTGCCATCGACGAGGGCTGGCGGGCAGTGGATTCGGGCTTACACCATGCGCGGGTTGTCCTTGACGAGGGCATGGAACGTGCACGTCATGCCCAAGTTGCACTCCGGGAAAGCATCGATCGCGCGATCCAGTTAGCTCAAGAAAAGCGCCTCATCACATATGCCGATCTCCCCCACCCATGGAGAGTGAACCCGCACATCCTGGACGGTTATCGATTCACCACATCCAAGATTGAATGCGTGACTTCGGTTTTCACCTTTTCGAATGAGCTCGTGAACATTTGGTCGCATCTGATTGGCCTAATCATAGTTCTAGCTGTGGCACTTTACTTCTACCCTCTGAGCCCGAACTTCTCCCTGAGCACCAAAGCCGACGTCGCTATCGCTGCTATATTCTTCATAGCCGCCTGCAAATGCCTTGTTTGCAGCACAGTATGGCACACAATGAATGGCATTGCATCGCAATCCCTGATGGAACGATTCGCCTGTGTGGACTACACCGGAATATCCTTTCTGGTCGCTGCCTCTATCGTTACCACTGAATATACCGCCTTCTACTGTGAAGCCTTGTCTCGCTGGATTTACATACTCATGACCTCTTCCCTAGGCATCGCTGGCATCATCCTTCCCTGGCATCCCACCTTCAACCGTGCTGATATGGCCTGGGCACGTGTTGCTTTCTACGTGACTCTTGCTCTCACCGGGTTTGCGCCAATCGTTCAACTGAGTCTCACCCGAGGACTGGCATGGTCTCTCTATTTTTACGCCCCCATCATGAAGAGCCTCCTGGTGTACCTAACCGGTGCTTGTATATACGCTTCCCAGGTGCCCGAGCGTTGGCGCCCTGGCTTCTTCGATTACTTTGGGGGTAGCCATAACATTTGGCACATCGCTGTGTTGGGTGGGATCCTATTCCACTACCATGCGATGCAAGATCTTTTTGCGGGTGCTTTTGTTCGTGCTCAGGGTGAATGCCCTAGTTTGGCTTATTAGAATAGACTATACACATATAATAACGACCGCACAATGAATGTTTCAGAGTTCCCTGTTGAAATGTGACATTTCTTGGTCTCTCTACTCCTGGTACCCTCATACACCTTTTCACCCGAAATGAGTATCAAGAATAGCTTTATTCAGTTCAACAAGCCTTGGTCATGATGCCTTGTTGTCAATATATACTTGACACGTTAATTAGAAGCCTTCAGTCTATGCTTTTGAGCGATTCGGTGAGATTTGACATGTTGTCTTTTATAATATTACCCATTCAAATTAGTTATATGAGGTATTGGTGATGGTGAAATGAAACTGTTAGATAAAGACAAAATTAAAAGATATTTTTGTCCAAGTGATAAAATTCCCACATATACCTCGTCAAGTTCACCATCGCCGTGAAATGGCTTGGCCCCTAAATTCTCTAGATTCTATCTGAGATCTATTGCAAGGTACTCCGTATTCTATCCCATCATCATAATATCCTCGAAATGACCAATCAGAGCGACCTCAATGTGTTCATCCCACGCGGGTTCAAATTTCGCCTCCGGATTTGCGACACCAGACAAATGAGTTGTCGAAGAGGAGGGCCCCCGGCCAACGTAGCTGGCTTGCTCCCTCAGTGGCAGATATTGATCACATTTTGCGGCGATTTTTGGGCTATGCATGGCATGCATGCATTCGGGCATCCATAGTATATTCAAAAAGCGGTGCCACATCCTGAAGAACTATTTCAACTCACTGCCTTTTTTGCCAACCATCTCAATTTTCAAGTTGTCTAGCTTGATTTCCATTAGATTCACCAGTCGATGTAAGCTCTATTTTGCGGAATCGGCCCTGTATCCAACAGCGATACATCTTTAGCTTTCTTTTGCGGTTGACAATCAGCCTTCGGTCCACTGCAAGGTCAAGCACTTCAAATCCTGCGCTTTCCGCACCCTCATTTATTTCAGACTCCGCTGTAGCTAATTCGTTTTTTGGCAATCCCCGTTGTGGACACCATTCACCCCAAATATGAGCGAGTTCATCTCTGTCGAAAAAATAAACTCTGGTCCCGTCACCCCTGACGTAGAAATTTTCCGCCATGTACCTCTCCTTTTTGAACCTCACTTGGGCCAGGTCACCCCGGCCGTAGTCCCTGAATAATATCTGCCCCCCTGGCTTCAAGACACGATAGATATTTGACACGGCTCGTTCCCATTGTTCAGGTGCCAGAGCAGAGAATATAAACACCATGACGACCACGTCAACAGACTCTTCGCCAAGCCCCGGTGGGAGTGAACTTTCACCCTCAGCCGTAACATCCCACACATCGGCCCTGATATACCTCTCGTCGTACTTCTCATTCTCTCTTATCACCTCAATCGCCTTCTTCGAATAGTCGCAAGCGTGTACTTTCAACTGTTCATTGGAATTATTCGCCAGAATCGGAAAGGCAGTGTTTCCGGCCCCCGCGCCGACTTCCAACACCAACTTCGGCCCCGCGTCGGCCTTTGTAACCTCTGCCAACACCGGGAATTCTTGCTGCAACCATTTTCGGTTTTTGAAGAAATTGCCTGTATTGTTCTTGTAAAATAGATCCCACCACTTTGCCGGGTCGGAGTTGAATCGTTGACGGTTGAAATCTGATACTGGCGATTCTCGCTGCTTAGCTATCTGCAGCTGAGCATATTGCTTGTAATCTTCATCGGTTTCAACGTGGTCCCAGGCATTGAATTCAAATACATCGTCGCCTTCTTCGAGGTATCGGGAACCGAATTGGAAGGGATCTGACCGCTTCTGGTTATTTGAGGGGTCGTGGGAGCGATGGCGAGGTACTTGAGGGGGCTGAACTAGCTGGGCTACAGTCGCGTAGTCGTCAAAGCCCTCGAGGGGTAGAGGTGACATCTGAATGGTAGATTTTTGGGTTTCTTTTCACCAGACAGAGCTATGGAGGCGGGGTTCTTTCACGAAGATGGAAAGGGAAGTTGGGTGGTTAGGGTCGCTTCTCAGCACCAATCCTACACAAGACACACCCTCGCGAAGAAAGGTTCACTCAGCTCGAGGTATCTCTGAGGTATACTCCGTAGTCAACGTTATATTTGCATCGTCGCCGTCAACGAAAAAAGTCAGCGGACAATGCGAAAGTTACGGCGGTAATGGGGATGACGGTAAAATTACAACTGATATCGGATATCGGAGCAACATTGTTCCTTATCGCCCAAAACAATCCTCACGTGACCAACAGGCAGCCTCGGCGTTCGTTGCACTGATTGGATGACGACACCCTACACGGTAACGGGCCGCAAGATACGGCTTTCTTGTGCCAATAATAGCGGCCGATTGTGGGCGGGACTCCCAGGGCATACTCCGCAGTACCGGCCGGCCCCATGGAACTCAGCCGCAATCTGATGTCTCCCGCCCGCTGCCGAGTTGAGGGCCTTCAACACGGGGTATCTGGCTTCTTCGTCCACTCCCTCCTGCAACTCTGGTCCCTCTCCCCGAGAGAGAGTTGTTTCTCGATTCCATATTTATCCTTTATAACGTTGCAGTTGCTGACCCTGTGAACTATGCCTCGATTGTCAGGAAAATATCGGCAATGCCACCTCTAGCACATTCATGAATGGCTGCAATCTGCCCACGTTAAGCAACCACTCACATTCCGATTCGCGTATAACGGAAACAAAACGTTCTTTGGCTAAGATATCTTTTTTTTGAAATCGAGTTGTTTGCAAAATACAGTCGATTTCAGGAGATCAACGCCTGGAACCAACAAGATGTCCTGCATTGTCCGGATATTTTGTTGCGTTCCTAGAAATAGGCATCAGAATAAGCCCTGCCACGCGCCACCCCAAACTCAGGTTCGATACCAATCGCCCTCCATTTCTCAAGTGACTGTGGATCCCACTCGCCGCAGCCGTAACGGATTTTTCGTCGACGTGGATGCGGGCGTGGACACGGAGAATCACTATAACTCCTTCGTGCCACTGCCGAGATACACGCCTCGTCCTGTTGACGTTAACCACGACGAGAAACTTCCTACTTTCGAGCAGGTCCAATCCTGGACCGACAGACGAAGTTCCCAGTACCCGCTTGACGAGAAGACACCATTGGATCTCGAAGTGAACCAGGCACGAACGAACAATGCAAACGACCATTCGTCGGATGCCTCGTCCACGTTTTCCGTGCCCAGTAGCTTTGGCAATACCTCGACCGCCACGACTGAAACACCCCCTCCACCTTACTCTTCAAATTCATCATGGGCACCTTCACGACGATCTACCTCGTTATCTACTTCTCCCAGCGTTGCAAGCATGGTGCAGCGCAGTGATATGCCACCGCCAATAACACAGCCACGACCAGCATTACGTCGGAGCTATGATGGCCAGGGATCGCCGCGGACATCCGTCGACCTCCAACGTAGCCGTGGATCGCAAAGTGATTTGCCATTTCCACCAGCATACTCGAGGCCATAGACCCGATCTCAAAGGGCCGTTCGATGATGTCGGTTCCTATTCTCCAGATAGAACAGAAGTGTCCATTATCATTTTGCCAACATGAACTAAAAATGGCTGATCTCGTGTGCTATTTCGTCCGAACTACAGCTTATGATGGGGGCCAAATTGTCTTATCAGATACATCAGCTTGTGTTTAAACCTGAGTTCATATGCTCACATCTTGGCGGAACATTGGTGTTTAAGCCACCATATCTCATATATCGTGCACTTTGAAGACTTGGTGCCAACCTCCTTGTGATTCACTAATTATATCCAGTATCTGCCCCTCAATTATGTTTGTGCATTTGCTACATATTTTCCTAGGAGGATATTCAGAGTAAATATGTGTATGTACAGAAAATTAGGTACATACATAAAATTTAATGAAGATATACGTTTGTGTGAAACGGTATATTCAAGTTGTCTCCATGCCAAGCATCCAAAAATGTTGATCCATCTCTCGGTCGTGTTACACATTGATGCAGCAAATGTTAGGTCTGGCTTTGAAAGGACACCTGGATTGATTTTAGACAATTAAAATAACGCGAACAGTGTTGGCTTTAGAATGTTATTGGACAATAACAATCTTGTTTCTAAAATAGACACAGAGATAAAAATTAAATTGAAGCTTTGCATTAACATTAACCCCCTTATGTAAAGAATCTGACCAGCAACACGTTACTACCCTACCGAAAAGCCTAACTGGGATATAAAATGCCTCATGCAGAAACATCAGCAAACCAAGGATGGAACGTATTCTTCAAGGAGCAGACATAGAACCATGAGTAGCATGAAGAAAGTAGGGTAGCTTCGAAAGGCGAGAAAATGTCCAGAGATATTACACCGAGCCCGCTATATGCCCCCCTCCCAATGTGACCAAAACAAAACAGATTTCTCCTTGCATACTAGCTTTGCCCTTAGGTTTAAAAAAAATTTAAAAGAGAAAACGATTTAAGGCAATTTCAACCACTTTGAACATTCTGAGCGCCTCCAGGATCAAGAGGGTAAAAAAAAAAAAAAAGAAAAAGAAAACAAATGAAAATGGTTTTATAACGTCAACCGGTTTAGAAAATGTTGGTCATGCAAGGAAAAACCGATTATAGAGGTTGACAGAGGCAAGCGGGGGTTTAAGCTAAATCGGAGAAGAAACATGATCGTTAGGGCAAAGGGTTATAAATAGTAGCCTGTCGGGATTAGAAGAGATGATCTGAGGCGAAGCAAAAAATTCTCATCACTGTATCATTATAAGGTAAAGAGGAGAAAAAAAGGAGAGGAAAGAAATCACTCAAGAAACACCCCCAGGAACAAGGTCTGTCCGTTCTGACCCACTCTCTGCTTGCTCAATCTCCTCATCATCATATGGATGAAGAGGCGGAGCATGAGTAAATGGAAAATCGTACTCCTGTGCCTGAAGATCGTCCTGGGGAACGCCATCATACTGGTCCAAGAACGGTGCTGTATGAATATCAAACTGGCCACTATGCTCAATGTGGTCAAATCCAGCTTGACTGCTGCTCGTTGATAGTCCACCGAAGAATTGGCCGGCGAATCCAGCAACTTCGTTTGCGATATGACGCTCTAGCGCAACATCGAGCATTTCCAGACCAGCTCGTTGCCTTTGCAAATATTTGGCTCTTTCTTCCTCGAGTCGACGGCAGGTTCCATTTCGGACGACGACAAGATAGCAATTTGGACAGAGATATTTATTCATGCAAAAGGAACAGGTGCAGGGTGGATTGGCACGGACACAGTCCTGACACACATGAACTGAGCAAGAAGTGCATTCATTTAGCACGCTAGTACAGCGTTGTCGTTTATCACCTGCAGCACGGTACTCCGGGCAAAAAAAGGACTGGCATCCCTGCCATTTCTCGATCCTTACGGGCGATTCACAGAACGCAGATGCTGGGGAGGAGGCACGAGTATGATTGTTGGAGCTTGTGGCCGAGTTTCGAGGGCGCTTATCCTCAGTGGCGCCGTTAGCCTGGGGACTGGACCTCGGTTGGCTAGAAGTTGGCTCGGTGTTCGTGGGGTTGTTGTTGGTCTGCGTTAAGCTGTTCGCAGCTAGATCAAGAACAGAAGATGGACGTGGAACTGCTGGTCTTTCTGACCCCTGCGCGAGTGCGGCATTCGCAGCTGGTGAATAATCAATGGCAATCTTCTCCATGAAGAGGTCCCGATAGCCACAAATGCGAAGACGCAGTCCGCGTAAGTCATGCTCCATGCACAAAGGCCTAGAACATGCCTTGCAATGGACTTTCCACTGTGGAGATTCGTAGCATTCCTGACACAGATTCCGAGGACACTGCGAAGCCTGATGATTTGGTGGTCCAAGTAGCCATCGCATCATTTCCACATGTCCCTCTGCGAGAGTATAGTCGGGCCTTGACGGGTCGCCGTAGGCATATGTAGGGAATGTTTTACTCCATTCATTCGAAGAGTATTCGGGATCTTCCCACCCTTGAGCTTTTGGGAGAGGAGCTGCTCGCATTCGATCAACATCCCGACTTCCCTGTCCAATGCTAATTCCACCACCACCTGTAAACGTAGGCTCGGTACAACACCACCGGAATTTAAGTGAAGGATATGTTATCGGGACCGGACCACCGTTTTGGGGGTTGTTATTATTGGGAGCGTTCGCGTTGTTCTGGGAGTCGGAAGGTTCTTGCATGGAGCACGGGGACGTAGTAGCACCAGGAGCCCACCAGAAGCTGGGTTGGGGGCCATCCCCTTCTGCTCCTGGCTCTTTTAGATATGGAGTGTTGTACGCACAACTGTAACAGAGTGTTTTTCGGCAGCCCACGCAGTGCATCAACACGCTGCACTGCTCACATCGCTCATGTATCTCCTCAAGGCATGAATCACATTTTATGTTCTCGACAAACTTCCTGTGGCTCCTTCGTAGATGTGCCGGCACCGTCTTTCCCTCGCCGTGAGAACGTCCGTCGCGAGTCCCAAGGGCCTCTCCATAGCATCCTGTTTCGTCATGTTCCCATAATTTTCCATCACGCTTGGGGGGTTCTCCAGCATCAGAAACGGACCCTATCCAGTTCTTGGACCTCCAAAGCCTGTCGAATACGACCCACACTTCAGGAGTCCCTTGAGACACGCGGATCGAGACGTACCCTCTTCTCCGGAAACAACGACCGGCTGGAGTAGTGCACCACGCTGTGTCCGTCCAGATTCCGAGTTTGTGACACAGATTGACAAGCTCATGCGTAGGCTCAGAATCTGAATCTCTCCGAAGCAGCGACGAAGTGAGATAGGGTCGGCGTCGATGGTGTCTGCAGCGGTAAGTATAGAGACTTTTAAGTGCAAGATGCTTAACCTTTGGAGATGAACTTGATCTTGATTTCATATCTGCGTCATACTGCAGCCCATACATGGTGAGATACGGGATAATATGATATTTCAGGGAAACATTCTTGCAACCCCGAACGGAAAGGTGTTCGAGGGTGTCCCTTCTTGCATTGAGGACCGTTGAGATGAGATTCTGACCAGACACGGCGGTATTATCTAAATCCAGGCTCTTCAGTGACGGGCTAAATGGTATGACGACGTGAGAAAGCAACTGATCGAGGGCATATGGTCTTGATTGTCGCTGTACGGCTTGGCCATCTGTTCCAGCAGTAATGGGGCGAACCTGGGTGGCCGACGGCATGAGCAGACGGAATGAGAGATATTGCCATGCCGTGGGGTACGATCTTAGGAATATCCTCAGGTAGTTGGAGGTATGATAGAGGCGGAATATGGTGTCGGTAGGGGCTTGGAGGAGGAAGGACTCGAAGATGGGTGTGTGGGTGGAAAAGACGCGTTCGAGCGTGGAAAGCGGACGATCATGATGAATCGAGCACATTTCATCTCCGAACTCTCCGGTCGAGTATGCTACCGAGATACAAGAGCCTGACTCACTGGGGTCTCTTATCTGCAGCCGGCAAAGGCTTCGATCGAGATCCGAGGCCATTTTCAATAAGGAGAAGCGAATGACGATAGTGACGGGTAGCGCCGGTAGCTGGGGGAGACGTTGGAGGTTGGAGCATCATAAGGAGGGAAAAGGGCGGTGGAAGAGAGTGGTCAAAGAGAGTCGACAGGGAGACGCGAGTGCTGGTGGAATGGAATTAAACGACAAGGACGGCGGATGGAGGGAAGTCGGTAGACGCCGTTGGCTTTAGAGCTGCATGCTTTTAGTCCTCACCACCCGGAGCCCCAGTGAGCACGAATTTGCACTCCTCAGGTGTCAGCCTTTGGATTTTCCGTCGAGAGAGTGCAAAAAGAGAGTTGAGGCTCGGAGCTTCTCGAGGGTTGAATTCGGAGATAGGTTTCGTCAAAGACTTTCTGGTCGATATCAACTTGGCATTAACTCACTAACTAATCGCCCTACCCCCGGCCACTCGCGAATCACAGTGCTATCGGCGGCCTCAGCGCAAGGCGAATCCGAATTTTTAACCCACTACGGTGTACATACAAGTGGTGGCTACGATGGCCACGTTGATATGCCTTGTGGCAGGGTGCAAGGAACTCTGTTCTGAAATCGTTCTTCACCGCGGCAGGTTCCGCACTGAGTAGAAACAGACAATAAGGGTGGAAATGTTACCCGCCACATTCCGCTTAACTTTTAGGTCCACTGGATGGAGCCCGGAGCCTGCGCTCCGTGGACCTAACCATGGATGTCACCAAGAAATCAACTCCCCAATTACGTGGTTTATTTAGCTACCAGATCTATCGGCGCCCCAAATCTTCACCAACAGTGTAACCTCGAGCAATGCCACTGCGTCCTTCAACAACCGCGCTCCCTCTCTCGGTCACCCTGTCATCCTCCTCATACCGAATGGTAAAATCGCTTCCCAGTCCGCTCCAAGTTCGATTTGACCTCAGATACTGAGCACCAGGCGATACAACTCCAGCAATCGTCGCGAGATCTCCATTTACCCTTTTAGCGAGCACCTTGGATACCCCGGCCTCAACAGGACCACGTGTTCGTGTGTGCACCGGGGCATATGACGATTGCATCGGTCGAGTGCTGGATACAGACACATATTTTCCAGTGCGGAGATCAAATTCTGGAGGTGCGGATTCGGGATCTGAAAAACTATCATCCTCATCGTTGCGGGTTTCATAATCCGTTTGACTATCGGGCCCAGCGGTCTCCGTAGGACATCCATCTGATTGATCACCCTTGCCGCCTTTCGCAGCATCCAGTAGGACCTGGTAATCACTTCGCCACTCTCCAGTCCAAACCCGCTCCGTGTCTTTCTGCAGAGCGACCTCTAACTCATAAGGCGTGATTACCGGCTTCCAAAAGTCCGTACTGTCCACAAGTGAGCTCTCCCAGCATCCAATGACCACCCATCCGCCTATCTCGCTGAAATTGGCCACTTTGGCGGCGTTCAACTTGCCCACAACAAATAAGTAACTTTTCTTTCCAGCCGCAGCAATCTGCTTCTGTACATGTTCCACCATGTGCAGATAATGCTTGACGCTAAGCGTATTTATAAGGATTCCAAAAATGGGAACCGTGCTGAGAGAAGTCAAAATCGCGTATCTCCGGCGGAGCGTAGCCGCCGTAGAGGCCAAAAGCGGCTTTGGCGCCTGATTTGGAACAGAGGATTCTTGATCAGTAGGATATATACGGATAGACGCGACCCGAGATGATAGTGTTAAAAGTAGGGCTGTTGGCGGGGTTGATATATGGAATAGCTGCCAGTCCTTCAGGCTTTCTAGGTTCTCTCTAACCGACTCAGGAACCGTTCTGTTTGGAACGGGAGACGACGGATCATGTATGAGGCCAGTAGGAAAGGTATTTGTATACCCTTTTTCCTGCACCAACCTGGAAGTTATCAACTCAACATGGTCTGCAAATGTGACATCCGCGACAATGAGAACCTTTTCGTCTTTGTTGGGATAGGTTTCTTCAAACGCAGCGAGGATCGGGTCATGATCGAGCTGTCTATGAGTGAAAATATGGATGACAGGTAATCTCGCGGTGGGAGATAGACACGCTCTCCCGTAATGGATCACAACATCGGCACTAACGTGCTCAGCGGCAACTTCGTCCACGCAGCATGTTCCGTAGGAGGTGTCTCCGAGGATGTACAGCTTCGGTTTCTGCCCGCCCCTGGGTTCATGGACATTCAAATCATTCGCAATGGATTGTGTGACATCATCTAGATCCGTAGCCTTCGCTATCCTGTGTCCTGACTTTCCACAAGCGCAGGAATGTTCATTCTCAGCGGCTTTATGTCCATTCGATTGCGATGGGAGATCGACTGATTCTAGGCCCCGGCTTAAGAGCTGAAATACTCGCGGAGCATCCGGGAGCATCTCATCTGGGAATTGTAGCGCAATCCTCCGCCATCTTCCTTGCTTAATATCCCTTATTGTCCGCTCTATGTCATATGTAATGCGTAGTTCTTCATCCGACACCTGGTCGGCTGTCCGCGGGGTAACGAGGGGATCAGTCGCTTCGAGGATGTGGTCATCTGGTGTGGAAAGAACCGGCGCAACTTCCAGAGAAGATGACATTTCTCAAAAGAAAGGGACACCTTATTGTAACTTCGCCTCACTTCCGCGCCGCTGTGGGATTTTCACCGAACATTCTCGTGCTCGATGGTCAATGTCGCCGTCGTCTCAACTTTTTCGCAGGAGGGGCGGTAATATTACCTGGTAATATTACACATGTTACTTACAAAGGTCAGTTACATAATCAAACTACCTTATCTTATCAATCAGGTCCCGTCGCGGTCGCCCAGCCAGTTCTGGTAATAGTCATGATCCGTTTTCATTAACACCAAAATGCAATAATGATAAAAAGGTTATTTACAGATTCGCCCGGGCTTCTTCACCGGCCCAGACACGTCTAATCAACTCCCGAATCGGCTCCCTCTGGATCTCTCGAGGATTCCAGTACGGGTTGCTCACAGCAATATCGGCCCCTTTATCAATATCCTCCTCCTTCATTCCAAAGTCCTTCAGGGCCCTCTTCACTTGCAATTTGGTTAAGAGCACGTTTAAGCCCCGAATAGCATCGCCGTTGCTTTCAGGTAGAGCATCAGCCAGGGCTTTCATCGCCTCTGGAATGGATGGAGCGTTATATGAGATCGCGTGGGGGAGGACGGCAGTGTGAGTTTCGGCGTGGGGAAGGTCGAAGCTGCCTCCAAGAGTGTGGCACAGTTTATGGTGGATGGACATGCCCACGCTGCCGAGGCATGTTCCACAGAGCCAGGCGCCATAGAGGGCAAGGGAGCGGGCATCTCGGGAAGATGGGTTTTTGACAATCTCTGGCAGGGCGGTCGCAAGGCTGCGAACGCCTTCAAGGGCAAGGAGGCGGATAATTGGGTTCCCGTTACGGGCATAGAGAGCTTCGACTATACGCAAAAGCAGCAGCCATTAGCTTCTAGACCGTTTCTCGACGCGATTTCGTACCAACAACTTACCAGCGTGTGCAATGGCGTTGACACCACTTGTCGCACTCATTCCGACTGGGAGTGACATCGTGAAATCCACATCGTAGATGACGGTTCCAGGCAGGATCTTAGGGTCGCTTCTCGTCTTCTTCACACCATCCGCTGTCTCGCCCAAGATTGGCGTCATCTCGCTTCCCGCATAGGTTGTCGGAATGCAAATATGCGGCAGACCGGTGCGGATGCTGATGGCCTTTCCTAGCCCAATGGTGCTTCCACCGCCGATAGAAATGACGCTGTCGGCATTCTGCGCTTTTGCGTATTCAAGAGCCTTTTCTGTAACGTGTGTGGGTGTGTGCATCGTAGCTTCGGTGAAGACACCGGCCACATTGCCCTTCAGGAGATCCTTCAAGTCATCGGCTTGCTGAACCTGCTGCGGGGTGGATAGTAGAAGCGGGGAGGAGAGATTGAGGCGTGCGATCTCGTCGGGGAGTTGCTTGATGGTCCCAAATCCAAAGATGACCCGTGCCGGGTTGGCGTTGTATTCGAATGCATCCATAGTTGCTAGTGATCTCCTCTGCCGTAAAGCGTAGCTCTGATAACCAACTTTGACTGGGAAAGGGCGAAATAATACTCGGATCATCGGTGGCGCCCCGCAAGTATAGATATATGTGATTTAAGACTCGCCATCGCTCCGACATTTCTACCTTTTTAATCCTCCCCCCACAGCTTAGCAATGTGGTGAACAAAATTATCTAATCCACTGCCGATTTTGCGTCGGAAACAAGGCCATAGGGCGGATTGAATTTCGCTGGCGCTGGGCGGAGTGGTTCTCCGGATAGCAAACGGCACGAAGTCGCGGCAAATGTTTCTCCCGGAACTATTTAAGCCGACCGCGGCCGTCACACTGTCAAATAGTAGTATTTGGACCTTGGGCTAGCTGCAATAGACTGCTAATATATTACGTTGCGATTGATAACAGAGCTCCTCGCGATTGTTACTCGACAGCAATGTTTCAGGCAGCCGCTTTTCCCGACGGTCTGTCATTCAACGAGCGTTTCGAGACATCCAAACGACGTACTCCGTAGCTAATGCATGTCTGTCGAGAACTCTGGGGGGAGATCCCTTGAGATCATTTACTGTAACACAAAACACGCTCCAAAACTGTGTTCGATCCTATACCAAACGCAGAACTATGAGCATGATTGGAGTCCGTATAAGCCAACATTGCCTCCTCTGGTACATATTACTCGCCAGGAGTATGGATTGGATGGTAGTGCGACACTAATCCAAGCCCTTGAAGGCCATGACGTGCACGCCTCCAGACCTGTCTTTTCCCTTTCCTCTTTTTCTTTTCTTCCGTTTGCCTTTGTCCTTCCCTGCCATGTCGTCGTCGCTATCCTCTTCCTCGTCGCTGCTACCATTACCCCCTTTCCGCTTCTTTCCAAGTCCTTCTCCGTTCTCGATGTCTTCCTCGTCTGATTCATCATCATTTCCCTCCTCATCGCTGATCGCTTCATGCCATACCTTGACAACAGTGCCACCGCCGCTGATCATGCGACCCTGCACATCAAAACCAAGGCCAACGACGCCCTCAAGATCATCGTGGGACAACTCCGAAATCACCTTGTTGGGGCCCAATTGTACAAATTGCACGCGCCCATCACTCTGTCCGACAGCGACCACCTTTCCTTTACCGAGTTCATCTGGCACGTTTGCAATGACTTCCAAGCTCTCTCCGCCATCGAGGGAACGGTCGACGATGATGCGCTCATCTTGATCGTCCCAAGCACCTTTTTCCCAAAGTGTTAAAACACCACTAGCCCCACCAACAACGAGCTTTTCTCCCTTGCTGGTGCCTCCCGCCTTGAGGCCAGTCACATAGCTTGAGCTGATCAGCTCTTCGCCCTGATCTTCACTCCGTACCAAAATTCCTCTGCGCAAATCAGTAACGGCGATCGTTGTGCCGCCTGTAGTAATCCATTGCTTGCTGTAACCAGAAGTACTCGTCTCTGAAGGTGGTAAGGGCGTTAGAGAAGACACGTAATCATCGTGTGGGTGGTGGGTTTGCTGAGGTCTCGCGGATACCTCAGTGGAGCGGTCGCGGAGATCAAAGAGATGTAAGGCCCCTGAATCCGTAGCGAGAAGTAAGGTCTGTGGTGAGAGCGCGTGGATTAAGCAAGGGCTATCAACCTGGAAACCGGACCTATTGACCAGATAAGGGTGAGATTGCAAAGCTCAAGAATAGATGCAGTGCATCACCGGGTCGCTGTCCACGTAGAACAATGCCGCTAGTCGAGAAGAAACGAGAGAAGATGTAACTTGATCGTTACTTACTTGTCTCCAATTCTCGGCACGGCAAATTTCCACTCTACCCTTCCAGTCTCCGTCCTCGCAGCCTTAACCCACCCATCCGTGCCGGCAGAATACAGTGTCTCCCCGTCAATCCCAAATCCTACACACCTACAACTACCCTTATGGCGCCTGGTACGCCATACCGTGTCAATGTGTCCGTACCCCGCTTTCCCATTCTCAGATGGAGCGGGTAGGTGAAAGGTCTGGACATGGCCGGATGAAAGGCCGATAGAGACGAGAGGTTCTGTAGGGTGGATGGCTTGCGAGAAGAGATCGGAGCTCAGAGGGAGGCTGCAAACCGTGTCGAACATGGCTCTGATCTGTGGACTTACTGAAAGTCCACGAGAGTTGCGCTTCTGCGGCTTGCACTAGCAATTCGGGGGCACTAAGCTGGAGAGAAGAATCTGGAGAGTGCCGGTTTAAAAGGCTTCTCGGTGCATACGGCTAAGGAGAGGTGGAAACCGCAGCAAACCATGCAATTGCTTTTTGTTTTTTTTGGCAGCTTCAGCTTGTATTGCGGATTTCAGTCAGAAAATCGGTTGCGTGAATGTTTGCATTGTTTGACCAAACAGAGGCTTTGGAGGAAGCAGCAAGCAAAACGGTTCTTTTTCATCTCTAGGCTCATGATATGATATACTCTGTCATTAACTGATTATAAAATGATTAAAAGCAACACTAGAGCATGTCCGATCAAATCGAGTATAGTAATTAATTATGTATGTATGCACTGTACATCATTGAAGAACATGGAACGCATGACGAGAGCTCCGATCCTCCCAAGACACCTCCTTATCCTAATATATCCGCTTTCATGCAAATGACTCCATCGGGATTATATATATTCGCCTTGGTTGATTTCCCATGCTCCTCGAGAACAATTTGATACTCCTCTCCAGCATATAGCGGGTTAGTGGCCCGGTAGCTAATGCTGTCAGGAACGATCTCTTGCGGATCACCGCCACTCTGCTCACGCACGTCCCGCCAGAGGTTCAAGATCGAAATCAGATTTAGCGGGCCATGAACGACAAGGCCCTTATGCCCCTCGACTTCGCGGGCCCATGGCAGTGAGTAGTGGATTTTATGCCCGTTAAACGTCAGGGCAGACATTCGGAATAAGCTTTCAGGAGTCTGGCGAAGATTCTGGGCGTGTATTCTGGCGGTTGGGGAAGACGGTTTTGGCGGCGGAGGAGGTTTTGACGTCAAGGGAAGCGGAGGTGACAAGCGCGGTTCCGAGGGGGATGGAACCTTGAGCGCTTCTCGAAATACCCAATTCCTACAGACAGTGAGCAACAACTCCGTACATTGCCTACTCTCCCGCAGCCACAATCTGCTTTAGGGGGGATTGTTAGTTACGGCCTTTGAACTCACCGCTTGTCGATGAGCGCAACGCCATGCTCGTTCTTGAACACTTTCTCCACGCCAACAACAATCATCTCCTCGCCGGTCTTCTTGATTACCTTTGGTTCGGCACTCAAGCATCTCGTCGTTTCCTGTACTTCTTGTCCAACTCTTAATAAATTCAACTTGCCCTCTGCCGTCCGTGGCCAGTGAACTTCCCCACCAGCCCACATCCGCCGAGTAAATGGCGCGTCAGGGTTATACGACACATCGGTCCCATCAACCCCCAGCTCACTCTCCAGAAATGTAGGAGTAAAGTAAATAAGATGATATCCCGGTGGAACCGGTGTTCCTACCGGCGGTGGTGCAGCATTGGAGAGTGCCGGGGTGTTGGAGTATAGATTATTTCGATTGAGGGTCAGCGAGAAGAGCTGGAGCTGGTTAGCGTCGAGGAGCTGAGTACGAGTCTGAGGGCCGATAGACTGGCATTTTGCTAGAAATCTGCTTGCGACTGTGGATGCTGAAGCGGCTGAGGTAGCTGTTGATGATGAAAGCCGCGCAGGAGATGGTGCTGTGAATCTGAGAATGGAATTATAGGACCGCGGGAAGGGAAACGAGGCACATCTGATCGGGCTCATGGCTGCTACTTAACTGGAAGTCTATCTCCTACCTCAAGTTTGACGGTACAGGGCAATCCTCCCTCGGAGTCCTCCGTCTCCAGGAACCGCTGCGTTATTAGTAGATCAAATCGGCACCGGTGTGGGGACCTCGGCATCCTCGGCCGGAAGCTTAATTCCCGAATTCGGCATCCAAACGTCGATCAAAACTCTAATTTGACGTTGGTGGTGCGATTGTTCTGGCCTTATACAAACATCGCCATAAATTAAGAGTGAAATCGGATAAGTCCTATCGCTATGTATGTATGTATAGACGAACCACACATGGTGCGGCTAGAACAATCAGCAAACCTTTTAATTTTCGCCCTCCGAGGTCGTATCACTGCCATCATCATCAGCGCCACTACCACCATAATCCTCCACTCCAAGGTATCCATCATTTTCATCCTCCAACTCCGAGTCAAAGTCTTCGTCGATTTCATTCGAGGCTGGTATTGCTTTACCTGATCCCCTATATGTCCGGCTTGCTTTCACCCTGGAACTAGCGTCTGGCTGCGATCTCGAAAAGAAAGGATGATCCTCGTGCAAAGGTTTCCCTTGGCACACATATCCCATAGGCGTATGTGTAAATTCCTGGCCGCGGCGCTTTAAGCTCAGCCACTCTTGAAGGAATACCAAAGGCTTGGCAGTGAAACTTGACTTCTTTGCGGTTCTAGAACTTGCTTCCATGATATCTACTTCATGTGCGTTGGGGAATCGTGAAGGTGCAGGATATATCGGAATATCAAGGGAATCATCGAGCCCTTCATTAGCCGCAGTGACACCGAGATACTGACACAGTTCCTCATACTCATTAAACTCGAAATAAACTCGCCCAGAAAGTATCCCTAGCTGAATCGTTAACCATTTGGGTGGTTTCCAGCCGCTGGGGAGAGAAGGCATGGCGAAATAATTCAAGCTGTTGAAATGCAGCATTTTTCGAGTAATTGGTGCTGCATAAGTGACCAAGTGTGTGCAGCGAGTCTTGGATTCCCGGAACATGGGGATTAATAGTTCCGCCTCCTCCGGGATCACTACCATTGCCGCTTCAGATTCAAAGCTCCAAATGACCCAATTTACAGGGCGCTGTAAAAATTGTAAGCTTCACGATACCATGAAAATAAATTAGAGTTACCCACAAGAAAGCTATCATTTGAGCAGCCTGGCGGCAACTTCACCGTCCTCATAAACTCCTTTGAAAAGAACAACTTTGATAACGTGGCTTGCAGAGTGATCCCATGCTTCTTCCCTAGTGCAGTATCTTGAAGGGCGACGAATGCTTGCTGAAAACCCTTAAAGCCGGAGAGTCTACCAGTTGTTGCAAAATTGACAATATCTGGATGAAGACCTGGGAACGATAGCGCCACATAGTGAACGGGCTTTTGCACTTCACGGACAGCCTCGACTTCAAAGGCAACTTCCCTCTCCTGTTCAACTTCCTGTAAGGCCGATCCGTGCACTGCGCCACCGAAATCCTGGAAATCCTTTCGTCGTCTCCCTAAATCCTTGACAAATTTCGCAATCTCCGTTGCATAGGAAGTTCCTGATTTCGCGGCCTTACCTTTGGATGCTGGTTTATAAAGCTCTTCCAGGGTTTGCTTCTCGTTCTGCCGAAGAACGCTGCAATATGCTCGTCGCTGTGCCGAATTGGCCAAAAATTGAGGATTGTCCACGCCCGTCTGTACACGACGACAAAAATCCATGCCTTGGGAATAGTACAGTGGCTGCATTTGCTCAATACCCAGGCAAGTCTGCTTAAGAAGCCAACAGACAACATCGTTTGAATCAACATAGTCCCCGTTTTGTTTTCCCTGCAAATCCAAAATGCTTTGATGTACCTCGGGGGGCGCGAAAAACACAACTGATTGTGTGGTAGCGAGCTGGCGCAATCTCATTGCAGCTTCATACGTTAGCTGATACCCCTCTAAAGGGGTACGCCGGAAAACTTACCTTGTACGGTGTGGTCCTTGGTTTGCCCTAAACCCAGTGTCAAGGCGGCAACGGCGGCAGCAGGCATTTTCAAATCGGTTCCTCGAGTATGCGCTTCATCAAGGTATACGAGACAATCAGCTAGATTGTCAGCGTACGGTGATGCCAAAAGGGGCGTTCCAGAACCGTTTCGGTAAAGGATGAACGGTTTATTGTCTGAGTCGAAGTACAAGACGGCCGGGGCCTCATGGTCGATTTGTAACCACACCTTTGCCAAACTTTGATTATCCATCTCTAAAATTTGGGCCCCAGAATCGATTAGCATTCTGATTTTCTTCTCACAAAGAGATTTAAGTAGCTCGGTTTCAGATAACCGTTTCCCGGTGGTAGAATCTGCGGCCACTACATATGTGCGATTTCGGGGCTGTAGCAGGTAGGTAAGCACTTCAGCATTGGTATGTGAAAGCATAGGGAGGTCCCGTTGCTTGATATTCAATGGAAGCAAAGTACGATTGTCGTTCGTACCGCTGAAGCCACTTGTCAACGCCGAGGTCTGACCCCCAACGGAGAAGAGAGGGATGTCCCATCCAGATGCCTGGAGTTTGACTTGGAATTGTTTTGCATGCTTAGGGAACACGAAATGATTCAGAAAGTAATCGATAACGACCGTCTGATATCGAAGGTGCGTCCACAATTCGTTCAGCTGTGCTTCGTCGTCAGTTTCAATAACGCTCCATTCGCGGAGGATGTCAGGCAAGGTGTCGGAAGAATGCGTCCATCGATCATATTCGCTTGACGGGTCATCCGATTTTACTAAATGTTCAAAGTTCTGCCTGAGTTGGGCTTGGGCGAGTCCGCCAAAATAAAATGCTAAACATGTGAAAAGAATAGCAACATCTGGATGACCCCATTCTGCTTGTTCCGATGGGACGCCTTTCGCGATGAATGGAACGGCAATAGGGTCTCTGTTAAGATGGAGCCCGTACTGGACGTTCCACCGCTTCTTCAATGTCAAAAGAAGAATTCGATGGACGAATAAACCCCTAAGAAGATATATATTTTTCCTTGCGGCTGAATTTCCTGGAAAGATTTTGCCAATCGTCTCTGTAATTGCTCGCTGGACAGGTACATTGGATATGAATAACCTAATAGCCAGGCGGTCTTGGGGTTCATAATTATTTATAGGCAATATGGAAGTTTGGCCTTTCATGATGTCCTTCACCAAGCGTGTAATTAACTCATCCTCTGCGTCTCTTCTCAGGAAATATACAACTGGGAACCCGCCTTTAGTGGGCCTAGGAATGACTTCGATACTTTGTGGAAAGTCTCGCTGTAAATTCCATAAATGTCCAGCGACTAAGCGAAGCAGTTCTTGAGCTGTTTCCCATCGGAAGGGATTGCCGTCCACAGCAGTTTGCGAGCCAGAAGGATATATGAGCTGGGTTCTTGTCGCAAGCGTGAAGTCGCACTCGTCGAGTACATCACGACAGGTTCTCTGCATCCAACTCTGAACTTTGATCATTGCATTTGCTTCGGCAATGCGTGAATCCGATAATCTTTGCAGTCCACTCAACTTAAAAGAAAGGATATGTTCGGGAAGCGTGATAATAACACCTGACTTATGTTGTATTTCCCTGTGAATATCAAAATATTGCTTTATCATATCTGGATTAGTAGGTGTTTTGCGGGAAAATGGCACATGTCTGATTTCGCGGCCAACCAAACCACCAAGTCTCGCATGAAGTAGCTGAGCTGTTTGGGTCAGTAAAGCTTTTGGAACCACGAGTCTTACAAGCCTTGTCGTATCTGCCAGCTCAGCAGCAACTATTGGCATAATGCACGATGTTTTACCTATATTGTAAGTCGTTAGCATGGACCTGAAAGGATTTTATCGGATGATAACTTAAGAGCCACGGAATGTTCTTCCCTTGTCCCATGTTCATTTGTAGCACTGAATTCGCTTCCGAGGAGGGAGAGATCGTGGCACGGGCAACATCCACCTGGTCCGGTCGAATTGAGATATCTGCCTCTATTTCAAGCAATACCCAATCGGGATGTTTTAGCGGATCCCAGTTGACATGAGGAACATTGTTCTTTTCGTCAACCCATCGCTGATGGTTTTGTTTGAACCGCGCATCTTCTATTCTAAGAATGCGCTGCAAATCCACGATAGATACCGCGAATGCTGTCAAAATTTCTTTCATATGGTTTCCAAATCTTACTGTTGAGGAGGAACGCAATTGTTCAAGCAGTGTTACCGGAGTAACACATGGCCATAAGCCTCCTTCTTTAAGCCAGGTGGAACGTCGGTCTAGGCGCTCTAAAATTTGATTGATTTTGTCAAACAGCTCATGGACTTTATTTCTTAGGAAGTCGGGTCTGCACGCTTGCATCTCTGTCGAGCCTTCATTGCCGGGTTTCCGGGAAACAGCACAACTCTTTAGAGCCTGAATACTCTGCATCATGTCCAAGCAATATCGTTTTTGTACCATGGAATCCGAAATCTCAAATCGTCGGACAATGTCTGTAAGCTCATTAATCTCAATCGAAAATTCGCTACTGCAGCCGATCTCCTTGAGTATGTATGGCCCCGTTTCATTCATCTGCGGTGATTGGGATTTACCAGAGGTGGCAGGACCCGTTTCTGTTCTAGGTCTGCTTAGGGGCATTAGAAGGGCATGCTCTGGCACGCCCGGGAAGTCCTGACAGAGCAAATTATCCGAGAGAGTAGGAATTACTGAACCTCGATACTTGGGATCGACTACCTGATGAGTATCTGAATGGTTAAGCGGGGGTCTGAAACGCCCTGGAGCACGATGCTGGTTCAAAATAACCTGGACCTTTTCCAGGTAATCGGAAAGCTCCATGTTTTGAAATAAGCGGAGCCACTCAGGGCGCACAGCGGCCAGTGCGCCGGGAACGTCCACAAGCAATGTCGATGGAATACTATTAGTATTCGGCTCACGACATGGCCATTGTTTTATAAGACATTCTGCAATCAGGTTGCACTCGTTCTCGACCTGAGACTCGTGTTCGTGCTGGAGTCTTTCAAGTCTACGCCGTGTCTTATTGCTCAGTTTAAATAGCCTTCTTTCGTCGCCTTTGTATTGGGTGCTGAATGGTTTTATTAACTGTTTAAGGTAAGGGATAGTTGGAGCCTGCTGAAAGCTGAAGTGCGCGTAGTTCGGCCACTGCGGTGGATCGAGCGCTTTCAGATCTTCAATGACCGCAAAGGAAAGTAGTGTTCGGATGATGTCCATATCAACATCCGCTTTAAATGACATTGTACCGAATATGAACATTAGGTGGTATCTGTCGTTCGACCCAACCGTACGACAAAAATTAACAAGTGGTCCCCAAAGCATACCGAATTCAACATCAAGCAGGTCTGAGAGCAAAAATTTGTCAAACGACAAGTTAAATCCTCCGATTGTGGTCCATGTTTGAAAAATATCGGCCAAATCAATGGATGGGCACATATCCGAAGACCAGCGGCTAATCATAGTAACGCACTCAAACACATTTACCCGGGATTGACCATGGACAAATTTGTCACGGGCTTCATATTGCAGATCGACAGGCGAGTCTAGCTCTGGGAAGCCCGAATCAGCACGCTGGTACAAGTGGCGCCTCCAGCAAGCACGGTTTAAGAGAAAGGAGTTGCTTGGCGGCTCGATGTTGAGCATTTCGCTTTCTTCTTGCAGTGAAAATGAAGCTAAAACCTTTGCTTTTCTAAGAATGTTTTCAATCGCATGCCAGAGTCCATCATTCTGGATGGTAGGGGTTAAATTTCGATTCCATGCCACTTGTTGCATGGTTCTTAAACCACTTGGATAATAAGTCCTTTTCGGAATTAACCTGGAAATGGCTTCCAAAGTCCGAACTTGAGTTAAGTTAAGTGTGGTCCATGGCTGACAGGAAGCTGACCGTAAACAGTGCATTGCTTCTTCCGTACCGGTACGCCGTGTGAGAGGATCCGGGAGGACGAACGAAGTACATGCATGAAGTTGCGCTTTGTGGTACAGCTGCCACAGCTCAGAAGGGCAGTCAATCCGCCCAAGCACGTCGTTTATTGTAAACCTACCGTAAATCCCTTGATTCTCAACTCTGATTGCAACATGAGCACCATTGCGGATAGTGTGAATTTCTCCCATAGGAACAAGAATGATACGACGCGAAGGGTTAGAAACATCTCGAAGGATGAGCTTGCTCTCCAAACCATACCACGTTCCTGCATCTTGATTAGGGTCGACTTCTGCCTGCAGTTGCCGGCACTGAAGCAAGCCTCCAAGATTCACGGTGAAGGATAATTCTAAGCGACGTAATTCAACTGAAAGATGGCCCTTCGGAGGTTGAAAGACCGTTAAGCCGTGCCGATATTCGAAATGGTCGAACACTTGTGCAACGAGTTGAAATAAGCCGCTGTGTGGGTCAATGAGCAAGCTTCCCGGGCGATTGTATCTTTTCTGGCGCCATGCCTCGCGGGAACGGATACTAACACACCAATGACTACTTTTCGATTTCCATATATCTGGACGACGTCTAACCTCCATTATCCCGGAGTTTAAATCTAGCCAGTGCACACAATTCGCTATCAGCGGACCGGGCAGATCGAAATTTTGAAGGTCACCAAAGATCGCAGGAGGGATGTACTCGAGAATGGTGCCTCGCACTCTTGCTTGAACGATCAGATCCGTATCGCGGAATCCAAAATGGATTTCGTGTCCGTTCATTGGGAATGCAAGCATGTAAGTCATGCCGAAAAGAGAAGAAGGATAAATGAGCAACCTTTGCTCGCCAAACAATTGTTCCAGAACCACAGACTTTCGGTGCTTCGCTGGTAGTTTCCCTAAAGGTTGGCCCTCCACAATCAAATGACCCTCGAGTAGATGGTAGTGTATCGTTTGCTGTCTTGCATTTTGCGTGGGAGAAACTGTCAAACTAACCCAGTCATGGGAGGGGTCCAAAATTTCAAAATTGGCGTAACATCTAGGAGCAGTGCCTTCGGCTTGCGGCCAAAGTGAATCCATTGCTTGGTAAAATGCCCGAGGTGCCTTTGCAAGGGATTCTCGAAAGAGCGACCGCATTCTATATACCATTTTTAAGTCCCTAATAAGTGCGTTTTTGGTTAATGATGGCAGTTGGCTGAAGTCCCTCGGAGCGTTGTCTTGCATTGTGATTGATGCATCTATGAAACATTGAAGGTCATCGACTCCTATAATGTTGGTTTCAACACCGTCAATGTGGACCGAGAACGTCCTTCTGCAGAGCAGTGCTGCCCAAAAGGCGTACACGGCAAACCGTTCCGCCGCGGCGGCATCCGTGGATTGGTAAATTTCATGCCGCAGCTGGACGATCCACTGCGACGTAAATGACCGGACCTTTAAAATAACGCTTAAGCCTTCCTTGTAAATAGAGTGTGGTGCAATAGAACAAAGCCTGAGAAGAAGCGTTAAGAGCATATCCATGCAATTGGTCTCTCTCCAATTCGAAGCGATAAGGTCTAAGCGCTGAGATACCTGTCCAATCAACTGCTGACAAAATGAGACATCCTCAAAAATCTTGTGGGTAACCCGAAGAAAAGTTCCATCATCAGCAGGGCCTGCTTGGATTGCCAGTTGCGATATTAGTAGAGTGGTAGCCTCGGTGCTTAGATTCAGATTGGCAGAGCCGAGTTCAACAAGAATTGAGGGCCAACGTCTGCTATTTCCCGAAAAAAGCCCCTTGTATGCCATAAATTCATGCAAATTCAGTCTTGGGGGACATCGCGTCTGGCTCGCTATGACCTCGTACGATGAAGGAAAGCTTGAACCAACAGAGAGCCCAACAGAGGAAAAGGCTGAGGCTGAATGTAAATTCATCCGAAAATGGTGAGAAAGATTGAGTGATTGGAATTGCCTGCTGATCCAAATATTGGACAAAGTATCGAAATATGTAAGCCTCAAGCCATTAGGGAGACATACAGCGTCCAGAGTCAGAGGGAATCGCATCCCTTTGTAGTGTGTTTTCAAAAATGGCTTAGTCGTAGAGGCAAGGCATACACCATTTGAGCTCCGATTACCATATCGCTTTAGCCCAGAATAATCATCAAGCAACAGTTTGGGTGTAGGCAAATGCGGCTGGTCAGGAAGCCCTAGTGTGCGTAATAACCGCCAAGTTGCGTTGCGATAGGCTTTAAAGGAAGTAGGGCAAGCAAGCTCAAAAATAACAGCTTTTGCTTCAGGGGACTTTGTTGGAAGTGGGTGTTCATGAATTTGAATCCGCATGCGCCTAGAGCAGCGTTGGAGATAGCATTTCCGACATAGTTTATCATCATGAGTGATTGCTCCAAACTCATTTGACTTGAAGACACAGTTGCTCCTCGCAATACTCCTTTCCAATTCTTCAAACTCAGCACTTAATCTCTGCCATTCCGTCTCCTTCTTCTGAAGGTCGATCCGAGCTTTGGCCTCGATTTGCAGGTGTAGATCCTGTAATTTTCTAGAATCCACTGACTCGTCATAATATCTCTCGGCAAAGCACCCTGCGGCGGGTGCATCGAAGATAGTCCTGGAGGAAGCGTTGTCGCATCGCCCTCGAAGATAAACTTGAACGTTTTGGAGATGCACCATGTCTGAAAACAGGGGCAATTGCAGGATATCCAAAGTGTCAGGAGTTATGCCGGGGTGAAAATCCTCGAGCAAGTTGAACAAGTTGGTGGTACATTGATCAAGGGCGACCCATAGCCTGATGGTGCTGAGAATCATGACACTCTTTTGTTCGGGGCTATTATCGTATGCACAAGATACTTTCTCGAGATATTCTTCAATACGCGCTGCAAGTTGCAAACACCGATGATTTTGCAAGCTTTCATTTTCTGATCCTGCAATGCATAATTTGTCATTCGATGCTTCAAGCTCCGACAGCCGGTAATAACGTTCTGCGAATACCCTGAAATGATTCTCGCCGGGTGCCTCAATCATGGTAGAAGGTTTGGTCTGCTGGTTATATTTCGCGAATCTGATCGACTGCTGATGATACGACATCACATTCTCCAAATATTGTGCACTTTTACGAAGCGATAAAGTACACGATTGGCGGGTTGCACGTCGTGGCAAGTTCGGAATCAGGCGTCTCGTGCTAATTTTCACCTCCGACCAAGTATTTTCGAGATGGGTGACAGATGCTTGGATGGACCGATGAAACCGAGCGGATACGCTAGCGAACAACTGCTCACTTATAGCTTGCACATGGGGCAACGATTCGCTCTGCTCCATTTGCAATTTTGAAAGACGACGGGCTAGTTTACTCCTCAATAATGCTAGAGACTCAGAGGCTATTTGACCAAGGGAGTCATCGATAAGACGCGAAATTAAAACGCAAAGTAGAAATTTATAATAAACCCTTCCTACCTCTCTATTTTGCGTCTTTAATGTCGTTTCGTTCTCGATTCTCGTTATTCCATCGTCGTAGCCGGAGCACAAGTATCGCTCAATTCCAACGCGGAGAATGAGCCAAAATGCAGAGCGCCTCCACGGCTTTTCGCCACCGGCGGCCCAACAAACATCGTCACGGATACGTTTCCTCAATAAAGGAGGGAAAACACGGCTACCGTTTGCTTCAAGCAAGGTCATAAACATCTGGGTGACCAAAGCCGGATTAACGGTATCTCGGAATTCTATTGTGGAGGATCCCGCTTTTGTAGCACGGGCAGTGAAGCGTTTAACCGACTCGGTGCTGGCCTGTTCCAAGAAGCCGGCAAGGCTACGTTGGAATTGGGTATTGTCAAATTTTTCATATGGAATAGCGACAGCCTCACCAGGAAAATCCCATGACAGAGCATTCTCCGAAGCAAGCACTTTTTCCGAAGAAGCAGCAGCCTCAAAGCATTCGAAAACAACTACTTCGTCCAAGCCACTTTGCCGATGTATTAGTAGGCATGAGACTCTAAAAAATGTGCGGAATACTTACCAACGCTGACGCCAAACAAGGAGCCCCGCATTCTGCTCGGTGACATGCAAGATTAGAGGTCTGTGCCGCTGTAACCTTCGGAACTCAGCAAGTAGGCGAGCCTTATCCAACTTCCTGCGAGCATTTGCAGTTTTGCATATCTCCAGGATGTAATGAACACGATCCCAGATGTCACCCAGCCCAGCATTAGACTGATCCTGCAAGACGCGGGCGGCATCCTGCAAACGCACGAGCAGCTCGTGTTCGATCTGGATAATGTTCTCCTCCTGCTTGCCTGGAAGACATGGAGGCAGGGCAACATGGTTGATGAGGGACTCATACAGCATGGAGGAAGACCTAGGAGATGTGGTTTCCTGCATATTGATAAATGGCGGAGATGGCTTTCTGTCTATACACAGATCTCAGAATAGTAGAAGAGCGGTAAACAATTGACAGAGATAGGATAAACAAAATAAAATGGTATCGAAGTAAAAAAGAGCACAACATCTGGCATTCTGTAAATAAACACATATAAAAGCACAACATGGACCCTGCTGGCACAAACACGTGTCAAGAGGCGAGTTCACGGAACTTCCCCCAAGCTTGAGCCATCCAATTACTGAAGAAACACGCAGACAAATCAGGATACAGCATAATTTCAAAATGTCCGGGGATTTCAGTCTTGGAGTGCATGGAAATATGAGCCAACAGGAGGGCTCAACCATGGGGTTGGGAAGGGCAGACAGGAGGACATTGGTGCTTCTAGGGCAGGTGCTTGCCCTTGGAAGACACAGAGCATGTTTTCTCTACACATGTCTCCCCATTCACATATTCAGCAGAATGGCATAGCTTTCCCTGAACGATGGGATTCTGGGACTTTGTGCTAGTGTGGGGTGGTTGCATGATCGTTATTGGGATGATGATTTGGGTAGTAGACTGCAGATGGCTGCATATAAGTAGTATTCCGTAGTTCGTAACTAACTTAGTTATGCGGATTAGTCTCCCCCGCACATTCCACCTTTCTGGTTCTGTCAGGAAAACATATTCTCCAATTGGAACCCGTTGAGAGTTACCTTTCTTTTTGCAACACGGGTGGACAAGTGGTCAACGGGCATGGATCAACCGTTGCCCGAAACCCCACAATTTTGGTATTTGGGTACTCCGTATTATAGTGATCCTGGTTGGAACCAGTAGAATTCCTTCACAGCCAACTTTGTGCCCACTCCACACGACGACGACCCCATCCCTGGAACAACATTGCCCTTTTTGTGTTGTGTACGTTGTTGGCTTGCAATAACCGGAGCTCTGTGTGTTCTAGAAAGGTCGCACGCGGCCCATCATTGATACCATCGCGTGGGGTGATATCCTGTTCGGGACCATAGATGCCTTGGTTTCGAAGCCGCTCCAGAACATTGCTTCAAGCTTGTAGGTTGCTTTCTTCGATTCTCGCTCCCCGGGCCTGAATTTGATGGCTCAATGCCTGCGAGCTCGGAACTCCCTAAATAAATATCAGAGACAATCACCAACGTCGGGACAATACAATGCCATGTTACCCATGGTGAGGATCGACGCGTCTTCTAAAAATAGAAGCGAGATTGAATGGTTGTGGGCATACACTTTACGGGATATGAGTTGACATACCTTCTTCCTCTGTTTCCTCTGTACGCTGGACCGCTGAAAATAGTCACAATAGCGTCCCAGCGGTATTCCTCTTGTCCAGACCCGAACACCTTCATGAGAAGCAAGCTACAAAAGCAGCCAAAGAGAATCTATTTGGGCTCGCCACAACTAAGTGGCTGTTTCACTGTATATTCTGGCTTATCAGGATGAGACAATTGAAAAATCCGCATGATTTTGAGAATTACTGCAAAGCTTAGTCTTGTTTCAGGGTCTATAAGGCAAACAACGTACCAAACCAGCCCGCTGCAAGCCAGACCGGGCTCCCACCCGTTCCAGCACAACAAGGCAGTCAGCAGGCGTTCGGAGGCTACCCCCATCTGAACCCTCAGTACGGAGGACTTGGTGGCCTAGGAACGCACCATCAGACCGGAGCCTCTCAGACGCATCACCAAGGCGGTGGATATGGAAACTACGGCGCAGGTTTTGGCACCAACTACTACGGCAACACAGGTCGGGGCGGTGGATGGGGTGGTAGCTACTACACTGGAAAAGGGTGATTTCTGCTGTGGTAATACCACTCCCAAATTATTGTGTCGGCCACGGTTCATGAGCTCAGTCCGGAGAAGAGAGATCCTTGTTTCAACTACTTACCACACGTTTACCATTCCTACCCGGTGCCTAAGGCATTGGAAAAGATCAGTTCTACAACCTTTCGGAGAAACCTGGCTCAGGATGTCTTCGCCCTTTGACCCTTCACCTGTAAGCCTTGCTTTGATGGCGGATTCTTCTTAAGCTCCTCATCCTGTGAAGCTTTCACGATCTGGAAAGGTCGCGAGAGAAGGACATATTTGGAATACTCTACTAAGACTCCAAACATCAGTGCCCCTTTAGATGGACATATCATGAGTTTCCAGAGGTTAAGACATGAGGAGATGTTTCTCAAACGGATTTTGCATAAGGCATAAAATTTTAACACCTTAACTCGTCTTAAAAACATTGGGCATTGCATCATACCCTGCATTGTTCTCTCTTTTGCTTTCCTTTGAAGGGGTTCCCAGGCATTTATCGTTGGATGGATTCCAAGTGTATGGAATACTGATTGACGAGATACTTGAACATGAAAATCGTTAAACATCTGAGCTCGTTGAAATCGTGCTTTGGAGGACATGAAGTTAAGCTATCGCCAAACGAGCTCCTAGTTCCTACTAGAAACAAGCAAGACTGAGCACCAAATGCAGTTGGGTTCTTGACGGACATAACCAAGTGCTATAGTCATGCCAGACAAGAAAGATATGTACGTCCCTGTAGGAAGCAATAACGAAAGTTCCCTTTGGAGTAAACATAACCTCAAGAACGTTGTAAGAATAAATTGGGACATAATATAATAACTCAAGGATGTAAGTCGACATAATACATCATCGATTGGGGACGTCGTTATCCACGTAAAAGTACACACGAAAAAACAACAAAAAAGAACCAAACTCCTTTGTATCCCACACCCCCCCAACAAAAAAAGCCAGTGCGCTGGAGCCAGTGTTTGCCAAGTCCATACTTTATCCCTCATCATTTTATCCTGAAACAGAGTGGCTGACATGAATATATGGATATATGGAGCACCTTAAAACCCCGTCCCTTTTGTCTCTCCTCCCCCCCCCCCCAACCCAACCCGGGGAGAACTCTGTTTCATAGAAGCCGACAAGTAACTCACCGAAGATCATCAAAAATAGGGAGAGTAAACCTTGACAGGGTATAATCCAAAAGAAAAGGAGAAAGAAAGAAAGAAAGAAACAGGGTATTCTAAGCGCTGCGAGGGGCAAGCAATAAAGCAGAAAATAAAAGATAGAAAAGAAAGAAAAGAAGACAAAATAGGTCTCAAAGCCAACTGGCTAATCAAACGAGGTATCCAAACGCCTACTCGATTAAAAGTAGCCCAGTCTTGCTCCTTCTCTCCTGACACCTTCTCTGACGTTAACGAGGTTTGGGAACTCTGTCTCTAGGCTGCGAATGAGCCGCTCGCTCCGCTCCCTTTTTGCTAATAGGAGGGTTTCTTCCAGTTGACGAATCTCTTGCTGAAGGAGGCGGTGGGAGTCGTGCATGGAGAGGGCGAGAAGTTCTTCGGCATACTGCCGGAGTCGGTGCAGTTGGGATTCGAGGAAAGGGAGCGACGGACTAGATGGAGAAGTGGAGGTGGAAACGGAGGTTAGGGGGGTTTGGAGGGCATTCGTAGACGTTGACGTGGATGTGGATGTGACAGTGCTTGTGGTCGTGGGGCGGAGCTGAGTGGGTGGAACGGCTGTGGTGGTTTGAGAGAAGGGAGGGTGGCCGGAGAGCGGGATGGGGTTCGGGTTTGTAGCTGTGTATGATAGAGGCTGGGGTTGGAGTGGGTTTAAGGTTATGGGTGTCAGTGGTGCGGGAGCGTCATGGTTGACGTCGTGTTTGTCATCTCCGTCAATATTTCTCCCGTGTGGTGTCGTGTAAGCGCCATTCCTGCTGCAACTATCATTTCCAAAGGTGGCTATATCGGTAGAATGTCGCTTCATCGTGGGAGACGAGGCCGCGTCCACCATGACTTCTGAACTGCATCCGGATTTGAGAGGGGGAAGCGAAACGTGATGAGATGCCGGGGTCGGCATTCGAGTTATATAATCTATACCATGTAGAGTTTTGCCATCATCGCGTATCTGCTGATTGACTCTGGAATTTCCGTGCAGTTGCCTAGGAATCTTCGCGCGACCTTGTTCGCTATCTGCCTGTCGGGGAATATCATTTTCGTTTGTACGTGTGACGGACGAGCGTTTGGAACTGCGGTTCAAGGGGGGCATGTTATTCAAATTGGTGATAGGGTACTCGGATGTGTCTTGTAGAAGATTATGCATGGCCGATGGTGTAGACAATGGGCGCTTCTGTCCTTTGGGAGGCACCGATGTGTTGGAATTCCCGGGAGTAGAAGGCATATTCCTCTGTTTATAATAACCGCCTGCAGTTAGTACTGCTTCCTGCGCCATAGGACCAATAACGCGAACAAGTAAGAGGGAAAAAGACCGCCGCGTCAAAGCAAAGAAAAAGGGACTAACGCACCCTCTTCTGATCAAATACGTTGTCAGTAAACCCCATTATCTTTCCGCGTGCATCGGCAGGTTTCACCCTTCGTTTCGATGCTGGCTTTTCGGCCTTCACATATGCGGAAGGGAAGTGGCAGCACTAATGACAGTGACAGGTTAGCACAGTGGAGCCGGCAAAATATTTTTTTTTGAACTATCGGGTGAAAGTGCAACGGCCACTCCGGCCCAGGTCTGAAAGGTCACATACCCGACAGTTGCAGTTTTCCAGGCACTTGGGACAGATCCACAGTCCGGCGTGACGCATAACATCTGCAGAGTTCATATCAAAATGGCGGTAAAGTCCGCGGAAACAAAAGAAGGCCGCACAACGATCGCAGCGCCGACCCTTCCACTCCAAATGATCGATGCGGCAAAGATGGCATAGTCTGCTCAAAGTATTCTGCTTAGCGCGCATTAGATCGTTGACGGCCGTCCCCAACGGTTTACGGCGGTCCGATGCTTGACTATCATCCAATTTGTAGCCCAAAATCTGCTGGGCACGGTCTAAGACACGGGCGCAAGTCTCTTCTGGCACGATCTCGGCCCACGAATAGCTGCGAATATGTTCGCAGCTTCGACCGTTTAAGAAGCAGAGGAGACATAGGTCGAAGTCTTCACACTCGCTGCATCGCAAATGGCGATTCCAAATGGCTGTACTGCAGAAGTCGCATGTCACAATGGCCGTTTTTGGAACACGCACTAGTGTTATCGACGTGACCGGTTCATCTGTAATCATTTCTTCTTGAACCATCTGGCGAAAGAGGCGTGTAAGGAGATGTAGGTCCGGTGGGATCGGGGCCTTGGGATCATCTCCCAGCAAGCTCAACATGGCACATGCAAGCGAAAGGTTTGATTGCGCGACATCTGGATGACAGAGTCGGTTAAATGGAGGCTGCACATAGACAAGCCCAGCTTCTAGTGACAGAGGGTGCAATATATTCCACACGATTTTAGTAGCAACAGAACCGAGATTCCAAACCTGGTGGGCCGTAGCTGGTGGAAATACCACCAGATCACCTGCCTTCTGTTCATGGACATACAGTGGAAAATCAGCATGTTTCAACTCCTCTGGGTCAAGATTCAGCCAGTCAACGTGGGGAGAAGCCCCTCTGGAGGCCATGAACGTGTCGTACTTTGTTTGCGACTCAAAATCGGTCCCGAAACAGAGGACCGGGCGGTCTGAACCCACGTAAGCCTAGATACACAACATTGGACATGGGGCTTAGACTCACTGCTCCCTTCAATTAAGAGGTTCAATGCAACCGTGGACGAGAAACATCTGTGAAATCCTGATCTATCCGGGATATTAGCGGTAGAGAATTGGAGCTCAGGGATAAAGGCAACCAACGAGGATCCTTCGGAACCGATATAAGCCATCATGACCTCGCTTCTCGCGCAGGGAGGCAGCCACTGGAAGAGATCCAAGCGGCCTGCCCATTGCACTTCGGGAGGCAGTAACTTGCGACATAGCTCCAACCAAGCCTCCGGGCATGGCAAATCGCGCGCGTACAAATTTTTAAATTCCCTATATGACTGACGGGCCGCGTCGGCAAACTTCCTTAGAGTGAAGTTCAAGTCTCTACCCGTGCTACAGTTTCGAATAGGGATATCTAACTCAACTTAGTTAGCGATACGGGACGTATAGAGGATTTCTCACGGCAGCGTGGTACCGATGAATCACCCTTCCTTGACGCGGTTTGAGAATCGTTACAGGCAAGGAGACTCCAGAAGCGCCACGGAACAGAGAAGAATAAATCAAGGGCTTCCAGCGCCATACTTTTCTTTGTAGAATGTTCGATCAGCCCCTCGATCGAGAATATCCTCCTATCCCACTGAGGTAGCTTCTCAAAGTCCTGGATCACGAAAGGGTGTCCGGCCTGCAGTTTCTCGGACAGCCAGTCCGCAAAACCGGTTGGTCTATCGTTGGCTGAGACATGATTGCCGGTGCGATTCGGGTATGCAGAGCCGCGACCTCCCACGGCGTTGGACACTCCAATGGCGCGTTGGAGGTCGAGGATGGAGTAACGCGGGAACTCGACGAACGGCTTTCCGAGGGCCAGAAGATCCGCGGCACGAAGAGAGATCAGAGCGGAGGGCGTGTTGGTGGTTTCCACGGCGTGCGGAGCCGTCATTGTTGATGGCACATGGGCCAGCGGCGACACTCGAGTGCCAGTTAAAGGACCATTGTCGCAGGCAGAGCTTCGACCGTCGATGTTCGCGAAGGAGGTTGGCTTGCGAATTGCCGGGGGTTGACGATCACTGATCCGCAGGCGAAGCTCTGGCGTTGGGTCTTGGCAACCGTGACAAACAACCGAGCAAAAGCGACGGGCGGTTTCTGGGACGGGCGAAAACGTGGCCGGCACGGTGCGAATAAATATTAACGAGCTCTCGTCCAATCTCCAGGGTGATCGGCGGGCAAGGGTTTCTTCACCCGAACCATGCGGCTGGGTTTGCTTCTTCCTGGACTTCGAGAGGGGTCGGCGCTGATCAGAGTTGCCTCGGGCAAGGGTATCGCGTAGTTAGCTGGGGATGGCTATTTCCTGTCCCAATGGTCACCGACGGCGAGGTTATGCTGGTCCGATACCCCGGGGCGAACGCGGACACTACAGCGCTGCCGACGACGACGACGACGACCACGATGGCAGTGTCATCGAAGGGATTCCGCCAGTATGCCACGGTTACTAGGCCTTGCGACTCCCAATGACCACGGCATCTCGCCACTAATAGACGGTTGATTAACTACTTCTCTCTAGCTCAAGGACGGCAGAGTGAGTTGCAGCTGCTTTCTGCTTCCACGCACGGTGCGCATGCTTGGACGCCTCCCGGAACGGCGTCTTATTTGCGCGGACAGAAGTTTACAGCGCAGATCCCGGGGTTGGAACCAACTCGCGCCGAAATGACGAACATGCAATACAGTCTTTTGGCCCAGGCCCTCGCTGCGAGAAATGCAGCAGGGATGAGGGATCTCGGGTGTCTTACATCTTTTTCCCGTCAGGATTGCACATCCAAAACGAGAGTCGCCTAATTCCTCCGGGTTGTATGCGCGTGCATGCATATGGAGTGTATATGACTACTTTCCCACCCCTGTCCCCAGAAACGTCCCCATACCATGTCCCCGGCAACTCCCAACAGTTGATCTTTCCGGGGTCGACCGCTGGAATGGGGCCCCAGCATCGTATTCGTCGTTTGTTGCTGCAACAGGATAATACTTCTGCAGCTCCCAGCCGCCTGTACGAGGACGACCCCGACATACCCTGGTTAACCATTAGCTCATGAAGACGGGTGACCAGCCGCTGGCGATTCCGCTTTCCAGGAACCGGGTGCTGGGGGATTGGGATGATGGTTAATGAGAAAGAAAATATTATTACGGAGTACTATTAACTAACCTATTATTAGATATCTCGTCATTATTATCCAAATTCAAACACCGTGATGCACCTCCCAACACAATAACTCCCTTGCCATGAAAATGAGCGCAACCCCACAAGAATTTCTTTTTCATAATGTCGGCAAATCAAGGGCTTGAAACAGGAGCAAAGGAAAAAGGAAATAGAAAAAAAAGGGTGTATTCGGCAACGAGGGTCTTAGCTTGGACCCCATACGGTCTTGCCCCCTCTTTAGATACCTGAATCATCCTGGAAGAACCCATCAGGCTCCCAGTGGTTCTTGGGGTTACTGAACCAAGTGTCCCAATTTTTGCAGACTCTCTCCACCTCTGCAACTTCATCTTGTTTGTTCATCAAAGATGCCTTGAAATCATCACGGCGCTCAAGGATTTGCAGTGCCAAGCCTGCGGATGAGTGCCATGCGATGTGGCAATGCAAGACCCACGATCCTGGGTTGTCGGCCTTAAATGCAATAACGAGGAATCCACGTGCTGATAACAGGACTACGTCTCGTCGAGGTGGATTGTCGAGCGTCAAATTCAATTTCTCGGGAGTAAATGGCTTCGTCGACTGCTGGAGCAAGACGTAATCGTGACCGTGAAGATGCATCTGAACACGCGTTAGAACTGCTTGCCGAATTTGCCGCAGACTTGACACTTGCGGAGGTGGGGTTTGACTTACCGGGTGAGCTACTGCAGTTTTATTGGGCCGGCTGAACGTGTCGGTGATCAAAAGATACACCCAGCCGTTTCTCGTGTGGTCCTCTGATGGATACACAACCAAGGTGTCGTCGAACCTAGTCTTGTCCAGGTTCTTGACTAGGGGGTTTGAGTAGTTCACCCACATGGGAGAAGGGCCAATGGTCCAGTAGGTAACTTCGCCGGAACTTGGTGGGCGCCCTGGCATACGCCATTTTCCGAGTTCGACATCACTACGAGTGGTGTTCGTGAATATACCAGGGTAGAGTAGTGGATCTGGAACCTGCCATGAGAGGATAGGCTTCAGCCGCTCGAAGGGTTCATCGCGACACTTGAGGGAGAATTGCTCTCGCATGGTCGTTGGGAATTTTCTGGTCTTTCGGTCATAGTACAGCACCCCTAGTCTCTCATCCGGAGGATGCTCGGACTCAAAGCGACCGCATCGTTCGGTTGGGATAACGCGCATCCAATACGCGTCGCCGGATCTAGCTTTTGGGAGTGTATTTAAGATAACGTGATATCGTTGGCCTGGATGGGAATTTAGCAGAATACGCTACAATTTGGTTCCATATCAACGACTTACCTATTCCAACCGCAATGTGGTCAGTGTCGTACGGAGTTATTGGAACGAAATCCGCTCCGATAACTGTCAAATTGTGGTAATCAACTGAAAAGATGAACGTGGTATCCGTTGAAGCATTGATCAGGCGCAGAAGGTATTTTTTCCCCTAAGAAAGGATTCAGTAAAGTTTCCTGATCATTTTCGTGTGGAGGAATACTAACCTTTTTTACAACGGTGCTATACTTTCTCTTCGGAGCCTTGTCACCGAGACCAGTGTAGCTCCCTAGCCTTGTTAAGAATACTTGCGACATACATGCAGAAGCGTGGCGACTCACCTTTTCCATTCAACAATATGCTGCTCATCCTCGGAGGTCTGCCAGCCTGCTCTTGATAATACTCCTCGAAAGCGCTGTTGTGAAGGTGATCGGTCATCAACAGCGGATCAAGGGAGAAGTTGTAATCGGCGCTCGATGGACCGTGGATTGTTAAAGGCCCAGCCAAACCATCGGAATATTGCAAGGAGTAGTGGCTGTGATACCAACTCGTTCCATATTGAGTTGCTTGAAACTTGTACGTAAAGGAATCGCCTGGAGCAATTGGACACTGTGTGGCTCCTGGAACGCCGTCGTACAAGTTGGCATTAAGCATTCGGAGGCCATGCCAGTGGATTGCAGTTCCGTTATACTCAAGCTTGTTCGTGATGGTGATTTCTAAGCAAGGTTAGTAACTTAACGGTCAGTAACCTTGTCTCAGGGGAAAAGTAAACTGACCAAGGTCATCACCCCAACAGGCCTCTGCAAAGCGTGCGTGTTAGCATATGGTTAAAACTAGGAAGTTGCAGAGGAACTTACGAATCCAAGGGCCAGGGTATGTGCCATTGAAAAGTTTTGCCTTGGTGAATGGCACTCCGTCAAAATTAACGGTACCATTGGTGATTTCTAGGTAATACTATCCAAAGGCGAAAGAGTTTAGTAGGGTGATTTTGCTTCCGGATTCAGAGGAAACCAACTTTTCGAGTGATGCCCTTGGGTGTGTACTTTTCATAATCGGTAGCAACGCCATACTCGCGAGGCTCAGGCGCCGGGCCCTTACCAACCCATTTGAGCCAATTCCGTTTGTCGAATTTATCATGGACCCATCCGTGCATGTCTGGATAGGAGCACTCAATGATATTATTTGAGCTATGGCCATTGGAACTGGGCTTAAAAACTGGTCCACGCTGCTTGGTAACAGAAGCAGCGCTGCCGTAACAAGTCCATAGGACGAGAAACAAAAGAAGCTGATAAAAAACCATGAAGCAAGCTTCACCGGGCCTCACTGCAGGGAATTGATAAGAGGTATTATTAAATAAGAATCCCCACTGGTGATAGCCCTTTAATTCCTTTACAAGGGGTGGGTTCCTTAAATTTATATCCCTCCAGCTAAGCTAAAAGATGCCGGAGTCATCTCCGCCAAACCATTACCAGACACCACACGCAAATGCGCGGCAGAGTGAAAACCGAAATATGGAGGACAAAAAAGGTTCTTGCACAAATATATGTATCAGATGCGGTCATGCGGTTCCAAAATCAGCGGATGTTTCGCATGCACTCGACGGTGCCTGGCACCTCTAACCAAGAATTGGGCATTGTTTGCCATATCTTGGTAGAAACCGGAGGTAAAATGGAATGTGAACAGTTAGTAGATAAGTGCTGTTAGGCCGCAAATCTGATCTGGAGCAAGAAATATCACGATTAGCAAAAAGGATTTTGACTTGAATATCGGCCCCACATTTGTCGAGAGTAGCTTTCAGGACATCTTCATCGGCATTCTCGCTGCCGTCCCACACGATTTTCACTTTACGTAGACAGCCTGGACCTATCGGGAAGACGTCCGATATGATGGAGAAACACGGCGGTCTTGTACGTAAGATAGAGGCTTGCCGGCCGCCACCAAACTGAGACGGGAACTGAAGAACAGACTGAATTTGAACTTTCTTTGCATTTTCCATAACTTCTTCCAAGAGTCAGAGAGCCAAGTGGATGGAGATAGATGCTTCAATAGATCCAAAACTCTTCCCCAATGCTGTTGATCACAACTCTTCGGGGCAGGGATATTTTCTTATTTTCTTATTTTCTTTTCTTTCATCTCTTTCTGAAGAACAGAGAGGAAGATATAGCACTCGCTCACTCGCTGAGTATGTATCGTATGAACAGCGGGGAAACCTCGTGCTAATCCCAATCAAACCCCAAAACATCGACAGCTGGTCAAAGTTTTTGCCGAAAAATCTCCTTGTAGGATAAGGGGCGAAGAACAGAGGAGAAAAGCGCGAAGAGAAAAAAAATAAAATAAAATAAAGAAAGAAAAAGGTTATCGTTCGTTCAATCAATCCCGTTGCACATATATCACGATCGATGGAAAAAAAAAGGCTCAAAAGGAAACAAGGCTAACCCAACGGAGAATTCTATGAGGCAAAACCCGACTCTCAACTCCACCCAAGGAAAAAATAACAAAAGCCATGCAGAATGACTCTCGAAACGCCACTGCTCGGAATCGGTTTCAGCGCCAGGGAAAAAAAAAGAAAAAAAAAAGAAAAAGAAAAAGGAGGTTTTGAGAAAAATGTCCTGATGGCTTTCTCGCTCCCAACCCCATCCGAGAAAGTAAAACTTTGGTCAACACGACCACATTAGAAGTTAGAAATCTGTACAATATACACACACAAAAAATGGAAGGGGAGAGGAGGACCGCTTGAAGTCGCTTAGTGTCTGTGTCTATTCGTCTTTATCGTAATTGTATAATCGATGCATTTCTCTCTTCCACCATCGAGTGACGCCGTCAGCTTTGACCAGCCAATCCACGGCTTCATCGCCCCATTTCTGCTTGAGGGTGTGCGACAACTCGGACACTGACCAGCCCTCGATGGGGTCTGTTTCGTCCGGATCGGTGTCCAGGTTGGTGAAGCGGTACGAAAATTCTTGCTTGAGGGGAACAATCACTCGCCATGGTTTGCCTGCGGACTGCACCGATACCATGTCACCGCCGGAGTTGATAATTCCAAGGTTCCACGAATATCGGCCTTTGTGTTCAGATTTGAATGGGCGCAGTAGTGACTGGCCCTCATAGTCGTGAATAATGTCGGAAGCTACTGCAGTATCGAACGAATTCAAGGATTTGCTGTGGATAAGCAGGTCGAGGAGAGTCGGCAGGATGGCCATCGACGTTGCGTTGGCTTCGATCTGTATACGGGGAAGATGCGGGTGTCGGAAGACAATAGGAACGCGGAAGTTGCTGATGTGGCCGTTTTTGTACGTTCCTGTCATGGGACCGTCTTCCTCGAAAGCTTGACCACTAGTCAACCTAGTCAGTATAGAAGCGTAGGTATTTGATACATAAAAGGCGGTGTGGCTTACTGGTCACCAACAAAAACCACTAATGTTTCGTTTGCAATGCCGGCTTCATCGATCATTCCGAGAATTTCACCCATCCAGAGGTCGACGTATCGGATAGTGTTGAGGAAGCTATTCATATTCTTATGTGCCTGCGAGCCCATGTAATCCGTTTTATTGTAGAAATCAGGGACCTTCCATGGGTGATGTGTGGTGCTTGTGAAGTGAGACAAGAAAAGACGTGTTTTGTTTTGCGCAGCCTCCATAATCATATCGCGGACAGGAGCTCTGACATCTGTATCGGGAAAGCTGAAGGTACCCATCATGTTAGTCTTAAAATTTGGGCAAAAAGAGATGACACGGGGAAAACTTACCCGAAATAATTTAAGATGGGAGACTTTGGAGGATAATACTTCGAGCTTTCGTTCAGAAGCGTTTCTTTGACAATGACCTCCTGCATGCCCATCTTCTCGTTCATGATACCCTGTCGATCATACGTATCCGTAATGGACTGAATGAACACAGATTTCCACGGCCTGGAGTGGACATCAGCCCGATAGGGATCGGATTCGACTCTCTGCTCCAATTGTGCCTTCGACGTCTTGTTCTCCTTCTTCGCATTATTAAACAGTTGCAGGATTTGGGGAATGCATGGCTGGTAAACATCAGTCGTAACCTCTTCCAAGAAATTGACTGGCAGCGGGAAAACACCGCAATGGCTGCCAAGAAAACTCTTGAAGGAGAGACTGCTTCCAGTAACAGCACCCACGACATTGATACCCCCCATACCAGGAGCCACAGAATCTCGCCAGATGTCCGAAGAAAACTCAAGATCGGGCTTCCCCGTTGAATTCTTCCAGAAGTGCTCTCCGGTAACTTGTTCAGCGACCGGGGTCAGCTGGCGCAGTTTCATGTTTATCTCCGCTCTGTCCTTCTCATCATGCGATTCAAGGATGTTCTTGTGTAGGTTAGACCCCTCCTTTATGGGGAAGAGGTCCTTCCTGTGACTTTCCATGGTGATCAGGACGACGTTCGAGATCAGCACCGACGACAGGGCGGCCTCGAGGGACTCGTACATGGCCATGTCCAGATTGGTGATTCGGAGGGGATCCGCGACCGGGTTATAATAGTTGGCCGCATCGCCGGACTGGCATTTATCCTCTATGGATTCTTCCGCATGGGCAGTAGAATTTGTGGGGTCTGGAAAAGCTCGTTGCCATCGCCCGAAGCCATATGGGGTGTCGTCCAGGAGCCATTCAGGTTTCCTTTTTCTGTACGTATTGGCAAGCATGTTGCTCTTGCCAGGTGCCCAGCCCTTAAAATGGCCACGGGGCATCTCCCAATTCTCCTCTGCGATCAATTCGGGAAATGGGAAGGGTTCGCTCGAGAGTGACGAACCAAGCGCGCATTTATTCTCGGTGTGGGTCGGAGAATGGAAAACACGCAGCAATGCAACGGGGAGCGTGACAGAGATGTGATTGTACGGCCTGGAAGGACGGAGACAGAGCAGGGTTATAAGGGCGAGGACTCCGGTCAATAGGCAAAAGGGCCATATGCGGATGACTCTCTTGTGAGACTGATCGGGTCTTGTTCGCACGGTAGGCAGGAGCATATCCCAGTTTCCAGGGGTCGTGAGCTTCCAGACAGCAGCCAACCAGAATCCAACCTTATTGTATAGCCATGGCGTGCAGAAGAAAGCGATGATAATAAGGATCATCGCTGAAACCATCACCTCCACAACGCCGCTGAGGATCAGTCCAATCGCAGCTGGATCTCCCGCAACATTCGAGGCAGAGTCGAACTGCATTTCGGCGCCTGTGATGTAGTAGAAGCCGAGCTGGCCAGCGGCGGTCGCAAGCATCAGAAACCTAAGGAGAAAAGAAACAAAAGAAACCCCTGGTCAGCTCTTCTTTCCGCCATATGGGATTTAGCATGCACCTACGAAAGGAACGCTCCAAGGGTGAGCGCGGCGACGAAGAGTGCGCCGGTGCCGGGCTGGAGCAGGAGCCGGCCCACGATGACGGTGACGATATCTTGGACGAAGAATGTGGGGAAGTAGAGAATGAATCTCAGCGGGGGAATGGTGTGAGCATGCTGGAACAGATGAAGGAACTTGGAGGCGAGGACAGCAACAACAAGAAGGGAGAAAAGAAAGGGGCGCGATAGGCGGACCGAAGGGATATTCATTGCACAAGATCAATGTCTGCTGGCAACAGAGCCCATCTCCTGATTAAATGAAAGATAGGGAACGAGGGGGCATAGAGAGACAGGCCGAGAGACACAGAGAGAGAGGGGGGGAGAGAGAGAGAGAAAGAAAGAAAGAGAGAGAAACTTGACAGAAGAAGAGCAAAAAAAGAATAAGGGAGGTAACAGCAGGAGAAAGAGAACAAAGAAGAGAGTGAAGAGACAAACACAAGGGGGCCACAGAGAGAGAGAGAGAGAGAGAGAGAGAGGGAGGGAGGAATATTAACTGGATTGGGCCAGGCAGGGAGGGACAAGGCCGTGAAATTTTATTACCACCAAACAGTGTTTTCTGCGTAACCTGCCATCTCTGCAAAGACTTAGGCGCTAAATTGGTGGGGACGCTTCTGGCGGAGAGGACTGGCGCTGGTGAAATTACCTATACCGTCTCGTGTCCTCCGGGGCCCTTGTGACGCCTTTTCCATGCACTGAAGCCTGGAGGGCCGGCTGGCGGGACCTGCGAGTTCGCCCTGGGGCCGATGCGGCTCATTCCAAGGGCCCGGTCCTCTGCTGTCGGGATTCCAACCCGTTCCAGCTGGGCGAGATTGGACATATACACACGCACACATACGCACGCACACACATGCCCACACACACAAACACATCGAGAGAGAGAGACAGGTTTGACGAGCCGGACCGCGGAGTCTGCTCTCCCTCGTAGCGGACATGCCCCCGTGGCCCCATCGTTGCCGCGCTGGAGGTTGAAACAACGAGCCCACATGAAATGCGCAGGAATCTGGCCATGCGCGCGATATCCCCAAGCGGCTAGGCTGAAAAGCTTAACCTTTCCCGATTTGCGAATAAAGCTCCGGGTTCATTACTAGCGTTGAGCTTGGTTGGTGCGCCGCGCCGGTAACTTTACGCAATACGAAGCCTCCCGGCCGCCAAACTGAGACACCGTATCGATAATACCAAAGCCCATGCGCACGACCCTCAGGATTGGTTGGCCTTCAGGGGCGCCAGCTAGTCCGGTCTCTCTGCGCCGCGGGTGAAGGCGACCCCTACGAGAACGAGGACGGACGACACGCTGGATTCGGCGGAGACAGCCTGTGCCAATCGCCGCGACAGTCTCGACCAATGGACCTCGGCAGTCTTTGTTCACTCCTGGGTCAGCGGTGGCAGCACACAGCCTTGTTTCGAATAATGGAAGGATCATGACCTCAGGCGCGCGCAGAACAACCTGAGTCCCTGACCTATCGAGCCCGATCTAGTTTACAGCCAAGCCGGTCGACCAAACAAGAGAATCGGAAAAGTCCCTGGAATGCTGGATTTTTTTTTCTTTTTTTTTTTTTTTTAATTGATAAAGTTTCTTTTCTTCCCCGCCTTTATCGACATGCTATTGGCTGCCAAACAATAATGCCAAAACCACAACCTTTGTCAAACAAGGTTAGAAAAGTTGGTTGCGGAGTGCGGAGCACGGAGTACATCCAATGTATGAAGATTATGCAGGTGGGCCAACGATCATGAAAAATATCTCGTTCCATAGAAACAGGTGGAGAACATCAGACACCACTCTGCCCTACAAGAAACTCTCAGCACCGACAGGGAGAGCAAAAAAACAAAGCTTTCCAGGAGCAACCACTGCAGCAGGCTGATGATCACGGCCCAAACCCACCGGAGAGAAAACAAAGCCGTTCTGTGACCCCATTCCTTTTTGAAGCCACAAGTCCGTACACACCGGCTTCACTCCTCCGACGCCCAGCCCGCGCCACTCAACTCATCACCCATATTCCATGGAAACGTAGAATTGCAAACTGTCCCAGTTTATCGCATTCTTGTGACACTTTTTAAACCGCCTGGAAACTCCCCTCAAGAAGTATGACCGGATATATGTCCATTGCATAAATCCCTCACCAGGCGATTTCAACTAATAACGCTTTTTCTCGCAACAAAAGAAAATCGATGTTAATCTTAGCTGGGCTTGGAAAAAAAAAAAAAAAAAAGAAAAGCAAAGAAAAGAAAAGAAAAGAAATAAAATAAAAGAGGGAATATACCCCTTGTCACAGCTCGCTCACTCAGTCCAATAATCACCGGTCCCTTACAGCATCCATACGTATGAGCAAGGTTCTCATCTTTTGAAGCCTCAGCCAAGCAAATCTTGATTAAAATCGGTGGACACTTAATCTATCTGAAAGGTACCGTGATACCGGCCATACCAGTGTCGTTACATCGGAGTTGGGGCTCCCGGCGACAAGTGTGCGATCGAAGACTCTCAGGGCCATTTTTATACTTTAGTTACACCCTGACATCGTTGTTCCCCGCAGCCTCTCACACTGGGGCCCAACTTTGTCCATGTCTATGACTGCGACCCTCTCCGTGGAGTTAAAGAGAGTTATTAACGGGGTACCGCTTCTCACTCCCCCGCGATCCAATCTATCAACCACTCCGGGGTATCCTTGTCGCGGTTTGTCGATTCGGCAGAAACCGGATCGACATGTTGGTCCAATTAAACGAGCTTCGGCTAATTCCCTGCTCGCTCGAGACAACAGCACTCCTCCGTCCTCCTGACATGGCCTGGTGAATTTAGCTGCTCTGCGCGACCGTTCACGCGGAGAATGCTGATCTCCATTGCTTGACTTCCTGCTCTATTTGAAGGATCTTTGGCTGATGTACTCCGAAATGCCGGTGGAAAGGTTGCGAGAACTTACCGTTTGTATCGGAGAATATGTCTCTAAAGCTCACCTGCAGCTCCAGCATCCCAAGGATATTCCTCATGCCATTATTTTTCACCTGAAAGGAATTTGTGAGGCTCTCACGGTGTGCAAAGCTGCAACCCTTTGTGGTTTAGTGGACCTCTCCCAAATGCGCGCCAATAGTATTTTTAGCCACAGATTTCCCGTCACGCACCGCCATGCCTAGTCAAGACATTCCACTAATTTCCAGGGCCGTTCGTCGGGCCTTTTTTTTTTTTTTTTCCGCGGTGAGACCATTGAATTTCGTAGACGTATTTTTTATGCGAAGCGCCTCTCAAATACCTCCTCCGCCACTCTTCACATCCAAAGCAGTCACAAAAGTCTGGATCTGTATTCTTCTATCGATCAAGCTTCTTGAGCGTTTTGGACCTCGAACAGGGAATGTTCTCACGTTTACCAACAGAATCTATACCGAGCACTCCGTATGGGGGCCTATATGCACGCGCCTGAGGCACCTTCGATACGTTTCAAATTTCCATATACCCCCATACCGATTCTATGGCTTTATGTGCCTTTGCTCGGGTTTACATCGTTATGGAAAGGATTAAGGTGGCCAACATAGGCAGTGGCTGGATAGAATGAAGCGAGGAGCCAAAGATGAAGTTTCTTGCCCCAATTGGCAAAAGATTGTATAGGAGATGTGGGAACTTCAAAATTCCAGATTCCGCCAGGACCACTTCCGTTGATAGTGGATCCTTTTTTGGCGGTCGTAAACCTGGCTGTCTCCTGCGCTTCGGCCTCTTGGATGCCGTCCATGACGTCTCGCTGATTACATTTGCCCACTTAGTGGCAATTCTTCCTAAGGCCTTGCCACGAGGTCCAAAGGTGGCTTGAGGAGAGGACTGTGCCATCGAGTCCCTGTTGCTTGCCGCCGAATTTGTACCCTGAGAGGCGTTACTGCTCAGAGCAACGCTGGCGTTTTCGACTTTGCTCTAGTGCGCATTCCATAGTGCCAGTCTCTACCGCTACTATTCATGATAGAGATTCAGCATTTGAGGCACATCCAACACCTGTTCTGAACATTAAATACCCCTTTTACTCCAGTGTTACGTTTTGCACGCCCTCTAGGTCGCTCTAATGGAGGCTCCGCAGTCAGCCCCAATGTAGCCCATGAAAAATTAGCCGGAGAACACCAGCGTCTAGGTTGATGTTGTTAACATCATTAGTACTATAATCATCCGAAATCCCTTGGAGGCGCAACTACAGCGGTTAATAGGCTGTTATGATCGATCCTCTCTATTTTGACCATAGTGCTAATGACACGGTCCCTTTCTTCTGTGTCAGGTGCTATTACTCACGCGAAACAGCGTCATACTCCAGACTCCCTAATTTCCAATATCCGTGCGATTCAAATCACCCTGGTTGAATCCATTATTAAGTCCTCAATGGGAATAATCACTCGCGGGATTTCTGTTAGGTTTGTATCAACACTAACTTGGGGACTTGGAGAAGGTTGAAAGACTTTTTCCAACTGGTTTGATCAGGATTACCGGCCTTGGATTCGGGCTAGATACGCACATGTAGTGTTGTCGGTCACGTCTTATGAAGTCATGGCGGTTTCTAGATTTTGTTTTCAAAAAGCCAACATAATGAAGTGGTATAAGACAAGGGCCTGTATTGTATTCGGCAGCCCGGACCAGCTGCCTAAGTCTAAACGAGGGGCAGTGCAGAGAATGTACATACAACGTCACCATCATGGTATGGGACCAATGTATGACACCACTGGCATTGTGAAATTACTACCGTTGCCCCATAGTACTCGGTTTGCATGACGTTCTTCGGACTAGCATCTGTACTGGGCCACTACTCCGTATAGAGCAATCGGAAGATGCAGGGGTTCATCTGTGTGCCCAAATAGCTTGTATGCGCCGGAGTCGTTACGTGTTGGATGTTTTGGCTGCTGCATGAATGTCGAGAATGTGATGGTTTGACCAGGTGTTTCAGGGTTTTTGGAAGCCACACCGTCATCGACATGCGCACTCAAGAAGAATGAAAAGGCGCGAAGGATTGGCTACAGCGCCGCATTCGACTTCAACAAAGGCATGGTTAATAATGAAAAGGATCACAGAGTATTAGCTGTCTCTCTCTTCTTTTTTTGTGCGAATAGTGGTTGGTTTGTTATCTTATGCTGTTTCCATTATGTGCTCCGTACATACAATACTTGTTCAGGAGCAACATGGTTAGTTGCCTGTTTCACGAACAAGAAGCATCCTTGCAGCAGAGCAATCAGGCTTGCCAAGTTACAAAACATTTATTCCTCCTTGATCTGGATGCGAAGGTCTGGAAAGTTGAAGAAGTTTCTGTTTTAAAACGCATAATATTTCTCCTCTATATCATTGAGACCTTTTAATATGCTTATTATTGTGTATAACCATTTTCGGAACCGGATAGACATGTATCCTAACCATTGAGATCGGAGCAGCATGCGATCCGAATCATGTCAGACGCCTGGTGACTGCAAAGTTTGTTGAAACTTCATGGGCTGGGCCTTTTGCCTTGGAAGCTTCTCATTACTGTTTGTGACAGACAAGTTTGTAACAGTTTTGTATAGATGTCTGCGGGTAAAGCATCCTTTTGCTACCAGACAATCGAGCTACATCCCGAGCTCACGATATACATATCCCCATATCCTCACCCGATGGCAGGACTTGACCTTGTCGAGTTTGAATGACCCCAAAGTTCGGGTGCGTTGAGACCTAAGATATTGGCCATAGAGGGGAGGAGGAAACAAAAATGATAATCCAAATGCCCAGCGATGTAGAAGTTCAGATATAGTTACTAGCTGCTTAAATCTCGGGTTCGAACACGAACTTGACTGAATGCTATGGATCAAAGCGTCGGGTCCGCCACTATGATATCGACAGATTATCAAGTAGCATCGAACAAAACAAACTCTCTAGAAATACTTATGTCTCTTTTTGTAGGCTAAGGTATTCCCGCGAAAGAGGGGGGGAAAATGGCAATCCTCCTCAAGAAATGAACCTCATTTGTTCACATTGATGGGAACAACTGCATGGAGCTCATCAGGCTCAGGGAAGGGCAAAAATTCAAAAGGGTATAGGTTAGAAATTTCTACAAAAGGCCAACGAAAGTTCGAAGAAAAATTAAGGGTAAATGGGAACAGATCATAGGGGGTGGATCACAGCCTAACATTGCCCCTGTTCAGTTGATTCCACTCTTTCTTCCCAAAGGGAACGTATGTGCCATTGCTCAGCCAGTACAGTCGATCGGTAGTCTTATTATTCTCTAAGAGTTCTGGGTTGACGCCCTCAGCTCGTAAAGTGGTCTTCTGCTGCTTGTTGTTGCCGGTTGACTGCATCGAAGCGGTGACTCGAAGAAACTGGGGAACGGCGTACTTTGGTAAATGCGCAGAGGCATGAGCAGCCAAAGATTGAAGAATTTTCTGTGACGGCTCAATAACAACGTTGGAAGTTGGATTCTGAAGTTGTTCTTTGAATATAATTGCGGCACAACCTGCCCTGCCATCATGATGTGGGACCTCGACGCCATACACATTCGCCTCATGGACGTCCGGATAATTGCCCAGGATCTCGCTGACCTCGTTTGTCGACACATTTTCACTGCGCCAACGGAAAGTGTCTCCAATCCTATCGGAGAAATACCACAACCCATTGGGATACCACCGGATCATATCTCCCGTGCGAAACCATGCGTCTCCTTTTTTACGAACGTCGCGAATGATCTTTTTATTGTTAGCTTCCGGGTTGTTAACGTATCCCGGAAATTTCTCCGCAATATTTTCTGCATCGACCGCAAATAACAATTCGCCGGGCTCGCCTTTCACGGCTTGCACGCATAGGCCAGTCTTTGGGTCACGTCGAGGAAGCTCCGTGATGGGATCCAGCTCAATAATAGTTGAGGAGATCGATAAAAGGAGGTTTCCGAGGGCACCATTGCGGCCAATAGCGCCAGTTGAGTAGTCATTCCGCGATACGTTCAAAGTTATTGACAATCCTTCTGTGGCGCCGTATAGCTCTGCCACCGTATCAATTCCGAACCTCTCTTTGAACCGATTCCAAACGTCTGGGCGAAGGCCATTTCCATAGGCCATTCGAACATTGTGCTTCTTATCCAGATTCTCTCCAGTAGCCGGATCGGTTTGGGTTGGAGTGGCAAGTAAATAACGGAGCGTCTCTCCAACGTACTGCACCACGGTCGCGTCGTTCTCTCTCACTTCATTCCAGAAGTTCCTTGCTGAGAATTTACGGCCAATTGCTAGACTACTAGCATTGAGTAAGCAAGCGGTGTAGCCCAAAAGACCGGCAGTTGAATGATACAATGGCATGCACTGTCTTCAATTAACAAAAGGACGAGAAAGGTGTTAAGGGCTCAATAGTAAGACTTACGGTGTAGACGCGGTCTGTCCGCCGCAGACCAAGTGCTACATGCATAAAACTCGCGGCAGTTATTGCTTTGCTCCAATTGATGATGGCAGCTTTGGGAAGACCAGTCGTGCCACTGGTATAGATAAACATGCAGGTTGAAGTGGCTTCTTGATTACCGCGATCAACGTCAGGTGCCCGAATGGGCTCAAACTCCATAATTTGAAACTCCAGAGTGTTGTCGTGGAATACGACTTCAACAGGGCCACCATTTTTACGGAAATCAGGCGCACTGAAGACTGACAACTGTTCCGGAGGAAAGAGAGGACGCAGCTCTTCATCAACAACAAGAAGTTTGGCATCGCAAATCCGGACACAGTGTTCCAACGGGGCTTTGGTCAGATTATAATTGATCATAGAAGGAACAGCACCAATGCTCCACAGACCCATCCACATGAATATAAACGTCGGTGAATTCATGAAATCTATCGCGACCACATCGCCAGGTTTGACTTGATGGGCCTGCTTCAACCAGGTACCATATCGCAAGACTGTCTGATATGTTTCGTGAAAAGTCCAGATCTTGCCGTGGTAAGCCAGGAAAGGTTGCTGGGCCAGTTTCGGATTCAATGCATGCTGCTCAAGTATGTAGAAGAGGTTCCCACGACCATTTTTGACCCAGAAGAAGCGGCGGAAAACGGCTCTGGCGATGGAGTTTATCAACTTTGCGTCGTAGAAGAGTGACCATCTTGCATTAAGATAGGCGAGGAATGTAGTCGCGGCCGGAACCGAGAGGGTCAGTGGCAGTGTCGCGAGTGCTTCCATGACTGGAGTGTGTTAGCCGTGCCTTCATGCCATCTCAGACCGTGGAGGATCAAGGAGAAGTTATTTGCGACAACGCACCTTTGTTGTTTAATTTTGAGAGAAGTCTACCAAGTTCTGGGTTGTAAGGTCTATCATTCAAGCAGTTCACCGGAGTTCCAGGGCCAACGTTACACAAACGGCTGCACGAACCTCAAAGAGATCGGGTATGGTTGGAATTCAGGACTTGTGTCCGATGATCAAAAACATTTGTTCAAACCGAAAACCTCCGGGGCTCAGAGATAACTAGTGAAGGGCATGCTGGACTTCCCCTCTCTCTCTCTCCCCCTTGTTGAGGACATCTGTCTAGCTCGAGTTGTTCAGGGCCAACCTCGGCAGGATTTCTGGTTCACTGGTTTCAGGGCAGAACCTTGTGAAAATTGTTGAAGGCATTGAGCTTTGGACCAATGAATATCCTTGAAGGGACAGGTTGGCATCATCTCTGTGGCTGAATCTGAGTTTCCACGATCGTTGCGGAGTTCCACGCGCCTCGCCCCGCGATCCTCGGCGTAAACTAAAACGGAACGACATCATAAGTGACAACGTATGAAACTCCCATTGCATGTGTAACTGGTGAAACAATCGAAGAAAATAGTTTAGAGTTGGCTTACTTGTAACTATATAACGATCAGCAAAAGCAAAAGACAGCTCCTGCTTGAGATTATTATTATCTAGCCGGAGTAGACTCAATGTGCCTGAGAACCCAACTGCATATGCGGTTAACCTTCTGGTCTACTGCATCATCTAAGTGCTAGTTTATTGGTCCCAGCCAAAGGGACATTCTCGAATTCTTCCTCCATGAACTCTCTCAGAGCCTCAAGTCCCGCTTCCATTATCTCAGGCTTCATGGCATAGCCAATGCGGATATAGCCTTTAAAATCTTCTCGGTTCCCGAAGCCGTAGCTCCCCGGGACCAACAGCACCCCTTTCTTGTCTTGTAGTCGTCTACAGAATTCCACGTCGTCCACTGGTTTGCCCATTTTGGAAAACTTGATAAATCCTATCGTCCCCGCGACCGGTCGAACCCAATCGCACGCCCATCGGTGCTGTTCAATAAATGATTCCACACTCGCAATGTTCTGTTTGGCAAGACCCATATTCCGTTGGAGCAGGCTATGTATACACTTACCGTCGAGCGCAAAAGAGGCCACAGCCTCATCTAGATGGCTCATCGAGATCGTGGAATATGAACGATAATTGAGACAACTTGCAATATAATCGCTGTTCCGAGAAGCGAGCCAGCCAACACGGATTCCTGGAAGGGAATAGCATTTGGAAAGGGAGCCGGACACTAACACATTCTCGTATCCAAGCGATAGTGCAGATGGAGGGAATTCCGGATCCACAGGAGTTATTGAGTGGAACAGAGGTCTAAATATTTCGTCGCTAAATACGATTATCGAGTGTTCCTTTGCGATTTCTACAATGGCTTGAAGTTGAGAACGTGGAATTATGGCTCCTGTGGGATTCGCCGGATTCCTAACATGAGGGAAAGAGAAGTTGTTAGTGTTAGGATTACCGATACAGTGAGGAATTTCTTACGTTAGAACAATCATCTTCGTATTTGGCTTGATGAGATCCTTCAACTCTTCTAAATCCAACTGCCATTTATCTTTCTCTTTGCTCTTCCACAGGGTAACTTCGACACCGATCGACTTTGGCAAAGAATACAATTGCTGATAAGTAGGGTACTGAACAATAACGTGGTCCCCAAGGCTACATAAAGCATGGAAGACCACGAGGTTGGCTAACGAGGCACCAGGTGTGATCAAAACGTTATCGACGGGCAGTGGAGTCGGAATCTTAATAGAATAAAGATTGGCTATGGTTGTTCGAAGCCGTTTTGAGCCCTGGTAGGCCTCACCGTAACCTAATGGCATGGTCAAGATGGAAGCTGGAAGCGGCGGGTTCCTATGCTGTTCGCCTTCGGCGAGGGATGACAGCTCCTCAATTGAGACAGGCGCAGCGCAAGAGCTGGAAAGGTCATATTTGGCTAATTGCGATTCCGTATCAATCCACTAGGACAAGGCAAAACGCTAGTTAGTTGTGTGCTCATAACGTGAAAAATCTAGGGAAGCATGCAAGCCTCGCGTTGCTATCCCGGGATGCGGGGTTTCGGACGCCGGGGACCGGCCGTTTATTAACTCACCCGCTGGGCAGCGAAAAAATCGATGTTAACCATTCTCGTAGGCAGCGCAAAGTAAAAGGAGTTTATCGGTGTGTACGGAGTAAGAGAAGGTTGGTCTTCTGGATAGAAGGACTTATGGCTCGGCTTTGGTTATAGGGAGCAATAAGTATCATAGATGGAGTAAGGTTCACTCCTCCATGGGCCTCCACTTCCAAGCTCCAGCCTTCGGGCCGAATGAAATGAACGAGCAGCGAATCACTTTTTGCTCTACGGAGTAGACAATATATTCTTGGTAGCTCCTCTTGTATTTCGTCAGATCTTCCGCTGAAGCACCGCCATTCTATATAAGTGAGGAGCATAAGTAAGAGTGTACCCAATCCACTTTGTTCTATATTCCGCCATAATTTCTCCGCGTTGATTGACATCGAAATGCAAGAGCAGCTGCTTAAAGCCGTCCCATTGACTCTGTTGTAAGGAACGGGCAGCAATATACAAGGTGAATGCTACACTCTTCGTCAATCGGTCATCTTTAAAGCTCTTCGATAAAGATTGTTTGTCAGCACTCTTCGACATGTGATGAATGTTATGAGGGAAGGGAATACGTGGTTCAGCCATAAGAAAAGGCTGAACAAGGTAGAAGCGGGCTGGCTCTACTTCAGATTCCATCGGAGGAGAATAATTCCCGGATTATCGATGTAATGGAGTTGCGTAGTGAATAACCAGGTAGTGGTTAGGACCGGGGTCCTTATATAATACGAAGTAAAGGAAAAAAAAAAAAAAAATTCTTATGAATCAGTGCAGTGACAGCAGTCGTTTCAAAAAAAGATCTTTGGTGAAGAGTAGAAATCAGAAAAAAATGGAAAGGCGAAAAAAGAAATGTAAGCGATCTCGACGCGACTCGAACGCGCAATCTTCGGTGCCGAAAACCGACGCCCTACCATTGGGCCACGAGACCTAGTTGCTTGATTATTTTAATCAAATCAAGTAGTCAGCAAGCAATCAGACTTGGATATCAACCATAATTTCTATAAAGTATATTCCGTACTCCGTACTCCGTACTCCGTATAGGTTCAAGGAAAGTATTCCGACGCCCCAACTCGTACCTTCAACAATATCACTACATAATGCTTTGAATTCCGAAGCACATCTGCGGATACTTGGTGTTTGTAATGTCTGGACCTCCAACGCCATCCAAGAAGCGAAACAGACCAGGCCTCGCCGATAAAGTGTCGGGATTACTAGCATCGTCGTCCTGCTCAAAAAGCCGCAGCAACCAGGCGCCAAGACAGACCTTCGCCGCCGGCCTGGGCAAACCTTCGGCTATCGCGGGGAGAGAAGTTACTCCGCACCCGGCGCTAACCCCCTTCCGCGACCCGGCCAACCACCCGCCCGTCGAGCAACTACGTAATTTTTGTCCTCTCCCGCAACTCCGCCTGTCGCCAGTGTCTCGACGCAGCAAGCCCTGAGGTTCAGTTGGCGGATTTGTTGGCTTTCTGGTTGTGGAGGGAATCAGCATCTTTTTTCGCTACCCTTCTTTCGTGAATCCTCCATCCTTAACTCCATAGACCCCAGTTAGGCCACCTTCCGGAAGCGATACTCGCGATAAGAGGAGGCCGAGTGACTGGTACAAATGTCAAGCTTACAGCTTCGCTAGGAATTTTATCGTATGGCTCTCAACTTAAGGAGTTTGCGAAATCCTCCCTTTGTTTAGCAATCTTACGCTTGGGTGGTTGATGATAACGGCTTCGCTCCTTCGCAACCACGTCCTCTTCTATCTCCGCCATGCGGCTTTTCCGCGCTATCCAGTTCCTCTCACTCCTTTCTGCATCTTCGTTGTCATGGCGCGTTTCTGCATGTGAGAATTATACGACCTACGATATAATATCTCCCCGGTTCGCGATACAAGATAACCGGCCACCAAACTGTCCCCCGTGCTTCAACTGCCAACTCGATGCGTTCCAATGCCATCAATTCGCCGAATGTAACAAATACAATGGTAAATGTTCTTGCCCTTCTGGATTCGGTGGAGATGATTGCTCGGAACCCTTGTGTGGATCCTTGCCCGATGGCAAGGATAGAACCCCTCGGCAGGATAAGTACTGCAAATGCAAAGATGGCTGGTCAGGTATAAATTGCAATGTTTGTGAAACGAATGATGCTTGCAATTCCATGATGCCAGAGGGCGAAGGTGGCGTATGCTACAAGGAGCCTCTAGTGGTCAAAGAGAATTATCAGATATGTGACGTGACCAATCGCAAAATCCTCGATCAACTTAAAGAAAAGAAGCCACAGGTGACGTTTTCATGCACTGCGAAAGACCATACGTGCAACTTTCAATGTGAGCTCGCAAGCTTATTATTCTCGGCTTTCGAATTTTATACTAACATGCATCTTTTTTGATAGTCTGGGTTGATCAGAAAGAGTCGTTTTACTGCTCCTTGGACACGTGCGAATGGGCTACAGAAGTTGAATACGGCAAGAATACCACAAATTATGAATGCGAGCATATAAAATGCAGATGCATTCCTGGACGGATGCTCTGCGGAGAGGATGGCTCCATTGATATTGGAGAATTCCTCGAGCAAGATATCAAAGGCCCAGCCTCGTTCTCGACGATTTCAACCCAAGGAGGGAGTGATCAAGATGGCAGCACATTCCAAGAACCTGCTATGAACAACCTAATCAAAAGCGTATTTGGCGATAAAAGCATTTTCCTTCAATGTCGTGCCGGAGAGTGTCTGTATAAAACCGACGTACCCGGCTACAAAGTCCCCGTCAAAACCATTAACACTCCACTAATTGCCGGTGTTATTGCTGGCTGCGGTTTATTTATCGTTGCTGTTATTCTATTTATCTGGTATCTTTCAAGGAGGAGCGCCTATCGGAACTACGCAGCAATACAACTTTCAGACGACTCTGACGACGAAAACGGAAAGCTCATGGCTGATCATAAACCTGCCGCGTTACAGTTTGATAACGTCTCGTACTATCTCAATGGCAGGCAAATCCTGTCAGGCATTAGGGGAATCGCTCGACCGGGACAGGTCACGGCCATTATGGGTGCTTCCGGCGCCGGGAAAACAACCTTTTTGGATATTCTTGCAAGAAAAAATAAACGCGGAACTGTTCAAGGAGAATTTTATGTGAATGGAGAAAAAGTTGACGACAATGAGTATCGAAGTGTCGTCGGCTTTGTCGATCAGGAAGATACAATGCTGCCGACGCTCACTGTTCACGAGACTATTTTGACCAGTGCGCTGCTCAGACTCCCGAGAGATATGAGTAATGTTGTGAAAGAGCAAAGGGTGTTTGAAGTGGAGAAGCAGCTTGGAATATATCACATTAAAGACCAAATCATCGGCTCCGAAGAAGGAAAGGGACGCGGCATATCAGGAGGGGAGAAAAAGCGTGTTAGCATTGCATGCGAGCTTGTTACTAGTCCAAGCATATTATTTCTTGATGAGCCGACCAGTGGCTTGGTAAGTGCTAGCTGTCATCCCCCTCATTTAATATGGTTCTAACAGTGGCCAGGATGCATTCAATGCTTTCAATGTGATAGAGTGCCTTGTAAACCTGGCAAGAACGTACAATAGAACCGTTATATTCACTATTCATCAGCCAAGGTCCAACATTGTCGCTTTATTCGATCAACTGATCCTGCTGGCCAAGGGAAGAACTGTCTACTCGGGCTCTTTCATGGGTTGTCAACCTTACTTTGACCACATTGGATATACTTGTCCCTTGGGATTCAACATCGCGGATTACTTGGTCGACCTAACCATGCATGCCAGTACTGCACGCTCTCCCGAGGAGCCTCTGCTCAACGCTGATGCGCAAGCGGACCATTTCAGAACGCCATCAAGCAGCTTAAGGGCCGTGAAATCTGTTGCTAGTGCTTCAAATGCAAGCTTTGAAAATAGCACGACCGAAAGTGCTCAAGATTCTACAGCACCACGAAAGCATATCCGGCGACAGTCTCTTAGACAACGTCAAGAGAGACAGCTTTACACTCGAAAGAAGACTTCCGGCGTGGATTCGCCCTCAACACCTCGGACCGATGATGAAGATAACGCAATGGGGAGCCTTAATGACAGTACGCAGCAATGGCTTCGTCTCTCTCGCCAACAAAATAGCGCCCCTTCCCAAACAGTGGAAGACCCCGATCATCTTCCTCCCATCGCCTCAGGATATATTACAGACCTCGACGTTATTATCTCGAGTTATGCATCATCCGATGTTGCGGCTTCTATTCGGGATGAAATAGCTTCCGCGGTGGAAAGTGCCCGACAAGCTAACGGCAGCGCTGACCCCACCGCCCAGCAAGGCTCTGGTGGCGTTCACATGGTTGGATACACGCGAGTTAGCCTACTCCGTCAATTCATTATTCTCTCCAAACGAACATGGAAAAATCTGTATCGCAACCCTATGCTTATGCTTACTCATTATGCCATTGCAATTTTGCTGGCAGTTCTCTCCGGCTACCTGTTCTATGGACTCACAGATGATATCAAAGGTTTCCAAAATCGGCTGGGGCTTTTCTTCTTCCTGCTAGCGCTCTTCGGTTTTAGTACCCTGACCAGTCTCACGGTTTTCACGTCTGAACGACTGCTTTTCATGCGAGAACGTGCCAATGGTTATTATTCTCCGATCACTTATTTCGCAGCTAAAGTCGTGTTCGACATTATTCCATTGAGGTTGATTCCGCCGATTATCATGGGAGTCATAGTTTACCCGATGGTGGGACTGATTGCTGACTGGCCGGAATTCCTCAAATTCATGCTCATCCTCGTTTTATTCAATTTGGCCGCCGCTGGTATTTGCCTATTCATCGGAATCGTATTCCGTGATGGAGGGGTGGCGAATTTGATTGGAAGTTTGGTGATGTTGTTCAGTCTCCTCTTTGCCGGGCTGCTTCTTAATCACGATGCGATTCCCAAAGCAGCTCTGTGGCTACAAACTGTAAGTGTACGCTGTAACCCGTTCGATATTCATATACTAATAGTTCAAACCAGCTGTCCATATTCCATTACGGATTCGAAGCCTTGATTGTGAATGAGGTGACATATCTCACCCTTATCGACCATAAGTATGGGCTTGATATCGAGGTTCCCGGAGCATCCATTCTTAGCGCTTTTGGCTTCGATACCCTCGCGCTTTGGCGGGACGTCACTGGGCTGGCTGTTTTTTCGGGCGTTTTTATCATACTCGCGTATGGAGCCATGCACTTCTTGCTGGTTGAGAGGAGATGATTTCTATACTCTCATGCGTGGCCTCGCACGGCGGTATAGGATTTGGCCTTTTTAAATTGCACATGCATAGAATGGGGGAGTCCCACTCGAATTACTTTTAACCCGAGGTAAGGCAGTTATTGTCTTTCTTCAACCTGGATTAATCCATCAACTTCTCAGCTGGCGTGTATCTCTTTGTTTGATATGGAGTATTGTGGGGTTTTCTCGTATTGTTTGGTCAACTCAGTGTTATTTTTATGTGTGATGTGCGAACAACATTTTAAGTATAATTTTGTTTATATGTAGATAAGATATCGTGACTCGGGCTACGGTTGAAAGATGATGAAGGCTAGCTTGTTTTAAAGTCAAGGGCCTTGATCCCCTGAAATCCTCGATCTGTTGTTTTCGCTGGCTATTAGATATGTCTTGATCATGGTCTCTTCCTTGTGTTGTGGTCTTTTCATCCTTTTTTTTTTTTTTTTTTTCTAGCACAAATGAATAGACATCTTTCTAGATAATTATATGACCCCTAGAACTGAGAAGCCAATTGACACTGGAGATGATTAGGATAAGGTCCTATTGACTTCATAGCTTTTTATTCCAATCATATAACTAATTACTTCGTATAGATCTACATCATGAAAACTTGGTCTGGATTCAAAAATCGTAAAACGTAACCCGAAAACATAAATTTCATTCCGTTTCAAACAAACACTTTATACCCTGTCCTTTCCCCTCTATATATATATATATATAATTATTATTCGTCGTGAAGCGATATAGACGACCGAGGCGATTCCCCTTGCTGCCTTTCCTCAGGGAGCTGTACACCCCGCGGTAACTTGATCCTAGTAATAGCAGCAGCGATCGCAACGTGTAACAACCCAGTCCCAATGAACGCCAGGCCGGTCCAGGCCGGTCCGATACCCAGACCCCAGTCGAACAAAAGTGCTATGAACGGCCCGCCGATAAGAGCGCCTACCATTGAAACAAGACAGACGATAGAGTACATGCGTGCCGAGTGTCGTGGTTCAACAAACGTCGATATTAGACTGAGGCTTGAGGGGAGGAAGCCGCATCCAAGGGTGTATATTATAACTCCGATTAACATTATAGACATTGTAGGGGAGACGCCGAGCGCGAAAGAGCCGATAGAAAGGATGATAATGCTTGCTTGTGAAAGGTAGAGGTCCTTGGCCTGGCTGGAGTAGTGGAGTTTTTTGGTAAGATAGTGAGATGCGAATGGAAGGAGAACAAGAAGTAGGAATATATTTCCGCCAGCGAAAACGGAGAGACTGAATGCGGCTGCGGAAATGGGTATGGAGTATCGAGTAGAGGCGTAAAGCAAGAGAATGTCGATTTGTTTGCGACCTATAACGGTGAGAAGGAATGCTGAGAGGATAAGTACGACGGCCCGGCTTTCGAAGATGAATTTAGATGACTCCCATGCGCGGTTGACGATTGTTCTTGGATAGGAAAGGTATGACGTATTATCAGGCCGCGATCCACGTTCCGTGGACGTTTCTTCGACGTTTATGGATCGCCGACGTTCTGACGGGGGAGGGCGCAATTGGATTGTTTCGGGGATAATGAAAAGGAAAGGAAACGTTATGGTATCGAGAGCAATTCCTGATAGGTATGGCAACCATGGACCTTTCAGGTTCATCAAGCCCGACGACACTGAAGGAGCAATGAGTTGCGCCACAACCACTGCCAAGGTGGTTTTGGAAAATGCATTGGTTCTAGAGCAATTGTTAGCCATCAGATACGTTTTTTAACAGAGCACGATGTCCGAGAGTTGGCATCTGTACGCACCGATTGTCAGGATCGACGACGTCAGTAATCATTGTCATGACCATGGCGTTGATAACTCCCAGTCCACCTCCGATAAAATTAAAGATCGAGCCAAACCACACCGCACGTAAAGGCAGGACTGAAGGAAATGTCAAGACGAATGCGACCCAGTAGAAGCTCAGAAGTACGCCCAGGACGCTCAGCAACAATATCAGCTTGCGGCCAAACCTAGGGTTGTCAGCTAGACGGCCATATGGAATTAAGAGTATGATGCCTTTTTTTTTTAAAAGAAAAGTCAGCGACTAATTCAAAGATCTCGACGCATCCAATGCCATTGGGACGGGGGAGTGACGGGGACCACGCACTAGGAATCGCATCGAAGCTGGACATCATGGCTTGAACAAAGGCAACCTCTCCCTGGACAGGCTTGATCTTGCATTGGTCCTCGGGAATTTCTCCTGGTCCAAATCGACCAGGTTCATGTTTGTCATAGTAGTTTCTGCAAGCGATGCTCTCAAGGATCCGTGTTTGAGGCGCTATGTTCAGATAAACGCCAAAGTCGATTACAAAAGTCGTGATTACGATGAGCAGAACAAACACCGAAGGAGTGTGTCTCCAGGTCTTCTTCACATACGTAACGGGAGGCTCGTCAGCCTTGATGCTCCTGGTTTCTTCCACATCGACAAGGAGGGGAAGGGAATCGTCCTGGTCGACGTCATGATAATTGGCGGAAGAGGCTGGCATTGTCGGTAGAGGACGATAAAATAGGTCCAATTGAAGGCAGTTATTTTCGTACAGACCGACTAACGAACTGGCTTCCCTTCTGAGGGGCAGTTCGTTGACCAGCCGATGGTTCTCGCTCCCGCGAAGCTGGAGATTGTAGAGTTAAAGAACGAACCAGGCCGACGGCTAGCCCTGTGCGTGATTATCCCCCGTCCGATGGCCGGTTTTGGGTTTAGGCACCAAGATTTAAGTAATGTTTCTCTCTACGGAGTACAGAGTACTCCGTAAAAAGCATGGCTATTATTAGCTCGCGCGTCCAGCTGCCAGAGTTTCGTCTGGCCGTGGGAGCCTCCATCGGCGTTGGCTCTTCGCTTCCGGCTCTCCCGATCCAGGATCCTTCCACCGCACGCTGTTCGCGGGAAAAGCTTAAATCCTGAACCTTCAGCTCTGCCCAAAGTTCATTCTCTAGCTACTCTGGACCCTTGTACCTCGTCAGTCACAGTCGACAAGCAGAGCCACAGATCCTTGCATTGTGGTTTGCATCAGGCCCGGCAGCCTTGTTTGGTCGTTCGTGAGCACCTATTAGGTGTTGAAAGATGAGCTCCGAGAAGTTGGCTGAAACGAAAGCCTAAATATTTGTGCGCGTCTTCGTTATTTTGTATAGCTCGCATCGAGGGTAGGGCATAGCTGATTACTTTCATCGCTAATGCTCCAACAGCCAAACGTCTCCTCGTTTTTGGCGTAGCCAATCTTCGCTGATAAGGTGGCTCACCACTCAACGAGCCAAACCACTCAACGAGCCAAATTCCTTCCAATGCTCCACGCTACGAATTTATTAATTATCTCAACAACAAATTATTATTATTAAACTAGCTATTAAATATTAAATGAGTGTGTTCTTTAAAGCATAGAAATTAGTGTGGCTATGAAAATAAACGTGTGGACGGCCTGATATTGTGGCCAGAGTGAGAGATACGGGGGGTGGATAGGAAAGATTGTAAAGGAATGTCAGCAGTAGATTTCTCAGCTAGAGAGTCTAAAGGCTTGTTAGGGAGGCTAGTAAAGCTCTTACTACTGCTTTGGGAAGATTGTATAGGCTTGCCGCGACGAGGTTCTTTTGTAGGGAGGCCCTGCCGACGGCGCTTTGAAGCCGGTGCTTGAAGCTCTGACTGCTGGTGTTTACTAGCACATTCAACAGCCTGTCTCTCCTTCTCTGCTTGTTGTAAAGCCTTTTTCTCCTCATGGGCAACATGCTGGGCCTCTTGTTGTATAGCATGTTCAAGCTTTTCAGCCTCTCGTTGCTCGCGGGCCTTCATATGGGCAGTCTCTTGTTCAATCTGTTTTTCTTCAGCCTCTCTAGCTGCCTGCTCTCTTTGGAGCTCCTGTTGAAGCTTTGCCTCTTGTGTTTGAGTGATTTTGTGAGCTTTCTCAGCCTCTATTTCATCCTGGTGTTCCCGAGCCTGCAGAACTTTTGTAGGACTCCAGAACTGGGCCTGGCTTGGATTATTGTGATCAAGTAGGCCTAGGGGCTTGCCTTGCTTGTAGTGCTGTTTCTCCATCACAATAGTCAATTTTAGAGCCTGATTTTCATGCTCTAGCAGTTCATTTTGTATTGCAAATTGCTTGCTGGCTTTGATAACCTGTCCAATACTCTGTGAATTTAAGCTGTGCTGAAGATGAATACCCTTAACCTCTTGATGAAGCTCCTGTATATTTGTAGGGATGGAAGGCTCAACTAGTGGTGCAGGGCCTTGTTGATCAGCAGTTTCAAATTGGCTTAGTTGATGCTGGGGATCCAGGGGATAAATGCCAGTCTTTGCAAAGCCAGCATGTATATTGTCACCCGTCAAAGCCTTCTTCCATGCTGCATTGAATAGTCTCCAGAAATCCCTTTTTGTCATTCGAATATAGCCCAGTCCACGGCATAGTAGGGATTCCAGCTTGCTGGAATATGCCTTGCCCAGCGGCCCAAAAACACCAACATCAAGAGGCTGCAAATGGTGGGTAGAGTGCGGTGGAAGGATCAACAGCAGGATCCTTTCGCGGTTTGCATATTCAATAAATTTCATATTTATATGGGAAGAATGCCCATCTAGTAGAAGCAGATGTCTTGCCCTACCTGCTTTTGCCTTTGTATGTGGATTAAAAACCTGTTGCAACCACTCCAGGCCATATTCATCATTGCTCCAGCTGTTTACTGAGGCTGCAAAGTAGGCATATTTGCTTCCATCAAAATCATCCAGCCATGTATCCTGAAGATCTCTGGATTCACCCTGATAAATAAGAGCTGGAGGTAATGTAATCCCATCTGCAGAGACTGAACAGAGCAGTGAGAGGAATTCCTGGCTTCCATCCTGAGTTGCAACACTTTTACCAGCTTGTAGGGCTTTAATAGAGACAAGGTGCTTTGAGGCATGACAGGAGCCTAGAAGAAATCCTTTTTCATCAAAGTTGTATGTGTTTTCTGGTGTAATATTATACTGGCTGATTTTCTCGCTCAACTAAATGCAGCAGTGCAAGCACTCAACAAGTTAGCTAAATTCAACAACTGCACTTGCAAAGAAGCAAAAAAAAGCATCAAATTACAAGGCTATAGAAGTGCTGAAAGCAGTGGTAATTATCTGCTACCTGTCTATTCTTGTCAAGCGGCTTGAGATAAACAGTCTTGATCTTGTCCTTGTGGCGCTCACGAAACTGTGTCACCCAGTTGATTCCCATGTCCTCTCCCGTCATCTCTTGCACGATATTTTGAAGGATTTGAGGTGTAGGAGCAAGGCCGCGGTTGCAGAGCTTGTTTATATACTCTAGGAGCTCATCCTCCTGTATATTGGTGAGCTTCTTCTTATGTCTGGAGGTTGCTTCATGGCAATTGACTTGTAGGCCTTGATGCTGCCAGCGCAGGGTCTCTCGGCTGAGTGAATATTTTTTCGCGGTCGCACTGTAATTTGGAGTCTCTTGCGATTCAAGATCTTCAATTGCAAGCTTAATTGCTTCGTTGTTGACCATGCTATTGCATAATGAAGTTGAGCGTTGAAGAAATTTGATGGTGCGAAAATTTGGCTCGTTGAGTGGTTTGGCTCGTTGAGTGGTGAGCCACCTTATTCAATCCTCTTTGAATTGGCTTCGACGCTGTTCAAAAGTACCTAATCAGTCATATATGGCTGGCCTTCACCTTGGCATTTCTGGCTGCTGCATTTTGTGCTACACACGAGGTCACGGTATCTAGCTTCCACAAGCGCCTGACCGAAAGAGCCGACGATGCAGAACGGAGCCCGTACTTTGCGACCATGGTCGAAGAAGCCCTGGCTGATAGTTTTTGGCGCTCAAGGCGCGGAGAGACGGGCCAATAACTAGCCTAGCCCCAATGAAAAGAGATCCAGAGAGCACAGATCTCCCCTAACTAGGCTGCAGGAGCGGGATCTCTCCAGGTAGCAGCTGATGCTTACACAGTCACACGTCCATGCATCCGGCCAAAGTATTTAGAAGCAGAATATCTGAGCCTCCATGGGTTGCTACTATTCCGTGTCTAACTTATTGGTCTACGGCGGTCATTGGGTGCTTTGTGTTTCTAATATTCTGGGATTTGGTCATACCGTCAAACATAATCGACTTAGCTCTATGTCGCATGCATATTTTCTCCATCCAATACCTGCAGCATGGTGAATTGGATCATGCCCCCCAGCCAGGCCCAAGTGAATGGATATGGACAACAACAGCCGTTGATCTGAACGGTTGGGCTGGTTGATCGTTGTGAGGATATGGAACTGACTATCTGCTTTTCCCTCGTCCTCCCCTCCATCCGTTGCAGGCCAAAGATCCAAACCCGTCCCCCAGCTCTCTATCTCCCAGCAAACATTCCCGAGCATCAGATTCCCATATGCCTTGCAGTATTCCTCCCGCACACTCGAACCTACGAAGCCGCACCCCCTTTGTACGGTCTCATTTACTTCTTTACAACATGATGATCATGAACGGATAGAGATAGACGGCTCTTAGGCCCGACGATATCGCTTGGGATCGAGGATGGCTCTGCTGCATATGGGAGCCCTCGATGCTAGCTTTGGGAGTGGTAGATGGGGTAATTTAGTTATAGGTGCAACATCTCCCTTTGTTAATATTGAGTAACTGGTCGTGTTATCGGATTAATCATGGCAAGTTTTCGTCGTCATCCAAGGGGGCTTGTCCTGGGCCAAGCAAACGGTGGTATCGCAGGACAGAAATGCAGTTCGGGGGGGGGCAGCCGAAGCATTCAGGCCACGCGCGAGTTGTTGTGCGTTGTGAGGCTGGAGCTAACTTGAGCTAACCAAAACTCTCGAACTAATCGCTTCCCACCACGACCACCACCGCTGCCATCATCGCATCACCACACCCAAAAATTACCTGTCCTTTCAACCTTGCTCTGAGAAAAAGCTGGCTCGAGCGACTCCTAGGTAAGCTGCTGCATGGGCAAGAAATCCTTCCTCTCCGTCCTCAGCCACGTTTTTCCCGACGAGCTCCGGCTGTCGCACACTTTTGCTGATTTTCCGAGTTTCTCAACCTGCAAACAGACCCGCCGCCCTATAGCTCTAGCCCGAAATCACCGACGACGTGCAACAACGCTACGTGTTGCTACAACTCGATATACTCGTTCTGTGGGATATCCTCGATTGTCTAAGGTTTGCGGGTAGCAAAGCAGATCCATATTCAAGATGTCTGGAGAAGCGTGGTTATACCTGCTTGCGGTCCTGATCAATGCCGTCAACCTCTTCCTACAGGTCTTCTTTACTATTATGTACAGTGATTTGGAATGGTATGTACGATCCTTTCAATCCTATGTTGTGGGCTAGCTCTGCTTTTCCGACAACGCCTCTGCTGTCTCCCCAACTTTGAATTTTTCACGCATGCTCTCTTCCGCACACAAGGCCGGACTGACACCTTTTCCTTCCACAGTGACTACATTAACCCCATCGATCTCTGCAACCGTCTCAACGCGTATATCGTTCCCGAGGCCGCCGTACATGCATTCTTAACGTTCCTCTTCATCATTAACGGATACTGGCTGGCCATCTTACTCAATCTTCCTCTATTGGCGTTTAATGCGAAGAAGTGCGTTTCGAACAACTCCCTTTAATCGTTGTGGTTATAGAACACCTTTGTTGCTGACCCTCTTGCGCACTCCAGAATCTTCGACAACCAGCATCTTTTGGATGCTACCGAGATCTTCCGAAAGCTCAACGTCCACAAAAAGGTAAGGACCGTCTATATCTTCATTCGTTCACTGGTCCGGGACTGACTTCCCCCTCTTCAGGAATCATTCATCAAGCTCGGTTTCCATTTAATCATGTTCTTCTTCTACCTGTACAGCATGATTGTGGCCCTCATCCGTGACGAATCGCATTGACTGCGCGAGAAAGCAAGTTATGCGATGAAACACGGTCGGCCGGTCGGATATTGAGCGTCTTTCTAATCGTCAACCAAGCATCTTTCCACCGTTCCCGCCCTATCATTGCAGGGCAATGCTTACTTTATCTTCAAGCTCGTGCAGGAGGCATGGCCCAGTTACTACCATGCCCTAAATCTGGGCACCATTCTATAACTGGAAGTCCAAGTAATATTCCTCGCGAGCATGAATGATTATCACTTAATATGTGCTATATACTCACCAGGGGTGGCCTGTTTCCTCTTTCTCAAATTTAGCGAAGCACCGGGAATGTCCATCATACGATTCTGAACAGTATATTCCTGTCACCCCCTCTTTCTCTTGCTCCACACGGACCGGAATTGTATCTACTGTAGTAGTACAGGATTTCTCATTTACTTATGCTCTGTTCGTCTATATGATATTACGCTGGGATGTGGATAATGAAAAAATGATGTTGGGAGCCTTTGATGTTCCGATAGCGACTTCGCTGGTTTTGCCCTGGCTCTTGAATAGCCGAGCATCTTTCCTCGGGAGATGATGTATATACTGTACTCATTAGCGACGAGAGATGTTCATAAAATATTTATATGGATCCGAATTTTGATGAACTTGAAATTGTTTTAGTCCGAAAGAACCATAGTAACTTATGTGGACGGAGTACAATTAAAGTGCTGGCTGACTATGCTTCCAGCTGTCTGTGTACCGCCGATCATGGCCCGGGGGGAAAGGAACTTCTTCGCTCCTCGATTCAATACGGGGTGGATTCCCGGCGGACCATTCGCGACGCCTCTGCTTGAGCAAAGCCGCGGGCCAAGGATGGCTCGTTGGCTTGACATTCGTTGTTCAGCCAGCGAAAGTGGCGCCTTCTCGTGTCCCTGTCTTCAACTGCTCGCACACACAACGAATTCATTTAAACGTCCAGCATCATCAGCCGGCGGACAGATGCTTTTAATGTCAAGGCCTTTACACCTGCAAAACCCGATGTTTAAAGGTCGATCTAGTCCACAAGGAAGATAAAGTGCAAATATATGCCGTTAACTACGGAGTACAGAGTACTTAACTATCTACAATTTCATGCCTAACGCAATGGCATCAACTACTTTTTCTCTAAAATCCAAGGAAAGTTCCGTGTCGCTAGTCTTCCGGAAATCACTCGTCAGGCATCTGACTACAGCGCTTGCATATGCAATGCCCATTTCGCGGGGAAGCTCAGTCTGCGACAGAGCAACCAAAGCGTTTCGCACGTCTTTGGGTTTGGGGAGTTTCCCGGTCCGCTGCCCCTCCTTGATGCGAGCGTCGAATAGCTGGGAGACGGTTTTCCAAAGGCCAATCTCCAGCAACACCACGCCCAGAGCATAAATATCGTGGGGTCGTGCGAATTGACGTGTTGGTGCGCCCTGTCGTTCTGGGTGCCGGTAAATATTCGGCTCAATCTCGAAATCGCTTCGCATGTCGGTAGCACCTTCGACGTGTCTTGCATAGCCCCAATCACCTAGGAAGGCAACTATTTGCGAGCGCTCGGCGCCGTTGGGAGGGACGAGAACTCGCTGTATTTCAACAGAGGCGACGCCCTCTTTGTTCTGCTGGAAAAGGAGGATTCCGCGGCTCCAGATGTTCTTGTGCAGCCACAGGGAAGCGTGAACATTGGAGAGGGTTAGGGCCAGACAGTGAGCAATGCTGAAGCGATCGGTAAGGGACGGTTTCAGGGGTCGTTTCGTTTTAACGTCGACCTTCGTGATTAGATCGTGCAACGTGCAGATCTTGACGCCCGTTTCCGTTTCACCATCGGCCTGAAGGGACGGCAGTTTATAAACAAAAGCTGTCCTCTCCTTTTCCACCTGGTCCATGAACCCAAGGCATTGGAGTGAGTAAATGGCGGGCTGCTGTGGTTCATTGGCATTTTCTCCTCCATCGTGAAAGGTGGAATTCTGCAGAAGCCACGCAAGATTTCTCACAGGCTCCTTCAGCTCAGCGATCTCCTCGGGATCCAAGTCGTCCAGCCGTAGACGACGGTCATACTCGCGGTATTCAACCAAGACTTGCAGTGACTCTCCGCTACATGTCCAGCGGGCTGGTTGAAAGCGGTTTGAAGGGCTCCCTTCCTCCGCAATATCTCCTTGGAGCTCCTGAAAGTCATCGGGTGGTTGTGAGGATATAAGTTTCTGCCTTTGGACAACCTGCTCTAGACCGGTACCTTTAAGGCTCTCGTTGTTTGCAGTCGATGCGGAATCCGCGATATTGTAAACCATTTCCTGAGAAAAATGTTGCATCACGTCCCTCAGGTTGCTCGTCCACCCCTGGTATTCCTCCATGATACCAAGTAGCTTCTTTTTATCAAAGAGGGACCAGTCGTAGCCCTTCATCTTGAGGGCTTTGGCTTGGGTCTTGGCCCGCTCCAGAAAGGACTGTTTCCATTTTTCCCGTTTGCTCACGCTGTCGCCCTCCTCGCTCACTTTTACTTTCTCGTCGAAATCATCGTATCGACCAACGAGCACTCGATACTCTGCGAGCACCCGGCTCATCTTCAGCAGCAGGTCGCAAATTGTGTCGGCTATCCATTCCGGAAGTCGCCCGGGAAGCATTAGCCCATTTTTCTCGTCTAGAAACCTCCGGCGAAAAAACTCCAACGAGGTAAGCTGGAGGTCGAGTTTAAGCTGGATGCTGGCTCGATCGTCGTCGTAATCCTTGATATCAGAGATAACCCCCTTTATAAAGATGGTCACCTTGATGACATGGTCAATCGCAGTGGCGGCGGTGCCGTAGAAGTCCATCGCTGTAGCCGTTGAGAAAGGAGGAGGAGAGCCTTGCCCCACCAACGGGCCGTCTGGAGGGGGAAGACGCTACTTAAATGTCTCCCCATTTCTTGCGTGATGGATTTATTTGCCAAGCGAGGGATGCTGCATAACTGCCTTACCAGTTTAGCCGAGAGCTATGTTTTCCCTCAGCCTCGCGAAGAACCCATGGAGGCGCGGGAGATAGCCTTACCCCTACCCTCGCCGTCACCACGTTGGGAACCCCCTTCCCCCCCCACCAAGGCAAAGGGTGGTTGAAAAGCGAGAAGCTCTTAATTAGCCACGGGTGCGCATCGGCAATCGACACAAAGACTACTTCAGAAAGCGTTTTCTACGGTAGGAGCTGTTGTTGATCTCTCTATAATTGTCCCTTTTCAGGCTTATCTGACACCTGGGAAAAACCACTAATCGCTTCACGGCAAGTGTGCTCTCCCTCCTAGCCCATACGTGAAAGCCGCCTCTGCATCCGGGAAAATGACATTTGAGGTATGGAGTCGCCCATAGATATAAAGTATATCTCGTGCTTTTAAGTAATGACTGACTTTTTAGTATGCATCTGAGGAGCTCATTGATGGCTCCAGTTTACTCAACGAAGCGAGTGAAGACCTTCTCAACGACGCATTAAACATTCTAGAAGACGATGACCCCACAGCAGATCTATTGGAGCTCGACCTTGGCGAGAGTGAAACCCCCTTGGACGACGCTTTAGAGGTTCTGAGGGATGGCAGCGCAAGTCCTCTGGATGCTGAGTGCGATACTGGCCTGGTTGACCCTCTCGAGGAGAGAGTTACCTCAATCCGGAATGGGGAGCATCAGTATATGAGTACCCTATCCCATTTCACCAGCATTCTTTCTAGGACGCGGATAAATGGACCACGGCATTTGAAACAATTCAATTTGAAAACACGGGCAGCTAAAATTGGCACCGGGGCGCAGTTCACCGTATTCCGTGAATACCATGACGACTTTGGCGGCACCGAGGGTTTGGTTGTGAAGCGTGTCAACGTACCATTGTCAAGAGAGAATGGAGTAAGTTTCGCAGCTGGAGAAGACTATCGTCTCCAGCTGCGAACATTGGAGCTCGAAGTACGTTCACTTTGCAACCCTGTCCTTCGAAACCATCGAAATATGGTGCACTTGGTTGCTTGGGGCTATGATTATCCTATGCCAGATACTCCTGTCCCAGTGTTATTCATGGAGTCCGCTCTCATTACTCTCACTGATCTTCTTAAAGCTGAGAATGAGGAGTTGATGGGTAATAATCCAACAGATATTAAACATCAGCTTTCACTGGATATTGTCGCCGGAATACAAGCGCTTCATTCCCTTAATATAATACACGGTGATATAAAACCCGATAATGTCCTCGTGTTCAAAGAGACCAAAAATGAAAAGGTTCCATTTTGCGCCAAAATTAGCGACTTTGGAGTCTGCATAGACATGGAGATTCCTGGGAGCGAATTCACGATCGATGATTACAGAGGAACACCCGGCTGGGTTGCCCCGGAAATTCAAGACCCTTCTCAATTGCCAGGTGCCGCTTTCAAACCTGAGCTTATGCCACGATTCGACTCCTATAGCCTTGGGCTTACGATCTTGTCCATATTCGTCAAACGGGGCGAGCTGGTTGATTTGGATGTGGATGACGAAAGCCGTTTTGATGTGGTCATCAGTCTCCTCAGAGAAGAGGAATCAATCCCATCAGGCCTACGAATGCAACTCAGAAGGGCTTTGAAAGGATTGTTGGCGGAAGATCCTTGGTCGCGAGTGTTACCAAACCCGGATCTTCTTAATACTGGCGCGCCCGCATATACAACTTGGTACGTTGGACATTTTGTTTCGGTCTCGAACACTTCGAACCACTTTTCTAATGTGAGCCAGGTTGTCTGTATCCCAAACAGGGCGCAGCGGAGGCCAACATGCTGGTACTGCAGGCAATATACATAACAGAGGTCCTAACTTCTGGCGCCGCCTTGATACTGCCGTCGTTACGGAGCTTGAAGAACAATACAGTACTTCTAAATCTTCGTTTGATAGTGATGTTCTTTTTGGTTTGGCGCAGAGAATTACGAGGACAAGGACATCATATATTGATCAACTACTTGAATATGTCACCGAGTCTGCCAGGGGTGGTTACTCTCCAGCAAGAGCAGTGTACGCTCAGCTGATGCATGCTCACCGCCGAACCCCGGAATTTAAAAATGAGATTTTGCACAAGTGGACATTACAGGCTGTTGCGGAGGGCTATTTGTTCGCTAAAACATCGTCAACGATAACTCAGGAGGACCTAGAGGCAGCAAAGCAGAAATTCAGGAACGCGGGTGGATACGCGACCGATCCGTTCCTAAAAAAGAAGAATATGCTTGAGGTTGCGCGAGATACCCACAAAGCGATGGCATTCGTGGCAGAAAACAAAAATGTAGTGGATAAGAAAGGCAATACGATGCTACATGTCGCTGCTGCTCTGGGTGCCCTGGATGTTCTGCAGAAACTCGTCGAAGAAGCTAAGATTCCAGTGGATATTCAAAACGATAATCTTGAGACACCGCTTTACAAGGCATTTCAAGCTGGACAGGTTCGAGTTATTGATTATCTGCTTGACAAAGGCGCAAAAGCATCGACTTTGACTAGACAGGAAAAGCTAACTACCCTACATTGGCTGTTTACTCTTCCAGAAGACAGTATTCGCAGAATTGCAACTCGATTAGTCCGTGAAGCAGGGGCTTTGATCGATGCACAAATAGTTACCGTGGCCGAGGTGAGTGGAGGAACTCCGCCCAGAATTCATATTCTTCATTTGTAAGTCATTTATCTACGACCCCTTGCGCCACCAGCGGCTGTGGCCTTGAGCGAAATTAATCCAATTAAATAGCCCATTCGAACTTCCCCTCGGCACGCCATTACACTGGGCCGCGTTTGCACGTAGCAAGCCCGCAATGGAAGCGCTTCTTGATTTGGGCGCCAATATCAATGCTACATATCATGATTCCGATGTAGGCTCGACACCTCTATTCTTAGCAGCATGGTATGGCGAGGCGGAGGTTGCAAGCTTTCTCCTTTCCAGAGGTGCTAAGGCAACTGTGAAAGACCCGAAAGGTCGAAATATACTCCATTATATGGCATATTTTGTTCCAAATTACCATGGTAGTCTGCCATATTCGTGGCACTATTGGGTCCGCCATGGGAACTGGGATGATCACATGGCACAAGCCACAAAGCTCGTCAGGCTATTGGTAGAGGCGGGAGCGGACATCAATGCGGAGTCCCAGGTGCCCCGGCAAATGACCCCGATTAGAATTGCATCAGAAGAGTGGAACGGCGGAGTAGCCTATGCATTGGCAACTGTGGGAGCGGATGCTGATGCTGGACGCAGCGGTACAGGTGGGTGCACATCCATACTTCAAAACATATATTTGCTAACGAAAAATCTTTCAGTTCATAAATGGGCCAGTATTCGGGGAGCGGAGCTCACTTATCCTGAATCTTACCTTGATATATTCCGAAGCGTCACTCAGAGATCGAAAGATATCGACGCTCGGGGTGAATTTGATGAAAACACCCCTCTTCATGACGTTGTTGCGGCGATGCACGAAGAGGATGAGGTGGAAGGCGCATGTGATATTATGTTTGCTCGCGACTCGCCACCGGATATTAATGCAGTAAATCGCAAGAAGTGGACTGCATTATATTACGCGCTATTCACAGAGCGAGACCCTGCGCGACGGGCAAGGTATTTGATTAAGAAAGGGGCTGACCTTACTATTCGTACTTATGATGGGAAGAACATTCTTTTCCCAATCACTTATAATGTTGTTTTCAGCGATCAGCAGAGTCATGACCTAATTATCGAGCTTTTGTCTCATCTTGTACAGGCTGAAGCCGGCTTGACTGACACAAGTCAGGCCTATCAGAAATACTTCCTTCCGGCCCCGGGAAATATTCTAACCTTAGCAGAAGCCGCGAGAGCGGGTCGAGTGCAAACAGTGAAACTTCTTCTAGATCTAGGGCTCGAGCGTGATATCAATAAATTCGTCGACACAGACCCGCCATTTACCGTATTGGATGAGGCTGTCTTACGAGCTTCATCAAGGAGGCAAGAGCATTTAGAGTCGCTAGCATCGTTCACTTCGGCCGCAGCCCGCCAACGAGCTCTGGCTGCTGGCATTGTGTATGGGAAAACGTCTGAGAGCCCAACTCGTGCTGAGGAGGCGTATTCAGGTTGCCCAAAAGTCCTGAGCCTCTTGCGGTCGCGCGGGGCGAAAAGGGGGAGCGAGCTTGGACCGCTGGGGAGTTCGGAGCCCCCTTCCATCACGGACATGTTCCCAAAATACTTCCTGCACCCCGATATCTGGGATGTAATGGATCTATATTGGCTTGGATTCACACCCGAGAGCCAGCCACATAGGCATGACTGGGATATTCTATATGAATTATCCCGGTATCCAGAGGATTGGCGAGATCAGGTTGTTGAGATACTACGCGAGATGTACAAGGATGCGCTATGGCGGCCAGACCTGAAGATGATGCAACGCGCGGCAAAAGCACAGCTTCAAGCAGTTGGAAAGGCAACTCAAGAGAAGCCAGCAGTCCCGGAGGTCCCAGACAGCGAATTGCTTCGGAAAATACTCAGCATGCTTGCAGTAGCGGGAAAGCCAGATTCCAGCACAACCACCCCGAACGAGAAGGACCAAAAGGCAGTATGGGTGAATGCCAGAGAAACAACAAAGTCTGGTCCTAATGGTCTCCATCCCACTATTCCAGGACATATTTTCCAAGTGGAACTTCTGGGGAACAGATCACTGGGGGATACAAGAAGGGTTAAAGAATGAGAAAAAAAATTGATATAAACGATGGGTCAACTCTTGAAAGGGAAATGGACGCATTGTCATGTTAAAGCCACTTCAAGATGGTTGAATCTCACGACACCTTATGGTCCCGTGTCAAGTTTATGATCCCTCTCAACACATCACAAATCCATTGTTGCCTTTATGTCTCAGTACGAAGTGGTTTGGTGTACCCTGTATTCTTGTTCATAACAGCAAGCCTGATTTGCTTGTTTTTCTCCTCCAACTACTGTAGGCAAAACCCAATCGAAATACACTACTGTGATGGAGGAAATCTCTTCAGTGACTAACTAACTACATCTTTGCTATCAGCTAAGATTAGTCTGGGTCGGTAATGTTTCCAATCTCTACTGAAAAGTTGTTGACATCCCCTTGGAATATCCCTATCAGCGCCTCACAGTTGGGGCAAGGTGGCTTGAAAGCGAGCGGAAGATTGTTTTCACCTCTCACAAACACCTTTTGTTCACGGTACATTTGGTATTCTGTGAGCGTTTCATCATACGCTATTTTGCTTTCGAGTGCAATCCCATGGCATTGTTTTGCCCTTGCGGCATCACTTGCAGTCTCTCCTCAGTTGACAATGGCCAATCATCGCAAAGGCAAGAAGAAAACATACCTAAACAGTTCCAAGAAAGGATACGTCTCGGCACAGTTCCCAAATCTTGTGCCCGCTAGATACGTCGGGGTACGTAAAACCGAGACATCGAAACTGTAAGGCGCTGGGATCACACCCCCGATGCGTTCATATCTCGCCAGCCTCAACCTATCTGGCCATTTCTTGCCCACGGGCGAACCCGAGGTAACCTTGGTGGCCCATCCAGCTAGTGAGCCCCCCAGAAAGAATTCACTGGCGCCCCCGTCCCGTGTACGCCAGGTGCACTGGAGGGCAGCGGGGAAGCTAATATCAGATCCCGCAAATGGCGAAAGGACCCGACACCATCGGCCGTAGACCGCTGTCATGGGAATGTAGAAGCGTCTTGCGTTCGCGGGAGCGGGAGCAAACCCAATGACCCATAGAAACAGCCCTAGGAGATCATGCGGGTTCCAGTAAGAGGTATCAGCATGCTGGTGGTATTCCACAAGGAATTTGCTATTCTTTTTGTCTGCTTTATCGGTGTTGAGAGAGCGATAGGTGTTTTGGTCCGGGTTCATATTTTCCCCTCGTCCCTTGAAGTCGGCTCCCTCAGGTGCACTATAGATTTGGAAAGACTCAACATAGTCAGACGCTCTCCCTAAGCGCTCGGCGGGAGTGGTACGGGCTTTCCCTTGATCCTTACCAAAGATCAAAAATATTGGCCCTAAGGGCTTTTAGAGGCACACTAAGTTCGCCCAACCTTGTGCTTCGGTCTTGAAAGTCCGCTTCAGATTCAAAATACGCCTTGGGATCGTTGCCGACGCCATCAAGAAACTTGAATATCTAAGTCCAGCTGGTTAGAGGCGCGTTTGGGGCCAGGAGGCAGAAGGAAGAGGAAGAAACTGAAGTACATCATTCTTATCGAATTTCCAGGCGTTCAGCAGGTTCAGGTTGCCATTGAAGGCCAGGTCAACATTCTCCGGCCTTGCCATGCCTAGCGGAATGAAACACAGGTGAATATGTTCAACAAAAACTGCAAGCGGATCTCACTGCCTTCTATGACGCCCGAGTCCGATAACATTGGATCTAAAATGCTAATCCTACGAAGAGAAATGGAAACATTCTACATATGTATGAAGCCTTTAGTGACCTCGTCGCTGGTGCCCAATACATGGAAAGCTGGATGACAGATCGGTGGCGCTGCGCTGGTCTTTGGCTCTGCAAGGTGAAGATCAAAAACAAGATATCTATCCATGCACATGATGTAACCCCGCGACGTAGCGTAACTATATACGGAGTACATACTGCCCTCGTATCTGGAGGAGCAGGAAAAGACTTGATATGCCATGCAGCCACCGTCAACCCACATACTTATCCAGCCGTCAGACACCCCCTCAACTCTACGCTCGCCCGAAGAGATAATCTCGTCCTCTCCGCCGGAAGACGCTCTACTCTTTCTGCCTTGAGTGTTATTTTTGAACCAAAAGTTTTTTGAGCCTACAATAACTACGCTAACGCCCTGCCGGCCGCCGCTCCAATGGAGAGTTCATCTCGGCTTCTCAAGGTATGTTTTGCCCAGTGGAATTGCACAATCATTCCTGGCTGACCGTGTACTCCGCGGTGAAAGACGCAGATTCCGCCAGACTGGACAGATAACCCAGTGAATATGGACAACGATCGCTACTGGAAGCAGCCATCCGGTGAAGGCCTGCCAATGGCTAAAGAATACGGGCTGAACGTGTCCAAGATCAAGGGAATCATATGCAGCTCCCAAATTTCCGGCGAGTCCATGTACATGTTCGAGTATGAGGGAAAATACTACCTCTGGAACCAGATTGAGCAGTCAGTCTGGCAGATCGTCAGCCCGACGAATCTGCAGGATATTTTGGTGGAGATGGCCAAGGAATCGGGCAGCACCATGAAGATGAAGGAGTTGGACCCGGCTGGAAGCTAAAGTGTTTGGGAGAGTCCGTTGCCTGCATAACTAGTTCGCTATGGATATATTGTGCAGATACGTAACAAACCCATGAGTTTCCAAGCGCCTATCGGACAGACGCTTTCCGCTCTAATCCAGGGTTTACTCTCTGCGTCGCATGCTGCAATCCATAAGCTTGTAAGCACCGTGTTTGCTTTTCTCGTCCCTTGACATGGACGGACATCCGGCCGCCAATTGCAACCCGTCAAGGGATTGTGTAGCCATCATCGCTGAAGAATTTTCCCCGGAAGGCGGGTATTTTGAGCTGAACTATATCCCACTGCACAGCACTGCAACGTCAGACATACTTCGTTGTCAAATCGTCGGACTCAATGTGGAGTCCCCGATGACGACTACACGGGTGGTTTGTCGACATTCTTGAGATGATCCTTCAGGTAGCCATGTCACCAGCTTGAGTGCAAACAAAAAGCAGCCCGCGTACCCAGGCCATCATCGCGAGTATATACTTGACTCATTTTCAGGGTTGACTTTGCATATTGTGCAGGATTTGTTGGGCTCTCCTGTGATTAAATTGACTGTTACTCAATTACAGTACGCTAGCCTGCCAGGAGCATGCTTCCATCCAGTGTGGGATCTGGCTATCCTGATACTGGAATCTTTCTTAGGCCCTAGATTTTCTTTTTCTCCACGGAGTAAGAACACATGTGCAAAGAGCCCCATGAAGTGATTATGGAGGGGAAGAGGCGCGGGGGGAAAGCTTTTGATTCCAACCAGCTAACCCCTTGACCATAATATAGGAGGCAAGAGTTGGCGAGACGGGATAGACAGTCAAATTCGAAACTCCGTTGGGCGAACAGATGGATGCTTGACCGAAAGCTGACCCATGACAATGCACCGCACGGACACGAAAATATGTCAAAGCTCACACCAGCTGTATTGCAAACAATGGCTGTGCATTAAAAAAAACTTTTCAAGGTAAAGAGATTGTAAATATATATTGGCAATCAAGTGGCTGTCATGGCCCGGACGCTTTGATCATTGCCATTGTCGCCAACCAACACCCGCATTCAGTAGAGATGCCTGAAGGCTGGATTGCTATAGTGTTTAAAGGTTGTCTGCCTAGCCTCATATGGCTCGCAAGTTGAGGGGTTGGAGAGCAAGACCAGCGAGATTCTTAACTCAAAAAGGTTATGGGGTGTGGACCATCATGGGTTGCAGATTCACATACTCCGTACTCCGTACTCCATACGGAGTACATACGTACATACTTTGTAGAGATGCATATCATCGGCTGGCTAGTTATGTAGTTGTAATGCTGCACCGGAGCCTCCTCGTCTGCTTGGCGAAAGGATACTGCTCAGCACCACCAAATGTTGCACGGCATTGCCGATCGTGCCAACCCTCCCCCGCAGCTACGGAGTCGATGCTGCAGAAACACTCAACCGAGCGAAGTGCAGAGTTAAACGCCACCCGTCGAAGTAAATTGCAAGTATTCATCCGCATCAACCCAATCGGGCCTCAAAGATCAGTAGGGAGTACTTGTATCATGGCAGACGCTTCTTTTTTGCCCCTCATAACAAAATAAATGGGGATACATCGGATCCAGACGTCCACAGGTGTTCTACATCCACAGAGTTTACTGGAAACTGCTTCTCGAGGTTCAGGCTGCCCTTGGTGGAAGGTTGGCGCAGCATTTTTGACGATTTCGCTGGAAACGGATCTATGGTGCAAGGAGCAAATATGAGTCAAACCGCAAAATATTACATCTATTCCAGCAAGGCGCCTAGCCACCCCGGGCCAGGTATTCAAATTGATCGAGCAACAAGCGCAAACACAGACAATTTCGTGTCTCTCCTGAAAGCTAAACTCATCATTTTGAATGCTAAGCCCAATGCCGAACACATTGGGTATTTTGACCAGTCCGACGAGTGGTGGAAATGGCTCAAAAAGCTAGACCCGAACGGGTCCTGCCAATTTTCCCTAATGCTGGACGCGACTGAAAAGGAAGTGCAAAGTTTCGAGTTTCAGCTTACAAGTCCCGCGAAGATGACGTTCAGCTCATCGGCAGGGGCTCTTAAATTTGCTTTCGGCGCTGATTCAAGTGGCAAGCAAGCGAAAATACCGGTTCCCGGCCTGTTCCCCGAAGGAACGATGCTCTATTGTGGACTTGACCCTTCAAAGTCGGATGTGAGCTTTACAGTGGGGGAGGCTTTGAAGTATACTGGTCGAACCGGACTGATTCCTTTCCTTCCGCAAGAAATGACAAGCTGGACGCTTCTTTGGGATAAAAATAAAGCCAGTGAGAAGCGCAACGCCCTGTGGTTCAATCCATGCTTCGCTTCACAAACGACGATTCGGATGCAGCTTCAATTAGAAGAAGCAGGAAGGAAATCCCTTGAGGAATGGTGGAGTGTCGTCCTAAAAGATATCCAGGTCAAAAATGCAGAAGTCGTCTGCAAGAAAACGCTAACAGAAGGGAAAACAGCGGCCGGCACTGTTGGTGTACATCAAGGCCAGATTACATTCAAATTCGAATGTTCAGTGGAAGCAAAACCAAAACCGGTGGATATAGTTGCTGCTATTGCATTCCAGGAAGCGGCTGTTCAACTGACCTTCCAGCCGAAGACGTCTGTCACTTTGGGAGACATCCTGGAAGGCCTTGCGAAGCTGTTATCACAAGATCTGGGGTCGATGATGTCCATCCTCACAAAGGAGGATATTTTTCAGTCTATGCATTTCCGGCGGCTGACGGTTACCCTTGATACACTCGACGGCGTAAAGAAACCAAAACTCTCACGATTTGAGATTGACATTGAGGTTTCCGCCAAATTCGGGAAGAAAACCGCCGAACAGAACGTGGTCTTCCTCCTCACATACATCTGGACAAAACGAAGGGGAAGCTCTATATCGGGCCAGTTCTGGAACGGTAAGTTCATACTTCAACAGCCCCAACTCAGTCAACATGCCAGAAAGCTAACATGAGATTAGGGCTCGCTTCGTCCAAACATCTTGACGTCAGCCCTTATTATGAAGAGTGGATTGATATGAAGCCTCTTGCCCCAAACCCGGCGCCGTACATCGACCTGACCTCGATCGTCCCTGGGGAAGAAATCAAGGATATTCCCGACAACATCCCCACAGAGATCGAAAGCGCAAGTATCATGCTATCGGGCTCTGACTTCGCCATGGGCGGTGTCATTAAAGCGAAACCAGTAACCCCAGGCTCCATTCCGCAGCCATATCTAGGTAGAATTAGGCTGTTTGTCTCGTATGCCTGGGGTAAGAAGAAGGACTTCAAATTAAGCTTCGGGTTCGAAGCGGGATTGGAACCAAGCAAAGAGTCGAAACACCAGCAGCCCGCTATTCTCACTGGGGACCTAGAATACAATTCCAAGAGCTAATGAATACAGTAGTTCGCTTCCCGTATCAAACCCTATCATGGTTAGCTGCGAACTTGTGCTCCGTAGTGAATTTAGATTCTGGTGATTTTGAAAAGGGGGGAAAGTTTGGAAGGATTTTCTATGATGATCAGTACCTAACTTAGGTGTCATATTCATTGAGCGAGCCATCGCCATGCGTTGTGACATTGAAGCGGGATTAAAGAAGTACTAAAGAGATAATTGACACATCACCAGACGCCCGCATCGTTATTTGTTTTATTAGTTATTGCACACAGATAACTGATGGAACAGAGTATAATGCGGGCGATGAAATCCTCTCGCGTTCTTAGCACTTCGACAAGCCCCTAGTAGCCAGGGTCACAAATAATATTCTGTAGTGTCATGAGCTAGTGCACGAATTGCTGGCTGCCCTACGGAGTACTGAGTACTCCATGCTCCGTACTTCATTTAAGAGCCGGATGGTCCCAAGGAGGACTCTTGATTTCTCCTGGCCCCGCCTGGATAAAGGCAGCAAGGGATTGGGGCCGGCTTGTGTGCAACACGTTAAATACATCTGATCATATGTTGGCGCTCACCTTTTTTTGTTTTTTTCGTCCTGATGAGGTAAGGCGCTCTGGCCGCTTTTGCCTAGGGTTAACGAACTCCATGTGCAAACAGAGCAAACATATTCGAAAATCTGTGGCGCAGGACCAGAGTCCCGTGACAGTGTGTGGCTGGAGCTCCCATCGATCGCCATCTCAGCGGGAAGCCAGCCGACCAGGAAGCACAACGGCGAACAGGCGTGAACATGGCGTCGCTTCTAGATGCGAATTACGACTCGAGTGACGATGATGTTAAGGGCGTAGCGTCAAGGTCAGCTCATACGCATGTTACGGCTGCCCCCGATGTGCCAATAGAGGTTCGTGCCCATGGCCCACGAGTCAAGCCTTCGTTTACGTGCTAACTTTGCATTATAGAATGCTGTTGATTTACAGCTTGCACTCGCGAAGCCCACGGAGAATGCTCTTACATATAACGCGACCTTCGACCAGCTAACACGGCCAGCGGCTGGCCCTGCAAATCCTTTTCGTTCCGCGCACGGGATAAAGAGGAAGAACGTCTTGACCGGGAACGCGGAGGAAGTAATGATCAGCGACGCGACTTTTACAACGCAACATCGCACGTTTCAGAGCCTCGGATATACCAAGGACCCGAGTGTTGCTGGTGCATATGTCGGGAACATGGAGAACGTGGCATTATTCGGGGGAAGGGATGCGGTGCAGATGCGGCCCTCGAAGGAAGCGAGCGCCGCACTGAGGAGAAAGAGGCAGAAGAAAGGCGATTCGAGTATTGTGGAGGGAGAGGGTGCATATTTAGGCCCCTGGGCGAAGTATCAGAACGAGGAACAGGTCTACGAGGAAGATTTGGCGGTGGCTGGGGAGGAGCTCGCGAGTGACGAGGAATACGTTGAAGAGGAGATTGTGCCTTCGAACATGCCAGCCATGGACAAGCGGGCTACCGAATACCAGGAAGATATGTCGCAATCAGAGACGACAGAATTCCATGGTGCGGAACAATTCGACTACCAAGGACGAACGTATATGCATGTTCCTCAAGATCTGGATGTCGATCTCAAGAAGGAAGTGGGAAGCATCAAGAATTATATACCAAAGAAGTTGATCCATACGTGGAAATCACATACGAAGCCGATTACGTCCATACGTTTCTTCCCATCTTCCGGGCACTTGTTGCTCTCGTCCTCCGCTGATTCGAAAATTAAAATCTGGGATGTCTACCATTCACGAGAGCTGTTGCGGACTTATTCAGGCCATTCTAGTTCCGTCTCTGATACCACCTTCCACCCCTCCGGAACCACTTTCCTTTCAGCGTCATATGATCGACAAATTAAACTCTGGGATACAGAGTACGGAAAATGCGTCGGGCGATTCTCGACTGGAAAGACGCCTCATGTCGTTCGATTCAATCCGGATCCTAACCACTGGCATGAATTTCTTGCCGGAATGTCAGACAAGAAGATCGTGCAGTTCGACACACGATCAGGAGAAATCACTCAAGAATATGACCACCATCTCGCTGCCATAAATACCCTTACTTTTGTCGATAATAACCGCAGGTTTATTTCTACTTCCGACGATAAATCCCTCCGCGCATGGGAGTACAACATCCCTGTTCCCATCAAATTCATTGCCGAGCCCTACCTATACGCCCTTGTCCGTGCTGCTCCTCATCCTAATGGGAAATATGTCGCTTTCCAATCTGGAGATAACCAGATTGTTGTCTACGCATCAACAGATAAGTTTCGACAAAACCGGAAAAAGAATTTCCGCGGTCATAATAATGCAGGATACGCAATTGACGTCGCAATTAGTCCTGACGGCCAATTTGTTACTTCTGGAGACAGCGGAGGCTATGTTTGCTTCTGGGATTGGAAGACGGGCAAAATGTGGCATAAAATCCAAGCTGGTGGGAAAGAAGGCTCTGCGGTTACATGCGTGGACTGGCATCCCCAGGAAACCAGCAAGGTTGCCACGGCGGGATTGGAGGGAGTTATCAAGTACTGGGATTAGAGATCTTCGATAATTGCATACATATATCGAGATGTTTTCAAGTTGTCCCTGGGCTTTTTTGATGGTCTTTGGCTGGCAAATCATTGTTTTGGAGTGTGAATCTATGGCAATTCCCATACGGAGTATGGAGCGTACATGGCAGAATAGTGGAGCGAACCACCTGTCCTACTTTTACAATTATATATCCCGAGGAAAAGGTATTTGAAGTGTGTTGCGCTCTTCCGTTTCTTATCACTAAGAATTAAATTTTCTGCATTTAGGGCGAGGTCTTGTTCCGCCTAAACCTGGCATTTACTTGGAGACAAGCTGTGAGCTATGATGTAATTTTAGGCTCAGCAACCTTGCACAGAGTCAATAAATGGAATACAGTCTCAACAGCGCAGCTCACATTTTGCTGACCAGGCACTCCTCGATGATGCATCACACAGTACCTTGCTGGGTAGAGAATATCTACGTGCAACTTCGCATTTTGGATGGCTTTGGCAAGGGCAAAATCGGTAACAATCCAACCTATACAAAGTTGACTTTCACTTGTACCTCTTAAAAATGAATGAGATCGACAGAACCCATCGGACTCTTCCTATTTATCATCTTGGTTCCTCAAAAGAGGACATAGAGAGCGAGCCGAATTGGCAGGAGGTCCCTCACCACCGTGTCGGGTATCGAGACCAGCACGGTCGAATTGCGGGCATCTCACACCTCGAAAATGATCTGGATAAAGATAAGGAATTCCTCGAGCATGCGAGACAGTTAGCGGATGAACTACGCCGGAGGAAGGAGAGAGGGGATCTGCTGACTGTGGTAGACTTCATGAGAGACCAAGAAGTATGACACCCATTGGTTCAGAGCTTGATTCTTTGCTCTTACACTTTTCTGAATTTTAGTAGTAACGGATGGCAGGATTATCACTTGAGGATGCCCGCAAAGCACCCTTCTGGTTGGCGCTATGTGCTTCACACCACGGAGAACTTCATCAAAAACGAGGAAGAATGGCCGGTTAATATCCAGAAACGGGAGAAGGAGAGACAACAAGAAAAACGCAATGAAGAGGAGAGGCCCAAACAGGAGCATGAATGGAGAAGGGAACGTGGTCAAATAACAACACATCACGAGGCCTACAGCACAACAGGTTTACCACAAGAAAAGGAGCAAGAAAAGGGCCGCCTGGATAAACAAGAGCTCGAAGAGGAGAGGAAACCTAAATGGAAGAGGCTACAGCAGAAGTACTCGCCTCAGGAACTCGCTTTTCTTCACTCTTTGAAGGTTGAAAATGATTATATGCATGGTCTCGAAGTTGATTCGGGAACCCGTGTTTCTCCAAAGGCTGACGAGCCCTTGATAACGACGATCGACGAAGCTGACCAATATACTCCTGATAATTGGATCCCACGGGATCAGGCTCTTGTTCGTCTGACTGGTAAACACCCATTAAACGCCGAACCGGACCTGACAACCCTGTTTGACGCTGGTCTAATCACCCCAAGCAGCTTACACTACGTTCGAAATCATGCTGCTGTACCTCATATTTTATGGGAGACTCATACGGTAGATATAAACAATGGGAAGAAAATCCTTACGATGGATGAGCTCGCCGAATTTAACGCTATCAACATCCCTATCGCAATGGCCTGTGACGGCAATAGGAGGAAAGAACTTAATATGATCCGACGCTCAAAAGGTTTCGATTGGGGTGCTGGAGGTGTTAGCTGTGCTTTTTGGAAAGGCGCCCTCTTAAGGGATGTCTTGGTGTCGGCGGGTGTCAGGCTGATGCCCTCGGCACACTCCCATGCTCGTCTATGGGTAAACTTTGAAGGAGCTGACAATCCCAGCGAAGGCAAATACTCCACATGCATTCCATTGGAATATGCGATGGATCCCACGAACGACGTCATTCTTGCATATGAAATGAATAACAGACCTTTGCCCCCTGATCATGGATATCCGGTTCGAATTATGATTCCAGGGTACGTCGGTGGTAGATGTGTTAAATGGCTCTCGAGAATCTGGATATCGGACAAAGAGAATACGAGCTACTACCACACCTATGACAATAGGGTGCTTCCAAGCTTCGTGATCGAGAAGGATTCCGAATTTGCAAGGACCATGTTCCACCATCCAAGCACCGCTTGCAATGAGCAAAATCTGAACTCTGTGATTGTCAGACCAGCTCAGAACGAGAAGATCGAGCTGCAAAACGCGAAGTTTGGCCAGACATATAGGATCCAAGGGTATGCTTATGATGGCGGAGGGTGTGAAGTTCAGAGAGTTGAAGTTAGTTTAGATGATGGAAAAACTTGGCTATATTGCACTCGAAAGGTACGGATTCTAGGCGCCCCCTATTCTTTTTCTCCAAGGGCTCATGTGCATGACATATTCGATATTCCGCGCCATTAACCAAAAAGCAGTTTCCTGAAGCACCCGTTCGACACGGGAAGAAATTTTGGACGTGGTTGTTCTGGCATGTTGATGTTGAAATTGCCCATCTCATCAGCGCGAAGAGTATTGCGGTCCGATGCTTCAACGTCTTCAAGAATACCCAGCCAGAAAAGCCAGTTTGGAATCTTATGGGGTATGTCTCTACAGGAATCGCTTCCTTAGGCATAAGCTAATTGAAAAGGATGATGAACAATTGCTGGTATGTTGTTCGGACAGAAACCATAAACGACGAAAATTCCGGTGCTCTTTGCTTGAATTTCCAACATCCAGTTGAGCCAGGGATCAGTAAAGGTGGGTGGCTAAAGCCGTCCGCTGAGGTACAAATGGAAAGCATCAAACATGAGGTATCCGCACCACAAAAACAATTTACTCGTGAGGAAATAGAAAAGCACAACAAAGAAGGGGTTTGCTGGATTGTGATCAACGGAAAAGTTTACGACGCTACCAGCGTCCTTAGCTGGCATCCTGGCGGAAAGGCTGCGATTATGGCACACGCCGGAAAGGTCCACGCAGATACGACTGAGGAATTTGAGAGTATTCATGACGATTACGCCGAGCAGAAACTCAGTGGTATGTTTCGTTCCGAGGTGTTTGAGGTTCGTTGCTAACTTCGTCGTAGAATGCGTCATAGGCGTGGTCACAGACAAGGCCAAGGCTTTCATCAAGAGGCAAAAGGAGCAGGCCGCTAAAGATGCTGCTGCTGTCTCCGAAAAAGCTGGGGATATTGCATTGAATCGAAGAAGGTATATCGCTATCTACCTTTCTCCCAAAGCTGGACTGAAAGCTGATTCGCATCAACTAGATGGGTCCCCGTCAAGCTCATCAAAACCACGCATATATCAGAAGACACCCAGAGCTACAAATTCGCCTTACCCGAGGGGGCGAAAAGCTTAGGTCTCCACACAGGTGAACACATTCAAATTGGATTCCATTTCCTAGACCGAATGGTCACCCGTTCATACACACCGGTTCGACCAATCCTCGAGGAAGAAAAGGACGGCACATTCGATCTAGTCGTAAAATCCTATTTTCCCAGTAAAGACATGCCGGGAGGAACAATAAGCAATATTCTTCACGAACTTCGTCCTGGCGAAGAAATCGAAATCAAAGGTCCCATGGGAGAGATCCACTATCTCGGCCACGGTAAATTGAGAGTTGATGGCAAGACCCTCCAATTTCAAAATATATCCCTGGTCTTGGGTGGTTCTGCCATAACACCCGGCTGGCAATTGATCAAGGATATTCTCAAGTCTGAAAACCCGCATGACAATACTAAGATTGTGCTTGTCGACGCGAATAAGACGGAAGGTGATATCTTATTGAGAGACGAGATGGAGAAACTCATGAAAGAACATCCCGACCAATTTAAAATCAATCATATCCTGTCTGATCCCGGGAAGATTTGGAAAGGTGATACCGGGTTTGTGACTGAAGACTATCTGAAAACGCACTGCTATCCGCCTGCGGATGGAAACGTTGCTCTAATATGTGGTCCGCCAGCGATGATTGCAAAGGCTGTGTTGCCAGCCCTCAAGAATTGGGGATATAGAGAGGAAGAGAATCTTTTCGGTTTTTAAGGACCTAATAATGACTAAGTCAATCATTTTGAAATTCGAGTTATTTTTTCCATTATTTACGTAGTTTTCGGGATCGCGTTGTTACGGTTGTAATGCAATCTAATGATACACGTTGTCGTCGTTGAAAACATCAGGCTAAGTCATAACATGCTTGCCAGGATTAATACCACCCTAATTACCTTTTCTTAATGGAGCGCAATCTCTCCAAAGCCCGTAAGAAAAGAAGACCAAAATCGGACCAACCCGCCATACTGTTCAAAAAAAAAGGCCTGGTCCGTCTAAAAGCTGATCATATCAAGCCAACTAGTTAAGAATAACAAACTTTTACCCCTTTCACCTTGCATCTGCTGTGCAAACTCCTCAAAATTTAGCTTTGCACCCGTTCCGCCTCGCTCTTTTGCTTCCTTCTCTACCTGGCTCAACCGGTACCAGCGTGCCAGAGTTTTCGGAGACGGAGGTATTGGTGGAGAAGGTGGAGGGATGTGATGCTTTGCGGGATCTGAGGAAATAGTAGAGGAGCATGATGGATTGGCTATTTGACTGGTGTGGGATGATCGTCTGCGGTGGCGAGGTTGTTGGAAGCGGAGGCGGAGCGGGAGAGAAGCGTTGGAGTGGTGTAAGGCCTGGTTGGATTGGCTAGAGCTTGAAGCGGACGCAGCGGTGGACGTTGGCGCAGATTCATAAACAGGAGAGTCGGCATGGGCAATAGAGCGGTTAGCGAGGGTGTTGAAGTTTGTGGCTTCGCTGATTTGCAAAGCTTCATCTAAAGCAGGCGTATCTTCAGAATCTTGTAGGAATGCATGGCCGACGTGACTTTCGTCATCCTCTTCCTCGACTTCGAACGCCATATTTTCAGAGGCCGATGGAACATGGTCGTTCTCGGGAAGATCTGAGACCACCTGCTCGTTATCCCTATCGGGCACAGGTGAATGACTTGAAGTCTCTGCAATCTCAAGAGGATCTGATGTCTCCTGATCATTGTCCGGCTCGGAAACAAGGGAATAGCCCGCCTCGTTTAGCAGCTGTTGAAGGGGCTTGTCCGCAGGAGGAATGTCATCCGTTTCCGGTCCGATGTCTTCTACACTAAGTCCTAAGTCCCGCTCTTTACCGTCTGCTCGTGGAGGCCTATAATGTGCGTCTGCAAAGTCTTCGATTTCTTTAGCCCACCGCTTTCTCTCTGCTCGGGTGCGATAAGCTTCCATGATCAGATCTTCTTTGGTCTTGAAAAGTATATCCAATATCTCATTCAGACCTTGCTGTGTGACTTGAAACAGGACTTCCTTTCCAACGTCTCGTTCGACTTCTGGTATCTCAATACCGCCCCATCTTTCACCCATGGGAATACTGCGCGAGGATGTCGAGGGGTTAGATCGCGTTTCGTATTCATTATCCGTAATGTCATCTTGGAAGCGAACTTTTGATGATGACCTTGACCTGGGTGATGGAATATGAGATTCCGTCTCGTCTGCATCCTCAACAGCATCTTCATTTTCATCGTGAAACCCTGGAGGAGCCGTAACGCCATTCTCCTCGTCAATATAAAAGTGTCTACGCCTCCACCTTTCTTCAATGCCTGTGCGCCTCACATGTTCAATATGCTCTCGGTCTTCGCGATTGAAACGCTCGGCAACACATGATGCTATCCGGGCTCTATCAACACGATCCATGACCTCTTCATATGGAACATAGGCACCCAAGGCCTGGACTATATCCTCGGCCTGAACATCTTCAGGTGGTGGCCACTCCTCGAAATCTATGGAGAAGTCTGAGGATTCATCGTTGTTTCTATCACCACCTTCATCACGACCATCACTTCCAAACAAGTCTCGCTGTTGAATCTGGGGAGTGAGACGTAGCCATGTAGGCCGTGACCTGCCAAACGTGTTCCTCGCAGCAGCATCCCCAATTACAACATGTCTGTCAAGCTCCTCTTCTACCTCCTCTTGGAGAATCCCTTGGTTATCGACAATCTCCATATCGCCGTGCAAATTTGGTCGTTTGCCTTCACCAGTTCTTGATGGGTCACCAACAGGTGGAAGCCCGGAAAATGCAGAACTGATGGGTTGACTACCAAGGATGATATCTCGGTTACCGGTGTCGACGTACTCCTCTTCGATGCTTGTAAGCAAATCTCGAGTTGTCTCTCTGGTAAGAATATAATGAGCTCTAAATATCCTTAAAAAGTCCTTCCTTTCCACATAACCATCCCCATCGATGTCATATCCGTTGAATGCCCGTTTTAAACGTTCATGAGTACTCTTATTGCCAAAACTAGCCAATCCTTTTACGAATTCTTCGAATCCTATCAAGTTATCGCCGTTGGTATCGTAGAAGGAGAAAATTCGATCGTAAATGAGGTTAGGGCCCGGAGGGCGGCTGGCCACATTTGGCAGAAAACACCTATCAAATGTATTGCGATCAATGGCCAGACAGAATTTGTTTGGATCACTCTGCCATTCTGCACTGGCCAAGCATCGAAACTGCTCCCAAAGTGCATCTAACTCGGTATTTTCAAACTTCGTTTCTCTCGAGAGCCGCTTCGCAATGACCCGGGGTAGACTACGAGAAAGCCTCATTGGTCTTCCTGGGTAAAGCACCGGCTGAGAGTGCCGAGGACTGCCTAGGAATGGCGCTGGAATCCTCACTTTGTAAAACACGTGAGTCTTAACATGGCCCTGCATTGCCTCACAAGCTTCGCAAAGGTCAAAGTCGACGCAATTAACACAGCGATATCGTATCCCTTGTATCGGAACAACTCCACAATGATTGCAGGTAATGCCACGGTGAATATATCCATCTCGCCTGGCTTGGTCTTCCGCAATATGATACAACAGATTCAACAAATTCTGTCCTTCCCTAGAAGGGGGCGTGTCATCGCTACCATCCCGCCACGAAAACAAACTTTGAGTATCGGCAGAAGGCTCTGGCATTTGGTGATAAGCGTCGATCACAGTATTTCCAGTTATTTCCAGGCTCGTAGCTTCACCATTACTCCTCCTGCGGCGTAGAACTTCACCAAAATTGGGATCGTTATTGAACATGTTGATTGCCCGCAAAATGCATGGTTCGGTAAAGCCCCAGTCCAACAGATGGTGCTGTAAATACTGGTATTCGCCTGTGGACCGCGAAATAACGTGGGAAGGAGGGTATTCGAAGGCAAAGAAGTTCTCCAGAAACGAATCCTCCATCATCCTACGTATCAAGGTGGCCTGGTTTTGGCCAACGTCGAGGATCGCCTGTAATTCCTCCCTTGACGGAAACTCGGACGGTGTAAGGAGACATTGGTATGAACGACCGGTGTCCACTTCGACTCTGAACGTTCCGTACGATTCGTCGGCGGATATTAACTGTTGCAGCCTTCGTATAGCCTCGATGGAGGTCGAAATATCGACACTGTCGCCGGCTTCCGACGGCACGCCTCTTCTTCTGGAAGGGCGTCGTATGGCATTTCGACGTCGAAGGTCAGTATGGTAGGGAGGATAGAAATGCCGGTGGATAAGGAGGACGGCATACGCCGCAGCAAGGCCTGTAGCAATGTATAGGACGGGGCGATAGCGACCGGGAGATGCGCGCGTCGACGAGCTGCTCAACGACATGGTTTCCACGACGGGTGTCAAGCGGGACTCTCACGGTTGCGGCAAGGCTTCATGGCGTCGGGTGGATGAGGCGACCTAACTACCTACCTCAGTCGATCAGCAATCGGTGAAAGGATGGTTACCCAACCCGCCTAACTCCTTCCAACAGATATGAGAACCGCACAAGGGTGATGCCTTGGATGGCTGAAGATAATGACCAGCTCAAAAGGAACTGATACGTGATACTCTGCATTCGGGTTCTTGAACGTGTGTTCCTGGTTGAACTACGAGTATATATAAACCAGAGAGAACCACCAAACAATCGTATGGCCCAAATAGAGTTTCTGGCCACACGGCGAGTTTGGAACCGTGGAGCAGCTCACCATCTGCTACAAGGTACAGTTTTCTAACAGGGCCAAGGGACAATTTTGACTGCCAATCAAAATTAGCTGCATTCCATCACTTTCTGGCTCAAATTACTCACACTATCTTCTTTCGAGTTGGTGATAGTTTAGAACAGCTTTATGTTTAAGGCTTGCTGCAGCCTCTTGAGCTTCACAAGTTACTATTTTGCCAAGTAGGTGTAACCTAACTAGCTATGCGACACCTTTGTCAAGCAGAGTCACCCATTTGACCGGGGACAGTAGCCCATTATCGAAGGATCTGTGGTAAAATGAGCAAGCACAGCAGGACTTATATACAGCAATATTTATTTCAAAGTGAAGAAAATAGTACAACTACACATGAAAAGGCTTTATTTTTCATACCAGCTAGAAAAAAAAAAAAAAAGAGAGAGAGAGCTCCCAAATGGACATGTGAATTCCGACATTGATATCTTGACTCAAGGCAAGCCCAACCAAATTCCTTTCTTAACAAAACACCTTGAAACTCTAGTGAATTAGATTCCATAAGGAGGTATTAATATCAAAGACGAGGGCTTAACCCAGGGAAAAGAAGGCCGTTTTGAGTCTGCTAGCATTAAGAAATAGTAGTAACTGAACTCGTCCGACCATTTGGGGTCCAGTTGATATGTCATGCCCGGTCTAATCTCAAAATTGAATTGTTTATCCCATCAAAAAATCTCTGGGAAAAATCTCTTTTATCAAAGAACTGTGCAATTTCCTAGAGTTTCGATATATGTCTGCGGGACACTTGCATCCATCTGACCCTTCCTTTGGATATACATCATGCCACCCCCAAATTTCACCGCAAAGGAACGGAAATCCCATTCCAACAGTCCAACAGTTAGGGCAGAAGAGGATGGTATTCCATTTTGGAAAGGTTATGAACTGAGCTATCTCTCTAGGGAATTGATGTACCTCCCGGTAAGAATCTCATAACCGTAAAGGTTCTAGGCGTGAACTTTAGTCAACGGTTAGTCCCCCATATTCATGAAGAAAAGGGACAAAACATCCTGCCGATTGAGGCACGATACCGTTTTCGTCGACTCGAGATTGTCGAAGTATCGTTCATCCGATCCATCTCCCTCAGCCGCTAAGCTTCTGCTCGCGTATAAAAGCAGAGCTCAAAAGTGAAAAGAATGCCACCGCAGCCATGAAACCAAAGCTACTATTAGTAGCATGGCCATAACATTCCCGCACGATTTGCCTAATAGGAGGGTCAAGGGCCTTTAGATAATCAAGGCTCTCTCTAACACCGTTGACAATTTTGTCGATATCCTTGCTATCCCGGAGAGCTGACCGTAGACTAGAACGAAGTGTTTGCTGGACAATACCAGAGGAAAGGGAAACTCCAATTACAGAGCCCAGTGACCGGAATAGGTATGAGCATGCAGTAGCAACAGCTTGATCCTCTGGGGATGCGTTCGCGACTTAGGCACATGATTAGCAACTCAACGGGCACCTGTGAAAGAAAGAGAGAACGTACGTAAAGCAATCAAAGTTGTTGTTACTCCCACTCCATTTCCCAATCCACACATCACCATTCCGATCATAATGGCAATGGTGCTGTCCAAAATTGCACCTGAGAACAAGTAAATCACAAGCAGACCGGCGGTGAGCAGGGCATACGACCAAACTGTCACCCAAAAATATCTGCCGGTTTTTCTCATGATAAAGCCACCGACTAGAGAACCACTTACCCCCGCTATTATTGAAGGCAGGAGCCTAAGACCAGCCCCTGTGGCAGAAACACCTTCACGTGCTTGAAAAAACAATGGGAGGTAAAAGATACCAGCAAGCCAGGAGCCGAAACTAAAGAAATTGGCAAAGTAACAAGCAAGTAAGCTTCGCTCGAAGATGATATGACCGGGCGCAAACGGATCGGAAGCGATCCACATCTCAATGCAGAAAAACAATGCAAATAGAGCAATTGATACGGTCAACGATACAATCGTTATAGGAAGATTCCATGCAATATTGGTACCCCGATCCAATCCAAGTAGGAAACCGAAAACAGCAAAGACAAGGGTTGTCGCTCCTAGGAAGTCAACGCGTTTTAATTTTTCTCGCCAATGTGACTCGTCGATTGCTGGTAAATGTAACAGGAATGCAACCGCAATAAAAGCCACAAGACAGATTGGACCCTGAGCAAGAAAGGCCCTGCAGGAAACAAAGGGAAAAAGCTGTCAGCCTTTCACTCAAAAAGCGTGATCAAGTGTCTAGCCACTCACCAGCGCCAACCGATAGAATCAGCTAAGAATCCCCCTAGAAAATGTCAGTGCCTAATAACGTCGAAGTCACAATACAGCTGAACATACCTAATGGTGCACCCAACCCGGACCCGGTCGCATAGATGATATTAATGATTCCCTGCCAAACGCCGCGGTCTCGAAGAGGGACAATGTCACTTAAAAGTATGCTTACTACCGTGGTCATTCCTCCGCCTCCAATACCCTGAAAGATCTGTTGACTTCGTTAGTCGCTTACGGATCAGGAAAGGCCAGGAGACAACATACTCTGGCAGCAATCAATTCCTTAATATCTCGGGCTAGACCGCAAAAAACACACCCGAGTCCGAATACCGTGTAGCTAAATAGCAGACACGCTTTACGCCCAAAAATATCACTGAGGCGTCCATAGAGCGGCTGAAACGAAGTCAGGGATAAGAAGTAGGAGGTAGCAACCCAGTTAGTAAGGTTGAGGGCATTTAGATCGCTTCCAATCTTGCCATAACTTGCGACAATGATTGTCTGGTCCGCAGCAGAAAGAAATACCTACAGTCACAGCGTCAGCCCATCGGTCAAGCTATGATAAAGATAAGTATGTAGTATATGCGTACACCGATCGATATGCTTGGGATAATGTATCTCAATTTTGTTTGTGCATCAGGCAGGCCCTCAAATTGAGCAGCTCTAGCTGCATCAACCTCATTTGCTTTCAATTCCTCCTCATCTGTGCCAGGGTCGCCGTTGGCCTTAGCCACTGATCCGCTCAAGACGGCGTGATCCTGGCGTCCATCTTCCTGGGAGATAAGCAGCGGAGTAGTCTCAGAGGCCGCCGAGTTCCAACCATTATCGGCCACAGTCTCTACCCTCATCTTAATCACCTCTTATCCCAAAGACAACTGAAATGCCAGGTGTCACGATACAGAATAATACGAGGAAGCGGATTTGGAAAATCCACGGTGACACGTGACTTTGGAGAAGATCGTCAAATCCCGAGAATTCCGTCGAGAACGGAGTACGGAGGAGTTACTCCGTATCCGCATTCACATGGATAGCTCGACTCTACGTAATCGAAGCAAGGAAGCAAAGTCAACGGTGAACGGATCGCACACATGGCGGGAAGCTTTGTTTCAATCGTGGCTGCTTCAGAGGTACGTTTTCTGTTCATTGGACGAGAGATAAAACATAGTTGGGCCCGTGCGCGCTGAGGGGTCTCGGCCCGTGAACAGAGCACGGAGTACTCCGTAGCTACCAGCAAAAAATCTCATAGTCGTCTGGAGGACATTGGAATTATGGAAGAGATACCCTTTGAAGATTATCCCGAAAGACAGGAAGAGCGGGGTATTGAAGCCGAATATGGAGTACATACAAATTGAAATTTTAAGTGGATCATCGTCAATCACTTTCAGGGCTACGGAGTACAAGATACATCTTTGAGTGAAAATGACGGAGTCGCTAGTTTCGGAAAATAATGCAATAGATCTTCATGCTTTAGTCACCGGATATAGAAGGCATTGAGACCGGTCCACCTGGTGAATCAGATTGCCTTGCGGTAAGAATTTCAACACCTGTCTCTGTTACCAGCAGAGTGTGCTCAAACTGAGCCGATTTCTTTCCATCTATGGTGACACTGGTCCAATTGTCCGGCCACGTCTTATCCCTATAGCTTCCCAAATTGATCATGGGCTCGATAGTGAAGCACATGCCGGGCTTTGCCGATCCGACGGTCTTACTTTTCGCATAATGTGGGATACTTGGAGCCGTGTGGAAGAGCTGGTTTACACCATGACCGCAATAAGTTCTCACGACACTGCAGTCCCGACTCTTTGCGTGTTTCTCGATGACATTTCCCGGCTCACGGAATAACATTCCCGGTTTCACAATTTCAATAGCCTTGTCTAAGCATTCCCTCGCCGTTTCGACCACGCGAACTGTGTCAGGATCCGCAAGTGATTTGTCTCCTACGTAGTATGTTTCGTTGAGATCTGCATGGAAACCACCATGGTATATGGAAATGTCGATATTGATGATATCTCCGTCCTCGAGCGGCCGTTGGTCGGGAATGCCATGGCAAATGACTTCGTTGACCGAGGTACACACTGACTTAGGAAAGTTCATATAATTCAGGGGCGAGGGATATGCCTGATGTATCAAATCAGTTTTCATCCACTCCCGAGATGTCCAGACGCATAAGGACAATACTCACCTTTCGTTCCATACACGCTTGATAGACGACTTTATCAATATGATCGGTTGTCACGCCCACTTTAATCTCACGGGCTGCGATATCCAGGACCTCTCTTCCCATACGGCATACCTTCCTCATTCCATCTTGTTCCTTTTCGGTAAGAATTCTGATATTGTTCCGGCCAAAAAGTTTCTGCTCGGAGCGTGGAATTCCATCAATAGCGTAATCAGGCTGGACAACATTGGGGGGGACCTTGTTTTGTGGAGACAAAGGATACACTGGCCGTAGCTTGCCAGTATAAGGGTATGTCGGGAAAGGGTCGTACGTTGCTAAGGGAAGAATTCGGTCAGATCGATTTGAAGGAGAACTTTAAGTATGAGGAATAGGGTAATCACATTTGCTTTTATGGATCGCTTTATGTTCAGCCTATCGAGTAGTCAGCTCCGTCCAAGCCTCGTGTGAGCGGCCTCAGCACCTTGCGAGCCTGTCTGGAAGCGTACCCAACTACGCTTAAAGCAGTCCTGGGAACAGAAATAACTTTCTATTCCAATTTTAAGGCATGTCGGACATCGTAGACTGCCTGCTGGATTTCTGCAGTCCAGTCCTATGCAGTTTTTGGCATCAACCTCACCCATTGTTGCGGAATTCCTATCGATCTTATCTTGGATCCTTGTTTTTTTTTTAAAAAAAAAAAATAAAAATAAAAAAAATAAAGGTAAAAATAGGTAAAAGTAAAACACGTTGTGCTCCTCTTTAATTTGAACCTAGGAGGGAGTGATGGTGTCAACAAAGTTAACCAGCCGTAAAAAAATGCCTGAGATCTTCCTTCGTGGAGAACCGAGACTGCCCGCTGGCCGTTAAGCGTGTCGATCAGGCAGCGTTGCGGGCGTTCTGGCTTCCAAGTTCTGCTGCTGGCGGGACTCAAAGAAGGGAACCATTAGGCGCCACAGACGCTCTAGCCGCATCTATCACGTGAATCTCATTCAAAGGTGTGACGTTGTTCGCGGCTATTTCACTTCCGGAGGCACCTTTTGTGAATTGCCCCGCCAGAAAATATATTTTGACTCAACAACGTCTGAAAACTTCAAAAAATCACTACTCACAATATGCCTGGCGGATCGAAGCAACGCAAGGTTGTAATTGTGGGCGCAGGCCCAGTGGGCTCCTTAGCGGCCCTCTATGCCGCCGCCCGAGGTGACAATGTCGAGCTCTATGAACTTCGCGGAGGTATGTCACGCGACAGGAGTACTTTGTCCTGTTGAGATGCTTTTTGGTGATAAATCCCCTAGTTGTCAATGAGAGTGATTCTTGGTTAATACCCGGACCGATCTGGTCTGAATATCCTTTTCATTTTCTCATATCCAGTGTTTTGTTCACAAACTGCTTTCTGCTCCAACACAATGGGGCCTCCTTTTGCCTCTCTGGTCAGGATCACAATAATGGTTCGATTTTTGTCACACGCTGCACAGTTATTCCCCATCATTGTCCTGATCCCTGACTGATATTCAGCTTAATGCGTTATTCACTGTAATTGGTCTACTATTTGCTGCTTCTTGGCATTGATCGTCTTCCTATTTTGAATCTTGTAATTTGGGGGTACATATTCATTTTTCTTCGGGCAGATCTCCGTGATCCATCGACCATTCCTCTAAACTTCACCAAGTCGATCAACCTCGCAATATCAGAGCGTGGGATCCATTCCATGGAGTCGTCGCACCGCCCCGGATTTGTTCAGCAAATTCTTCATGAGGCTATTCCCATGCATGGGCGTATGATCCATGGGCGTGCAAGCAGCGGAAAGCTCTGGGAAGAGGCACAGGCATATGATGTTCATGGTCGAGTCAGTCATACCTGAGAGCCTTCCCTGCTGCTTACAGGGCTGAATTGCTTATCTGGGCGATAGTACATCAATGCGATAGACCGTGGCACCTTGAATACAATTCTTCTGAATGAGCTTGAGCAGACGCCCAATGTTAAGCTCTTCTTCAACCACAAGCTAACAGGAGCCGATTTTAGAAACAATAAAGCCTGGTTCGAACGGAGAACCCCAGGTGATACCGTGGGGACATTCAAAGCAGATTCTAGCCAGGATGATAAATCTATCAACGTCACACGAGCTCCGGAGCTCGAGGTCCCGTTTGATTTGTTGATCGGTGCTGATGGTGCACATTCTGCCACCAGATTCCACTTGATGAAATTCGCGCGAATGGATTACCAACAGGAGTATATCGATACCCTGTGGTGCGAATTCCAGATTAAACCATCGGACGACAATGACTTCCGTATTTCCCCCAATCACCTTCATATTTGGCCTGGACGCGAATTCATGTTCATCGCACTGCCATCTCCAGACAAGTCCTTTGTTTGCACGCTCTTTGCCCCATCGGCCCATTTTTCCGCACTTGAAAAGTCTCCCGACCAACTGTACGAGTTCTTCAATGTGCATTTCCCGGGGGTATCACCGGAGCTTATCCCTCCGGAATCCCTGAAAGAGCAGTTCATGAACAATCCACACCTCCCATTGATCAGTATCAAATGCTCCCCCCACCATTTCAACTCGAGCGTCGTCATCCTAGGCGACGCATCTCATGCCGTCCTTCCATTCTATGGTCAGGGCCTGAACGCAGGCCTCGAGGATGTCCGAATCCTCTTCGAACTTCTCGATGAATCCGGCGTGTACTCCCCCGAAAACGCCAACGACCCCGCTCGCATCAAAGAACTACGCGCAGCCGCATTAAACGCGTATACCCGCCAGCGCGTTCCCGACGCGCATGCTATCAACGATCTGTCTCGTCGCAACTACATTGAGATGCGCTGGGGCGTCAAATCATCCACCTATCGGATCCGCAAGGCTATTGAAGAGGCACTATATCGATACGCACCTAGTCTGGGCTGGTCGACGCAGTATGCCCGTGTGAGTTTTGGGAATCAGCGGTATTCGGAAGTCGAGGAGGCCACCGCGCGCCAAAGTAAAGTGCTGATTCGCGTCTTGGGCGCAATGCTTTTCTCGACCGTTGGTCTGGTGGGGATATGGATGTGGAGGTGGCGTCGCATGAGGTCGTTGGCCACCGTCGTCATCCATGGGGCGATGGGAATGCTTGGAAAATAAGCGAGAGGAAGAGAGCGACAGATTACGCGGATTAGTAGGTGTGAGGCTCCATGTGCATGGAGGCCTTTCTTTTTATTTTTTTGTATAGAATGTTGCGTTTGGATAATCTCCTCTCCGTATATAATGACTGAGGTCGCACGAAATATATCTTGATATAGATACGTTTTGAGTACCCCAAAAGTAATAAGGGAACTCTTCAGCCTCGTTTCATATATTAAACCATGGTATCTTCTTGCTAAGATGAGTATTTCCGGGCCTTGCACCAAATTTAACTTCTGCCAGGTAAAAAAGAATGCAACATTGATTGGTGTATCGAAAAAATCGCATTATCTTTCCAACCAGGATAACAAAAAGAAATTAAAAAAGTGGCTGTCTATTATAGTAACATATACAGATGACAATTGGAATGGAGGCTAGAATTATCGTCTCTTACTATGGCGATTACTCGTCATCGAGCTCCAAGGGCCAAAAAAGAAAAAGTAAATGGGGAATCCAAGTGAAGTGAGGGTAGGCCCGGGTTGGGAGTTAAATGAATGAAATGGCAGCCTTGTGGAGATAGAGAAAAACGAGTGGACGTGTACGGGGGGTTCAGGAAATTATGCAGGTAAAAAACTGGCAGCGAAAAATATGGCCCAATAATAGAGCCCGGAAAATTGGTCGTTGGTGTTGCCCGCAAGGCCCGAGAGACAGATGAGATCAAAAAATGGACATTTATCACTTTAATCCCGGCCAAAGAGAGGGTCCCATTCGCATGTCGCAACGGAATTACCGTGATTCCGCACACGATCCATCTTCGTATCCACTAATTTGAGCTCTTCCTATCGAGCGCGGGAGGCTCACGAGGTTTCGTATTGCTTCGAAATTCTCTGGATGCTATTCATGATGGCGGGGTATTAGAACTTGTCAGCTTCAATAACGGTACAAACTCCTCGGGCGTAAACTGAAACATTCCCGGCCAGCTGAAGAGGGCGATATACATAAACGATCAGGCCTAGTCCTAGAGGCCCTTATGGAATGCAAGCTTCTCTCGGTGAATTCGCCGTTCGTGGATATATCTCTCTGTTTGGACATACAACCAATCAAAGTACTCCATGGCAGAGGCATCCTTGAGGATCTTAGCAACTTGGGTTCCCGCGGAAATAAACTGAAGGATATTGCGGTCGTCTTTCAACGGACGATTTTGATTCTTGGTCACATGGCGTGTTTCCAGGGCATTTTCCAGCACGGTTACAAACTGCTTAATCTGCCCATTATACAGGACCCTGGCAGGAATTCGCCGCTTTGTGGCAAGCCTTTTCAAAAGATAAACCCATTCAGTCCATTCGCGGTCCTGTGGGCTCCTAACATGCTTTTTGTCTGATTCTAGAGGGATAGGGAACTGGTATTTTGCCACAAAATCGAAAGCACATTTTGACAAACGATCATTAACGTCAGAAAGGATCTGATCTTGTTCTTGCACATCCAAAGTTGTAGGAAGGAGAGGGAGATCATCTTCCTGAATTTCCACGGTTATAGCAGACGGCATGTCTAGAAGCTGAGTTGGTCCATCAAACTCATCCCTGTTGCCTGGCCGCCGTTGTGAGTGGTATCGTCCGGCTCCTCTTACGCTATCCGTTGCTCGCCGTTTTAGCCGTTCGGGAAATAAATTTGGTTCTCCTGAAATGAGCGTCTTTGGAGCGCGGATATCACTGCAAGTAGAAGCAGGCATCTCCAAACCGCCATTAATTGGTGCTTGCGCCAGTTGTTCTCCAATTGGCCGTGGCATGAGAGATGGCGGTGGATAAGAATATTGATCATAGGACAAAGGAGACAAAGACAATCTATTGCTATTGGCATAAATGCTCCAGGTTTCAGAGAAATCGGGCCGCTCAGAGTAAGGGGCCGCTTCCGTATGCTTCTGATGGAATTGATCCTTTTTGGGGGACGATATCCTGATTCAATGTTTGCAACCTCAGCGCCTCTTTCCCAACAGTATATTTGTGGACCAATTATATACCTGTTGCTGTACGCTCTCGATGCCTCAGAAGTGTCCCAGGGTGGTTGAATCCCATGATCTCTGCCGGTTCCCGGGCTTGCACAGTTTCGTGAGCGCGGTCCAATACCGGGAGGGGGAGAAAGGAAATAAAAGTCAACCGACCTTCGCGCAGAGATCGATAGTGGATCGCAAGATCCCGGACTAAACGGCGAGTCTCTGGTTTGGCCATGCTTTCCAAACGGAACGAAATGTGCATATGCCATGTTAAGCTGCAGCGGCAATCAAATCAAAAAAATAAAAAAAAAGAAATATTGGTATATAATTCCACACGAGTAAAGGCGGGGGAGTCTGCCCTGTATATCTTTTAACGGAAATAAAAGAAGTTCGCCTGGTCAAGGATAGATTAAAAAACTGCCCCCAGCAGGCATCAACAACTGCTAATCAGGAGGAAGCGGAAGACAGAGGAATCGTCTCAATAGATATCGAAATGGGAAGTATCGACAAGGAAAGATCTTCGAAATAACTTAGATGAAAGCGATCAATATCGTCATTTTCACGGGTCGTAATTCGCTAAAAGCCCAGTTTTCTGACCAGACGGCAGCGCGCGTGACAGATTTTGAAAAGGACACCAGCGATTCAGTCGCGGAAGCATGGCACACTATCCTGGGTTTTCTGGAAAGGGGGGGCCGGACGCTAACCCTTGTAAGTGGCGGCCACGGAATTCAACGAAAGGGAGAAGGGGGTTGTCACAATTGTGATTCAGGAGTCTCAAAAAAGAAGGGCCCCGAGGTGTTAAGGGGCGCTTCAGACATGTTGAGATGAGGATAAGCAAAAGGACCGTAGGGATTGGGCAGCAATGACAGGGCAATAATAGGCTCTTTCTCGAGGATTATTTAGGCCGCTACTTTGCTGCAAGAAAACCAAGCCTTTGGGCAGCAATCGTAAGGCATTAGGCTCTTTCTCTGGGATTATCTCCATTCGCAGCTGATTTGCAGACGGTTCATGTCAACTGCAGGAACTGTAATTTAGCTGGTCTTAGTCTGACGTAACTGAATATTGTGACATAACGGCCAACCGGCTGGTGCTACCTGATATCGGGAAGATGGAGAAGTAACGGGCTTGTGGCTGGCAAGCCAGTGGGCGAGAACCCATTCCGACAGACAGGTGAGTGACTTTTAAGCTATAACTAGGCATTTCTGCCGCGATAGAGATACAATTTGCTTTGAGGCGATTGCTGGCCGTTTGAAGGTTGAGGTTGGAAAAGCTGGCGAGTCGGAGAGAAGGCTGCAAGGATGCCCGTACTCGGTCGATCGGATTAAACATTCTCCATCGACTAAACTGGGTTATCTACGGGGTCGAACTGGGGACATTGAGGGTGCCTTACATCCTTCGTGCGGGCCAGAAAAATCGATTACGAAGAGTACGGAATGATCTGCGGACTTTGCCATTCTCAACAGTTGGAAAGGGTATGAACGAAAATGTTCACTGACTAAAATTGAAAAGTACCCACGCATAGAAAAAGTACGTGATGCTTGAAGTTTCAAATGGCTAGATCGGAACTTTCGCTGCATGTCTCGCAACATCGGCTATCGACCTGGGTAGAATTGGAATCAGTGACTAGGAGCTTTGCCGAGCTTTATCAAGTGTCCAATACTCTGGGGATCGCCCTATAGATCGCCATCGGACGCTAAGAAAAAACGTTGCTTGCAAGAGGCCCTTTATTGACCATCTTTTCAGGTGCTAAAGTGAGACCGTGGGGGTTCCAGTCAAGGGAAGATCGTTTCTATTTGCCTTGAAAAGAACCGATAAGAACACGGAGTACACGATCAGAAACATATCTAATAATATACAAGATGGCGTGCCGGTCCAAAGGGAGCGTGTTTTTGCCCTCAAGGTAGCACGCGAAAACCCGCCCAGGAACTCCAATTATCATGCAACAGAATTTCAAAATACCCATTAGACGACTCTACACAGCGCATATCCTCCGACACTTCGCTCCACGCACTCTCTAGCTTCGAATACACCCTTCGACGTCGAGAGGAATATACATTCTCCGGGAGATCGGAGTCCATCAACGTGCCTAGCCTCGTTACCCCTGACGATTTGGCGGAGAGATGGGAGATCAAGGGTGACACGGCGTGTAGGCTTGCTAATCAGGGATATTTTGGTAATTAACGGTTCACTCTGCCAGTATTTTAGGCCCACCCATAACCGACGAGATGCAATGTTCTCTTTTGTGACGGGGTCCAAAATCTCAGCCAGCTCCTCAGCAGAGGGTTGGTTCAGAAGGAAGTGAGGGGGTGGGGGAGTTGCGCCCCCTAGAACAACGGACGAAATGAGACCGGTATGGCGGAACGCATGCAGGACATTCTGGTGGAGCTTGGTGTATGGAACAGAGGTTGTTGAGAGGCGGGCTTTGGAGGCATTTGTTATGTGGGAGCAAACATGGGCGAGGTTGACAAGGGACATTTTCGGTGGTTATATAGAGGTGAAAAGGCCCCGGTGGGGTCTTTGAACGGCTCACGATGGCGAAACTGGGGATGATTGCTCGAGGGTATTGGATCTAGTCTGGCGGCCAGCGCGTTAGAAATAGCAGGTATTTTCGTCGTTGGAATTTTCGCACAATACCTCTTTTTCTTGCGACGGGACCAATTGCCTCTCTTGGATGGGATATGACTTCGAAATGGCTTGTTGAGTGTGACCCGAACAATTGCTTCCGCTGCCTCCAACTGAAGATTCGATCGAAACAACCTTTCCAACGGGCGGCTTCGAAAAATCTCCCGGATAATCTTCCACTCCGGACCGAAAGAGGGAAAGCGGTACTGTACCGCGCTATCCAAAACTACTAATCTCCATTGGTCAAAATCTACTATTTAGGTGTATGGTATCGTAACTGCCCCGGTATCGCGTTGGCCAATCAGTTCGCGTATCCGCCATCCCGTTTAAGCGCCCGCTGCACGTCGATCGGCCCGGCCATTCGTCGGATCGTCGCTTGCTTCGATGCCGCCCGAAAGACCCCCAGCAGCCCGCTGGTGCACCTCTTAAGCGCGGGCTTGCCTCCAGCCACGATGGACAGAAGCCGGAGTCCTCATCCTCTCTCTCGCACCTGGATCGCTCTTCGCTCCCCGTGCCCCTCGGTTGCCTCAAGCTGATATTTACAGCAAGTTAATTTTAAACTTACATACCCGCTCCGAAGGTACCACCGTACCACCGATTCACGAATGCCGCCCCTCCCGGGAGAAGAACGCTTATTGACAGTGTGAGTGATACAGCGCTGCAGCTGAAGTACGCCGGTTTCTAAGCGTCTTGCAGATTTGCGGATGTGCACTATTATTTCTCTCCGCCCTCTCCACGGCCCCCGCTTCATCGATTCGATAAAGGGTCATACCTCTACTTATACCATGATGCGACCCAGCACAAGGCCAGGATTGAGATAGCCAATAATCCAGGCCTTCCTGAGCAAGATGCTTTTGCTGGCTGTATGTTCTCTCCCAGAGTGACCGCCTGGTATTGGAGATAGTGTGTATATTCATGCAAGACTGTGTAGCTTTGGGGGCCACGCTCTTACGGAATTCGGACAAGTTTCCTACTCTGTTTACCTTGACGGTTAATGCCCAACGGCAAAGCGTATCGGGGGAACAGCCAGGCCAACTTGCCACCAATGAATGGTCCCTCATAAGTGGTCACCCTCACGATACCAGTGGAACCCTCCATAAGCTCCATACACTGGATATATACTTCTGGACCGTGGACGACGCCGGACTTTTCCTAGCAACAGTACGGCGGATCTTGGACCCGTCTCAAATTGATATCATTGCAACTCAACCGTCACAGCAGACGTCGTCTATGAGTACTGTTGTTCAGCAGTTAGAACAGGCCGCTATATCCGACCCAGGATATCAAAACAATTATCCAGGGAGAACGTCCCCAACAAGCTCGACGAATTTGCCGCCCCCCCCTCCAGGTGCCCCACCGGTTAAATCGGCCTCGACTGTTGCTCAGCCTCCAACAGCGCAAGTTAGCTCGTCAGAAGAGCCCGAGAAGCAACCACAGGATCAAAAAGCCGAAAACTATGCGCCCTTGGCTTACAATCCTGCTGCACCAGCTGCGCCAGAGCCGATCAAACACCGCGAAAAGACACCCCCGCCGCCAGATGCTGCAACCGGGACGGGGCTGGCAGCTGCAGCAGCTCGAGAGCAAGGCACACATTTCACGCACCTGCCCGGATCCTCCGGGTCAGCAATGTATACTTCACCACCTCCAACCGCAGGGCTGACTCAACCGCAATCGCCACCTCCCCATAGCAGCGGGCTTTCGTTTGGGCCGACGAGTGGGCCTGTAACCACCGGGCCACCCGCTTCCGGACCACCGGCACCGCTGAATTATGCACAGCAACCCCCATCCCAGGAACCCAACATAGGAATTTACCGACAGCAGAGTTTTGGGCCACCTCCCGGCGCTGAAAATTATAGCCAAGCCCAGCAATTCCAACAACAGCATGCTGTCGCTTACAGTCAGCCGCAAACGCCCCCCGCCATCTACGGCCAACATCAAGCGTACCAGCCTCAATCTCAGCCCCATCCTCAACAGCCGCAAGTCCCCATTAGTGGGTATTCAGACTATTCGTATGGTCAACCTCAGCAAACCATGGGAAACGCGTACGACATCCATAATCAGGTATATAGGCCTACTGAAAACGAGCATAGGTACCATCAACGTCGCGGATCAGGAAGCCTGACTTCCGGAGACAAGAAGCCAGGCAAAATCACAGAAAATGCAATGCGGGTTGAGAAGGGGGTCAACAGGTTCCTTAAAAAGCTGGAGAAGAAGCTGTGAAAGTCCCCTATAATTTTTAATGCGCAAACATTTCCTATTTTCCGTGTTTAGTGCGTGTGCTTGTGTTAATTGTGAGCGATATTAGCATATGTGTTGTCCGGTTTCAGATGATGGTGTAGCTGGTACGGAGTACTGTTGCTCTTTATATATAGTGCCTTGCAAAAATTTGCGTAAAGTAGTAATCCAACATGTCTCCAACAACATGGTATCCTCTTGCTAGGAAGTCTCAAACCGATGGATGAAGGGAGAAACGCAGGCGGTAAAGAAAACAAATCTATTCGGCCTCTGGAAATGTATGTAACTGTCTCCTCCGACAGTCTTGACAACGCGCTTCTCGCGGATCCAGAATAGACGGCCGACGCCAGAAACCACAAATCTCGTTCCTGCCGACAGATATGGCCCCGAAAATTGATTAAAGAGGGCAAAATCCAAATCCTTGGTCACACTGCCCAACAATGTTGTGTATGCTGTTGCGAACGACAGCAGCACTGGGTTTGCCGAGGATAGACCATCAGTTTTAAAGGGCAGGACAGTTTGATATGAGGGCAGGGAGGCCCTTGGGCCTGGCAAGGATGCAGAAGAATCAGACAAGAGGCTGCCAAAGGAGGCAAGCGTCTATAAAATTCTGGGGAAGCATGAACGCATCCTCCAGTTCCATGGCCTTGAGACTGGTGTTTTGGACAGCCCAGACTCGGTTTTAAGAGCATAGGCTTTGCGTCTAGAGCGGGCTCCCCATGGCAGCCTACAAGATAACATTGTGAGCAGCTCTGCAGATCCACCTGGCCTGCAAACCCGGCTCCAGCTGGCAGTTCAGTTTGCAGAGGGTGTAGCATATTTGTACCACCATGAGATTATCTGGGGAGACTGCCAACCAAGAATGTCTTTCTGTGTGATGGGTGGCGTATCAAGCTGGGTGACTTTGCTGACTCTGATCTTGAGAGGGACTATCCTCATGACTGATATGTCTGTGAAGCCCGCTACTGCCCTCCTGGTTCTCCTAGGTCTCATCTCCACATTGTTGGGACTATAAACCGCGAGATGTTTGCTCTTGGGAGCCCGATATGTGAGATTGTGGAGTGGGAGGTGCCATACAGTTCAGATACCAAGAAAATCAGATTGTGAGGTGCTGGCAATTCTGGAGCTGGATCAGTTGGCCTCTTTATAGTGGCTCTCTGAGCGTTGATGTGTTTGCTTTACTGCACCCCACTGGAGAGGTGATGGGAGAATTCCTCTGTCCTTCGAAGCTCACTTGAGGGTGTCCAGCCCTGTCAAAAATGCCCTGGGGACTGATCCCCTTGTGCTCTGTGCCAATTGTGTTTGATCACTAAATAGGGGCCTTCAGAGAACACTTCTCTGTGTCCTGCTGACACTAGTAAAAGAGCCCATAAAATGACCCCCTTACGCCCCGGCGATCCTGAGTGGAGCCCGCGTTTCATCACTTTTCCAATCTTCCGGGCCATGGCACCATACAGTCGGGGATCATTATTTTCTCTTTTCTTTTCTTTTCTTTCCTTCCCCCCCCCCCCAAGGCCGAGGCAATGAGCTGGTTGCTAAACAAAAAAGATACTCGTTGCTTATGGAACTCCATCTTTCATAGTTACAGAGGAGTTAATTGGAAGAGCTTTGAACCCCCATGCTGCTCCGTGCTTCCCAGAATCAAGTTGGTCCCATAGAACGGCACAGAAAATGCAAAACGCACAATCGTCAAGAAGTAAAACTGGATTATAAATATTTATATAATTCTTTAAAGTTTAGTTCCTCTTACATTTCCTTGTTCAAAAAGGAAAAAAAGAAGGAGAATAAGGCCTCAATACAATGTATAGTTATGATCAAATGTAATGCTCCATCTCCGCTCTGCTTATGGGTAGTAAGTCAAAAAAAAAAAAAAAAAAAAAAAAAAAAGACAACAAAAAAAAGAACAAAAATATGAAGCAAAAAACCAAGAGCAGTAGGATTATCCCGACATTTAGAAAAAGAACCAAATATGGAACCAAATAGAATCAGACAGATAAGAAGTGAAGTAGAACATGGTTCCAGGGGACGAATACATATGGAGAAGTTGTCGGCATTGATTTGTCTTGGAATTGGGTTTAATGTGGACCAGAAAAGGCCGGGGAAGAATTGAAGAAAACAGTAGTATTGGTAAGCCGAGATTGATCCCAATATCGAATTCATATTAAAAAAAAAAAAAAAAACCTATTTGCGATGCAATTCAATGTTGTGAGACAATGTAGGGGCGATCAGGCTTCTAGAGCTTCGGGTTCCTTGATTTCAGCGGCTGGGGCTGCGGGAGTTTCTTCTACCACGGACACTTCAAGTTCATAAGGAACCGGGGGCTCGGTGATTTCAACATTGCTCTCTGGCTCCTGAGGCTCTTGCGAGGTAACGTCCTCGCCAGTAAGTCCTTCTTTAGCAGCAGTTTGCGCATGTAATTTCGCTTCAGGAGAGGTTGCTACGGGATATTTCACTTCGTGGCGCTCGGCCTCGGGGGATTTCGCCTTTGGCGGTTTTCTTGAGCTGGTGTGATTTTGATCCGATACCTTTCGCCCAGTTTGCGTTGTCCGGGACGGCCTTGGAGGACTCTTTGCGTCGATCTTATCGTGCACTTTGTTTGCTGAACTAGCGGTTGGCCGCATCATCCTTGCCAAGAAGGATTCATCGGGTGCCCGTGCACTGACGTTGCTTGTGCGAGACTTTGGCCTGTCGAGTCCCAAGTTTGGTGGTGGCGCGAGCGAAGCATGAGAAACCTGTTTTCGCACCGTCGTCGAAGGAACACTTGTTTTCGGGGCAGCTGTGGATCGATCCATGCGTAGTGAGGAGACCTTTCGCGCAAGCTTGTTCGCGTTGACGCCATTGCGACTGGGAGGGCGTGAAGATGTACTGTTGGTTTTGGCCGCCGATGATGCAGTTGGCGCGGTCATTGAGCTGGGGAGACGGACTGGACGCGTTGGAGACTTTGGTCGGATCTTTGGATGGTTTGGAGATGTTTGCTTCGAGCCAGGCCTGGAAACAATTTCCCTTGTGGACAAGGCACGTTTGTCTTGGGTCACTGGGCTCGAAGACGAGCGACCAGATCTTCTTGGGGTATTGACACGCGAGTGAGTTTTGTTTACTTCCCTCGCAACGGCAGGGCTGTTGACGGCATTTGTTTTGTTAATATGCGAGTCAGGAGTAGCCGGGAGTTTCGGGGTTCGGGGGGCAGGTGGCGTTTTTGGGCCCTTGGGGAGCGTGCTTTTAGAAACCTTGCGGTTTGGTTCCTTTGGGATTACTATATTCGCAGGACGGGAAGACGTTGTCTTGGTATCCGGCGCATTCGGGTTGGTAGGCTGTAATGTCTCCTTTGGTGGACTGTGTGTTTTGGGTTCTGGCACCACGGTCTTGTTTGGTTCAGGAACAGCTGAACTCAATCCCCGCGGGGGTGATCCGTTCTTCTGCAGCTGTAGTTTCGAATCTTCAAACGCTGAACCCTTCAGGATAGCTCCCAGACCCTGTATCACTTCGCCCGGAACATCGCGTGTTGTGGTATTCGCACCGCCAGTTGATTCCCTCTTTTCGGTCATCGGAGTCGGGGGGTTCGATTTGGCAGGAAAAGCTCTATGTATCGAGCCCGTGGGCGACAGAGGCGTAGATCTTTCGATTGGGCCTCCAAACTCGTGCATGGGCTTTGTGTTGACCGGGGAGACACCGGAATCGGTACTTCTCAGCCATCCCAAGGGAGATCCGGAGCCACCGTTGCGTTCGACGGGGATGAAGCTTGCGCGAACTTTGGAGAGCGGACGAACAGTTCCTGAGCCATCTGCGCCAATTGGGGAGCGGCCACGCGACGGAGGGGAGGTCGAGATGTTGTTTTCGAACTTGGCCAACAAGCTGCGGACACCTGTCTGCGTCGGTTTGTCCGACATTGCGTCCTGGATTCCGGTACGACGTTGTGCTAGGGCAAAGTAAGCATAGAGAGCTGGGCGAAGAAGACGTTGACGGTTGTCGTTTTAAGAAAAGAGAGAGAGCGAGAGAGGGTGAGTTGAGGTGAGGAAGGGGAGATTATTATGAAACACGCAAAGAAGTTTGAAGGCGAAGTGGTCGGTGGGCGGGTTGCCAGGGAGCCTGAGGATGGATTTGCAGCGCGCGTCGGGGAGGTAACGTGATTGTGTGACTGAATTTGGGACGGAAGACGCAGCCAATGGACGACACCAGGCGGGTCCCAGGGACAAACAAACGGCGTGGGCTGAAGAGATGGACCTGGTAACAGGATACGAAGAAACAGATTGCCTGGAGCCCAAGGGTTGTATCAGGGCAGATTGGAGAGGGATTCTTGAGGTCGGAGGCCAGCAGGCAATGATTTTAAGGGAGGTTCCGGAGTATCACCAACCTTGGCGGGTCTGCAGTTAATTAGCTAATAAAAAGCCCAGGCCCTGGAAAAAGGGGCTTCGAAACATCCACCGTGGCCTGTGACGTCCCATCGGGGCATGGGATGGCATGGCATGGCATGGCTTGCCTCTCTCAGAGAGCAGAGGATGACCCGTTCCCGTCGGAAAGATGGCCATCGGGCTGGTTTATCAGCTTCAAATGGGAGCCTTAGTTATACACACTCTCTCACACACGACTAACTACAGATGACACGGCCTCTTCAGCCTTACTTGTGTCCATGTTCTAAGAATAACATCTGCAACACGGACGTAGCTGGACACAGCCGTACATCCTGTACATCAGGGCAGTTTGCACAGCCCTAGATCGCAATGTGATCCGAAAGAGCACCCATTTCCGCTGTATACGTACACACACTTGTCGAGTGCAAGCAAAAGCAGCTTTTTTTGTGAGCGGAAAAGGAAAAAGAGAAACAAACCGCGACCGGGAGACCATTGCTTGCGGAACAACGATAACCCGGGGCCCCGGCCTCTCTTCCGGCCATTTTCGCCGACATCGCACTCCGCTGAGCCTGCAGGAAAACAGTCATTATTTCTTGCTCCTGCAGCACGCACCGGCAGTCATGGCAGCCTCAAGAACCCTCAGAATAGGTAAATTGCTCTTCTTATTGTCTCGACCGGGTACCCGCTAACGTGCATGCATTATCGCAGGCCTCATCCCTGGCGATGGCATTGGTAGAGAGGTCATTCCGGTATGCTACCACACACTGCTCTCTGGAGCTCCAAAGGACTGGCAAATCGACCGATTGAGTAATAACGACGCTATATCTAGGCCGGCCGTCGAATCCTCGAAGCGCTTCCGGCTTCTCTAGGGCTAAAATTCTCCTTTGTCGACTTGGATGCCGGCTTCGAGACTTTCAAACGGACGAAAACCGCCCTACCAGACAAGACCGTGGACACCTTGAAGAAGGAATGTGATGGCGCCCTCTTTGGTGCCGTTAGGTAAATAGTCACCGAAATCTTTTTTTGCAATTTGATATAAGCATTGGGGGGAAGGGAAAAAAAAAAAAAGATACTTACCACTGCAATTATTTCTGATTTAGCTCCCCGACTACCAAGGTTGCTGGATATTCCTCGCCCATTGTTGCCCTCCGCAAGCGCCTGGATCTCTATGCCAACGTCCGGCCTGTGAAGACCACCCCCGGTGCAAACGTTCCTGCTCCAATTGACCTTGTCATCGTCCGTGAGAATACCGAAGACCTCTACGTTAAAGACGAGAAGTCCTACGACACCCCTGAAGGCAAGGTGGCCGAGGCAATCAAGAGAATATCTGAGCGTGCTTCATCCCGCATTGCAACCATTGCGGGAGAGATCGCCCTCCGTCGCCAGAAGATTCGTGAGACGGGACAGGCGGCCCCTCGATCAGGCCCCATGGTCACAATTACCCACAAGAGTAACGTCTTGAGTCAGACCGACGGATTGTTCCGCGAAACCGCCCGCAAGGCATTGGCCGCGGAGAAATTCTCCAGCGTCGAGATCGAAGAGCAGATCGTCGACTCCATGGTCTACAAGCTCTTCCGCCAACCATCTTACTATGACGTGATCGTCGCCCCCAACCTGTACGGAGACATCCTCTCTGACGGAGCCGCTGCATTGGTTGGCAGCTTGGGCTTGGTTCCGAGCGCAAACGTCGGCGATGGATTTGCTATTGGCGAACCATGCCACGGCAGCGCTCCCGATATCGAAGGCAAGGGAATCGCCAACCCCATCGCTACCCTCCGCAGTGCAGGTCTTATGCTTGAGTTCTTGGGCGAGGAAGAGGCCGCTGCAAAGATCTACGCTGCTGTCGACGCAAACCTGGATGAGGGCAAGTTCTTGTCTCCCGACCTCGGAGGCAAGGCTACAACCGAGGAAGTCCTCCAGGACGTTCTCAGACGCCTTTAGATAAGTGCGAATCGCTGAAAAGGAAAAAAAAAAAAAAAAGGATAAAAAGCGGGTGTATATTAGAGGTGTGAATTCTGGAGCTTAGGGGCTCATTTTGAACTGTTCCCGGTTCTTGGCATTGTTGTCAGATAGTTTTAAAAACAAAATCATCTAAAATCGTTCAACCAGATCTCATGTCGTGCGTGTCTAGTCTACCTCCGATTCCTCTTGTTCTTCTTGCTGCGCCTCCTCCCCACTACTCTGGTCCTCACTCTCGTCCTCGTTGTTGAGCAGCAGAGTAAAAACAACCACGAAAAACACATCTCCAGTATTCTTATTCTTCAGCACATAGCGCAGTGAGTGATTTTTCCGGTCTATGTATTTGGCAACATTGAGACTAAAACCCGGTAGTCTGAGCGAGAAATCTGTTCGAACCATGTCAACACTGTCCCCTCCACACCGTATCAAAGAGTTGATTTGTTTTGGGGGGAGGTATTTGCGTACCACTAAATCCTAGATAGGGATTCCCAAAATCGGCCTTGTACAGCCGTCCAGCCTCAAACTCGAACATGCGGCGATTGTTCTGATCCAGAAAGTATTTCTTTCGAGAACTCGCATCGCCGGGGATATTGAGGCTCTCACGGATCTGCTTCCCAGTTCCTTCACCACCCTCCTCAATGACCTCTTCATGCAGCTCCAGCGAAGTTACTGATCCCTGCCAATCGCTGCCCTTACTATTGCCTCCGCTACTCGCGATACTCTCCTGACTCCCATTCGGCGATGCTGGCTTTTCACCAGCCGAGCTAGGCCTAGACGCCACCCCTTCGCGCTCACATATTCTAAAATAATTCCAGCTCGACAGTGCAGCGCCGTACAGGTACGGTTTATCGGCATACGCATCCCCCTCTAGACCAGGATCGATCATCCATTTGACGATCTTGAGCGCATAGTTCGTCCCCGGCGGTAATCGATCGCGAATGGGCCGGTCAAAATCATTGCCAAAGACAAGCGCGCAGCCAGGGATAGTCCGTTTGGGAATGAAGCTAACGGCGATGGAGTATTGGTCGTCCTGGTGGTCTGGGTGGGAGAAGTATCTGCATGTGCGAGGGGTATTGGGAGGGAGTCCTGTACATAAAGGGGAGGTCAGTGTGAGAGAGTGATAAAAGCCTATCGAACGAGTTGGGAGGAGAGGTTCTTGCAGACGCACCGTTGTAATCTCTAATTCGCACGCAGAGCTTCGCGGTGGTATGCTCGGTCTCAATCGTCAGCGTCTCGTCGGCGTTGACTGGGACTATCTGATGTGTTTTGGGATCGTATGTAGGGCCGGCGGTGACCTTTAGTGTGTAGCGCTCTGACGGCTCTTCCGAGGCCATTTTCTGTGGCGATGGAGAATCGTTTGGGGCATACTCCCGGTCAAGCCATAGAAGGTAGAGTGCTTAAAATAAAGGAGCGCTCAAAGATCTTTTCTCAGAGCTATCCAAAGCTATGCTCTCCGGTGGCACAAGGTCAATTGAGAAATGGTCGAGGATTCTAGACCTGAGATCCGTCTGCATCTAGGGGTAACTGCAAAGTACCGGGCATGTCTTGTACCTGTCTACGTCATCCTCCCCCGGCGCGTTGCCAAAATTAGTGACGGGCGGCGGCAAAAGCCTAGACCGTCGACGCCAAACGACCCCTACCCGACTAAACCCACTCACCAAACGCGCCCTCATGCCCTTCCCTTGTTCCACGCCAGGTTTCATCGCCTAGGGATACAGTAGCTCGGATCCCCGGCAGAAATGCTCTGCACCCCGCAATGAATTCATTCAGACGTGGCTGGTTTCAACAGTGATTTGACTAGTTCTTTATCAGATGGCTATTGGAAGATCACCCCGCTCTATCCCTCTTTCAATTCGTTCCATCCGCCCAAGCACCGTCACGTAGAATGCCAATGAGATCCGAACAACTGGCTTCACCTCCTCCCTGCGCCAGCGTATTGAACCTCCGTTTCTGAAATAGCGGTCAACCGGAAAAATTTTATTAGCTGTCTCTGTGCTTTGTGCTAGTGTAAGATAATAGCCGCACCCAGGGCCATTCCGTATACCTCACCCATGCCTAATTACCACATCCAGTACGGAGTACAAAAAACCAGATAGACCGCTGCACTCTCCTCGAGAAGCTTCACACCCTGTGTTTTCAATACAAATATTGTACAGCTCGCTATTTCAGGAGCAATTCTGCTAACAGGATTCCCAGCAAACGAACCGCTCCAGTAAGAGCTTTAATAACATATCTTTTTCCTTCTCCTCCTTCCTTCCTGTCCCCTTTTCCCTCCTTTCTTTTTCATTTGCTCCAAATGCTGACACTAAATTAGCCATCCGCATTTTCACAAAATGGGTGACCGACACTGTGACTCAAGTTACGATGGTAAAGTCGAAGAAGCAGAGATCGCTATCAAAACAGATGCCAAAACCATTCAACAGCTCTCCTCCTCGGCCGAAGCTGCAAAAGCAAACAGGGGGAGACAAGCGATCCTTTCTCTTGCCAACGCAGCGAGAAGGGCGAAAGAAGAAGAGGAGAAACGAGAAGTAAGTGGCGGGAATGGGAACAAGAAGGAAGGTGAAAATCAAAGTGGGAGAACATGAAGTGTATCCCTGTGAACATCTAAGATGTATTGGTCTTAGCATCCGAACATTCCTCAAATGCTTCCCGCAAAGATATATCGTATTGCTCCTTCTCTTTCAATTTGCGTTCAAGAAAATTAAATGCATCAAACGCCCAGTAACGCATCGTGATTAACCAGAATGCTTCGTCATCTTTATGAGTCTTAGAGAACTTCGGTTGGATGTAGTCGTAGAAGATCTTGAACAAGGCTGTTGGGCTATTAAGCGCAAGAGAGCACCAAAAGGTCCCTCTCTCCCATCCCTGTTGCAAAATGGGGTATAGTTGGACTGGCGACTGTTGCAATCCTGGCGTGCTCTTCGTTTCTTCCTCCTCAAGGGCCTCCATGAATTCTTTGCGAAGACTCTCGTAGTCATCGACGTCAACCATATCGATAGTTTGGTTTGCCAACCAATACGGAGGGTGGATCATTTCCACAGGGCGGGAGCAGGCCCACTCGAGATCGATAAGGCACTTGACATTCCAATCATCATCCACAAAAATGTTGCTCTGATGTAGATCGGTGAGGCATAGAAAGAATGGACCTCGAAAAAGATCACGGCGAAAAAAACAAGGCCAAACACTTCTCATAACCATCAATGCACATGTCTGATAGAAGCCATCCTGAAGATCACTGAGCGCATTAGGCTGGTGGCGGAAGCGGCTCTCATGGTAGGCAAGAATATCATTGATATAGGAGTCAACTGTGGAATAAGTCACATTTCGCGGGATGTCAACTGGAATGTGCTCATTTTCCAATAGTTGATGTTGAAGAGTAAGAGGTCTGTTACTTAAACTCAAGTACCCTCTATTATCTAAAACAAAGGAACCGATTTTTGGTAACGGTGTACGTGCCAAAGCCAGTAAAATGCGTGAAATACCATGGAAGAGATTTGTTCTCAAGTTAACATCATGGCGTCCTTCCTCCCATGTTTCGGAAAGCATTTTGCCCCGTGATGGATCGATATATTCAATCAACAAATACCCTGTGCTTAGGGTAGAATTCACTTTGCTTTGATGTTGAACGTAGCGAGAAGGAACTGGATGCCCCAGCCATTTTAACAAACAACGGCGCACATACTCAATAGCGCGGGTTATAAACGGCAGGTTGTCGAGAAGAGTGAACTGGACTTGTGAGTAATGAATGTTCTCAGCAGATACCCCAGGGGAGCACGTACGGTCTGACCAGTAGATAGTCCAAATCCGTACAGGCGCGGAATGGGCACATCTGGACAGTTTTCTTGGAGCCATGCATATGTGCCCACTTCACAACGGATCTTCTCATCTGCGTTTCCTGGGCAAGAGTCCTCGCCAACCCGGTATGGCAAGGGAAATCGAATCATCAATTTATTTCCGCCATCTCGTTCCTGGCCATCGATATCAACTCCGATGCAAACATTGAAGCTTCCATCTATCCAGTCCTCCACATCAACAAGATGACATGCATTTGCCGAAGCCAAGCCGAGGTGGTGCGCAACAATTGTTTCAATCAGCTTGCGATTCCGGTAGAGATGAGTAAAATATCGAATTTTCTGATCCCTGTAGCCCAGCTCATGGAGAATATTGGCGTCCTGAGTTTTTGCAGCGGAATATGTGATCTCGCCACGAAGCAGGCGACGAGGTTTTAGCGTGACTGCGGGCGCGCCATGACTCTGGGACATTTCCTTTCAAGCCCGCGTCTTTGACTTATCTGAAAACAAAGTAAGAATGGGCTATGGACGCGAATCAAGACAGACCTGAATTTGTTCAACTGGTCAACAGGTCATTTTAATTGATGTATGGAGTATTTAGCAACGTTGATTTTAACGTTCAACATTCCACTATTTTCCTAATTCGGCATAAACACGATTCTTAGCGTAAGTTAAAAAACATTCACAAGTACGGAGTACTCCGTAACTATATCTAATCTAGGGGGTTAAAGGCGCGCATCTACGAGCAAAAATACAAACATTTTGCATTCAATGTGACTGCATTGTGATCACAAAAGAATATCCCGTGGTGGTTGATCATGTCCATATAATGTCTCTTGGACTTTAACTTTCGAGCCTTGCGTTCAATGACAACCCCCTGTTGAATGCCTGTTTGATTGCTTGTCTTGACGCCTCCCATGTTATAAGAGTCTGGATGGAAGCGCGTTGCTCCAAAATATAGCAAAAGCGCCCACATAAATCAATTGAGTACCGATCACATAAAAGCGGTGACCCTCAAAAAAAAAGCATGCCACTAAAATCTACCCAGGGTCACTCCGTAGTTATATTATTGGGTTGCCTTGCTTAACGCTGGCAATCCTGATCTTTTGCATCAGGGAGCGGCATATTGGCATCCTGTGATAATTCCGGTGCTATAAAACACAATTCCTCCACCATGTGGGATCAAAGACACTCGCTTTGATAAAACTAGTCCTTAAAAAGTTCATACAACAGATCTGATATCTCGACTTCCCTAACAAAAAATGTGTGCAGCGAGCGCCGACACACGGAACGTGGCGTGATTCAATTGCTCCGCTACGCGTCTGAGAGTTACTCGCCCAACAAAATCAAGGACAAGTGCACAGAAATAATATATCAGGTAAATATTCCAGGCATCTTTGGTTCTCTGATGTGGTTGCAAATTGCAACGATGGGTCACAGGATTTCCGCATCGCTTTATCGGGACTGTCAACAGAAATTCGGCCCGAAGACCCCATATTAACCGTTCAATATAACTAGCCGGGTCTCATTCCCTCCAAAACATCAGTCTAAGTGCCAAATCTCCCTCTATGATTGCTCAGGATCCCATAATGTTACCGAATCTTCACGATTCGGTGAAACCGGCAGGGTTGAATCCAGCAACAACCACTGAGCAACGACGATCCATATTATCCTGGGGGATAAACTACATATACATTCCAAACTCTTATTACCACCATAAACTTGACGGAATCTCCAGGCAAAATCTGCAACCGGTCACATGGCATGTAGCTATAGGTGGCCAAGTGACACATCATGAAAGGTGGGACAAGGATATGTTATATCAAACCGAAACGAAACTATGTGGCCGAATCTTAGATCCCCAGCGTATCGACCAAATTCTTTGTATACTCCCAAAGCAAGCCGGAGTTATGTGCGTGGAATGCAGATCCTGTCCAGTAGGTATTATGCCTGCCTTGCAGGGAGTACAACTTCTTGTAAAAACCCGATTCAATCGCTTTTCTCGATACCGTCGCTCCGAAGGGAGTATGGCTGGACCATGCCACGAATTCGGCGTCTTTAGCACTAGCATCTTGGAACGGTCTGAGTTTCCGGATGATGTCCTTTTTCACGTCCTCCTCGCGGAGCGCACGAGGGCTGCCATACTTAACGTCGTAGACGTCCGGTATGATGGTGGGAGTGATCCAGTAAATATCCGGCAGCTTTGGCAGGTTGTATGGGGTGTCCGGATTGTAATTGGTCATGCTATCAAATTTAGGAAGGCCAGGCACTCGAACAAGGGAGGTGTAGTAACCTGTGGTCTTGAACTGTCCGAATATGGATTTCTCGTTTTCATCCAAGCCAAACGGCCTAAGGTTGTGGAGGGTCGGTGGGATGGAAATAATAAGCTTCTTTGCATGAATTGTCTTTCGCCCGGATGGTGTCTTCACGGTAAGCTTGACGCCGTCTTTGCGACGCTCTGCATCTTCCACTCGGCTTTTAAACAGGACGTCGGATCCGATGATCTCCATCGCCTTGTCATAGATTTCGTTGTTGTTCCCGCTGGCCGGGTTTAAGAAGCCGTTTTTGAGATCGTTGAGAACAGCAAGGTCAAAAGTCTTCAGCACGTAAACCGTTAGCCGCTCGAGAAGATCGCCGTAGCCTTGACAGTAAGTATATATTATCTCGAGTGCGTCACCAATGTCGTACTTTTCCACGAACTTGGAGAAAGGTATAACCAAGTCCTCTGGGACTGGATCAGAAAAAATGAATCCTTTTTCCAATTCAGGGTATTTCATTGCTTGCATAGCATAAGAAGTAAGTGCAGCCGACATGTTAGATGTCTTATGGTCAACAATTTTCCCCGTTTGAAAGTTGGCGTAGAGTTTGACGCCCGGGTCGTTGCCAAAAAACGTATCCTTATATTTAATCCCAAGCCGTGTGAAATACTCCCTAGTGATATCCAAATCATCGAAAATCGCAACCCCAAAGTTGATAGCCTTCTTCGTCCTTGGATCGATGAGTGTATCAGTGTGCCCTCCGAGTGTCTCGTCCTGCTCTATGACCACCACTGACTTCCCCTTATCCCGCAACCGAACTGCAGCATATGTTCCTGACGAGCCACCTCCAATAATGCACACATCGCGTGTGATGTCTTCATGTTTTCCACAAGTCGAGCAGCAAGAACCTCCCGGAAAAATCATTGAAATCCCAAGGAAACTAATCATCGAAAGGCCGAGAGCCCTTACGAAAGAGGACGCCATGTTGCCGTCGTATCCCAGAAATATTCACGGTCAAGAAAGATTTCCTAGGTGTCGAGATGGACGAAACAAGGTATCCAACAGCGACGCGGCACGGGGTAAATATATATACACATACATATTACGGAGTACTCCAAACCGCGGAGCTATTAAGAGCGTTGCTCAAGAATGCGCCAACTGACCAGCCGTCCTGCGGTTGTGAAATCAACTATTTTATACCGGGCTGAAATATGCCGCGCAAAGCCTAGGTACCTAGTCATGCGATGGTCCAAAGCAGGCGCCCCGTTCCAGGCCGTAGAGGAGGACTCGCCCTCCAAAGGGGGGGAGGAACCAAGGCAGGCAATCCATGTCAGACATCAATGATGTCTGTGACTTCTCCAGCTATCAACAGTCGTAGATACAATATCATGCTCGAGAAGGAAGAGGAAGAGCGATGTGCACATGGGACTCGGCCAGTCCGAGGCCCCGTGGTCAAAAAGAAAGCGTTGCACAATAGCATCGGGAAGGGAAGAAGAGTATATCGGGAGTAGGGAGCCTAGTCATTCGTTGGTGATCTTGGAAAATCCTGGAAAGTTCGACGAAGGAGGAAAAAGATCAACCACGACTCGACCTTATCCGTCAAAAATCTTCGTGCGAGGTCCCATGCAGGAGTAGCCAAGTCGCGACGGAGAGGATTGCGAGAAAACGAGAATTGTCCGAAAGTCAATAGTTGACTGCAAAAGTGCCAATCCTTCCCTTTTATAGATCTTCTCGAGAAACCAAATCTTGTTTGGCTGTCCTGCCAATGCCACCTCTGCCGCTTGGGCTATTGTTCGCTCGTCTGTTGGGAACCTGGAGATTAGGTAGGATAGAGACCAGAGATGCGGCACACCAACCACAGTGACAAGAGCGCAGTCGAAAGCACATGATCAGGAAAGATGTCCATCCAGTATGATCATCAGGGAGTTCTGGTTGGTTAGTTACTCAACTGAGGGGGGGAACTTAGATCAATCAACTGTGTTGGTGATCGTCTGCGTGCTTGAATCAGACAGCGAAGCCTTGCCTTGCGGCTGCATCTATCACGAAACCTTCACATAACTAGCCATGGTATCACATATGTACTGCTTTAAGAAGCATGGTTAACCGCAAAAATTCCTATTGTCCAAAGCCATCAACTGCACTGGGATGACTAGTATGGAGCTGTCTTGTTTGGGACTGCATTAACCTGGAGAAAATGTGCCTCTGGAAATATCAACTGCCAAGTTAGTTGCTATGCCAATTTATTAAACTTAAGGTTGGCATCTTCACCCCCCGCGGACAAAATCTCCTTCGAGAAGTGAACAACGTCATCAAGCTCCTCTGGGAGCCTTGCACCAGCGGCCAGATCATTATACATTTTCCGAATCACACCCATTCGCGGCCCCGTTATTAGAAAGGCAACCATTGATCCTCCAAAGTTCACAGACCCTTCCTTGTCCGCTGAACAACGACCAAAGTGCTGCAGTGGGTCTAGCATGAGAAACTCCTTGCATTCCTGTAGCAGCCGGAAAAAGAGCTATAATTCTCAGATCAAGAATATGAAATTAATGACCTGGAGTTGTGGCGTCTCTGGCCCATATCTTCCAAGGAGCCATTGTCAGACCATTGATAAATTCGAATCTCTTTTGACGACTATAGACCGGCGTCTGCTACTATTCGGAAACACCACTTCCCACGGTCAGGTGCCAAGCAGGTAGGAAGGTTAGCTGAGTGTATAAGCTCTATATCAAAAGTGTTTGCTGTCACTCCCCCAGCCATGGCCGAAAGGATAAATAAAAAGTATGACCGGAAACAGTTTTGGGACCAGCTCTTAAAACCCTAATATGCCAAAATTCCCGACACCGGGATAAAACAAGTTTCGAGAAGCAGCTCAAGCTATACCACTGCAGTGATGTCAATGTTGGACAGTACCTTCACTTGAAAGGTTTGGGCAGCAGGGACTAGTTCCTCCAGATACCGTGGCTTGATTTTGAGAGCTAGGTTGGAATGTCTCTATATGAGCAGCAATGGAACCTTGGGGGATAGCGTGATAGCGCTGGGAGTTAGAGCACTGGACCGAAGGCGGAAGCCAATCGTATAAACTGCGGCGTTAGATTGCATCTGAGAGGTATGATGTGAACGAACTCTTCGGAGACAATACAGTTTCGACGGGAAAAGATCCGAAACTTTGATGCGCTGTGTCATGTGGGATGGGAAGACGGATGCGATAGGAAGCCCGGGAAAGGGAGTATATTATCTCGCTTCCTTGAAGAGGAGCTGGTCTGGGTTGGGGTTAATGAGACTGGCTTGCAGCTACCAGAGCTGAGAGAAATTTTGTCACCGAGATATGGCGTCACAAGAGTGTTAAGCATCAACATGGATCTGTTTTATATAATCCAGAGACCAGAATATCTGTGAATAAATAGATGCGTATTGTTTCGAGTTAGCAGTCGCTTTCCAACGAGCCCCTCTCCCCCAAACACCAAGGAGTTACATGCTACAGGCTCGGAGTCAAGATACTCCGAAAATATATCTAAAAGGCAGGGAAATAACAAAAGGAAAGTTGATGGTAGGCGGCTAGTCAAACTCTTGGATGGCCCTGATTGCATGACCTGCTGGTAACCTCCAGAATCTACAGCGGGTCTCCGTCTGACCATTCCTCTTCTTCCCTTACGGCGTGAAACTGACCGCCCATATTTCTTTTTCTCTTCTTTCCCCGGCCTACCTCCACGTTCTTGAACCGGGATTCTGCCGCCGGAGTGATTGGCTCGCTTCCATTCGTACAGAAGCTGTGGGCTTGTTCATTAGTGAGCTCGTCTTTGCGTGAGGTGTCGTCCAATGACTCAATTCCTTTCTGCCACTGCTCAAAGGCCTTGAGGGTCTCGCGCGCTTTTTCTTGAGCTGCTTGGATACTTTCCATGGAGAATAGGTCTTGGAAATCGGCGAGCCGGCGCTCCAGCTGTCTCTTCTGCTGCTCAAGCCTCTCGTTCTCGAGCCTCGCGCTATCAAGAGCGGTTGATATTGATGACAGGCGGACATTCAGAGACCCAACTTCCTTCTCATGCTTCTCGGACTCTTTTGCATTCGCTTCTCTCAGCGTAGACTCGACAAGCTCATGCTCAGTCTCGAGCTGTTGTATCCGTTCTCTGAGATTCAATATCTCTCCGTCACATTGTTCGAGAGTACTCTGCATTGCCTCGCAGAGATCCTGCTCATGTGACAAGTTCTTTTCTAGGCTCGCAATCCTTGCCTTCGTCAGCTCATTTTTCTCGTCCAGTTTGGTGTTTTCTATTTCTAGATCCTCGACTTGTCTCTTCGAGGCAGCGATCTCATCTTCTAATTTTGCGTTTAGCCGCTCCAGCATTTTAACATCAGACCTATAATCCTCCAAGGCCGCCGCAAGCCGATTCTTGTCGGTCGCATGGTCCTGGAGCTCTTTCCCGAGGCTTTGAAGCTTCACCCGTGCGTTCAGCATATCTTCGGCAATGGTTTCGGTATACTTTTCTAGACTTTCATTCTTTTTGGAAGCTTCCTCAAAGCGAAGTAAAGCTGTGTCGAACTGCCGACGCAGCGCAGTCTCGCGCTCTTGGTAGCCGGTAATCTGTGCTTGTGCTTTCTTGAGGTCTGCGACGAGCCGAGTTATTCGTTCCACCAAGGCATCAATGGTTGCACTCCAGTTTGACAGGTTGGCGTTTGGTGTTTCACCGGGTACCGCTCGTTCAAGTTCTATTCTAGCGTGGCGGAATCGGGCGCCGATGTTGGTGATGACCTCCATGGCATCGATGCCATCAAACCCATGATCAGAAAGCTCCTTTTGAACAGTTTCGACGGTTTTGGCGGCCTCAGAAGCGCGGGTGGTGGCCTCGCGCAAACTAGCAATGACCTGCACAGCTAGGTCTGGAGGTGGCGTAGAAAGCGTGGTTTCTATGTCGTTTCGTCCACCACTCTGGTCAGTGGGCTTCATCACGCCCTGCCATTCCCGAAAAAGGTTCCGTCGTTCCACCTTCCTTCGCTCAAGATCCTCCTTCAACGACTGGACCTCCCCACGACAGCTGTGAAACGACACTTGCGTACCAGCGTCTATCAAAACCGGAACGCAAGGAATATCAGGAACACAATCTCCAACGGACTCAAACGCATCGGCGCCCGCATTGAAACCCATGTCATCATCACTTTCGAAGGCAGCCAGCGGGACAACGGTGCCTTCTGCGGCCAGCAGTCCGCCGCCAGTCATATCACTTATATCAACTCTCTCGTTTCTCAGTCGATCCAACTCATCCCTTAGCATTCTCAATTCGTCATCCTTTTCCTTCTCGAGCTTTCTCTGGAGTCTCCGCCTCTCCTCGATCGCATTCATCTCCTCACTAAACCCCGATCGGCCAATGCGCCGTCTCGTCCTAGGGTCAATGATGTCATTAAACGGTATGAACTGCCACGACCGAACGTCCTGTGTTGGGGAGGATGATGATGGCTCGCCCAACTTTCGCTTCCTGCTGCTTGCCTGTGGATAAGGGGTTGTATGACGGCGGTGTTTGCCCCTGGGGACATCATGTCTTGTAGCCTCTTCACCGGTCGATATGGTAGGACTGGATGCGATAAGTCGAGTCCGCGAGATATGTGGTGTTAGTCCGCTAGACAGGGTTGCAGTTCCCGGCACAGCTTCCAACCTCTTCGTCCTTTTCGATGTGCGAGACCCTGGAGTTTGGGGTGCATGGCCCGCGTCCGATGTATTTTCCATTGTGCAGTTAAGCCTATGCTCAAGTTTAGAGAGCAGTAACTGGTAGGTATTCAGGGACCCAAGCCGGGACGCTGTCCAGTCTTGGCCGGGAGGTGTTAGCGAACTTCCAAGAGAGGGTAAGTCTATCATTCTGAGCAGGAGGAAATATTTTGCAGGAGTTCAATGGGAATAAAGGAGTCGAGGTGCGTCGGGGAAAGATGGCACGTTTGTAAACATAAAACCATTATCTGGTGCTAATCACAGATTTCTACATACCTTCGAACAAACACAAAGGGGGTGAATTCGCCCAGCAATAACACTTCCCAACACGCGTCTGGAATCTGAAACTCGGAGTCCTTCCCAGACCGCCCTCTGGAGTCCACACAAAAAACACACACACACACACCCTGCAGACCTGCAGAAGACCACCAACGGTTTTGAAACAAGTCCGCTCGAGCAACGGTTGCAACGACGGTTGGCGACTCTCTGTCTGACGCGACGCTCGAGAAAAAAAATAAATAAATAAATAAATACTCTTACAAAAAAGGAGCCAACCTCGGAAACGTCCGAAGTCAAATCTCGAGTTTCCCTGTGCTACCAGACGCGTCCTCGGCCCAGCGAACCTTTAGGCTGCCATGCAAAAACACACGCTTCCAAACCACAATTTCAATGCACGGATGATCGCGATCCCGCGAAGAGTTAAAATTATCGCGCGATGAGGCTCTTCGCGTCAAACTGCCCAACAAGGCAACAAACGTCTCTCTTCCGTCGCGACTTCCATCAACTGCCCGCGATTGGACTTTCGACGCGATTTCGCCCGCATCCCGATCCCGTCGTTCTGATTGGTCAGGGTATGGGTCCACCTCTGTTGCACGCCATACCAGATCTAGTTAGAGATAAACAAGGGGTTCCAGCTCCTGGTTTCCTTCCGCCGAGCAACGCGGAATCCGAGGAGCGGGCCAATCGGAGCGTCGTACGCGTGAAGTGGGCGGAACGGAGATGGCACTCGCGGGGCGGGGAAAGAACGTGGTCGATACCAACATACACATGGGATTTAAGAGGGAGAAGGAAAGTGCCCAAGAATAGATTCAAATTGAGGTGTATCATCACTCGTTACTACCGAGAACTTTTTTTCTTTCGACGCCAAACATTCGCAATCTGACAAAAGCTTGACTCTTGAGATCTCGAACAGTGGAAAAAATAAATCCAGGCCGCCAAGGCGAAGGGAAACCAAGATCTTTTTGTTAAACAACATTCGAACCATAAAAAATCCCGTCCCAAAATGACCCCGCTCTCTATAACCAGGAAAAGTGACAGCACCTTTCTGAGATGCGAGGGGATGCAACATGAAGGCGAGGATGGAGCAATTGCTCGCTTACTCGGCGAGGCCCAGGTTGGGTTCAGCTGGAACGACACGGATGGTGTTGGTATGTCCTTGGCCTCCACGCCATCCCTGGACGCAGACCACGGAGTCGCCCTTAGAGATGACTTCCAGTGTGAGGGCCTGGGCAATGCCCCACTTGAGACGGCGGTCGACATCCTCCTGCCAGATCCTGATGTTAAAATCAGGCTTCTTCTCTGGGAAGAAGAACGGGTACACGCCACGATAAAGGTGGGAGTACTATTAGAATTATCAGCAACTGTGTGTCCGGATAGGTGATTCTCGAGGTGGGAAACTCACCCGAGCCGCAGCTTCATTACGGGTGACCATGATAATTGGGCAGACCGGTCGATATTTTGAGAGGAGACGTGCAGTGAGGCCGCTATATATTTAAAAAAAAATAAAAAAGAAAAGGAGTGGTGTTAGTGCACATTTCGCTCCGGTTCTGCCTTCAATTCGGAAGTAAGGTCAAGGAGTGAGAAACTCACCTTGTGGTCAGAACAAGGATGGCGCCCGCATTGAGCTCGAGGCTAGCGGACACGGCAGCCATAGCGATGGACTCAACTGTATCTGCTGGCCTGGGGCAGAGGTTCCGCAACTCATCGAAGACGCTGAAGTAGGGGATAGCAACTTCGGCTTGCAGGCATGTTTCGTGCATCATAGCAACTGCTTCCTTGGGATAGTTGCCCTTGGCGGTTTCACCAGACAACATCACACAGTCAGCACCATCAAGAACTGCATTGGCGACGTCGGATACTTCGGCGCGTGTTGGACGAGGATTGTACGTCATGGACTCCAGCATCTGCGTCGCGCAGATCACGGGCTTTCCCTTGATGTTGCACTTGGCTATCATCATCTTTTGAGCAATGAACACCTTTGGTGCCGGAATCTCAATACCCAAATCTCCTCGCGCGACCATAACGCCGTCAGCCTGATCCAAGATCTCGTCAAAGTTATTGACACCTTGTTGGTTCTCTATCTTTGCTATAATCTGGATTTCATGGCCCTCGTCTCCCAAGACCTCTCGAATACGCTTGATATCATCGCCACGACGGATAAATGAAGCAAAGATCATGTCGACCCTATTTTTAACACCGAATTTAATATCATCGATATCCTTCTCTGAAAGAGCCGGGAGGTCGACATCAGTGCCGGGAAGGTTGACTCCCTTCTTGGAAGAGATAGTTCCATTGTTGAGACACTTAACGCGGAGTGTCTGATCGTCCACAATACCCAGGACTTCAAACGAGAGAACTCCATCGTCGACGAAGATAAGCTTGCCCTTTTCAATTACCTTAGTGATATTTTTGTAGTCCACGTATCTACGACGGTGTTAGCCGGGAAGAAAATACTAAATCGAGGACGCTCGTCGAGGGTGGCTAACAAGTTCTTGTTGTCGCTCTTGGCTGCGAAGTCATCATGTGTGGTGATGTTCAACTCTGTCCCAGCAGAAATTGGAATATCTTTATTATCTGGAGTAAGTCCGGTGCGGATTTCAGGTCCTTTCTGTAGAAACAAGGTCTGTCATTTGCTGTTCTTGCTGCAAAAACAAAGATCGTGATTGTCGCGGCAAGGCTTCTTACAGTATCGAGTGCAATAGCAAGGGGGCGGCCTGGTTGGATTCTCTCAGCTTCTTTTGCGTTGTCAATGACCGATTGGTGGTACTGTAAGGAGAAATCGATAGGTTAGCTTCGGGAAATACCAAGCCGTATGAGTCAAACATATTCTTGGGAGGACTGAGCACACCTCGTGAGTTCCATGAGAAAAGTTCATGCGCACAACATTGAGCCCGGCTAGAAGGGGGGATTAAAAAGAAAAAATAGAAGTTAGGACTGAAGTATTGATATTGTATTGGTATTCGCTGCCAAACCTTTGCGCAGGATGTTGATGGTTTCAACGGAGTTTGTCTTGGGACCTAGGGGGGAGAAGAACAGGACATCAGTGAGGAGACTTCAGCCGGCATTTGTCTGTAGAGCAGTCCGAGTAGATTGCAAGCACATAGCTCCAGTGAACCTGTGAGTTGGGCATAGAAAGCTCGAAAACCGCCCAGGAGCTACATGTGTAAAGAGGAAGCTTCAACTCACCGATGGTGCAGATTATGGAGGTCCTGCGATAGTTTTTTGCTGGCTGGTACTCGGTGCTGAGCTTGGAAGTCCATTCCAGCTTCATCCTGTTGGACAGGTGGCTCAAGGAACTCGCCATGTATGATGAAGTGTTGCGGTCGTTGCGCGACATGGTGAAAGGAGACCGAGAAGAAGCAGCAGCTAAATAAGCTTTTATTAAATTCAGAAGGTAACAGTGTGTTCTTACGGGACTCTCCTCGAATCTGACAGCTCACTAGTGTTGTTTGGGAGACTGTGTTGATGGCAGAGCCAAAGAAGAAAAGTGAGGTCTAGTTGGTTAGCCAGGCGGTAGTGAAATGATCGATCAATGGTATTGTTTTGTTGGGAGAAGGAGGGGATATGCGTTGGTTAACTTGGCGTATTTTTGGGACTTGGGAAGAGACAACGCTTTATCAGATTCCGGTCGCTGCAACGCAATCTCCTGTAACATGAAACTCCCCCCCAAAAAGCTCCCACCCTTTATTTTTTTTTTTTTTTTTTGGTCTTTTCTTTCTCCCTTGCTTCTTAATTACTGTTCCAGACGGTAATTTGCGAGCAAATCGTTGAGCACGAGGAATGGCACGGCAATGCCTGGCTGGTCGCCATTGGCCGCTCTACGTCACTCGAAGCTGGGGTCGGACCTGTTGACAACGTCATGCATCGCCAACCGATTTTCTCATGACCCGGTCTGTCTCTTCCCATCCAAGGCGCATCTTCGCCCCTCCACCCCACGAGGCAGATACTGCAACGAAGACGAGGGATACCAAAAATTACACGCCGCACAGCATGGACTCAAGTCAAAAATTACAGCAGCAGCTGAATGCGCAGCAAGGAAAAGCGCGATTTTTTTTGGGACAATTTTCGAGCCTGCAAAGCTGCCAGATTCGAGCTTGCTGATTGGACTGGGAACTGACTGTTATCTTATCGGCCACTGGACTTGCCAGAGCGTCTAACCGTAGCCGGTCTAGCCTCTGCCGTCGGCGCCTGGATTTGCGGGCCTTGCCCCACCGGTGCAGCCCTGCGCCAAGGCGGACTCGGCCGCTTTCGGGTTAGCGCTTGATAAGCCTTCAGCGTGGCCCACTAGGCTGGTTTAGGGTTAGCACCCGGTGAGTCAGCGGCGGGCAGACCTTGCCCCGATGGGATAATTGTGATGGAGGACTTGTATGCTTGTCATTCACTAAGCTACCTAAAGGGGAATCTCGGCTAATCTATGTGGGTCACGTGAGCGAGGTGCTAGTTGGATTACCTAACACCCCCCCATGCAACGAGCTCCAGCAGCGAGCGAGAGCCACAAAGATCCAAAGCTTCCAAATCTCTCAAATCCGCGATAAAAATTAATTACAGAATCCAGATTTATTCCTTCTTTAGGCTTAGCTCCGTTTCGCCGCGATACCGTATTTTCGCTGGCTTCACTGATAAACCTCCATATTTTCCTGTATCAACTCGTCACCCCTATCGCGCTCACGAATTGAGCGTAGGGATCCATTGCAAGAGCCTTCGTGAGCCCGTCAGCTTTATTCGCGTCGGTTCCAACATGCTCGATTGAGATTTCGTCCTTTTGAACCCAGTCTCTTAGCATATGGTGCCGAATCTCAATATGGCGTGCTCTTCGCGTTATAGCTTCAGCTTTGGCTAAGTCAACGGCTCCCTTGTTGTCAACACTTAATTTTGAGCTCCTTAGCCTTGCTGAGCCTTCACTAATTACCCCGGCATCTATCAACAGGTCGTTGATCCAAACCAGTTCACAAGCGGCTTCGCTAGCTGCCAAATACTCCGCTTCGGTCGTAGATTTCGAGACGGACGTCTGGCGCTGTGATCTCCACGATATTGGAGCTCCGTTCATGGTAATAATATAGCCGCTGGTGGATTTGTACGCAGGGTCGGCTCCAGCCCAGTCAGAATCCGAACTGGCTGCCGGTTTCAAGCCTTCAGGATCCATATCCCTTTTGAAGACTATTCCTTTCGATTTTGTGCCCTTGAGGTAGCGTAGGATCTGCTTGAACGCCGCCCAGCTCTCCCTATTGGGCCTGCTGTTGAATCTCGCCAGATAATTGACTGCGAATGCAATATCCGGCCTCGTACACGTAACTAGGAACTGTAGAGAGCCCAGGCCTTTCCTGTAATTCGTAGGCGTAGCCTGCTCGTCAACTCCATCTTTGAGGGTCTGATCTGGCGCGAATTCGATGCTTATTCCTTTCTTCATTGGCGTTTTGGAAGGTTTGCAGTCTTCCATTCCATATTCGGTCAGTAGATCCTCGATATACTGTTCCTGGTTCACAAAAAGGTCTCCATTTGGCTGCTTTTGAACCCGCATGCCTAGGTAACGGCCCTGTTCCGTAACCTCCTTGATTTCGAAGCGTTCCTGAAGCTTCTCGATGAGCCATTCTGTTTCGGCTTCGTTGGGTCCCATTATACGGCAGTCGTCGACGTGTAGGGTTAGGTAGATTTGCTTCCTCTTGTGGTAAAGTAGGCCCGCGTCGTATGGAGAGATCTGGAATCCTAGAGATTTCAGATAGTCAGTAGCTGCTTGATACCAAAGCCTAGCAGCTTGCTTCAACCCGTAGAGTCCCTGGCGTAAGAGCCCTACTAGGTTACCCCGCCCGTGCTTGAATCCAGTGGGTAGTTGAACGTATACACGTTCGTCCTCTGGAAGAGTTCCATTTAGGAAGGCTGTCACGAAGTCAAAGACTCTGACCTTCCAGTTCTTGGCTGTTGAGATAGCAAAGAAGGCTCTCGTTGTAGGTCCACTAACAACTGCTGCGTAGGTCTTCTTGTAGTGAACGCCTTCTTGCTGTTCGAATCCACGTACGACCCAACGGGCTTTGAATCATACTGTGCCACCTGTGTTGTTGAGCTTCCTATCAAATACCCATTTGCCAGAGAGGATCTGCATTTCAGGTTCCTTCTCGACTAGGATCCAGGTGCCTTTCTCTTGTAGTTTGGAGACTTCAACATCTAGAGCCTCCTTCCAATAAAGCCACTCTTCGGAGCGTTTGGCTTCAGCGATGGATTTTGGTATGTCTGTACGCGTGCTGAGCACTGGAAGCTCAGCTCCATTCGCCTCTTCTTCTTCCGTCGCATCCGAGAGGATTTCTTGCTCTTCGCCCAGGTATGTGGGCTCTAAAGCCTCTAATTCGCCGTCCGCGAGCTTCTTCATGATTTCTGGCTTCTCCTTCGCAAGGTAAGCTAGTAACTTGTGTTGCCAGCCGTTCAATGGATCTATGTAATCATACTCCTCCGGGAGTTCAACGTATTCAGCTTCGGTTAGTGAATTCGTAGGGATTTGATCCAATTTCTCATCAAATATAACATCTCACGAGATCATTATACTGTTCGTTTCTGGGTCCCAAAGCCTGTAGGTGTGCATGCCACGATATCCTACAAATTTGACCTTCTTGGACCTAGGTTGGAGCTTCGAGGATTCATTCAAAATCTTCACATAGGCATCACATCCCCACCTATGGACCCATCTGCAATGGGGTTGGTGACCCGTCCAGGCTTCAAAGGGTGTCAACGGCTTCATGTTCTTGCATCCATATAGAGGCACTGAGGTAGGCGATAGATTCACCATCATGGAGACTGTGGCGAGAGCTTCGCCCCATAACTCATTGGGTAGTCCTGAGTCTATAAGTACGCTTCTTGTTCGCTCGCAAAGAAGTCGTATTCCTCGTTCACTCGTTCCATCTTGTTGAGGTGTATATGGGCACGTAATCTCCTGTTGTATACCCTTGCTCCTGTAGAATTCAGCCAGTTGTTGGCTCGTCAATTCGGGAGCTCCATCGGACAGTATAGTGCCGATTTTTCGTTCGGTAGACACTTCAATCATGTTGATCCAGTTCTTTAGGGTTTCTGGAGCTTCTACCCGCTCCTTCAGGAGGTAGATCCACCTGTATTGTGTGGCATCGTCCGTTATAAGTAGGAAATACTTCGCTCCGCCGTAGCTTGGAGGATCGGAGTCTGTGGATAGGGTACGGCCGCCACCTGCAATATCAATAAAAATTTTAGCTCCAGGCTTTGTAGAGCGTGTTCTAGGTTCGAATGGGTTGCGAGCTTGCTTAGCTTTAGCACAGGTTTCACAGAACCCTAGCTTCTTTACTCCCTTTATTCGCATTGCCATTCTCGGATCTCTAGCTAGAATAGCTATATCATGGGCGTTGAGATGCCCCCAGCATTTGTGCCAATTGGCCATCGTATCCTCCTTGATTTCTGGCGTCTTTGCCAGGTGATTCGGTGCCAAAAGCGCGTCATCTCTATCTTTATTCTCTAGAGTTGCTGTTACATAGCAGGGCTCTAGGAGTTTCGTAGGTACTGGAAACGCGTATGCCAGTAAATTGCGTATCCTAGGCGTTCGTAGGACTAGGATGTCATCCTCGTTAAGCACGGCTTCAAAGCTCTGTGTTTTATCTGCCGATTCTAGTAGGAAGATGTGTTCTCCGTCGACATAAAGCTGTTCCACTGTAAAGCCGTCTCGTATAAGCTTCCCAAAGCTTATGAGGTTAACCTGGAGGTCAGGCACGATTCTAACCCCCCCAATGCTCAATTCTCCATTGTCAGTTTGGATACTGGCCGTGCCAAATCCTCTGGTGACTGATTTCGAACCGTTCGCCATAAGCAGTTGTGTTGCATGGCTCTTTGGGTCCATTTGAACTAGATCCGTACGTGAGGTCGCGTGGGATCCGGCTCCAGAGTCAAGGATCCATTTGTCTGTGGATTCGCGCGCTTCTTTCATAGAGAAGGCTGCTTCGTGAACCGAATGGATCTTGTCCGTTGCAACCGTAGCTGTTTCCTTGCCTTTGCCTTTAGAGTCTTCTTTAGGCTCGTTAGGCTTCGAATTCTTGTTAGATTTGCAAAATTTAGCCAAATGGCCAGGTTTGCCACAAATATAGCAGTTCCAGTTCTGCAGTGAGCTCTTCTCTGGATTGGATTCGGAGTTCGTATTCTTATAAGATTTTTGGGGATCCGAGCTTGTTGCATTTGTATTTGGCTTTGTAGATCCGCCTTTCTTCAGGTCTTTCTTGGGGATTCGGTGGAGGATATCCTTCAGTAGGCCTTCCAAATCCTTCTCCGGTAGGTTCGTTCTGCTCTGGCATGCCATATCAAATCGGTTCTGTATGAACTCTCTCCATCGGGACGTAATGTTCATCTTCAAGATATCATGTAGGGTGTGGTCCAGTTGTTTGAACCCTAATCTCTCAAATTCCCCACGGATTGCTAGGAATCTCTCTATATAATTCCTTTCTGAGCCAGCGGACTGTGGTGTCATTCTCACTAACTCCGTAAGTAGGCTTTCCCGCTGTATCTCAGGTCTCTCTTGGAAGGCTGTTCTTACAGCTTCCCAGAGTTTGTAGGCACTAAGGCTATCCGATTCCTCGAAGTGTTCTCTGGCTTGTGCAGATATTGTGCTGTCGATTAGGCCGTGTAGCCAATTATTCTGAACATTCCAGTATTGTGAAATCTTCAAGCGCTCTGGCCGTGGTGAAGTCTCTTGCCTTTCCAGGATAATCTTCTCAACACCTACTTGGCGGGCTACCTTTAGGATGGCTTTGCTCCATGCTAGGTAGTTGCTGGCTCCAGCCAGGGTCATAGGCTTCTTCACCGTCTTCGTGATCTTCGTGAATTGGGTGATTGCTCTGCCGATTCGCGTATTTGTGTCTATAAGGTTGCCAACATATTCTTCTAGTTCCTCATCAGAGTCTATTTCTCAGTCCTCTTCTTCTTCTTGTTGAGCTTCGTGCTCTAGGTTCTCCTGCATCGTTGCAGGTGCGTTTGCGGTGCTTGCTTGGCCTGATAGGAGGTTCACTTGCTGTGCCAGCTGTTGTACTGTCTCCTGTTGCCTTTGCATCAACTCCTGTTGCCTTTGCATCATCTCCTGTTGATTCAGCATCATTCTGCGCAACATTTGGAGTTCACTCTCCTCCCTAGGCTCCTGCTCGTCGTTTGGCGGGCTGCCTCTGAGCCTACTCGACCGCCTAAGCTCGGTTTGGGGTGTAGGGAGGTTTGTTGGAGCTTCCCGGTCGGGAGTTCGGTGCTCCGGTTCGTCCGTACGGTTCACCATGGCTTTGGCGTTGCCAGGTGCTCGATTTGCTTGCTAGGTGCGTTTAGCAGGCGTTTCGCTCACTCTCTGGTCGCGTGCCAGAAAGCTACAGGGTTCAACTCGCTCTCCAGCTCGGTGCTAGAAAGCTACAGGGGTTTGCACGTATAGGAGGTGTCTATCTCGACGTACGCTCTCTTTAGTGCTCGTAAAACCTCGTTATCCACAAGGATAACCGTTCAGGGTGTTGATCGTAAGCTTCAATAACCAATTGAGCTGTAAATCAACCTTATACGCTTGCTCTTCAGCGCAAAGGGCTATAACCTGATGGAGGACTTGTATGCTTGTCATTCACTAAGCTACCTAAAGGGGAATCTCGGCTAATCTATGTGGGTCACGTGAGCGAGGTGCTAGTTGGATTACCTAACAAATTGAACTCTCCCGCTACGTGATTGGCCTTTTTGCCTACAGGACTGCCTGGAATCATCACGTGATTCGTTACTTAGTAACATTCCTATGAGGTAATCCAACTCGCGTGACCCACACTAGATAGACGAATATCTCGCCCTTAGTTACAGATGACAAAGCCAACGCATTCCGGGTTCCCCATCAATAGTTACGGCGGGCGGCAACCGCCGTTTGAGTTAAACTACGTCGGAGACGTTCACCACCATCAACATCAACAGCAGACAACTCTGGCTGCCCACCAATCTCAACATCCCCGGCCTTGAGCACCCTAGGAGTTTTCCTCTCCGCCGCAAGATCCCGCAAAACCACATATCTCCCCTGTCGACATTTAAATTGACATCATTCTCTTATTCGCCGTACTCGCAAAGATGGTGGTATGTCCTCTTCCTTTCACCTCCGCGCTTGCTGGGTCACCTGCTAATCAGCTACGTTTGAATGGCTTCCAGCTCGGCCGCCTAACTCATTATGCTTTCGATGCTGTCCTGAGTACGTTGTTCCCCCAGTTCCCCTTTCCTCCTCACGAGAATCGCAAGTGGAACGTGCAAATCAGTCATGCTGAGATTCAGGCGGCAAAAACGTTTTTGCTAACAGAACCTCTCTAGTTTCGGCATTCCTCGCTGGAATCAAACGCTCCACAGGCCTCACGTAAATCCCCCCTCCTTCTTGCCTTTTCATCATCTCCCTCTCTACTCCAGTCGGAGCCGACAACTCAGCTAACCACGACTACTTACCTCCACCACCCGCTCACTCCAAGCCCTCTCACCTTTCCACGGGTGCTGAGCTCGGGCAGCGGTGTTCACTGCGGGTGGGCGGAGCTGGTGGATTCGCCTCTTCTTTTAGCCCCAGCTTAAACTCAGACAAGATCTCCGACAACAAAGAAGTCAAGCGATGGGTCGATAACTACCTGGGCGTCGGAGAGTGGGTGATGGATCAGAGCATCGCAGTGCTAGGGTCGTCCGGCTGGTTTGAGAGACGGCGGTAATTAGGCGAAAGCGGAAGCTTTTTGCTGTTGATTCTCGTTGACGGTTTACGATTACCAAGTGTCATTTTTTTGAGCGCATCAGCTATCCTGGTGGTCTTTCGAGGGGTTGGCGCGGTTTATAGCCTGTTTTGGGGGGGGGGGGGGGGGGGGGGGGGGGTAATGGGCCTGTATCACCGCTATTACTTCTTGACTATGACTCTCGCATCTAATGGGGAGTCACCACCGCTAGACGCCTCTACGCCCTGGAAGAATTCTCACCTCTACTTTCTCGTCTCTGTCCTTTTACATGTCCCTGTACCACTGTATATACATGACAGCTCGGCGCCTTGGAATTTTTTTTTTTTTGTTTTTTTTTTCTCCCATGAGATTAAACTCACACTAAGCTGGCGTTTTTGTTTCTTGCACTCTCGTTGATGGTTCGAATAACCGTACAATATTAAAGAACGGGCTGGGTAGCCTAAGAATCCTTCCCCGCGTTGCTTCTCCTTTTGTGTCCTCTATATATAATCGTAATCCCCAAACTCCATGGTCTCTCATTCGACAAAGCTCTCTTATGTCATGAAAAGACTACATAGAGCTTCTGCGCCGTCATAAATGCAATAGACCCCCAAGTTTCACTGGTTCAGCAGCTGATCAATGTCAATACGCCGGTAGTACGATATGTGGCCAAGTTCCGTCCAATAATGTGCGATGCAATCGTTTGAAATGAGAATAAGCTGAGAAGGGATGTACGTATCTAATCGCAAAAAAAGACCAGTTAGCTATATAGCAACCTAGGATATATGTGCAGTAAAAGCACGAAGTCAACAATTGAGAAATAAGTTCTACCTCTGGCGAAGTTCGTAGCCGCGATATGTCCCCAACTATTCACGACGCGAGCTCCCCGAAACATTTCCTCGTCGGCAATGCGAATAGTTCCATTAGGACCGATATCATCAGCTTTGAAGGTTATCTCACCGCGAGGAACATTCGGATCGCCTGTTAATTTGATGGCTTTCAAGCCCCGATAGGGTACATTCCCAGGTTCGACGTTTTGAGAAGAAGTTGCTTGGCTGCTTGAGGCAGCGTTCTCCACCGTCGCGCCAGCAGCACTGTGGCCAGTCGACGCGGGGTCATAATCTTGCTGAAGTATCAATAGGTACTCAGATCCATGCCCAGAGTAATCCCCAATCCAGATTCCCTGATATGGCTTGTCCTTTGTCGGTGTATAGAGGTCAGGGCGTAGAGTCCCAAACGTGGACACGCCATCCATCACAGTCCCAACTTCGAACGTAGACATATTCCCACCGAACTGTATCCATCTCCTCAACCGGAACCCAGCTTCAGAAACCTCCTTCAAGCGTAGCGGCTTATCTCTAAAAGCAAAGGTTTCAATGTCCGAATACGCGACATTAACCCGTTCGTCGGCCGGAATAGTACTTGGCGGCCAGACCATTCTCGACTCGTCCTCATCCTCCCTGGTCTCCGTCTTATCGCAGAAGATAAAGGAGCTAAATACTCTTTGGGCCTCGAGGTCCATCGGCATCCGGACCTCTGACCGTCGACCATGCGAATCGGAACCCCACCCCAACGCCAGCTCCTTTTCAAGCAGTATAACCGGGTCATCAAGCCATAGCGAAACTACCGGATCAAACGAGCTGACAATAACCGAGGGATTCTTGCTCCACGCCTGGACGAATCCGATTGAATGCCTGGCGACGATTCGATATCCTTCGATACGGCCACGAGGAGCGTTGTATCGGACGAGGATCAATTTCCCCGTGTTCTTAACGTCGGAAAACCAGATCTTATTTCGCACGAGGAACCAGAATGGATGATAAGCTACGTATAGTGACCGGAAGGATTCGAAGGGGGAGGGGTCATGGAGACGCGTGTGGACGTTAGAATCAACCAGGGCGGCCCAGAGTAGCTCGCTGTTTGCGTGTTCTCGGAGGAACTGGCATGTCGCGGACAAGGAAGTCAGGTCTAAGGCAGATACGTAGGAGAAAATTTCATATAGAAGCTCTGATGGGAGAGAGAGGAGCGGCGGAATGAAGAACGTTTGGGTGTCCTCCGGCGGGTTCTCCTCATGTTCGGCATTGTTGATAACCCCGCAGAGCTGGCCGTTATCCGCCACTGATGGTTCAGAAGGCATGTCGGGCTCCATTGTAGTTGAACCCAGCCCAGATAAATGATCGAAACGGAAAAGTTGTGATCACATCCTCCATTTAGTGATTTGTTTGTACAGTACGGGTGTGGGGGAGTATCAACAATTGAGGTGGCTCGGCTTCGAAGACCGCTGACATCACCATTTAGTTGCTAATAACTAACCACATTCACTAGCAATCCAGCGCTTGAAAAGGCCAACAACAGTGGGTATTATTCTGAAATTATGACATGTAATTTGTCTTCTAAAATGTGATTAAAAGGAAATGCATGAAGGTGTGGATAAATATGCCAAGAACTGAAACACGCTGACATCTTTCGTAGCTCGCTCTCAGAACTGTCGTACATCATACAAAAGTACATCGTTTCATAAATCGTTTATTAGCTCAGCCTGTCGATCTCCGAGGTCACTTTCTTGCCTTCCATCGAGCGCACTGGGGACGGGCTTCCCTAGATTTGGAATCTGAAACTGGTGCCAGGGGCTGTGCGAAAAATGATTAGCTTCTTCTCTCCGATGGGGGAAGAAAACGGAGAGCCACTTACTTTGGAGCATGAAGGACGTATCTCGCCATCGCCTCACGGAAACGATTCTTGTATTCCTTGGGACTTGTCACTGTTGGACGATTCTTGCCGCCACCAGCAAATCCACGGTCCTTGATCCATGATTCCAGTTTCTTATCCCAGGTGTACGTCCTTATACAATCGATGATCCCGACAACAAGCTCCTGACGACCTTCATCAATCGCAATCATAAGGGAGTAATCCATGACATTCTGGCGCGCGAGAAATAATGTATCATTCCAGACGCTCTGGCTGAGAAGCTTCTTCGAGTGCTCTCTTGTAAAAAGTGGACTTTCGTAGATAAACTCAACCATATTCTCATCGAGAAGGACCTCATTCTGCTCCCCTGTACTCTGCACCTTGCGATTACGCATGGAGCCTTTGAGGTCAAATATACGGGTGGGGTTGCGATCGTAAAACAGATTCTCCATGAGTAGTAAAAACCAGTTGAATTCTACTCCGGTAGTGGGATTCTTGATAATGACTTGGTAAAAGCCAAACATTTTGGCTATTGCGGAGGGGAGTTCGTGAAACAGAGCTTCGGACATAATCTGAAAATATGCCGGCGCAAATTTCAAGAAAGCCTGAGTCTCAACTGTCGATAGTGATTTGAGGATGAACCTCTCATCAAGTGTCTTCAGGAAGAGGGACTTAGTTTTGCCGCCTTTGGAATCCCATTTCATGCAGCGAGATAGAGATTCCACGATGCGTTCAGAGATGCCGCATTTTCTCCGAAGGGCATCAAACTGCTCCGCGTAAAATATCTTGCAAAGCATTTTCGCGCTGCCCTCCTGGAATTGGTACTTAAGGTGTGTCCCCGTACTCCGCAGCAGCGACTGCTCAACTTCTGGTTGAGAATCGGGACTTCCAATTTCCGTTGGAATGTTCGTCTGGGCCATCTCATTAGTTTCTTGAATGCTTCGAAGCTTCTGCTTGTAGTCGCCCGAATCTAAAGCAAACGCGATCAAAGAGCTCGGTTCATCTTCTCGGACAATTATGTCACAATCAGCAAACACATGATCTGAATCGCTCAAGGGGTAGTCAAGAGGTGCCCAGCCACTCGCGGAGCGCTCTGCCCAAAAGTTGGCAAGCATCTTAACCAAAGAGTTCCGTTCATGTTTCGGCAGCTCCTTTAGTTCCAATGCAATTTCATCGGCAGGTATATTATTCGCATCTTCGGCTGAATGAAACTCTTCAAGCAGACATTTCTCAGTTTCACTCTGCTCACCATCACCATCAGGTTCCGAGGGAGGCTGACTACCTTCGCGCGAAGACTCCTCAGACGGCCTTGGCTCAGACTCCGGCTGAGGCTCTTCGGGCTTTGGTGGGTGATCGGCAGGGACAACACGTTTCTCCCCTCCATCGGTTAGGCTGGTCGACTCCCTCGATGGGGCTCCCGAAGGCAGGTTTGTCAGGAAGTCTTCGTCTGAGGGGTCAACTGCATCCTTCACGCTCTTGTAAACTTCCATGATTGGATTCGAGGATGCCATTGGATATGCACGTGACTGCTTCCCCTGCGCAGCTCGTTGTCTCCTTTCCCTTTGCCGTTCTTTCTCGAACTCGCGACTCAATTGCTCAAAATGTCTTGCAAGTGAGGAAACCTTTGAGTTAGGCTTGCTGGGGATAGAGCGCGGTATCAGAGAATGCCCCGATGTCAATTTGCTAGGTTTTAAAGACGACAACCCCAGTCGTTCCGAAAGCCGTTTTTCGGCTCCTTTTGGCTTTGATTCTTCGGTATGATAGTAAGGGGTTTCTTCATTCTTGGGGGGAGGAGTAGTGCTTGGAGTAAAGTTTGCAGGAGAGAGTCTTCCGGTGAGGCTCTTTTCCTTTTGGATATGCGCAGGTTGTGACTGGGTTCGAAGGAGCGGTGGAGAGCGTGCGCGGAACGCTCTCCGAATCCCTTTCTCACCCGAAGGGCGCGGTATCCCTGATGGAGGAGGTTTAGAGGTCGTTTCTTCCGTAGCTTCGGAGGAATTGTTATCATCGCCTAGATTATCGGAAACCTCTTCGGGCTGTGGGTCCTTTTCAACCTTCGACGAGGCTTCCGCTTCATTGGCGTCTGCATTCAAGCTCGGCGGTGTAACTTCAGAAATTCGCTCCAGGAAGTTAGGCTGGTCACTAGAGTCTTCAGCAGTTTCCTTTGGCGGCGAAAGTCGTTCGGCAATGCTATTAGGAATAGCCAAATCCAAATGCTGCACACCATCCTGAGGATTCATGGGTGTTTCCGGAGGAATATTTGCTTCTTCCTTAGGGGCAAGGGAAGGCGATAGTTGTCTGTCGCTATCGTGATCCTTGTTCGACCGGCCAGAATGCTCCTCCACAACAGACTCGAGAACGCTTTTTGCTTGCTGCGGGGATAACGTCATCCTCCGTTTCATGCCCGGAGAAGTTTTAACTTCAGTGCCTTGTTCGTCAGGCTCCGGAGTCGTCGCTGGAGTTTCATCACCAGAAGTGAGGGAGGTAACAGACACATCTTTATCGAGGAAAATCCGTTTGAGCTGTAGTGCTGCCAATCGCTTAATATCCTTTTCAGATGGGAAATAGTTGCGCTCAAACTCGGCGAAAGTTGCATCCCATTCAACAACCTTTTCCTGCATGGATAAGATCACACGGTTTAGAGGGATGGTTTCCCAGTACCTCGAGTTCATATACATTTCCTGATGCTGCTTAAGAAGAGTGGCGTGCTCCTCGTTGGCTCTCTTCAGAAGAACCTCAATCTCTAGCTTGCAAGACTGGACCATTTCCGGAACGACACTCTCGACGTTCATTCCTTTTAACCGCGCTTTAACTGAATTCATGAAGCGTGTTAATCGATACTCAGCTTTGGTAAAGATTTCATTTCGGAGCCGAAGGTCCTTGTCCACTTTCCACGTCACGCGCGGGCGTGGCACTATGATTTCGAGCAGAGTAATTGGGTCATAGTGAATGCGAAGCGCGACGTCTTTGTAGCCAAAATACCTCAAATGATCTCTATGCAGATCATGAGAACAAACTCCGGCTCGGATATGCAAGTCTGCGCTAGAAAAGGATAGCTCGAGATATTTCCCGAAGGAGTATTTCCAGGTACTGTCCGACATGGACATTGCGGGTGTTTCATTTCCGCATTTCTTGCAGCAGCTCCACATGAGGATTGTGTCCTGCAAACCGCGAAGTTTTGAGGGATATGGCTGGACGAAAATGCTAACCTGAGCGTCACCATGCACGTATTGTTGGTGGTGGTCAAACATTCGTTCTTCGCAGCCATTAACTGTGCATACAGTATTTGCATTGTGACATAAATCCTCCACATACTGGCCTAACGTGCAATCGGCCTCGAAAATCCTATCCGAGCCATGATCGTTATAGAAGTCGAGGGCGAAGAGATCTGGTCCCGAACAAGGGATGGATGTGGTCGTGCACACCAAGCTATAAAGAACGACGATATTCTGATGCGCATAAGGATCGAAAAGATTACTGTTGCCGGATATATAGGTTTCCCATTGTCGTTTCTGCGTTTGGTAGATATATAAGGCTCTGTCATATTCTGCATCGTGCACTGCATGCAGGACTTCTTTCGCTTTTTCCGAGGCGCCTGACGGTGACTCGTGTATCATTTCAGGTGTAATAAGGACGAACCTCTGAGATTTTCCAGTCTCATCGATTGGCGCGTGAGCTGCAAAATCCTGATCACGAAGGCGTTTGAGATATGCAAGTTGCCTTTCAAGCTCCCTCGCACGCATCAAGAGGTACGGTTGTTGAAATTTAACGAAAGGAGAAGCCGAGAGGATTTTTGTTTGATGCTTTTCGACCATATCTTCGTAGAATGCGGGGGCTGGAGTATCCTGGCAAGTATCCGGCTTAGTGCATTGGGCCTCTAAAGATGCGGTCATCACCGAAAGATCTGGCTGGCTAGTTTGATGATCATGGCTTTTCTCCTTTGTGTTGGGAATATCTCCTGGACCAGTTTCTGCCAAGAGTTTAGATTCAGCGTTCCCACTGATGGAGGCCGAGGGGCTATGCTTCATCGATGGAGTATTTTCCTGTGGCGACGTTGGGATCTTCGCGAATTCGTCCCTCATGAGGCAGGTCTCGAGTTTGAGGTTATAAACAACGTAGACCATGAACTCCGTGATTCGCTTAATCTTCATAAGGACCTCGTTGCTAGCCCCTCGGAGCGCAATTGTGCAACCTAGCTCTTTGGGACACCCAGAGATATACATGTATGTCTTCTTTCGGCCGTTGTGAACGTATGTTTTGACGTCAAAGCTACCACATTGACCAGGGTATGCCGGCGCAGCAACAAGCCTGTCCATCGACGTGATAATCTTGGTCCGAGTGCATCTTGACACCGCTTCGAGGACAGATGGCTTAACATTGTAAGCTGTTGCAATATCTGCCTTTTCCAGGAGCTGCAGAGCCAAGCCGGATACATTCTTTTCCACTAAAAGAACATTGGGTCGCAACGCGGATATTCTTCCAACAAGATTTTCCAGGAACTCACGCTCTTGGCGAATCACCGGCTCCAGGCTCATGAAATGCTGTTGCTGCCGCGCGTACTCCAAAGGGAAAGTGATAATGAGTATGTTTGGTCGCGGGATACTTCTCGACATACTTTTCAGAGCCAAGTTTTTCGTAAAGACAAGGCCAGATACGTAAGATGTGTCCCCTGGCCGACCACCTGGTATCTTCTTGAGCTTGACATAATGTCGTATGTCCATGTCATCGCCCTGTTGAACGTCAGGTTCAACATCATCAGTGGCCTTTAAAAGAATTGGCAGTAGAGCCGTTTCCCAGCTGTGCGAGTGCGGTATAGATGCGTCTTTTAGCAGCTGTCGAAGGAGCTTTCTTACATGCTGAAGACTTGCTCGGTTCAATTCAATCGGAGGAGCGCCAGCGCCTCTCATTGATGAACTTCTTGTCATCTTAAATCCTCCGGGACCAGATGGCTGGGTCGCAGAGAATGTAGCCATGTTGGGATCCTGAAAATAATGAACGACTGATGGAGTGTCTTTAGAAGGTCTTGGTGAAAAGCGCTGATGGACGCTACTTGCGACGCTCAAATTTCGCCTTCTAAGGGAACGACCCGGGTTTACAGCTCGGGAACTGCTAACGCTTCCGTCATCCAAATCTCGGCCAGAGTAAGTTCCTCCAGACTTGTCACCAAAGCGGGAACGGCCCTTTTTTACTGCTGCAAGGAAACCTCCAAAGGTTGCCTTCTCTCCCTCACCACTACTCTTGGAAAGAGGTCCATCGGAGACTACAGAAAACAAATTTGGTTGCTCGTCGGCGCTTGAGGCATCGTCTGAAAGGTACTGCGCCAAATCAGGGTCGATAATGCTATCTCGATGGAACGCATGCAGCTTAGAGTTGCTGGGAAAGTCCTCCCCGACACGGCGTTGAAAAGGTGCTTTGTCTTCATGATAGGATTTTAGGTTGCGGATATATTGAGTTCTGGAATGGTGCCGTTTATGAGAGGCGGAGAGTGCTCTTCCATTTAAAGAGGATCGTAACGACCTAGAGGATGTGGGCCTCGTAAGCGGGCGGTCAGACTCTATTTCGAGAATGGCAGAGCGACGATTATTTCCATCTCCTGTGCGCCGTGTCGCAGGAATAGCCATGGTCGGAGTTTTCAAAACCTGATCAACCGATTGAGAGACAACGGACGAAGAATCATCGTCTTCGGCGGAAAGTCTAGCCTTGACGGCATTTCCTAAGCTTTCCGAATTACGGGAATTGAAGACTACTGGACTCAAATCATCGCCACTGTAATCAGAAGAGTCGGATTCATGGCCGTTAATCACAGCCTCGCAACGTTTGCAAACTCGGATAGAGCCAGAATGGCCAAACGGGGCTCCCGAGATGATGCATGTGCATTTGGAGTCGAAAATTTGACCACATGTTCGACAGTGATGCTTCCTTCGAAACGTGGAGAAAGGCTCTCCACAATGGAAACAATCCTTAGCATTCTCGTCTCGCATCCAGTATTCTCTACTTAAGAGTTTTCTTCTAAAAGGTGTAGAATTGCCTCTTTGCGAGCGATCTAGGTCCTGCGACACCCTCGTACCACTTTGGCTGGAACGAACCGGCTCCGGGGTATCGAATGAAATGTGAGGAATGGCCGTAGATGAACGAGCACCGGAGGACGTTGAGGATAGCATACGGGAGGGCCCATATCCTGGTAAACGACTTTGGCTAATTCGAGGCGTCGCCTTCTCTCGTGATTTTATGAGAGACGTTCGAGATGAGTGACCCGACGAGGGCTCCCTGTCCGTCATAGACACCGATGTAGCGGCAGTGGCGGTTCTAGTATCATTGACCGAGCTCTCACCAGTCGATAGTTTTGCGACACTGTTTGTCATAGACGTCTGCACAGGTGAGGCATCCACGGAGAAGGAAGTAGTAGAGTTTCCTACTTGAGGCTGAACATTATTGTCAAGTTCTGGTTCTTTATCGTCCCACTGGGAGTGGGGAAACGCGGTGTTAAGCTCTGTTGATTCGTTTTGAGAATCAGTCATGGACGGCTTTGTCGGTGACAAAGTCCGTTCGTGGGGTAAAGTTCCTCGTGAGTGTAATGTGCCGGGTATAACGCGATCTCTCTCCTCATAAATATGAGCTTCGTTGCCGGTGTTGGCCAACAGCTCTGGAGGACGAGTTGACACACTAGTCTTTAGCTCTTGCGATGACTGCAGCGACGACATCTGTAGAGAACCATCTATGCGGTCGGATGCCGTTGAATCTGCATTTGTCATGATACTCGCTGATAAACTGCCCGAATTACTCGGTGTGTGATGCGGCCCGGGTCTGACAGCGTTCACATTAACCTCACTAACGGCGGGGTCCACAGCTGAAGATGGAGAAACCTTTGTCAGGGAGCTGAGAGACGGTTTTAGCGCGCCAACGGATGGCATCGAGGCCTTTGAGGAAATACTTGGGGCTTTGGAGGACATTTTGGAGGATTTGGGGGCGGAGACACTCGTCATTCCTCCGTGGTGGGTCGAGAATGTCCCCGCTAGTGGCGACTGTGTTTTAGAAGCATGTGCCGAATTCGACGATGACCGCTGGTTGTCAGTGGCTCCCAACGCGGATAGGCTCAGCTGGGATGGCGGAGATTGAAGAGTCTTTGCCGTCGTAGCTTCAGAATCGGCCGCTTTCGTTGAACTCCCAACCATGTCCTTAACGCCACCAACAGATGCTCGTAAAAGGCTATAGAGTCCACTCAGGCCACCCTGCAGATCCCCCACGACGCCGGTCTTGTTATCGGTGGCGGACGAGGGTACGGGGGGGTTCGTGAATTCATTGAAAACGGTGAGGGTATCGGAATGGGAAGCTGCATTGTGGATCTGATCGAGAGCTTCCGTCAGATTCTCCCTCTCAGTTTGGGTGCTGTATGAGGCAACGGAGCCTCGTCGAGATCGCCGACCGAGGGGGAGGAAGATGGAGGATGCGGAAGGACTTGATGTCTCCTGAGACCTTTGTGACGCCATGTCAAGGGGGAAAAATGGGGTCCTATAGCCTCAACAGGCATAATATTCAGCGAATCCACCACCACAGCTTCCTCCTTTCCCTCTCCAACGGAGTAAAGATCCAACTTTCACCGTCGATGGTTGCACGGTGCTGGCATGCGTTCTCGTCTGGCTACATGCAAGGCAAAAGCAGGCGGCGCCCGTAGATGATAGTGGCAGGGCTGACTATCGGATGATAGAGGGCAACTCGAGGATGGAGAGTCGCTTTCGTCCATTTCAAGCTGGCGGCGGGATGCTTTCGTCCAGGGTGAGCTGGCCGTGTAGTTGGGCAGTCAACAGCTCGACGTCACAATCCGGCGTCATGCTTGTGGCGCGGCTGGCCAATCAGCGGTCAACGGCGCCGGAGGATTGCTGACTAATTTACTCGTTCTGCCAGGGCGGTGAATGCACGTGGCTGGGGCATGCGGCTGTGTGACCAAAAAGAGAAATTTGTGTACGCTGAATTTGTCTCTTAGAAAGGAAAAGCAACTACGGAGTACAGAGTATAGATCGCGGAGCACAGCCTATGTCTATTTAGACAAGGGGGAGTCCTGTACTGTGCCATGCCTGGGGACAGCCATCATATTGAATGTAAAGCATAGAGAAGCATCCTATACATATTTGTGAATTGATACACTCTATAAGTAGGTTTCGCTGTGAGATAAACACAGTGTAGATTTTGCCCGGAAGTTCCATACTCTCTGTGCATGCATGAAGAAACTGGTAACTCTGCTACCGATCCAGCTTGGCCAGCGTGACACGAAAAACACGCGCCCTCAACAACTATAAAAGGAGATGTCAAGGAAGATTAAACACTATCAACGGCTTACCCCCCTGCAAGCAATGTGAAGCAGCATAACTGCCTATCTGATTACTGCTGTAGAAGTTGACTGAGAGTGTCTCTGGATAGCTGTGTTGCTTCAATCCTGTGAAAGCTGGAACTGAACACCAACCTCTCTCCCCAGAACACGGGGTCACAGAATACTTGGGGGCGGATGCTGTAATGTCTTTGGCTTATATCCGCTATGGAGCTGATGGACAAGTGGATTCATCCCCATATCCAGAGAGCACTACGCCTCTGTTTGGATGACCTCCCTGACGACAAGGATAGCCGGCAGAACCCCAAGCTGTCGGAACCCCGAGATGACGGCAAGTATTTCCGGGTTGGAGTGTTCGGTAGCCAAGTGGTCCAGGTGGTCAAGGTAATCTATCAGAGCCTCGACGTGCGGCGTCCAAGCTAATACCTTCGATGCTGCAGTGGCAGGACTCGAGCTCTCCAATAGAGGCACTTCTCTCGGACTCCTGCACTACCATACGAGGCCACCTATCGAATGACGCCGTGGCAAAATATAGGCTTGAGAGGAAAACTGATGTCCGAGCAAATACCAGAGGGGCTCTTATGAAAATCACTGATTTTGAAATCGTCATCAACAAGAAGAAGACTCCTGCTCCTAGTCTCGCCCTCTATATCCGGAGCTTTGATATTCTCGGCTGTGAGGGAACAGGGACCTTCGGCAATCCGCGCGACATATCCAGTTTCCTAGCCATATCAGCTTTAGCTGGACAATGTCAATCAATTAGGGCTGAAAGTTATCTTGAATGCACAGATATGCGGAGAATGCAACCTCAAGCACCGGTGAGCGCTTCAGACAATGAATCGTCACATTCATCAGAACTATCCTTAGCTTCCCAAGCGGACTTTGCGACGCAACTTAACAACATCACTACATCTAAGGAGCCGACACGGTGCAAGCCGTTACCGATGAATTCGCCGACAAGCTTGAAGTCCCGAGACCTTCTGAATCTTCTTGTCTCGAACGGACGGGGCCGTGAGACTACGAGAGATCGCGATACCCCTATATCCGTCGAATCACTATCAACCGCTAAAACTAACCTGGACAAAGGGTCAATGCCACGTCCTATCATACCCAACTCAGATACATCCATAAGGTCGGCCACAGTCCCCCCAAATATCCCGCGGTGTCCACAGATTGTTCCATCCCAGCAAAATGTGATGTGTGATAAAATACATCCTCCTAAGGCAGAACCCGATAAATCATCCTCCTCGGACATCTCTAGCAAACTCCGTCATAAGAAAGATAGCAAGAACCCATCGCCAACGCCAGCAATTGATTCGTACCACAGCAGTGATAGGGGGCCAATTAAGCCGAAAGATAGGCGTTCATCAGCGTCTAATGCAGGAGGATGCCAGAGAGAAACAGCTATTGATGATGCTAAACCATGGAAAAATGAGAAGCGAATCAGGCGACAGGACGTGTCTATTCCACAGGCTCAGCAAGAGATTTTAGACAGTCCTAACTCCTGGGTTGGGCCGGAAACTCGCTCGTCTTTACTTTCCGGGCAAGTTTCCACAGAGCTGAGTGATGGGCGCTCCGAAGGCTCGAATGAGACTGAATGCAAGAGACACACTGGTTTTGATGATCCTAGTCCGTGGAAAAATACGAAGCGGATCGGGCGACAAGATATGACTATTCCACAGGACCAACAACATAAGTTAGACAGTCCTAATGCCTGGGCTGGACCAGTCACTGACCCGTCTTCACCAGTTGGGCAACTTACCAAAGAGGCCGATGATAAGCAGGCGCATATGGCTAGGCGCCAAAGAAAAACAAACACCGATGATGCTGACCCATGGAAGGGTTGGAAACGGATAAGACGACGGGACGTGTTTATTCCACAAGATCAGGAAGAGATTTTGGACAGCCCCAACTCGTGGATTCCACCTCCAGCCGGCCAGTCCTTACCTTCTGGACGAGTTCCTATAGAACTATTGCGGCAATGGAACGAAGCCCAAACGAAGTCAGATGAACCGAAAAATACCCCGGCGTCAGAGAATAGAGGGTCGGAGGGACCAGAGGAACTGGATGAACAGTTGACTCAGCCAGAATTAGTACCCTCGCCTGCGCCAGCTACACTCTCTACTCAGGAGCTTGGTGAGGACGAGTGGCCGCTAACGTCACCTCCGCGTCTTCCTCCTGATAGTAGTCCACCAAGGGTGCTCCAAAGGCCGAACAATCCGCCGATTACCAGGAAAACACAGGAAAACAATGAAGAAGATGACATTGTCGATGAAGTGCCAGCTTTGCCAGACAGGCAATACTTCACAAACATTCGATCGTCTTCATTTTTGGTGGGTGTAGAGCCTAGATCCGGGGAGTACAGTGATCATTCAGATATCGAATATTCTATCCCAAGAGGCCTTGAAACTTCGACGCAAGAACATCAAAAGCGAAGTTTCGAACTCGCGCAGGAAGAGTCAATATCAAGCTCCGGACCTCAACTGTCACCCTGTCAAGTGGGCTCATTCACGCAAGTAAAACAGTCGCCGGAAATCGCACACCCTCATCGGCAGGCTCCTGCAAAGACAAAAATATCAACCAGTCGCGAACGACAGGGCAGCTTGCCTCCCGATAACGTGAGTAGCACATCGAAACTTGCCTCTGAGACGGTTATTCCGGCCACCTTCCCTAGCACCGATATTAGGCGAGAGGGACAGCTCGCAGATGCGTTGGATAACTCGGGGAGAGAACCTTCACCACCCGTTTCTGCTGACGATGGTGACGAGAATGATGAACGTATGGCGGGGAGGCAGTTAGCTTCTGAGTTGGACGGGTTTATGTTGGATATCAGCACGCAAATGGAAACCACTGGTTTTGATGGCGCTTTTTCTTCGTTGGGCACCCAGAAAAGCACCGGGAATTTACCAGACACTCCATGCCCTAATATGGGTTCTACTGCTGTGGAAAATGATAATAAAAAGCGGAAACTGGACAGTGACAATTCGCTCCCGCTTCGCAGTCCGAAACGAAGAATCATGGTCTCGCGGACCGCTCATACCCAAGAAGGACCCAGCACAAGTAGGAAAACAGCCGAGGATATCCCTGATATTAGCCTCCGCAGGAACTATTTCAGAAAGCCTTCGCCGTCCTCCGCCGTTGAAAAAATATACCTCAATTTCAAGCGGGCATACTCAGCTTACGACGGTGATATTCACACATTTACCAATTCTTGCTTTAAACTTCAATCGCTGCGCTCAAAAGGATCGCTAGAGAAGTCGGTGCTATGGGATGATTTCGTCTGTCGCGAAGCTACCCAGTATCGAGATTATGTCCAACAGTGTGACAAGAGAAATGAAACACCTAAGCCTTATGAAGAATATTTCCTAGAACGTGTTACTGTACCTTCGTTTAAAAAGCGGAACCTAACTGGGAAAAGTATTGATCTTGTGCTTGCTTGGCACGAAGGGTCGCAAAAGGAATGCGAAGTGGTGGATGTGGAAGATGCAGTAGATAACAGAGCCGGGTGCACAGTAGAACAACGGGTGGGAAGTTTTGAACGTGGACTTCAAGAAAGAAACCAAATGAGCAGTGCCAGTGATTCCGAACGCCCCGGGAAGAGGAAGAAGAAGAAGGAGGAAAAAACACCCCATCGGAAAAGACACGACTCCGTGTCAATCCCAGATAGCGAAGAATGGCGTGGCTATGAGACTCACGAGACTGCAAGTGTTCAATTAGGGGATACAGACGACTTCAAAGTCCTTTCCGGCGGCCAGAAACAAAGTTCCTTGGAGTTCAATGAGGTTGAAATGGAAGAAGAGTCCATAAAGTCATTAGCAGATGAAACCACGGCTTCTCCCGACGATATTGACGAGAGCAATCCTCGAAAGCGGCCCGGATCTCCCAATGATAAGGTCCTGCCCGTTTTAGAGATGGAAGAGGGCGCCAGCCTAGGAGAGATCCCAGGCCGACGGAGTCGCCGAGAACTCAAAGGAAAACAGCCGCAACGCCTCGCCACCCCTTCAAAAGCACTCCTAGGCGAAACGCAATCCGCAGACGAGAGCTCCATGGACGAAGCATTCTACACCACAGACTCTTTCTACCCACCTTACCGTCCACCCAAGCCCCGTCTACATAATTCTCAAACGGATAACACCACCGCTGCCGAAGAACAACCCGCGTCCCCAACATCGAACTGGTGGAGAGATCCAAATACACCGTTCAAATTCTTTGCTCACGCGTATTCAAATCTGCATACGGAACTAGGGAGGTTCCGGCGCGCTGGAGAGACCGAGGCGGTCCCGGTGGACGAGAACGGTGTCATTCTTCCTCACAGGGTGTTTGATTCTGGGGATGGGCCCGTGGAAGGGCGGATGACGAGCATGGGTTGGGAAGTGTGATCTACAGCGATGAAATATTATGCCGAATTTCCGGGTCAGAACGATGCTAAGGTTGTGTACGGGAATATTGAAATTAGTACGTTCTACGGGATTTTTGTTTTGAATAATGAGCAGCCTCTCTCCCGATGCTTCACCAGTATATGAAGTGTAATGAGAACATTGATTTGATGATTATCAGGGGAATTACTATACAATTAGAAGGACAAAGTTGAAGTTTAACTACATTGGTATCTATGTGTAAATGTACAGTACAGGTATCTGATTCTATGCATGAATCCTTGAGCATCAAAAAGAAAAGTAATAATCATGGATCTGTGGGTATGTATGCAAAACAGAATCACTGTAAACACCGACCAGCACCACATGTACTCCCCCAACCCAGTGTAGAGCCGTAGAATTGCATCAAGACATGCGCCAGTTATAAATATCAAAAGGGACCATCACATAACACCATGTCCATAAGATTCGAAAGCAAAAAAAAAAAAAAAAAAAAAAAAAAGGGTACGCATATACAGAACATCGCGTTTTGAACGAGATGTAGTAATTTCGTGACGGTAGGTCGTTACTGTCTGGTATGAATTTTGGTGATGAGCTTCTGCATCCAGCCCATTACTTTCTGGTGAGGAGCAGAGCGAAAGGGCGAAGTGTCGACGAAAGAATTTTGTGGACATAGGGTACAGAAACTCTTATGTTTTCCATTTGTAATATTATTTTTTTTTGTTTTGGGAGGTGGGTATCTAGACGCGCGGATCATGTCGGTACGGTTCGAACCCAGAACCTTGCGCTGGAGTCATAGGGTTGAGAGGTGTGGCGGAAGCACCCATGTTGTGACCTCCGTATGGGCTGGCTACCCGCTCGTACGTGTACGGTGTCTTCTCCGCGACCATGCCGCGTCTTGCCTTGCGATCTCTGTGGTCATATGGAGAGCGACCGGAGCAGCAGCAGACGCTAAACAGCCAGAACACCCCGCCGGCAACAGCGAATAGAGTGGCGAGCCACGTGATGGCAAACATGCGTCCTCCCAGGCTTGCCTTGATGTTAAATGGCTTCAGGCCGCCGTTGATGGCACCGGCGAGAATGCCGTAGAGTGCACTCGCTGTGATGGAAGCAAGGATGGTGAACAGGGTTGAAATCTATTTTTCTGGCCGTCAGCATTGATTGCCTCTTGGAAAATCAAAAATGTAGCGTGAAAGAGGAAAGAAAGGTACTCACGGTCGCAAAGATTGTGGTTACAAGACTACCCCATCGACTGAACACGGCGGAGATACCCAAGACCAATTGAACGACGCTCGAAGCGAGAGCAATGATGTAGGCGACGAAAAGCCAGTGTGCAACCTTCCTGTATGCGCTCAGCCCCTTGGACAGGGCCTTTGGGAAGTAGTCGCGAGCATCGTCGCCCAGACCCCAGACCTCGACGGGGTCGAACCAATAGTTCGGCTCCTTCTCGGTGCATTTGTAGTCGCCGTCCTCTCCATCCTTGTAGCAGTGATTCCACAGGCCGATGATGTAGTAGTCATGGAGTTTCCCAGCGCCATCGGCTTGTTGTAATCCCAATGCAAGAGGTGCAAGTCGTGAGTCAATGTCCAGAGAGTCGAGCTTTATGTCTTTCAAGTCGGCCTTTGACAGAAAAGAGTTAGGATGGGCAAGTCCATGCTTGAACGGGTCGCGCACACAACTCACCTTGAGGAAATAGATGCTGTTCAGGGGATCGCTGGGCCTCGTTGCGCCCAAGGCGACCAGGACGAGACATACCAAGGCTGCGATGGAGAGGAGGTATGGCGTGAATATACACGCCACTCTTCCGGCCTTGCCCATTTTTCGAGTAGGTGTTGGTACGATAAAAGTGCGAAAGGGTATGATGTTATTATCAGCTTGGATAACGAGCAGAGCTACTTTAGAGCTGTCACACTCGGGCCAGAGAGAGTGCGAGGGATGAACGACAGAGAGTGGACGGAGAAGCGATACAAGCTAAAAAAAAAAAAAAAATTAAAAGACACAGGCATGGGAAAAGACGGTGGACACAGCAGCTTATAAACAGCGAGCGACCTGCTGTGCGCTGGGCCTGACGGGAGGCTGTGTGGGTGCCCACAAATAAATAGCAGCTGCGTAATACGGGAGTGGGAGTGTCGCTGGACTTTTCGCGTCCTCCCCCAAAGGCCCTGGAAGCCTCCGCGGCCGTGACGTGGGCGGTCATTTCTGCGGGCCACGATCCCTGTCCGCTTCGGGCACAGACTTCTGCAGATGGAACACGCACTCCTTGTTTCGGGCTATCGCTCCAAGGTAAGATTGAGGTTCGCGAGCAAGAGCCAGGTTTCCACCCCAAGAGTTGTCAGGCCAGATTACTGCGGCATAGTGGGGATGTTCAAGCACGGATGTTGGAGTCTCACGAGGACTTCGCCGTCTCAAACCATGATCCAATCTACGAGAGCGCATGAAGATGAGATAGTTACCCTTACAGAGTATTGCCATCGTGAGACTTGGGTATTTCCCAATGTTTTACGAAGCCTTCGTCTGTGTTTGCTCCCCAATCAGCTTCCCCTCTCGCACGGTGTAAGGCTTCAGCACACCCACTTCTGCCCTTCGCGCACGCCGCAACAACCAACAAGAACGGCTAAAGCGGCGTGTCGTGGCGTCGGAAGCAGCAAGAGCAAGCCCCAAATATTCCAGCAAAGGACCATCGCAACTGCCCGCCCAAGCAGCGTCCGGGTGGAGTCGCGTGGAGACGGCGACGCGCTAGAAAAGGCTGCGGACGTGGCTGGAGTTGCTGCGCTGGGCTGATGGCAGCTGAGGGGTGACTGCCAGAACGGGTCTCCAGCGCACCTCCAGCCAACCAGAAACCACCGCGGTGTGGGGCCCGCACGGTTCGAAATTTGCTGGACGATCGCGCCAAGCCGATCCGGTACGGTGGCTGTGTGGGCGTCGGCCGTCGACCTTTCCCCAAAGAGGCATTATCGTGCTGCCCTCAGCTGCTGGACTGCGCGACATACGAGACGCCAGCGGAGGAGCTCGGATCCTGAGAGTCTGCTCAAGCGCTTTCGCCGTCCGGCTCGCTGTGGTGCTCGATCCTGCATTCTCCCCATCCTCACAGACCCTACTCGAGGAGCTCGAAACAGTCTCGGCACAGGGACCAGAGATCCTGGATGAAAAAAGGGGGGGAGATCACGTTTCGACCTTAGATGTGCTCAGGGACCTGACTCCTGGGTCTCATCAGCAACTGAGACAAAAATCCTCCTCCCGAGAGCGCACTTCATCAAAAAATGGCCCTAAACAGCGGCCACCCTGATATCGTCATCCTGGTTGTGTGGCTCCCACGATATCAGGCCATCGCAGGCTCTGCCGCTCTGATACCAAATTTAACCACCCCCAGATTCACCATCGCGGCCGTTCCCCTTTAGCTCTAGTGCATTATGGCAGCGGAAGAGGATCGCCATGGAAACGCTGTTGAAGCTGCCAGCTTCCAGTTATTCATGGATATCTTTCCATTACATACCTGTCCGCCGAGGACCTGCTGCATCTTGCATACATATGCATTTCTTCATGAATCGGTTGCTTTCCCAATCGCCCACTTCAACAAAATCCATACGATGACGTCACCCAGAATCGACTAGATCAGTGCGACGGAGCCAACACAGCATCAAACGAAGAAAAAGGGAACGATGCGGACTCTTAACAATACCAGATCGCACAGAGATTTTCGGGCAGAGTAGCCTGGCAGGTCGAGCCCTATCCCTCCACGGTTGGTCGTTTCGCTCCGTTCAAAACGCCTTCGGTGCCGGAGCGTGGACCAACGTTTTCCCCCCAATACGCCCGTTAATGAGAAAAACGTTTAGAAATATCGTTGTTTATTTCGATTAACTCTCCATATAACCTTCTTAATCTTTCCTCGAGGAAAGCAATCGCTCATAATTACATTCTTGTTGGCTCACATCCGACACGCGGCGCGCTAACCCATGCCCTTGACACGTTTCAAGTCTAATTTGTTTGCATATTCGACATGGGCAAGCACATACAAAATGAGGTTCTCTCATCTCCATTCTCGTAAATTCTTTGTCTTTCACTACCTTCCCCAGATTTTCCCCGGTTCGAAACAAGTTATTATCGAGTTTCAGGCCAATTGGGATCCGCATCTTCGTTTTCCCGACACTGGCCCCATTCTCGAGACATGTGAACGGAAATTTGCGATACTCATTCCTGGCCTCAACGTCTCTATTCTGAATTGTAAACAGCTGTACCAAAATATGTCCAGACCGCTTTCATGGCACATCCTTTTTTGCGGCTGCTTTCTTCTCCGCTCATCTCAACCAAACAGGGGTTTGCTACGGGCGTCTTGGTAGGTTTAACAATAGGACCATTTGGAGCTCGCTCCCTTGCTTCCAATTACCTAAAACTATACGCAGCCTACGAAAGGCAAAAACAAATCGCGCACATACAATAGACACACACATAATGAGGTAACCAAGTCATCGTTGAAACATGTTCCAGCGTTGGATTCTTTTACTATCTTTCAGGTCGTGATACCTTATTAACATTCTCTGGGTTCATCTGCCAACCCTATGGGCGAGAACACCTTTCAGCGCAATATGGTGGCGAGAGATAACTCCAACTCCAACCCCTCTCCCTTTTTTCTTTCTTTCTTTCTTTTCTTTATTATTATTATTATTATTATTATTATTTATTTTTGCAAGGCCCATATTATCCATGGGGTTGGTATATCCTGGGCACAGCTCGAACAGGTGCGTTGCTCTTGCATATTGAATCAGATGCTATTTTATATCTGGTGCAGAGATTGAGGCACGACGCAACATGTCCTGAGTTCAAGAGACTCAACCATAGGTGTTGTTGGGATTGAATAAGCCACAAAGCCACCAAGTTGATTTCTTTCTTTCCTTCTATTCTAAGTTGCCGGCTACTTTCCACATATCCATACCCACTCCACAAACCACCAGGTGATTCTTTTCCTCTCCAGCCTCGCTGGTTGTTAAGACTTCCATGGATGATACATCAGCAACGGCAGTATATGTATCCTTCTTTAAAGCGACCACAATTTCAGCGTCTTTTGTTCGTCGAATCACCTGGACGCACCATATCTTCAGTCGTTGGTCGTTCCCCGAAGAGGCAATGCTCACATCAAATCCTTGCTTAGTATACTTTATGCCGCCAATCACCGCAATTGCAGTGATAGCCGAAGCATGTGCTTGCGACAACAATGTGGAATAAAACAACGGCTTGTCCTCCGCCGTCGTCGGGTAAGAACTTGGGAGAGTGATCATTGATGCGGATAGCGCGTTGTCGTCGCCTCCACAGAGCACGAGCAGCTCGGTCTCTGAAACTTGAAGCATCTCCATCACTTTGATGCTACTTTGATGGATCGCGTGTCGATCTCCACATGCTAGCTCGAGTGGTATTGCCGGGAATTCGCTCGCCAACTGGCGTTGGATGGTGTTCCCGTGAGCGTGGATTACAGATTCGAGCGAGTTGGTAGCGTCCCAAATCGCCAAATGTCCGTCGGTTGAAGTAGTGATTAGATATATCCTTTCGCCTGAAATGGCGAAACGGATGTATGTGAGGCAATTTGTTGAATATTGACCCCGTGCAATGAGCTCGAAAGGGTCCTCTTGAGAATCGGGTTTAAGGTAAAATATCTGATTTGTTAGCATGAGGGGAAACTCGAAGGAGCAGCCTTGTGAAACTCACGGTGATCATTGAATTAGAATAAGCCAATGCAAGTAAATAGGCGTCTTCGTCGTCTAGCTTAACAACATCGAAATGGGTAACGCGAAGGTCGGAGATAGGCTTGCTCTTGGGACATTCTCCCATGAACATTGCCCCAACTCCGAACCCCGGAATCGACGATATTCTCCAGACATATAGCTCTTCGCACCCTGAACTGCTGAAAAGCAGTTCCCCACATGGCGACCATTGAACATGCTGAATGCCCGCTGTGTGTTTCTTCAAGGTCATTTGACACCTAAATATATCGCCGGATTGAGTCGAGCCGCTTGCTTCCGGGAGGAAAAGGCGAATAGTCGTGTCTTCAGCGCCCGTAGCAAGAATTTGGCTTCTTGTCTGTCCGTCGTTTGAGAGTAGACTTGATAGACATGCCGATTTGATTTCTCTTCCGTGCCCACCGGCCCTTAGTACACGGTGCGATGGGCCTTGACTCGAAAACAGATGAAGGCGCGACGCCTTGGTCCATATTAGTACCCGCCGTCCCTCGTCATTGGAATGATATGTCCACACCCGATGACACCCCCCACATTCTGCAGCCATGAGCTCTGTCTGGGTCGATTCGTTCCATACAATGAAGTAAACTCCCTTGAATCCATACAGAATTAGATCATTCGTTTTAGGATCAAGCGCTGCTCCCTCGATATTTGGCCCAAAGGGCGGACACGCTTTATGGATCGTTCGAACCGTAACAGACTGAGTACGTCCATTCGGGGATTTAATTAAATGAAGCTGATAATAACCATCCCTTCCAGTGGTGACGATGTAATTCGCTGCCCCTTGTCCAGCACTGTATGACTTCAGACTGATAATAGAGGTAATCGCATCGTTGGCATGAAGATGGGCAGAATAGAAAAGTGGGTCGATTTGACCTGCGCTGGAAGCCATATCCAGTGCATATATAGCAATATCCCCATGCCTCGAGCCTAATACTAACCAGGACGTGGTTTGCATGAATGAAGCAGCAGTGATTAGGAAGTTAGGCGGCAGGTTCAAGACAGTTTCAAATAGCAGTTCAGGATCAGGGCGGCCTCGAGCGGTAAAAAAGACTGCCTTTGGACTGTGCACGAACGCGGTCACGAAGGAGACACAGGTAGAACCCGGGGAGCAAGAACTGTCAGGAGGCCCGTCGACCACGAAGATTCCCGATAATTTTGACCCAGTTTGGGCTATTTTATCAACGGCATTCCTCGAGTGATCATACAGCCATATCGCACCACTAGGTGCTCCAATTATTCCCATGCCTTTTCGAGGGCTCCCGCCGGCCAGGTATTGTGGCTCCACACCTTCGAGAGTCGTTATCATGCTCCAAGATACCAGCGGGGTCGATGGCAATTTTGCTGCTTCCAGGCTTCCAGGTGAAACTCGACCAAGAAGCACTTTCCCTCGAGGTGTGACAGCGATAAAACTTTCATCAGAGACAAAAGAATAGCATGCAATCCTGCCTTCTTTTTTACCTTTTCCAGTAACAGCCTCATCTTTGAGGCCCAAACCATTCACTACCTCATCAGCCGAATAGTCGGAGGCAATCTCTCCTAAGATACGTAAAGTATCGGCATTCCGATCAAGCATAAATGAGACCAGGTTACCATCAGCTCCACCGGAATAAACATTAAACGCATTGACGTCTTTGGAAATGGCCGTGGACCAGATATTTTTGCCCGTATGATATGCATGGGTCGAGACATGATCCATTTTGGTGTTCCCGGTAGATATCTGGCGGTCTTCCTGGGAGACATCCTGCTTGAGGTTGAGGCTCCATACTTGACAGGTTGCATCCTCCCCACGTGATAAGACATTGAAGACTAGCTGGCCGTCAACAAAGGAAATGTCTAGGAAATAAACGCCCCATATCCGTGATGCATGGCACATCGTCTTCGCTACGCATTCTTGTTGGTCCAATTTCAATGTATCCTCGGGGGCGGCTCCAAATCCAGTTGAGCGCGGGAGACTATCCTTTGACAGACCATCAGGATTGCGGAGCGTGGGAGAACAGCAAGCGGATATATCCCAGATTCGGATCGTTCTATCATCACTACAACTTGCAAGAAATCGTCGCCTTGAAGTGTCATTCCCGATGTGAACTTCTTCTGAAATGTTGACTCCAAAAATTGAGCCCTCATGACCCGTGAAGAAGCGGTGTACGAATATAGAAAAGTTCGAAAACAAAGAGTTGCGGGCATCGTGCTCTAGACGGCATGTCCAGACAATAATTTCCCCGAATACTGTGCCTGCGGCAACCAGAATATCGTTTGGTGAAGTCCAGGCAATATCAGCGGAGTATAAGATTGGCTTCAGGCCTGGTGCAATTTCATGCAAGTGAAAGCTGACTCCGGAGGATGTCACATCAAGATTCAGCTCAAGACCGAGCACCACATTGTGCGCGGTGATCAAACACCCTATATAAGCTGATGGCAATTTAGGAGTACCTCCGGGAGGACTGTAGAAGCTGGCATCCAGTATCCAGTCGGGGCAAACATACTCCGAGCTAAGGGTGCTAAGCGAAATAGCCCCTTCAGTTCGGGGCTCCTTTATACAAATTTGAAGCAGCCGGAGAGACTGCCCTCCCCATACAAGAACTCTAGATTTGCATTCTGGGTTTGTCACCGGGCAATCCAGGATTTGGATGCCATGTACATTGTTTCTTTGAAAGACGTAACATCGCTCTAGAACCTCATCGGTAGCACCATTGGTGATAATGACATATGGGCCATGGCCACTCAAAGTGAGCTCATAGCCGGGTATGTTGAGTACTTGAATCGCCGTTATTGGCAGGCAAGCATCCAGGTTCTACCATATCGTTAGCTCCGCTGCTCATTTTCCAAGCATCTTCGGAACTAATTCGATTGACGGACCTCTAATACGCATGACATCGAAGTGACCGTTTCGATATGCCCCGGGGTTGAAGGAGACTGGTGAATTCCGTATACGTTTGTCCCTCCGCTCGCTGTCCCGCTGCAGAAATCATTTTCAGAGATAGATTAATCAGCACAACTACGGAGTAACTAGTTAACGTAATCCACAAGCGAGCGAAATCCGCAAGCGAGCGAAAGATTAAATTAAGGCATCCCAACTAACTAGAATTTAACCCGAAATATCTATGCTCAACAACCCCTAAATAGATTAAATTACATTGCAATAGGACTGCGGCAGCTTCTTCTTGTATGGCCTAAAATATGGCAGTTTGTACACCTTGGTGGTGCCCGCAAACATGATGCAGGCTCTGAGGCTATGGGCTCAGAGAGTTGAGCGACTGACTGTTCAACAGGTTGAGCAGGTGGAATGGCAAGCTCAGCAATCTCTTCCCTAGTTAGACCTCCTTCACATTGAATTCAGCGCTTAGATCTCATATGTTTTTGCTTCTCTTTCTCATTTGCAGCAAATATATCCTGATATTGCTTCTTCATAATAGTGGCATTGACCATTCCATATTTGCAGGCCTTGATAATTTGGTCAAATCCTTCTGTTAAGCCCTGGGGTGAGCTCTCAAGCCCCTGCTCCATAAGATTCTTGACCTTATCCGCCTGCCTATGCAATTGCCGGGGGTTGTGAGGTGTTTGTAGGATCCAGGATGACACCAAGTTGCTAGATTGGCTAGCTGGGGGAATAGGGGTTCAGAGTTGAATATCCAGCTGCTGAAGAACCTGATCTGGGTCAAATGGGGCTATTCCAGTAGCCATGAAGCCACTTTGAATGTTCTGAGCCTTGAAGGCCTCTGTATGTGCTGTAGGATAGGCATCCAGAAAATCCGCCTTCTTAATAGTGTTGATTCCAAGCCGCATTTGCTGTTCAACTAGACTGCCATATGCCCACTTCAAAACTGCAAAAACACTCACATCAAGAGGCTGCAAGAGGTGTGATGAATGTGCTGGCATGCACAGAGGAATAATCTTATTCTCTTTGCAGATATGATTAAATTCTGGGGTAAGATGACTGCTGTGCCCATCCAGAATAAGAAGTATATGAGTGTCAACCCTCCGTGGATTTGCAGCAGGAATAAATAGCCTAGTCAGCCATTTGATTCCTATCTCATCTGTGGTCCAGTTATTAGAACTAACATCAAGTCTCCAGCCAGCTGGAAGCCCATCAAACCAGCCTTCCTGTAGATTTTGCCTCTTAAGAATGATGTATGGGGGCAAGGCCCAGCCTGAGGCATTGACTGATTCAATCACTGTGACCCATTCTTGATTTCCAGGCTGTAGAAGCTTTGCTCAGCCATAGTGCTCAGCACTAGTAATAATCTTGGTAGTTGTGCAGAGGCCCATTGCAAATCCAGTCTCATCAAAGTTGTAGATATCTTCCATTGGGATTCCATGCTCAGCAATTATATCCCCCAGAGTCTTAAACCAAGCCTGAATAACCTTCCTATCCTCACATTTTGCTCGCTTGTGATTATAGTGTCTGGAATAGCGGCATTTGAGCTCTGTACAGCATTTAATCAGATTTGACACCCAGTTCTGGCCAACACGGGGGGGAGGAGAGGTAGGATCTCGCATGGCAAGAAGATGGTTGGCCATATTCTCAACAAATGCCGGTCGGGGGGGGATTCCTTGTTTAGCTAGGTCTAGGATCCATTGAACTAGCTGATTCTCTTCAGGCTCAGTCAATTTGGTTGAATTTGCGCGTAGACTGATTTGTGCACATCTTCCTTTCATTTGATGATATAAGATAGTATAAGGCACATTAAATAGCCGTGCAGCTTCAGCAATTGAGCTAATTTCTTGCTTTTTAGGTGTAGAAATAGCAAGTTCAATCCTGCCCTCTATTTCTATAGAGGATCTTGCATTTTTATTGCGAATTGGTGGCATTCTGACGCGTTGAAGTGGATGGTTGAGGAAGTTGAAAAAATATCTTTCGCTCGCTTGCGGATTTCGCTCGCTTGTGGATTACGTTAGTCTAACCAACCAACTATTAAGTAACTAGTTAGTTAAACTATTCCGAAAGAAGTTAAATTATAGCACGTGATCTCGTGTTTCGCCCGGGCGTGGCGTTCCAAGCTTATCGAAGCCGTGAACGGCTGACGTTTCGTCAAGGCACCAGTCACACTTCCGCTCCTCTATGGAGTAGCAGCAACCTTCTGCCGGGTCCAAAAACTGGGATGTTTTCACTCCCTGCCTCCCTCTTCGGCGCAGTCCACCCATCTTTGCATTGGAGCCATGGGTGTCACTGACCTGTGGACTGTGGTTAAACCGTGCGCCCGCCCTATCAAACTCGAAACCCTGAACAAGAAGCGGCTCGCAGTTGATGCGTCAATATGGATATATCAGTTCCTAAAGGCGGTACGCGATAAAGAGGGTAATGCCCTTAGAAATGCCCATGTTGTCGGGTTTTTCAGACGAATATGCAAACTTCTCTACTTTGGGATCAAACCCGTTTTTGTGTTCGATGGCGGCGCTCCGGCTTTGAAGCGTCAAACAATAGCTTCTAGAAAGAAACGAAGAGAAGGACGGAGAGAAGATGCTGCAAAGACTGCTACCAAGCTGCTGGCTGTGCAGTTGCAAAGAAAGGCCGAGGAGGAAGGACTCAAAAGAAAACAGCAACACTCTCGTGAGGATGAAGAAGAAATTCCTTTACCAGAAAACTTGGTGTATGTAGAAGAAGCTCTTATGACTCCGAAGGAGAGGCAGAAAAACCGCCAATTTCGCAAGAAAGATGCGTACCACCTCCCGGAATTAGACGTTTCTCTCGAGGAAATGGGCGCTCCAAACGACCCCAGAATTATGTCCCATGAAGAACTAGAAGAGTATGCGCGGCAGTTTCACTCTGGAGAAAACATAAATCTTTACGACTTCTCCAACATTGATTTCGATAGCCTTTTTTTCCTAAGTTTGCCCGCAAGCGATCGTTATAATATTCTAAATGCCGCGAGGTTAAGGAGCAGGCTAAGAATGGGCTATTCGAAAGAACAATTAGATACCATGTTTCCAGACCGCATGGCCTTCTCAAGATTCCAAATCGAGCGCGTTAAGGAACGTAATGATTTGACTCAGAGGCTAATGCACATTAACGGGATGAATGGCGATGATCCGATATACGGATCAAGTTCACGGATCGCCGGCGAGAAGAATAAAGAATACATTCTCGTTAAAGATCCTGGGGTTGAAGGTGGATGGGCTCTGGGGGTTCTGGGAAACCGAGAGGGCGAGCACCAGAACAAACCGATTGATCTTGATGAGGATGACAAGCAATTTATACCGGAAGTCCAAGATGATTCGGATGAAGACGTTGAATTTGAAGATGTTCCTCCTCCTGAGCTCAATTCCGTGCCCGATCTTCCGATCTTTGAGCGGGGTATTTTTGATGAATCTTTACGTCAAAATGAATTGGAGATCGCACGGAAAAGGCAGCAACTTTACGACTCTCGTCGACAAGCAGCAGCAGGGTTTGCCCCTCAGAGTCCGGCAAATACTGGAGTTGATGACAATGATGACCTGTTCGTTCCTAATCTGCCACGCGCTTCTGCTGCAGCAGTCGATCAGCTGTTTGAGGATGATGATGATGCTGAGAATCTCCGTCGTGCAATTCAGATGTCGCTGGAAGTACCCAAGGACGAAGATGTATCTGAAGATGACACTGTTATGGACGCTCTACCCAAAGGAAAGTTGGTGGAATCTCAACCCGAGGTCCCGGCCCCTGAGACTGCGAACCTACCTGATGCAGATGGTGACGATATGGATCTATTTGCTGCCATAGCTAAGTCGAAATCCACCAAACACAGCTCCACTGTCCAGCCCCTGGACCGACCTTTTGGCGGGCCACTTCCGTTTAAGCCATTTAAGGTTACTAGGATCACTAAAACTGGGTCGTCCCGGCTAGACCCAGTTGATGAGACAGCCGGTGGCTTTGAGCGGCTGCCGGAAACTAAAAAGACAGCAAAACCCCAGTCTTTACCGCCTTGGTTTGCAGGAAATACCACCAAGCAGGAATTTATCAGGCAGGAGATGGACGATCAATACTCCGGCGAGAATCGGTATCGACAAGCTGCTGAGTATCCAAGAATCTTGGGCAATCGAGAGATTGTGGAAACAATTGATTTGGATAAGGACGAGATGGAAGCGTCCCCTAAACCTAGGCCAATTGGCCCTGAATTGGCCCCTGAATGTGAAGCTATCTCCAATAACAAGGTCAAAAAGCCGCCTTTTTCAGTCATACCGGACAAGCAAATGGATGTTGAGGGCATAGCGCCGGCAATTGTGCAAACAGAGCTCACATCGCATGCATCAACACCAAATGATACAGGTATCGCTCAAGCTACCGAGGAGAAGTCACCAACCCCGGAATTCGAAGACGTAAACGTTCCTGGGGTTACAAAACCACCCGATGTGCCAGCCAACGCTGACCTTGGCCAGAATTCAATAATCCCCCTCGAGGTATCAGAAGATATCCCTGAGATGGATTTTGAAAATGAATATTCCGATCCCGAAGATGTTGAATTAATGCATCAACTTGCCGCCGAGACGGAAGAGCATGCAAGATTCGCTTCTACATTAAATTTCAAGAGTCAAGCTGAAAACGCCCATGACTACGAACGCGAATTAAAGCAGCTACGTGCTCAGCAGAAGAAGGACAGGCGGGATGCGGACGAAGTATCGCAGATCATGGTTGCTGAATGTCAGCAGCTTCTTAAGTTGTTTGGGCTCCCTTATGTCACGGCTCCAATGGAAGCAGAAGCCCAATGTGCAGAACTGGTATCCTTGGGCCTCGTTGATGGCATTGTGACTGACGATAGTGATATATTCCTATTTGGAGGTACAAGGATATATAAAAACATGTTTAATCAAGCAAAATTTGTGGAATGCTACCTTGCAAGCGACCTGGAGAAGGAGTACTCCCTCGATCGCAAAAAGCTTATTAGCTTCGCACACCTCCTGGGGAGCGACTACACGGAAGGTATCCCTGGAATTGGTCCGGTCACGGCGCTGGAAATACTTACGGAATTCCCTGGTCTTGAAGAGTTCAGAGACTGGTGGTCTAAGGTTCAAATGGGCGTTACAATATCAGATGACACTCATTCTAAATTCCGGAAAAAATTCAAGAAGAATGCCGCGAAACTGTTTCTACCGCCGGCATTCCCGGATAAACGTGTCGACATCGCTTACTTGGAACCCGAAGTAGACCCGGATCCTTCAGCGTTCCAGTGGGGAGTCCCGGATTTAGAGGCTCTTCGTCAGTTTCTGATGTCTACCGTTGGGTGGTCCCCCGAAAGGACTGACGAAGTCCTCGTCCCAGTTATCCGGGATGTGAATCGAAGGGAATTGGAGGGCACTCAGGCCAACATTACTCAATTTTTCGATGGGCCTCAAGGAGCCGGTGCCTTTGCTCCACGGCGCCGGGCAGGTGGACAGAGTCGCATGGAGAAGGCATTTACGAGGTTGAGGCACGAGGCTGCAGCCAAGCAGCAAATCGGTAATCCTGGCGAAGAGCCAGCTACTCCCGCCGAAGCCCAATCCGGAGAGGCGGAAGCTCGTTCCATGGCACAGGCAGCAAAGAAGAGGCAACGGAAGGGTCGAACTCCGGTTGCGCTGGAGGACGAGCCCAACAAGGTCCAGAGAAAGGGCCAGAAAAGGAGAAAAATAACTGAATGACTGACGAATATTTTGGATTTTGAGTTATGTGACACGAGGCGTTTCCGGGATATGGTTAGGCCACGAGCTGGCGCGAGAGATAAGCCTGGTTTGAGGGAGTGTTTATAGAGTCTAACATGGTCATTATTGGTTCGTTCGTCCTTTTTTGGCACGAACAGACCGGTATATAGCAAGTTTACCAAGATCCAGTAAAAATGCCCAAGTCAAATTGAGGTCCAACGGTGCATGGCAGCTACATTGCCGGGTTCAACGAGCTCAGGCGTTAACCTGGTTCCTGACAATCAAAACGTGAGAGCTGGTAGGCCAGATAGCTACAATTGGCTCAACCGGAGATCTATGACGTAGAAGCATCGTGGCCGCCCTCAAGTGGATCTTGGGGTAAGCTTAGCATCTACTGCTTTGCTGGGCGTTAATTCGGCGAACTGCTCAGCGCGGATGGCTGCTCGCTGTTAAGGCGCAAATGCAGTGTGTGTGATGTGCCGGGGCTGCAGGCGATTAATTAAGGCACGTATCTGTTTGGGCGCTGAGCCGGCACTGAACGGCGGAGGGCTGGAAAATCGCTGCATCCAGCGCGAGCGAGCCGTTCAGAATGGCCGGCTGAGTTCTCGCTGGGCGGTTAGCTTTGCCAGTCGCGCGGAAGCAACAGCCGGGCGGAGTGGATGGTCGTTGACTGACATCACCACAAAGCTTGCTGGAATTGAGTTGTCGCCGTCCTTCGTCTCCTCCCAACCAGCCAACGACGCCCGCATCAACCCTCTCTACGCACTTCGTCATCCACTGCCGGACAGACTATTTAGCTATCTGATCTATCTTGCTCGCCCGCTGGAGCTTGCGGTTCGCACCATCAGCCTCTGACATAGCGCCGTTCGATTTGCGCTTCCCCTCCTCTCTCCCCAGACTTCGCAGACCACCCGCACTCGACACTGCTGCACAAACACCCAAAACCCACCGTCATAGTGCGGCCTCTGGCCCGTATTCCTTTTTGTTCCGTCCATCTCCATTTAATTTTCTCTTCTCGGATTTAGCTTTGCAGTTATATTTTACATCATGCATCGGACGTATTCCATGCGCCATACGAGGGCGCCTACAGCTTCCCAGATCGAAAACCCCCCTCCTCCGATTTCGTCGACAAAGACTAGCAGGATCTTTGGAGGCGGAAGCCTAGGTGAGAACTGATATACCCAGCTTCTATCAATCGCCTGTGTTGTCAATTTTCGTCCGATGCGATTGTGTCTTCAACGCGGGCTATCACCAAACTCCTTCTCGGGTTTACTCGGGTTTGGCTCGCTTGAATCTATGCTTTCTTTTGCTACTTAGACCCAGCACAAGTTTACGGCGCGTGTATATAGTAGCGATATGCTAATTTACCTTGTATGTTTACAGGCCATGCCTTCCGAAAATCTGCAGCCGGAGCCTTCGGGCCCGATCTCGCCAAAAAGCTCTCTCAGCTTGTCAAAATGGAGAAAAACGTAATGAGGAGCTTGGAACTTGTTGGTAGAGAGCGGATGGAAGTGGCGGTGCGTTTAAAACGGCGTTTTCCTCGGTCATGGTAGCTCAAGACTAATTAGCATCCAAGCAACAACTGTCAATCTGGGGCGAAGGTTGCGACGACGACGTTTCGGATGTAACGGATAAACTGGGGGTCTTGATATATGAAATTGGCGAGCTAGAAGACCAGTTCGTTGACCGATATGACCAATACCGCGTCACCATCAAGAGCATTCGCAATATCGAGGCATCAGTTCAGCCGAGCAGAGACAGTACGCGACTCCTCGATATTTTCATAAATATGCCGCTGACATAGATGGTTCCTTAGGAAAGCAAAAGATTACCGACCAGATCGCACAGCTAAAATATAAGGATCCTAATTCTCCCCGTCTGGTAGTCTTGGAGCAGGAATTGGTCAGAGCAGAAGCAGAATCCCTCGTCGCTGAAGCACAGCTTTCAAACATCACCCGCGAGAAGGTCAAGTCCGCCTTCGCCTACCAATTCGATTCTCTTCGGGAACATTCTGAGAAGCTAGCCATTATTGCTGGTTATGGAAAACACCTTCTCGAATTAATCGACGATACCCCTGTCACGCCCGGCGAGACACGGCCTGCCTATGATGGTTATGAAGCTAGCAAGGCAATTATTCAGGATTGTGAAGAAGCATTGACCAACTGGGTTTCCTCGAGTGCAGCCGTCACCTCCAAGCTGTCCACCCGATCGCAGACGCTGTCCCAGAAGCGTCGAAGCAACATTGCTCGAAGTCGAGAAGGGGTTGATCTAGCAGGTCAAGATCAGCCGATGAGGGGCGATAGAGACTCTTGGATACCGGCGCAGGAGCATCCCGGGTATACTCAGTCTCACGGCGAAGAGGAGTTTGAGGAGGAGGCAAACGGTACCGCTGAAATTGATGGTCGAGCGGAAGCAAGGATTGCAGAATGAAAATGGCGATAGTAAAACCGTCAAGAGTCCCCCGACAACGCGTCTGTCTCCGCAACTTTCCTTGACTACCGGCCTCAAATACCCCTCAAAGCACTCACACATTGCAACAGTTTTGCGTCCTAGGTTGTGCATGGAACTTCTTAATGATGCTGCTTGTCGAAGCTGATCTTTACTGAGTCGTCCGGACCATGCCACACGTGTGTGTATACGGCCCTTGATTGTCTTCGCCTTTTCGTTCGCCGTGCTTTTCTTAACCTTCCTCATATCATAATATGATATTACCACTATCATGACGCTGCATAATTTTTTTTTTCTTTTTTTCTTTTTCATTCATCATTAATTTTTGAAATTCTATCCATGATTTTCAGTTTATGCGGGTAAAGGATGGCGCGAGGATATCACAGAAAATGATTATTATCATCACGGATAGGTGTTTGGGGGAGAGGAATGAATGTCTTGTCTTCTGTGGAGTGGCATCGGGTTTATGGAGTATCAAGAAGAGCACATATTGGTTGCACGAAAGCGAAAGAAAAAAAAAAAAAGCGCCATCTGTGTCGACTCCTTGCTTGTTGCTCATTCATTTCAATGTTGAATCTTTCTTTTTTAGGGATTAATTCCTGGCAAGTGGCTCCCTTTTCAAGCTGCAAGGCATCATTCTCTTTCTTGCTCTTGTAAGATAGACATAATATTATTACCCAGCTTATTTCTGCCTCCTCACCTGTTCAATCAACATGATCATGATCTACAATTGTCCCAAAACACTCGTCCATAAAGAAGGAAAAATTACCATAGCAACGAGACGGAGTTAACAATTCCTAGGCAGTCAATCATAGCTATCCCACCCCCCAACCAGATCATCAGCGCCAATTGCATAACCCATCCACATGTTTCTATATACCCACACGAGTCAACGCCTCTTCCCATAAACGCGCATAAAAGCCAGGGAACGCTAGGCTTAAGAAAACACCTTCCCTTCCAATTCCTTCACAGCATCTCTCCAAAGCCCCCTTCCGAATTGCTTCGCTCTCCCATCCTGGCGTTGTATCAGCTGCATAAGGAATTCACCAATTTGCTCCTCAGACATGTCCGAAGCATCTTCATTCGAGAATCCATACACTTTGCTCCCATATACATCAATGTCTACGTCGACATCGATACTTGGTTCTGCGTCTGCACCCTTCACGGCCGTGGGACGTGGTTTGATAGTAAAATCAACGTCGATCCTAGCCTTGGATCTATTCCCGGCTGGGACTATAGGCATAGATGCCGACCGTTTCTTTCGCCTTATTTCGGTTCTGAAGCCTAGCAGGATACATCGAACTTTCAGCAACGCCGGCTCTCCAGGGTTGGCTTCGACGGTTTTTAGTTTCGTGACACCGCAATAGTCAAGCATGTGGATTTCGTTTCGAAGGGAGGAAATTGTGTTCCACGTTTGCGAGATGTCAGAAAGGAAGGCCTTAGGAGAAACGGATTGCGTCAGATGAGATATACGCGTGCGGAGGGCGTGGAGCACCAGCGCAATCTCAGGAGTTGGATTAGGGCCATTTGTGATGGATCCTCTAGTTGCCTCCGGCGCATAACTTAGCGTCATGGCCAGATCCTTGGACTGTTGGGAAGTAAACGCTGCTGGATGGAAATCAAGTCTAAGCTCGTTACTATATCGCATAGACAGAGCGGGGCCGTATTTCGTGCCGGAGCCTGAGCTAACCGATATAATCGTCCAGCCAGAACTTTTCTCCAAATTTCGAACGACAGCTGTCGAACACGTTAGCGGGTTTTCGGTAACCGACGACGTTGCAAGCTCCTTACCTTTGAGGCTATCCACCTCATTTACGCTCCACCCACGACATTCCTCTAGGATGCTTTCAGCCTCCTGGATGTCCTTCAGCAGCTTCGCCTTTTGCTCAGTTCCTTTTTTAACAATATTCGAGGTCTTTTCTAAGTCCGATTGTGCTTTGTTTAGATCCTCCTTTCGCTGAGCAATTTCGAGATCGATCATCCTCAGCCTTTCCCTTGCTTGTTTCAGCTCTTCTTGATCGCAGTTTTTCATTTCTTCCACTGCTTTTTCAAGATTATGGGCATCAACCTGGAGCCTAGCGTGTTTATTAACTAGCTCGGGCACGACATCATCCAACAATTTCTCCTTTTTCGACAATGCCTCTGAGTCTCGATTCATTTCCTCGACGTGATGATCTAGCCCTTGTTTCAAACCCTCAAGAAGCTTCATACGCCATTCATACCACATAGATTTACTTAGGAGTCGAGCATGAGCTTTCACATTGCGAAATTGGTTGTCCATCAACAGGCGGATATCTGGTGGAGCGGTGATATATTCCTGAAACAGAGGGGGATTCTCAGCGTAAGTCTCGGCTTCAATAGATCGAATGATCTGTCGACCTTCAGAAATGTAGGACTTGAGTTCGCGACACGACTGAGAAGAATGAGTCAGTAAGATACAGCACATCAAGTGACCAGGAAACTCACGTGTTGATAGAGCTCAAGCATTGGAATGGTGCAAAACCCAGCAGCAACACAGTCTTCTAGGCTTATATTTTCTGTTACCTGTCCATCGACTTCAGTGATACGCCTCTTTTCCGCATCGGGAGCAATAGTATGACGACGCTTCGTTGTGTTGAGTTCCATAAAGTGAATATTTGTCATTTTGAGAAACTCCGAGAGTTGAAGAGGTTTGAACTCTGTCGATTGTGGATTGGCATGCATATCAACAACCTCTCGGTCAAGAGCCAAATCCTGACTATTGACATTTCCCCGAACGCTGAGATCTGCAACGTTGCAATGAGGTTGGCTCTTTGGAGTAGTACCATTGGCTTTTGCCGGTGATTCTGTCGAGTTTCGTAAGGAGAGGCGAGATACCTTTCCAACCGTTTCCGCCTTGGAAGGAGGTGCTGGCAGCTTAATATTCTTGACTGGACTAGATTCTCTAGCCCTAAGTCGCTTTGTGGCATTGTCCTCATCATCATCTTCCATATCGAGTTCGATTGGCCGTTTCCCCAGGAGACCTTTCGCCGCACCAACATGTAAACTTTTGCGGCCTTTAAGCTTGTTCTTTTTTGGCGTTAAGCTAGATATCATTTCCCTAATATTGAGACCGGTATCACGATCTATCCGCGGACTGGCCGTTACCGCCGTGTTTTGCTGGCCTTCGTGTTGTTGCTCCTTCTTGGCCTCTTCTTCAAGCTTGTGTGGGTCATTGAACCGAACACCGCGTGATGGTTTGATCGTTGGAGTGAACGTTTGGGCATCTTCCCCGATCGATCGCCTTCTATCGAGAATGTCTGCCACACGAGGAGAACCAAGTCCTTCTTTGTCAATACCCAGGCCAGATGGCGACCTCCTGCGAGCCTGTAGAACAATCTTAGGAGTGGATTGGCCATGCTGGAAAATAGATCCCGGCTTTAATGTAGGCTGCTGCGTGTCAGGTTTGGATACCTTTTTGGGAGATAAATGGCCTTTGTGCGGTGGAGAGGTAGTGGTGGGTGTAGCCGGTGTCGTTGATCTTATCACATGCGGAGATTTCGACTTGGAAGGAGAGGGCATCCGTTTTACGGGCGTTGTTTGACGGGAAATTGGTTTAGTAGGCGTTGTAGACGAACGAGCTCCCGAGCTTCTTGACCTCTTTGGCTTGAGGTGAATATGTGACAGGCTGGGGCTTTCGTCTTGGAAAGGCACAGATGTGATTCTCAATGGAGTTGAAGGTTTCGCAGGAGAGGGAACGATATTCTCTTGGAACGGTGAGCTGGCAGGTTCAGGGTCGGAATCATCTCCCTGCTTTGAAGGTCGAAGTGATGGTAGAATCTTCCCAACTGCGTTTGTCATTTCCATTCCAATTGTCTCATCCTCAAGGGGCTCAGTCTGCTCTTCAATAGGAGGAAGGATACCACCGACTGCTCCAGTCATCTCCATATCCATCTCAGTCAAATCTGGATAGATACTCTGATCTCCCTGCTCCTCTGTTTGGGGAGATTGCTCCTTGTTGACGGTCGAATTTTCATGTTGAGCAATGTGCTTTTTGAGCACCCCGCCGAATACAGAGGTAAATTCCATAGTCATCTCTTCATCCTCTGCAATGTCGCTATCTCCGGAAAGCTCTCGCGATGGTGACAAGTTCCTATCAATGCCGCCAACGACGTTCGTAAATTCCATGGTCTGCTCACCCAAGTGTGTTGTGGCCCCGGATGTACGTCGATCCATATTTGACTCGTAACCAACGGGCGATTGTTGGTGTGGTTTCGATAGAATTCCTCCAATGGGTTTCGTTAAATCCATACCAGTCTCATCGTAATTGGCATCATCATCATCATCTTCTTCTTCTTCTTCTTCTACACCACGATGATGCTGTGGATAATTTGACGACCGTCGAAACGGGTTCACATTTTCCTGATCGAGACGGGAACTCAGATCTTCAGCGTCAAACTCTGAATGATTTGTCCCTTTCTTGATCCATGGCTTAAAAGCACCGGCTATTTCATGTTTGGCATATTCCATAGAGAAATCTTCGTTGTCATCGCGGTCAATGCCATTGCTACCAGCGATTTGTGCTGCCAGGCGCAGCGACCGATCAAGCCGAGCACTTGAGTCAGTAGTGGAGCCATCGGAATGAGCTGACATCATCGAACGGCCGGTCGCATTGTCGAGACTCATTGCGGTATTTTCGTTATCCATGTATGAATCTGAGAGACTATCCTCGTTCTCCGGCGCTAAAGATGCGATGCCAGTGTCGTCACCCTCTACCCCTGAATCACCGCTAAATGGGCTAGAAGAAAAAGCATCATCATTGTCAACATTGTCAAACTCGCCATGGGGAGTTCCAGAATTGCGCCTGAGGCTCCGTTGGAGAAAATCTTGCTGCTTCGCCGGCGAAAACTGTTCGAGATCATCGTTCTCTTCCTCAAGAGAACGGGGAGACTCCGACGGGTTAGCTTGATATTCCGTCGTGAGCGAAGAAGCCCGTCTGGTAGAATTTGTCGAGGCCGACGAGGTCGTTGAATCATCCATCAGCTCAACAACATTCCATGTATGTAAGGTAGCTTCCGGGGCAAAGGAGACCCGACGATTGGCTTCATAACCGCTAGTTAATAAAATGCGACCGGCGATAAATATGCGCGCCATGGACATTGGTCACGTACCCATAGATTTCCTTCTTGCAGCGCGCTGTTCAAGTATAGCCTGTTTATGTTCATGTCTTTCCCTCGCCTCTCGTTCCCTTTTTGCAGCTTGCCGTTCTTGTTCTGATTGGAGTACCCGTCCGCTATTAAGAGCGGGAGTTGGATTAAACGTGTCGAACGGGTTCGGCAAGCTTTCCGTCCCAACCACAGGTACCGGCGGAGGAGTCGAGAAATCAATAAGAGGTGCATTATTACCCCTAGCACTACTCAACCTCTGTGGACTCCGCCCAGGCGTTCTCTTTCGTGTCTCTTCAAATGACGGAATACTTTGTATGGGGGACACTGGAATTGCGGGTTTAAGGATCGACTTTAGAGGAAACGGTATAGTAGACTACAGAGATAAGAATCATGAGCAATCCGAGTAAATTCCCTTCGTCTACACATTCTTACCTTGCGGCGGTTTCCATGCCCATCTTTCAATGCATCCAATCCTCCCGGGCCCAGACTCTTGCTCCGAAGCTTTTTATCTTTCGCGGCCTTTGTTTGTAATGCGGTTCTTTGCTGCTTTGCTGCATTCGCGTCGGTAGCCAAGTTCTCCTTATCACTGCCATTTCGAATGGATGTCTGGGGTATTGGCGCAATGGAACGCCGTGATCTTGGGCGGGAATCACCTCTGGATGCCATCTGCGCGTCTGTCCTTCATAGAAAACAGCGGTGAAAGCAGCTCAGGAAAGCACTTTGCAAGGGGGTCAACAAGCCAAATCCAAAATATCCAAAATGTCCGATGCTCCAGCTCCAACCCGAAAAAGCAAACTGACCGTCAAGCACGACTGTTCAGCGGCGAGACCGTCGTCGTCGACCTGCTCAGATGCCGCCAGACGGAGAGGCGCGTCACTGGTTTCCGTTTCCGGCCTAGCGCTGTAAACAAACCGAAAAGCCCTAGCCGAGAACCACTAGCACCGGATTCGGACTAGCGCGGTTGGCGGCCTTCCCACATTGAATCGGCGCTGAACAACCACACAAAATCTGGAAGAAAAACCCCCGACGACGAACCCGCGACTTAACCACCTCCTCCAGACGACCCTCCCCCAACCCGCCAGCTCGAGAAACCCTCCCGAGTCAGTGTTGGAAGCCGATACACCGCAACCATGGCGACAGAGTTGACCGTGCAGTCTGAGCGCGCTTTCCAGAAGCAGCCCCATATCTTCCTCAACTCGAAGGTTAAGTCCAAGAGCAAGAAGGTCGGAAAGGGTGGCCGAAGATGGTATAAGGATGTCGGTCTCGGATTCAAGACCCCCAAGACCGCCATTGAGGGAAGCTACATCGGTATGGATGGACCTTTTTCGCTCGCTTCAGTGCAGTTTTCTTCAGTTTTGCAGCGAGATGTTCGGCCGTTTTCTGCGATTCCCGTGATAATATCTGGACCCGCGCGATAGCGGAGATGCCGGTATTGCTGTGGTGTTTTTGCGATGCGGAAATGTTATCCTGCGCCTTTTTTGACATGCCGAACTACTTCCCCGGGATTCAATATCCTTCAAATTTGTTTTCTATATCGGATGGGACTAACATAGTATTCTGCTCTTTTACAGACAAGAAGTGCCCATTCACTGGTCTCGTCTCCATCCGTGGCCGTATCCTGACCGGCACCGTTGTCTCCACCAAGATGCACCGTACCGTCATCATCCGCCGGGAATACCTTCACTACATCCCCAAGTACAACCGTTATGAGAAGAGACACAAGAACCTTGCCGCTCACGTTTCTCCCGCATTCCGTGTTGAAGAAGGTGACCAGGTCACCGTTGGACAGTGCAGACCTTTGAGCAAGACTGTATGTGGACCTCGTTTGTTTTGTACCGACCCCGGAGAATTGTGGCGCTTTCATATTTACGGAGCGAATATGCGAGTCATGGGAGTCGAGAGTATTGACTTTTGGCGGTTGCGATATCTAACCTCTACGTCTTGCTTTACAGGTCCGATTTAACGTCCTCCGCGTCCTCCCCCGCACCGGCAAGGCCGTCAAGGGATTCAGCAAATTCTAAATGGCTTACGGTTGGAGGGGAGTTTGTGAGATACTGATGGGTGGAGGTATATCAATGAACGCGAGCGCGGACGGCCGTTGCCCCATATCAGAGGTTCCTCGAATAGAGACAAAGAATATGGAAAGAACAACTAGCTGTCTAAGCTTGCTTTTCAACTTTGGCACGACTAAGCAGTAAAAGGCTCACGGTAACCCTGTGTCACCCGGCGGGGGTTTCGCATTTGTCTTTTTAAAAGGATTTTTACCATTCCAACATTATGATGGAGTTTTTAGCTGCCAATGCCATAGGGAAATTCAATTTTTCATTCCGTTTCAGACTCGGATTTAAAAGCGCAGTTATTAGCTCCGTTAAACCTCTTCTCGACAACCGATTCCTATCCCATCATTCCTCTTCTCCACAGAGAGGGCATCAAACGCAAATGACACTTTCAACAAGTGGACGCGGACATATGCATAACGCATGAATTGCACTAAAATAGCAAGGCAGCTCTGTAATATCAGCTGTTAAGTCAAATAAGCTCTCCATCACCTCACAATCATTCAGAACCGCTAATGCGGTTTTCCATTCCGCAACATAGATTCAAACACCACCAATATCCACAATGAGAACTTGCATATATCAACTCTCAAACGAGTAAAAGATGGAAGAAATAAACCAGCATCTGTCAAATCCATACTTCCATTGGCCTTGTCAAAAGAAACATATTAAATGTAACCAGATCAAGTAAACATGACACGCAGGACCCAGGTTAGTATCCCATAACATTTGCAATATGATTTCGGCTCTTGGCGAATACATCGATTTGCTCTTGCGGGTTCAGACTGCAATCTTCATCAACCCAGTCTGCATTATCAGAGGGTTCCACAAACTCCCAGCCGTCATCTGTACTAGAGGCTTGCGAGCAATGCTTATGGCTCCACTGGCTATTTGGGTTACTTGATTTTCGTATTGAATCGTACCCTGCCTGGACCCCTTTGGAGAGCAATTGAAACCCATCATCTCCTTCCATTTGGAATCTCCAGCTTTTTGAGATCTTGATGGCCAGCTCACTTGCATATTTTTGAGGAAATTTGGCTTTGCAGAGAAGTCGTCCTAAAAGATATCCTGTGGATCTATTTGCTGGTGTTTTCTGAGCAATCAATCGTCTTTTCAAAGGGTTTCCATTCAAACGGAATGATTTGATGGTTGATATTTGCAAAAGCTCCTCATAGCGACTAGAGAGATCCAGGAGATCTTTAGCTCTGACGGATCCAACGATATGCTCTGAGGATATATCACCCCAGATAAGGAATTCGCTGTATCCACTGTATGGGCGTTCATGGCTCTCTAGGATCAAGGGTTCATGCTTAAGGATATCCACGGCGGAGAAGATCCGCGTATTATCAAAGGAGGAGAGATCAAAAACTGTTATCATCCCGTCATCTTCCTGAAGTGCGCGCTGAAGCGGGGCTAGTGGGGTGTCAAACACAGAGATAAATGGTGTTTTGACTTTGCATCTTGTAAGATGTGACCGGGCCAGGGACTCGATAACAAGTGGATCGAAATTTGGCTGTGACATGTGGTTCGGTTGATTTGCCCATATACCCGCAACAAAGTACGAGCAAGTGTTCATGCCACAGCTTTTTGAGCTCCAATATCGAAAAGCAAGATAGGGCTTTCCGTTCTGCACTGGGGACATGCTGTCAGGTTGAGGGATTCTTAACGTGGAGTTGGGTGAATTGGGGGTGGTTGAAGAACTGCTCCTATCATCCTCGAGAATGACTCCGTCGGAAGCTGGTGAAAATGTTGAAAAATCTGCTGGTGGCTCCTGTTCTTGCCTCTTAAATATCTCAAGTCTCTGTACAGGAATTTCAGTTGGTTCAACGAAGGAATGTCCAGAAGGTTGGATGAACACTGGCGTGTGCTGGTTGTTTCTGATAAGTGTCACCCCTAGACCGCGAGCCGTAGTGATAATCAAGAAAAGGAGATCGTATTCCCTCTTTGCCAAGGACGAGGAAGAGTTGATCTTCGTCCAGACTGGGAATTTCTTGTGCTGCATTGTGTGGTACTGCGAGTGGATTACCCTTGTAGGCATTCCTTGAAAGTATCCACTTAAGCTCAACTCTCTTGCAAAAACTCTGTTGAATATTCTTGCTAGATCATCCCATTTGTTTTTGTAGTACTTTCGGAGTAAACAAAGCACTATTCGCTGGCCGTCGGTCCAAGAATGGCGGTTTGGTGGCGAGCTGAAGTCAAGTTCCTGTGCCATCGCTCTTGTCTCAACGATAGCTTTGTCTGGTGCGGAAGGGTATCAAGTTAGATGGGCAACGTATACAAATGAGAATTATCAGATTTGTGAGAGTCACTAAAGCGATGAGTATCAGTAACTCGATGAGAACCGGTGGATGGAAAGATGAAGAGGAAGGATAAAAATGGAGGAGGAGAGAGAAAGAAATGGCAAGAGGGGTAGAGGCAAAGAACTGGGTCATAGGATAGGTTACTATCCGCCAACAGTCAGGACCCAGCATTGTGCTTGTGGTCCTCGTTGTGTTATTGAAGGTCGAGGTTGTGTTTCAAATGATGGATGGAGTGAGCGGGGTAAAGCATTGCTGGTGCGGATGTGCGCAACAATCATGTACGGAGTACGCAGTAGATCGTCTCGAAGTGTATAACGTATGGAATGTCTCAGGAGACATGATGGCTATCAACAGCAACTGGTATTCCCAAAGAAATAAAGGAACGGCTCCGTTCAGGGAGCCACTTTGTTTCAGGTTCTCGTACAGAGGCTGGATATAGGATCATGGATCCATGCCTCCCCCATCGCCACCATCGCCATCACGATCACGCGTGCCCAACGCAGCAAAATGACCGCCCATCGTCGTCGTGTTAAGGCTGGCGAGGGCGTCGAGAGTGGATCGAGGGCAGCTAAACCGAGTCAGGGTTAAGTCTAGTCACATGACCTCACTATAGGGCTGACTGGCTAGTTGAGATGATATAAGCAGAGGGCTTTGGTGCCGCGGAACGGGCAGCGAGAGCGAGTTGACAGAACAGCATAGACCGTCGCATGCAGCCATGGACAATCCCCAGGCAGTGTCGTATCTCGAGTCATTGCTCAACAGGACAGTCCGATTGCACACCTCGGACACACGCCTCTTTGTAGGCCTCTTCAAATGCACCGACAATGTGAGTTGACTTTTGTTGCGCCCCTCGATTCTTTCCTTGCTTCTTCCCCCCTCCCCGCGACTTTTCTCACATAGAGATTCCACCCGTGGGTATGTAGGATCGGAATATCATTCTCTCAAACACCTATGAATATCGCTTCCCAACTCCCGTTGCTTTGAATGAAGCGATTGCCCAGCAGGGTTCCGAGAATCAGGAAGTGGTCAAGGCAAACATGACAAGCCGCTTTATTGGTCTGGTTGTGGTGCCTGGGCAGCACATCACGAAAATCGAAGTCGACGACCCTTCGAAATAGACTACTGCGGCGCTGGTCAAATGGAAAGCGATCATTGGGTTCCGAATCTTCCGAGGACGACATTCATAGAAGCTGGCACGATAAGGCCACCCGATGGAAGTAGCAAAAGAAAAGAAAACGCAGCCCAAAAATAGAGAGGAGTCACAAGGGCGCACGGGAACAGCCAAACAGAGCGGCAAAGCTCTCCTATCTGTGATCCCTTGGCGTTAATCCTAAGTACGGGAGGTGAATAGGAAACCAAGCGGCCACGTTCTCCGAGCTGCATCAGGCCCCCGTTAATTACTTGGTGATTGCTCATGCGCCGATAGGAGTTTACTGAGGAACACAGAACTATTTGTGTTGACCGTGGCGTTCGGGGCATAACCCCCGCTCATGTTAAAAGCTCTTGTTGCGTATTCCTATTCATATCACACAGTAGTCCATTAGCATGATTTTTGTAACCCCCAAAAGCCGTCCTTTTGGAGGAACCCGCGGAGGGAGGTGGAGGTGGCTGAGCGAAGCCGGTGTTTCGTTGGAAGATCCTGCTCCGCACCATATAGTTATAATAGCTTAGCTATACCTAGTCATGACCTCCCTACATTGAGAAGCGCCAAACGACGGGCAGCCTCTATGCCGGTTCTTTAGAGCTGCGCGACATGGACTGTCGGATCACTATGTAGTGTATGTATCTTTCCAATCCGAATGTCAGCAGCGAGGTTCGGGCGCCTGTAGCGTCCTGAATGCAAAGAACGGAGCCACATCCAGCCTCGTGCCCCGAAGCCCAGATCCATTAAAGCTGCTGTTTTCTCGGGTTGGGTCGGCCAGTTCTCGGAGATCCAATCCCCAGCCCTGCCGGGACCTCTCGATGGGATGTTGAAAGGGCGGAAGAGGCGATTTTTAACAAGTTAGCTGATCGACAACGCGAGATGCCCGATCCAAGAGCTCGTTAAGCTTCCGCCGTGCGGACATTGCCTCGCGATTGGTCGCGATTACCACGGGTCCGGACCATACGGAATCAAAAGCGAGGCATCAGATACATTGAAAACCCGAAGGGGACGTGCTTGAGACCACGTACGTATCCATGGCGCCCTCTCGAAGCACGACTGATGGATAATCCGTTCTCGAGTGCAGGGTCATCGGGTCAACTGACTGTCATTGAAGCGACATGTTTTGTCAGTCCTGCTTGGGTAGACCAGTCACTGTCTGAGACTGCTGCTGTCAAGACTCTGAGAGCTCGGCGTGCATGTGTGTGTCGGTCCAGCATACAGGACACGCTTTGTGAGAGGGTGCAAAGGCTTGACCATGGTTGTGCCACTAGGATAGTTAACCTTCTGGATGGGTGGGAACCATGTAGGCGGTGATGCTGTTCCATTGGCCGCAGTGTGTTCCTTTGCAGCAGATGATGGATAACCAGTTCATTGTCTTGGGGATTCCCATTTTAAATATATATATATATATATTTAACTAGTTATATATAACAAAGCTGTGTAGTTGACTTGTGCTGGCTGGTCACTGATAGCTGCATACTCTGTACACTCCCATCCATCAACTCCAGCACCGAACCCACCTTGCCGCGGCGTGGTTTGCTCTGGTGCTTTTTTTAGAGCGGGCGGTTTCGTGGGCTTTTTCTCCAGCCCGAGTCGCTTAGTTTGCTTAGTGTGCGCTGCCGAAAGTCTAGACACAACCCAGCCCTGCTTGGTCTGCCGTCCGATTCTGCTGCTTGTCTCTGGTTTGTCTCATCCACTGCTACTCTGTTGCCGGCCAGCTATTCGTCCATCTGCAATTCCCACTTCCTCCCCATCAACTGCTGTTTCTCTGCAAGGTACACATCCACACGGCCACCACCTCCTTACAGCTAGTTTATCACATCTTCTTCTTCTCCTTCTCCTCCTCCTCCTCCTGCTGCTGCTTGCTGAAAAAGCACACTCACGGAACCCAATCTACAGCGCCCAACAGGTCTGTCCCGTACCTGCGTCTGTGCTTTTTTGTGGCCCATGACAACTCCGACGCCACTCACTCCCATCTCTCTCTAGCTTTTGGAACCAGCTGCTCTACTCTGGAAGCATCGTCCCCCAGAACACTTCATCTGCTCACGCACCGCACTCCCTACCATCACCACCGACTTTTGCCACAGCCTGCTCGGCGCAGCAGTAGCTTCTCGGCCACCCCATGTGAGAGGTTTCCCTCAGGAACAACATCCCAATCTTTCTCCTCCCCAGCCGCTTCCCTCCGCAGTACCCCTGGTTCCTCTCCCTCTCCCTCTCCTCCCACTTCTTCTTCTTCGTCTTGCATTCCTGCGCTCAGACGAGCAGCAGAAATCACCGAACCTGGAGCCATTTCGCCGCGATCACCGTGCCCCTCCCGTGTCCTTTCCCCACGATAACTACGATCGTCGCCTGATTGTGTCCGTCACCAAATCGTCGAAGAAATTGGCGCGAACCACCTTTGTTGTGGAAGCCAGTTTCCTCTGCTACATCTGCACCCTGTTCGAGCCACCCTAACTTGGGATTGGCCCTCCTCTGCCCTCTGCTTTTTTACTAAATCTCGTTAATTTCCTCGATCGATCGCTCCACAGTTCTGCCTCGCCCCGAGTACCTTACCCCGCCCGCTGGGTGATCGTGTATCATGGGCCAGCAGCAGTCCAAAGGGAGCGGTGGTTCAAGGATATCTTCAGACAAGGGTGGACCCGAGTCCCTCCAGTCTTACCCATCCTTCTCTCGATCCGACACAAGGGACTCGACTCGCTCCATTCGCGGCTCCATCCGGTCCAAGATACCCGGGTCAAGCAAAAGCGACAAGTTCGACAGCCCCAAAAGTTCCAATGGGAATGTGACGCGCGGAGACATTGGCCCCGGGGATAAGCCAGATGGAGGACCTGTAGCGCTCCCCTACAGAACTACCTCGGATGCTTCTGTCGTTACAGACAAGTCCGCAGCTTCTCAAGAGGAGGATGAATCCGCCTCCCTTGACGTGCCGAGGCTTCCGCCGTCACCGCGACACTCAGCTTCCCTAGGTCGCGGCCACGAAAATGTCAATGCGGCGCAGAGATCAGGAGAGGTGGACCACGTCTCTGAGGCGCCTCCAACTGGCGCAGGACAGTCGATTGTGTCCCAGAAACCGGGTGAATCGATCCTTATAAAGAGAGATAATATGATCAATCCCGTTCTGCGTGACCTCAATGGGTCCTCGCCCTCAGAGAGCATTGGCATGAATGGTTCGCCCGGCATGGGAATCGGGTCACTTAAGTCTATCGACGTCGATGATATGATTACCCGGCTCTTGGACGCGGGGTATTCCGCCAAAGTCACTAAAGCTGTGTGCTTGAAGAACGCAGAAATCATCGCGATTTGTGCCGCCGTACGTGAAGTCCTTCTTTCGCAACCTGCCTTGGTTGAACTCTCAGCGCCAGTCAAAATCGTTGGCGATGTCCACGGCCAGTACACAGACCTGATTAGGCTCTTTGAAATGTGCGGGTTCCCGCCGGCTTCCAACTACCTCTTCTTGGGCGATTACGTCGACCGTGGCAAGCAAAGCTTGGAGACAATTCTTCTTTTGTTATGCTACAAATTGAAGTACCCCGAAAATTTTTTCCTGTTGCGCGGCAACCATGAATGCGCCAACGTCACTCGCGTCTATGGGTTCTACGACGAGTGCAAACGCAGGTGCAATATCAAGATATGGAAAACATTCGTCGACACTTTTAATTGTCTTCCGATCGCCTCTATTGTCGCTGGCAAGATCTTCTGCGTTCATGGAGGCTTGTCCCCGAGTTTGTCGCACATGGACGATATCCGCGGTATTGCTCGACCTACAGATGTTCCCGACTACGGACTGCTCAACGACCTCTTATGGAGTGACCCAGCAGACATGGAGGAAGACTGGGAACCCAACGAAAGAGGAGTGAGTTACTGCTTTGGTAAAAAGGTCATCATGGAGTTCTTGCAGCGTCACGACTTTGATCTTGTGTGTCGAGCACACATGGTGGTCGAAGATGGATATGAGTTTTTCAACGACCGAATTTTGGTTACCGTGTTTTCCGCCCCAAACGTAAGATCATCCTTCAATTTGACGATGTTTCAATGGTTCCTAACGGCTTCTTCACAGTACTGCGGCGAATTTGATAACTGGGGTGCAATTATGTCGGTTTCTGCGGAATTACTTTGCAGCTTCGAGCTCCTAAAGCCACTTGATTCGAGCGCTCTGAAGAGTCATATCAAGAAAGGCAGAAATAAGCGCAATAGTATTCTGAACAGTCCGGTAAGTTCGATATGTATCACCTGTCACGACCTCTCACTACCTTTTTACCTATCCTTGCTTTGCTCTCTACCCTGTCGATCATCAGTAGTATTTGGAGATATGCTTACGTATCTTTTAGCCTGCTCTTGTGTCCGCTCAGAGTTATTAAGCCTGGTTACGCTGTTTCCCACGACACTCTAGTTATCTAGTGAGACTCTAGGCCGATCTGGTCATGGGATGTCGCGCATTGCCTTCGAATTTACGCCGCTACCGATTTAAAATTTGCCGTACTACCGTCAGACATGTCACTTGAGCGGCCAGTGTTGACTGTTGTCCGGGTGTGGGCCATTATGTCCGCAAATTGCCCTCTTTCTGGGAGCATCAGGCGGCTATTGAAGCCCGACTTCAGGGTTTTGTTTTGGTTGCATACGCCCTGTCCGACGCGTAGATTCATACGCCGCTCCGGGATGGTCGCCACATTATTGCCCAGCATCACTTTTTAAGTTCACAGGATTCGATTGCCCTGTCCTCCATTGATCTCAAGTAGATAGACACACGTCTGACCGCAGTTTCCGACACGCCTTCGCATGCCTTCGCGTTAGCAAGCGCCACGCCTGTTCTTCTATCTCCCTTTCTGGATTGAGCGTATTGCACCGACTTTCGAGCCTCGCATTTGAGCACAACCGAGTACCTGAGTGACAGATCGACGCTTGGACTGGCATCGCACCAGGTCTATGCAGCTCTGATAGCACATACGTATGTGTGAGCGGTGCATGCAGTTTGTCCTGTTGCTTGTTCCCCACAGTGGACGCTGAATTCCCGCTCTCTTACGCCGCCACCCCCCGATTACGGAGGATTTTTACTCTGCTTTCTTGTGTGACATAACCTCCATGACCAATATGTGTTTTTCTTTTTTAATGAGGATTGCGTTTCTTTTCTTTTACGGAGCAACTACCTTGCTGACAAACCCTTAAACGTCCATACGCCGAGTCCCATTTTTTGTTTGTTTACAGGTGTTGAATTTTTATCTTTCCTGTCCCTTCCCCCTTTTTTTGCACTCCATGCTCTTTTGATGTCTTTCCGGTATTAAATATCTAGCTTGAGCAGCGATGTGCTTATTTATGCCTACACTCTGTCCATAACTTCATTCTGCCTTTGACCTACATACTCTGGAACGGAATTGGTTTTGTTAACTGGTTTGCCTTGAAAACATCTTCCCCCCCCCCCAAGCCGACCTAGTTTCAAGTTGACGGTTGTGCACCCTTTGTCCCTCTTTCTTGTACGTCCTCACTCGTCCTTCCCCTTCCCATCCGGACAGAAAATCAGGAAATCAACAAGATATGCAAAAAGTCAGGGGATCCAAGGATGTGGACCATGCGCTGCTGCAGTTACGCAGATCTGGTAAATTAGGTCCCCCTGCTTTTGCGTTTTTTCTTTTAAGGAAAAAAAAAAATTATCTTTTCTTTCATTCTATTTGTTTCTTTTTCTCCCCTTTTTTTTTTTTTTTTTTTTTTTTTTTTTAACCATTTTGTTCTGTAAACCCACTGGGATTGACGAGGTGCCGAAGATACAACACACTCTGTAAAGAACTCATCGGTGAAATGAAATAATAGCTTCTGAATGAAATGAAATAAAAACATAATTGATGAGTTGTCTTGATATCTCCTACACGCCCTTCGCAGTATAGAAGGTTCTCATAGTCCAGCTAGTTTAGATTCACGATATTCCAGGTTAAAATGAAATTGGAAGATAGTACAGTACTGCGTACACTTATGTAGCGTCCGAGGGACCAAATGGGGGCAATACGGATTTGCAAATAATAAATAGGGAGAAAATCTGGAGCTGTAGAGAAGAAAAAATAAACAATAAAAAGCCCTGTTGAAGTCCGATATGCTCGGCCAAAGGGTAAAGATTGCCCGACACGGGTCAGTCCGGGGTATGAAAGAAACAAAGTCAGGACCAGAAAAAAAGAAACTTCCCCAGAGCACATGTCAATAAATAAGCTGTAGAAGCGATGTCTTGTACTATCGTTTGCGGTAGAAAGCCCAGAATTTCGAAAGCAAATGTCAGTTATCCACACAGGGCAGGTCACAAAAAAAAGCACGGCAATAACCTAGAAAAAAATAATACATGTGATTTTCCTATCCTGTAGGTACCAACAAGAATTTGATGTAAACATTTCTTTCCCACTTAAAAAGGGGGGCATTTATCAAGTATGTCATTCGGCAGGTTTGTCGCTACCTGCGTCTGTAGCCTTCGACGGGCCTTCTCCTGCAGAGATCAGAGTAGGGGCAATTCGCTTCCTTTTCGGAGGTCGGGATGCAGCATCGTCGTTTTCAACTGCAGCAGCAGAAAGCTCTTTATCGGTTTCTTTTGAATCATCCTTCTCCGACTCGCTGATAGCGCCAAGATCTCTTTTGCCAAGAACGCTACCGCTGATAGAGCTCCTTGCGCTGTGCGAAACGCCAGTCATAGGAGTCTGAGGAGGTGTTGTAAACGAGAGAGGAGGCGGAGCAGAATTTGTAGCTGTGACCAAAGGAACAGAGCTTAGGGTTGGGGTCGGATTGTTGATAATCCCCGAACTTGAAGGTGGCATGCTTGAGCTCGTTGCTGCTGAAATGGTTGCTACAGAGCTGGCAGGACTCGCAGGTCCGGGTAAGGCTGGCGTAGATTTTACTACTTCAGGTGAGGTTACTAGCGTTGGGGTCGGTAAAGGAGTAGTCGTTGTTGATGGGGCATTTTGAGAGGCTTGTTGGTGTTGTTTATCAAATGAATAAGTCTGTCCTAATTCTCCGGGTGAGAATGCAAGAGTCGAGCAGAACCCATCGGAGGAACTCATTATCAAAGTGAGTCCATCCTGTGACCTATATAAATGTCAATATAGATAGATCTGAATAAATTTTAGTCGAAAAAGACCCACCATGTCAGATCGGTGAACGTCGCAAAGTGCAGGTTGCTCACGACGCACAACGGCGTTTGCTGTTGCGTATCGTAAACTAGAACCGCGTCTTGAGTGGCTACTGCATACACTATTCTATATGGTAGTGAAAACGCAGGGGGAGGCTGATTAGCCGTGGCTGTCTCCGATTCTTGATTTTTCGGTGACGGTAACGGACGAGAGGCATCACTCGTCGTCGAAGCCGACGTAGTTAATGGTGGAGGGTCCATCGATGTAGTAGTGGGGCCTGGCAGATTGGAGGATATCACAGATTCGGGAAGCGCTACAAAAGAATCATCAACGGAGGAGGTATCAAGGGTAATATGGCGAGTAGGCTTTAAGCCTTGTCGAAGAGTGTAGAAGACCGGTGAACACTTCACAGCGACTGACGGCTTTTTGTGCCCTGGGAGGTGGGCTATTGGTGGTTTATTAAATCCAGCACGTGTGTAGATATACACGGTATTAATAATGTCTTCCGTTGTTTTGTGTGGGTCACCGTAATTGGGGAGTTTATATTGCCCTGCAGGTGTAAATAGTAAACTTCCATCAGGTGCAAATGTTAGCCGCCGAAAGAAGGAAGTGAACGTTTCGTTGGCATAAAGACTAGCATTCTTCACTCCAAGTCCACCTAGAAAACTCGGAGAGGGCATATCAAGCGGCTTGACAGCCGGCAATGGCATCGAAGGAGCAGGCGAAGCGGATCTTCGGATAGAAGGGGAGGAACCGAAGGAAGAGCGACGACTAAGCGATACAGGGGGTGGATCCATTGGCAGTAAGCCTGTCATAGGAGTGCCAGGTGCCGATGGCCCTGGCGAAGATACCGCGACAGAATTGCTGGTTGTCGACTGAGCTCTAAGTCCAATATCCGGTGGAGCGGGACTGTTCGATGATATGCGTCTCGCTGGCAAGTCCATTTTGAGAAACTTTCCATGCGAAGTCAAGGTGAACTGGCCATCCTTTGTTTTCAAAGTGTAAATATGAACTGAACGGTCAGAGGATTGCGTAGCAACGTATTCGTTTAGCGGATCCCAAGCGACTCCTTGCACGTAGTGCGAGTGTTCTGCTATCTGGCGCACCATTTGGCCTAATCGCATAAGGTCAGTGAGAAATCGAGGAAAACAATCGATATAGCATACCAGTTTGTGCGTTGTAAATTCGCGCAACATTATCCATACTTCCGGTAATTATGAAGACACCATCCGGGGACCATGCCAGGTCATAGATTTCAGCCCCAGAGGACCTGCACATATGCTTCACTCGCCACGTTTCTTTATCGTCGGATCGGTCTTCGCCTAGCCGTGAGTGAGTCTGCAGCTCCGACGGCACCCAAAGGAGTACGTTTCCATCATCTCCAGCGGATGCCAGCATCTCGCCTTGTTTATCTTTAGTATCCTTCCGGTTCACGCAGCCAAGGGTCAGCTCAACACACCTTTAGGGCAGAACCGCACGACGTTCACAGCTTGCGTGTGCTTTATCAGCGTGCTAAGGTATGTGATTCTTCGTTCCTCTCCGGTAGCTTCAACCCTCCAAAGCTATCTCTCAAGTCAGGTAACCCGTGTGGGGGTAGGAAAGGAGGGAGTTCAAAGGGGTAACATACGCGAACATTGTTATCACTACAGGCAATTAGCATGATTGTGTTCAGGGAATAACTGACAAGGTAAATACATACTTTCCAGCTGTAGCCAGTCTCCCTTTGCCGTTAGGATCAAAGTTCACAGAGTAAATGGGGGCATTGCCGTCATGCCAGGCGATAAGAAGAGGGGTCGCCTTCATCGTGGACGGCTCGGCAAGGCTTATGGCCTGTGAGGCCTAGGACAGGATTTGGTGTTAATATTGTGGCTGAATATGCTGGTCCGGGCCCTGTTGCGATGAACTCTTTGTCCAAGTGCAATCTTTATCTTTTGTCGCGTTCAGTAATCGTGCTCAGTCCATTGGTCCGGAGCTGTTCAGCCCAGAGAGTCGAATTGAGGCATCAAATTAATCAGAATGCTTACAGGCCCAAAGAAATTAAAATTTTCAGTTTTGAAACGATATTAACAGAGGAGAAGGTAAGTAATAAAGGTAGTTCTGATGCTGTTGAAGTGATGGCATGCCTGTTGACAAGGCCGCGATTAATGGAGAGAGGTTGTGACAAAGTCAACACAACTGCTGGTGACGATTTTGTTCCCGCCCACGACTATAGTTGAAACCAACATTCACTTTTGCAGATAAACCATCCCTGAACCAGGTCAATGGCCAGGTCAAATTCGGAAATAAGAGACCATTCAATTTGATATTGGTGCCAAAGTCCATAAAATAAAAGCGTGTCATTTCCCGCCCTCACCGTAACTATGCTCGCGGCAGTTCCCAAGACACTCAACTACCAATGGCCCCAAAAACACCCATTAATACGGAGTACAGGGATAGGATATTAGAATATTTTTACAGTTATATTTTACATTTTAAGGTACATATGGTCAAATAACCACAACCCAGCCATATATCCTCCAAAAACACCCAATGGCACTTTTGCTTGACTATGATATGCACCACAGACTCCACGATAAACGCGGCCAGGAGCGCTCCTATTCCTGTCGCTGAAAGAAAATAGCTGACATATTTATATGTGCCTAGATGCAGCTGCCTTGCACCTTTGGAGACGTGATTTCCGCTATATATTAGCTTAGTCTCTAGATGTACTCCGTACCGTGGCCGATACTGGCTTTCGTTTACCCAGTCATGGTTAGAAGAGTCTTTCTTCATTCTTTCTCGCCGAGAAAATATCATATATTGCAGATGACCAGCACTTAAGTCAACGCAGGTCTTCTCGCGATTTTATGCCAGCCATCTCCCGATAGTTTCGCCGAACCAGCTGGTAAACTTGGCACGTCGCTTCGCTTTCGCCTCCTCGTCAGCCTTGACCAATGGTGAAACCTCCTTCACATATCGATCCCGCTGTACAACTTGTTGTTTGAGCGCCATAACCTCTAACTCTCGCTCGTGAGGAGTCAGGTCTTTTAGAGGCTTTGAGGGCTTCATGCCAGCCGGTATCTGGAGTCCCCCAGGGACCATAGCGGGCTCGTTCGCGTTATCCCCTTCCGATTCCGCGGGTATTGGTGCCGCATCTGGATTGAACAAGGACCTCAGAGGAGGGGGCTCGACACCAGCAGCCTTTGCTTCTTCCACTCGAGCCTCGTAGTCCAACATCTGGTGGTAAAGCTTGTCTGCATGCATTTGAATCTTCTCCTCGTTTTCTCGATCCCAGTCAAAATTCGAACCGTAGCCGAGAGCCTGTAAGAATTTCTACAAATAGTTCATTAGCTATCTGAAACAAACCCTCGTCCCAAAACAAAATGTCGCCAGCTTCCGGGAACGGCTCACCGCTTGCATCGTATAACATCTTGAGAATTCTTTGTTCTGTTTTGAGCACATAGTCATCCTAGCCCACATCCTTTGCTGTGCGTCTCCATCTTTAAAGCAATTTGTAAGCGCAATGTGTTCCTCTGCGCAATTTTCTAACGCCGCTCGGTTTAAAACGTCTTTTCTCTTCTTGAATTGATCAACGACCTTTTCAGCTGGTGATATCTCTGGTCCCTCAAGCTCACTCATGGGCTGATATGTTTTCCAGAGGTGGGCGTATCGGCCGTCAGGGAATAGGGAAGCGGAGGGAACAGTCGTCCTGCTCTCAGAAGTCGCATTGTCCGGAGAGGTCGGCGTCTCTCTCGAGGGAGGCTCGGAGGATGGCACATCCGTAGTCGGTATATATCTTGATGGAGTCTCTTTCTCCAAGTATTCTCGGAGCCCGGGGTCTAATTTCTTCGTAGGATCATCATCGCCAGAGGAGTTGCCCCAGAACCATCCCATTGCGACAAGGCCAGGGAAAGACGTGAAATTGTCTTAAAAATACACAAAAGCCACCCGGGCTTGGTTAGAGACTCGACTGCTCCAGATTAATATTGTTTTGATATGCGTAACAACACGAAGCAAGCAGCTGCTCTGTCCTTTGGGCTCCGCCGCGGACAATGGATTGATGGGATTTACCCAATTGAGTTTTGCCAAGACCACTGACGTTCTCCTCGCTGCTTGCATGTTATCATCCCAAAAAGCTTCAAGGAGCACGCGTCCGGCGCGTCAACGAAAGCCATCGTCGCAACCATCACGATGTCAATTGCCGCAAGTAAGCTCAGGGAGTCCATTCTAGTTGTGTACACATGCTAACTCGTAGTTTAGATCGAGCGGAGCGTCAGCTGATGCGCCAGCGGGGTGCTGCGTACGTCCCTCTCAATACGTGCAGACATTATCCTTGAACGAGTCCATATGAGCTGACTTCCTTTCCCAGAAACCGTAAAGTCAAGGATGTGGATTTTGGCTTCTCTTTTGGTCCCCCTCAGCCGTTAACGAAGTCAGAAACGCAAGTGTCGCAGCGTGCAGTGACCAATCCGCAATCTCCTAAGATATCTCCGCCCAAAAGTTCGACCCCAAACAAGAAACTTTCCCGGCCTTCCACCCCAGGATCACGGCGGAGCTCAGCTAGGCAGACAAGAAGTACGCCGAGCACAAAGCCATCTGGGAGTTCTAGAGGAGTAATACCCTCACCAGCGCCGGTGTACGATATCCCACAAGACGACCAGCCGGATCAAAGAAGCCCAAAACGGCGGCGCATAAGTAAGCTTGTCTATATTGACCTTATCGGTGCCTTTTCCCTAATATACTTCTTTCAGCTCTTTTCAAATCTATTACAGCAGATTCAGCCTTGCATACAAGCAGTCCGCATAGCGAATCGCGTAGGATCGCCGCTATCACAGAGACAATCGAAGAGCTGATAGCAGGTCAGCAAGCCCTACCCACAGCTTCTTCAGAACTTATTCATTCCACACCAGACGCTACTTTACAGCCTACTGAACCACCACAACACCAAACACCGTTGCCCTCGAATGCCCCACCTGAACACACCCCGTTACCAAACACCGTCAGTCCGGACGATAACAATCGGCACAACAATTACCAAGAAACCAATGAAGATATCCAAGCTCAGCGTACACCTGTCGCGCAACGTAGGCGGAAAAAGAGAAAATCTGTTCGATTACCTCCGAAGAATCATCAAAAACGGCGTTCCCAAGTCAACACTGGAAGTTCCAAAAAAACAAGCAAAAATCTGGAGTCCAATGAGGCCTTGAATAATGCAGAACAACCTTTTGACCAAGATAAATCCCGAAGTCCTACCGTACGGCGCTCATCTCCTCCCAAGGAAAGGCCCACGAGTGTGAATCCTGAAGTACACAGGCTAGACTTACAAGCAGAGGAAAGGGAGAATGATTTCGCAAGAAATTTGGAACTACAAAACGAGGAAGGGGAGGGAGACGATGGGTATGAAGTGGACGAAGCTCCCCGTTGGCGAGCTCCAGAGGGAGAGCAAGCATACCATCCAATAGAACCTCCCCAAAAAGCAGAACAACCTGAGCGAAGGAGGAAAAGAAGGAAAAATGCGACCCGGGCGCCCGCAAGTGACAAAGAACCTCTCCAACACCATAAAGAATGGCCCGAGTCTACGCAGCCTGGACAACCAGAAAACACGCGGGCGGTCAAACCCAGACGAGGTCGCAAAAGGCGGAGTCGCGGATCGTCGAAATCGTCGGGAGAAGCTTTCTCAGACGAAGGTACTTCAAGTAAAAGTACCATCCCCGTTACCGTTCATCGTATCTGCAACATCTCTGCCCTCGAGGACATGCTTTCTGATAAGTCCAATGTCTCCGATGATGAACATTCGGGCTCCCACACCGCGACCAGGGATCACAAATATCTAAACCGTGGAGGCATTAACGCTGCTGACGTCCTAAGTCAAATTTGTCAAGAAACACTGGAAAAGACCATCTCTACTCTCCAAACAAATATTGACCGGGAATTAAATACTACCCGTGCTAATGAATGGAAACGTAAGTGCAAAGTTGTGCAAGATTTTCGCTCGGAGTTGGAAAACTCTTTGTTCGGGATTAGCGAGCTTCTTGAAAGCAATCTCGCTCTTGCTGCGCGACTAAAAAGGGATAAGAAGGAGGTGCTTAATTTAAGGCACCGGCTATTGAGCTTACGGAAGGAAAGAGAGGAGATTGCTCTTCGAATCGACAACGTACGGAATAAGTATGCGGACGATGAAAGTGAAAGAATGGTACGTCCTACACTGGATCTACATAATGAATGTGAGAGTTTCTTTGAAGCTGATCTCATGCTAGGTACAAGACTCACTCAACAACTCTATTCACGATCTCCAACTGGCTCTTGACCGAAGCCATAAACGGAAAGATGCCACGGACGCCAATCCATTTGCTGGTCTGGAATTCCTCCTCCGTACAGTTGCTCAAGATGTTAGCTCCACAGCATCGGACTCGCGAGGAGGCCTTTTGAACCAGGTCAAGCAATTTAATAACCAATTAGAGAAGACTGCGGCTTTATTACAACAGAACCGACAATAAACCGATGACGTCGGCCAGTTCCATGCCATGTTTAGCCTCGAAATAAGTCCTAGCTTTTACGCGAAATTCATAAATCGATTTTCCACGTAACTCTACGGAGTATTTCCTTGGCTACCAAACGAATACTTCGCCAATGTACAGAGGAGGCCGCGCCAATAATAGAAAATTCCGAAGGCTTCAATCTTCATGTGAACCGTGAACTCAGGGCCTACATACCAAGCGTCATTCGACCCTCCAACCCGCCACATCCTCGCTACCCGACGCTTCTTTGACCAGACCAGCAGCATCTTGGCGAATTCCGCAGGCGCAGATCAATCTTGGCGCTTCTGCCAGCCCAGCGGGCCTTCAGCCTGTGGGCGCTGGTGGAGAACGCCGCGGGTTCCACTCCGCCGCCTTGGCATTTTCAAGAACGTATCTTGCCACCACGACAAACCACGCAAGGGGCATACGACAGAGGTTATGCTGCACAATTAATTCACGCCAGGAGAGCAAAATCTCTCGTTGCCCTGCAGTTCCTACATCCCCGATGGTAAGCACGGAACATTGAAATGATTTTCTCATCATCTTTTTCGAAGTAAGGAGGCATCTCTTGTGGAGAATAGCCAAGTTTCTCAACGTCTATGATATTCTTTCAAGCATGGAGTACTCCGTATCCCTTCCCGTCATGACGCAATCGAACAATGCCTATGTTCAAAGCAGAGATGAAAGGTCAACTCTGAATGGAGCCGGCATCGGAGCTGAACATATTTCTACCCGGCGACAGATCAGGTTCCCATATTTCTCGACCTCAGATACTTTGTAGAAGTTGTGGAGGAGGGGAAATGTGGAGAAATTTGTAGCTAATTAGGACCGTGGGCCCAAATTCAAGTGGCTGTATGGAGAGGATATGATTTGGTTGTTTTGAGAATTCTCGGCGGTATTTTGAGATCGTCGGCTGTCCGCTTCCAAAATATATATCTCGCTCATTTCCTCCTTCCTCTCCATCTCTCCTAGAAGGTAATAAATATATTACCCTCTCAACATCATCCAAAGCGAGCCCTTGAGGAAGGACTACCATGAGAGAGAAACGACTCGACCCAGAAGTCCCTGTAGCCAACGATGGCCACAGCTCGAGTCCCTCCGTCTCCACGGGGAAACAGGAGGTCATCAGAGAAGAAACCATAAGAAGCTGGGTGAAAGAAGGACAAGAAAATGGGATAAACAACAAACTTCGAAACCCCCTATCTGGCATGACCAAAGACGAGCTCTTCCGGGATGTTGAAACATTCGCCCTTGAAAAAGGCCTGATGGATGTCGTTGACGATTTGAAGAAGGGAGCTCTGATCGCGCAAGATCCGAAGTCGTTTGAGCTCCTGGACGAGCTTTCGGAGGCGGAAAAGGAACTGCTCCGTCGGGAGAAAACGCACAAATGGAATCAGCCTTTTATGATGTATTTCATGACCAGTACGTGGAGTCCGCTCCTTAACGACTTGTGGAAACTAACATATTCCAGTTCTTTGTGCCGGCTCCGCCATTGTCCAGGGCATGGACCAGACCGCAGTTAATGGTGCCCAAGAGTACGTTCGAAATGCCAGGGATCCAGTTGTCACAATTTTCTAAGATCATCTAATAGGTTTTACTTCGATGAATTCAACGTCACCGATGTCTGGCAACAGGGTCTGCTCAACGGAACCCCATATCTCTGCTCCGCATTGATCGGCTGCTGGACAACGGCGCCTCTCAACCGCTATTTCGGCCGTCGTGGATGTATTTTCATCTCATGTTTTGTCTCGTTTGCAAGCTCCTTCTGGATGGCTACAGCCCATACCTGGTGGAACCTTCTCTTGGCTCGGTTTTTGCTTGGTTTCGCCGTTGGCGCTAAGTCCACGACTACACCTGTGTATGGGGCAGAATGCTCTCCGGCAAATATTCGTGGTGCGCTCGTCATGATGTGGCAGATGTGGACGGCGTTTGGAATTATGTTGGGCTACATTGCATCTGTCGCCTTCATGGACGTTAAAGTCGCATCGATTCCCGGTTTTAATTGGAGGCTGATGTTAGCTTCCACAGCGATCCCGTAAGTTTCGCTTATCAGCCCATGTTAATAATAAACACTAATCTCTTGTTACTGCAGTCCTTTTTTCGTCTGCATTCAGGTATATCTATGCCCTGAATCTCCACGATGGTACATGATGCGGGATCGGTATCAGAGCGCCTACAATGCTCTCTGCAAACTTCGACCTTCATCTCTACAAGCGGCGAGGGATTTGTACTATATCCATGCTTCGCTGAGAATTGAGGAAAAACTTCGCGAAGGCAAGCGTCTTTGGAAGGAGATGTTTGGCATTCCTCGCAATAGACGAGCTGCACAGTCCTCATTCTTTGTAATGTTCATGCAGCAGGTATGTTCAAACACCAAAATATCATCACCTCATCAGCTAATACAACTGTGCATCAAACAGTTCTGTGGCGTCAATGCGATCATGTACTATTCCTCTTCGATGTTTAGAACCGCAGGTTTCTCGCAACGCGAGGCTTTGATAACGTCTTTGGGCTGTGGTATTACTAACTGGATTTTTGCACTGCCTGCAGTGTATACAATCGATACGTTCGGCCGACGGAACCTACTTCTGACAACGTTTCCACTCATGTCACTTTTCTTACTATTTACAGGATTCTCTTTCTGGATCCCAGATTTGAAGACACGGACAGCCTGCGTTGCGACGGGGATTTACCTGTTCATGATCGTGTATTCGCCTGGTGAAGGGCCAGTGCCGTTTACCTATTCGGCTGAAGCATTCGTGAGTTAGACCCTCCATTTATCCCTTTTTTTTTGAAAAAAAAAAAAAAAGAAAAGAAAAGAAAAGAAAGAAAAGGAAGATAGTTGCTGAATGTCAGTCGATGTTCTAGCCTCTGTATATTCGCGACATCGGGATGTCATTCGCGACAGCGACCACATGGGGATTCAACTTCGTTATTTCTCTCACATGGCCAGCCCTAGAGAAATCTTTCAAACCACAAGGGGCGTTCGGTTGGTATGCTGCTTGGAACATCTTCGGCTGGGTATTCTGCTATTTCTGCCTACCGGAGACAAAGGCCCTGTCCTTGGAAGAACTAGACCAAGTCTTTTCGGTTCCGACAAGAACACATATCAACCATTATCGTACTATGTTGCCATGGTATTTCAAGAAATACGTTTTAAGAAGCGATGTCCCACCGCAGAAGCAACTATATGATTACGAGTAACGCGGCTTTCGAGGGGAAGAAAAGACAAAGCACAGGGAACGTGGCTGTCCAAGGCAACTCACTCGCGAATGGTCAGGAAAAAATAAGCCACCTTTTTTTTCAACGGCATAAACAGCGATTTCTAATCGATTTGAGCACGCGGGAAAGTCTCACCCGCTTGATCTCCAATCCTGGGAGTATAGAGCGATCTGTTGATATGTACACCGTATGTAATGTTAGACAAGAATCCACAGATGCCATAGGGAGTGCCCTGGAGAATCGTTTCCAGTACTTGGATTAGCAGCGGGTTGCTCCCATGACCCTGGCGTTGCACGGTGGGGCATCAGCGACTATGCTATCAGTTGCAACCAGACTCGTGGCATCAGGAGAAATCGAAGCAATTGTTAGGCCAGGCAGATGTAGGGAAACACAAAGCTTGACTGCAACCGTTTATCCAACAGGTCCCGTAGTAAGGTGTGACGTCGAAATTGCGCTATCCGTGCTTTTGTCGCACCGGGATAACGGACATTGGCTTTGCCTTTACCGCTTGAGGTAAGCAGATATTATAATAACCTCGTTCGGGCTCAAGAAACCATTTTCCCGGTCCGATCTGTTAACGTGTCGATAATCGGTCGCAGGAATATTGACTGGAAAGTTAAATGAGAATATCCTGCTCTTCAAGTACGGCTTGATCCATCTCAAGCAGATCCAGCCCGTCGCCGTGTGATACACCACCTCATCACCGTTAAGCTACATATCCTTCTACGCTAGGTCGTCTCGCTCAGCTAACTGCCGACAGATAGAAATCCAGGGTTAAAGTATGAATCGAGTATTATCTTGATGGTATTCATAACAATTACCTGGTATGGTAAATCCTAAGTATAAACCAGCGAGGCAGACGGGTGGTGCATGGGTTCATCACACCAGCCCAAACAAACGATACTTGCTCCCGGATCGCAAGCCGGTGGTAGAAAGTCCATATTTGGGGTATTTCGTGAGTAATGCTGTTGTTGATCCCCGAATTCATACGGAGCGAACTTGGTTCTGGGAGTATAACAAGATGCGCGACGAAGGATTAATATGCTTAGGGTCATCATTACCGCTAAATGGTCACGATGGCTGCGTAGCTGCAACCTCATCCAGATGCCGCACTCCGCATGAATAACGCGTACGACGTACGATATCTCCTGCAGCGCTAACAGGTCGCAAGTGTGCAATCACCCGTGCAACCTTGTCAAACCTACGATGTAGTCGAGACAAGAATTACCAAGACAGCTTTTAATGGTAATCAGAGGCGTATTTCCACTCGGCTTGACGCCTCCATATTGCTTGATTTCCTCTGGCTTCGTATCCGGGATAATCTGCCAAATCCCGAGACGTGGGGTGGGCCTTGGTAGTTCTCCCAAGAGCTGGATGTCGAAGGGGTAGTGCCATTCTACCCCTACATACATAATCTAGCTGATCAAATGCGTGCCCATAGATCATGCACCGACTGGCTAGTGCTGGATGCGACGTTGTGTGTGGGTGTCAACCAGGGGAGGCCGACGATGTGTATATACGCATGTATGATAATATCAGGCCCACGTGGGGTACAGGGTCCGCTGAAAAAGTCACTGTTTCGCAGCATTACTCCGAATCTGCTCTCCTCCAGCACGTCCGGGCAGTTGGGAAACCTGTAACAGGAGAATGGGCAAACGCTGTTTTGAGCAGCATCCCGGAAGCAAAGTCTGCTCTCCCGGAGCAATCCCCAGTCAACCGCTAATTCATGCGAGCAAACACGACTCAGTCCCAAGCAAAATAAGCGGGAGAGCGCACTCTCAGGAAGTAAATGCGCGGAAAGCAGAGACTTACCAGTCCAGCAGGTACTTGCCGTGATTTCTCCGACTGGTTTCGCGTAACATAGTAGACTCCGTGCCCGGCCTTAACCGGAACAACTCTGATTCAGATATAGGGATTGAATCGGGGTCATAATCGATTGCTTGTATCGCAGAGGCTCAAGCTAGGAATTTTCGGCAGTTATGAACACAATCTACTCCGTACATATGTTTCTCAACGGGTGGGCCTTAGATCTTCTGGAAAACGTGGTTCATCCGCCCCGGTCCCCCATGCCCTGCGGCGGGCGGTGCTATCGTATATGCAGCTTTTCGACAAGCGGTTTTATTGTCAAATCTTGAGCTCAGGCTCCTCAGCTGAGGTCAGAGCACTCCCTCCAAGTTTCCTTCTGGCGGCGTAGATCAAACCTGCTAGGGACCCTAGGCGACGGTGATCCCGCCGATGAAGGTCACCACCGCCCACGGCTGAGAGTCTGTCTATAGTGCCGACTACTACATCTTAGTTACATAAACATTTCTTGGCGTATTTGGCGCTTGGTGGGTTTGCTAAGCGGCTAAATTATAGCACCAGGCTGAGCTACAATCTCTCGGCCCCCCTTTGTGAACTTTTCACCCTCGACCAGGGAGGCGTACTGGGAAAATCCCCACGCCTCTGCGGAAAATGCGTGGAGTATGCTACTCTGGACATATGCCCTTCCCGGGATATAGAGTTCAATATACCCTGCATCGTCACAGAGAAGGACAAAGTTGCTCCAGACTACCAACGCCCGTTTTATTGGACGGCTTTTGTGTCACCCTCCTGTTTTTCTCCTCCGATATCATACGGCGGTGCATTCATAACCATTTAATGCACGTATTGGGCATGGATCTTTCTTCCCTGGTTCTACGCACAGAAATCACTCCGCCTACTGGATGCTGAAATGTTCCGTTCGGATGCCAATCAGGCCGGCTGCGTAGTTAGCTGGGCTTGCAGGCAAAGAATTAGTTTAAATAGCCGTGGACCAGACTATGCTTAGCGAAATGCGTTGAGCTATCCGAACCATCCGTGGCGGAATCATTCCAGGGCAGTTGCTCTCGGGCAAGTGAGGTGGGCGGTCCTCTCTATGCTTTTCTTTGGGGGAAGCCCGCAGACCAAGCGAGGGTGTGTACTCAGTCCACCCTTTCCGAACCCCGCAGACCAGTTCTCTCCGCGAGAGAATGGAGGGTCACCTTTTTTTTTACAGGCTTGAAGATCCGTGGCCAATCCTGACCTCCGGAAAGCATGATCGTCGCTGAACATCCTTCGCATACTGACACTCCTCATCCTGCTGTTGGTGCTGGGTGAATATCCCCGTGAAACATGAAGCAATTGTTGGACGGAAGAGGCAAATCGGCCCGGGTACTGGCGCGGATAGATGCCTCGCCGGGACGTCCTCAAACGATCCACCAATTTCCAGGCGTCGAGTGCTTTGCTCAGTCTCCACATCGATGGCCAAGTCTGAATAGGGATGCAGCTGACGCCATGGCCTCTCATGTGTAGGCCATATCTAATGGAGGGAATGCCCTTTGCCTTGACCCTTGCCGTTTTTCCTTGCTCTATATCCCACCTTCGCCCTTGAACCTGTTTAGATCAAGCTGTTAAAGCTCCTCCTCACTTCTTCCAGCCTAGACTTATAGTCGATCCCGCTCCCGCTCCACCAGGCCCTGATCTTCTCCTTGAACTGTGACATTTGTTGTCTCCTATAATGAATCACTGTGAGTTAATCAAAGGAAGTCAATGCAGTCAACTGTTGCTAGATGATTGTCACTTCTTAACTCTTGGTTCCTCTTATTATTATACACCTTCCTTGCCAACCGCTGACGGGGTATTTGTTCTTTATTCACTGTATCTCCCGCTTCATATCTAGTAACTGACACTGTATGGCGTCTTCCTCCCAACTCCATACAAAGAGCACTGTTCTGATTTCACCATCTTCTCCCTATCACCCGACAAGACCACTGTGAAACAATTTTTTAGTCCTTTCACATTTCTTAGCTCCCTTCTCAGCACTATTTCTACACCTTTTGGGCTGCCGTATTTTGCAACAACTTCCCACGTGTCTAGCCCCAGCACACAAAAATCGATCCCCAGAAGAGCACCAACCTTTTCCATTATTATTATTCCTCTACTTAATCTTCGATCGCAGCGATATTCAGAAACATGTCTGCTGAGGCCGACAGAGACGTCATCTACAACCCGGGCACCAAGTCCTCGCTCCCCACGAGCAGCGATGACGAGCCACATGCCATGTCCAGGGACGAACGCCAGGTAGCCGAAGCAGCCGCTCGCTACGGCTACGGCCCATTTGCAGGCAGAAGACAGCAGCTTAAATCCTTCGCCAATTCGTTTCAGCCCAGCGTAGCCCAGGCCGCAGCTCCGCGCCAATTCGCCAATCCTGCTCCCCTCGGTCTGTCCGCTTTTGCTCTCACAACCTTTGTGCTTAGCCTTATCAACATGCAAGCTCGCGGTACAACTGCCCCAAATATTGTTGTCGCATCTGCATTTGGATATGGTGGGCTTGTTCAATTGTTGGCGGGCATGTGGTAAGCAATTAATCTTCCTCAATAATGCGCGTATTGTCGCCCAGTTATCTGATTGCGCAACGTGATACCTAGGGAAATGGCTGTTGGTAACACATTTGGTGCCACCGCTTTATCGTCATACGGAGGCTTCTGGATTTCCTATGCGATCATCTTTACCCCAGGCGGTTTCGAGATCATGTCGAGCGTCACAGAAGTGGACGGCGCGTCTGGGCTGAACAGTACGGTTGGTTTCTGGCTTGCGGTACGGAACATTTCAGCCTCCCGTATTTTGATATTCAAAGTGGGCCCATCGCACTAACAGCAAGCGATCCTTTGCTTCTAGGGGTGGTTTATCTTCACCACAATCATGCTTATTTTTACGTTCAAAACCAACTGGGCGTTCATCTTGCTCTTCTTAACGCTGGACCTCGCTTTCCTCATGCTCGCAGTGGCTCACTTTCAAGAGACCTCCCCAGGAAAGGTTAACACGCCACTGACTAAGGCTGGAGGCTTTTTTGGGCTTCTTGCAGCTTTTCTAGCGTGGTATAATGCCGTTGCGGGAATTGCGACAGAGGAAAACAGCTTCGTTAGATATCCCGTCGGACCCTTGCCGTGGGCCAATTCCAGGCGCCCGAAAGCCGACCCTGAGATGGTTTAAGGATATGTACCCTGCATCGATCTTCCTGCCTTGCAAGGACCCAACCGTTCCTCCTTTATTCCACGACCTATCTGAGGGATCTATTAGGTATTTAACATTCTTTTTGAATTTGTGGATTGGAGTTTTCGGCTTCCAAAGGATACTTTGAGTACCTAAATTTAGACGGTACTTTGATCAGCGAGTGATCACTTCTGAATGCAGTGAGTGTGAAGGAAGAAAAGGCCAAACTTCCCCCAGCAAAGCCTCTTTGTGCTGTAATTCTCGTGTACATCTCGATGGACAACTCATGCTTGAGAGAGGCAACGGTGTTGGGGTGCTTATTCACCTTTCTCATATGTAACCTTTTTTTATAACAATGATTTGACCTTCGATAGTGTTGCACACGGATGCTCTTTTCTATATATCCTCACATTTCATGGGGTACCTATGCATCATACATATGCATAGCAGGCCTAATATCAATCATCTTCCCCGCTCTGGTGCAGCTATGCTCTTTGTCCTACAAGCCACCATCGAGGGTCTAGCTTCGCCAAATGAAAATCATGCTTATCGAAATCACCTACAACGTCAGACAGAAAACCCCTTTGGGCTCTCGGCTGCAGTGCATAGAAATGAAGGGGTACCCCGGATTCAAATTTTTGAACATTATAACTAAGCTCTCTAGAATCAATTAGAACTTGCCTCCTGTTAACTATCTGTCACAATGAATATGTATGGGGCATTTATAAAGCTGGAGAGCTCCCGTCATGAACCCTGGAATTTCCCGACAGATTCATGAGAAGTCCTCATTGCTTGATACTACTTCTTTTGCTATAAAAGGCTGATGTAAAGCTAGGGCAGCTATGATGTAGGTACTGACCTTCGTGTGCTAGTATGTCACGAGGACCAAGAGCCCAAACCCCTACATTAGCAAGTATTTCTGCAAAATAATAAGCTTGATTAACATATTGGTGACAGGTAAATTCCCTTATTTCCCTGGAAAAGGGGGGGAGGTAATAAAATGATGACCTAGCGCTTATTCCAAAGTGAACCCACCATAAATGACGTAGTCATGCGAAATCCAATATGCTGTATCTGCTACACCATTTCTTATCATCCAGTCAAGCTGAAAGATATCCTTGCGCTGGGAAAGAAGTTTGCTGGCTAACTAAAAACACGATGTGAGGAGAATGCAGAGCGCCATCTCGCGAGTACCACAGAGAAGTAAGGATAAAGAAAATGCACCATAAAGACGAGCAGATGAGGTGTATAAGCAACAGCCGACGAGCAGGAAAGTAAGGCTAGAAATGAAGCTAGTCCCCAGGACATACGCACATAGATAAAATGGGACCAGAGACTTGATAGGTCTAGGTTCTTGACTAATTCTGACAGTACAAATCAGCGGCTTAGAAGGTAGGAGGGAAAGAAATAGAAGAAAAGACTATGCTAGGTTGTCTGTCCCGGTCGTGGGAATACAGGGACCGTTGGAAGGTTCTCAAGACCGCCCATTGTCCCTTGTGGCACACCAACCTGCCAGGGCTGGCCTGTTTGCTGATTAATGAATGCACTCTGGCGGAAAGGATTCGTACTCCCGGTTGGGTTGGGCCGGAGTGGAGCAGCGGCAGGGACTTGCAAATTTTGATTCGGTGACGGAGTGTTCCGCGCGAAGGGATTGTTTCCTGTTCGCTGCGGCCGTAGGGGCTGTAGATAGGTCTGGTCTTGAGGCGGAATTCCGGGTGAGGTTGATGGACGTGTGATCTCCGCACCAAGGGGCATCTGAGAAAGGCGATGCTTAGCGAATGGATTCGTGGGTTGACGGGTTAACGGAGCTGCAGCGGGTTGAGAGTTTGAGTTGAAGGGCGAAGAAGTAGGGATGAGCATTGATTGTCGGAAGGGATTATTAGGCCGTGGTGATCCCGTTTGCATGGGCTGTTGAAATGGAGGTACTCCATTCTGAGGAATGCTCGATAATGAGGGCTGAAAGTTGTTCATCTGAGGTTGAGCAGGGCCTTGTGACTGGGGTTGCGGAGTATATCCTCCAAAGCCAGCACCGGTATGACTTGGCTGCAGTGGCTGTAGCTGCTGCTGGGGTTGAGATGCGAACTGCGCGAACGGATTGCCACCCTGCCCTGCCGAGCTTGTTGCGGGAGTCTGCTGCTGCAATCCGAACCCAGTAGGTGAAGCTTGCTGGAACCCCGTTTGCTGCGGTGCGAAGCCCATTTGCTGCTGCGGAAAACCGGTTGCTTGAAATGCTTGTATTTGTGGGTTTGGCATATTGAACTGCTGTGGTGTGGATTGATAGTTCATAGGCTGCTGATTTTGCTCGATAGAATCAAAGAAATCAATTAGATCCGGGGCAGGAGCTTTGGCCGGTTGAGATTGTGTATTCGTCTTAATGGGCTGGGATTTGGCTGGCTGGCTGGAAGTAGCTTTCTTTTGGTCTTCCTGCGCTTCTTTCTTTCCATACTTCTGGGCACGGTATTCTTTACGCCTGGCGGCAAAATCGGGGTCGTTTAAGTCATCTTCCAGAAGCTTGGCAAGGTCCGTTGAAGCGTGTTTTAGGTTGGGAATTTCCAGACGGGTTGCGTTCTCATATTGCCTTGCCACACGTAAAAATCTCACGACGTCCTCGGTTAGCGAGCTGAATGATTTATATACCCGCAGAGCGCGCTCGCTATCTGGTCTCGACATCTCAAAATAATGCTCTAATGTAAATGATAAGCGATCTGCCTCGGATATTTCAGCTGCGGGTCACCAACCTAGCACGTTGATCGTCCCCTCATTCATCACGGAGTATAAGGTTAACAAATCAAGCGTTATGAGTCGAAATGCAGTGAGGGATATTTCGTTCTCAGGCTCATCACTTAAAAGCTATTGGATAGTGTGCACAGTTAGCCATAGCCCTGACGCCACTCATAATGAAGTTCTTCCATACATCGCATTTCAACAGCGCTCTTATCTGCTTCTGAACGATCTCAGTTTCTCTCAGAAGACCCTTTTCCACGGTCAATTTCTTTAATCTGCCTTGCCCACCACGAACATAATCTGTTTTCGTATCGGCGAACGCCAGGGATCGTGCGATGAGGTACTCGGAGTATCGCCAGATGTTGCCACCTTGAATTTGCACTTGATAGAGAAACACGTCAGTACATCCGGCTTCAAGATAGTGTGTACCATCAAGCACTGCGAGGCAGCTGCCACGCCCTTGTGCCTCAATAATAATTGCGGAGAAAGCGAAAATCACCCACCATCGGAGATACTAGTAATAGCGATTTTTTGTGGATGCTGCGAAAGATATTTCAAGGCTGCTCCGGGCGATCCTTCCCGTATCATCATGTGTATCACGATAAGGGCTTTGAATACAATCGTCCATGCTGAGTCCCGCAGGCGGAGCGATAGCGATCGAAGGATCTCCGCCACTCCAGCATCGCTGTACGTGGCAGTGAGGATATGCTCAATATACTTCGATTTGGGAGCAGCAAGCTATTCCGTAGTCAAAGCTCAAATGAGTTAGCTACACTTTCTGGGCCAATTGGCACGGGAATCTGGATGACTAGGAACAACTGACTTTCGGTTTCGTAGCGCCCTTGACGGACTTTTCGAAGTTGCTGCTCGGCATGGTGGGCACGGGAACGGGTGTCGGGGACGCATGCAAAGGAGGAAGTGGAGAGGGAAAATAGGAATTTATTGGAAAATAATGCTAGAGCCTTATTGACCCTGACTTCGTCTTTGTCCGTTCGTTCTAGGCGGTTTGCGGTGTCGGTGCGATCATGATGGACCCCAGAACCCGCAACGTAACAATGGTCTCAGTTTGGGGAAACGTAGTTATTTACCTGGTTCGGCATCAAATTCCAAAAAATTGTTATTAATAAGGGCACGCAAAGCGAAACTGCGGCAGGTTGTGCTGTAAGGCCCCGCGATTTAGGAGAGTAAACGGGTTGCGAAATAGGGAGCTTGGATGACTTTGAGGTTCAGTTCATCTCAGGGACTGGGTGTTCAAAACTTTAGCTGAGCTAAATTTAATGTCGGGGATAATCGTCCCCATCTCAATCCTCAGGCCACCAGGGCAGACCACCTACCCATATCGCTAGACGCGTCGAGATGATATCGAGGAGGACGACTCAGTTCACGCTCGATCTTCGAAAGAGAAATTCTCCCTGACGGCTCGCTCTGGCCGTCCGGAATGCTTCACATGAAACGTTCTCCTACTGCCAAGACTGTGTTTCAGCCATGTCGTCATTACAAAAGCCAGCGATCAGGACTGTGTTAAACACTGCTCGTGTTATTCTGCAATATAATTACGCCTGATATATAGTTTACACGGCGATAAACTGGCCATTGTCATAAACTCCCGTTGCCATACCCTTGGCACTCACAACCCGCACGCCCAAATCCTCCAGCAAAGGCCCGTGAGCACCCACCCAGCGGGACCACATATGCCAGGAAACACACACGCGTTAACAGAGTGTGGAACTCGATTCGAATATGGAAATAGCCCCCCCGGCTTGCACGCCGGGAGACCAAGCCGGCGCCCGTCCGCCAGTTTTTGGTCCAAGCCTTCCGGCTAGATCATAGCATAGCCGAAAGTAAAACAAGGGAAAAGAATAGGTTTGGTACCATCCCACAAGTGATCGCAGGGGAGAGATCAACAGATCCGGAACGCCATGGAAGAAATGCTGCGCATGAACATAATACAATCGAAAAATAGGGAGAATGGGCCAAAAAAAAAAAAAAAAAAAAGGAAAAGTGTGTAAATTATTTCATATCCAACCGATACCACCGACCCATCTCTTTTCACCGGCCAGACTCGACGTCACGGAATCATTGCCAGAGTCTATTTCCATCGTCATGTCCGTGTCGATATCCATGCTGCCAGAATTGGCATTATACATGGTCGGGTTCACTTGGCCCATGGAGTTCATGGCGCCAGGTTGAGAGATGAAGGTTTGCGTCGACGTGTTATTTGAAAGGCAATGCGGCGACATTTGGGAGGGACGTTGAATACGCTGAAAGAACCTCCCTAGGGTCTGTTGGTTGGGGTCGGGAATGGACGGAAGGGGCAGCGCATCCTCAATGCAGACCTCGTTGGACATGGAGGATGCTGATGGCTCGTCCCGGTCACGCTGCTTCTTCTGTGCTGAGAAGAGCCAACGAAGGGTTTTATCTGTTGACGCCGGTAAGCTTGCTGTCCGTGTAGAGAGCCTAACATGATGCTGAAGAACGTAATACCATATATGGACTGTTCATCTGGACGGTCCTGTTTGTACCGCTTCCGTGTGCGGCTGTTAAGGTGTTTGGGGGGTTCGTCCATAGTTATTACGTCTCCGAGCAGACATGAAATCGGAGATGTAGGATTATTATAAGTCGACGCCGTTCGAGGAGACGTCGTGATCGTGAACGAAGCCTTGCGCTTTAATGTCATCGTAGCTTAATCGCTTCAATTGGGAAATATCAAACACGAAAAAGAAAAGAAAATTGTCAATTCGAGATGTATGAAAACTGCTCTAACGCCAAATAAGAAAAGGCAGCGGGTATACTGATACAATTGGGATGTTAGTCGGTGGTGTCTCGTGGAGAAACAGGCAGAGCAAGACGAAGACGCAAAAGCGCGTCTCGGACGCGACGATACAAATTGCCGTAATGACTCGAAATCCATCAGTTTTAATTGGACAAAACGCCTCCGTCGTATCCGAACCTAAACCAAAATAGTCTAGATGAAGTGTAAAATTACGGTATTAAATCCGAACGAAGGCAGCGATTGCACGATCCCACGTGACCTTTAACCGCGGCCGCAACCAGGGATCATCAAACAAAAGTGATCGACAATTTCGAGAGAAAGCTGCGCGAGTGGAGACTCTTGTTTTTCCTCCGAGACGCAGCCATCGAGGGATGACATACTGTATCACCCTCCGTCCCGAGGAATATCGTACTTCCATAACTTGGCTTGACACGAACAATGAGGGTCTTCTAACTTGATGGTCTTCTCCACTGCCATCTCTCTCGGCATGCCGGGCTGGGCTCTCGAGTTTCGGCATGCCGAGCGAACGTCACTCTTACCCCGCCAACTGCATGCTTTACTCCACCATTAGGTTAAAGTTGGCAAGCGACTTTGGAAGCTTTCCAAGTTCCCTCAACCTATACCTATTATCCATCCCCAACATTGACACGCCAGCAAAGATTTTCTCGAGAAGCAGTCCGATTTCACCCGCCTAACATTGAAACGATGCCTTCTCGAGAGGCCACCCATGCAGGCTCTTGGTACTCCGACAATGCTGCGACGTTGACGCGTCAACTGGACGAATGGATGAACCGAGTCCCGAACGAGATTGAAGGGATAGGGAGTCTACCGGTAGCTGGTGCCAGGATCATCATTGCTCCGTGAGCTTCTTCCAGATATGCTGTAGATATCTTTAAGCGCTGATCACTTATCCACTTGCCAGACATGCCGGATACGCCTACTCTGGCCCCTGTGCAGCTTTCGCCTACAAATCCCTCGATCTATCCAAGGCGTAAGTGTGTCCATCCCAGACAACGTTTCTCCTCTCCCCCCAAACCACCGAGGGAAAAGAAAAAGAAAAAAAAAAAGGGAAAAGGAAAAAAAAAGTTAGTATCCTTGCTAACACCTGAAGCGTCATGTTTAAAGGAAACGCATCTTCCTCCTTGGACCCTCTCATCACCACCCGTTCTCCAAGATTGCGTTGCCGGAGCTGTCATCCTACTCGACCCCGCTCTCGCAAGAACCACTTCCTCTTGATAGAGAAATAATCGATGAACTGTCGACCCGGACGGAAAATGGCACCGTTCGCTTTACCACCATGAACCAAGCCATTGACGAAGCCGAGCACAGCCTGGAGCTCCATCTTCCGTACATCCACTACTTGCTCCAACGGCTGTACCCAGGCGAGCCAGCAGCGTCCTACCCCAAGCTCGTGCCCATGATGGTAGGCAGCACATCCGCCCCCACCGAACAAGCCTTCGGCCGCATCCTAGCCCCGTACCTAGCAAACCCGGAAAACGCCTTCATCGTCTCCTCGGATTTCTGCCACTGGGGTCTGCGGTTCGCCTACGCGTACTACGTCCCGGACGCTCCGGCGCCGGGACCAGTTCTCCCCTTGTCCTACGCGGCTCTACCTCAGCCGTCGGAGGCCTTAAAGCTCGGCGCCGCGAGACCCCAGATCAGCGGCATGTCGAAGGGCCGGTATCTGCGTGCGGGCGACCCGCTACCAAAGGGCGCAGGTGTGCCTAGCATCCACGAGAGTATCTCCGCCTGCGACATCGCGTGCATGTCGGCCATCGCGTCGGGCCAGACGCAGACCTTCCTCGACGCGCTCAAGAGCACGGGAAACACGATCTGCGGAAGACACCCTATCGGAGTCATCATGGCGGCGATCGAGTTCGTCCTGGGTAAGGACAAGGAGAATATGAAGGATCTGGATATCAAAGCTGGTGATGAGGCGCAGACGCATCTGATGCGAGGAGCGTTCAATTTCGTGCGGTATGAGAGGAGTTCGGATTGTATCTCGGTCACGGATAGCTCTGTGAGCTACGTCTCCGCTTTCGCGGTGCTGTGAAAGGGTGCAACCATGCTGGTCTCAGTCTCCCGGGCAGTGATTTAGGGGCCTGTTGTTTGTAAGAAACTAACGATGATTTCATCTCACGATTGTGTCGGGCTAGGCGGTTTTGTTCTTCAAAGCTCACGAGGCTAAGGGGCATTGATGCAGTAGGTAGGCTAGGGTGTAGAATAATCCGCCGAAATTAAAAGTCCGTTCATCACGGTTGTGTCCCCTTGTCTATTGCAACGAGGTGCTTTTTTCGCCCTTCTTCCGATATTTGACGACTGGACTTGGGCCTTCTATCTACCATTTACGTGACCATGTCGACACCTACATATTCCTTCCCAGAACGTCAGGCAGGCTTTTCGCACTACAAACCGTACCCAAAGAAAAGAACCTCTCCCCCCCAAAAATTGTTCTACCCATGTTAACCCACCCAGCCAGAAGGGCGCATCGTAAAGGGAATGAAAACATCTACGTTATTTACTCCCCCACCCCCGGGACGACACGTAATCCCCCTCCAAATACGGTCTGAACACGGAAATCCATTCCTTACCTACTGTATTGCCCTCTCGGCCGTAACTCCAGGGAGAACGGAATCCCGGAACAGTCCAGCCCGATCTTTATTTTATTGTTAATATAGATAGATAGATAGATATATACATATATATATATATATTTTCCCACTCCGGAGATGTCGCGTATTTCTCCAGATAAACCACGTGAGATATGGAGGATTCCCCATGTCATCGACCCCTTGACAATGCAATCACCGGGAAGTGGCCGACTTGCGCGTATCCAGCGTGGTCCCACTTCCTCGAACCTCCGAAAAAAAGCCTCCGCTATCCGCAGGACACGCGCATGCGAAAAGCGAGCATTTTTTGCTGCAAACGGCCCCGGGGCTGGGAGGATGAAAAGATCACTTCAAAACGAGGGAGAATGCCGGGGGCCGGGGCGGGCCGCGCGTGCTATCAACGTAATGCTAGAAGCCAAGGCTATTCAAAAGTATAGCAGGTAATACTCTGTGCTGCCTCGAAAGCCAGGGCAGAGGGCCGGGGGTGATGGCGCGTATGTTGGGCATGCAGTTTCTCATCAAGCTGCCTAAGCACTCTGGGCCGGCGGGGATAAACAGTCCGTACACTACCTGTTACCTATACGGGGAGACGCGTGCTCGATGCAGAACAGAAGTCCTGACTGAGCAACGTCGATGGAACGGGCGAAGGGGATTTTGTGTGTTCGCCAGCATGGAGCGAGCATCCGTGTCCCGCCTTCCGGAATCAGAAAAACCATGTTCGCGACGATCCCGGCGGGGTGGTTGAGCGTACCTAATAGGCAGGTACATCCATGACATCGGAGGCAAAAAATGCTAACAAACCAGCATCCAAGCAGAAGGTACGGTTGTTTCGGCAGTGGCAGGTCGCTCATGACATGCGCGGCTTCCCGGAAACAAACCAAAAAAGGAAAAAAAAAAAATGGAAAAAAGAAAAAAAATGGAACCCTGCAGGCAGCAGGCAGGTCGGCCTGTATGCACGGAACGGAGGGCATATCATCGCCAACAGAGAAAGAGAGTTTAGACGCGGGACGCCCAGAACCACGATCAGCCCTCAGAAAGCTTCGACGGGAGTTTTCATACCATGTCGCCATAGGGTTGACCTCTTGCAGTCGCCGCGAAAGCGGTGTTTTGACGTCAGTTCTCGATTCTTTCAACTAGTATGCGCACGGAGTACGTGAGTACGTGAGGACTCCATTGTCCATGCATACCCATATGCTCCGTACAAACATAGTCCAAGCTTTCGCGGCCCCCCCCAGTTAAGACTGTTGGGCAACTGACCTGGGGGTCGATCCTGTTTGAAATGGGGGTTTGACGTCGGGAAATTCTGGGCGTCGGTCTAATTTCCGCCCCGGTGCAGATATCTTAGTTAAGCTTCTGCTAGCCCCAAACAAGCCTAGGCCGGCACTATTTCTGGGGCGATCGTCGGCGAGGCCCAGAACAGAGCCACGTAATCGCCCGCTGTGGTGGCTTGTCTGGAGGCTGTGACGGAACAAAACAACGTTCAAGTCCGAGCACCTCTGCTGTGTCATCAACGCCAGCTGCCAGGAGAGCAAAAGGCCACCAAGGCCACCCCCCGGGAGAATGCTCACATGGGGCTGCATTTGGGGGGAAGGGTTTTGAGTGAGAGGATCCTTGAACCAACGGTCCAACAGCTATCATCATCCCATTCCTCCTCCACCGTTTCAACATTGGTGAGCATCACGCCAAGGGGATATCTTGGGTCCGCCCCGTCGGTTGCTTGCAAAGGAAAACATGTTTCCAACCTGACGCTCGTCCCCAACGGACGAGCGAGTAGATTGGCCGCGGCTGCTCTCCAGGCCACGCGGTCCTGCGTAATCAGCACTATTCAACCCCCAGCTTCCCACACTGGCTGCCAGCGAGCGCGGCATCGTGGGCACGCAACCGGCGGCGGCAGGGTGAAGAAGCAAACCCACGTCAGACGCGAGGTGCACTTCGCAAGCATTGACCTCGAGCAGCAGACGAAAGAAGAAGTTCTCCACTTTTTTTTTTTTTTGTTTTTTTCCCTAAAAAGGTTTTTTTCCCTTCAATGATCGTCTCTGCGTCTGGCAGCCGCGTGAGCATACACACGGCAGCAGGATAAAGGAAAAAAAGAAAAAGATCAGACGCTAGGGTTCCGTGGGCTACAGGGCAGCCAACGGATGAATCAAATGTAAATAGTACTCCGTACTCCGTATGTTATGTAGAAGGGAGGACCATTGCGGGGAGAGAGGATGAATCATCCGGCGGTCCGTTGTCAAGACGCGGATTGACACACGATCCATGTGGACGAGAGGCAGAAAACCCTTTTTCATCCCGCCAGACGAGGGCACCAACAGGCTAGTTTGAATCGCGATTGGCCACAGAGCACGAAAAAGGAACGCTCGATCGCCAGTACATTTTCGGTGTCTTACGGGTCGTGTGAAGTTACGCAAGAAGGACTTTGGGGGGGGGCAAATTCCGCCTGGGGGGAAGAGAGAGAGAGAGAGCGAGAGAGTTTACGGGACGCGTTGCGATGAACAGTTCGATAGCATTGCGTAGTCAGTTACTCCGTACTCCATACCCGCTCTTATCACGTATGTGTGTGTACAGTATGAAATGTATGCACATATGTATTCGTGGAGGAAGCGGGACGACGAGATGGGATTTCCCAGCGCAAGCCACGGGCAGCAGCAGCAGCAACAAGCAGCAACAAGCAACCAAGCAGCCGGCCAAGCGCGGAGGCGGCGGGCAGCGCAAAGGCGGCGTTATTGGTGGAAGAAGCGAAAAAAAGATGACAAAAAGGCTGACGACGCACCGCCAAGAACTCGCGCCTTTGCCTTTCCTTTCTTGTTTTAGTCGCCTTTGGGGAATTCGTCACTCCCGCCGTTTTGTTACGCAACCGCCAGCCTGGTATCGTCGGTATTACCCCGTATGCGCCGCCCGTCGTGCGCTTGTTGCTGCGGTCGCGGGGCGGGTCAGCAGGCGGGTATCGATGCGTAATGTCGTTACCGAGGGACAGCTTGGCGGGTGTATTCCCATTTCAGACGGGCCTTGGCTCGTCCTAGCTAGCCCTGCAGCTTGGGTATTTTTTGCCTCATGGGAACCAGCGAAAGGTACGCCGAGAACGGTAACAATCTTCACCCCCGGGACGTGTAAGTAACAGTGATCATTCGTATGGTCAAACGTCAACCTCCCTCCACTGTCATCTTCAACGAACCATCCCATTCCCTCCTCTTCTCCCCCCGATCGGAGCCTCGCTTCCACCATCCACGTAGGCCGATTTTTTTTTCCACGCTTCTTTTTTTCCCTTTCTCACTCTCTCCCTCTCTCTCATCTCTCTCTTCCCTTTCTTCTTCTCTCTCCGGTCTGCCTCTCTAGTCTTCTTCTTGTCGTTCTCTCTCTTTTTTCTCTCCCTTTATATGCTTTTTGGTCCTCGCCATTAATACTCCACTAGCGCCGACTTGCAGGTTGGCTGTGCATCCCGACTTGCGACTGCGCATTCTCTCAAGCCATACTTCCTAATCTCACATATTCTTCCATCTCATCGTCCATTGTCAACCTCTGCCCATCTGCATCTGCATCATCGTCGTCGTCGTCGTCGTCGTCGTCGTTGTTCCTCCTCTTCTTGTTCCTCTCACCGCCCGACCCTCCACACTCAACTAGACCACTTCTTCCCGGTCCTTTCGTCCAGCCTCATCCGAACATCACATCAGAACTTGAAGAAGAAGGGTGTCACCCACTCACGACGGTGGCAGACTGATCGGTCCTGAGAGTCATTCCTCTCTTAGACGACCAGCCTCCTCCTCCCACCTCTCCTCTTGTTGGAATGGCGGATCGTCACCCTCACAGGGTCGTCCGAGGCCCTGGATCCTCGATCGACGCCAACGAACTCACAAAACAGTTTGAGCAGCTGCTTCGAACGAGACGGCTAAACACCCTGCAGGCGCGCTCAAGGTCGCAATCCACATCTCCTGCTCCCTCGTCCTCACTTCACCCGACCCAGCCCTCCTCGCCTCGCCCTCAGTACCAGCCACCCTCCTATTCCAACATTCGAAGTTTCCCCATCGTACCGTCGCCTCCACAAGATCCTTCGTCCATCAAACTCAGAAATCTTCTCCATGTCCTATCCGTCACTCCAGTAAAATACGAAAACCCCGGTTTACTCGACGAAGCCCTCGCCCTGATTCCCTTGGATCGTCTCTATGCAGAAGCGGAGGAGGAATCACAAATATTACAGGCAGAGGCCGCTAGTATAGGTGAAAACGTTAAGCCCGCGTGGGGATATCAGGACTGTGTCATCAGAGCCCTCTTAAGGTAACTTTTCGTCTTATCTTTATGCACAAGAACTTTTTCTTTTCTTTTCTTTTCTTTTCCACAACAAGTCCTAACTTTCATTGTTGGCAGATGGTTCAAGCGCTCGTTTTTCCAGTTTGTTAATAATCCTCCTTGCTCCGCATGCTACAGCCCAACAATCGCACAGGGCATGACGCCACCAACACCCGATGAGACAGCCCGTGGCGCTACCAGAGTCGAGCTGTATCAATGTTCGGAACCAAATTGTGGTGCCTATGAACGGTTTCCGCGATACTCGGACGTCTGGGCGCTATTACAGTCGAGGCGAGGACGGGTTGGCGAATGGGCCAACTGCTTCAGTATGCTATGTAGAGCTGTGGGTGGGCGTGTTAGATGGGTCTGGAATTCAGAGGACTATGTTTGGACCGAAGTATATTCCGAGCATCAGCGACGGTGGATCCATGTCGACGTCTGTGAAGAGGCATGGGACAATCCTCGTCTTTATACAGAAGGTACGTTTTCCTTTGTAGATAAAGAGCATAATTCGATATGTATGGCTGACAAGAGTCAATAAATAGGCTGGAACCGGAAAATGGCGTACTGCATCGCCTTTTCAAACGACGGAGCGACCGATGTTACCCGAAGATACGTTCGCAACCCGGCAAAGCATGGCCTGAGTCGGACACGGGCACCGGAAGAAGTTCTATTATGGATTATACATGAAATTCGACGAATGCGAAGAGAAAATCTATCGAAAGAAGAACGACGAAGATTAATGAAGGAAGACGAACGCGAGGAGCGTGAGCTGCGTGGCTACATGGTCCAGGCCCTCGCTTCTGAGATCAACAACCTTCTCCCGAACAGTGCAGCCAACTCCCGGTCCGACGAAATCAAGATTCCTGTCACCGCGGCTGATGGTACCGTTGAGTGGGTTAGCCCAGCCGGTGAGACGAGGCGATCACGCTCGGATAGGTCAAGGGAGAACCGGTAACACATCGTGATAGCCATTGCTCTTCATGGCTCCCATTATCTCCCTGACGACATGTAAAATGTCTACCGTACGATTCATACGATTGCCACGGAACGTTACCTTTTTTTTTTTTTTTTTTTCAACTCTCCAGCACACCCGCTGATGCTTGAACTCTTCCTACCTCTTACCTTGATGAACCCTTCTTATCCACTGGAAACCCACCTATTTCTGGGTGCGACTTTGGAAATATTATTTATATTGTTTACATTTCTGCCGGCGTTGATGGCCTCAGTCCAGACGAATGGGGGAGTCAAATACTAGGCGTTGTTTTTAACGTGGGGATCATAGTACCGTGCCGGATGCATTCACATTCTTCTTAACCTTTTTCATCTCTTCCTTTTTCTTTTTTTTTAATTTATTTTTTTGATATACGCACCTATACCAACAGTCCTCTTCAAAAAATTTTGTTCTTGTTTATCTAACTGCATTTACGCTGCATATATTTCTTTTGTTACTATTAATATTCTCAACACTGGGGGCAATTATTCCATTTTTTGCTGCAGCAGCTTGGCCTTGTCGCCATAGGAGCGGGGAACGGACGACAGTTTAAGCTTTTGCGGGTAATATATGTGCGCGCCGATAACTCTGTTTGAATCCTCGCCGTTTTCCTTTTTTCCCCCTCCCTCCCAATTCCCTACCGATCATTTTACCTTTTTCTTTTTTGGTGAAGTATTGCCTCCCTTTTGCCCTCTTCCTTTTATGAAATCATGGCCTATTCGTGATTATTATACGAGTACTACAGTCATAAACGTATTTACATCTTCCCATGAATGAAGCCAGTATTTTCGCAGTCATCCCAGTGAGCCTAATCTAGTCTATCTTGGCCTCATGATGTCTTTGTCTTTTCTGAAAAAAAGTTCTTGGGGAGGATGAGATAAATGGATTGGATGTCCACAAAAGGGAGGTGTCTGTGCTTAGTTTAGGGCTGCCATACCGACCTCTCAGGGTAGTTCTGGATTGAAGGATTTGAACTATACTGATCCCTCCATGCAAGTATTTGAAGACCGACTTTTACAACCTAGAACTCTGATCTTCCTCCGTCCGTAGGGATAAGCTACCAGCGTGTAGTGAGATGCGTTCTCAATAAAATAATTTTTTTTTTTTTTAAAAAAAAAAAACCGAAGTAAATCTCCTTTCTCCACTTATATGGATGTTAAATTAGCCATCTCCCTCATTCTTGACGGCCAAGCTTATTTTGCGTGGCTCCACCCTAGAAGAAACCTGCGGTTCTTTTGCATATTCTTTGAACGGGTATGGTCAGAATCAGCACTTATGGACTTCTTTTTTTTTTTTTTTTTGCAAAGGAATGTCTTCGCAACATTTGGTTTCTAATAAATATTGCATAACTTCGTCCAGCATAGCAGATCTAGATCTTGTATTCTTCCTTTCCTTTTTTTTTTTTCTTCCCTTCTCTGAAGTAGCCAGCCATGTTGGGAGCAGAAGTTTTTTCGCATCCATGAAAAATGTACCCAAGGGAGCACATAAAGACCCAATCCCTGATAACTTTTTTGACTTCGCTGTTTTACTGAAAACACCTTCATCCTAAAAAACAGAGGGAAGATGGTAGAAAGCGGCCCTTTCATTCTCAACTATCAGTGCAGAGCGATGCTTGCCGATATGACCAGCCCTTGAGGATATCAATATCAGGCAAGAATAATCGGATATATATCACTTGTCGGGATAGCTTGCCAGGTAACTCTGGACGCTTGACTTGGAGCTTCTGATCATCATTTAAGTTCCGTTCCCCACGAGAGAGAGGAGGGGAGAGAGAGAGATAGCCGATAAGGGGTATTTGAAATATCTAGAACTTTGTCAAAGCCGGTAAGTTTGGTGGTGGCTGCGAGAGTAGCTACACTTTTTAAGCAATGGGTGCTGCGGAATGTTTAATTTCATTTGCAAAACCTGTGTGATATTCGAACAATTCTAGGACTGTTCATCCTGTGTATGTTTTGGCACGAGGTTGAAACAAGCAATGCTCAGAAAGGCTGCATTAAATTTCGGATCTTGGAAAACTAGATATAGATGTCTAGATACATGTAGTTTTCCGACATCCAAGAAACACTCAAACCGACCCATTTTGCCTATCGAGGAAACGCCATGCGCAATGAGAGCCAGTCGGGAACAAAAGGATCCGAGGATTCGAAGATAGCAGTGCCCTCTGGAGGTAGATAAGGAAGGATTATGGGTACAAACACCCGTCGACACCGGAAATGGGTGAAACCTCCTGCCACTCATTCGTAGTCTCTAACATATCGTCCAGGCAGCGCCACATCCCACATCGGCCGCTCAACTACTGCGACCTCCAGTCCCCCCATTCCCTCATTGGCCCATGAAGCCCCAACCGCGTCTCCAGCGGTGAATCCTTGACCCAACGGCACGATCCCGAGTATCTCACGATATTTGAACGTATGCCACCACCGGCGAGGGTTACGACTGCGGCGATGTTTCGTTCTAGACTCTGCTTTCGACTCTGATCCGGGTACTTCCTGCACTTGAAGGTCCGCCGTCGTTCCTTCGACATCATGGTCGTTCGCTTCGGATGCTTCTTGAACGACGTCATGTTTAGCTTTGGTAGGGATAACGACTGCAAAAGCTACTTGGGTTGGGGTCGTACCATTAGGCAAGTTGGAGGAGGATTGGGGCCTAATGGCCGACGTTCCTTCATCAAGCTGCTGCTGCTGCTGCCACTCACCATTTTCCTCTTCCGAGCCCGGCCCATCGCCCTGTGGCTCCCGCCGAAATTCGGCTAGGATGGATTTGCTAGGCTCCTCATAGTGATCGGCTGCTTCGTCACCCATCTGGGCTGGGTCGGCAGGCTTCTTCAGGTCAATCGGTATCCACTGAGCTGTTTCTCCATCGTCCCCGATCACCTTGCGCATTTTTCTTCCTAGGCCGATATTATCCTGCCAATAAGGCACTCTATCTCCAGCGCCGGAGTTGGGCTGTCTTATTTTGCTCTCCTTGGTCTCTCCTCTCTTTCGCTTCTTTGATGGGGAGGCCTCAGTCGTGCTATCGTTATTTAATGCTGCAACGGCTTTCTCTTCGTTGTCGGGTTCCGCAGGGGCGGGGAAGTCCTGTGCTAAGTCAAACATCCAAAGCCAGCTCGGTCCATATAACCATAGACGTTCGCTGGTCCCCTTTTTATCCCAAAGTGCTCCCATAGCCCTGTCCTTGACGATAGTGAAATCCTTTGGTAGATATGATTTAGGGTTTCTTCGAGACCAACCTGTAAGTTTGCCCTCGAGTACATTGAATTCGGAGATGTGATGTTCGGTGGTCAAAACCACTAATCTATCATCACCGGTGGAGAGGTTGTGAGAAGGAGAGCTGTTGGATGTGACACCATTTGTGAGATGTTTGGACTGCGATCCATATGAAGGGCGGAACGTCATTAATAGGACTCCCGACTTAAGCCGGGGTATAGGCGAGTCAAAACGAGGAACAATCCAGCGTTGGCCGTAGGTATTTGTACTGCCGGCCTCTTCGTCGGAAGAATCATCATCAGATAGCTCAGAATCGGCAGCCTTTTCGGGAATTTGACCGTTTGTCAACAAGTTTGACTTGTTTTCTAACACCCATGCATCCACAAAGCCTGCAAGATCACCGCATGCCACAATATTACTGTCACTGGAGAAGGCAATACACCGTATTGTCCGGTCGTACGCACCAAGGGATCCATGGTGTAGTTTTCCACGCTGCACATTTCGCTGTGCGCGACGCAGTTTGCTTATTCCAGGAAGTATCTGAGGACGGCCCGGGATTTCTGGATCGATGTCGATCCTGGCCATACAAATAACGTTATCTGATCGTACAAAGCAGAGCCATTTGCCATCTGGCGAAATCGCTATCTCCTTCGCTCCGCATTTTGAAATCTCGAAAGGAATCTCGAGTTTATTGACCTGGAGGCCTGGTTTGTCCCCGTCTTCTCTGGGAGATAAGCAGAAAGCTTTGATTTGCGAGACGGAGGCTGCCACAAGAAGTTTCCCATCGGATGAAAGGGCCGCAGAAGTTAGATTCTCTTCACCCTGAGATACGGTCAGTACTGCACAAAAAAAAAAAAAGCTTTCCATCCATGGTGGCTGTTTACCTGAAAGAGAACTTTTGCAACGAGTCGGTGTTGTTGGGATTCGAGCGATTTGGACGGCTGGGACACACGCCATATGTTGACTTCGCGATCCCACCAGCCCATTAGCAGGCGCGATGATGGGGATGATGATAGGGGTGGTGATTGAGGAAGGCTCGGGAGTTTTCTATGTAGCTCCTTTCCGATACTTCGTAGCGGAACCACAACCGGCACGGTGTCCAGACCTGGGAGAGAGATATAAACATTAGATTCCATACCATCGGTTATGTCAATCAGGACTGGGTGTGTATACCTCCGGAGACGAAAACACTGATGTCCTTCGTTTCGTAGACCGCGAGTGCTTTGACGTCATGGGTATGGTATCGACGGTGCATGACTTCAACCCAGCGCCTAGTTTTCGCTCCTTTCTCGGGAGCCTTCCGTCTGTAAACGGCCGTTCGTTGATCTGCGCCAGCACTGACGACCGATTCCCCGTCCGCACTAACAGCGATGTCAAGCACGTCTGCCTGATGGCTCTGTATCCGTTGAATTAAAGAATAATTCTTAGAGTCCCAAAAACGCACTTCACCAGCAGAATCGCCCGATACAATTGTTCCGTCCGGTAAGCATTTCACGGACCAGACTAGAAGCTCTTTCACTGCCTTGTTTGGTCCCTTCCCGAGAGTGACGGTGCGAAGGAGTTTGCCGCTGCGGATATCGAATATCCGAATGGAGCTATCGGCATAGGCGGCGACGATGGTATTCCGGTTCTGAAAGGTGATATTAAGAACACGCGACTTTTTGGTCGAAGGCCTCATCGTGCGGAGATATTTAAGGTCCCCATCAGCAGTAGACAATATTACAATTGCCCCATCCGCACATCCCACTGCAAGATGCTGTCCCATATACTCTCCCTCCGCCGGAGGCAACTGTTTCCCATCTTTTTTCTTGTTTCTCGACTCCCATCTAAGCTGCGCTGCCAAACACCAAATTTCGCCATAATTCCCGCTCGAATGTCTCGCCGGGCGACCCTTCTCAAGGTCCCATTCCGTCACAACGCTGGAATACCCGATGCTAAAGAGCCGTAGTTTACCGGGGAGATCATTGCCCTCGGAATCCTTCTCGCTCGGGTCAACCGTCCACGCAAGACCTTCGATGCTCCGGTCCTTCCCACCGCGCAGAATGGTCTCTTGGAACCAAGTTCCTTTACTTGGATTCCAGAGCTCGATGTCACCGTTGGCACGGCCAATCGCCAGTCGCAACGTCGGGACTCCACGACCTTGCAGCTCCGTTGATGGTGGGTGTGAGAACGCGAGCGCGTTGATCGCCTGCGGGTTGTATGGCACGAAGCGACACCGGTGGATGTCCATGCTTAGCTGGGAGAAAACGGGAGGTGTCAGTACTAACCGATGGAGACACCATATTGAATTTTTTTTGACTTTCATTTCTTTTGGGGGGAGTAGCCATACCTCCTGATGAGGCCCTAGGGGGCCATGGGTACCGGTATCCGTTTACTGCGCGGGGAATAGCAGCGCTGTCTGTAGCACTCTTTTTCGCTCGTTCGCCGAATTATTTTTTTTTTCCCCGTCGCTGCTGATACACGGAGCTTCGAAGACGGAAGTTTTTCCCGAGAACGGTTGATCACGTGATTTGGCGATTTCCCGGCAATACTTTCCATGTGCGGAATCACCGCCCAATTTGCGGATTTCTCTGGAGGGCAAACCAAGGCTATTTGCAGATGGCGGTGGAATAATGTACGGAGTACGGAGCTCCTCTTCTCTTCCCGGCCATTACACTATCTATGATTAAACGAACACTATTGCACGAGAAACCAGGGGCTTCCCTGTCTAGAGAATGGAAAGATGTCCTTCGTCCAAAGAGTATTTGCTACAATCCGAGCCGCTATTGTACCGCCAAATAAAAGAGGGACAGCCGGCCTGGCCATATTTGTGCTCGAATATCAGTCTCTGGACCTTTCACCGCCTCCGGGAATCTGCTATACGGGACCTACCGTGCGAATACCCACCCATGCCGCTGCATGCCATGAAAAACGTGCTATTGTCTGCGGCTTAAACATTGCACACCCGCCCGCAGAAGCCGGCGGATGGGTGTGAGTAAATGCCGGGAAGCAGGAGCGGTGACACCGGTGAACCTCCCCTGGCCAAAATGCAAGCAAAAGCCAAGCGATATGTAGATTTGAGATTGGGGTGAGCCCTGAAGACGCTTGGGGCACAGCGCTGCTGCGGTTGACGGAGAGGCCACCGAGGGGAAAAACGGGGCAGCGAACGTCCGTATTAGCGACTGATCATTATACGAATTTTGCAGGGCGCAATGGTAGCAAACAACTCTTTCCCATGCTTGTAGCACGGAGAAACGGACATGTGGCGAAAGTAGAGGCTATGCTGTCGTCCACAATGGGATCGGTGCCCATGGTTTGGTTTAAAAGTATTGATAGGGAGGTAAATATCTTGAGAGGAGTAAGGACTTCAGAAGTTTAGATCGAACGAGATGGGAGTCCTCAAAGCCGGGCGCCTTCACAAGACGTTAACTGGACCACTCAAACAGGGTAGCAATTTGATCATAAAAGTGTGGGGTTAGCCTTATGGGGATGTACGAAATAATACACATCATCGTGCATCACTGGAGGTCCCGCGATCGCCCCGAGTTATCCATCATCGGCCTGGCTGATAACACCGTGTGTAAGTGGCTGCAAAAACAACGATTGAAAACCCACATCAAAAGTTGCCACTGCGCCGAGTACGACCTCGCATCGGTCAGCATCTGGGCTGTTCTCCATCCGGTCGGGATATTTTGCCGCTTCATGCTGATGGGGGCCCTTGGCCACGGACTCTCACACAGGCCTGACGATGCACGGGAGCATAAAAGTCGTCAATCATCGTGCATATCCTTGGTGCCAGTCAGAGCCGTGCGCAGGGTATTACTCTTCAACGTGCGCTGCATTAGCTATGCAAGAGACCAAGGAAGGGCATGCGGAGTTACAGGGCCATGAATGCCTTAGCCCTTTTTGCACGTTCAAGGCTGAGAGATCGTGGAGATCGTGGGATTTATTGGTCTCAAGGGAGGTTCGGGATTGCCACGTCAGAGAGTGCGTTCAGGGGGGGGGGCTGAAAAGAGTTCAGGAGCTAACCGAGCATTCCCCAAAGGAGCTTTTCCCCTCTCCTTGGTTTACCCCGTCCATTCAGCTCCACAAAGCCTGGATTTATTGCAAGGATGCAGAATGATGTTACACGGCCACGAGAGGTGGACGCAGGACGGAGAAAGGAGATAATGCCAATGCATCCCGATCAGTGCAGAATTGATGGCGAGTTGAGGTACGGAGTACGGAGTAATTGGGGGGGGCAATTAAGTGGCGATCATCATTGGTGAGAGCCGCGGAGGATCCTCACAAGCTGATTGGCAATGATGCGCCGATGAAGAGTTCTGAATACGCTCATTGGCTTCAATTCCTCTTGACATCAGATGTTCCACAGACGGGTTGTCCCGGACAGGTCCTTGTGCGTGGGCTGCATTCGAGAGAAAAGGGGTAACTGGTCGCTGATGCCTGCGCGAGCAGAAGTCAAGAGGAGTGTTCAGCTTCGCAACGATTTGAATCCATACCTGCGAATCTCGGGCAAGACGGCACCCATTATTCGGTATTTCGTTTGGATGCCATTGACGAACCTCAGCACTATCGAAGTTGAAACGCTGAACAGGAAGCTTACTCAACCGCCTCCGTCTCTCCTCAGCTGCCGTTAAAGGGAGCATGAAACAAGCCAAGGCCAGTGTCATGATGGTTGGCTCTAAAATACTATGCCAGTTCCAGCTGTGACGGACTAACTACGTATGTGTGTACAACTTCGTACTCTGCCAATCTTAGCATCCTGTTAACTACCTGCCTGTTTTTGGAAGAGGAGGAAGCGCGGAGGTGCTTTTACCACGATTATTGTCGGGAGGTCGATAGTTTAGCACTGTGGTAAAACAAGCTTGATGCAGGGCCCGGGCAGAACGCTGTTGTTATTCTTAGTCTAGGCCCCAGTCCCGCGTCCAGGATTCTGATTGTTTTTCTACCCAGGATTGCGGGTTGACACGTTCGCGACTTGGTCTCGCAGACAAGAAATCTCGATTTAAGAAACAGCGGCCTGATTACCCCGTGGTTCAGCGCAAGTCTAAGGGCGTTAAGAATTGAGCCATAATCTGAGCGATAAACACGGCTGTCGCGTTCATTTCCAAAGCAAAGTTGTTATCGCGGCCATATATATATATATATATATATATATTCTCCAGTTCACCGCCTCATAGTGTACTTCTCTATCGAAGCGCCGTAGAAACGGGCTCTCGGTGGTCCCTTAAAGGGGTTCTGGATATCTTCACGAGCGTAGTTGAGAACCGTACTGGTGTCGGTATGAGTTTACATTACGCCATTACATACTGAACCCGTACGGTAATACAATGGCAAATTAATGCCTGTGTGGAAATACATCGGACACCTCCTATCCAGGGTATGAGTTCCATGAAACTCCAGAATGTCGACTAGCCTGTCATTTGCGAACAGATCGACAGAATAAACGCGATGGGGAGGTGGTGGACGCTCCAATCAGTACGCGTCGATACACGTGGTTTGGACAAGCCAAGGAAATTCGAGCAATGTCGCGTGTTTCATTGGAGAAAATCAAGTGTCCTCGCTTGAGGGTCTTAGCATCATAGACTTGTAAGAGTTCCTCCCCGTCGTCCCGGTCACCGAGCTTAGCCAGAGACCACGGGGTGGCACAGCGGCAAGTTTGGCGTTCGAGAGAAGTCCCATGTGAACATATGCGATGCCGATCTCAAATGCTCTTCAAAAAAAAAAGAGAGGGGGCAAAAAAAGAAAACCTTGGATTCTTGCCCCGACGCGGGATTGAACCGCGGACCTCTTGATTACAAGTCAAGCGCTACTACCACTGAGCTATCAGGGCTGACTCATGGCAGCTACAGGATACAACGAATGTTAAACAATATCCAAAATAGCTGCACTATGACGACAAGCCGCAGGCTCCCGCCAACCAGAGCCCGACTCGGTCAGTTTAAGCAATCTCAGTTACAAAAATGACAAATCAGTTAATAAGACAAGTTTGCAGTCGCAAAGCTACCTTGAAGATTGAGATGAATTAAATGAAATTGGGCAGATAGATTTCTACTATTCTGAACATGCTGCAGCATTGCGACATATATCCCATCTCTGTGATCGGTCACACCTACCCCCACACTGTACTGAGTGTTTTGCACTCCGTCACAAACTATCATACGTGTAGGAGCACCGGGATGTCTCTCACCACAAAAAAAAAATAAAAAGAGAATTGGCTGAGTGTATTCCAGACCCTACGGAGTAGAATAAAAGCTACTATCTTTGGTTCTCTTCCCTTGAGAAAAATTTTCTTAGCGGGTGGGGATTTTGGGCGGAACTCGGGGTCCTAGAACGTTCATCCGCCTTGTCGCCCGAAGGTCTTTCCCGCCTGGATTGTGCTAGGCAATGCACGCAGCGGTCTTTTCACGTATGGTGGCGTGTATGAGTTCTTATCAAAGAAACGAGGTTATCGCAGAAACTTGGGCGTCGAATATGGACAATCGCCCAATAGATTGCCGACATCCAGCATTTTTCGTTGAGGAATTGTTCACTCAGCCGCCACAAGGCTGAGGAACTTTGCGTGGTAATTTATTTGAAAACTCGCCAAATCTTGATTGGACAGGATACATCTGAGCGGCGCTTATTGGCAAATAAGATGCCGTTTTTTCGCGGTGCCAAATCCCCCACTAGCCAACCAGGTTGCAAACGTTAGCCGGAGAGTAAAAGGAAATTTGAGAATTGGGACGCAGGGCGTTTGAAACTTCCTGGAACCACGGCTCCCTTCAACAAACATCCACGGTCTTCAGTTGAGGTTAAATTTAATGTACACGGGATTCATTCAAAGATTGTTTCTCAAGGGCCACAGTTCTCAAAAGGCCACGTTGTTCTAGATCAATAAGAGATGTCTGAGATTCCGGGAGCTCTCGCTCTCGGTGCTCTGTGTCTGCAACCCTTACTTAATCTTCCGGCGTTAGTTAACAAGCCCAGAAGACGGAGATCCCATTCCCAAAATCGATCCCTTCCGAAAACAACGTTAACGAAACAAATGGATAAGCATGTAATGGCCCGTCGGGGGAGACACAAAACTATTCTTTTCTGGCACATCAGCAAACGCGATGACGAAGATCCCTCGCCCCCGGGCCCTGTCTTTGTTGCGAATCTGCTTTTCTTTTTCCTATTATAATATTCTCGGCGGAGAACTGGCCGTAAAGATGGTGTTATGTAGCATTTTCTCACAGCGGCGAGGGAGAGCTTGGTTTATACTCCGTACGTCTCTCAAAAAACAAAAAGAAAGAAAAAGAAAAATTTATGGATACTTTTTCCGTACCCGAGCAACCTTACCGGCAATTCCGCTGAACAAGGTGCTGACTGTTACGCTTCTGGTTATTATTCTGCCCCAGTGTCGAAGAAATTTTCTGTTGGAGGGAGCCACTTTGTAGGACCAGAAGACAGCCACCTTCGCGGGGACCTTTTCCCTCTTCTTGACCTTCTACGATTGCTAGTTTTAAGATCCATGGTATTTGAAGCATTTGTCGGCAATCCTGTCATCACCGGCATCTTCCTCAGAGACGCGAGTTCAAGACGGCGGAGTCGCGGGGAGTAACATCTTTGCAACCCGCCAGATCTGAGTCGCGGAGCAAACGGTGAAGGGTCAAGCGTGGGTAAATTACAACCAGTATTTTATTCTCAGCGCCTTTGGTACGGTACAATACACAGCCATTCCCCATTGCCTCAGCCGAATTGCCTGTATCAAGATACGGTTACAATCTCGACGAAAAGCAGCAGAGACGCGTGCTTCTCCGGAGTAAATTGTAGCTCCGCGACCTGGAACAGGAGCTTCTGGGTCGAGAGCAAGAGATTTACTTGACTTTGGTCCCCTCGAAAACACACGTGAAGGATACCTAGGACGAGGCACGTCTTAAGGTTGTCTTCTTTGTCACTTGTGCAGCCACACGTAGTTAGAAGAGAAAGCCGGGGCACAGCAGCATGCATTCTGGCTCCCGTCGAACCTTTCATCTTCTGCGATATTATGATGCGTGGAGTTGGCACGAAATCAATTCCAAGATAAAGCAGGGTTCAGCGCCACAAGATCTTTGAGCGTTGACATGCAGCCCATGTAACATAAGTCTTCCCTTCTCAAACACAAATAATACGAAGCGAGGCTTTTAGGGGAGGGCCTGGCGTACTAAGCAGCCAAGCAAAGTGCCGTGAGTGGCCCCAAAATTTCAGCTTGTCTCTGAAAGTCGGCGTTCCTGGGTCGCGAGCTCTTTTTCCAGGATTCGCTTACTTACAATACGTACGGACAAACGCTTCTTGTCACGGCATTGCCATACCTCGATACACGTCCGTTTCCGTCTAATCTTTGACCGAAAGGAGGTCGAGGGTACCTGACACTTGGCTCAAGCCTAGCTCCCATACAAAGAAGTTTTGAGCCGAAGAAGGGGGGGAAATCCTCGAGACAGGGCTTCTATGTATGTGTGTGTATGTATGTATGCTCGAGTGCAAATCAAACAGCCACTGCACACTTGAGACAGTTGCCATTAAGGCCGGCGAGGAGCTTTCGAAACTGGACGGTGGACTGTCCTGCAGGCTCTGGGCGGGAGTTCCGTAGTTACAGCAGTGCTCCGTACTCCTTACGGCCACAGAGGTCGAAACTTACCTTACGGAAGTAACGTACGCCTTGGATACCAATGGATTAGCGTACCCCTTACGCTCGCAAGAGCTTTGCCGGCGGTGCCAAAACCGGTGTGTAATGGGCGCCAGCCAATCAGTCCCTCAGCCCACTTGTCGAACAAAACCAAAGGGGAGCCTCCAACCCCATTCGACTAGTCTGGGAATGGGAGCCTTTGAACTCAGATCCATCCTGCACGCTCTCTTCTTTCTTCTTCTTCTTCCCTCCTCCCAACCCTTCAGGAGAGAGAATTCCTCTTTCGCCCCTTTCCCTCCCCTTCTCTCTCCAACTCAATCTCTCTCTCCTCTTCCTCTCCTCTCCGACTCTCGTTTCTCCTCTTCCCGTCAAACGTCTGGGGAGTGCGGGTGCATTGGTCTCGTGGTAGAGTTACCGTCAACCACATATATTCAGCCGTGGTTGACTCTCGTCTCCCACCCATTAAGCCTCTCTTTCGTTCCTCTGCCCCTATAGAAAAGTCGAGCCTGCGTCCAATCCTCTCTTCGACTTCACCTCGCCGTTTCCCTCTCCCAATCGCTCCCGGCACCTCCATCTCCTCGCTTCTTCCCCCTTTCCACGGAGACTCAATCCTGTGAACTCTACGGTACTTCGCCCTTGGAATACCAGCACGAGAAAGGGACACGCTAGAAGGCTCTGGCTCGCAATTGAGGCTTCCCTTGGTGCTTGTTTCTCTCCTGGTAAGACCTTTTCGTCGTTCGCCTCCTTTTTGACCCCTTCGTTACTGCCAATTGCCACTCCAAGCATTATACGGCCCTGGAGCCATCGCAATGGGAAATATACGCGTATCGGCCTACATAAAATCTTTGGGATCCATCGAGCTACCATCAGAGTCCAATACTTCTTTTTTTTTTTTTTTTTTTTTTTTTTGGGCCGGGATCACATCCGTGAAAACCGCTATAGCTTCATGTACCTTTACATGCAATTGCCGGCTGTGTACACCAATATGTGCCCCGGGATCGTACCGAGCTTCATAACATGAAATCTACCGAGCACAAACCCCAAGGCAACCGTGAACCGAATAGCCATACCTCTCACTTTTCTCAAACTTGGCCCGAAATGCTGGGGTTTACCCGAATGATAAAATTTTGCTCTTTTCATGACTCTCAGCTACCACGCCGCTTTATATGTTCTTTTTTTTTCACTCTTTGCTTTTGATTATTTTAGAATCTGACACCCAAACTAACACCGGCCTCTCATTGTAGATCCAATCACCAATACATCGAAACTCATCGGAGTCGGTTATACCCGGTGACCTTTCACTACTGAGTAGTGTTCAAGCCGAAGAGTGTGTACCTCCCGACTCAACTCCAATGCAGGCTGCCACGGAGCGGTGCTTCTCGCAGGTCCGCTAATACTTAAGTAGGGCCAAGCTCACTGCTCTTTCAACCACATTGTCGGATCAAGGGCAGATCCGTGGTCACAAAGAAGGTGGAGACGTTAGCTCGTCGTTCACTTTGAACCTCAGTACGGCTTTGACCAAGTCTATAAGCCGAACTTCAAACACCTACATGTCTTGGCAGTTGTTCTCGGAAGGTTGCAAAATATCTAGTTGATAAGACGCCGCACTGAGTAGGTTTTTGCTCATTTACTAGTCCCCTCAGCTTTACTTGTGTCTCTACACTTCGAACTACATTTGACCTCAATTGTTGACTTTTGAATGAAAGCTCTTCTCCAACAGACCCTGGCGATTCAGTCTTGTCAAAGTGGCGCAGATTATCGTCTGCACCATTCCTCAATCCTTAATAATTATTCCAACTAATCTTCGCTCCTTTACACTTGATTTAATTGTGCCGTTTCCCCCTTACACTCTTTTACTATTGCACTAATTCTCACCTCGAAGCTACGCGGAGCGTCTTCACAATTGAAACTTCGATCATCCTAACCAGGACAAGATGGCGTACCAGCGATATGGCACGTCTAATATCCGGGCTTGTGATTCTTACTTCGTGGAGTCTTATGACAACGACTATCAGCCTTCCCGAGTCTGTCCCAAAGAGCATGCCAAGATAATCGCCCGTGAACGCCAGTATGCGATGGGAGATGAGATGACAAAAGCCGTGCGTGAGGAATACCAGGAGGATATCATTGCTCATATGCATCTGATGGATGTGAGTATTGCCAACCCTGGGACACGTGATGTTGCAAGGTTTTTCTAATTTCAGCTGTAACAGTCCGCAACATTGCCGGACGTTGACTCAATTGACATCCAAACTGAGATCCAGTGGTTTATGCGGCCCTACCTTCTCGATTTCTTAATTGAAGCCCATGCTGCGTTTCAGTTGCTTCCAGGGACTTTGTTTTTGACCGTCAACCTCTTAGATCGTTACTGTTCGAAGCGAGTTGTCTATAAGAGACATTATCAGCTGGTGGGATGCGCTGCACTGCTTATCGCCGCGAAATACAGCGACAAGAAAGAGCGTGTCCCGACCATCAAGGAGCTGAAGTCTATGTGCTGCTCTCTTTACGACGACGACATGTTCGTACAAATGGAATGGCACGTGCTCCAGACCCTTGGCTGGTCGATTGGTCATCCAACCGTCGATGGGTTCCTGCAAGTCGCAGTCATGGATACCCCATATGACCCAGAGGTGGAACATCTTGCCCTTTACATCCTGGAAATAGCACTCTTCCATAGGGAATTCGTTTCCAAGCTTTCGGCAGATCTTTCGCGTGCCGCATTAGCACTGTCAAGATGCATTCTCAACCGGCCCCAAGCTTCGCATAATGATTGGGCATCCAATTATGACTCTTTGACTTTGGTGAACTTGTCCCAGCATTTGTTTCAACCATCGCACGTTCTCGCCAGGAAGTACTCATCTGCCCATTATTCACGGGTATCGAAGATCTTGGAGCAGTTTCTGGCCCGTCAGAGCACCGTTACCAAGAGCTACAACCCTCCTACACCTCCGACGGACCGTGCGGAGGATTCTAAGCCGTATGAAGGTGAGATTGGGCTTGCTACGCCCCAGAAATCCCATTGCCCGCGTACTATGACCAATGGTTACATTACTCCGCCAATCACACCTGAGAACGACGCGTTCGCTCCCACAAGCAACGCCAATCCTTCCAAGGATGCCTCTGGCCTCTTGTACGTTTGTCCTACATCGCCGACTCCCCAACAAGCAATGCACTATGGACAGACGCATCACTATAAGCTCCAAGAGACCGATCCGTACTCTCAACACCAACGTTTTCCTCAACAGCCGTCGGTACCCTACAACTCTGTGTTCTAAGGGACGATGGGAGAAAGAACGTGACGTACCACAATCGAACCATAAGAGCCATCAAGCAGCATCCAACTTATGCATGTCACTCGCATTCGATGTGGCAGTAGCTAGCTTTGGACTCAATACATCAACCATGAGCGTTATGCCAAATTCTGGCGTCCTTTCCCAAAGTGAGCGCGAAAGTAGTCGTCACTGCGTGGATGAGAACGCGACATTACTACATATCCCAATAATCTGTTTTGATTCCCACATAGTTTCCTTATCTGGCATTTGCTTTTATTTCCTATGTCATGTCTGTACCTGCATCTGCTTCATCTGGCATTGCAAGCGCGAGTCGTTTTCTTCACCCGGACTTGGGATAAGTCCCCGGTCACCAATATCCGTGCAGCGTTCCGCGGTTACACCGGTTCATTAAATACCTGCTAATTTTTTCAATACCATATTTCCTCTGTCTGCGCTATGTACCTGGTTCGGTTCTTTGTGCCTTTTTTATTTTTTATTGCTTTCCTAACCATATACCGTGTAAGAGTGTGGGAAAGATCTGTCTATTTTCTCGCAATGTAATGCTGTTCTTTTTTTGCCTTTCTTGTATACCCCCCATATACCCCTTTGTCGATCCATGTTTCCATTATCCTATCAAGTTATCGGAGGGGATTTATGGCGAGGACAAGGCGGTGGAAAAAGGGCGTCCTTTATCTAGGGGGCGAATGAAAGGCCCTCGAGTGAAAGCACAAATTTTGACAGAGTTTGGATGTAGTGTGGTAGGGCAAAGGGGGGGAGAGAGAGAAACCCTTCAAAAAAAAAGTTGCTGCTTCTTTTGTTTCCGTTTTCCCAGGGTGCATGCTGGCACTGCTGCGGAACTTTCTTTCCTTTGGTGCCAACGCAAAGCATATTATGCTGCTTCGAATTTTTATTGAGATCCTTGACTCTGCACTTAAGGCAGAGAAGGGTTCCATCTTCGGATGAACAGTTCCCGCCCCCCCTTAATTTTTTTTTTTTTTTTTTTTTTTTTTTACCCCGAAATGTGAACAGATAGGCAGATTGAGACAAAACTACCAAAAAATATCGAGGTTGCCTAGCTCCTAAATGTAAGGGCTTTTTCTTTATTTTGATGCCCCTTGTTTTCTTGTTTTTGCTTCTATTCGACGCATGTGTGTAAGAGTAAGATGGGCGACCGAATCTTTTGGGAGTCGTTCCTGATGCTATGATAAGAATCTCTACTACTACTGGTGTTGTGTCTCTTCTCATTACGAAGACGTCTTTGGTGGAGACGCAGGAAACCTGTTAAACCTCTTATGAGTTTCCAGAGGTTGACATGGAGCACACGGAGGACGGACTCATGAGCGGAGCGGAAGGCGGGGAGAATGATTTGCATCCTCGGAAAGGGGGTGCGACGGCATTCCGCTCCGTCCCTTGGAGATTTCCGCTCTGAACAAATTCAGAAACCACACCAAAGCGCGGTTGTTGTGGTGCTCAACGGCGATGGTGGGGTAAGGCCCCTGCAAACTCGGACTGTCCCCTGGCTGTTTGTGACGCCCCATTGGCCAGGACACTCTGAGTTTGTTTCCCCGGCGTCTTGGCGAGACCCACTACAGAGATGTGCCAAGCCAAAGACGCGTCCTGGGCGGTGGCTTGGCGGTCTTGGCACACGGCCGACCGAACATCGCGGCCCGGGCAAGAGAGCAGCGTCTTGAAGGCCAGGCCTTTCTGGGCTTGGATGAGAGCCTTTGCTTGGGGATGCGGAGAGGGCGATTCCAGGCGAACCTGAACGAACTGCATCATACCGGGTTTCCGGAACCTGAGGCTGGAAGGCTTGCAGGAATTGCTCTTGAAAATGGATTCAGGTGTCATCTCTCACCGCAAGCAACATTCAACGTCCCCACCCCATCCGCCTTTGAGCTTTCCAAGGGCGTCCACTCCTCGTCTCTCTGCTTCCCGCTCGCGAGTACTGCGTGCATACGTCCAGACGCTGCATGTCAACTGATCCCGCCCGAGCGTGTGCTTGGCAGAACCCCCGTCCTTCAACCCCGGTGTCAAGTGTGGAGGCGACGCATCAGATACGCTGAGACCTGACGAAGATCCCCACTAGCACCAGCCCGGCATCTTTTTTGGTGGAGATCGACCGTCTTCAATCTCCTTTTTCATTAACTATCTTCATCGCCATGGCTTTTCTTTGCTCCTCCCACAATAATTAACCCACACTCTCTCTTCCTGTCCTCCTCCTCCCCCCCTCTTTCTCTTGACGCACGCCCCCTTCGACGAGACGTCTATTCGCTCCTTTCTATCCAGATGTCGAGCCTCGTGCTACCCATCTTCTAGTTCCCCCGAAAAGAACCCCCAAAAAAAAGGGAAAATAAAAGAAAAGAAAAGGAGGCCCGAGGTCACGCTGACGACAACATTACCGAGGCATCTCATTTCTTGCCATCATTAATGCAAAATCGCACGCTCTTTTTCGATTCCTGCCGATGCCATTTCTTATATCCTTCTTAGCCTCACTCTATCGCAAGCTCGTCATGGGATCCGGGGGTTCGAGCGGCTCTGGCGGCGACAATGGACGGAATGTCAAATGGGTCGACGTAAGTCCCCGTTATGCGACGGAGAAAGACCATTTAGTGTCACTCTTTTCTTTTCTTTTCTTCTCCCTTTGCTGCTCTCCCTACAAGGCTCCTAATCTCTCCTAGTCCTAATTCTCCTAGCGATTATAACAGTTATTTCGGGAAGTATGTTGACCTGTGCCAAATGCATGCTTTGAAATAGGGACTGCGCGGAATGGCATCCTTCCTTGTGCTCCTCACCCACCTGGCTCGCGCATTCGACTATAACTTGTTCAACGCTAGAGACACCGAAAATGGCCCGATTCGATTGTTACAACACCCTGTCCTCCGTATCCCCTGGCAGGGCAGAATCGGCGTCACGATCTTTGCCTTTCTCACAGGATACGTCTGTGCGCTTAAACCGCTGAGGCTCTCCCGAGCCGGGAATCACAATACTGCCTTTTCTTCCATTGCGAAAAGTGCCTTCCGCCGACCGATTCGGCTAATAATGCCCGCCACCATCGCTCTCATTCTGTCTTGGACAATAGCGCAGTTCGGGGCGTTTACGGTCGGCAGAAGGTGTGATTCGGGTTGGTTACGATTTTCCAGCGTCAGCGTCAACCCGTCGTTTCTTCATGAGGTTAAGAGACTGTTCCGGGTATTCCTCGCTACTTGGACAAATGGCCATATGGACTATGATGACCATCAGTGGGCATTGTTGCCGCTGCTCAAGGGCTCCATGATGGTCTACGTCACCTTGGTTGCCACGATGTATGTACAATATCGATATCGCATGCTGGTGTATGTCGGAATGTATATGTATTTCTGGCAAAATCCTGCTGCAGACACAGGTAAGGCCACCGCCCGCCGATGTTGATCATTTTTCACCCGTATTTCTCTATCAAAGCTGACGTCTCGACCTTTTTCTTAAATCGCGTAGAAACTTTTGGCCAGCAGTTTTACCTTGGAATGTTCCTGTCCGACATGGCCAACCATCAACCTACGCAGTCTTTCGTTTCTTCTCGCCGCTGGACCCGTATGATTGTCTGTCTTGTCCTCGCCTCGATCGGTCTCTTCGTCGCCTCCTACCCAACGCATCATGCCGAATGGTGTGGCTGGTCCAACTTCCTCCTCCAGCTGTCGAAATACATATTCCCTCGTGAGACCAACCTGGGCAAACGGTACACGGCTCTGGGAGTCGACTTAGTCATTTTATCAATCTACCTCTCTCCGTCCACAAAAGCTCTGCTCTCAAAACCTTTCTTCCTCTGGCTGGGACGCAACAGTTTCGCCGTCTACCTCACCCACGGCACACTCCTCCGTACCGTGCTCGTTTGGATGATCTACGGAATATCCGGTCAGCCATGGAAAGAATGGAAGAACGACAAAGGTGAGATGGAGCACTCGCCTTTCCTCCCTAGGGGATCGGGCTTGAATTTTGCAATCAGTATCCCGACGTGGTTTGTTCTGGTCTACATCGTCGCGCACTACTGGACGACGTATGTGGATAGTTTCTGTGCGCGCATGACGCAGAAACTGGAAAATTTTGTCTTTGAGCAGACAGAAAAGTCCCCAATGAATGGCCTTCCGATGTAATGCATTTAGAATGAAAAAAAGTTTATACATACCATTCTGACTAGGGATGTTGGCGATGTTGCACAGCTTTTGGTTTCTTCCCTCCCTGTCTTCTTTGAAAGATGCTCTATTGGATATATACCTTTTCATGACCATCTTTTGGATATGTTCCTATGCCTTTCTAGTCTGTCTTATTATTTGATATTATTTGTTTAGCCTAATTATGTCTCGCATTGGCTATTACAACGTGCAGCCATGGATGTCTTTCCTATTTCTTCCTTGCTCCATACCTTTTGGTGTTTTTTTGGTCCTTTTTTGACCTTTTTTTTGCCCTTCACTTATCTCTCGTGCTGGAATGGGCCAGCATCTTTGTACAATGACCCGTGCACGACAATACACTAGCACGACCAGTATTGACTTGTGGCAGTTAATTAATTTTTGACAAAAACATCATGAGCTGCAATCCTGAAACATGTCCCAGATTTTTTATTCTTTCTTTCAAGAACTGTTGAGGGAACAGTGAGTAGGGCAAGGGAGCTACAGAAAAGTGCAAAAGAGAACCTCCTTGCACAAGCAGGGACATCCATGGACGCACATTTGCAACATCAAGGTACGGAGTAAATGTCTCCAAAATATGCCCTGTTTGCTCCTATATAATGCTTGGCCTGTTGTTTTCTGGCGAGTCAGTGAGGATCTCCCTTTGTGTTCTTTCTCTTTTTTCTTCTTCACACAAGAGAAGGTTGATGATTTAATTCACGCAGCAGCAACACTCCGTCCTATCCCGGCCTTCAATGCGCTTGACGACGACCAAGACACCGGCTGGTGGCAGCTATCTTCAGGTGCGGCTTACCCCACTCGCAGCGGAGTTGGCGTCGCCGTTCGGTCTCCACGTCCGCTATGCGCTAAAGAAAAAAAAGCGGACCTCTCGCCAACGGCGCCGAGCTTCCCAAATTAGCACCAGTTTCTTCCAGCGTGGTGATGACATGCAAACCACATCACAATCAGGAGCACTCGACCCTCCTTGTGATTCGTTGTGCGGCGAGAAAAGTGCGTGAACACTTGAAGATGCATTTGCGGCTTCCGTATTTTCTCCCGTATTAATATCACGCGGATGCTCTCCGGTGTTTCAGCGCGGATCGCCGGGTCAAAAGAGTTCGCGGGCAAAGCGCAGCCTCGACGTTTCCCGAAGGTCACGGCAGCATTTGACCGTTTAGGGGCGGGTTTTTGTAATGTGGCGCCTTTTCGGTGGTGGAACGGCGGCGAGAAGCGTCGTGGATTCTCACGAACAGCCGTCCCAAGGTCGGAATAAATGAATAGCGTGACTGCCAAGTGCTGGGTGCAGAAGACGGCTGGTGCATTAAGACGAAGAGGGATGTCTATCGATGACAGGTGGTTGGCGGGCATTGAAAAAAAAAAAGAAAAAGAAAAAGAAAAGAAAAGAAAAGAAAAGAAAAAAGGGCTGCCGACACGACTGGTATGCAAGCTGCAAATGGGACAATTTTTTAAAAGGTTCGAAAGGTTTTTGATACATAATTGCTCATACAGCGAACCACTTTTTCTTGCATCCTCAGTGCCTTATTTCTTTTCTTTTCTTTCCTTTTCCCTTCTCATTTAGGGGCCATTGCAAGTGAAAGAAAAACAAAGCTATTCAGCTCTTTGACTAGGTAGCTAAGGTGCATATATAGCTTACTAAACTTAATAGAGGTATCCTATACTCCATCTCCATCTACCCATAAATTGCATTGCTGAATGCTGGTGAAGCCAGCTTTAAAGGGAAGAGAAAAGCAGACTTGAGACTGGGCAAGAAACCGTATGAAATTGGCCAAAAAACCTAGCCGGGGAAGTCAACTCTATCTTCCAATATCACCAATAAAATATCAAGGAATCTCCTCTTCAGCTGAGATCCCTCCAAATTAGGCATGTAATTGAGGGAGAATCATTGCGAAATAAAAAATATTATCGCGAAGGAGCATTCATCTGGGAAAATCTGACAAGAACCGGAACCCAAGCCTCATGTCCAAAAGTGAGAGTAAAGATAATGGTCGCCTTGCCAGTCATCCAATCGTCATGTCACACTCACGCGCTCGGTTTCCTACCGTAGACAATATGCAATCGAACATATAAATTATTTTTTCGGTCTCGAAGCTCTGCGTTTGTCTTCGATATCAGAACGCGGCACTCGTCCTTACTCCATCCCAGCACCTTTCCCAAGAACCCAAGTGAATACGCCTCGACGCCCATCATCATATGCTCCACGAAGTACCGACCTACTTCTTTGAGCTTCTTGTCCTTGGGCCAAGTGCCTATGGGAACCTGTGGATTGTAAATCAGCATCAAAAACAAGTCGTCAGGCGGAGCGGGAGGAGGAAATATTGCATGGGGTTGTTACGTACCTTGAACACATCACTGCGAACATCGACGTACCCGGCGTTGATCACTCGCTGCTTGTGATTCGGGGCCTGGTCTATCTTCTTCCCGAATTTCGCCGCCGCTTCGTTGCATTTGGTCTGGAACTGGTCTACATAAGGCACCCGGTTCTTCGAATCATCGTCCGAGGTCACTAGCGCTTCGAATTCGATCAACTCAAGCCACCCTCCGGGCTTTGTATGCTGGAAGGCCTGGCCAATGTATCTGTCCCAGTCTTTGATGCCACCAGCCATGTTCCTTGAATAAATAAAATCAAATGCTTCGTCGGGACCGTACACCCACTCGTTCTCAGCGTCATCCACGTAAAACTTGACGTTAGGCGGGATCCAGCTTGGCTGTATGGGGCTTAGGTCTGTGCCTACGATCTGTGCTGAAGGGTATTCGTCCGCGAAGTCGATGGCCCATAATCCAGTTCCCGTCCCGACGTCCAGTACTCTTTGAGGATCAGAGCCGATAGGAGCGCGAATTAATTTACCATCAAGCAAGAGAAGAAAGATGTGATGTAACAGGTCTAATCGATCCTGTTCCTTTTCGTCATTGGGGAGGACATAGCTCCCTCTTTGGTACCCGTGATACCTTCGACCATTTGAGTACTCGTAGTTCAAGATCGAAGATGTTATAGATGCACTCTGCGCGGTTGAACTCCTGTCGCTGAAGGTAGAGTCTGTGTCGGAGGTAATGTCATCCACCTCCAAGGGCTGGTGTTCTTCTGGGTTATTAGGAGCGCTTGCTGGTTCAGGACTGGCTTGATTCGGGGGATTGGGAGCACCGGAGGACTTTTCTGGATTGCTCGTCATGACTGCAAACTCGGGTGGCTGAAGAAGAGGTTCTGCTCAGCACCTTCGACAACTAGAAAATATGGGGCAGGCCAGGCTAAAGTGCCAACACGCTGGGGGACGCCCCAACGGCTTTAAATGTTAAATGTGACACGGGTGCGGGTCCGAGCCCCGTCGAGTCGACATGACAGGTAAACGTCAACGGAAAAGCCCACATACATCCGCGTCGCCGGCGCGAGCCTAGCGGCGCACCCGAGCCGAACAGCACGCAGTAACAGCCCCACCAGCTCGACCGGCCTCGCGCCCCCATGTGTGTAGACGGGGGTGCTTCCTGGGCATACAAAGTTCGGCAAGGTTCCCGCCGTTCAAGTGCGGAAATCGACTGCTCTGAGGTTCTCCTCCCATGCCAAAGCTACCCATGGCTCTGCAACATTGGTATCACAGTTGCTCAGAAACGCACCGCGAAGGAGTCATTGCAGCCGCATTGGCTATATGGATTCTGTACCTTGTCTCGCTGGCGGTCTATCGCCTGTATTTCAGTCCACTGGCCAAGTTCCCAGGTCCAAAGCTCGCTGCGCTCACAAGATGGTACGAGGCGTACTACGAGATAGTAAAGATTGGGCAGTACTCATTCAAGGTTGACGAGTTGCACGACAAATTCGGTGTGCTACCAATTGTATACCCTTCCCAGGAGGCGACATGAACATCCAGCTAATCTTCGTTACTGGCCCAATCGTTCGGGTGACCCCGGACGAGGTACATATCAGAGATGCCCAGTTCTATGACCAGATGTATGCGAAGAACCCAAGGGTCAGCAAGCCAGGGTGAAACAAAATCTTCGGAACTGAGGCTGCCGCATTTTCAACCATCGATAGCGCAACCCACCGCCGGCGTCGCGGGGCCTTGAATCCTATGTTAGAGCGGCTTCGATTCAAATCTATTTGCGAACGACTTCCCTAATCATCTCCCACAGGTTTTCGAGACGAGCTATCCTAGTCCTTGAACCCGTCGTCCGCGAGTATGTTGCGTTGCTATGTAAAAGGGTAGCCGAGTATGCCACTAAATCAAAGCCGTTGGCCATCACCGTAGCTCACTCTGCTTATACCGGCGATGTAATTGTGGAATATTCCTTTGGCTTTTCCTACAGGCATCTTGAAAATCCGAACTTTGAATCATTTCATGATGCATTGATGGTGATGGGCTTGTCTGCCCATCTTGCTTCCCAGTTCTCGTGGTTCCTTCCTGTGCGTATATATATAATGGGCCTTGGGATTCACTTCAACGAACTGACGGAATAGCAGTTGGTTAATTCACTGCCCGACTGGTTTGTCGAAAAGATTCAACCCGATCCAGCAAGTCTGCTGAGGCTAAGGCGGGTGAGTCGCCCTGCCCCTTGCTGGCTAACATTCTAGTGTGCGCCGAACAATCTATAAAAGGATCATTGGGATCTGATCGGCCAAATTATTCGGGGAGAAGAAGCCGTTAGTAAAGTTAAGCTCCATCCTACAATATTTCACGAAATTCTCCGAAGCTCCCTTCCGCCAGAGGAGAAATCACAGCAACGTCTCCTCGATGAAGCCCAGATTGTAGTGGCGGCTGGTGTAGGAACAACAGCATATACCCTTTGATGTTGGCACTTTTCATATATTGAACACTCCGCATATTTACCAGCGTCTTCACAAGGAGGTTGCAGATGCATTCCCAGACAAGAATGTTATCCCAAGCCTGCTGGAGCTGGAGAAGTTGCCATATATGAAAACATGCATCCAAGAATCCCTTCGTCTGTCATATGGCCTCTCAGGATGAAACCCTCGTGCTCACGACAAGCCTTTGCAGTATGGGAAATGGACTATTCCCGCGAATACCACCATCACCATGTCGATTGTAGACGTTCATCACGATGAGGCCATTTCCCCGATTCGCACTCATTCATCCCTGAGCGGTGGCTGGATAATCCCAAAACATCAGATGGAACTCCCCTAGAACGATACCTTGTTGCATTCGGCCGGGGACCGAGAGCTTGCTTGGGGCTGAAGTACCTTTTTCACTGACCCCCTAAAATGCTTTTCTGGTTCATCCTAGCGGGCTATGCTCTTATCATCTCTCAAAACGAGAAACGCTAACCTAGCCCTACGCATAGCCTTGCACGGGCAGAGTTGAATTACGCATTTGGCACCGTCTTCCGCCGCTTTGAGTTCGAATTGTACGAAACCGACATCACCGACGTGAAATACAAACACGATTTCTTCAATCCGCCTGTCAAGATGGATAGCAAGGGTGTCAGGCTCCTGGTTTCTGAGGTATCTGATTAAGGATGGTGTTTTAGGGAGACTAAATATAGTGGTAATTCTCCGAAATTGGTTTTGGTGTTTTTTTGGGGTGGGGGTTTGGTTTTAAAAGTACGGGGATATTTTGTCAACAGGTCTGGAGCTTGGGGTGATGTGGGGGTTACGTACTTAGGGTTAGCCGCAAGTTTTCTGTATTCTGAAACTGTTTTGTTGAGTTTCATGGGGTGCTTGAAGAGCTGAAACAAGTCAGATGCACGAAGCTGACCCCGCGATCAGGTTTGTCACTGCGAACATGTCAAATTCCTATGCCTTTGCAGCTGTTTGCTCTGTGGCAATTTTCCAGTAGGTAGCAGCCTGAAATCACGGGAGCGCCGAACAAAGTATCCTGTACAGGGTATAATGGCTGTGAAACAAGCTTTCACAAGGCTGAGTGCTTTCGGCGGGCAACCCAGAACAATTAATGCAAGGTAAGAGTCAAATTTCAAAAAGTCCAAGAGTTCACCTGGTCAAAAACAAGAAATTCATTGGCTTATCAAAAAGTTAAAAATCAACAATAGGTCAATAATATACAATCCGCTAGTATGATGGCTGTTGTACAAAATCCAAAATTGAACAAGGGAGGGAGAAAAAAAGGAAATACACAAAGCCTGCACCGCCTGACAGCCTCGTGGTATGCCACGGCCGTTAGGAACTTCGACCAATGGAATTATTTGTATTCCGACTTTTGGGGGAAAAGGTTGTCGTCGCCCGCCACGCCCCGTTCGAGATGATTTTGTCACTAGTTAGGTGGGAGGAGATGTGGCGGAGGAAGTCACGCAGAATTTCGATATAGTATACAAGTCCAATGACAGGGATTGACTAATTCGTGCTCTGATCGCACAACTGTGGGTATCTGTAATAGCGATACAGGCGCGTAAAGTTGTTCAAAGAATCTTCTCGACTGTAGACAGGAAACACGGATGTTGCATTCCGGAAAGTGACCATCGACGGAAAAAAACGGGTGTCAATGCCTCCGTATTACACATCATGCGCCTCAATGTGGATGCTTCTCGCCTCACTTCTTGTGCTGTGGTTGTTTGTTGAAGCGAAAGCGAAGCTGTAGTTGGATGAGGTTGCGTCCGCCTCTTTAAGGCATCACGGAGGAATGCTTCGACTCGAGGCTTCTGCTGATACATAGGAAATTGATCGATTATTTCCATCTGCCGCCATCCCAGTCTGAACGCCTCTTCTCGTCTGAGCTGCGGCCTCCGCTGTTGTGAATGAGGGGTTTCGATGTCTGAGGTTTTGAGGTTTGACTCTTGCCTGCGAGAACCCATAGCTCGAATTAGTATGCGTTTAAAAATGTCTTGGCCGTTGAATGCAAGGACGCGGCAACCAGCAGAAACTTGGGTCCAACACCACTATTGAGTAAAACATACCTTCTGAATTGCGGGAGTATGAAGAGCTGAGCCCGCTTGATATACTTCTTTGAGAAGTGCTTGAGGAATAAGTGTGAGGCATGGTGATGATGGCGGATGACTGATCAAAAGAAAATGCGTAGCTATGTAGGTGGAAACACCTGCAAGAAGATGTTGAAGTACCAGGTGGTAGCTGGTAGGGCAAAGCAATATCAAGAGTAAGACGGGAATGCGATGCAAACTTTCGATTAAAATGCTGTTGTGATCGAAAGCGTAGTAGAGTCAACGGGTAAACTCGTGTTGTAGCAAGTCAAAGAGTTTGAATGAAATGCAGATAAAGGAAGACGGAGGGGTATGTCTTCCTTTTTATGTTGCGTACGATAGACAAGGGAGACAGAAAGGAAAAGTGCAGAATATAGAAACGCAGGGAGAGGACCAAGGAAAGGTTGATCCTCCGGTCGAACAGAGTGCTATGTTGCCTTAACCAAGGTATGTCTAGCCAGGCAAGCAATCACCCAAAAAAGTAGAAGGAGAGCAACAGAGCGGCTAATTGCGAAATTCTTTTCGCAAGTCGCCGAAAAGTCTGGAAAGCGGGAGGGATGGGACGAAAAAGAGCCAGGCAGCCAAGCAGAAAGGAGAGGATTGCAAGGCATCAAGTAGAAGGAAGAAGATGACAAAGCGTTTCTCCGTCGAAACTTTGAGGCAAGGTGTTTACGACAATGATTTCATCGGCCACGCGAGTAGGACAGGGCAAGGCACAGTTAGGCAGAAAAGAGTTCTAGAAACGACACAGCATCTTGAACAATTGGAACAAGTGCTGTGGGGGTCTCGAACGGCCGAGCGGACTGCCCACCTAATTTTTTGTGCGGTTAAGCTGAAAGGGGAAGGGCCGAAGGGAACTGGAAGGGACACAAAATTGAAAATGAGAATTTTTATTCGATAGCTCGGTGTAGAGGCCCTTCGGGTTGGATAGAAAGGTGAAGTGGATGCCAACTGGGCGTACAAGAGCGAAGGCAGGAAGTTTGGTGGTTGGGAAGATGTTCACTGCATTTTCTCCAATTAGGATGGAGCGATCTTTGTCTGTGTGACCGATGCCAGGCACCAGGTGGCAATTCACTCAAGGGTGAAAGAAAGCAAGCATAGAATGATGACAGCAGCAGAGAGCAAGGTTGTGATGGTGATGATGAATGGTTGTGAGGTTCAAGGGGAGGTTGGGTCAGAGGGGGTAGGGCGCCCGAATCGGGACTAGCGTCTGCCTCCCGCACAACTGCAGGTGGCGATTGGCTGGATGCCCCCCGCCCTGTCGCTCACGAAGGCGCGGCGAATGATTGGCCGGTTGCCCTTATGTCATTCTCGCCTGACGGCCTCAGGCAGTTTCAGCGCCAGACAAGGGGAGAACAGGAGTCTCGACGAGCCCTAACACGCTGATACTCTCTAAATCACGTTGCGACGAACACAAGGTTCCGCAGCAAAATCGATTTCACCCCACAGCCACCGAACAAGGCTGGGCCACGGCACCGCCCTCGAGTAGAGGCACGTGATTCGGGCGCTGATGAGGCGCGTTAGTCGATATCGAGCCTAGACCGTCATGGAAGGTTACATAAGCAATTCCTGGGTGTGCCAGGTGTCCGAACGGCCTGGCATGCAGAGCGCTCGGATGCAGTATTGTTCCCTTTTCTGGCGGTGAGGTTGCTGGGGCGCATGTTCGCTGTTAGCCATGATTTGAGACTGGTCGAGCTGCTCCCGCTGTCGACTGAAACGGCACCAACCTATTTCCACTGCTGTTCAGTGTCCCGGATTGATTGAGCCCGCCTTGCAAAGGCCGCCGGCCCTACGTCGTTCCGGCCCATCGAGAACATACAAGGTGCCCTTTGGCTTGAGGAAGGGTGCTCTTGAAGCGGCATTCATCGCCTCATGTATGTAGTTTGTGTGCCAGCCCACAGCCCGCTTGAGTTCTCAGCAAAAAATGGAGAACGCAGGACTGTTGGGGAGCACAACAGGTTGCATGAAAGCATAGCTATGTTGTAATAACACGCTTTGCTCCATAGACCTCTCAAAAGTGAGAGTATTGACGCTCTCTGGGCATCATTGTTAATTTCATGCATCCCAACCTGGCGGTGAGAGTGGTTCAGACTTCGAGGCCCTCGGTAGTGCTACTCGTCGAGAGGGCGCAGTATAGACCTTGAAAGGGAAGTTTTCCAGGCTTGGAAAGCCATTGCCTTTAATGGCGAGAATAGACAAGACTCTTGGTGGAGGGTATGCGAAGATAGCTAATTTCTTCGTGATGTGAAGGGAGAAAAAACTTTAAAAATTCTGTACTCCGTAATGGTATCCGCATTCGACTGGCATTTGCTTCTCTATGAAATTGCTATATTTTCAGAGTAATCTGATGCCAGTCATCTCTCTGCCTTCCTGAGACTGTGTTGTCTGGGGTGGCTGGGAATTGCGATTCTACAAAATGTGGTACTGGGTATCTAACGGGCAGTGGATTTCGGAGGAGAGAAGTTTATCCGGTGGAGGGGAACTTTTTCCGAAGTGGGATGTCATTATAACGAGGGCTATCATTTTCGGCCCGTCTATACGGATAATCGAGATGTCATGCCCCCGGCTTCCGCTGAATAGAACTTCTAGATACCTGTATACAAGCCTATTTCCAAAGAGACCTTTGCAGTTCAACTGCCAGCCATTCCGATCCTTTTCGGGCAAGATGCGTCTCAAGGAAGTCAGCCACCTGGAGCTCCCTCCAACAGCGGATATGCATGTCCATCTGCGTGATGGGCCAATGATGGAACTGATCACGCCTCAAATCCGAAAGGGAGGTGTTGATACCGTATTCGTTATGGTGAGCGCTGGAGAAATTACTTATATATCTATTCCACACAGGAGCTCACGCATTTTGCAGCCAAACCTGGTCCCTCCAATTACCACAGTCAAGCATGCTTTGGAGTACCAGAACCGTTTACAGGCCATTGAGCCGAATGTGAACTATCTTATGTCTTTATATCTCCATATAAGTTGCTGTCTCTCTACGGTTTCGTTGATATGTCAAAGCTGATGGTGTTGAGCCTTACCCCTCAATCACTCCTGAGGTCATTGTGGAAGCCGCTTCCGCCGGTATTGCTGGTGTGAAGGTGTATCCTCAAGGTATAACCTAGGAATCCCTGTTTGGAACCGTGTCCGGTATTTGACTCAGGCGTCCACACATGATTGACGTTCATCACTAGGTGTCACGACAAACTCCGCTTCTGGAGTAGCAAACTTAGATGACTTTTTCCCTGTGTTCGAAGCCATGGAGAAACATGACCTCGTACTCAATATCCACGGAGAGGTCCCCGATGTCAATGTGATGAACGCTGAAGAAGCATTCTTGCCCACATTGAAGAGAATACACGAGCACTTCCCGAACCTGAGAATTATTTTGGAACATTGCTCTACAGCTGCGGCCGTAGAGGCTGTTCGCTCCTGCGGACCGTCAGTTGCGGGTACGCATCCGTAATCCCTGCGAATGCCAGACACTGTCCAAGTACTGACAAATCACGTAGCAACCATCACTGCTCATCATCTTTATCTAACAATCGATGACACCGTCAATCCACTTGCTTTCTGCAAGCCTATTGCAAAAACCCCCGAAGACCGAAACGCTTTGCTGAAAGCCACATGCAGCGGTGATCCAAAATTCTTCTTGTAAGTTTAGAGCCACAAGATGCTCGGGCATGGCCACAAGCTAATACCACCTGCGCAGCGGGAGTGACAGCGCTCCACATCCAACCAGTTCCAAGCAGGGAGCGACACCAGCGGCTGGTGTTTACACCCAATCCTTCGCAACTCAGTATGTCCTCAAGGCCCTGGAAGATGCGATCGAGACAGGTATCATCAGTGAAAGCGATGTCACTCAAGAGCGGCTTGAAAATTTCCTGAGTCGATATGGGAGGAAGTTTTACAAGCTACCCGAAGCTGATAAGAGTGCCTCAAGGATTGTACTTGAAAGGAAAGGCGAGACCATCCCTAAAACTATTAGAAATGCCGATGGGAGCGTAGAAGTTGCGCTTTCCCGGGGTGGAGAAAAGGTATTCAGTTTGCAATGGGCCAGCCAGTAATCAAGGTATTTATCATAGGAGACAATCCATTGCTCTGTATATAAAACATTTATGTAGACATACAAAAGTTAAGGTTTTGTTAACATTTCTGCTAAATGGGCTTGATATTCCTATGTTGTCATCACGGCCTCAACGTGACAAAACCATGACAAAACACATGCTCACGAAAAAACATTTGCCAGTAGATATAAAACTAAGCAAACTAGTTTCCTTATTCCAAAAAACGGACCCCCAACCTTTTTTCCTGCAAATAAAATGGATGAACCTTTTTCAAGCCTCTGTTTGCTACAGATATGCACTTATGTCTGGAACACTGTGAACTACATTCAATCCTAACCTGGCAGATTCCCCGAAGCCCCATAAGGCAGGATGTTGTCCTATTCTCTTCGACCTCCCATGCGGAAACTAGGCGATGCTAACATGGATTCAGTTATGGATCTTAAGATTCTTTTAATTTTTTGGTTCTTTCTTGTGTTTTGTTCCTCTGAATATTTCTCAGGTTGGATTATAGCCCTGTGGATCCTGGGACCCATAGCAACGATGATGGAGGAATTGTAAGGAGAAGAAGGGAACTCCTAGGTACTCGCAGGAAGCCTCTGAACTTGGCCGAGGCTCGCCGGTACCAGAAGGAGGAACCGAAAAGAATGCTGGAATATGACTGAAGACCACCTGGTTCAGGAGGCCAACGTTCGTGGACGACTGAGAGTGACTACAGCACACTTTGTGGGCGTCTGTAAGCTTTCTTTCTATGCGTTGCCCGCTCCCTCGTGGCTGTAATCTGGCCTACGTGCGGAATTAAAACCGACTCTGGGTATATCAAGATGGAAGACGGTAATATCGATGTCGGAGAGAAAGAGGGTGTGGGGGTTTGAACACCAGGGCTGCGTCAAACTGTGTTCCATTCAGGATATTAGGGGTACCTAGTGACGGCAGAGGAACGGTGATGTGTGAAACTTGGAATAAACTTGACAGAGGAAAGCGCAGACAAAGCATTCCTGAGCTGAGTGATACTCACCTTCAACGGGCCCTGCGAGATCAAAGATCTCCCACCTGTAGAGTCAGACGGGGAGGGTCTCGACCATTGATTCTCAAGAAATCTTGCTCAACCGTCACACTATCGGAAAACAAGGGATTATTGCTATACTAAGAAGCGTGAAGCCTTGGGCATACAGCAATCTTTTGCCTTTATCCTGACATTGTTTAGCCAATCGAATCCCGGATTTTCTACAATGTGAGCTGGAAATTCTTACTGAAAAACACCGCCGCAGTGAAGATGCAAGCAGTGTAGCTCGCAGAGATACCTGTAAATAGCAACGTTATCCTCCGGGTAAGCTTTATTGTGGGGGTATGTTGAAGCAGCTTCATACTCGACAAGTGTCTTATTAAAAGAGCCGAGAATGTCGTTGCAAGAAGAGGCTGATGCCCTTGACCAGTACTTAATGACGAGGTTTGTGGAGATAATTGGCTTGCCAGTCTAGAGTTGATATTGGGGATAGATTCATGAATAATGATCTATTCCAGGGAAATTCAGACCCTCCAGGAGCTACAAAGTGCTAAAATAGTCCGTTGTCTCGCGACGTAGAGGGTTCAGCTAACCGCCGAACTTAACAGATAAGCTTAAACAAACCTGCCGGCACGCAGCAAAAGACGTCTCGGCCGTCTCAAATCTCCCCAATCTTAAAACCACAACAAAACAATCAGAAAGCTCAAAATTCAACCAGGTATAATTACCAGCAACCATGCATCTCCCGTCCCTCTTTTCGGTCCTCTCTGTCTCGCTCTCCCTCTCCTCTCTTGTTGCTGCGACTACCACCGAGGAGCTCCCCAATGGGCTGAAAATTGAAAAGATACACACCGTGGATTGTGAGCGACGCACCCTCAGCGGCGACTCCATTAAGGTGCATTACCGCGGCACCCTTGCGGAAAGCGGCAAACAATTCGATGCTAGCTATGATCGCGGGTCTCCGTTGGGCTTTATGGTGGGAACAGGCATGGTTATTCAGGGGTAGGTGGTCGCATATAACGTTCTTCACTAGCATAGCTTAAAGAAAGGAATGCTATATTCCAAGCGCTTTATGAGTCAATCGCTAATCGTACACTGTGTTTACTATAGCTGGGACCAGGGCCTTATCGGCATGTGCGTTGGGGATAAGAGAAAATTAACTATTCCTCCGGAGCTGGGGTACGGAAATCGGGCCATGGGACCGATTCCGGCTGGATCGACGCTTATTTTTGAGACTGAGTTGATGGAGATTGAGGGTGTAAAAAAGGATGAACTTTGAGCTCTATATTAATGACTTTATGGATTCCGCAATGGCTTCGCTTTGATGCATGGAGATCTGCTGCAATGGATGGCAGACCCATACCCAGAATAGATATGACAATTGACAATATTATAACTATATCATTTACAGACGTATCACGGAAACAAGTGGGCAAATTGAATTGTCCGGGTATCACAACACATTCTATGTAACAAACCACAGCAGGGCCGGGCGCAGGAAAATTCAGGCCATATCAGTCCATTTCATCTAATGATCCTGTGCGTTCTTCAGGCTCATGCTCACTAACCAAAATGCCCACCATGCATTCTCCCAGCATCCCATCCCAATTAACCCATGGGTGTACTTCCAGAAAGAGCTTGGCCGAGTCCTTTCCTGCACCCCTCAAAAGCTCCCCTTTTCCGCCAGGATGGAACGGCAGATATGGAGTGATATTATATACCTTTCCTTGGTAAGACGTCCACGCGTCATACCCCTTCCGTCCATTGTGCAATTTTAACATTGACGGTGTCACCCGGATCAGACCCGGAGGAAGGTGCTTGCCGCGAAGGTTGTTTCGCGGATCCGCAGTTAGGGCCGCCCAATCTAAGGGGGAATGTCCCGGCTCAAGCATGACTTGCCGCGAAGATCTTTGCGGTTTGCCTGGAAGGCCTAGAGGTGAAAGTGTGCTGCTGGATAGCTTGCTGCCCGCCGGAGTGCATGAAGGAGGGGCTCGAAGAGATGATGCGGCGGAGGGTGGGGGGCGGAGTGGGACGCGGGAAGATGGTCGGGGTGGAGGAGGCATGAGGCCGGCAGGCTTCACTAGAGCGGAAAGGTTCTGAGGCGGTGGAGGAGGTGGCATGGATATAGAGGGGTTTATGAATGGCGGCGGGCGTATCTCTGGTGCGCGTGGAGATCCTGATGCCGTTGGAATCGGATAGGACGCCACTTGGGCCAAAATATCTGGGGTTTTAGGCCCTGTGGAAGTTTCATCCAGATCCAATATAGGTATGTCCAACATGGGCGGGGTCGAAATTGCAGACACCTTAGGGGTAGCGTCGTTAGGTCCACCGTCATCTGAAGATAAACTCCGCTCTGTAGAGTTCATCTCTAGTTGCGAAAGAGACAGACATGGCTCGTTTTGCGGCTTGGGCTCGGGCTCGATATCGGTCTCGGGTATCTGTCTGGCTGCTGGTAGTGCGGGCGTCAGGGGAGCGTTGCGATGCTCTGAACAGCGCCATGGTCCAAAATCCCAGGAATATGGAGGGTGTTTGTACAGTATGTACGAAGCGGAGACAAGTAAAGCCCCGAATCCAATCCAGCCCATCTCAGATACTTAGTTGCAAGTAAGGGCCGCGTCGCGACTCGACCCAGCTATCACCGACCAGGTGAATTACGCTCGCAGCGACTTGCCCCGTTTGCAGGAACCCCAGGTGGCGGAAGTTGAAGCGGAACATTGATAGTCCGCCTTAATATAGACTAACTAACCTAAAGAAGTAAGCGCATCGTCTCTACTCGGACAAACTAAATATCCGAAATTCTCAACCTCATGAGGTCGCTATCAAGGCATCCCATCCCATCGCAATGCGAAGCGAAGCGACAATGAGCTCTTGGAACGCCCCCCTAAACATGTGTCCTCAGAGGAAGTTTCGTTGAAGGACTCAACCGATATCAGAAGCACAGATGATTCAGCCCCAGGGGCATTGGGCAAGCGGAGGTGACGGTCATCAGAACAGAGTCCATGTGCCTGGCAATCCAGTTGGCCTCCTGAATCAGGTAGACTTGCTGGGAACGCCGCTGCAAGACCGTCTGAAGCATCCAGATCTCCACTGGCGGATCCAACTTTAGATAAGTGCAGGATGGCCGTCAAACATAAAGTGGAGAATTTGTTCTCTCCTTGAACGTCCAAACCGACATCAGGTTTGCAGCTTTATTTCAAATGTTGATGGGTTTGGTGTCCCAATGAATAGATTTTACGTCGCCGTTGTCCTCTGGACCTCCACGGCCACCTGCTTCTCATTATTCAATCGTGCCGATGGCTTCAAGGTTCTCTCATCAAGCCATGGTGATAGATTTACGATCGGTCTCGATGTCGAGATTCGATGGGAAGCGCCTGATACAGAACGAGTTAAACTCGAAGTTCGAAAGGGATTCCCCCAAAATTTAACTACAGTCCACGTCATTACACGTATGTGCAGATAAGAACAGCACTGGGACTCGTCTCCGTTTCATTATTCAGATTAGAGCCATCTGAGTTGCCGCGATCTCCGTCTGCAAAAATTACCAAAAAGCGGATGGCTAATGCGCGGCTCTATAGAGAACATCAACAACAATAAATGGCGCAGCCGTGACGACGCCTTTCTCAGAGCAAAGGGGTCTTCGAGCCTCCCAGTTGCTCCGCTAAGTGGCTGCGACTACGTTATTACAACTCGTGACGGGCAAACAAGTGCTCGTTCGGGATACTTCACTATAATTAATGTTCACGACGACGGTTTACCGCCGGATCCTGTCCGTCCTAATGTGGCCCCGAGTCGGCGTGATGGCGGCCCAACGAGAGGTCCAGGGTCGCCTAATCCCACAGGAGGAAATTAAAGCGGAGGGCCTGGTAATTTGTCTAGTCCGGAAACATGCATCAATTCGGCTTGAAGCTTATACTCTCCTAGGGAACGCCGGCAGAAGACCACTTAACAATAGAGTGACAAAGGTCATGCTTTGGGGAGCAGTGGGCTGTATTGCTGCCGGATTGATCCTCGGTTTTACATCTACTTCTTGGTAGATCGCGAGGTTAGTTCGTCACTGACGCGTATATACGATCAGTTATTGCCAATAATCCTTATACGCGGCGGTACATAGACAGTGGACCACAACAAGAGCTTAGTTCTGCTCTAATGTATCAGATGGCAGCGAGGCCAGAGAAAAAAAATAATTCATGATCAGGATTGCGACATATTAATGATTGTACGATTAATGTGGCTTTCTGACTCTCAGCCTAAATGAGTCTTGATGGCGTATACGTCTAGAATCGGGATATTCACCTTTAATATCGAAAAGACGTCGCTAGTTGTGCTCCCGTGAATATACTGAAAAGCATTAACGTAAGCTGCATGTCCAACGAGGTCACCATATTAATGCAAGTGGGCCAGCAGTACCGCAGCGGGTGTCAATGGAAGAACGCACCCACCATTCTAGGTACTCTATTTCGCATGACGAGGAAGATTTGCTCTAAACAAACCACTAGCATTTTCTGGTACCTGCATCGATGGCGGAGTCGAATACGAGTACAGAGGTTCGGGGTATCAATGATGATGATGCGTGTTCACCAAGGAACCTCTGAGATGACTACTTGCTTGTCATCCGACAGCCAGTTTCAAAGACGTGGCAGGACGAAGAGCTGTCTCGAAGTCCTTCATACGGCCCATATTCGCGCTTCTATACCCATTGTTCCAGGCACTACAGTTGCTGGATCGATATATGTATCTGCGGTGTCTACCCGCCGGCCTGATGCATCCTCCCCTCACTCAACTGAAACTTAGGCATCTTCATTCGAATTGTGGTTGGTCCGTGCTTTCAGTGCTCCCAACGCTGCCGGCCTTTTCCTGTGACTTCTCACAACAATGAACACCGTTGAAAACGAAAACTTTGCTTTTTGGCCACACACTTCTACCACTTCTCTATGTGAAGGGTAGCCTCTTCACTGTCCGCTGACACCATCCAACACCACCAGCATCCTTCAGGGAAATATAACTTGACTAAGGAAATAAAAATCGAGTGTTTGGCTATATTTCCTCTCGATTCGAATGTTGCCTTTACACCCACTGACTCCACTGGGAACACCACTGTTGCCTTTGAGATAGCTCATGAAGTAAGAGCTGGGTTATGTCATAGCGTCCAGTTTGTTGCTGTCAACATCCTCGATGCCCCAAAAACCCATCAAGATGTCGCTACAGTTTTTGACAAGTTGTACGATCCCTCTTTGATCATAGTGATGACAACGTGGCGACAACGTGGATCTCTTCCTGTGTCAAGTGTGATATTTGGTAGAAGCGGCCACTTACCAGAAACCCCCTAATCTCTAAGTCATAGTGGCACCTACTTACTATGGCTCCTAGTCTGTTGAACTACCAATTGATGACTTGTCTGGCAAGACGGGTTTTGTTCAGCTCATCCTGATTAAGATGGAAGATGGTTCCTCATTCTTCCATGTGGGAGCTTCAGGCACAGGACCTCTCATGCCGTATATGAGGACGCAGTGGCTTCCGACTTCCACTTCGAAACTTTCGACTACCGCAGTGAAGACTAGTCTTATCGGCTCGCTATTAAGAGTGACTGGTTGGAAAGAAACAGGATTTCAATGACTCACGGGAAGTGGACTTTTCTGATCAAGAGAGTTTACTGCATTTTAGTAATTGTCTGCGACCTACCGCTCGAGATCACTTTCAAGACCAAGCCTCAAGGTAGGAAGTCAGAGCTCGAATTGTTCTTTGGCCAGGTCTCTTGTTGTATTCAGATTTACAGTTTGATAGGTACATACGACCATAGGAAGTGGAAAACAGGGCTTCCCGTCCGCTCAGCCGTACTTAAACCACTTGCCGGCTGGCTAGTAGTTGGGTGGGTGACCACCAGCGAATCCCAGCTGTTGTATGTTTTTGTCCCTTGCTCTGGGAGCAACACCCAGCTTTTTTGTGGATCAATTTTGGCAGACCTCAAGTAGAGGGTTATCATATATTATAAGCACATACGACCATAGGAAGTGCAAAACAGGGCTTCCCGTCCGCTCAGCCGTACTTAACTCACTTGCCGGCTGGCTAGTAGTTGGGTGGGTGACCACCAGCGAATCCCAGCTGTTGTATGTTGTTTTTTTCTTTTTTTTTTTTCTCCCTTCGTCTTTCGCTGTCGCTGCTCTCTACGTTCATTCCGGGTGTTTTTAAACCCTTCACCTGAACATGCTAGTTTTCCACCACTCCCCATCTCTTTGTGAAGTGCCTGAGCCCGAAAGGCGCTGGCTCATTGGCCCAGCCCTCTGGGATTCCAATGCATGCTGGTCGGCTCTTCTGGCTCATACCCTGCCCTATTGTCGCACCCGTGTGCCAAGCCTTGCAACATTCGAATGGACTCGCTGAGAGACATGCTGGTCTGGTGTGGGCTACATTTGCCAGGGGTGCCGTGACTATCTGTCCTTGTGGGCCCCTGCGCCGCATCAGGCTGTAACCTATCGCGTGTGCGGCTGAGTATTTTACGAGCCTGGGGTCAGAGGCCCAAGGGGTTACTGGGCAGGGAAAAATGGCCATAGGACCCTAAAAATTACCGATGAGTTGGATATGATAATGGGGCTGCAACTTGCGATGTTCTCCTGTTCAAGACCCTATCTCCTGTTTTCCAATCTCGTCAGGGCTCAACCACCATCCCTCAAGTCTATTTGATCATTTCATTTTCAGGCCTGCAACTTAGAACATGCACCATTCCAATGAAAATGAGCATGGCACAGATCTCGCACTAGATGGATCAACATCCGGGTTAGCGGACATGGAGAGTGTTACCACTTGCGCCGGGAGACACACAAATATGAACAACCACGATACAAGGCGTCACGAGCTTGACGATATATATCGCAATATCTTGCAATCGGATTTCCGGCAAATTTTGCAAGAACCTCGTCCCAGGCTGGAACCTCCCCTGAAATCAGGGCCATCTCAGGATGGCCAGGCCGAAGAGAGGATATGCTCGTCTCGCATCAATGCTGGGGGGATGGAATTCTCGTTTGCAGCCAGATTAGGAGATAGTGATGCAGGATCATTCCCGGGTATGTCAATACACCAACGGGTGTAATTATTGTTTGCTGAACACCATTATCCAGTCACCCCGAGGAGACAGACGCCGTCCAAGGCATCAACTAAACCCAGCCCGAGTTCCCCTTTTGATTTCTCGGCCATGCAAACAGAAATCTCCGACATGGCCGTAAATTTGAAAGCAGCGAAACATGTCCGTGGTCAAAAAAGTCCTAACAAGAACGAGTCCATCGAGGACGCGGCCCATTTTCTGCAAAAGATGCCCTTTAACGAGTCAAGACTTGCCACAATATTACCCACTGCTGTTCGTGGTAGGATCCTGGAGAGTTCAGAGTTTTGCATCTCGCTCACGAAACAGGGAAGACGATGTAAAAACAAGCACAAAGATCTAAGCAACGAGGCGACAGATATTCTTAAAGGCCTTTCTAGTCTCAATGTCCAAAGCGATTGGAAGGATATTTATCCCAAGCTTGAGAGCATTGTCAAAATGTTGATGTGTTCGCAAACGCATGCAAAGACAGGAGTGAAGGAGCTGCTAGCACTAGATGGCCAAATGACCGAGTTGGAAAGGAAACGAGACAATGGGCTTGGGCCTATTAGGGATTGTCTCTTGGATCTCGTGGAACCCTGGTTCGAAAAGATTTGCAAGAACAGCGATACCGAGATCAACAAGCTGCGGGAAGACCAGGATCAACGGGCGAAAGCTGAGGCCGAAGTCTTGAGCCAAGAAACACCTTCAAAGGCCATGGGCAAGAGCACTCTTGGTCTGCAGTATAATCTGGGAACCTTTTTACCTTATCAGCCCGAGGCTGTTAGATCACTTTCGATAAAAGAAGCTATCAGACAGGAGCTTGGAGCGCCCCTCTCATGCCGGGACTTGGATTCAAAACATATCTATATCTACTGGTCCACTGGCAACTTTGGTTTGGTTAAAATTGGTGTTAGCGATGATGTTTCCTCCAGATTACAAAAATGGGGGCAACAATGCCAGCATGAGGTCAAGGAGCTTTGGCGTGAAGATATCTTTGTTAAACACGCTTACAGGGTTGAGAAGCTAGTCCAAACAGAGTTGAAAGAAGTTCGATTAAAAGTCAAGTGTAAAGGTTGCGATCGGTCACATAGAGAGTGGTTCAAAACCAGCTCGGAACATGCTGGCAAGGTTATTCGAAAATATTCCAGTTGGGCGGCATCGATGCCGTACCAGTTTGACGAACAAAGCAACAAATGGGGATTAAATAAAAATGTTGGAGACAGTATGCTTGAAGACCTCTGCGAGCCAATACCGTTCCCGGAATTAAAAGTTAAATCTCCAAGGAGGACTCGACGGAGTATTGCTAAAAGTGGCAAGTCTGCACTCTAAATACATGCTTTGAAAACCTTGAGAAAGGATTTTTGCCTCCATATTTTATATAAGAGTTGGTTGTGTATATACTATCGGGTGCAATGCTCTATGAAGGTTACAGATCTATGAAATGTTAATGACTCTCACGATCTTCATCCATTAAACAATGATACCTGATCTTCTAGGCCTTGGATAAGCTAGCATATATTGCAACGGGCTGGCGTGTGCAATGATATTGCTTAGCTTCTGGAACCTGCCTATTTTCTACTATTTTCACTATCAAAGTCACACTTTTCTTGTTCACAAAAGTGGTTCTGGAGTTTATCTATTTCCTATCTTCTCGCTGCCAGGGTAATGCTTGCTCACAGGAGGATAGGATAACATTGGTTTGTTTTGTCTGTTTATGCTCAAATTAACAAAAGCAACCTGGATTTTCTTTCGACCCCTTTAAAAGGTGTGTGATACATGATACTCTTGATTCAGGCACTTTAGAAAAGCATAGAGTACCTATGCGTGGGGATGCCAGTCATCCATATAAAGTCGACATTGCTCTTCCTCTATTGATAGTCACCCATACTATAAACCCTTTTCAGGTTGTCAAGAATCTGTCTGACTTTCAATGGAGTAGCCCAGTAAAAGTTGTCCCAATAGTCCAAAAAATGACTTTTCATGCAGTTACAATCCCATGCACAGATGTGACCGGATCTCTGGTTCTTTGGCGCAAAGATCGCTTCCTTATAGGTTATGAGATTGGAAACAGGTATGCTTTCATCATCATTGCTATCTGTTCTCAATTCAATCTGGTTGTTATACCAGGATATCCCTATATAACAGCAGATGATGCCAGCAGCGGGAATTATTGGATTATGCGCAACTGCTTCACACAGCTAATGTATAATCCAGGAGGGCAGATAATAGCCTAATAAAAAATAAGTGGCATATGACATAGCTACTGTAGTACCAATGAGCTATCTTGATAGTATCTTGCGGAGCATCCAGTTTGAGCCTGCGTACATAGATCCAAGTGGCCTGCACTGTTCAGGTGAAGCTGAGAGGACTTCGAGGTATTTCCCTGAAGATGGCCCAAACATCATTGTATAGTTAGCTCAAGATCCCCCCACAGATCCATCTGAATACAATCATTATCCATCAATGAAGATAGCATATGACAGAGACAAAGGCACATGAGTATATATATATGCCTGTTTCTTATTGACCCGCCGGTTTGTCACAAAGTATGAGACCCGACGATATTGATTGGCTTAGACGCCATCCTGACGTTGTCGGATAAGATCTGGTTGGCTTGTTGGGATAAGAGCAAGGTTGCTGTGGCTTTTCACTTTGCTTGTTGATTAGGATAACTAACTCTCACGACCCTCCTTTGAAATTACGGAAATGTTAACTAAACCCCGTCGGCCCTACAGGACCTGTCCTAAGGCCTAATCAATCCTTAACCAATCCCTCCATCCCTTTAATCAGGCCTGAGCATATTTATCAGCACCATCATCCATATGCAAATTACTATGACCTAGGAGCTGAGTGCTTGGGCTTTAACTCCTGTAAAAGATAAAGCGCATTATTCAATAATTTCAATTGGATTTGGCATATCAGCATTTTCCCCTGGGGACATGCGGCATTCGGACAATTGGGCGGAGGCTGAACCGAGGGCAGCAGATTGGAATGCTATGGTACGATGTTAGCTTAACCCATCCTAATCCGAGATACCATGCATGTGTGTGCAGCTTCCCCGGGGCGCCACATATCCAAGGCCTTGGATGCTTCACCAACCATAACCGTTTGCTTCATCGTTTGACCTAGAGCCCGCATTGTCCTCGTCATCTTCCATAGTGGCCTGCGGCTCGTTTTCACTGAAAATTCTCCTGATTGAATCTTCCAGCAGCGAGCCTATCAGAGCCTTATTCTCACGGTCGTCCTTTTTCATCTTTTCAATGAGATATGCCTCCTTCCTATCAAGCTCTTCTCGTTTCTGATGGATGATGTCGAGCTCTTGGCAGACGGTATCTTCAAGGGCATTCTTGTTCATTTCCATGGCTTTGATCTTGCTATCGATCTCATTATGGAGTTCATCCAGCTTTAGGCTGCGGACGGAGTCCTGTAGGGTTTCGGTGTAGTTCACGGCAGTCTCAACCAGTTGGCTAATTCCTCGCGCCGTCGTTGGAAGCCGATGGACAGCTGTGTGCCGGATTCGATGCGCTGAGCTGAGGATATCGCGCAAAGGGGGGCCGGTGATTTGAAGAGCGCTGGGCGAAAGATTGTTCGAGTGCGAATGCAAGATACTCGTCCACTTCGTGAGCTCAACGGCCTCTGCGCAATCCCACCCCTTGCTGTCGAGCACAGACGGGATCCATCTTTTGGCAAACTCAAAGCAGCAATCTTCGAGAGTGCTCTGGACGATAGTGAGAATGTTGTGTTGGGCTTTGTACGGAAAATACGACGGGTAGAGGGACGGGGGATAATCTTCTTCAGCCGCCGGTTTCAATTCTTCGAAGGCAGGCAATGGCTTAACGGCAGGCGGAATCAATTCCCTGTCCTCGATATCACCAGCATTATCCTGTTTGTCCGCAGGCCCGCCCATAGACATGATTTCGTCGAGAGCCTCTGCCACCGACTGTGCCGCACACTTTTCTGTCACCGTACGCTGCGCATCGCGGTCTGGGAAGGAATGAAAAAGCTCTGGAAATTCCACCTTGGCCTTCAGGTCCGACTGAAAGACCCCGTTTTCGAGCAAGAGACGTAAAATCTCAACGACTTTTGCAATCCCGAAGTCTTTAACAAGGGGAATGGTGGCTTGCCGCTTCTCCACGATCTCTCGGACCTTCCTGGCTTTACGAACTTGAGCATTCTGTCCCGAAAATATGGCTCTGCAGGCTAGGTAGACGCGCCTTCGATCGGTGGTAGAATATGCCATGTTGGACACGCTGATTCCTTAGACCCAGATGGTATACATACGACCAAGGGGGGTATGAATAAAACCCTCTTTGAATTGCGGGGGAAGGGCCGTCTGGCTGAGGAAGAAAAAAAAAAAAATCCATACTCGCTAAGCAATCAGTAGCACCTTTTATATGCAGAGGGCGGCGCTACACGCATGTCCTCCATAGTTGGGTCTGGGGTAGTCTGCACTCCGGTATGGGGTTCGATATCTGATTTCTATCTGGCCCGCCCGTTTTCCCAGACCATTCCGTGGCGCCAATGGAAACATGACATCTCAGCTCACGATCCTGCGGCTGCGGGCCGGACGGGCTTTGGCTATGATAACACAAGGCGCCTCAAAAGTCAGTAAGCGCCGAGGGTGGAGACGCCGAGAGGAAGGCGTCAGCGGAAGGGCTACAGAAATATTGTTAGCGAGAACTATTTCTCCAAGTCAAGCAGAGACATGCCGACAGTCTTGCCTGCGTTATCGAAGGTCCTTCGGGTGGTAGTAATAGTAGATCTTTCGTTATCCTTTTTGCTATCTCATCTTCGGATCACCGCAGATCCGGAATGTATGTATGGATGGGGGAGCATTCACTATGCTAGTTCAACCGTTGCAGCTTGAACAATGCCCATTGCCGCGTCAGGCCAAGTACAGTTGTCATATTGTTACTGGTAGACAGGCCGTACATAATTCCCAAAGTCACTCGTACCGTGACTACTGGTGCTGTACTGGTTTGGAACTTTGGGAAAGCTATTTATTTGATTGACGGAGTACAAGGTTCTTTGCTTGACATTTTCCGCCACACAGCTGGAAAAGACATCTGGAACTTACTCCCCCAGCGGCCTGGATACTGCGTGAATCGAATTTTCAAAACGTCAGGCAGCTGATCAGCATCTCATGGAACCCGAAGACTTATTTGAATCTTGTCATGGGGGGCCGGGCGCTAAAGCACCCAGAGTGCGTCGAGCGCAACCATGTTTGGCTCTTTTCTATGACGTGTCTTCCATGGGCGCCTAGATAACTTCTCTTGATGATGCATGACAGACGTATTATACACCTCCCGTCCACCTCATACACATCCTCCCTATTACCCTCTAATGACCAATGATCCAGCATTTATTTTGTTTTATTTTATTTTTGGCGCCAGGGGGCAACCGTATTCTAAATAAACTGTCAGGCGATGGCCTCAGGTAATGCTTGATTTGTTGCTGCGACTGCGTCATGAGAAGTGTACTCCGTAGGGTGATCTGTGTAAACGCTGGGCGCCAGTAGACATAACATGCCTATCTATCGATCAAATCTAGGGCTCATTTCGTCGTACGTCGCGTTGTCTTTTGCTGGGCCTAGAAGCGTATGAAAAGAGCCAAAACAACGCAGTATAGATGACTACGTGTGTGAGAGAGAGAGAGAGAAGGGGGGAGAAATAAGGGACGTTGGTAGGAGGCAGAAACGATATTTCATTTTATGTAGCTGGCATACATACTTGGACTATTAGATTTATATAGTTCTGACACTTCGAAATTCCCCCACACTTTTGAAATCAAAATAGCAAGGCAAATTTAGAAACAGGAATTAAAAAAAGAAAAAGAAAAAAAGAAAAAAAAAGCCAATTCAGGTTTGCCAAAAAGGGACAATTTAAATCCCACCAATAATGCCATACACCTGATAATGCAAGGGTATATACTCCGTATTATATATTCATTTTGGCCACTCATGAACCCCAAGTAAATCATATAAGAAAACCATAATAACGCCGAGGAACTTTTTCTTTTCACGCCCATTTTCCCAACAAAGCCATCAACGCCGCACCTAGACACAACAGTCCGAAGGCGGCGAGGACAGTGCGGATCGGCGCTCGCCGCATCGAAGTGCTGAACATGAATTCATGCGCCATTAATTCCACCAGCGAGGTGTAAACCAGGATACCCGCAGAGATGGAATCGAAAACGCCGTTGACGATCAATGTGGTACGGCCTTCCGGTGGGTAGCTGTTGCGCACGCCTAGTCCGATGGCGATAGCGATTGGAGTAGACAGGCCAAATGCGAGCGCGAGAAGATATGGAGTGAATCGTTTCGAGTGGGGCCATGGAATGGTTGCGAGCCTGGACCCAAGACCGAGGCCTTCGAAAGTTTGGTGGAAGAGGAGGACCACGTAGAGAGTTTTGAATTCTTCACCGGCGACGGCGAGAGTGAGGCCGATGAAAATGGAGTGGAAGATGATGCCGAACTCGAGGATGAAGACTGATGTGAGTTGAGCACTGTAGTCCTCGAATAGAGCCGTGTGGGCGCCATCGAAGGGGTCGGAGCCAGCGTCGGAGGGGTGGTCGTTCGAGTGATCTAGGTGATCTGGTCCTGGGCGGTGAGCCCTGGGGTTCTTTTCGGCCCGGGAAACTACGCCAGCCTCGGTCTGACGACCTCCTGGAGACTCGTCATGATGGCCATGGCCGAAATGTGCGTACCGGATGACCATGAGCTCGAGGAAGAACAGGAGTATGACGGTTATCAACATGATCCCTTCAACCCACGGATATTCCGTGATCGGGCCGGTAAGACATGGGTTGCTAAGGGCCTCATGGGCAGGAGCCAGTAAGTGAATAAACGATGTGGCCACGATGACACCAGAACCAAAGAACTTTGCGATAAAGAACACCCAGGACGGCACACGAGGTTTTCTGCTGTTGTGACGCGAGTGTGGATCCTGTCGAACAAGGACGGGGAGGAGAGCCCCTAATAGGGAGCCCGCCAAGATCACAAATACAGCAGAGACGCGCAGGCCCAGATGGCCATCGAATTCATTGCCAGTATCGCAGGCAGGAGCTGGTTCACTGGGTTGTTCCTGGCGGCTGGCGAGTGTCAAGAGTGAATCCATGGTCTTGGAGCGACTCTCAAGAAACGTTCAGAGAGCTAGAAAGGATTGATTTATTCTGTATTGAGGGGGGTGAACCGCCAGTGTCCAAAAAGAAGTAGCGCAGGAATTATCAAATTGAAAAGGAGGTGGTGCGTGACAAGGGGCAGGTATATATCTGCACGATGGAAAAGCAAATATGAGGGGGACCAAGGGATGGCGACTCCGCCAACTTTTTTCGTGCAAAAAAGAAAAAAAAAAAAGGGAAAAAGAAAAAGGCTAATATCACAAGAAGTGACCACTTGTGGGGTTTCCGCCGCTTGTCTATAACTACTTTCGGACGGGAAAAAATGGAGCTTTGACGTTAAAAGTGGAGGGATAGCAGGGAATATGATTCCTTCACAATGGTGAGAATTATCCGAGCGATGAACTTGAGACAACTGCAGGACCAATCGAGCTCCTCAACAGCAGCTTCCCCGCAACAACTTTGACAGCTGACAGGATCCCACTAGTGACGATAAGCTCTATCGCGTGTCGCTTGGGTGAGCTTGAGGGGGGAGGAAAAACGTGGGAAAAGGGTGGGTGTGTGCTGGCGCAATGAGGATAGCGCAGCGGCCGCCCAATCGTCTCGTGGACCCGAAAATTGCCAGCAACAAGGGTGTGCTGAAGTCTCCGGGATGGCGTCCTCGTATATCCCTCGTGGGCGCGGTATTTTCTTTTTACACCACCACGCCACTGCGGCCAATAGTCGTCAGAGGGGAACAGAGGGAACGAGCAGGGTCTCGAGCCTAACGGGAGACGATGCGCAGGGCGGTTTCCAAAATCGATAATAGGGGGGTCGCGGAGCTTTGCAGGGAGATGCCAGGCAAAAGGCGGGCGGTGGGCTTAAGTACTGTCGAGATTTCTGAGCGGGAGAAGGGTTTTTCGGGGCGTGTGGGGGAACCGCAGACAGCGGCAGAGGGAGGACCTTGGTAGCGGGCCTGCGATGTCGTAGACGACAAGAGAGCGTTTTTGGGCGAACTCAAAAAAAAAACAGTTGAAAGATGAGGTGAGGACCTTGGGAGTGACCATTTTCTCGGCTGCTGATTGGCCAGGAGGTGTTGAAAAAAATCTCCAGCTTCCGCCAACCAGAGCGCGTAGAATAAAAAATCGCGGGGGACCTTGGGGGAAAATTGCTAAGGAACGAGGGGCACTTCTTCTCTGATTGGCCTGCTTGCCCGTCTTCATTCTCTGCATCCCGCTTTCTGGCAGGCAAGCGCGGCCGACGGGTATTTTTTTTTTTTTTGGTTCTGTCTCGCGATGGACCGTGGTTGGCCAGTTCAAGTGGTGAGACGTTGTTCGTTGTCGCGCTGGAGGGACCGGCGACTAGGAGGACGAGGAGGAGGAGGAGGCAGGAGAAATCAAGGGTTGCTTGTGAAGACCACTGGGATGAAGAGAATATAAAAAGGCGTACTTTGAACATCAGAAAAAGCATCACAGTCCCAGCATGGAGCCAACCTCTCCCAGGTCGAACGGCTTCCCGGATGAACCCTTTTCGCCCTTTTCCTCGCTATCATCCCCGCCGGCTTCTTCGTTCTCCGCTGACGAACTGGAATGATCATCTTCCGTTGCGAAGCTCACCTGTAAGGGCCCGGCCGTGAAGAGGTAGAACATGAACATCCCCAGTCCCAAGGCCACGGTCGCTGCAGACGTCAAGGCTTCGCGTTTATAGCCATCAGCGAGTGCCAGTACTTCCTCCGACTCGAGTGATCTATCCTGGCCCATCTGCTTCAGTCGCCTGCTGAGACGGATGTCTTTTACCACCGGAATCGAGTCTGCGATCCCCTCGAATATGCGCAGCCCAATACCTCCTAGGCTGATTCTCTCGGGGATCTGCCACGGTAGCCGTGAGCCAGTTCCGGCTTGAATACCAGAGAGCACTGCAGCCGCGTCTACCGAGCCTCCAAAGCATCTGGCACCGAGTTTCTTCACATATGCGCCCAGGCGCGGTGCCTGCGCCTGGATGTCGTCTTTCAGCCAGGGAAACGGTAACTCTGGAACCATAGCCAGCGACAGATATCCCAAGGCCAGGCAATCCAAGCTCGATGGTATATTGTCAGAAAGGAGATACCCTTTCTTTTCTAACATCTCCTGTAGCGGTTCCACAAACGATGCCGTCAGGCCTTCCAGCCGGATCCGGGACTTCTGTGATGGCTTGCCCAGGAGGCCGCTTACGGTTTGACGCGGCCTCGTTGCCAGGCTCCTTGGTATCTGACCAGCGGCCACCGAGTTGATATCTCTTCCTTGCTGCCGTTCCTCTTCAACAGCATCCAAATCCAACGAAGATAGCCCCAGGTGCTCCGTCCTCGCTTTAGCCTGCGATCTCACTTGGGGAGGGATAATCCATTGATTGGGCCACTGGAGAAGAGTCCCGTACGCAGGAGATGTAACAGAAGTGTAGTTGTCGCTCGACACGTAGAGAGAGAGATCGATAAGCGACTGGCCATGAAGTTCGAGGAAAGATGAAAACCTGCAAGGCGATTTCCGTATCAGCATATGCACAATCCACCAGTAGTGATGTGAATGGCTGGGGTGAATGTGATATTGGGAGGCAAAAGCATACGCAACACAATCCGCCTGCTCGCCAGGTCCCATCCACCGATCCAGGTCCCATTCTCCATCGGAATATTGCTTCAAAAATGCCACGATATTTCGAAACCCGCTAATCCACCTTGAGCCCGTCCATACCGCAGGGAGTTCATCTGCATTGAAGTCAGCATGGCCATTCCTGTCTCTGCAAGCTGATATAAGATCGTGACGACAATCGGCACATACTTGTAGGCACTATCTTCGGATCACTGTCTGGAACCAGCACCCATTCTGGTGAGCCATTTGTAGGCAGCGCGAGAGCAAAATAAGCGATGGTGGCAAGGCACTGGGCGTCAATTGAAGGCAATCCGAAAGCCGGACCCCAAGTATGGAGCTCCAACACCATCTTGTTGCTTTCCAGCTAGGTTTGTTCTTTGGATCAGGACGTGAAAACACAATCAAGCGGCAGACGCAAAGGGAATAACCTCAGTATAACCACAGTAGCACAGACAGACACATATGAAATGATTTGCGGGGCCTCAAAAGACCAATCTATCAAGAGATGTAGCTTCTTCTTCGCGCTGCGAAATTCTTTGGTTGTTCAATGGATCAAGCCTTGTGTCACGTGAGGCACTAGGGAACAGCAACATCCAATCTGGCGATGAGAAGAGCATTCCGTTGATGCCCATCCATAGGTTCTGGGACACCACATTGAGAAAAATATGAAAAGATGTGGAATAAAAATTAGTCTAAGAATCTTACGAAAAAAAAGGTATAAGATGATTATGGTCCAATTTAGGGGAACTCGCAACGTTGGTGTTGTTAGCACCACACTTCAACTAGCTAACCTACGGGACTGTTGTCTGGTATGAGCTTATCTCAAGAAATATCGACTCAATCGATCGCAGATGATACCATTCGGTATCCCGGCTAAAGACCACGCCAGATCCCGATCGATCCCTTTTTCTCAGTAAAATCGGGCTAGCTAGATCAGTTTACTTCCGCCCTTAGGCCCATCGACTGCCAAGCAATTTTCATCCTGAAATTCTCCCAAGGCAAAGCCGGTAAGCAAAATTCATTAATCGACTCCAGAGAATACCGTGGTCTCCCCCCTCAGTGAAGCCTGCAGGATATTATGCCCGAATCAATTTGCGCTCGGCCGAAATGTTCAACCGAGCAATCCCCCGAAAGGGCCGTAAATTTTCTGCAACTCTCGGGCGGAACATCCCCGAACAGAGACAAGGGAGGACATACAAATTAAATATCTTCACGTATCGCCCGGGGAGGGATCACCTTCCCCATGAGCTTTGTAGCTCCCCTGAAAACAGCTTGCACACGGAGCACAAGCGGATAGCCTTCGGGGGGGGAGAGGGGATGCTGGCGGGAAACATTTCTCCTTTATGAATGGACGGAGTCAAGGGGAAGAGATCGGCAACCGCAGATCATATGCAATGGACAGTTTACCGCCCAGGGGCATGGATCAATTACCGCTCATGCATTGGAAAATACTGCACGGAGTACGGAGTACTCCGTATTAGAATAGAAAATCTATGGTTATGATGATAGGTGGTTCTCCCTCTATTGATTGCTTCATACTGCGTTAAACCATATGCATATATGGGCCTATTACATTAACATTATATGACCTCTATCCCCTCATCTCTTGAACAGGGAAAAAAAAATGAGAAATAACAAATAACAGCAGCAGCATTGAGACAAAGGGAAAAAAAAAAAAAAAAAGGTAAACATGAAAAGAGGTAACAAGGTAACTGCAATCAAAACTGAAGAATTTTGAAAAAGCAGACAGCAGAAATTCCAGGCCCTTATATTCACTCAACATTACGAATTCATGGGAAAAATGTGAAAAGGCAAATGATACCAATTAAGACACGAGCAAGAAGGCACCGAAACCGGGAAAAAAAGAGAAAAAAAAAATAAAAAGTTGAGCGAAGATCGAAGAAGGAAGGTGTCCCATGTATCATGCATTAAAAACATCGGTATATAATTCTCCTCCAAGGGTAGATCTGGAATTCTTTTTGCGGAAGCAGCCAAATGCAAGAAAAGTCGACAACAACAAGCTCACAAATCAAGCGAGGAACGGAGCGCGGAGTAGTTGCATGAAGCGCGAAGAGGTCAATGCGGGAAAAAGAGGGATTCAGCGGCGAGATTCCCCCCCAGGTCCATGTGACCCACTGCGTTCATCTACTATGGTCTGGGCCTGCGCTTGGGGGGATGGGCTCTTGGATGCACGCACAGCCGGAAAGACGCAGGCGAGCGCAGTTGAACTGCTGGCCGCGCTCGGGAGAGTGGGGTAGAGGTGGGCGGGTTTTCTCTGGCGCTGGGATCGAAAAGCTGGAGCACGATGCATGGCGGCCGGCCAAGGCTAGGTGCGGGACAAGGATTTAGCGGAAGCAGGGTCGCGGAAGTGGCGTCGCGTAGTGAGCAAGGGCAGTGCAAGGCGGATCACCCGATTTAGAATCATCAGACGCCGGCTTTTGCGCCTGCGTGTTCTCTTGTCTTTTCTTTCTTTTTTTCCCCCCTCCTGTGTAGCATGGATGGGGATGATGATGATGACGGGGGCTGCCGTGTGTGAACATAGAACCAACTGCATAACCGCCCGAAGTCGCCTGGAGCCAGGGTGTTACATGCAACGAAAACCGCATCCCGGGAGAAACTTTTCTTTTTGACAGGGAGCTGGGAGCTGTTCGTCCAACGGACCCGAGAGCTCCATGGCTTTTTGCTTTGCAGTAGCAAATCCAGAAGTGTGAAAACATCGGACTAGTGCAGGTCAAGGCCGAGATGCACCCGCAGGGATTAATTGCTGATCATATGATTCCATGTGGTACCTGACGGTGGTTTGCCCCGCCGCCAATGGACATATCACCCCTTCGAGGTGGATAATACAAGATAAGCGATAATGCCCATCGACAGGGTGTTGAACGCGGAACGAGAATTTTCTTTTTTTTCTTTTTGTTTAAATTATTTTTTTCTTTCCCCCTTTCTCCCTCCCGGTTTTCCTCGCCGCTCTCTGTACGCCATGTCCGTGCTGACGTGATATCCTCAAACGAGGTCGTGTGATGTATCGGTACGTTGCCGAAATAGCTCCTCCGCACTGCTCTCCTGCACGAGGTGAAGAGGAGGCGGTTTGTAAGGGGAAAGAAGATGAAATTTTGCTTGCACATGTGTGTGTAACCGAACTTTTGGTGCTGCAGATTTTGATTCCGCCCGAAAGATCTCAAAGGTGGGGGAGAAAAACAAAAAAAAGCGCAAAGATCAAGATAATAAACAGGGTATCAAAGAAGACAACGGGGGGTCTTTTTCAGAACCATGCGAGGCAGCCAGCTGCCGTTTTTGATTGACATAAGACGAATAATGCGAGAAAGAAGTGCTGCTTGTCGTAAACCGAGAAATAATTGGGCGAAATGGGACGTCAAAACATCGTCTGTCCGCATGCTTTTATTTCGGGATTGGAGGAAGAGGGCCCTTCGGTGGTGGGCCGGGGCAAGGAGGGTATTGGGACGATGCGTAGGAAGGCATTGTTGTGAAGGCTGGTGGTCGTGGACGACTGCTAGAGAAGCTCGATCGTGCCGTAGCAGTGATCTGTCGTGGGAACAAATAGTAAATAAGGGTTGGTTATAGTTACGTGGGCGTGAAGATATGGCTCTGACGTCCGGCTCGGATTGCCAAGGGGAAGCGTGAATAACAGTATCAAGGAGAACTAACAGAAAGCTTTTTGCTTGAGGAAGGGTGAGAGAAAGAAAAGCCGAAGGGCGAGGAAGCTGGCGAGATATATAAGATTTATAAATTACGGCTCCACCGCTATGACTGCCTGGGTATGCATGTAGGCATCATCAGTAGGGCTCATAATAAGCACAATAATAATGCGGAACGAAAAAGGTTAAAAAAAAAAATAAAATAAAATAAAAAATTTAAAAATTTTAAAAAAAAAAAAAAAAAAAGAAAAAGAATAATACATAACAACTTGTTTCACAGCCTTTTTTGCTTCCTGGTTCGTCATCCACTTTCTAATTGCTCTCCTTGCACGGTGGGAGGGGGGAAGGGATCCGATTCCCAAAGAAGCCCACTTAGTCTGGCGCCCGTGCAAGCCATCCCAGGGCTTAAAGCCCGAATTCTGGGAAAGGCGACGCCGCCGGATTAGCGGCATGGCATGAATTCACTCTTCTTTCTTTTCGCGCTCGCCGTCGTGTCCCCCTCTCCGCAGCAGCAAGCAGGTAACAGTAACAGCAGCAATAATAGGCTTAATCGTCGATTTCGTCACATGGGCCCCACACCCCTGGTCTTGAGGTCTTTTGCTCAGGCCGTCTCTGCGCTGACGCCGAAGTTGTTTCTGGCTGATCCTCCTCGTGCCCTCTTCTTGCTACGTTATTTATTCCCTTGTCTCGTATTTGCGTCCTAGACACAGACGTCTCTTGTGCGATGTTCACACCGGCTTTTCCCCCCCTCTTCATTGTGCCCCCCCTTCTTCTCTCTCTCTCCTTGTCCCCGCTCTAATCCATGGCAACGTCTGTCGAGGTAGCTATATCGAAACCAACGTGAACTCATCTCTTTCTTGTTTTGCCTGTGTAACAGCAATCCCCCTCCTCAAGCCTTAGAACCTGCACAGAGCTAGATGTGGCAAGGATTCGATCCACGGGCTTTCTTCCGGGACGGCCCTGCCCGGTCGTCCATGTTCACTCCTCCGTTTTCGTATCAAGTTATAAAAAAAAAAAAAAAAGGAGAGTTTGAGATATACATCGGCTGCAGCCTTCTCTCCCCCGTACACTCCCGGAAATTCGCGCTGGTCTACTCCGGATAGAAGTTGCAGAATATACTCTCCTTTAACCAGTCCGTGCAGCAGACAGATTTTTCGCCTTCGAGCAGCCTGCGATGACCTTCTCCTACTCGGTATCAAACTCAAAACCACCGAGTTTGGTTGGCGCAAGACAATATCGATGAATCATCTTCTCCATCTTGTCCACTAGGCATCTTAAGGGATCACGAGGCTGATCCTCGTTGGCTGACCCCTGTCTCACTAAACTAGTCTGATGCAGGGGTTAGACTTTTGGGAAACAAACGTGGTGGATGTGATGCAAAATTGGTCTGTCGTTCTTTCAGCAGACAGATCAAAAATAAAAATAAAAAGAATAAAAAAGAAAAAAAGAAAAAAAAAAATTTCTAACCCTTTCCGCGCCGTCAACTCGACATTGATGTTCGCGATCATCACTGCAGGCTACAGATTTTGCAGACAGACGACAAAGGGATGGCCCAAAAGGCCCTTCCTTAGGGCTTTTCATCTCTCCCACGCTCTTGTGAGCGGAGGCGTCGGTAGCCTCTTTTCACATTGGGACTCCATTTTGTTCCAGAAAAAAAAAAAAAAAAAAAAAAGAGGCCATTCATTTTGCATTGAGGACTCATTAGCAAAGATCTGGTTGGCTGAGATTATGGGGATTTCCATTTTGACCCGCTGGTCAAGAAGCATTCTGGCGAATGACGGTAGGATTATGCATAATCTTAAAAAAAAAATTAGGACGCGGCCGTTAAAAGGTCCCCGCTGCCCCTGGCCTTTTCGCATAGGGGTGGCGCAGGCTGGGACCAACTTTTGTGGGTTGACTGAGTTATGGAGTCTGTCTTTGATGCTTTTTTCCTTTTTTTTTTTTTCCTTTTTTTGCTCCCTACCCCTAGAGTTTTCTGCTTGTTGTCTTTTCTGATGGCTGTCGGACAGCGGCAACTTTCTGTCTGTGATCGTCTGTCACAGTGGGCGCGACGCAAAAGAAATCCTCAATCGACCAGTGACCATCCGCGGAGTCCCTGTCAGTGATGTAATGTGCAAGTGAGCCGCATTAACCTAACTCTTCAAGGAACCCATTACTCCGTATGCTCTCTCTTGTGTGCCTTCGGCATAATTCACCAGTCCACCATGGCTAAATCTATGGAGGACATGCACTCCGCCTTTTCATTATATCCCTGTTTGGTAGCATGTTTGCTGGGCAGATCCCCTGCCCATACATCCCCCTGCCGGACCTATCCATCTCGACTCACTCTGAAATCCAACATCGAACCAAAGATAAATGAAGCCTTTGGCGCTTCAATTAAAAAAAAAAAAAAAAAAAAAAAATTCAATAATGCTGGGATCCCACACCACCGGCTGTGCCAGGAGGGAAATGAGGTCATGATCGCCTCTCTCCTGTGACTCAAGCTCGCACCGGCGTGTGGTTGCAAAACTCGCCCGTTTGACCGAGAGCCGTTTCAGGTTCCACGACGCCCAGAGTCAGGAAGACGAGCTTATTTGCTGGGAGGTGTTGGACATCGTAACGACGCTGTGTTACTACCCTTATCGGACCACATTACTTCTGATGCCCTCATTGCCTCGAGATTCCTTTTCCTTTTTTTTTTTTTTTGCCTCCCTCTTGGCTCAACTTTCATACATAGGCCCGTAAAAATCAAAAGGAATGACATTGAATAATACGGAATAGCTAAAACGGATAGTTCCGTACGGCCCATGTGGACTTCTCTCAACCGAGCCGTCCACATGAATGTGATCGCTTGGCTCACAGAAATGCGTGGCCCACATGTTTGTCGCCACGACGGAAATACTCTCATTGTTGTGTTTCTACCAGCTTTCGCGATACCTTTTTCTTTTCTTTTCCTTTTTTTTTTTTTTTTTTTTTTTTTTTTAATTCATACATCACCATGTGGGAAAGCGTTCCTTGGAGTTGACGGAGTCATGTTCTGCAGATCAGAAGCTCTTCCTCTGCAACCCGTACGAAGCTGAATATTGTTACTCCTTTCTGTCCCTTGCAGGCTCGATATGACGCGGATACCCGGGGCCAAGCAGGCAGGCTGTGGCGTCAAGGTCATGCGATGCATGCATAAACCGCTTGTTAACAAATCACCCTTCGTGAATCGGAGGGCGAGTGTGGATCCGTCCTTGAAGAATGTGCTTCGGAGAGGGACCCGCAAAAAACGTGGTGTCTGACCCAAGACTGGACTCCATCGTGAACTTCCTCCTCACTCGGCGCTCGTAAAATGTCGCGGAAGGGGCCGCCTTTTCTGAAAACTGTTGGAGGATAAAAACTTTGACTGTGCTTTTCTTTCCTTCGGGGAGAAACAGGCTCCCTTCCGAGCAAGGATCAACAACCGCGGAGTTTGGATCAGGTATTTTTATGTATTTTTATTTATTTATTCATTTTGGTTCAAACCGTTCAAGTTAAACTACGGAGTACTCCGTGATGTAATATGGTCTGGATAAACGTTTGAGTCCGGGAAGCTCGGAGGAGACGAATTGAGTTTTCACGAGAGGGCCGTCCGCTCCAGTTCAGCCTCGGAGATAAAGTCAATAAAGCAAAGTGTTTCGTTCAAATTCCCTGGTTTTGGACGGAGTACTTCGTAGCAGATACATAATAATCTTAGCGCCGGCAATGGCGGCGTGCATTGCCTCGATTCTTGGTTCAGCCGTGAAAATATTTTTATTTTTATTTTTTATTTGTATTTTTTTTTTTTTTTCTTTTCCCCAGTGCAAAAGAAATTTATGGAGTTTTAGTTCCCGGGTGCGGTCCGCAGAAACTCGCATCCCTCGCCCTATCGTACCGAGGAAAGGTTAAGGTACGAGAGAGGGGATAAAATGTTGCTATTTGTAGGTATAGCCGGGTTGGGATCAGCGCCACGTCCGTGTCCCAAGGATCTTGGTTGAAAATATCACTTGCATTTGAGATCGCAAGGGATGCTCAGGCCTTGTTATCTAGTCCCGACCAGGAAAAGGCTGCCCAGCACCTGATTGGAGGTGAGAATGCTATTTGTCCCTCGGGAGGAGTTGCTCGAGCGAAAGGATGCAGCGCGTGGAGGCTTTTCTCCGGGTAGTTTAATCGAGGAGCAGGGCCTGTCGATCTGAAGGGCGATCCAAGCGGGCCGTCCAGGGCGGCAGGCGTCCAAGCACTTCACTCTCGGGTGAATGTATGGACTCTCGACAGAGGACGGAGTACAGACGGCCCAATTAGGAGAGCCAAAGCAGCAGCTAAAGCCAACTCCCGCGAAAGCCACGCGCAAAAGCTCGAGCGGCTTGACTATTGGTTGCTATGAGCGCCATCCTTTGGAATCTGGGGCTCGGCCACTCGAGACGGATAAAGTGGGAAAACGCGGCTACCGCTGCTTCATCCAAGTCCGAGCGTTGCTTGTTTCTTCGCTTTCCCCTCCCCAAGGAGTAGCTGGACCTGTGCTTCGATGATTGAGTTTTATCCGTTTCGGCTAACAAGCAGGAGCATCGTGCGGAGAAGCCCTCTTTTCACATCACTCATGCGTGCTGGTCATGAGGGGTCGGCCACGGCCAGGCATCTTCTGTCTATGCGCTAAGTGTTCTGGTCGCGACACTATCAGCGGCGTGCATTAGGGAGCGGTCCATGCCGCCAAATCTAAGGGATAATAAGCGACTTGTGCTCTCGGCAGATCCACGGGTCGCCCGAGATCTTGAGGGTGGTGTGATCTCGCAAAGGGGATCACTCTGCACATTACTCCATACCGGGGGTGGTCCGTGAGGACGGGACGATTTTGAAGAAATGGAAGTGCGACACCCCGCTCGTTCGCATAAACAACTTCGGCTACATGGAAATGAACCCATTGGAAGACGTCAGACAGTTACATGCTCTGAAAACTGTTTCTCTACGGAGTACTCTGAACGATGCGGGCTCTGTATCGTATTTTGGCGCCACATTACTAACGCGGTTTGACGATTCCTTGCGAAGATTTATGCGGTCCATTGGGCCCCCGCCATCATGTCTTCTCTTTGTCGGAGATGCTGGAGACGAGGGGTGCAAATGCCGCCGCCCCGTCCCCCAATTCAAGCGAGAAGCGCATGGCATCGTATTGATATATATAGCATGGCAGCCGGGGTCTGTTTTACCATTCCTTGTTGGCCGCCAAACACCATACTCTAACCAGTAATTGGGTTGACATGGATAATTAGCAGATTCACAACCCGAAACATTGGAAACCAAAACAGCTGTTGCACGTGTTGGACACGCTACAAAACAACGTGGAAGCCTCAACGGTGAGTGCGGTGGGATATTAGCCTATCAGCATTGTGACATCCCGAATTCCCTTACGTTAGGAAAAGTACAGCTTCGTGATGCTAGGATCATCACGCTTATCTACTCCCTAGATATGTCACAATCCTTTCCTCTCGTGCTGTTCTCCCTCAGTAGAGGCATGTCTAGCCTGTATCCCTGCCAGCCAACGAGCATGTTTGAGACTGAGGAAAGGCTTGATTATCCATCTTGGCTAAGCTTCACCTTTCCCTGATTTAAAAGATTATAATTCACGTGGAATCTTGAGAAGCAAAAGGCGGTGACTTCGGGATAGAGTTGCCCCAATAAGACGGGGTTGTTACCAATTATGAGCCTCACGAAAGTCTATTGGGATTAAGCGGTGAGATATTGATGCTCAAGGCTGGGAAAGATTGTTAGCGTGATAACCAGGGGCGCCTGTTTACGCTCTGAATCCCTGTTATAACAAAGCTGTTCTCGGCGTGCGGTGACTCGGTAAAATGGAGCGTGGAGACCAGGTTTGCCAGCATGCAGACGACGTCGGGGCGTCATCGGATTATTGCTAAACGTGTCAGGCGATCGTTTCCTGGGATTGCTACTGGACAACCACCGGCCCGGTTGACGTAGAGATGCTCGGTGCGATCAGCGGAAGGGCTGATGATGTTGGAAGTGTGATCGCTCCTTGGCTTTCTGAGCTCATTCCTCCATCATCCCTCATCGTACTCCTGAGGTGCCTGGGTACAAATCCACTCCTCCATCAGAGCTTGATTCGACGACTCGCCACTAGCCGGTGCAGCCTTGGTTCTGTCTCGACGTGAAACGAGAAGGCATAATATCCAGCCCCAAATATCGAAACCTTCGTAGGTCGTGGTCATTGCCAGCTTCTTCTCATCATGCGCAATGGCCTCTGTCAGTGTTTCAGCTCTCGCTCGTTTTGACGGGCGCATGGACGCTCCATCCTCGTCCTCCGCGGCCGCCATAGCCCGGTGTTGCCGCCGGCGACGACGTACAGGCTGTTCGGACCCCACGTCGTCAGGTTGAGCTTCAGGGATATCGTGTAGGTTGACAGGGGAGTCTTCCTCTTCGACTAGTAGAGGGTGCACTGGTTGTTCGCTGTCGTCCGGGATATGAATAGGATCGTCATTGTTTCCCGTTAACTTGTTAGAGTTGCTGCTAATCCTGCCGCCATCCCCAAACGTTTTACGTCGGGTTGTTATTGAGTGACGAGTGCCCGTTTCTCTGAGAAATATCGACACTTGGAAATCATCTGTAAAGTTTGTCAGCACGTGCACATGCGCACATTTAGTGAGGACTCGAAGGCACACCTTCGACCAGGACATCCTTGACCGGTTTGCTTTTCTTCTTTGCTCTGGCTCTTTCGTTTTCTTCGCGGAGTTTGGGGAGCACTAGGGGTCGGATGCTCTTGAACACGCGTGGAAGAACGGGGTCGCGTGGATCCAGCAGCCAGCGAGAATCGGAGGGGTTCTCCAGGTAAATCCGACACTCCAGCACCGAGCACTTGCTGATCCGTAGGTATCGTCGGATGGGCGCCATCTGTGCTGTGTTCTTCACTCCGGCCGACCCAAAGACCGTACGAGTCACCGTTCGTTCGAATGGCTTTGCCAGGACGCCCGCACCAGCCACCATCGGCTGCAAACAGAGCAAACAACAGGCGGCGTCTGCTCCGATGTCATGATACCCGCCTGCGACACCGGATGTGGGGGAGATTCTCCATTGCAATTGTGCCGGCGGGGTTTCAACTCTCTCGACAGAATTCCTGACAGTTTTCTGAAAGAGCGTCCTAGCTTCCTGGACGCGCAGCCTATTCTTCCGGCCTCAGCTCAGCTCTAATTTTTAGTAGTCCAATCGCCATCAGTCGCTCTAGGAGCTCGCCCTAGCTTTAAAGATGGGAACCGATGAGCGGCACCCTCCCCCAGAGGGGATATTCTCGCTGCTTGACACAGATTTATACAAATTAACGATGCAATGTGCCATTCTCAAATACTTTCCTGATTCTGGTATATCATTTTCTCTTCTTTTATGACTTTATCCTATAATTTGCAATTTAGCGAGAACCCACCATGACTCACATGCTTGCCAGAGGTCACCTATGCCTACACGAACCGGACTAAGGACATGAAGTTTACAAGAGAGGCGTTCAGGTGGCTAAAGGCGCAGATAGATAGTGAGTCTTTTGGAGTGCCTGTTCGAATTTGGGGAATGTTCCCAACTGAAGTAGAGAAGCTAATGTAGACTGTCCGTGATAGAACTTTCAAATATCTCGCTGACACCCGAGGAGCTCGAATTTCTCAAGGCAAACTGTGCATACTTCAACCCTGCGTACTTGAGATACCTATCCACCTTTTGCTTCAGGCCATCGGAGCAAGTGCATGTTGACTTCGTGCCTATTGATGACACCGGAGCCGATTCGGACATTGGGGATGTCACAATGTCCGTCAAGGGCCTTTGGGTTGAAACCATCCTCTACGAAATTCCGCTCCTTGCGATAACGAGTGAGGCATACTTCAAATGGTGTGATCGAGATTGGGATTATCATCAACAGGAAGAGAAAGCTTTCCGGAAAGGTTGCGCGTTACTTGAGCAGGAATGCACGTTTTCCGAGTTTGGAACCAGAAGAAGACGAGATTACCATACCCAAGATCTGGTGATGCGCGGATTGTGTCGGGCTGCGGAGAAAAGCCGCGAAGAAGGATGGACAGGATCATTCTCCGGAAGCAGCAACGTTCATTTTGCCATGAAGTATGGTGTGCAACCAGTTGGCACCGTTGCCCATGAATGGTACATGGGGATAGCAGCCATCACTGATAACTATGAAAATGCAAATGAGCTTGCACTGAGATATTGGCTTGGCTGTTTTGGCGAAGGGGTGAGTCGATCAACTCGTTATGCCAGCCACCTGAACCCTTGATTTTTTTTTCTGACACAATCAAAATTGGCGCAAATGCTAGGTTCTCGGGGTCGCTTTAACCGATACGTTCGGGACACCTGTATTCCTAGATGCCTTTAGCAAGCGGATACCCGTGTACACGGCTGCCGCTGAAGGTTCGGACAGTACGCTCCCGTCATCAGAAGGGAACCTAAGTGGAACTGGTGGTTTGGCCGAAACACAGCCGCCAGTTGCTGCTCCGATCGAATCCGGCGGCCGCGAGCCTACGAAAACGTACGCAGAGGTTTTCACTGGCATACGCCAAGACTCGGGTGACCCAGTATATTTTGTCAAAATGCTGAGAGACTTTTATGACAAGCAGGGAATCAAGGATAAGAAGACCCTTGTTTTCTCTGATTCTTTGAACATCCAGCTGTGCTTGGATTACAAAGTCATTGCGGAAGAAGCCGGATTTCGTCCCGTGTTTGGAGTCGGGACTTTCCTCACAAGTAAGTTCAAAGCTTTTTTCCCATTTTCCCACGGTCCGGTTGCTGAACATCTCGTTTGCGCCACAGATGATTTCACAAATTTGTCGGATGGTAGGAAGTCTGTACCACTCAATATCGTAATCAAGGTGTCCAGCGCTGGAGGCAGGCCGGCTGTGAAATTAAGCGACAACCTTGGCAAGAACACAGGAGATACTCATACCATCGTTGAAGTTAAGAAACGGCTGGGATATGTGGAACGTGATTGGGAAAATGGCGACGAAACTCGGCGATGGGGGAAGAAGGGAGATTAAGCATGTTGGGCATTGGTGGTTCTTTGAGCAAGCATATTCTGGGGCTATAGACACATTGAGATTGGCGAGCTGGGTTTGACTTTTAACAAAGAGGAGTGTATTGTTATTGTTGAAGTTCCCCCATTATACATAGCGGAAAGACAATATAGATATTTCATATTGCCAGGCTTAATATTCCTAAGGGGTGGGTGTAAATGGCCTGCGGGAGGTGGCTCGATGTTCATAACAGAGGTAACGGCTGGTATGGAATTTCGAACTCCAGGCAAGCATAGCCGTACATGCATTTGACGGCAGTGCTCCCGAGGCTTTGTCGAGTATAACTTGCCCTCAGCATCATCAGCTGTGGCCACCAGGGGGGCAGATTTGCTTTTGGGCTAACTCGGATAAATCTCGATGAAAACGTCCTGCATACTTCCGAGGATGGAGAAGAGCTTTTCCACTCCATTGGATCATTGTCCCTTATCAAAAATTTGCCATCTCATTTAGAGATGCGACATGTCAGGAATAAGAAACTCACACAGCGTCAATCACATAAATTGAGGCGTTTAAGGGGTCGGCGATCGCACACGTCTGCAGTCTCTTGCTTCACCACCTCTAGACCTCGACCGTGACCCTGCAATGCGTACCTATCTATCAATGGCCACCTTCGCATTCACAGGTTGCCTGAAACCACCCGTTTGTATCGGACCTGGTGGCCTTTGACCAGGCGCATGCAGGCTTTTGTCCCGGATGAACCACACTCACCGAGATCCTTATTTGTCGGCTGGGATAGGAGTCCTGAACAAATGATGTTAACTCACATGGAATTGACCCATGCGTAGGAATAGGTAGGAGTTGGACTAGGAGCGCGTATACTTCTCTCTCCCCGCTTGTTCCATCTTCTCTAATTCGGCAAAATCTCTAAAAGTGGTGATCGTGTGTACGGAGTACACATAGCATACGCAGAGCAGTGACACGACAAGTCGCGGTATCCATCGGGACGCTGGGGGCCACGGGCTTCGTCATTTTAAAGGTCAAGCGAGTCTTTCATTGTCCGCGTCTCACCATTCTCAGTCAACAACTTCTTTGTTGGTGCCTTTGAGCAAGAGTCGGGGATTCTAAAGAAAGAAGGATATCCCGACCATCTGCTGCGCGTGTTTGGCTTCTGAGCTTTTAAAGATTCGCCAGTTGTTGCTCTGGAATTCCCCGCTGGTCGAACCTAGTTGGGGCGCGCGGTATGGCGCCGGAGTTGAGCTGTTAAGATTGTCCCGAAGAGATTTCTCAATCCAAGATCCCGGGTACCTGCAAGTGAACGGAGAAATATGCGTTATGTACTCCGTACTCCGTACCTCTAGGAGAATGTGGGTGTGTTTCATTCGTAGGCCCGGGATGCATCTGGACAGATGCAATGCTTTTAAGCGACGGCTCTCTCCATTAATTGGTGCAGCGGAAACCGCGGAGCCGGATAGCTGCAAGTTACGCAGGATTTAGACGAGACAAGTCACCCCGGCTTGTCTCCAGGGGGCCGGCATTAGTTCACGAGAAGTTAACCTGCCCACCTTGTTGGTGCTGGGCTTTCACATTGATTTGTCCCTCTCTTTCTCCCTGCCCGCCCTCTCCCTGTCTCTCTCCCTCTGGGACAACATACAGACAAAGACGAAGGAGTGATTCAACCACTGCTTGCGGACAATAGTAGACCAGGAAGCTGAGATCGTGGCTCGTGGGAGGGAGAGAAAAAAAAGAAAAAAAAGGGAAAAAGGCCCTGGCCAAATTAGGATGCATGTGGGCTAACTACGAGCTAACTACCAGTGGCCTGGAGTCAAATAAGATGATGTTGCCAGCACGGAGACAGAACCTTCCACCGAAATGGCCCGAGTCTCTTTTCGCGTCGACGGCTTAGGTTTCCCCGTCCCCACGTTGACGCAGGGATTGGAAGGCTAATTCGCCCTCAATATAGCCGGACGGAGAGAAGACACAGTCACCAGTGCATTTTGCAGCTTCATCGTAAAAAAGTACTTAGGATGCAACGTCTCCCATCATGCGACACAATCCTTTGCTTTCAATGCTCGCCGATTTCTGATGGTCTCCAGAGTCCTGAAAATGGCACTCCTGGCTGAGATCGTGCAGTTTATTCCACAGCATCCTTTCGCGGTGCTGTGTCTACTTGTGGTTTTTGCGCTGTCTGGCCTCTCTGTCTACAGGCTGTTTCTCCATCCTCTTGCTAAATTCCCCGGACCGAAACTGGCGGCCTTGACGCTCTGGTACGAGTATTATCATGATGGAATCAGGGGCGGCCAGTATACATTCGAGATCCAGCGCATGCACGAGAGATACGGTCCGTCCCTTACGAGCAAAATTGTGGAGATACTCTGCCGCTGATTGAGGCTGGTTCGAACTCTAGGCCCCATCGTTCGTATTAGCCCACATGAGCTTCATATCAATGATCCTGCTTTCATCGACACCCTTTACGCTGGCGGCGGGAAAAGGAGAGACAAATATGTGTTTTATGCATCACAATTTGGGTTCGTCATCTTGCCCCCTGTTGGTCCGAGCTTACGTTGTATATCAGCTAACTCTTCAAAACAGGCTTCCGAAGGTGAGTATTTGATGACGCCCTCGATTCGATCGAGGTACCAATTTGTGCCATAAATATAGAGTCTTTTCGGAACTGCGGATCACTACCACCACCGCCTCCGACGTTCTGCCTTAAGACGATTCTTCTCAAAGGCTTCTGTCACGCAGCTTGAGCCTCTAATCACCAAAAAAATCGACACCCTATGTTCCCTAATCCAGGCAACTGCAGGCTCTGGCAGGCCTGTCTCCTTGTCCGATGCGTATAGTGCAATTACTAGCGACGTTGCGACGGAATATGCGTTTGGAACATGCACGAATTTCGTGTGTCCCTCCAACCCGTACTTCGAAAGGAATTTCCGCGTGACCCTAGTTAAAGGCTTGATGGTGGCAACGCATTCAAAGCAATTCCCATGGATTCGCACTATTTCTAAGATGATACCTATGTGCGTCAATTCGGGACCAAGTGCTCTGCATGATCTCGCCTAACAATGATATCACAGATCTGTCCTTAGGGTATTAGATGCGAACCTTGCTGCAGCTATGGAGTTTCAAATGGTACGAACAGCGCATCAAATGATTCGGGGTCAGCTTGGGGTACATGCTGATATAACTGGCAGGAAATATCAAAGCAGGTGAAGGATGTCATGGATGGTGTTAGCAACGGGAACGAGAAAGGCCATAATACGATTTTTCATGAACTTCTCACGGGAAGTCTTCCACCACAGGAAAAGACCTTTACACGTCTCAAACAGGAAGGGCAGCTTATCGTCGGTGCTGGCACCGAGACAGTTGGATGGTGTAAGTTAATTGCAACTCGCCCTTATATATTTGCCGAGACTGGGTCTCCTAATCGATTTCACAGCGCTCTCCGTGATAACCTTCTATATCCTGGCCCATCCGGCGGTTCTAGAGAAGTTGCGCAAAGAGCTTGAAGAGGCTATTCCTGACCCATCTATCCTCCCATCGGTAACAACTTTGGAGAATCTTCCATATTTGATAAGTGATCCCGGTTGCTTTTTATGCCTGAAGGGGGAAGCTGACTTTCCAAGTTCACAGCGCGGTCGTCGCAGAGGGTCTACGGCTGTCCTATGGCGTGATTTCCCGCTCCCAGCGCATCTCACCCTATGAACCACTGATATTTGAACCAGCATCCGATCAGGAAAATCACATCAAGCATGTGATTCCTGCCGGTACTCCCGTGGGGATGACATCGTACTTGATCCATCATAATCCCGAAATCTTTCCTGATTCAAGCAAATTTATTCCTGAGCGATGGCTTGATCAGGACGGGAAACGACATAGACATCTAGATCCGTATCTAATGACTTTCTCTAAGGGCTCGCGGCAATGTATCGGTATCAAGTACGCTCTCTTATTCTCCCCCTTTCCCCCTTCACAACAGACATAGCACATTCGAATCGGCTGAAAGTGATAGCTGATGTGGTATTCGAATACGTATAGCCTCGCATATGCCGAATTATACCTCATAATCTCAAGTCTAATCAGGAGATTTGGGGGAAGGATTGAACTCTTTGAGACAACGGTGAGGGATGTGGTGCCCAAGAAGGATTACTTCTTGCCTGTTCCCGATGGTGACGCCGTTGTCCAGGTGTTGGTGCGAGAAGATTAAAGCAGAATTTCGAAGATTTCCTGTGCGGTGCACCCTTTTTCTTTTCTTTTCCTTCCTTTTTTTTTCCCCCTCCTAACATTGACCTTTGATTTTTTTTGGTTCGGCTGGTCTCGATTATAGCGGTGAGGGCAGGCAAGCACTCCATCTTCATACCAATAACGACTGATGATTTATTTATTGGCGTTGATGGGAATGTAGTTGAGATACAGATAAAATGGATTAAGTTGTGATCAACAGAATTGGATTTAAGCTTTTCTGCTGCACCTTCATGAAAGCATTGCCCTCAGTAGGCAAACAATGACCGCCTGTCAAGGCACTGTTGGAGAGTTCAGTTTTCCCACAGCGGGGATCCTTGGGGCCTGAGGAGGTAACAGGTGCCACTCACCTCACCCATCCCCTCCAATCCTTTCAAGCCGTACATGGAGGTTGAAACAAGGTTATATTTAGGCATCGCGCGGTTGCATGTCAAACATGAAGCGAAAACCTTTTCTGGCCTTGGGCGAGAGTCTGGTGGCCTGCATGGACGGCAGCTATTTTCAGATCGTGGGCGCCAAAAGAGCCTGCAGGTATGGTGGTGATTGGGGCATCGGCTGACCGCTCGTTACCCCACAGAACATTCCAAGTGAGTTCGCCTTTGAGGCTCAGAGCCCGCCAGAGCCTCATTGGCCGGTCCCACACGGGGGGGCAACGCGCTGGCCAACGGCGGAGAGGCAAGATCGGTGAAGGCGTTTTGTGAGCTCCAGAGGTTGTGCTGATTGAGATTTTTTTCGACCCCACCGCGAACCACAGGACCAGAGAAGATGTCGGCGACGGGGTTCTCGATCCCAGCGAGCAGTTCCAGGAACAGTCCACACGAGGGAACATCTATGGTTTGGCTGGCGACCCTGATTCCACAGATTGCACATGCCTTCACGGCTTGCGTCAATGCGGTTGGAGGCAGCGTTGACACTCCTCGCGCAGAATGATGCAGCCTGGGGCGTTTGACGATTCCTGCTGCGACGCCTGCTGCGTGGAACAAAAGCGCCGAAAGAGAGTTCTTGGGAGCCGCGCAGAGGCTTCGCTTAGGTAATCGCAGCGCACAGCCCTATACCTCGCGCGGCGCTAGTCCAAATATGGCTAGCGGGCAGTCAGATCCTGCGCCGTCGGATCCACTCGGCCCCCGTTTCACTTGGCAACTAAACCTGATCGGGCACTCTGAAATCAACTTGAAGGGAGGTGCTCCGTATTGGCGTAATTTTCACTGCGGTTTCGCCGCGTAATGGGCCTGTCAGCTCGGCGCCCAGCGTGAAACTAGTAACTTTGCGAAATCTCCTTTTCCACCCTCCATCTCGAACTCCCCGTCTTGTCCATCCACCGCCCGCCTGTCAACCCATCTCCTGCCGACGTCTCTCTTCTTCTTCTTCTTCTTTTCTGCTACTTGTTCTTCCTTCGCCAGCTTTTATTTCTACTCGTCATTGAGGAATAGGCTACAACTCACCTCGATCGGGGTTTGTTTCCATCTTCAATTCCCCCTCTTTCTTTCTTTCTACCTTTCTTTTCTCCTTTTCGTCAGCTCCGGCTCTCACTCGCTTCTCCTCCCGCGTCTCTTTGTCCGCCCTCTCTAGCCTTTGACGACACGATCGTTCTCATTACGTCTTTTAATTTCAAGAACTCTTATCACTTTTGATTGAGTTCGTTTTCTTCGCGTCAGCATCCTCTCGATATAACAGCCACGACCAGCCCAGTCCAGACCATACCTTTTCCTTCCACCATACATTCGGCGACACCATGAGTGTAAGTCCATTGTCCTGGGACAGAGGATGCGCTCCAACATGCTCTTATGCTCGTCATCCAGGCCCTCCGGTCGTGGAATTGGCACATTTAGATCTAGTTATGTACTAATCTTGGCTTGTTCTAGCGACCAGGCTATAACGACGGCTATGGCTACGGCCAATACGACCCTTACACAGCACGGCAAGATACATACAACCAGGGAGGCTATGAGAGCCAATCAAACTATGGTATGCAGAAAGTGCTATGTCATGTTCTCGATCATGACCAATCTCCTAGATGTATGGTTTTCTAATATCATGGTGTAGAAATGAGCCCTATGCCAGCAAACCCTGGCTACGGTCAACCCAGTGCTCCCAACCCCAATGCTATCTTAGACCAGTGCAGAGACATCGATAATGGTGTCAACACTGTTGAGAATTATATCGGGCAAATCGATACATTACATAGGCGCCTGCTCAGTGACGTCGACCCCGTACGGGAGAACGCAATTCGAGCCGAGGCAGATGAGCTGGCTACCCAGACAAAGAACCTTTACCGCAATCTCATTGAACGTATGAAGACCATCAAACGAATGCCTGATGCTGGCTCCCCGCGCAATGCCCCACAAATCGGAAAAGTGGAACGGAGATTGAAGGCGGCTGTCGAACAATACCAGCAAGTTCAACAGTCATTCAGGAAGGAGTCTGAGACCCAGATGGCCAGACAGTACAGAATAGTGAGACCTGATGCGACGGAAGAAGAGGTCCAGGAGGCCGTTCGGGACACTTCAAACCAGCAAATTTTCAGTCAAGCTGTAAGTCTATCGCAGTTGTTATCGCTTGATTTTGTCTTTTCTTTTCTTTTTCTTTTCTTTTTTTTTTTTTTTTTTTTTTTGGGTCTCGCATGGTGCTAATTCTCCACTTAGTTGATCCAAAGCGATAGACGAGGGGATGCGCAGAAAGTGTCGCAAATGGTGCGGGCCAGACACGAGGAGATTCAAAAGATTGAAAGAGACTTTGTGGAATTGGCCCAAATGTTCCAGGACCTTGATGCTCTGGTTGTCCAGCAAGAGGCAGCTGTTACTCAGATCGACGAGGCGGGAGAGGAAGTTTTCGCCAATGTGACCAAAGCTAACGAAGAAATTGGTGGAGCTATCGAGAAGGCTCGCGCCCGCAACCGGAAGAAGTGGTGGTGTCTCCTCATTTGTCGTAAGTACTCGGACACTTTTGGAGCCCTGAGGTCGGTTACTGATTTGCAACAGTTCTCATCATCATCATCATTGTGGTTGTGGTTGTGGTTGCGGTTGTCGTCACCAAAAAATAGTAAAATGTACACGGCCGTTGGTGTCTCCGTCTATATGCACATATTTGGCATTCTGTGTTCTTTTTATGGGTTGTTTTGAAAAGGGATTGGTTTAACGCCATGGATATCTGTATTTTCTGAAGGCCTCTGCGACACCGGGAATCCCGACTTTAACCCCCCAACCCACCCCTGGCTATTCCTCCCCACTTCCCCGTTTATACCCCCGTCCTTTGCAATAGATTATAATGTTACCCGTCATCAATCACGCTCTTTTGTTCATGTTTTCCTTATTGGCCGTCCTCTGAACCGGGATCGTCGGTTCAGCTCCCGCACTCGTTTCATTCATGGCTCCCCCGTTGTCTTTCCAGATGCATAGGTACCTTTGGCTTATGAGCCTTTTGCCTGTTGGGGTTTGCATTTCCTTTTACTACTTTATAATCCTTGCTGCTGCCTGCCTATTCTGCGCATTCTCATGCATCCTTTTGATTGTATTAAAATTGGTTTTTTTTGTTTTTTTCGCTGTTCTGGGACGGGTTATGGCGCATTGTTCATAGTGTCCTAATCGAATTAGTTCCAAGTTCTGTTTGGGTTCGTCACACTCCTTATGTGGCTACTTGCAATGGTATGGACTGAGGAGGAATAGGGACCCCAGGAGCTCCGTAGAGACGGGTTCATTTCTATCATGAGACGTGTGATCTATACAAAACATGTCATCGTCAAATTATACATACGACAGCAACACCGACATTGCCATGATATCCAAAAACGGCTCATTCCACGCCAGCTTCCATATATCAGGCTTCGAGTTCGCTATGATCCCATCCATAATTATGTCATTCGCCCTGGAGTGCTGTCGTCGTTTCCCCGAGTAGCCCCGGCGCCACCCCTTTTCACTACTGAGTCGTTGGCCTAGTTTCTCTCGCCTCTTCCTCAGGCGTCTTCGTCCTCAATTGCAGCGCATGTATCCCTCCCTCTTGCGCCATTTCATCCTTTAGCAAACTATACACCATCCTGTGCCGCGCAGGTTGCGGTTTAGATGCGAACGCGGAGGAAACTATCGTCACACTGGAGCCGGCGCGAAATAGGCAAAATTAGCACAAAAAATTTACCCCCAATCGTTCTCCTGCCGGGAGCATAGAATGGCCTAGCTGTGGGGAAGGGTGTGTACTTGAAATGCGTTTCTTTGGAAGTCACCCCGCGCATCGGAGCGTGGTGAGCGTGTTTGTGTGAGTCGTTGCGGATCGTGAGGGTGGTGGGGAAAAGGGCTGCTTGGATCTGCGGGCGGGTTAGTATTGTCTTGCTATCCGAAATGGTTCTGTCTATGGAATGGTGGGTTTTATCGTACCTTTGCTCGGATTGCGTCTTCCATCGGCGTGTTTGAGGGTGTTGGGGCGGCGGAACCTGCGGGCGGAGCGGACATGCTGCAGACAGAGCGGAGGAGCGACAGACGATGCTGGCGGAGGAGCGAAAGAGGGCGGAGCATTGGAGTTAAGGGTCGTGCGATGGTGGAGGTATTGGAATGGCCGGGACGAGAGCGAGCGGAGAGATGAAGGTTGGTCTTGTTGTTATGCAAGAGCTTCTTTCAACTGTCGCCGGGTGGAGCAGCGGAGGTTCGGCGCTTGACTTGGCAGTGGAATTTTTAGTTTGCGCTTTTCAATGCCGGCGACGAACAGCCCTACGCTTTTCTTATGACATCGCCTCCAATGATAGGGCCTTTTTTTTTTTTTCTTCTTTCGTCTCAAAACCTCAGCAGGTTGGACGTAATATTCAGCATGACTTTATAGCCCGAACCTCTTTCCTTCCGACAACCTACCCTCTACCATGCTGAGCTACCCCGGTCCTCTCGTGGCACGCTGCCGCGAATCGCAATTAAGGTCAATTCTTTATTCCGCGACTTCGATCCGCGTTCCCACTCCCCGAACCCGGCGAGAGCTTTCGACGCTACCGGACCTTCCTCTATTCCGGGCCCTGGCGTCTCACGACCCAAAATCTACCTCGATCGTCCATAGTGTTTCGGGCCGGACTTTCAACTATGGAAACCTCCTCGGGGATACCCTCCGAGCGCAGGAGAAGTTATTGCAGATCGCAGGACGGAATCCCGCGGTGGGAGGCGTGCAAGGACGCCCTGTAGCGTTTCTGGCGGAGAATAGCTATGACTACGTGGGTATTGTTTGCCTTACCGGTTAGCCAAGTGAAAAGGGCACAATGGCTGACGGTTTGATGAAATGGACGGACAGTGACGCTGCTCTCTGTTCTCGCTTTGGATGGAATTGCGCTTCCACTTTCTCCTGCTTTTCCGGTAGGGGAGTTGAGATACATCCTGGACAATTCGCAGGCGGGTATACTGTTGGCGACGGGGAAATACGCTTCAAAAGCGAAGGAGGTTGTTGAAGGCGACTTGGAGAACGTTCCAGTTGTGGAAATTATTGACAAGATAAATGTTGGAGGAGGCACCGTTTCGGAGTTACAGTTCGAGAATCGAAGCCAGAATGGCGGAATGATGCTTTATACGTCGGGGACGACGAACAGGCCGGTACAGTGGATAGCTACGGCCCCTCAAAGATGGTCATCTGAGCTAATTGGATCTTAGAAAGGTGTTCTTCTTCCACAATCCGCGCTCATGGCGCAAACACAATCGCTGGTGGAAGCTTGGGAGTATTCTCCTCGAGACCGGCTGCTTCATCTCCTTCCACTGCATCACATTCACGGCACGGTGAACGCAATCTTGGCGCCGCTTCTTGCTGGATCGTCTATCGAGTTTATGTTTCCCTTTAACCCTACTGCCGTCTGGAACAGATTCGCCGCGTCATTTCTACGATCCCAATGCGGATCCCAAGCCGGCAACACTGCTCCAATAACGTTTTTCACCGCTGTACCCACCATCTATAACCGCCTTCTCTCTACCCATGCCACTCTCCCACCGGAAACCCAGGAGGCTGCCAAAGTCGCCATATCGCCTCGACATCTCCGGCTAAACATCTCCGGTTCGGCAGCCCTGCCTACACCCACAAAATCCGCCTGGACGAACCTCAGCGGCGGCAATATCCTCCTTGAGCGCTACGGGATGACCGAAGTCGGCATGGCACTAAGCTGCAGCTTAGATTTCGCGGACCGCGTAGATGGAAGCGTTGGATGGCCGCTACCGTCCGTGCAAGCCAGGCTAGTTGACACAGACACCAATGAAGTCATCCAGCCAGGAGAAGAAATCGATCAAGACGGTCGCCTGAGGGTAGGCGAAATCCAGCTCCGTGGCCCGACAATATTTAAAGAATACTGGCGAAATGAGAAAGCCACGAGTGAGGAATTCGTCCCCGATCCTGACGGAAAGGGGCAATGGTTTAAAACCGGAGACGTGGCTATCAGGCGGGCTGTCCAGGGATCTGGCAAGAGTTCCCGGTCCTGGGCTCGCGGGCCAATGTACTTCATCCAAGGGCGGAAGAGTGTGGATATCATCAAGACCGGAGGAGAGAAAGTTAGCGCTTTGGAAGTTGAAAGGGAGCTACTTTCTCTGTAAGAAGTTCCTACCCATGTCTTAACAGACCTCAAGCTTTTTATTGTTCCCTCAGTCCTCGATACCTTAAGGAAGCTATTGCTAACCGCAATCTAGACCTCAAATCGCCGAGGCTGCCGTTGTTGGCCTTCCGTCTGAACAATGGGGTCAGAAGGTTGCTGCCATCCTTGTCCTCAATCCCACCTCTTCGTTATTCAGCGGCGCAAATGGCGGCAAGAAAGAGAAAAAGTTCAGCGCTCTCGATATGCGCCGCGCGCTGAAAGATAAGTTGGCTCCGTACAAGATACCACAGGAGATGCGAGTATTGGATGGTGGGTTGCCGCGAAATGCGATGGGGAAAGTCAATAAGAAAGTACTTGTGAAGCAAGTGTTTGGAGACAAGTTGTGATCGTTGGTTGTCCATTGATACTGATAGCCGGGTGCTACCTGCGGTCTCCAAGTTACCAAGTTAGACTGTATATTACTATGATATGGCGCCTGGTAGGCGTTTACATTTTGGAGAGGTTAATAGAGCGAAGACCGACGCATGCCAGAAGACTGGCTTCTCTGTGGAGAAGCCGTTGAAGGACCGCTACGGGACTTGGGAATCTTGAGGAGAAAATTAAAATAGATGAACTATGAGCGGAGTCGGCATATCTGCGAGACCCCAATATTTCGCATCGTTAGATAACATAACTCATCCCTGGGTAAACTCTGTGTCCCGTATGTCATAACGGTAGTCAATGAACAGAAAAAGCATAATGAAGCGCCCAGAAATCAACCCATTCTTTCCAGTTCTCCCCTCGGAATCTTTAAATTTGATATTAATCTCCTTTCAAACCACAAACTTCGCTTTGGCTCTCGTACTTCCCGATTGGGCGCTATCGGTATGGCCAGAAAATTCCAACTGATCTGTGTCTTTCAGTCTCAATACCTCCTTGAATCGTCGTCCAATTGCCTTCAAAATTTCTTGACTTTTCTCAGCGGAACGACCATCAGAACCCGGAATTAACTTGCCAACAGTTCTTGTCCAAAGACCAATACGGTAGAAGCCTTTGCGCACATTCACCACAACACCCATAACTTCATTGTCGCCATCGTTCTCAAGCGTCTCGCCAATAGCGGCAAGTTGAGAGTGGAGCCAGAGTTCATCGATAGGGACACTGCGCTTATCTTTGAACTGAAATGACCATTTGCCGCCATGCTTGTTCTGCTGGTCCTCCCATTCTGGTCGGACGCCCTTCTTGAAAAGGTGGTAATCGGCTTTTAGACCAAGTTCGGAGGTTGGTGTTATGTTGTTCTAATGGGATAATAAGCAATTCCACCCGGAGACATGCGATGGGGTGTTGAAAGACTCACATAGACTCCCCAGAATTCCTCGACAGAGTTAAATGTTACAACCTCCTTCAAAAGATCGTTCCAGTTATCACCCTAACGAGAATGAAAAGAGCAAAATCAGCTGTTATCCACAAGTAATCAAAAGCTTTCGAGGATTCAACTCATACCTTGCCACTTGGTGGTTTGGTGAACCAGAGTGTCCACTCATTCATAAGGGGGTGCTTCACATTGAAATTATTTGGGTCGTGGAAAACTGTGATCTCTTCATCCTTCTTAATCTCAGATTCGACTCCATTTGGAGGGATGTTCTCATCTGCTACAGGAGCAACAACATTTCCTGCGACTGCGGCAGCCATCCTCTCAGTCTGTGTGTGTGTTCCTTTGGGTCGGTAATATGGAGAAGAACTAGGTATATCGATGCGCGGATGGAGTAGAAACTCCTAGAATACGTTAAGCAAGTCTCGGAGAGTGAATCAGGGTTGATAGCGACAGTGCTGTATTAATAGTGGAGAGGAAGCGTAGGAAGGCTCGAGGCGAGAGATCCTTGCCACTTCGCAGGTTCGTATTCACTAGGGAAAGAGGATTACGAGAAAGTTAGGCGGAATATTGGGGGGATCTCTGCTCCAGGCAGGAGGTCGGCTAGTAATGAGAATTTTCGCGTTTTCTTTGAGTCTTGAACAGCTCGGGGTCAGCAAGCGAAATGATTTTTTTTCCTCCAAAGCGGGAGGTCTGGAGCCGGTGAGATAGCTCAGCTTAACTAATCCTATGTTTGCCATGTTTGCTATGAATCTGCTTAGTAATCAAAGAGAATCCGGGGAGAGAGGTTGGAGGCAACAAAAGTCATATTCTGAAAAAAATGTCTATTATTAATACAAATTACTCGCGTGTGCCGTGGAGGAAGCAATCTATGTCTATGAAGGATGTTGAGCAGTATACCCCGTTTTCTACCGGGGCGTCGTGGCTTTGGTGTCTATGAATCTATGCCGAATGTGTCTTCGATCAAGGGGTGGTGGGAGAAATGATATTGGAGTCCGTACTTCGGATGTTCTTAGAGTGTCTGCGGCTGTTTCTTGTTATTGATGAGGCTGAGGACGCAATTCCATCCTGTTCGAGAGTTAGACTGAGGCCCTTGACGCATAGCTCTGGACTTGAACTCACCCAAGCTTACAACGTTGACAACCAGTACTCGATGTTCGAGTGGTACGAGTGCAAAGTTTACCCCTTGCACCCACGGCCACAGCATCAGGTTCGCTTTGTATGCTGGCAGGAAGCTGGTTCGTAGCTTCTCGACGGGGTCATTGCCCTCCAATACGGACATCGAAGACAGGAAAGCGAAGAGGTGTGTCGGAGTGAACAGGAGCTGGTCGCTGCACACTCTGGCAACCAACGTGAGTGTGCGGCTCTTGAGAGCTACATTTCGTACAAGGAATTTGTACCAAGTCACGGCTGCAGGGCCAAAGATGGCTGTTAAAGGAAGCAATTAGGCTCTGAGGATTGTCTGAGAGGCAAAAGATCGCGCGTACCACCACCGTAGAGCACCATCCGACCTGTTCGGGCATAGTTATGATTTTCAATGCCGACTCGGTCGACAAGTTGCTGTGCTAGGACGTCTCCGGCTCCGAAAAGTACCTGTATCAATCACAGGGATGAAGTTAGAAATATAGGAACATTCTTTATGATCGCCATCTTATGTGCATAACACAGACTCACCGCGCTTCCAACGGCCTGCGTGAGCAATGGACTTCGGG